GAGGGAATCTCCACCACATCACCACACCACTACACCACACATCATCACACCACCGCGGCTCACCTCCGTATCCGCTGTCGCCAGCAATCATCGCTGGCCGAATGATGGTTGCAGGCACTCCCCTCGATCGTGCCTTGTTGATCAGCTGCTCAGAGACCCACTTGGTCTGCGAGTAGCCGCCCGACAGGTTCCAGTTGGAGTACATTTTCTCCTCGAGCGGCTTGTCGGAGCCCTTGGCCATGGCAATCGTCCCGATGGTCGAGATGTAGTGCACCACCTTGAGATGGTGCGTCGTGGCCAGCTGCAGCACCGTCACCGTGCTGAGGACGTTTGTTGCCTTGAGCTCGTTGTAGTTGTAGAGCCAGTGCACCTCGGCGGCGTTGTGCACAATCATGTCGGTCTCTTCGCAAATCTCCTTCCATCGCTCGTCCGAGAGTGCCCATCGCTCCTTGGAAACGTCGCCGCGCAGACCAACCCACCGGTCTCGCACGTCATACCACGGATCGTTCTTGTTCCGCGATGCAATCACCAGCCTCGAGGCGTTGGAGTAGGTGCGGAGGAAGGCCAGTTTCTCGGTCTCGGTTCGTGCCAGACAGTAGATCTTGGCCCGAGGGAACTTGTGTGCCAGCTCAAAGATCAGGAATGCTCCGAGGAAGCTGGTTGCACCCGTCAGGACGATGCCGCGGACCTCCTTGGGATAGACAAACGGAGGGAAACCCTCGGCCGTCACACTCGCATCGTCGAGCTTGGCAGCCTCGGCAGCCAGATCGATTGTCGGCGGAATCACCAGCTTGTCGTCGAGAATGTCGACGACCAGCTGGGCGACATCCTTGGGACTCATGCTGTTCGACAGCAGGATCATTGGCGAGATCTCGACACCGTACTCCTCCCTGAGGGCGAGGGCCAGGCGGCCGATGCTCAGCGAGTCAAAGCCGACACCGCCAATGTAAAAGTTGCGGCCGTAGAGACCGGGGTTGTCCAGGATCTGGCTGCTGAACTCGGAGATCTTGAAGGCAATCTTGGTCAAGAACGTTCTGGTGACGATGAGAGCCGGGTACTGGACCGCCTGGCTGTACTGCTCGACGTTCTCGGCGATGCGCTTGAGCTTCTTGAGATCGACCTTGCCCGAGTCGTTGAAGGGGAATGCGTCGAGCTTGAGGCAGTTGTGGACGGGGACCTTGGAGACGTTCAACAGCAAGAACATGTCCTCGACGACTCGGATGATATCGGCCGAGGTCAGTTCGGGGTTGTATCCTCCCTGAGGGATGTAGAGCAAGATGATCTTCCTCTCGGAGGTATAGATGAAGTAGCAATCGACGATGGCTTGTTGCAGGTACTTGTGGACAAGCTCCCTGAGGTAGTTCAGGTCGACATAGACACCGTTGACCTTGATCTTCTGGTCGAATCTGGAGGGTGAGGTGTGAGGTGTGAGGTGTGAGGTGTGAGGTGTGAGGTGTGAGGTGTGAGAATGAGAGTGATAAGTATCCAGCGAGCAAAAGGATCGGAACCAAGAGTGTGGATGGCAGTTCTCATGGATCAAGCACACAATAGTCTCCAGACTCACCTTCCAACAACACTGAACTCCTTGTCGCTGACCATCTCGACCCAGTCCATGGTGCAGACTCGGGGCGAGCCATCCACGAGGAAGCCGAAAGTCGACAGCTTGTCGTTGGGATCGGCGTTGACAAAGTTCGGATGGTCCTTGGCAGGATGTTCGGGATCGACGGCAAAGACCAGGATTCCGCTGTTGGAGTACCGTGGATCGATAATCTCGCCTTTCTCGTCGAAGAGGAGGCAGCGCACGCCAGGTTTGGCCAGCTTGTAGACCAACTTCTCTGGGATGGGACAGTCGGCCGGGATCCGCAAAAATGAATAGGCCCCAATAACTCCTGTCTAGTGAGGGGCTGTGTTTAGTGATTGCCGAATGTTGTGAGAATACAAGCCATCAAGCATGATATGTACCTCGCTTGATCCGTAGCCCAACTGAATTTCGGCACTTGGGAATCTCTCCCTCGTCATGTGGACGACACTCATGGGGATGTGCTCTGAGCCCAATAGGACTTTCTTTGTTTTAGTCCATTTAACTCCTGAGTTCAATGAAGTAGCGGTGTTGATAACGAGTTTCATGAACGAAGGGGTCTGTGAGAAATGGTTTTCTTTAATAGGTGGATAGCACGGGGTCAGAGAAGACTTTGAGCCTGGTACTTACCAGGTAGACATAGTTCACGCCGTCATCCATTATTTGAGCGACATTTTTTGCTTTCTCAACTGCGTGGAATGTTGGCTTTGGAATCCACACCGATCCTCCAAGATTCAAAGAACTGAAGAAAGGGCCCAATGTCGCCACAAATGACGGAGGCTGAGAGTCATCAATGTCAGTATACCCAGCATTGCCCACGTATTAATGCGATATTCGATGTTAAGCATAATTACCTGCATTAGTCCGACGCTACTCTTCAGCATTCCAATAGAGGCTCGACCTGTGATCATTCCAGTGTGTGGGAACTTCATACTGAAATCACGAGCGCAAGCACAGAAGGATCCAGTCAACGAGTGGTGATGTGATCACTTGTGAATGTGAACAAGCATCAGGCGCGACACAGGATCAGAATCCACAGGATCAGAAGCCACAGAAGAACTCACGACTTGGGGATGCCTGTGGGAGCGACGAGGAACCAGGATGCAGGACGAAGGAGTCGGGTTGTGGGTTGGATATGCATCGTCAGCGTATCACTTTCCACATTCACCACACTCACCATCTTACTCTATCCACCACTGCACCATCTGCTTTGCTGCTGGACCATCACCCGACCATCCCACATACCCGTTGTTCCAGAGGTGCACTGGATGGCGACATAATCATCAAGGGGTTCACAGACTTCGAGAGACGGGGGTGGGATGCTGTCCAGCACAGGGAACGTGGTGGCATCGACCAGCGTCACTCCAATGGTGCGGCCAGGCTTGCTGTGGTGGTAGAGGATGTACTTGATGAAGTATCTGTTTCGATTGGAGTCAAGGTCGAGTCAGGTTGGGCACAGAGGTCTCTGGGATGTCAATCTCCTGAGACACATGTGAGACCAGCACAAGTACAAACCTCTCGCACAGAGCCTTGCGAACAGCGGCAGGGAAATTGAGAGCGAGGTTGAGTGTTTTCCTGGATGGCAACAAGGGACAGATGAAACTCGATCCTGGTCATGGCAGGGACAAAGACCGGTTATGTCATGCACAGGCAGACTGACCAGACCAGACCAGACCAGACCAGACCAGACCAGACCAGACCAGACCAGACCAGACCAGACCAGACCAGACCAGACCAGACCAGACCAGAGATACTCACTTGCCAAGCATCCACACAGCAAACGAGAGGATCACCCAGCCAGCGGTCGTCTCGCAGAAGGTGCCGATGACCTCGTGGTCGTCGTCGTTCCAGCCAGGGAGAGTCTTGAGAGCCTGGGCGACCGAATACGCCTGCTTCCACACACGGAGATAGCTGAAGCGCTCCGAGGCGCCGCTCTCGTAGGTGTTGATCAGGAGGGCATCGGGCTCGTCGCGGGCAGTGTTGACGAGGCACTCGACGGGATGGAGCCAGGGGCCGAAGGGATCGGGCGGAGAAGGGAATGTTGGCTGTTGGGAGACAGGGGTCTGCGAGGAGACATCTTGGTCGTCGACCGGGTCTGCGGACCCTCCAAAACAACAGGAGATGGCCCTGAGCATGCCGGGGTTGGGATGGAAGCGACAAAGGTGCCGATGCCAAAGCCAGATGAGGGCAGGGGAGCGAGGAGGGAGCCGAAAGGGCGAAACGAGACAACGATGACGAGGGGAAAGGGCGAGGGGAGCGCCTTTTGTCGGTCTGGGCAGCCAGGAGATGGCGACTTGGTCTGGCTGCTTGCCAGATTGCATTGAGCGAATGCTCTTGCTTCCTCTCAGGGTGCTGAGTCTGCCAGCGTGACCGGCTCTGTGCTTGGGCGGTGGGTCTGGCTGTTGCCCCTCGATGCTGTGCTGTTGCCTCGCCCAGCAAGCTGCTTGCAAATCCACTGTGCGGTCAGCGAACAGTTCACTCGGTGGGAACACAGGTGAGTTTGACACTCGTATGTCTTTGCTTGTGTCTGGCTGGGGGATATTCATTGTGGCCACCAACAGCACAAATCGCACCACAGCACAAATCGCACCACAGCACATATCGCCTCCCTCACCCAGACGAAGAATAATCCGTCCGCAGACCAGGGACAGGCTCGATTTGGTCTCTTGGACAGAGGTTGCTGATGATCTCGGACACCAACTCTGACCAGGATGGTCGGGCCGGGCGATTTGCTCGTCTGGTTCTGGGCTTCTGTGTGCTCAATCCCCCTCCCTCGCGTCCACTGGACATCCCGAAATACAACCCAATGGCTGTCTCTTTGGACAATGCTTGTGTATGGCGGATGGCCGCGGAATTGGCATCAGTGCGGCCCTTGCCAACATGATCATCGTGTGCAGGCCGATTGCAGAGGCCGGAAAACAGCCTCACGTCTGGAGGCACCGTGGTGATTTCATTGATTGCAAGTGATATCACCGTAACGCTGTCGAAGCATGGGGCTGTTCCGTCTCTCCCAGCGCGGTCATCGGATCCGAGCCATGCGCTGAATTCAGGGGGAAATGGGACACCTGCCCACAACCCATTTGTCGGCGTAGTATGCGATGGCATGTCTAACTATGCCATAAGAATAGAACAGATCACTTTGGCAGCCTCCGAGTGAACACCACCGGTCGCAGTGCAGCGATGCGGAAATCGAGGGTGCTGTGTTTGGCCATGATTGCAATGAGTGGGTGGGTGTATTCAGGTCACAGAAAAAATCCACTGTCATGGCTCAAAACGAGATATCCCATTTCATTTTGGACCGACTGTAACATCGACAGCACAGCATCCCACAGCTCCCACGGCGAACACATGCCCGCCCGCCATGCACTTCCCACAAAACAACGACACCATCCCCGGCCAATCGCAGCGCAGGCCTGCAGACATGGTGCCTTTCCTGCGGATGCATAGCCCGCACACCCGGCAGCCGATCAGTCGCCCGGGGTAGTCTCGGATCTGCTTCTTCCAGGCGTCTCTTCCCGACTGCATCCTCTTGGCTCTGTCGATTGTCCACCTGCCTCCCCAAGTTCCATTACCGCCGCTCCTCTGCGCTGCCGTGTGCATCCCTCACCCATCTCCCTGCCGCGATCCACAACCGCCTCCTGCCAAAATGAAGATCATCCGTATCAACGACTCCTCCGAGTTTGACTCTACCGTTAGCCAGGCCGTTCTGGACAACCCCACAAGCCATGTCTTTGTGTTGCTCTTTGGTGAGACTTGTTTCTATCAACGCTGCCGATGCTGCCGATGCTGCCGATGCTGCCGATGCTGCCGATGCTGCCGATGCTGCCGATGCTGCCGATGCTGCCGATGCTGCCGATGCTGCCGATGCTGCCGATGCTGCCGATGCTGCCGATGCTGCCGATGCTGCCCTTCGCCTACTCTCTCGCGCTCGACCATCAAGCATACGGAGCTCTCTGGCTGGTCCTGGCTTGCTGCCGGATTGGATACGAACTCCTCCCTACCGATCGCTGCAGTCTTCGGCCTCGCCGTCGTTCGCCGGTGGGCTGTCCGTCGCCTGGTCGCCTCGAGCGCTAACTCCCTCCCTCCCACCCAACCCGACAGGAACGGAGGAGCCCCAGACCGGCGAATCCTGGTGCCCCGATTGTGTTATTGGTGTGTACCAACGGCCTAGATATCCATATTCTTGTATACGAGCATCTGCTTCGATCTGTCGATCGTCTTTGCGGATAACTGCTCCTTCTGCAATGACATGACTTTCCTCATCGGTTTCTGTGGTCCTCCCCCTCGGTTCTACTCAACCCTTCCCACAGCCGATCCCGTCGTTCGAAGACATATCAGCAAAATCCCGGACTCTATCCTGATCGAGGTCCCTGTCGGTCCCCGTCTGGAGTTCCGCAAGCCCGACAACTTCTACCGAAACCACAAGTCGCTCAATCTTACCGCCATCCCGACCCTCTATCTCTGGAAGCAGGTACGCTGGTCAGCGATATAACACTTCTGACCCGACCTTGCAGCCACCAGCCCGCCACCCGCATTGCGCCAGCCATCTCATCGCTCGACAAACGAAGATGTATCGGCAGTCGGTGGCTGTTCTGATCTCCTGCATGCCGCATGCCTGTCGACTGATTCGTCCTGCTTGTTGACTGACTCGCTCCCTCGATTCCACCGAATCGTCTTGCTTCGCGTGCTCGTGCTTGCGCATGCTTGCGCATGTTTGCGCATGCCTGAAGAGCGGCCCCGCCAAGTCCCTCGTCGAGGTGGAGTGCGCTGACGAGTCCAAGTGGGCCGAATTTGTCAAGGAGCTGTAGCGCATCGCCTATCCCTCGGCCGCTCCTCGGCCATCCTATCGTGTTGCGTTCGTACTGAGCGTGAGCTGTCATCCATACATCCCCGTTGCAACCGCATCGAAGCAAGCCTCGCCCTCGCTCTGTTTGGAAGAATCAACCAGAGGCCACTCTAGAGGCCTGGTGCTTCACCACCCGGCGCTGCGAGTACGGATGGAATCGGGGCTGTATAATGCAAATCGACAAAATGTATTCAGGAATGCGAGCCGAGACAGAATCAGCAACACAGCGAGAGGCATTTCTCTCCAGTCAGTCAGCCAGACAGGCGATCGGCGCAGCAAAGCGGAGGAGATCTGTTGAGCAGAATCGCGTGAGGATGCAGTCAGTAACGGCCCAGCCAGCATGGCAGCGAGCAGGGAATGGGGGCCGCACGCATCAGCAAAGCTCAGGCAAAAGCGAGAATTTTTCTCCATGGATATATATGGTCGGTATTAGCATGGAAATTTGATCATCACAGCTCGCTGAGAGGGGCGCTTGGTGAGCCACCCACGGTCGAGTGCTTACCTTCGCCTTTGGCCAGCGCAACAGGCAGAGGCTGCCTGTCGCCCTCCTGCGGGCTCAAACGGACCGCGACCAACCTGGCCGACGCAAATCCAAGAGCAATCGGCCGGGGTTGTCTGAAAAAAAAGTGCGCTGATCGCAAGCCACACGCGCCGCCTGATCAGGCGCCGGCTCGATCCGTGCGCAGCGCACACTCGAACCGGTCAACAAATCGCGCCACACACACACACACGGTGCACACACACGACACCCGAGCACACAGAACACTGCTGCTGGCAAACTGCAACAAGCCGCACCAAACGGCAACAAACCGCGGCGTTGCGTTCCAGGTGCGATCTTGGAGCAGAGCCTTGGGGGTGCAGGCCCGCAACCCAGGCATCGCTCGGGTCTCCCGCCCTCAGCGACGATCTGCGATCCGCATTCCGCATCTACCGCAGTCTCCCGAGACTGTAGACACCAAGGCATACGCCGCGCTGCAGCTTCTCTCGTGTGTGTCTGCCGCAAGCCCCAAGTGCATTTGCTCTTTCTCTGGTCCCAAGTCCACCAACCAACCAACCAGCCAGCCAGCCAACCGTCGCTCGGGCCTGTTTCCAGGCTTCGTTTCGCCCTCCAGACCTCCTCCTCTCTTTCCTCTGGGTACTGCCGCTGTGATCCGTTCTCTTCCAGCCCCGCGATTCGCCCGCTATGCCTGAGCAGCATGCAGCCGCAGCAAGCTCGTCCTCAAAGGAATCGATGGCGCGGGTGCTCGGGTCCATCGCTGGTGGGCTCCTGGAGCTGCTCCTGTTCCATCCCGTCGATACCATCGCCAAGCGCCTGATGGCCAGCAACCAGACCTACTCGGGCCTCAAGAACGCTTCGCTGCAGGACAAGCTTAATCTCTTGGACTCGGTCATGTTCCACGAGTCGGCCGGAAAGGCGTGGTCGGCTCGCTACAAGTCGCTCTATCCCGGCCTGGGCTTCGCCATGTTCTACAAGGTCACCCAGCGCTGCTACCAGTTTGCCGGGCAGCCGCTCGTCCGGAACTGGCTCGACCGGAAATACAAGAGAAACTTTGACGAAGCTTTTGGCAAGCGCTCGCTCATTGCACAGCACGCTGTCGCAGGCGCAATCACAGGAACTGGAGAAGTGATGTTGCTCCCCCTGGATGCTGTCAAGGTAACTTGACCGGGTCCACTCTTAGTCTGCTCTGGCACTCGATTGTGTCGCCGGTGGGAGTTATCCAACGGCCCAGTGGGCTAATCCAACGGCTGAGTGGATCGCCTGTCTGCTCATCGAGCCTGGGTTGCTGCAAATCATGCTTGGCGATCAGACGCTATCCCAGGCCGAGATTTTCCTGTCCAGCATTCGAGCGCCGTCACGGCCCAGCATGTCTCCCGGACCTGTTTTGATTGCAGCTTGCTCGATTCGTGCAATCCCTCATGTGCTAATTACGCTTTGCCTTCCACCCCGCAACTTCCCCCAACATCGGCATTGGAAGGTCAAGCGCCAAACCGACCGCGGCAAGTCCTCGCTGCCGGGGCTCGGCTCCTTGCACCAACTCTATCGCGGCTCATTCTGGGCGATCATGCGCAATGCCACCGGAGCATCCTCGCTCTTTGGATTCGCCGCTCTTGGCAAGGAACTGTTCTTTGGGCTGTCAGACTATCGCCAGGCAACGCTCTATCAGAACTTTGTGTCGTCTCTGGTGGCTTCGGTCCTCTCCATCACCATCGTTTCGCCCTTTGATGTCGTCAAGACACGCATCCAAGCGGCGCCTCTCGATCGCCCGCAAACAGGCCGTGCGATTTTGCATCACATTGTTGTCAAGGAGGGGTTTTGGGCGTTCTTCCGAGGACTGACGCCCAAGCTGATCGTTGCCGCACCCAAGATCACATTCACCTTCACTGTCGCCCAGACCATCTATCCGTCCATCCTCCAGTGGCTTGAGAAACAGTAGCCAGCCCACCCATCTTCCCAGCTCGAGCACCGGCTCCGGCACCCGCGCGGCACCGATGGACACTCGACGTCCTCGACGTCCTCGTCCGTACCGCCGGCGATCTGCATGCACGATCTCCTCAGGGCTGTTTGATAGGGCTCTTTCCCTCTCATCCACAGGGCCATCACACCAACCCTCTTCCCTTCTCGCTCACTTCTCCTCACCCACCCACTGATAGATCTTGGCACGACCATGCGACTGAAGCAATGGTCGCAGTCCCAGACACACCCCGATTCTCCGCATAGATTGCCCGCACACTTTCGTCGGCACCCGGCTGCCACATAATACCATCTATTGCTGCCTTGTTGGTAGCGCAAGCTGCAGAATCGCAGGCTTCCAGGCGGATCAGACTTTGACTGTCGGGTGGGGTAGGTAGATGGGCAAAGCGGACACAGAGAGGGAGGCGGCTATGACCACTCCTCGATCTTGACTCGCGGCACGACGTTCATGGACATCAGCTCTTGGAAGAGCAGCTTGCATGCATACGGGATCTTGACCGTGGCGACATGCTTGCGGCTGCGGCAATAGGGACAGTAGCCTTGCCAGCCGCCAAGCAGGCCGCATTCCTGGCAAACCTCGACATCGTAGGCATCCGACGAGAACAGCAGACGCTCCATCAGCAGCGACGCAGCACCGTGGCCGATGAGACAGTCGCGCTCCATCTCTCCGACACGGAGACCGCCTTCCTTGGATCGACCTTCCGTTGGCTGGCGCGTGAGCACGGCCCGGGGGCCGCTGTGGAATAGAGCAAAGCATCAGCAGTGATTTCCGGGTACAGATCGGTACCAGTGCAAACCTTGGCATCCGGCGCTTTATCCTCCGCAGGCTGCCCGACATACCGAGAGCGCGCATGCATCTTGTCCATGACCATGTGCTTGAGCTTCTGATAGTAAACCGGACCAAAGAAGATGTATGCAGAGAGCGGCTCGCCCGTGATGCCGGAGGTGACATAGTCCTTGCCAGAGTAGCTGAAGCCGTTCTGGATCAGGATGCGTGACATGTCCTCGACCTTACTGCCGCCAAAGCACTACACACCATCAATCGCGGTTAGAGCTGGAGCCAGTCCATCATGTTTGCTGCAGTGTAGCGCGGCGTGGCATGGCTGACCGTCGAAAGCGCCACTCCGGTAGTCGTTCTTTTGCCGAGAGAGAACCCACCGTTCCGTATTGGACCTTGCCAGCGAGGACGCCGGCCTTTCCAGCAAGCAACTCGATCATTTTCCCGACGGTCATACGCGATGGGAAGCCGTGCGGGTTCATGATGATGTCCGGACAAATGCCAAGGTCGGTGAAAGGCATGTCCTCTTGCTGGACAATAATGCCACAGACACCCTTCTGTCCGTGGCGGGAGGAGAACTTATCGCCCAGCTCGGGGCGGCGGGTCTGGCGAACAAGAACCTTGACCAGCATCTGGTCCTCCTCATTGGTGGTCAAGAGTACCTGGCGTTGTCATCATGGCAGATCGAGAGCAACATCAGTTACTACGGCGAAAAGTGCAGCGGCATCGCGGCGCTCTGGAGAGCGGTAGTAAATCACAGCTATCGCCGATCCTCTCTCGTACCTGATCAACGGCGCCGTCGCACGGATACTTGTAGGATTCCATCGCAGGCTTGTAGGTCACCGTGGTCATGTCCCCGTCCGAGCGGCCATCCATGGCAGCGGTCTCGACCGGCGACTGTTTGTTGATAAGGATGTTGCCTTTTTTGCAGATTTCTCCAACATGCGCCAAGCCGTCAAGATCGATTGCTTCGTAGCGGGGGTCGATAACGACCTCGTCTGGCTGGACGTCGGGCGGGCCAAGCAGACGATCGTAGGTGCGGTTGGGATAGGTTTTGATCATGGTGCTGAACTTGCGCATGACCTGACAGCGACCAAAGCCTCGATCGATCGACGCCTGCGTTGCAATGCAGAGCCTATCAGTTAGCTGGCTATCGCAGTGTCCCTGGTGTGAACACGGACCGAGCCAAAAGTCTGGCTACACATTGACTAGTGCGATTCCGACGACAAAGCAGCTGCCTACCTTGTTCAGGACCAGGGCGTCTTCGATATCGTAGCCACTGTAACTCATAACAGCAACCGTGGCGTTTTGTCCAGCCGGGAGCTTGTCGTAGCCTATCAGCTCGATGGTGCGTGTGCGGACCATCGGATGGTGCGGGTACACCATGAGATAGAGCAGCGTGTCGATGCGGGTCAGCTGGTTGTAGGCGATGGCGCCGATTGCTTGTTTGCCCATAGCGCACTGATAGGTGTTGCGCGGGGACTGATTGTGGTGAGGATACGGAATCAGCCCGGCCACAGCTCCAAGGAGAGTAAAGGTGGCAATTTCGAGATGCTGCGTGTTAGGCAGGCCGCTTGGATCCTCGGTTTTGCTGCCCCACTTGTGCGCAAAATCTGGATCGCGGCTTTCGCTGTAGACAATATCGGCTTCATATACAGCAATATCGCTGTCGCCAGCTTCATTGACGTCGAGGTACTCGACTTTGCCCTCGACAACGAGGTCGTTGAAAGTGCGGAAGCCCATCATGACATCACGGATGTCGCTGGCGTTCACCTTGGACTTGCCTTTCTCGACAATGATGAGTGGGCGGCAGACTCGCCCGGCGTCGCTCGAGATATGGAGGACGCTCTGCAGCACGTTGCGATAGACCGACACAAAGGCGCCGACGCGGCCAGCCCGACGCAGCCGCCGGAAATCACGCACAAACTTGTCGGGCAGGCGATGGACGCCCAAGATCACACCGTTGAGGTAGACCAAGTATGTGCCTGGGCGATACAGGTCTGCGCCCGTGAGCATGTTGATGTCTTCGACGCCAAGGGCAAAGGCGAGGGCTCGCACAGGCTCAGACGGCGAGTCAGTGGTGATGTGGGTCATCAGCGCCAAATTCTTGACAAGACCACAGGCCTCTCCTTCGGGCGTATCCGAGGGACAGATGACGCCCCATTGCGAGGTCTACAAGTTGGCAAGGGCGACACGAGAAGAGGGGGGGAGAAGCGATGTGGCGCTTAGTGATCGGAAAATGCAGCTGACCGTGGAGGTGGTGACAGGAATGCAAGACACTATCTACATGGACTGGCGGCGAGGCAGATACGCCGGCGCACGGGACTCTCACCTGCAAACTACGCGGTCCGCTGACTTTTCGAGACTTTTCAAACTGGCTGGAAATACGCGTGAGCATACCCAGGGCCGAGACATAGCTGAGGCGAGATAACACGTGCGTGACCCCTGCCTTCTCCATCTTGAACCGCTTGACGCTCCAGTTGCCCGTGGAGATGGCCTTGAAGAGACCATCGGTGATGTATCTAGAGCGACCTGTGACGGTGGTTATGGCGTCGTACTGCTTGGTGCGATTGGTTCTCCTCAACTCCTTGTCGATACCCATTTTGAGCTGGTCGATCCACGACTTGAACAGATCTTCGAAAAGCAGTGAAATCATCTGACCGGCGCTGTGGGAAGAGCGGTAGGAAATGGTAAGAACACCAGCATTGCTATGACAACAGGCGTCCGTATATGGACTCGGCATTCCTATTCATGGAATAAGACGTGTGGCGGGAGCCGTGTGTCGTCACATGCAACAAAGCAACTCAATAGGAATGAGTGCGTCGACAAAAGATGGATGCGCTGCCTACAGCTCGAGACGCTTGTTGCCGATAAAGTCACGATCGTCGACAATGCCACCCTCACGGATGGCCTGGAGGACTCTCCGAATCATCGTGGCCAGGTAAATCGCCTTGGGTCGCACGTTGTATCGCCCGTCCCGCTCTTCACACGGAATGTGGGCGATGAAGCTCGTTGCCAGGTACTCCTTTGCCTCCTCGACGTTGCTCTTGCGGGGCGTAAAGGTTTTCTTGAAGGACATGGAAGGCTTGACTTTGGAGCCAAGCGAGTCTAGGGCTTGTGTCTGAGTGAAGATCTCGAGCTTGGAGATTTCCTCGAGGGACGGTGACAGCAGAGTGAGGTACTCGGGGTCTTCACCACAGATGAGCTCGGCGATCTCACGATCCGAGTCGATTCCAAGGGCCTGTGTGCGACGTTGGGGGCAGGTAAGTAGACGAGTACAGCAATGCAATGCAGCACAACACAACGCAACGTAGCGCTCGGCGCCCCAAACCCCGTCCTCTCTCAGCAGTCCACCACGCCCACATACCTTCATGATCGTGATGACGGAGACATCGGCAGTCAGGCTGTTGTGCTTGAGAATGATTTTTCCGGTCGCGGGGACGTACAGGATCGTGGTCTTACTCTTCCGCTCAACGGTTGAACTCGTGACGCTGGCGCCGATTCCACCGGTCCGGTCGTTTTCAACGATGATTCTGTTGTTGGACATTTGCTCCTGGATCAGAATGACCTTTTCTGTACCACGGATGATGAAATAGCCGCCTGTGTGTGGAGGGGGATCGCCCTGGTGTCAGCCCAGATACCACGGCCCGCTTTCGGTGAAGGCGGCGACGGAGATTCCTGGCACATACCGGGGTCGAGAGGACACTCCTTCATCTGCACCATTTCCTCGGGCGACTTTTTGTAGAGAACACAGGGCTTGCTGCGGAGCATTATGGGCATCCTGCCAATATCGATGTTGTTTTTCTTGATGATTTGCTTGTTGCGGACATACTCCACATCTACAACGATCGTTCCGGCATAGGTGATATCTCGCAGACGACACTCCTGCGGAGTCAGAGGCACCTGGATGCCCCGCTGGGTATCGTAGGTCGATGGGACCAGCACGCGGATGTCGTTGAATCTGCAGCGCCAGCGGCGTGTTGGTGAGGAGGGCTCGATGTGGGGCTGCTCTCCAGGCTGCATTCGCTTGGCGCCGCACGAACAAGCCGTTCTGCGGCTCCTCCAGAGACCACCACGCCGCTTCCGTGCTGGAGGGTCGAATCCATAGCACCCTGGCTGCAATGTCCGCCCACAGATCCGCGAACGCCCCCACGCCATACGTACTTGAGATAGAAGACCCGGTCGACATCGCTTTCGATGCGGTTGTTGGCTCTCAGGATCTCTTTGATTCCAGTCTCGACAAAATAGTTGTATGAATCGACGTGCTGCTGGATCAGGCCCTTGGTCTGCAGAAAGGCAGGCAGCAGCCGCCATTTGTCCTGGGATGCCGCGTCGACAGATACAGGGGTGGTTAAGCAGGCGCCTCAACCGGACACACGGGCCGATCGATCGGTGAACCAGCGGCCGGATGAATCCATCGCTGACGATGCATCCAGTCCGACAGCCAGCAAAGCCGCCAGATCAATGGTGGGCAACCTCCGCATCCAGCAGCCCGGCATTGTGCCTCCTGCGATCACCCGCGGCGGGAGATCGTCCTCTTGACCTGCAGCCGCTCGCCCAGTTCGGTATTGCCGAGCAGTCGTAGAGGCCGCCTTGGCCGTAACCGCTCTTCCACTTTTCCCCTCGCCTTTGTCGCTTCATAGGATTGGCGCATTTGGCTGAGCTTGGCTTTTGGTGAGTGGATCCTACCTCGATCTTGTCGACAGGATCGACCATGTTCTTGCCCCAATATCGCATATCGTCGCGGCCGACGACATCGTTTTCAAATATGGACCACCCTTTGCCTCGGCCGATTCGGTCGGCCTTTTCTTTGGCTGCATCGGCAGCGGCGGCAGACGAGGCTGCTCCGGCTGGTGCCACTCGGTTCATGGACGGGCTCTGGCAAACAGAGGGAAGGGCTTCAGGGCGGATGGGCGACGATCGGCTGCTTGTGTTGCTAGCGTGAGGGCGACAACAGATGGCCTCGGGTGCAGCCGAGCAGGATGGATGACCGACAAGGGGGGATGATAGGCCAACAGGCTCGGTCGGGCGTCGCCGTGCGCTTGCAAACGAGCACGACCAGCAAGAGGACAGTGCAAAACCCGCCTGCAAAAAAAATGTCTTTGGAACCAGGCGCGCGCCACATGGCAAGCCGTCTTTTGACCAGCAGGCGGGCTTGGCCACCAGCACCAGGCGATCTGCCCGACACCGGCTTGCTTCCCCATCTGGCCAGCACCGCCAGCTCTCCAAGCATTGGTCTGCGCAAGCTCCTCGACTCGAACAACACCGACGCCTCGATACTTGACCATCACCAGCACCGGCACTATTCGCACAGATCCCCCTCCTCCTCTCCCTCCTCCTCCTCCACACCAACAAATGCCTCCTGCTGCACCCTGGCAGGTCGAGAGCCTCAACGGCGATGACTCGGTCTCCAAGAAAGATATCGCCACCTTCCTGCAAACCCATGCAACCGCTCAATTCCTGAAGGATCGCAAGCTGCACGGCAAGCTCGCCAACGTCACCAAGGCGAGCAAGCGGGAGGAGCTGGTTGCCGCATACAGCGCCCTGTTTGAGCTCGAGGCCTTCCGCCCGGATGGACAGCCGCTCGAAGAGGCCCTCGCCGAGATCACCGATGCCCCAGCTGTCCCTGAGACGACCAAGACCGAGAAGAAAAAGATTACCGAAGCCGTCGAGCCTCCCAGGTACACCAAGACGATCCTCTCCAAAGGCGATGGCGAGCGGTATCCGCGAAAGGGCCAGAACGTCGGCTGCTTCTACACTGGCTTTCTGCCGGACGGATCTGTCTTTGACACTAACATCCCCAAGGGCAAGAAGAAGCCGGTCCAGCTGAGATTCAAAGGTAGGGCCTGCCTGAGTGCCGGATCCGAGCTCGGCATTTTCGCTGGCGCCGAGGCAGCGAGCAGCCCTCCATCCTGGTGTCTCTGTCCTCCGCCGCTGACTCGACTCTGCTTCCTCTATCGCCGGTCCGGAATCAGTCGGCAACGGACGAGTCATTCGCGGATGGGACGAGGCTCTCATGACCATGTCTTGCGGCGAGAAGGCCAGGCTGGTGATCGAGAGTGACTGGGCCTATGGCAAGAAGGGAAATCCGGAGGCCGGCATTCCTCCCAACACGCCACTGACTTTTGAGGTCGAGCTGGTGAGCATTGACTGATCGGCGCAGTCGAATAGGCTGTCGGGTTTGTCGAATAGATCGTCTGTGCAATCCGCCTCGATGATGCAGCGACGCCTCCGCCCGAGTCAGCAAAAGATGACAGGGGGAGAGGCGATACCGAGCAATAGGAATCGAATGAGAGGGATCATCTCTCGGTCGACAGCGATGCAGCAGCGGACGAGAGTTGGATGGATGCATCGACACATCGCGTGCGGCCTTTGCCCTCCTGAGTTGCCGCAGCGGTCACTTCTGTGGAGATCAGCATTGGAGCGCACTCCATTCCGTTCAAGACAGGATTGACAAAGGAAGACAATGCTTGATGGTCTAAAGAGGGCGTATATTCTCCCGCTGCAGCGCTGTCTAGGGATTCCGGGTTTCACTCCATTGCCTGCTGGGCCATCGCAGGGTTCTTGAGCTCAAATCGGTGGCTCTGGACGACTTGTCCATTGAGCTTTGTGTATGTCCTCTGGCCATCGAGCAGCTGGAAGCCAGACTTTTCCAGGACACGCCGGGACTCTAGGGAGAGCGGAGAACACCACGAGAGCAACGGTCGAGGAGGTTAGCGTTGCGAGACGCATCTGGCAAACAGGCCTGCGTCGATCTGTGTGATACTTTGAAGAAGGTGTTGGAGGGAGGAGTAGATCGGCCATCACATGGTGGAGAGAAGTACGCAGGAAATGGTGGACGTGGTGGTTGTGGTGGACGTGGTGGATATGATGGATGTGGTGGTTGTGGTGACTGTGTATCAGAGCTCATGTTTTGGCCACCTACTGTTGTTGCCGAGGAAGCATCCGCTACTGACGGACCGGAGCCCATAGTCCCCGAATGCGACCTGGAGAACACATCTGACCACGGTGGTCATCACAGACTTGCCCCAATACGGACTGCCGAGCCAGTATCCGAGCTCGGCCGAGTCCCTTGGATCGTTCTCGGACCGATGGAAGAGCGAGATGACGCCCATGAGGACATCGTCCTGGCCGCGGATGACAAAGTTCCGGACTTGCCCCGTGGCCTGGTCCTGCTTCCAAAAGACCTCGCGCAAGGCAAACTCGGCGTCTTGGTCCGAGTATGGGTACGGAATGGCGACGGTGTTTTGGGAGATCTCGGGAGCGTCATTGATGAGCCTGACGAGAGTGGCGCGATCCGACCATCGGGCCTCCGTCAGATGAAGGCCCGGGATGAGGGGGTGGTCGATCGCGATGTGGGTCGTTAGCGGACTGGTTTCCATGGCAAGTGTGGTGGTTCGCATCGAGCGGGCGTGGGCGCACTGCAGATGAGTTTGGCGAGATCATCGAATTTATGTTGCCATGGGTTCGTGGCGCCGCAGCACCAACCACCGGGTTCCAGCCGCAATGACAGCCATGACACCAATGACAGCCATGACAGGGCCCACACCAAGCGACACAGACACAGCCGCTGAAGCAGCAGCCAGCTCGCCCACTCGGATGGAGATTGAAGGAGTGATATTTTCTGTGGTTCTCTTGGAAAGGAAGGGGAAGAGAAGAGATGTGAAGATGATGCTTCGAAGAAACGATATGCTTCGAAGAAACGATATGCCGGTAGAAAAGAAGAGGAAGGAAAGCGGACAAGAAAGAACCCCCGTCGTGCGGGGACGGAAGGGGCATGAGGAATGCATATATAGCGACATCACCGGAAGCGCTGCTGTCTATAAGTAATATTAGTGAACTTCCCTCCCCCCCCCTCTTCGAGCCCACACGCTCGATAGGAAGGCCAGGGAAGGTGAGTGTGGCTGGTCTTGGACTTAGATATCCGAGTGGGGGGTCGCGGAACCGCTGTTCTGGGAGCCAGACTGGACAGAACTTGTCGTCCGCGTCGGGGCAACCAAGTGCGCGGCGTTGACCTGGGGCCGGGGCGGGAACGGCGTGTCGTAAGGGAGAGCACCGGGAACAGGCGTGGCAGCGCCAGGATAGGTGCCCGAGGTCGAGTGTACCGAGCCCGCACGCTGCTGCTCTTCAAAGGTGGGGATGTATCCGCTCAACTTGACGGTCGGGATAAAGTCCGAATCCGAGTGTCCGTGGCGCGCGGCGCTGACCGACTTGCCGCTATGGATCGAGCCGTTGGAGCGCAGAGGGCCGCCGTGGATGAAGACTGGGACGCTACCGGGGGGCGGGGCCGCGCCGGGGGCCATCACCTGCACGGGCACCATGCGGTTGCTGTTGGCGAGATAGGCCGTCAGACGCTCCTGCTCGGCTTGCTCGGCTTGGACACGGCGCTCCTCGACCCATTCCATCCATCGCTTCATGTTGATGCCGGTGCCATCAAAGACGCCATCGGCCTTGGAGTGATCCTCCTGGGTGGCTTCGCCGCTGACCTTGCGGGTCTCGCCCCACGAAAAGTCGTCAAAGTGCCAGAAGGCATAGAGGGGCAGGACAAAGTTCCAGATGGGCAGGGCCAACAGGTACACCAACATCCAGAAGACGTAGATCCAGCGCTTGGCGGTCAGGACAATCAGGACGGCGGGAAGGCCGAGAATGGCCAACAGCAGGAGGAGGGGTTGGGTCGGCATGTTGGGGGAGCCTGGGGAGGTGACCGCCAGGTAGATCGCGAGGCAGACGATGTAGAGCGTGAAGCTGATGGCGGCTGGGAGCACGACGGTTCCGACAAGCTCCATGAAGACAACAAACTAGAGACGTACGAGAACAAGCAAAGGCATGCGTTAGCGACAGGATGGACGCATCCATAGATGAGGACCAACGCGAGAAGGGGATGGGGCAGAACTTGGCAAGGGCACTCGTCGTACCTGCATGCTGAAGCAAAAGATGCCGCAGAGATCGCGAACCAGGACCAGCTCCAACAGGTTGTGGATGGTGGAGTTGATCCAGCGACGACGCTGCGAGAGCAGAATCTTGAACTCGTCGGGGACCACGGTCTTGCAAATGGCATTGGGCACGAACATCATCTTGCGGTGCGGGAAGGCACGAAGCATCATCGTGGTCAAGAACCGATCCTCACCCAGCAGGAGAAGATTCTTCTTGTGGAGGGTATCGACAATGTTTTCGGCGTACTCTTCAACGACATCGGGGTTGGCAAGGACAGGGACATAGTGGCCGTTGTCGCCCTTGGGGGCCTTGATGCGGTACATACAGAAGCTGGGCAGAGCCGAGTGGTTTGCAGCGTCAGCAACGGCGGCCGCAGCAGACATCAAAGCCAGAAACCTTTGGAGCGGCAGGGACGCCATCACACACACACTCACAGCGCAGGGCAGGGCAGGGCAGGACAGGGCAGCCAGCCAGCCAGCCAGCCAGCCAGCCAGCCAGCCAGCCAGCCGCTCGCGGCTGAGACACGACCCATAAGGTGGAGGGGGCCACTTACCAGCCAGGCAGACAGGTCACACCGCCAAAGACACTCTCAAAGGCCTTGCTGAGGTGGTGCGAGACAAAGTACTCAAAGACTTGAATCATCGTCACCCAGCTGCCCCATTTGTTCTTGACCTTGGTCTCGCCGCAGAGACCCATGATCATGGGATCCTTGTGCATGACAGCAACCAGGTGCGTCAGCGAGTCGGGATAGATCTCCGTGTCGGCGTCGATCATGAGCAGGCCCTCGTAGCGCTCCGGGTGCACGCCGGTGATGGTCCAGAGCTTGAAGAAGATATCAAACTCGAGCTCGGTCATGCGATCGTCAAACATGACCTTGGTAAGGAAGTTCATGAGCAGCACTTGGGTGTCACGTTTGCCGCGGTTGCCGGGTTTCTTGACATGCGGGTCGTTGCGCTCTTCGTCGTTGCCGCACTTGACAACCAGGATCATGGGGACGCGACCCTCCTTGCGGTCCTTGATGGTCTTCAAGGCGGGCATTATGTCCGACTCGGATGCCTCGGAAGCGCTGGCCGTGTCGTTGGGCAGAGTGCTCGATCGGAAGCCTCTCTTGTGGCGCTCCTTCTCCCTCTCCTTCTCCTTCTCGGCATCAAGGACCTCGGTTCGGCTCCACTTGTACCAGCCGGCATAGACGCGGGCAAAGTTCTTGCGCTTGTTGCCGTCAGCGATGGCAACGTAGCTGAATGCCTGGGGCTCGCCGCCGTGCTTGGGATCGTCGCCCTTGAAGCGAGGGTCAACGTCCATCATGTCAATCAGCATGTCGGGAGTGGACTTTGGCTCGCCGTGGCCGGTGACGATGCCATCGGCAATCACAAACAGACATTTGTGGGTCGAGGGATAGTAGGTCTTGGCCACCGAGTCGAGGGTGTTGCGCAGGGACTGGTAGCCTTCGCTGTAGCAGGTGACCAGGATCAGGGACTGCACCAAGCTTTCGTCGAGGAAGGGATCGTTGGCCAGGTCAGAGTTTTCGTCGGCGTTGTCCATGAAACCAAAGTTGGCGCTCCAGCCCCACTGGTGGCTGCGGGTTTCATCCGAGGCGGAGCTGCTCTGGCCGTCAACGCTCTCGGTGCCATTGACGCGACGGCTGTTGATGGACGAGCCAGCTGGCTGGCGCGACACCACAGAGTCCAGAGGGATGTTGGTGCGGGTGGCCGTGCGAGTGCGGGCCAGGGTTCTTCGCTCGGTCACACGGCGAGCCAGATGCTCGGCGGCGCGGTTGGTGGTCTTATCGCCCCGGTCGCCCAAGCGCCAGCCGATGGCGTACGAGAAGAAGATGGCCAAGATGAAGCGGAGGATGACGACGCCGGCAATGATAATCAGCGAGATGTTGGTGACGACAAAGGAGATGGCACAGCCAACCGAAAGCCCGTTCAGCTTGGCAATGGTGAAGGTGTCGGCAAGACAGACGGCTTGGCTGCGGAGAGTGTTGCTTCGAGCGATCGTGTCGGTCATGTCGTGGGCGATGGCGTTGTTACCAGTGTGGCTCTGGATGACGTTGGTCATGGCAGAGCCTGGGGCAGAGTTCAGAGGAAGGGGGGGGTGGAGAGGGCAATGACGATGAGCCACACGCTGATAATGCTGATTGGGACGGTGCTGGTTGCGAGGGAGCTGAGCGTGCGCCCACCAGGAGCGGCAGCCAGATCACCGGATCGCTGGGCCACGATCGAGAGCTGCAACAATCTTACCGTAGATGTTCTGAACGTCGGAGTAGTGCGTGATGTCGAGAATGGCACTGAAGAGAAGACACATGGGGTCAGCAAACACCAGGGACAGAAAAGCTCGAGGGCAAACGAGGGTGGTGGAGGGGCACGGCCGCAAAGCCAGGAAGACGGCACAGGCGCGTTTCATGGCCACGCCCATGGCCGCCACAGGACAGGAGGGTGCGACGCAGGCTTACCCATTGTAGACAACATAGTTCTGATTGATATCGTTCCAGGCCATGAGCGTGTCGCCATAGTAAACAAAGTAGTCCGAGAGCTGGTTCTTGGGAGGCTGGATCACCAGGCAGCTTATTTTTGTTTTGTTGGAGCCTTTTTGGACGTAGCAACTGTTGAGACGGGCATCGCTGCTATCCGAGAAGCCGTTGCTGGAGCCGGCGCAGGCGGGGTTGCTACTGGGAATGGCAAAGGTCAGGTCGGTGCCGCCGTCGAGGTTGACAACGTTGGTGAGGAAGGGATCGGAGGTCTTGGAGGGATTAATGTAGTAAATGGAGCCGCGGATGGTGAAGAGCTTGGTTGGGGTGCCGGAAATGGCGACGGTGCTCGGGAAGGGGCCGAGATAGGGATAGGTGGGGATGGCGTTGGGCGGACAGAGCACAAACTGGAAGCCAAAGGTGAGGAAGCCAACGGCAAACATCAAGAGAGCGATGACGACACAGAGGGCAAGCTTCTCGCGGAAGGCCTGCTGGATGTAGACGTCGCGCTTGCCACAGACAAACAAGAGTCTGTTGGGGATGAAGCAGGTCAGAAAGTAGCTGGCAATGACCCATGGGGTACGTTCGGGGCCATCGCGCCGCTTGCGACCCAGCGAGCGACGGAAGATGGTGTCGGAGCGCCCGAGCGAGGAGTGGCGCTCGCTGACAACGGACTTGCTGCGACGGGGGATGGTGCCGTCGCTGTTGAGGGCCGGATGGAGAGTGCGATTTTGAGGAGCCCGTTCGGGACGAACGAGGGACTTTTTCCGGGACAGAGTGTTGCTTCTCTGCATGGCACCGCCTTGCCGGGCAGTGTTGCGCCTAGGCAAAGAAGCAGATGGAGCGACAGGGGACTCCATGGCTGCGGGTGGGGGAAATGGAGCGAGAGGCGGGGCAAACGGAGCGGGAGATGACAAGAAGAGAGGGCATGAAGATCAGCATGAGGACACTGGAGACGGAGGAGTGCTGGAAAGCAGGAGCGAGCGCTAGAAGGCAGGAGGGTGGGTGCTGGAAGATCATAGGCAAATCGGGTGGCGGGTTGCTGTCGTGTCGTGCCAGCCAGGAGAGGATATCCTCGAACGCAGCGGGGTCGCCAACAGCGGGGTCGCCAACAGCTGGGTCGCCAACAGCGGGGTCGCCAACAGCCCTCCTCAAGCGAAAATCGTCCACGAAGCACACTGGCCAAGGCAGTGCAGGTCCAAGGCAGACTGACTCTGAGGCAGATTGTTGGCCACGGCCCGGATTGTTCCCAAGCCTCTGTGCGTCGAGTGCGTCGGTCGGGATTTTGTCCAGACGACTGCGAGGCCGGATCGAGAAGCAAGGACATGCCCCAGCAGCCGGGGGGCCGAACAAAAGCAGCTGACGGTGGCTGCGATCGGACGGGTCCGCGATATTACCTGGTGTGGAAGCTCGCAGCGGGTCTTGGGATGACTTGTAAAACGAGCTCATACGTCGGCCTTGAGCGAGTGAGACAAAAGCCGAGGGCGTTTTGGAACCGAGCCGATAGAACGAGAGGGCACGGAGCGGGGGCCTCGAAGACTCTTGTCGGTTGGAAGTTGAGGAGGGGAGAGGACTCGGGAAGAACTTCCAGAGGTCAGCCGGAGGTCAGCCAGAGGCGAGAGTGGTGTGTGGGTGGGGGCGGGAAGGAGGCCGGCGAGCGAAAAGAAAAAGATAGGCGGGGCGAGGCGGGTTGAAATAGGAACGAGGCGGGTGGAAATAGGAGCGAGGCGATTTAAGGGACACGCACACAGACAGTGGGGGGGAGAAGAAGGGCAAGCACGCCGGCAAAGGGGGCCGACGACGGGAGACAGGGCCGACACAGAGGGTGTTTGCGGGCGGGGCGGACAAGGCCGAAGGACCAAACAGCGCTTGGGGACTCGTGCCGCTGGCGGCGCCGGGCGGACAGGCGGGGGCGGGGTGCAGTCTGTGTGCAGTCTGTGTGCTGCCTGTGTGCTGTGCGTGGTGGAGACTCACGCAGCTGTGCAGAATACAGACAACAGTGTCCATGTATGTGCTACCATGTGTCACAGGTGTCGCGGCTCGGCTCTGGCTGCGCGGTAGCTTCCATTTCGGTCACTGTGCTGTGTACACCGCGGCTGCTCGGTGCGACGCGTGTGGGTGTCACTCCGGCCTTGTGCTGTGTCCGAAGACGACGACGCGCCGACACAACATCACGGTGACTGTGAGTGTGCTGGCGGCGCTGGCCACTGATCGTGTGCATCGGCAGCAACAGCCCCCGCCGCCACAGAGCCGCACAGCACCGCCGCAACGGAACGCGTCGCCTTCGCTGTCGCCGCCGCTTGCTGTGGCGCAAAGTCCGTGCGGCGCCGTCGCTCTGTCCTGGACTTGGATCGACGAGAGCTGAGAGAGCTGAGAGAGCAGAGAGCTGAGAGATGAACAGCGATCGAGGACGAGGGAACTGGCCGAACCATCTCCCCAAATCAACCTTGCATCCAGTCGGTTTTGGTGTCTATGTCCGTCTATTCTGCTGGTGCTGGCGCTGCTGTGCTTGTTTGGCTGTCTGTCGGGCCTTGCCTTTTGCCTGGCAGCTTGTCGATCTGCGGCCAAAGACGCGGGTGGAGGAGGAGGGGGACCTGCCTTGCTGGTCCGTGGGCCTGAACTCTGCGCAGAGCCACTGCCACGCTGCCAACGCGCACACCGTCGCCCTTGTCCATCGCCCAGCGGGTGCCTTTGGTTCCCTCCCGCTGTCCGACAACAACGATCCAGAGCGATGGCCGTTCTGTGCCTGCGTCTGCGGGCCTTGCCTCGCGGGGTGGTGGGGGCGTTGCGCTCGGAGTGGGGTGTATTGTCACGGCGAAGGCGGTGGTGGTGGTGGTGGTGGTGGGTGGAAGAGCCGGGCACGCATACTCGGCTGCAATGTTGCTCCAACCCATCGACGTGCGATGGCGGGCTGCTTGGTGTCTTTGTGGTGGCTTCCTGGCGGATATGCACCAGGTGCTGCTGAAACCCGGCCGCGTCGATATCAGAGCAGCAGGAATTGCAGTGCGGTTTGCCCAGTGCCATCTCCGAGTCTTCTTTCGTGCCAGCGCGCGCCCAGTGCTGTCCCAATCCATCCCTCCCCCTCCCGGCAATCTTACCCATCCACCATGTCCGCCAATCTGTGGCGCCTGCTCCCTCGCCGTTGCCTCGGCCTCGGAGGTGCCGTGTCCGGCTCGCTTTGCCTCCAGAGATTCCAGTCGTCGCTCCCCAGCCAAGCCCACCAGGGCCTCGGTGGTCCGCTGCATGGTGTGAGGATCCTGGACCTCACCCGTGTTTTGGCCGGCCCATATTGCGGTAGGTGCATATGCCGTCCGAGTGCGCCGCTGTGCCCCTTCTGCAGCATCGATGGGCATGCCGCCGTTCTCTCGGTCGTCGCATCGATCTGTCCCGCCGACCTTGTCCGACTCGGCCTGGGTCATCCAGGAGGGACAAGAGCAGATCGTCGTCCGCGCGTTCCGCAACCAGTTGCCCTCGATATGCTCGATGCGACTCTGTGTGACTCGATACGGCCCTGTGTGGCTCGATACGGCCCTGTGTGGTTCGATATGCTCGATCTACCATCCGGTTCTCTGCACAATCTGCAGCGTGACTTGTGTAGTCGTATCGCATGGCTGATGGATCGAGAGAGCCTTGAACTCCAGTAATCATCATTGCTTCTCTGCCCCCGATCGACATGAACCTCCTGTGGCCGCGGTCTTGTCCCAGCAATGATCCTCGGCGATATGGGGTGCGTTTGGTGTCCCAGCGTGCTTTCTCCTGCGCCTTTACTCGACACCGCATCGAACGAATCATGCGAATCCGCCCTGCATCGTCCCTTCCGAACCAGCACCGCTGCATCGCCTCTGTTTGCTCTTTCCCGCAGCATCGATGTCGGTCTGTCGGCTGCTCTTGCAGCCGGCTCGCTTGACAGCGCTGCGGTCGTCACGTCGCCTAATCTCCGACCACTCGATAGGGCTGAAGTCATCAAGGTCGAGAATCCAAAGACCGGAGGAGGTGTGCGAGGCCGTGCAATCTGTCTCCCATCTTTGCATCCGCCCAACAACGCGCGTTCGCGCCTGAATCCGCTTCCGCTCTGACCTTGCTCCGACTTGCTCCGCTTCCGCACACATCCAAAGACGACACTCGCTCGTGGGTAGGCGAATCGGCCCGGAGCGCACCGGTGCATGTATCCGCCGCACTCGTGTCGATACCCATAGCCACGCCAGCCAAATGCCCCCCCCCAGATCGCGGTTGGTTTCTATGCCTATGCCTGAATTCCAATTTTGGGACTCGTACAGGGACCTCCGTTTGCTCCAAATATCGATCCCAGCGATCCCAACCCTCCCGAAAGCGCCTACTTTCTTGGCATCAACCGCAACAAAAAGTCCATCACCGTCAACTTCAAGCATCCCGAGGGCGTCGACATTATCAAGAAACTCGCTGCAAACTCAGACATCCTGATTGAAAACCATATTCCGGTGAGACCGCGTTCCCGGCGAGTGCCGTCAATGATATGTCAATGGTGCTGTCGACGATGCTATCGATGCTGTCGATACCGCAGACCAGTCCCGAACCGAGGGACATCTTTGGCTGCCTACATTCTCGCCGTGGACGTGGCGCAGTTGCACTGAATATCTATTCGATGCCAGGGCAAGCTGGAGAAACTCGGCCTGGGATACGAGGAGCTGAAGACGCAGAATCCCGGCTTGATCTATGCCTCAGTGAGTGGCTGCTGTCACAGTTGAATCGCTGCTTTGACTCGCAAGACAGCACCCCCCTTGTATCGTCCAACCGCACAAAGTCGTCTCATCAGTGCCCCAGCATCTGCCATCTCACCATCTCACCATCTCACCATCTCGTCATTTCGTCAGATCACGGGTTACGGCCCCGACGGTCCGTTTGCACACCACGCTGGATATGATGTCATCATCGAGGCCGAAGCCGGCCTGATGTACATAACCGGCGAGCCCGACGGCCCCCCGGTCAAAGTTGGCGTGGCCATCACCGATATGACCACCGGTCTCTATGCACACGGTGCCATATTGGCAGCTCTGATTGCGCGGGGCAGGACTGGCCAGGGCCAAAAGTTGGATGTTTCGTTGCTGGTGAGCTGATCCTTCAAAGCAGGCTGAAGAATGCGTGCGTTATAGCACGATCTATCAACCCGTGTATCGAGCCTGAGCCCACAACGCGACCAGCCGATCTCATGCACAGCCCCTTATGGCACCTCTGCATCGTTGAAGACCACATGCTCACACGCCGCTCTCCAACACAACAGGAGTGTCAAGTCGCATCTCTGGCAAACATCGGTCACAGCTATTTGATTGGTGGCCAGGAGGTACGCTGCCCTGCAAAGCAAGTCGATCCAAATCTCGATTTGGCTCCTACATCCGTGGTTTGACTGTTGCTCTGCCGCGCTTCTGACAGGCCAAGCGATGGGGCACATCCCATGCTGCAATCGTCCCGTACCAGGTAAGGGCAAGCTCCGGTCGACGCTAAGACCAAATAGCACATCATGCGCTCGGATAGATTCTTACGACTTTGATACGCTCGTCTGTTTCCATCTACCCAAACATTATGTATCCACCTCCCTGAACATTCTGTATCCGCCTGCCTGAACATTCTGTGTCAACTTGCGTGGACATGTCGTCCAAAGGCGTTTCCCACCAAGGACAGTTTCGTTGTCATTGGCGCTGGCAATGACGGTCAGTTCGAAAAACTGTGCCAGGCCATTGACCAGCCAGAGCTGCTGCAAGATCCTCGGTTCCAGACCAACAAGGACAGAGTTGCCCACCGCAAGGAGCTGGTACGTTGACATCCTTCCCGTTGCATGTGCATCTATCGACCGGTCAATAGCCACTTGGGACAAGGTTACAGTCAAGCTCGCAGTACGTTCGCAATCTCACCGCTGGTCGTTTCTTCGCACCAGATTGAGATCCTTTCAGATGTTTTCTCGACACATCCTACAAAGCACTGGCTTGGTCTGCTTGAGCCCATCGGAGTCCCGTTTGCACCCGTGAGTAGCCGCTGGCGACGCATTCCTGTTATAACCGTGCTGGCCAGGCAATGCTGGTGTGGCACGGACTAAATTTCGGCCGGTCGGCTCTTAGGTCAACAACATAGCCGAGACCTTTCAGCATCCCCAAGTGATTCATCGGGGAATGGTCCAGAAGATCAAGCATCCCCGTGCCGGCGACATTTCGCTAATCGGCCCTCCAGTCAAGTACAGCAACACCCCCCCGAGCGTGCGCATGCCTCCGCCGGTGCTCGGGGAGCACACCCATGTCGTCTTACGCGACGTTCTGGGATACTCTGACCAGGACATTGATGACCTGGCTCGGCGCGGTGTGGTGTAGACCTCCTTCCCAAGTGCAACCAGTCGGACACAGACATCTCGAGCGAGCATCCAAGAATGTCAAGCCTGGCTGGCGGACCGAGGCGAAATATAGCCCGTGTTGAATAAACAATGGGGCAATCGGCTCATTCGGACAAACCTGAGTCTCCGTGGGCTGGAAGCATATCCATTCCCTTGTCGCTTGCTGTGGAGATCGGGTCGCTTGGATCGCCGTCGCCGGGTCGGGCCGAAGTACCGCAGCCTCGCACTATCAATTTTTTCCGGCCCCCTCGCGGCTGCTCATCTCGAATATGAATACACGCTGTAGACCAAGATGCAGCAAAATTGGAATCCGGCCATGGTCGGTTGACGGCATTTGGTATCACCTTGAGCCGATTGACGGTGGTGGTGGGCAATTGGTGTGGAGGAATGACCAATTGTATCATTGTTGGAAGCTCCACTCCGATTGCGGACAAGAACCACCACCATCTGAATCTCTCTGGTTGGAAACCTAGTCAAGCGTGGCTGTGTGTCAGCGAGATGACATGATCGTTTGGCTATCGGGCAAGACTCACCTTGACAAGATGTCTTCCCACGACTGATTGAGCGAGCGATGCGTTTCTGGATCTGAATCAAGGACGCCACTGCACAGTATCTCTGCCAGCCCAAAATGCGCTGGATTTGAGGAGATTTTTTCTTCCCCAAGAACAGAACCAGCCATCGTCGCTATTTTCTCGCCAGATGGCTCCCCTCAAGCGAAAGACACCAGCCAGGCGACCAAGTGGATCCAGAGCACCCACAAGGCCCTTGATCTGCAGGACTGGATGAGCACCACACCAAGTCCCAAGATCCCTGGGTTGGATCCCTTCCTGCGATACATTCGCCATGTGTTCGATGGAGACATGCTGGACAAACAGCTGTACTTCAGCCTGACCCGGCGACGGCGATTCAAGCGACTCGATCTCCACAGCAAGCGACAGCGCACCGTCCACGAGATGTGCAAGCAAGTCATTGACCAGGCACCAAGGGAGACCGAAGTGGTGATTGCCTTTGGGAATGCATCCTGGAAACAGGGGAAGGGATATGCATCCAGCCCACGGAGACTCAGGTTTGCCAAGTACTTTGAGCAGTTCCACCACCACCAGAGACGACCACCAGACCCATCCGTCTCCAAGATCCATGTGTGCTCGGTGAACGAGTTCAACACATCCCAGGTGTGCTCACATTGTCGGGAAGCCAAGCGACTTGAGTCACCCGAGCATCTTGATATCGAGAAACCACACTTTGTCCGGAGCTGTGCAAGCTGCCATACGCTGTGGGATCGAGATATCAATGCAGCCAGGAACATGATCTCGGTATGCCAGTCGATCATCGCCACAGGAGATCGACCGGGTGTATTCAAGACTGTGCTTCCCAACCAACCAAAACAAAGAGATTGCCAACGAAGACAGGAGTGCAATGCCATGGCCTACCCGCTGGGGCCTACAAGTCAGTCAGCGGGGTTCAGAAGCCAGAAAGGGGAAGTGTCCCGTTTCTTTCTGGATAGACTGTAAGTATCTCGCACTGTTGTGCATTTCGACAGTGGATGCCGGGTCGCCCATATTCTGGGCAGTCCACTTCGGGGTTGCCATCCCTCTTGGAATGGTCGATGGGAGGTGGTTGACTCCCTTGTGCAAAGTGTGTGTGTGTGTGTGTGTGTGTGTGTGTGTGTGACGGCGAGAGGCTTCTCGCCTTCCCTCGGGGTCTCTCGCCAGAGACTGCTCTTCTCGCCGACCGAGGTGTCCTTCAGCACCACAGGCGATCCACGTGGCCGCCCGTGATCCAGCAAACGAGGCGGCTTTCAAGCGCCGTCTCACGGCCGATTGACCCGCCGATCAACCACTTGCCAGGGATGTCGTCTGCATCAGCCGCTGCTGCACCGCAACCCCCGCTGTCTGCATCCTCGGCCGCATCCAGTGCCAGCGCCGCCATCGCCGACATTACTTCCTCAGCGACACTGCAGCCGCTGCCGGCGGGGCTGGCGCAAATCCCACAGCATGCACAACCGCTGCAGAGCCACCCACTGGGTCTCCACTTTGCGTCGGTGCCCATGGTCGAGAAGAAGAAATACGTATACCAGTCCGAGATCCGCCAGATGATGTATGTCTTTGGCGAGGTTCAAGATCCGCTCGAGGACACTGTCGAGCTTGTTGAGGATATCGTGCAGTCACAGCTCTGCGAGATTGTAAGTCGCTTGGTGATCCGGGACCGGTGCTGGATCCAGTTGAACCAGACTCGACCGGACCAGACCCGACCAGATCCGACCAGACCCGACCAGACCGGACACTGCAGTTCCAGCATGGATGCAGAGTATTGGGCAACCTCCAACCCACTCGAGAGCCGCCGTACCCGTTATCTGGATTGATTGTCTCGCTCATGCTGCTTTATTCTTGTTCGTGTCGCTCATGCGTGGTGTCGCTCCCTTCCCTGTCCTTCGCAACTACGGACTGCAGCTGGCGCAGGCAGCCAGCCACGCATTGAAGCGAGGCACTCGCTTCATCAACGTCGAGGATCTGATCTTTCTGATCCGCAAGGACACACAGAAGGTGAACCGTCTCAAGATCTTTCTGTCGTGGAAGGACGTGCGGAAGGCCCAGGGCAAGGACTCGAGCGGCGGAGCGGACACTGCCGAGGATCTGTTGGAAGAAGGTGCTGGTGGTAAGTCAGCTCGTTGAATTCAATGAGGGGGGGGGCTTTGTTCGACCGATCGATGGGGGCCATAGTTTGGATGTGAGCTGCCCATATCCATATGGCCAGAACGGAGAATGGAGAATGGAGAATGGGACTAGGGGGCGGGCGGGTACAGGAGCCGAGCAACGCAATAGGTTCAGATGCGGCTACGTAGTCGTGAAGGCGTCTGCGAGCTGACCCAGCGGTTTGTATGAACCAGATAAGCCGCTCAAGGTCAAGCGCATGAAGATCAAGTTTTCCTGGGATCTGATTCAGCAGTACAGCAGCCTCTTGAGCGACGACGAGGACGAGGACGAGGACGAAGAGGAGCTGGAGGCTTACGAAGACCAGATACAGCGCCTAAAGGTATTGCGTCGGCACCGGATTCGTTGATGGCTCGCTGAATACCATCTGGCTCGCTGAATACCATCTGGCTCGCTGAATACCACCTGGCGGCCCCGGGCTGCACATCGCCCATTTTGGAGTCTCCTGCAGCATACTCACTCGCCCTCGCCCATTATTTCATCACGGGTGCATTCAGACGGCTGACGACGTCACCAAGACCATGTCCAAGGATCAGTATATCTACTACGCTGACTGCCGACAGGCATCATTCACCTTCAAGAAAGTCAAAAAGTTCCGCGAGTTTTGCATGATGTCCAAGTAAGCCATTTCGCTGCAGAAAACCAGCGTGCTTCCTCACCTTGCTCCCCCCCCGCCGTTGGAGTATCCGTCCTTGGTGATGTCTGACAGCCCCTCCACCCATTCTATTCTCCGCCCTCTCGCAGCTACTGCGAAAACAGAACCAATAACGAGGTCATGGATGTCCTCGGATTCCTGGCATACGAGCTTGTGTCTAAACTGACCGAGGTCGGCCTCCACGTCCGCAAAGAGTGGGCCCAGAGCAAGCCCGCCGATGGGGACGGGCCACGCATCCCTGATTTGTTTGCCGGTCCACCGCCCGAGATCTCTCCGTTGCAGCCGGTGCACATCCAAGAAGCGTTCCGCAGACTGCAGCGCCCATCCAAGTGCATGGACAGCTTCCGAAGCGGACTACAGCGCACGATGGTCAGCTTGATCTGATGGGATATGATCTGATGGGACATGACCTGATGGGATATGATCTGATGGGATACAGAGCCGTAGCACTCCTTTTGGAGGGTGAGAGCGACCGTCATGTCTCTCGTTTTCTCAGAGCAGCTGTAGCAACCAGTTGCAGGGAGATGTCATCGGTGTCTGCAACAAATTGCGCTTTCCTCTTCCGATTCCCCGATTTGGCCGTTAGCGCTGCACTTGTATTGTGATAGTCCTGGCTCCCTTCCTGCCCTTGTCTGAGGTGCAGTCGTATGTGCAAAACACTGCCAAGACAGTACAGAGGGGCTGGATCAAATAAGCGCAACACACGACAGAGCAACGAGATAAAAACGAGGGAAGCTATCACGGTATTGGGGGCCTCGTCTTCATCGGCGAACTGAGGGCGAGAGCGTCGTTGCATGGCTGTGGCTAGATATGGTGCTGTGAGGAGGGAAGGAGAGGAGGTGGGAAGTAATGTCTTGAGCAGAGAATATGATCTTGGGCTGTCGGCGCAGGTGAGCAGATACCGCAGCTTCGTCGCATTTGAGGGGGGGGGAGCTTGCGTCGGTATCGAAGATTACGGCGGCAGCATCCAGACGGCGCGGCGCGGCTATAAGGCCATGGAGGCCTTCAGCTCGGCCAGTTCGGCTTCGTCGTCGTCAAGAACAGGTTGAGCGCGGACAGGACGAGGCGGGTTGGCGACGGCTGTGCGAACAACATGGCATCCACGGGGGTAGGCGATTGGGAGGGTGTCCAACGAGATCGGAAGATATACGACAATAGCGACAGACGCCAGTGGGTGTTCCATCGAAATGCATGGATTAGATCGGTGTCGGCCGGTCGCAGCTGCCATAGGTGGCCCTGCCACACAACATGGCCGGCCGATGGGATCGGAAGCAATACTCCACCGAGGGCATGCTGCAGCCCGGCAGTCGAATCGTAGTGGGATGCTGGCCCAGCAGACACGTTTGCCGAACAAATACTCACCGGGGTTTGTTGTCGGGACGTTCGGGAGCGACGGGAGCGCACTGGTGATCCTGGAGGTGTCCAAGAGCGTATTGTCGAGCTCCTGTTGCTCCAAGAGCTCAAGCTCGGCGTTGAGCTCGTCTTCGTCCAGCTCCTGGCCGAACGTGGGCTGCGAGATGGCTTCGCTGATTTCGTTGGCAACGTCCATCTGCTCGCGAATGTCGTCCATGACGTTATCGACCTTGTCCACATTGCTGGTGGCGATTTGGGCGCGGCAAGTGAGATGGTCAGAGCTGAATCGCAACTTTGGCGATCAAGCAGGGTCGCCAAAACGCTATAGGCTGCATGCCCAGTCGTGGCGCTGATCAGGCGCCGCCATGGTGTGATCTTTGGCTGTGCTTCTATGTCCATGGATCGCTCGCGGAGAAAGCCGCGCTGGAAGCATTCTGCCAATAAAGCGAGCATAATTGCCGTGGCGCCGCATCGCGAGACAACTTACAGCTCGCCGTGAATGGCTTTCAGGGTATCGCCTCCGGTCTTCAGAGCCTTGATGGTCTCGAGGTTGACGTTGGCATTTTCGATTGTCATGACCTGCTGCTCGATGGTGAACTTGGTCTGGGAGAGCTTCTCCATCTGGCCTTCGTACACCTTCTTCTTCTTCAGGGCCATCAGAGCGACTACCGCAACAAGGGTTCAGAGGAGCGGAAATGAATACGAATGAGATCGTGCGACTGACGGCCAGAGAGGGGCTTCGATGGCCGAGCAAGTTGGGAGAGAAGGCAGCGGGTCGGCCGAGAGTGAAACGGACACGAGATACACAGGATATCGGCGGATATGGGTTGGGCGCTGCGAATGTCGGCGACGGCGACGCCCAGGAAGCCCCAGGTGGCGCGGCCGGATGCCGTGCAAAGCGACGATGCGCTATTTTGGAGCCGCACCTTTCTTGTTTTTGGAGGCGTTGGCCCGGGCAAGCTTGAGTTCATTGTCGATCCTTGTCTGCAGATAGCTCTCGCGCTTGTCCAGCATCTCCAGGGTCTCCCTCAACTTGACGATGGCATCCTTCGCGTTGGGCTTTGCCTTTGCCTTTCCAAAGAGGTTCATGTTATGTTGTGTCGGGGGTCGAAGCTCTCGGTGAGCGAGCGGGGTCGGAAAGATTGAGACTCGGAGCGACGGAGGGTTGACCAGCGGGCCGGGAGGCAGAGGGGGGCGAGCGGAATGGACGATGGAAGAATGCTGGTGGGCAGAGGGCGAGCAAAGCGAGAACGGACGTTGGTCGTCCGCCCCCCGGACACACGTGAGCGCCAGCTGCCGGCTGCGCACGGCCTTGGCGGACAGCCGCCGACGCACAGGCCACGGGATGGCTGGCCGCAGACCGGCCGCAGACTGGCTGGTCTGCTGGCCCGGAGCAGGCGCCGGATTGGTGCATGGTCGCGGCGTCCGTGCGACGCTGTGCTGCCACCCTGCCGCGCCACCACAGTCGCAGTGGCGCTGCGCCTGCTCGCTGTTCATACAACCGCGCACAACAAGGACCCGCGGCCACAGAACCAGTTCGCGAGCGCGGCAGTCTGTGTGGGAGCCGCGCTGCAGCGCGCTCTGGGTCCAGAACAGCACGCGCGCTCGTGCAACGCACCCTGCGCCACACCCTTGTGCGTGTGCTGCCGCGGCAGCTGTCTGTGTGGTGCGCGCCCGTGCGACATTTGTCCCGTGCGACCACGCGTCGTACATGTCCTCCCCTGCCCACCCACTGCCGCTGTGCTCTGCGCGACCGTTTCTGCGTCTGCGTCGCCGTCCTCTCCTCGTGGTCCGCTCTTAGTTTTTTGTTCCAGGTCAATCGGGCCCCGCTGCTGCCTTCCCGTCCTCGTCGTCTTTCTCCTCGTCCTGCCGGGCTTGGCATTTCTCCCCTCTGTCCCGTCGCCTGCTCGCTGCTGCACCTCCGTCGTCGTCGCAGCCGGTGTTTCCAATCAGGCGCATGGATTCCAAGTCTCCCGTCCCCGCCCCTGCGGGCGAGCCGGACGCTCTGGCATTTCATGGCGCTCCCCTGCTGTCGCCGGCTGATGATCAGCCAGGGCCGCTGGCAGAGCCGCTCCTCAAAGACATCGAGCCCCTGGTCGATGGCGACCATTTCAAATTCGTCGCCCTGCTTCCGCCACTCCCCGAATCTCCTGTATTGGCTGCCGTCGAGCCCGTCCCGCTGTCGCTTGCATCCGATACAGGCCCGCCAACTGCCACCGAGTCGCTGTCCTGCGACCCGTGGCTGCTCCTCCACCCAGCAGTGCCAGCGGGCTCATCGCCAGACGCTGCGCCGTCGCAGCTGCCCGACGAGTTCTCCGGCTCTGGGACAGGCTCTGTCACAGGTTCTATCACCGACAGCGACCAGTCGAGTCCAGAGTCGTTCCGGGGTATCGTTCTGGACGAACGCATTCCGGCCCAACCTCCTCTCTCGCCCGCTTCACTTCCCGGTTCGTTATCCTTGCAGCCCTGGCAGCCGCCGGCAGCCCTCCCCGAGGCTGAGCACAACCTCGGGGCTGTCGGAGCTGTCTCCCTTGCCGACCACCAAGCGGTCGCAGACCCTGCCGAGACCCCCTCCGTCTCCGTCTCCGTCTCCGCCTCCAACTCCGTTGAGCCAGCCGCCAAGGAGGCACTGTTTCTCTCGTCTGCATCGCTTGCTGAGCCGACCGAGGCGGTCGGCACGACTGTGTACGAGAGCTATTTCGGTGCCAGCGCCAATGCAGAAGACAGCGGCATCGATATCCGAAACAAAGTCGATGTCGGAAGTGATATTGGAGCTCCCGTCGAAGGCACCGCTTCAAATGCCGATTCGATAGAGAACGACGGCACCGATGCCAAAGAAGACACTGTACCCGCGCCACCCCCGTCTTCAACCACCGCTGTCGTCTCTCAAGAGACTATCCTTGTGGAGAACACCAAATCGTCCGAGAGCATCACCATCGACGAGGCGGGTATCGACATCGACGAGGCGGGTATCGATATTGACGAGCAAGGTATCGATATTGACGACCTGCCCACGTCGTCTCCGCCTCCGAGAACCTTTTCGCTTCCCGAATCCGAGTCGAAGGGGATCGACGTGCTTGGTGAGTTTGCCCAGCACATCCCTGTATAGCCCGAGTCCATTGAGTGGCTATCTCTCATCTGCTCGCTTGCGATCGCCAACTCTGTCTATTTGCGGCCATGGCATGCCTGCAGATGATGGCCCATCGGGTTTTGGCACCTCGGATCGTGACATGTCTCCGCTGACCACCCGCCAACCCCTACCTGTACTCCGCAGATCCCAACATCTTACGCATCGTCACCGATTGGCCCTCTGGCGCCACACATGTTTCGCTTCCGCCAAGCGCTTCCTCAGCCTCAAGCCCGCTGCCACATCTCCAGCTCGGTAGCCCCGTTCTACCCACGGCTAGAGAGCACGACACTCCTCATTCGGGCTGGTCCTCCATAGGCGGTCCGTTTTCGTTCTTGCACGACACGACATCCATGCGCGAGGGCGAGCCCCTTTCGAGCCAGCTCCATTCCCCCACCACAGTAAAGTCCGCTATTTCCCGTCGGTCGTCCTTCCGAGAGGAGCATCTCAAGGACGAAGTCGTCTTCACCCGACGCCTCAGTGCGCCTCCTTCTCGGCGCGCCTCTTTCAGCCCGCTGCGCGAAGAGCTGGTTCATGCCCTCGAGATTGACACCTCACGAAAGCAGTCACGAGCCCAGCGCTCCAAGAGCATCATGGTCATGTCCCACAGAATCACGCCCGAGGACCTGCTTGAACGCCGTCTCAGTCTGCCGCCCGTTTACCAGTTTTCGTCTCAAAAGCATACCCACGATCATGCTGCATACCTGCTTTCTCCGACCACAGACATCACAGGTATGCACCGCGGGCACTCACTCCGAGGCGCAGCATTCGGGATCAACCCGCTGGCGGCGCCGCGGTACTGATATTCTGCTGGATCCTGTTTGCTTCACAGAACCACTCTCGTCGCTTCCAGACACTGAGATTGATTCGTGCTCCTCTGAGGATACGATTCTAGAGAGCCATGGTAAGCAACGCACGCTCTGCGATTGTCACAGCCGTCGGTCTGGTCGTGGCCCTGACACCACGGATCACCGACCGTATGAACGAACCACACTGACGCCCCCGCACTCGGACCCTGCGCTTGCTCTGCGCCACACAGAGCCAGGCCTCTTCTCGCCTGGCCGTGTCCAGCTCAAGCTCCGTGACTCTGTCTGGCTCTCGAGTATACCCACGGACTACAGTCTTCCCTTCTATCCCTACGACATGACGCTCTTGCCGCCGCTACCGCCCTCGCCACGATCCAGAACAGCTTCGTCGCTTGAGCTCTATCCCATCCAACCGATTCCCAGCACCGTGTCCTTCTTTGAATATGTCTCCGAGTCCTCTGCTTCGACACTGGAGCTGGCTCATCTCGACGGCAAATCCATCGCCGCGCTACATGCCGTTGAGCGTCATGCCCTACGCCGAGACAGTCGACCTGACTTTGTTTCGCCATCGCTGCTGACCCCGCCGATTGTGTTCGACACCCTGAAGCTCAACCCATTGTCGCCGCCATCAGCCATCCGTACTGCCCTTTCCTTCGAGGAGCTTGATGCCAGCTCGTCCCAGTATTCGGCCGATCGCACAGATGGTCACCCCATGTCCCTCGCCTTGGTTTCGGCACCTGTGTTGGACACAACCGGGACAGCTGAGGCGCCGCAGAATTCAGCTCTTGTCTTGTCAGCGTCGCTCCACGAAGAAAAGGCTGGTCTGGGTATCAGCGATCCCGCCACTGTCAAGCTCCTGGCCCAATTCGAGGACGATCCTCACTATGCTCCACACCAGAGCGACTCGGCCCTCACGATTGACGATCTCAAGTCGTCTAAACTGGAAGCTGACGATGCTTTGCCTTTGCCACCGCCCGTATCGACAGGCCACCTTGTGCTTGACTTCTCGGCCTCGGTTATGACCCTTCGTACGATGGAAGAAGGCGCGCTGCTTTCTGCTGAGCCAATGACTGAACTGATCCTCGAGAGCGGTACACATGCCCCACCGACCGTCGAATCTGAACAGACAACGTATGTCTGCTCTGAGACGGCCATGACTCTGGATGAGCTCTATGTTCCCGGAGCAACCGCTATTGAGGCGGATGCGGGCAAGGATAGGGGAAGCACAGATTACCTTTGCGACCTTCCTCCCTTGCCACCGAGCCCTCTGTACGAGCGTACCGACGCTGATCAAGGGAGTGGCTCCGAAGTGTCGCTTCTACAGGACGAAATCACAGGGCCGTTTATAGCCTCACCAGCGACAGGCGCTGTACAAGAAGTCGGGGGTGAAATTATGGCGGAAGCGGCAATCCAAGCGATTGACACTGTCGAGACTATTGAAGCTGTCGAGACTGTCGAAGCTGTCGAAGCTGTTGAGACTGTTGAAACTGTCGAAGCTGTTGAGACTGTCGAGACTGTCGAAGTTGTCGAAGTTGTCGAGACTGTTGAGACTGTCGATACTGTTGAGAATACCCATGTCACAGCACCCGTTGACGCCGCTGAGACAGTAGAGGTGTCTGAGCTGGATCGCGTCGGTGATACCGCTGGTTCAATCGAAACTGCCGGCTTCGGTGTGACCGATGTGATCGCGCAAGCTGCCCAAAGCATATACCTCGATGGATCTGTCGGAACTTTCGCTGATGAAGAAACACCGATGCCTCCGGCGCTCAACGGCCTCGAAGACTCTACCTTGGCTTTGGACTCGGACCAAACCGTTGCTAATATTGGTTCTGTAGCCTTTGTCCAAACTAACCTGACGGATATCAACAACCAAGCTACCGACGAAAGTGACAGCCTCGTCCTTGTTGAATCTACCGACTATTCCGAGGCGCTGTCACTTTCATTCTCGACAGAATCCTTTGGCCATGTCGATGTGATTGAGCTGGCAGACTCCAACTTCGACCCGTATATCGAACCGTTGGCCAAGGACGATGTGACCTCATCGACGATTGCTGAAGCCTCGGACACGACCCTCTCAGAAACGCTTGTCGTTGCGACAGCTCACTCTGCCGCCTCTGACTTGACCGTCGATTCGGAGGAGGATGCTGTTCTGATATCCACGACTGCGATAGATGTCCCAGCCTCGACGCCGGGCGGGATCGACATGGCCCGCGCCAACACCAATATTAGCGATGCAGATACCGTCGGCACCATTGTCGACACTACCATCATCGACAGGATCGAAGTTGATGCCGATGCCGATGCCGATGCCGATGCCGATGCCGATGCCGATGCCGATGCCGATGCCGATGCCGATGCCGATGCCGATGCCGATGCCGATGCCGATGCCGATGCCGATGCCAACGTCGATTTTTCTTCTTATGTTGACGAAGCCGCCATATATACCGCGAACGATAACGCCGAAGGAGAAATTTACGCCGATATTGAACCCTCAGTCATTGACGCGATTGAGCGAACAGACTCGCGTCTCGCCGCGCTAGCTTCTGATTATGTCCACGGCTCGCCAAAGATCGAGTTCGAGTCTACTTTTGTCGGGACTGCTGATGCAGCCGCAGACGGCTCACTGGACCACATCGGATACGATCGCCGTGTCGAAGCGAACAAGGAGCTCACAGAGAGCACCGCAACCAGTGACTCGGATCCTACCGAGCAACGCAGCGAGGCAGAATCTCTCGCCGAACACAAGACTCTGCTGTTCTCGCCCAACAGCGCCGAGCCGCAAATGCTCGAGTCCTGCTCTGTCGACAATGATCGCCGTTCCTCCCTGAACCCCTCTGTCACCCAGGACTATGAGATGTCGTTCAACGATTTCGACCTCCCCTCGGCTCGATTCGATGACAAGATTGCGATTGTTGGTGCGTACGGTTGATGCAAGGCGTATACACAACGGCTGGTCTTGCTGTCGTCTGAGGAAACATCAGCTAACCCATCTCTTTGACAAACCAGCCGAAGAATATGTCGAAGAAGAGCTATGGAATGATATCGAGCTCTCCAAGGCTGCCGAGGAAGCCCCCCTTCGCTCGCCCGCGTGGATATCACAGAGCCCTGTACTTGAAGCAGCTCTCACAAAGAGCCTGGACCCGGCACCAGCACCGGCACTGGCACCGACGGAGCGAGACTATGTCAGCGAAAGTGTCGACGACTTTATCGGCTCGGTCGTCAGCATGATCACCGGTGATGGACTCCTCCCATCAACAGCCGCAAACTCCTTACCCAAGCAACCGCTGTCGTCGGTAGATTCCGGTGTGGACGGTATCCTGACGTCCTTTGTCAATATGATTGCCTCGGTCGAGCTCCCAGCGGTGATCGAGCTGAGCGAAGAGCCGATCGTGGATCCGACTGGCACGCCCTATCTTCCTCCCCCGCTTCCACATATCAGCCCCGATACCGTTTCATACCCTACGGAGCTTCCAAGGTCAGTCGATCGGGTCGGTGGAGACGATGGAGCCAACGGATCGACGCTGGAAACAGAGCCGAAAGAGGATACGATCGACAGCAAGCCCCAGTCCCAGCAGCAGCCCCAGCACAGCGCTGTAGCCACCCGGAAGGGCAATATGTCTACCCCAGGTGATAAAACTACTACGTCCACACCCAGATCTACGCGCTCGAAGCCGGAAAACTCGGATGCTTATGTATCTCCATTTTCAGTTTCAATCAAAGCGCGGAGAAAGACGCTTGTTTCAAAACCACCCTCATCTCAGCTGGGCACGATCAACGAGACCTCACCACCCACCCCCGCGCCGGTTGGCGCGGATCCTCGGATTCTTTCATCCAAACCTATCTCCGACTCTGCACCCGCCTCTGCTGCCTCCACCGCCACGCCGTCTGATGCTGGCGCCGTTGACCCCAGTGACTCTGTCCACTCCGCGGCAACTGCATCCAGCGCTGTTGAAACTCTGTCCGTGACACACGACGCCCAGCAGTCTGCAGCCAAGAAAGACGATGACAGTAAGCTCTGGCGCGTTTCGCGCTCGAGTAGCTTGGTTGCCGCCAAGACCGTCTCGGCTCCGACCCACTACGAATCCGATACTGCCGGCCCGACAACCTTGTCGAGCGCTAAGGCTCCCTCGGAGCGGCTCCAAGTCCTGCCAGAGTCTCGGCTCAGAGCAGAGCCCGATGAGAAACCCGAAGCGTCCCGGGTCTCGGCCGCCGAACCCTGGGGCGATAACGCCAAGGCACCTCCGCTGGAACCTGCGCCTCGTCTCAACAAACGAGTGTCGTTCCTAGGTCGGCTAACAAGCCTCTTTGACACCACTTCTGAACCCACTGCCCTTCCCCCTGCCCCTGCTCTTGGCACAGTGCAGCCATCTGCGGCAGCTGTTCAGCCCCCCGAAAAGCCCAAGCAGCAGGCCTCGATGCAAACAGGGAGCACCGACTCTTCTGACACGACCCTTACTTCGAAGCAGGCGGTGTCGAAGCCGACAAGACCCGAGTCCACCGTACCTGCAGACGACCCTTTGGAGGTGGTTAAATCGCAAGCCCCGTCGACACAGCCCATATTTGTACCCAAGCCTCCGCCAGCTGTCCAGAGCAATACCGATCCCCCACGAAACCGAAGGGTCAGCTTCTTTGAGCCGCTTCGGTCAATCGCGCAAGCGAGCGAGGTCGTCGTCTCCGAGGTCGCGACCGAGAAGGAACAGGCTCCTCCATCCCAGCCCATCGCCGTCTCCTCGCTGGCTGTGGGCGCTACTGCTGGACAGCCTACCCTAGGTGTCGCACCGACTCCATCGAAGATGACCAAGACCCTCCCTGAGTTGGTCTGTCTCGATACGCTGACGCCACAGCCTCGCCGCCCAATAACGTGTGTCTGCGTTGGCGAGTACAGCTTGTTTGCTGGCGGACGAGACGGTGCGATCAGCGAGTGGGACCTGGAAACCAAGACCCTCGTGCGCACCTTCACGGGCCACACCAAGGCCGTCACATGTATCGGATTCCACATGTCCCGGCTTATGTCAGGGAGCGAGGATAGCACCGTCAAGGTCTGGAATGTGTCGACTGGGGTCTGTTCCCGGACAATCGGTGGCCATGAAGGCTATGTCACCGCGCTACATATTTCGCACGATGGACGGCTCTATACCGGTGGCGGCGATCGCACCGTCAACGAATGGGATCCCCGCACGGGCCGCCGAAAGTGGACACTCGCTGGACACAAGCGACTGGTATTAGCACTGTGCACATCCACAAACGGCCTGCTGTACTCTGGCAGCAACGACCATACCATTCGTGTGTGGGAAATCGACACCGGCCGCTGTCTCAAGGTCCTCGAGGAACACTCGGACTGGGTCTTTTCGCTGTGTCTCGGCAATGACGTTCTCTACAGCAGCAGTCGCGACGGCACCATCAAGGCCTGGGACATATCGACCTACCAGTGCCTGCGAACGGTAACGGGACACGGTTCGCACGGCGTCCGGTCCATCTGCTGCGCTGGTCCCAAGCTCTACTCTGCCGGTGACGACAAGAACATCGTCGAGTGGGATATCAAGAACGCGCGGCCGCTGCGCTCCGTCGAGGCGCACTTTGGTTCGGTTGCGTCGATATGTGGCCACGATGGCAGGCTCTTCAGCGGAAGTGGCGACGGGTGTGTTAAGATTTGGGACCTGGGTAAGTATCACCGCGACCTTTCCCCCCCACCTCGAGCTGCTGTCTCGGCTGCCTTGCATCGTTTGGAACAAGGCGTGTTCTGATTGTTTAATTTCTCAGCCTCGCCAAAGGCAGGCAAGTCGTCGCGCTTGCACAGCCGGTCCATGTCTGTTATCGAGCCCAAGGTCGTGGCTCCGTCGTCAGAGCCCGAGCGGTCGCGATCGCCGCCTCCTGCACCTGGGCGCGACCGCTCACTCTCGATCGCCGATACCCCTCGGTTTGGCCTCCGGAGGGGTCTCTTGGGCGTCCTGGGTGGCGTCCGTAACGAGGAGCCGACCAAGACCACGATTCCCTCCATGACAGAGATGCACGAGATCACCGAGACGCGAGCGATCGGCCCTTCGATCATCAAGACCCGCTCAGTCGGAGTCAACACCCTTCTGAACGCCGACGTCGAGGCTGTACAGTCGCTACGGGACCAGATTGCCAAAGCCCAGGGCTTGCTTGCCAAGCAGAACCGACTCAAGCTGCGGATGAAGGAGGAGCTGACGGGAGCGCGGTCTGAAATCGCGGAGCTCAAGACAGAGTTGACTCGAGCCAAGTCGCAACTTGCACAAGCCAACGACAAGCTGGCGAGGATGCAGGAGGTCGAGGAGGAGCTCAACGCCGCCAAAGAACTACTGGTGAGCTACAAGGCCGAGCTGATCATCTACAAGGAGGGGCACCAGCACGCACTCGACTCGATTGTCCGCCGAACAGACCAGCAGTGGCTACAGGTCGAAATGGATCTGGCGAGCGTGCGATACCTGCTCGATCATCCATGGGCACCTCTGCAGGAAGACGACGACGGCCTTGGAGCGTTTATGCCGCCTCGCCCCCGCACACGTCCTTGGGATTTGGACTCGGACTGGGACTCGGATGTCGAGGACGACCGCGACGATCCTTGGTGGCGCAACGAGATCCTCTACGACGGCAGCATGTCGACCCTGGCTTCGTCTGCAGCCAAGGAGCGGATGCTCGGGGCGCAGCCGGCTGGAGCTGTCCAAGTGTTTGAGCCGGACTACGGCGTCATCGTCAACAAACCCATCAACCCCAAGCTCGAGGCCTGGCGTGCCGGCCTATCGGGCGGCAAACGCCGGGTCTCGCTCGAAGCCGTCAACGGGAGCAATCACAGCCTCGGCACCTCCAAGAGCCAAGTTCCTCCTCAGGCATCGTCGTCTGTCGTCGCACACGGATCCAGCAAACCCGCTCAGCCAGCACCCGCCCCACCAGCACCAGCACCAGCACCTGCCCAGCCGTCATCAGAGGTATCTGCGCAGCCTGGCCTGTCCACACAGGCCACCAACCAGCCAAGACCATCGGCCAAGGCACCGAACCAGCACAAAGTTCCGATCCTGAAAGCCCCGCCGCCGCCCAAGAGGCAGAACGGCTGGCTGCGTCCTCTCAGCATCTGGATGGGCCAGCTCGGCGAACAGTTCGCGCCTCCGGCTGCTGGCAACGAGCCGGTGACTGATGACGACCGCACGGCACCACCTAAGCTGGCGCCCATTCCGTCGATGCCGCCCCAAGCAGCTGCCCCGGTCTCCACTGCCGCTGCCCCGGTTGCTCCTGTCCCTGGTCCTGGTCCTACGGTGGCCTTCAAAGAAGAAATCGGTCAGTCCACTCAGGCACCGTCCGCTCCACAGCCACCAGCCAAGTCCAGCATGCGTCGGTCGTCGTCTCGAGTGCAGCTCCAGATTCAAACTGACTTCCTCAACAAAAAGGATCCTGCAGTTGCTGCCACTGATGGCGCGCCGCCGACCAAGACTCGAGACAGTGTTCCGTTCCAGCTAACACCGACCAACAACCCGCCGAGTGCTGCCACTCCCGAAACCGTGACCGAGCGCCGACAGAGCAAGCAACTGAACCACAAAGTGCTGCAAAAGGTCCAGTCGAACGAGAACCTCGACACCCGCACCCGGCGCCCTTCTCTCAACGCAGTGGGAGGCGGGCGAGTTGACCCCCAGGCACTGCGCCGCAAGAGCTCGATTGGACAGATGAGCATGACGGCAGACTCGACACTCTGGGAGGCACCCTTGACCGAGGACCGAGAGGAGGACGATGCGGTCGCAGCCGGCTCAAACGATGCCGGATCGGACAGGGTTCTCAAGAAGCGGAACAGCACGCACTTTGAATCGCATCTGTTGAGCGACCTGAACGACGCCACGGGCGACTGGAACGATCCCAATATCCTTTCTGCTCTGGAGGACTTTTTGGACAAGCCAGACCTTGGTGAGAGCTCATCGTCGACGCCGCTGAGTGGCCCGATCCTCCAAGACAAACGAGTCGCCGCCCAGCGAATAGCCGAGATCCCAGGCACGCCTGTTGAGAAAATCGTCAACTCCAGCAACAACGTCATGTTCAACGAGCCGCAGGTCGCTTCCGTGCTGAATACGGAGCTGCCGCTGGCTAGCAAGCCGCCACCAAGCTTCCAAGGGAATGTCTTTGGCTATCAGAAGCCTGCCACGGAACAAAAGTCCAATGAGCAAGCAGCCGTGCCGCCCTATCTGCGGCCGCGACTCAGCCTGGATGACTTTGGAGGGCCAATGGCCAAGCCGCTCATGTCCAAGCCGGCGGTCGCCTCACCTCCAAAAGCCAAAGACAGCCTTCCTGATCTCCAGTCGCCGTTCGGCATTCCAAAGCGCCGACAGTCGGCTTTGGTCAAGTCTAGCTTCTCCTCCGACACATCTGCTGCAACCATGAGCGCAGCGTCGAGTGCGGGACCAGCTCCGCTGTCTCTGCCGGAGACTCGATTGAGCCAGACCAAGCTCGAGACCGCAGCGGAAGCGAAGCCCACTCTGGAACCAGTCTTGGAGCAGCCCGAGCCTGCCCAGAAGCCAAATCCAGCGGCCGGAAGGCACCCCGTGATTGTTCGCACGTCCACTCTGGTGTCCAAGCAGTCGAGCAATGCAACAGCAGTCGAACAGCCTCCCTTGGACGAGGCCAGAGCGACAGAAATCTCGGTTGAGCTGCGGGCCGTTGAACCGGACCCAGTGGAAGCAACAGCGTCAACCAATGAGAACCCCGCTGGCAAGCCGCCACTCGCCATCAAGACTGACATCGACGTCGATGCCCCGCTGCAAAACGGCGAGTCGTCGACGACGCTGGAGAAGATGGCCTCGGCACTCGAAAAGACCCTTGAGACTGCGATCGAGAATCCGTGGTCGATCATGGGCTGGCTGCGAACGCCAAAGCCGCCACCGGCACGCCCCAATACCGTTCTCGAAACCGGTGATGCCGATCAGCAGCCCAAGGCCCGTAGCCAATAGCCGATCCTTCGCCATGGACGCATGTCGTTGCTGGACAACCCAGCCCATCTCCCATCAATCGGCCCCGTGCCCAGCTTTCCATCCATTCAACACTGTCCCGTCAAGTCCATTACAGCCCCGCTCGCTCAAAAGGCAGTTCAGTCTTGCCGCTTCCCACGACATGAGCACACAACCCTCTCTCTTTTTGGACCCACATGAATACTCACCTTCGGTCGGGTGATTCGACTGTGCCGACATCTGCCTTCTTTAGAATGTTTTCCGAGCAGATTCATCTTTGTGAATTGCGTCGCCCATACGGCTGTCAGTTGTCAATTGCTGTCAATGCAATATATAAAATGAAAAATATGTGACACCCCAGTTTGTGTTTGATCGACAGCCAAATGATATATTCAAAGCATCGCGCGTTGGTTATGATCTTTGCTTGAATGTTGTTGAAGGGATCAGTTATTATTGAAAGTGGCCTTGCTGCTCGGTTGGAGCGGGGCAAGTGCCCCGTATTTCACAAATGTGGTGTCGACTGAACGAACTCTGAGCCGTATCGCTGAATATCCACACTGCTGGATTGTAGGGCTATGAACTACAGCTGCAGCTGCTGCTGCCCGTCCTTGAATGGCGCTTGGTTTTACGTCAGCTTGCATATGAGAGTGGGTTGTGTGGCCTGGCATTCGAAGAGCACAGGCCGCAAACAAGAACCAGCCGGCCAGCGAGGCGACTTACCCGGTATCAATTTTTCCGGCCCCCTCGCGGCTGCTCATCTCGGTCACCTGAAAGTCACGTCGAATGTGGAGCAGCAAAAGTTGGAATCCGGCCATGGTCGATTGACGGCATTTGGTATCACCTTGAGCCGATTGACGGTGGTGGTGGGCGATTGGTGTGGAGGAATGACCAATTGGATCATTGTTGGAAGCTCCACTCCGATTGCGGACAAGAACCACCACCATCTGAATCTCTCTGGTTGGAAACCTAGTCAAGCGTGGCTGTGTGTCAGCGAGATGACATGATCGTTTGGCTATCAGGCAAGACTCACCTTGACAAGATGTCTTCCCACGACTGATTGAGCGAGCGATGCGTTTCTGGATCTGAATCAAGGACGCCACTGCACAGTATCTCGGCCAGCCCAAAATGCGCTGGTTTTGAGGAGACTCTTTCTTCCCCGAGGGCAGAATCAGCCATCGTCGCTATTTTCTCGCCAGATGGCTCCCCTCAAGCGAAAGACACCAGCCAGGCGACCAAGTGGATCCAGAGCACCCACAATATACTTGGTCTGCAGGAATGGATGAGCACCACACCAAGTCCCAAGATCCCTGGGTTGGATCCCTTCCTGCGATACATTCGCCATGTGTTCGATGGAGACATGCTGGACAAACAGCTGTACTTCAGCCTGACCCGGCGACGGCGGTTCAAGCGACTCGATCTCCACAGCAAGCGACAGCGCACTGTCCACGAGATGTGCAAGCGAGTCATCGACCAGGCACCAAGGGAGACCGACATTGTGATTGCCTTTGGAAATGCCTCGTGGAAACAGGGGAAGGGATACGCATCCAGTCCCAGGAGACTCAGGTTCGCCAAGTACTTTGAGCAGTTCCACCACCACCAGAGACGACCACCAGACCCATCCGTCTCCAAGATCCATGTGTGCTCGGTGAACGAGTTCAACACATCCCAGGTGTGCTCACATTGTCGGGAAGCCAAGCGACTTGAGTCACCCGAGTATCTTGATGTCGAGAAACCACATTATGTACGGAGCTGTGCAAGCTGCCATACGCTGTGGGATCGAGACATCAATGCCTCAAGGAATATGATCTCGGTATGCCAGTCGATCATCGCCACAGGAGATCGACCGAGTGTATTCAAGACTGTGCTTCCCAAACCAACCAAAACCACTCGATTGCCAACGAAGACGGGAAACAATCTCACGACCTGCCCACTGGGGTCTACAGATCAGCAGACTTGTGTCGCTAATGCCAGGAAGTAACTGTCCCGTTTCTTCCTGGTTTGACTGTATATTGATTTTCCCAATACGAGACCAGCGTTTTGCTTTTGCTTTCCGGGGATGCCGTCTTGGGCTAATCTGCGATGCGGCGGGTCGCTATCGGGTCGATCCTCTTGTTCAGGTGAGTCAGGCCAGGTGCGTATCGCTTGCGCTCGCTGGTCGACCCGGTCGGGGATCGGGCTCGTCGGATCGCTCGATTTGATGATTGGATCTGGCTGGGTCGAGCGATGTGGTCGGTGAGTCAACGCAAGGGAGATTGCGAGCGACGATGGCATGGGAGAGGCCGGGAATCGATGCAGCTGATCGCCCCGGTGATCTTCCCCGGGCGACAGGAGCGGACGGGTGTCGGTGGGGGAAGCGATAAGCCGAGGGATAAAACCTGGGTCGTCGTCCAGGTCGTTTTTGTCGGCACCCCGCAAATTCCGCCGTCATTCTCGCTGTCCCCAAGCGGATCGTCATCCCCGCTGTCCCGCTGTCCCTCGTCAAGATCCTTCCCTGTCGGTGTCGGTCAAGATTTCGGTCAAGGTGTCGATCAAGGTGTCGGTGTCGATCGTTATTCAACTGCAACTGCAACCTGTCGGTGTCGGTCCATCTATTCAACCCTCGGTCAACTGCAACTGCGACATCCCCCTCGAGCAAGTGCAAGCTGTCGGTCGGAGCCAGGCTGCCAGTGTAGCCCTTTGTGACCCATGAGCGAACTGATCCATGTGTATGCTGGTTGGCCCCTGGCATGCATGTGGATTGGGGGTTTCATGGGAAGCTCTGGGTGAACTGCCGGTCTGGTCTATACAGCTAAGGTCCGCATTGCCCCCATGAGTCCAGCATCCATCCGCATCGCATCACACTGCATTGCATACCCCTCCTCTCGTGTGTGGCTGACAGCGCGACGCAGCACTAATACTTCCGTCTCCCTTGCTTCCAGGGCCTAAAAGTCCTCTCTCAGTCGCCAGGCTGCACTGCAGTGGACTGGTTTCATCCTCGCATGGTCTTACCACATACGCTGGCGTGCCCTAGCGTCCCTGGGTCGGATCGAGGGTGGACCAGAAAGCTGCAGTGTGGTCATTTTCTTTCTTTTGGCGGCTGAAGAGGCGAACCTATGCCCGTTTGGATCCAGGCCATTCGTCGCCTTTGCCATCCTTTTGTCGGTCCATCGATGCTGATCAGGGCACGCTGCCTGGTGTCGGATCGAGGGAGGATGGTCTTGGTGTCGGGGAAGGCTGGTGGCTTGCTGCCTGCTTTCTTCGGTACCATGTGGCGAGGGATGGTCTGGGTCGTGCTAACTCTTTCCACCTATCTTTGGTTATAGAATGAGTATCGATTGTGAATGTCGAGTTGTCGTTGTCGGGTCATCGGATGTTTCCTCTCGGTCGATCAACATCAGCGATGAATATGGGACAGCACTATTGTATATTGGATATATTGGATGTATTGAATGCCAAATACAACATCACTCGGCCATTGCCGCTTCATCGGAATCACTTTGCAAGTCCACTCCTTAGTATCATGGTGTTTGGGGTGGGTGTTGGCGGTGCGGTTTGCTTGGCTGCTTGCTTGTTCAGTGTTGGGATATGGTTATTTAGGAGTTGCGCTCGGAGGAACTCGGGAATCAGGGCCACTTGCCGAGTTGCTTGAGGTTGTTGATGGCATCTTGCCATCCCTGGTCGGCAGACTTGCGGTACCAGAAAATGGCGGTGTCGATGTCCCGGGGGACATCACGGCCATATTGGTAGCAATAGCCCAGGTCGTTCTGTCCGATCCGATTGCCCTGTTCGGCCGACTTGCGGAGCCACTCGACCGCCTTGGCGTAGTCCTTGGTGACTCCGTGTCCGTAGTAGTAGCAATATCCAACCATCCACTGACCATATGAGTTGCCTTGGCTGGCCGACCTGCTGAACCACTCGAATGCCTTTTGTTGGTTCCTCGATACTCCCCCGCTCCCGTAGTAGCACTCTCCAATCCAAAACTGGCTATCGCTGTGTCCATCGTTGGCGAGTTGCTCAAAGATACCGGCTGCCTTCTTCCTGTCCTGGGCGGTTCCGAATCCACGAAACAGACACACAACCATCAAATGCCTGCAGAGCCAGTCACGGTCCGATCCCAGCTGGCATAACTCGAACAACTTGCAGGCTGTGGGTGAGTTGGAGTTGGCAGTCACCCCATATTCTTTTGCCAGACACTCGTCCTCTCCGAGCTTGAACCCATCTGATTGGTTATCGCGGATGATCTTGACACCTTTCTGCTCGTCGCGCACGGTACCCCGACCGAGATAGTGCATCCATCCGACCATGTGCGTGGCAATGGGCTTGATGACTGGGTCGGTGGATTGGGTGCTGACTTCATGCCAGTAGTTGAAGGCAGTTTCATCGCTCTGTTCGACACCGTGGCCGATGAGCGAGAACCATCCTCGGAGGAACACGATATGGAGTCGACCGTCTTCGTTGGCCTGATCTGCTGCCTTGGAATACCACTCGATCGCGGTGGTGAAGCTCTGATCGACACCTTCACCACTCTCGTAGCATCGACCGAGGGCGACTTGAGCCTGAGAGATCCCACGGTCTGCGATATTACGATATATCTCGACAGCCTTGGTGTGGTCTTGATCGACACCAAGCCCGTTGCGACAACATCCAGCCAGGTGGAACTTTGCGATTGTGTGGATTGTGTTGGTTGCCTTCTCCAGAAAGCGGAAGATTTGCTGGAGGACGCTTTGCCTCTTGGATCGTTCCATGTAGGGTTGCCCTTCAACCTCGATTTGAAGGATCCTTGCCAGGAAATACGAGGCCGCAGCATTGCCGTTATCGGCTAGATATTCAAGCCAGGATCGGTCTGCTGTGAACGAATCTTCGCAATGCAGCGAGATGGCAATCTGGTCGCTCGGTGTGAGGCCGATCTTTATCTGTCCGTCTGGATGACACAGTCCTACAATCTGGCACCAACGGTGGAAGCGAGGCACCTTGGAGCTCAGGAGGGGTCGGGCTCGTTTGCATACTCTGAGCAGGGTCTTGATGGTGCTGTGGTCGAGAGTGAGTTGGAAGCTGTCGTTGCAACAGATGATGGTGAAGATGTCTGGGTTGGGTTCGAGTGAGAGTTGGGTGATATCGGGAATCGACGAGGTTGTTCTGGCTTCGAGACTCTCACTCAATTCCAGGAGGGGTTCGACCTGGGATTGGTGAGCGGGATGTGGTGCCGTGTTCGAAGCAGGCTCATTCATGCTTGCCATGTTGAACGGGGAGACAGCGGGAAAGGAGAGAAGCGGGTGGGTGTTGGCGAAATGTGGGAGACGGCGAGGGAAGAGGGTGAAAGCGGGCGACGAGCGAAACAAAAGTAGGCAGGACCCAAGCCACGCCACCAGACATCACCTGTATTCCGCGCGACCGAGGAGCAGGGATCTCGCATCCCGATTGGCTCGGGTGTGCTGCGCATGGTCGCCCTTCTCCCGTTGGCTCGAATCGGATCGGATCCAACCAGATCCGTGGTCACGTGGTCATGTGGTCTCGCGCCCCAGCGCAAAAATCACGCACTCGTGTGGGCCATAGGTGCTGGCGTCGTTGGGTGGTTCGATATCGCTGCAGATATCGCTGCAGAGTACTCTGGTTCGGTCCGCTCCCTCGAGCCCCACTCCTCGCGCTACATGGTGCTTCGCCAGTATTCGTCGTCACACCCCGCTCTCCATGGTGGTCGTGTGTGGATCAAGACTGTGATATCCAATAAAAAACGGGACACCCTAGGTTTTTGACCATTCATCGAATATTTTGTTACCCAATGTTATCGCGCGCTGGCCATGACCATTCGCCACACATCCGACTTTCGCACCGCCGCATTGCGATGCTACGATCTCATCCATAGCCTGCGTAAGGTCGCCACCATATTCAATGTGTCCAAAAGCACCATCCATCGATGGCACCGAGGATGCAAGCTGGATGACCCATCCCGGGTCCCAGCTCGCAGATCCACTTTCTTTGAGCAGGCATGTCCAGTCATTCGCACCCTGATTGAACAGGACCCGTTCCAGACAGGTCCTGTGTTGCGATGCAAGCTCGAGTCCATCCTCCAGAGGAAAGTATCACTCTCACTCTGCCACACTGCCATCCAGCGAGCAGGTCTCTCACACAAGAGGGCAACACACCTCAACAAGTCCAAGCGACTGGATGAGCGAGTGGCACAGTTCAGGGACCAGGTCCGCTCCATCGACCCACGACGATTCGTCTTTGTCGATGAGACGGGGATCAGGAGATCCATTTTCCCTCTTTACGGATACTCACCGAAGGGTGCTCCGCTTCGCCAGCGCAATCACATGAAGCACAAGTCTGTCTCGGCTGCATTTGCCATCAACCACTCTGGTGTGCTGCATCGCATGTACATCCCCACATCATTCAAGACACACTCGATGGTCGAGTTCTTTGAGCGAGCGAGCTTCCCAGACGACTCTGTGATTGTGATGGACAATGTCAGCATGCACAAGACAATGGCTGTCCTGGACTGCATCGAGCGCCGAGGATGGTCAGTGATCTTCACCCCACCTGCCTCGCCCGACTTCAATCCCATCGAGAACTTCTTTGGGATTGTGAAGCATCAGTACAGGAAGGTGGCAGCGCTGAATGCGTCTGAGGGGTTCAAGGGTCGGGATGGTGACCCTGTTCGAGTCCGTCGTGCGGAGGGTGCTTCCAGATGTCTTCCCCGGCTGATTGAGCGCGCGATGCGATTCTGGGCGTGAATCGTACCATCGGAAAGTGCGTCAAATTCGCCCTTGGTTTTTTCTTGACTATGGGTAGAACCAGCGGGGTGTCGAAATCGCGACAGATGCCTCCCCGCAAGAAAAAATCTCAACCTGACCCAAATCCAGATCCTGGACAACCCAGCGACACACCTGCTGCCAAGAAACCCGTCATCAAATCATGTCGTGCCTGTGGATTGACCAACCACGTCAAGCCCTTCACCAAGAAATGCAAGGCCCGAACCGAGTTGGGCCCCCCTTCTGACTCGGCGTCTGCCTTTGGCGCCGTTTGCCAAGCACCCCCTCCAGACGAGTCCAGTGAAGACATCGCCGTTCCGGCCCTCGTGGTCGAGATGCCTGCACCAAAAGCCCCTGTATGTACCACATGTGGGGAAGAGGGTCATGCCAGAAGCAACACCCCAAAGTGCCGTTTCTATAAGCCACTCTGGAGCTCTACTGAGCCCGACTGTGGTCCAAACGAGTATGCCAAGGCAGAGTACCCGGTCATCAAGTGCACCCTCGACGCCATCATCAAGAACGGCGCCTTGCACGACAAGATCGAGGAGACTGTCCGGGCCATAACACACGTGCAGTACGAAGCATCTCGTCTCCTGGAGCTGCATCTCAGGCGGTGCTTGGACGAGGGCATCACCCTCCCCACCGTGTCGTCGAGTGATTCCTCGTTTATTCGAAAGTGTTTCAACATGGTGCAGACAGGAATGACTAGTGTCAAGAAAGGCACGACCCAAGAAGACAGGCACATCATCGACACCTATGAGATGTACCGAAGTACATGGAGCGAATCGTGTATCCTGCCTCCTGTGTCCCTCCCAAAGAGTACTGGCTCACAGGTTCTTGGTTTGGCTGTCAAGACCTATGCAGTCAACTGTGAGACCCACGTTCTCGATCGTTACTGGTCTCTCCTCCGTCGATTCTGCAATCTGGTCCTGGTTGCTCCGAAGGATGTCAAACGGCATACACACGTCGATGATTGTGTCAAGCTGATGGAGAATCCCCTCTCCAAGACACTCCTCGTTGATCTGAAGAGAGCCTACGCCACACATGCCGACCAGTTGTATGAGTTTCGGTACGAAAGCCACCAGGACCTGTATCGAAGTTGTATCGAAATCTGGCCAGTGAAGGTCTCTCGACTGACCCACCTGAAGGAGGACGCTGTTCGTGGCGACCATCCAGATGATGATCATTCCCAGGCTCGCGAGGGATAACCGATGTTCTGAAAGGAGAGCGCTGGGCGACTGAACGAGGAGATGTGTCAACCCATCCACCACATCGGGGCTGACAGACTCGAAAGATCTCCAGACCCAGCACGAGGAGGTGTGCAAGCAGATCGCTGTGAACATGAAGCGGATCAAGCGCCTCACCGACCGGCTTGCCCAGACGAAGAAGCGACACAATGTCCCTCGAGCACAGTGCACCTTGGTCCCGCTCTGCGATGCCCGAGCCAAGTATGTCAAGCTCGACACCAAAGCACTGTGGGAAATCCTTGGATACCAGACTGGCACTGGACTCAAGTGGGACGACCTGAAGACCAAGGTCAATGGCACCACAAAGCAAGAGACCTTCTGGCAGACCAACTTCAAGCTGGATCCGAGACTCTTTGGTGCCAGGGAGAAGGGGAAGCAGCTCTTTGGTTGCGAGATCACCACCGATGGAGTCGGGTGCTCGATCACCACACTCAAATACAAGATCCTGGAGAAGGATCCTGATGTCAAGCCAGAACCCGTGGACAAGACACCCAAGCTCACCCCCGAGAAGAAGATCCAGACCAGGGTCGGTCCCATCGACGACTCTCGGACCACATGGATCGGGATCGACCCTGGAGTAGGATCGATCTTCACCGTTGTCATTCGGGCACCTGGTCAACCATCCATCCAGGGGCAAGACGGTGTCAAGGTGACCAAGGCACAGCGTGCCAACGAGAAGATTGTGTCGTTCTCCAACAAGGAGTACCAGCATCGATGTGGCACCACCCAAGCGACCAGGTGGATCCAGAGCACCCACAAGGCCCTTGGTCTGCAGGAATGGATGAGCACCACACCAAGTCCCAAGATCCCTGGAGTGCCTTCTTTCTTGCGATACATTCGCCATGTGTTCGATGGAGACATGCTGGAGAAACAGCTGTACTTCAGCCTGACCCGGCGACGGCGGTTCAAACGGCTTGATCTCCACAGCAAGCGACAGCGCACCGTCCACGAGATGTGCAAGCAAGTCATCGACCAGGCACCAAAGGAGACCGAGGTGGTGATTGCCTTTGGGAATGCATCCTGGAAACAGGGGAAGGGATATGCATCCAGTCCCAGGAGACTCAGGTTCGCCAAGTACTTTGAGCAGTTCCACCACCACCAGAGACGACCACCAGAACGATCCGTCTCCAAGATCCGTGTGTACTCGGTGAACGAGTTCAACACATCCCAGGTGTGCTCACATTGTCGGGAAGCCAAGCGACTCGAGTCACCCGAGTATCTTGATATCGAGAAACCACACTTTGTCCGGAGCTGTGCAAGCTGCCATACGCTGTGGGATCGAGACATCAATGCAGCCAGGAACATGATCTCGGTATGCCAGTCGATCATCGCCACAGGAGATCGACCGGGTGTATTCAAGACTGTGCTCCCGAAACCAATCAAAACAAAGAGATTGCCAACCAGGACGGGAAACAATCGCACGGCTTGCTCGCTGGGCCTACAAGTCAGTCAGCGGGGTTCAGAAGCCAGAAAGTGACTGTCCCGTTTCTTTCTGGATAGACTGTAAGCATCTCGCACTGTTCCTTGAGTATTTCGACAGTGGATGCCGGGTCGCCCATATTCTGGGCAGTCCACTTCGGGGTTGCCATCCCTCTTGGGATGGTCGATGGGAGGTGTTTGACTCCCTTGTGCAAAGTGTGTGTGCGTGTGACGGCGAGAGGCTTCTCGCCAGAGACTGCTCTTCTCGCCGACCGAGGTGGCCCCGAGAGCGCGTTGTTTCGTTCTCGCTCATTTTATTAACATGAAATTTTTTCAGTGTCCTTGATCTGCCCTCCCCGCCTTCCCTCTCCTCCGCTGCCCAGGATGGGCTTCTTTGCCTCTCGTCTCCTGCGTATCCAGCAAGTCTCGCAGAGCACCCGTGCTGCTTCGAACCCATCGACGACCCATGTGAGCGGCACGCTCTTTGGAGTCGGCCTGTTGGTGATGGCCGGCATCGCCATTGCGACTGGTATGGCCAGGCTGTTTGCTCTTGACAATGAGATGCAACGCCGCCGGTGATTTTTTGCCCATGTTTTGCCCGCTCGCCCCTTCGTCCATCGCCACCATCGAACGCTATCTCTATGCCTCTTGCACCTTGCTCACCCCCCCCGTTCTGCGCCTGGGTTTGTTTCATCTTGCTTGGGTTCGCTGCTCGACCGGATCGCACTGACGACGTCACGTCATAAGGATACAGCACCCAAAAGCTGCAACAAGATCTGAACGACAATCAAGAGACGCTGCGACGCATGGCAGAGGCCACAGAGCTGAAGATTCTGGAGCTGGAGCGCAGAATCGACGAGCTGTCGAAGCCGGCGACTCCACGAACCGTCGAAACCAAGTCGTCGAGGTAAGCCGACCAACCCGGCGATCGGGCGATCGAACAGAGACGGGCCAGACGGGGAGGAGAGGGATCAAAAGGACCCTGTTGTTTGTTCGGGGGCAGACGAGCAGGCTTTGCTGACACGACACTGCTCGTTAACCCTTGGTGGCCCCTGTGTCTGATACGATCAATGTCTTTGGATCCAACAATCATCCAAGATGGATCTGATGCAGCGCATCAACAGGCAACAAGCAGGCAGCAACAAGCAGGCAGCAACAAGCAACGATTCTGGACGGATTGTGCCCAGATATGGATTATGACTTTGGCCAGTCCTGCAGTCCTGCGCTCGATCAATGGGAAAATCTATCGGTGTGCTTTCTGAATTAGATCGATATATATATTGGATGCAGCATATTTGGCCACAGCACAGAGAAGCAGCCAGGTCGATTAGATGCTGACGCTGGCGCTGGCGCGGGCAGGAGCATCCGCAGCGGCAGCGATAGTGCCCGTGCGGCGGGCCTTGTAGTGGCGGACCTGGTCGATAAAGTCCTGGAAGAGATACTCGGTATCTTGGGGTCCGCCCATGGCCTCGGGATGGAACTGCACAGCACTGTAGGGCAGGGAGCTGTGGCGGATGCCTTCGTTCGAGCCGTCGTTGGCATTGCGGAAGTAGGGCAGCCAGTCCTGGACCGGGGCCGAGTCCTGCAGAGCATAGCCGTGGTTCTGCGAAGTGATGACACACTTGCCAGTGACCAGGTTGAGGGCAGGCTGGTTGTGGCCACGGTTGCCATAGGGCAGCTTGTAGATGGGGAAGCCCGCAGCCATGCCCATGATCTGGTTGCCCATGCAGATGCCAAAGACGGGGGTCGGGGCCTTGTTGTTCTCCGCAGACATGATCTTGCGCAGGGTCTCGACGGTCTTGGTGGCGTGCAGGGGGTTGCCAGGGCCGTTGGAGATGAAGATGCCGTCAAAGTTGTCGCTGCTGAGATCATAGTCCCACGGGACAACGTGGACCTGGGCGCCGCGCTTGGTGAGGTGGCGGATGATGTTGTGCTTGACACCGCAGTCTGGGCGGATAGAACGGCAAGCATGAGCAGAAGGAACCACCGGCCAAATGCCGACGCGGGCGAGCCGCTCGGCGCGGCTACGTATGACAGAGGCGATGCCATGGCGGAAGTGGGGCCAAGGCACAACCCAGGACGATTTCTGCCACGGACCGCAGCGTCAAGGACAAGGGGCATTACTTACCAATCAGACCGATGCGGACGTCGCCACCGTAATTGTAAATCGTGTGCGTCTTGGTCGAGACCTCGGCGATGAGATTGGTCTTGCTGGGATCCTCATAAAACGATTCGACGACAGCAGCGGCAGCAGCATCGCCCTTGTCGCCGCCGATCGTGATGCGGCCAAGGGTAGTTCCGCGCTCGCGCAACAGAGTCACGACCTGGCGGGTGTCGACACCAGAGAGGGCGGGGACGTTGTGGCGGGCGCACCACTGGCCGAGCGACTCGATGGCATTCCAATGCGAGTACTTTGCGGCGTAGTCGTTGACGATGATGCCCTTCACCTGGATGCCCTCGCTCTCAAAGTGCTTCAGGAGCCCAAACTCGTCGCGAGACGGGGCAGGAACGCCGTAGTTACCGACCAGAGGCTGGGTAAAGACCAGGATCTGACCGCGATAAGAGGGGTCGGTCATGGATTCGGGATATCCCACGACCGAGGTGGTGAAGACAACCTCGCCCGAGATGGGGGAGTTGACGAGCGGGGCGCCAAAGGAGGTCGCCTTGAAGGTTTCGCCGGACTGGAGCTTGAGGGTGGCCGGCAGGAAAATGTCCGAGATGCCCTTGGCAACAGCCGAGGGCTTGAGAGTCGGGTGGTCGGCAACGAGCGTTGCCAGGGAGCGAGAGCCGCGCGAAGCAGCCTGGATCATGGGGCGGAAGAGAGACTTTGGAGCGAGCATGGGAGCAGGAGGGCTGGAGGAGATACGGCGATAAGGAGCGAGGGGGGGCAAGACGAGATTCGAGGCACAGAAACTTGGCGAATCGACGCAGGACAGAGAGCAACGGGGAGGGGCTGCAGAGCGAGTCCGATAACTGGAGAGACGATATGTATGCGGCGCGAGATAGCGGAAGGAAAAGCCTGACAGTGGGGATTTACTGGCTGTGGCTCTTGAAGACTTGATCGGCAATGTAGTCGTTGGAAACCTTTTCGAAAGAGTGCTTATACATGAGACGAAAGCACTCGGGGCAAGTCGACGAGGCGAGGAAGCAAGGTCCTTGGAAAGAGCAATGGGTTGGGGCGAGCAGGAGGCGTCTGGAGGGGCGTTGGCGACCGGGGCGGGAGGCGAAAGAACGGGTCCGATGAGAGCGATGGGCGGAAGAGAAGGGCAGGGCGAGGGGCACAATTTATAGGATCGGGCGGCCGAGAAAAAAACGGGTGGGAATCGACGACGGATTCCGTGGGAAAATGACGACAGCGACAAGGGCCGAGGGGCGGGGCGAGAGGGCGGCGGGAGGGGCGAGAGGGGCGAGAAGACGGCGAGGGCGGGCAGAGGACGCAGAGAGAGCGCAGCGAGAGCAGCGAGAGCAGAGAGAGAGAGCAGAGAGAGAGAGCACGCGCCGTTGGCGAAACACAGACGAGCGGCAGCAAGGCGGCTGTGCGCCCGGCCGCGCAGCAAGCAAGAGATAGCGCGGCACCGCAAGCCACGGGATGATGCATGCGCAGCCGCGGGCTGGGCGCCGATTGGCCGCAAGAGGGGGCCTTTTGGGTGGCCAGAGGCCGAGACAGGCCCAGCGGGGTCAACGACAATGACCAGGGCAGACCAGGCCAAAGAAGTCTGCCTGGATGAGAGCGGCTGCCTGCTGGAGTGACATGACGAGGGGGCCTGTTGGGCCCGTCCGCCACCGGCTGGCCGGGACGCAAACGGGGGGGGGTCATCGGCCTGCTGCTGGTGCGGACGCCGTTGTCGGCCAAGTCCCGCCCCGGCGCTGTCGATCGCCGATGGTAAGGCTGGCACCGAGGTTTGGCAAACAAGCAGGACGTTTGTTTGTTTCGATGTGCCGCTGCATCTGGTACGGGCTCGGGCATGACGCCCGTGATTGCGGCCAAGAAGTTTTTGCACAAGGGCGCTGACCTGTTCACCAGGGCCGTTCTGGCCTACTTTGACAGCCGGACATTCGAGGTCAGGAATATCAAGCGCGAGATCATGATTTGATCTGTTGCCGTGGTATGGCCTCCGACACTCGAGTCTGTCCGGCTCAAACACGGCCTCGGAATATGCATTTCTGTTGGATTGCGATTGCACCGTGCCTGGTTTGAGTCCGATACATCGCTATTTTCTGGTCCTGAATACACCCCGTCCATCGCCCATCATGACCAAACAGCGTGATATCGAGCAGCCACAGAAGTATCCAGGTGGTCGAATGCATGCACCACACCCCACATCACGCCATCAATGCCACTCGGTCGTCGCCACAGGAGATCGACCAGATTTGTGTATGCAAGACTGCTCCCACGGCCTGCCGACCGAGGCCGAGGCCGACGCCGTTCGTCGATGGGAGTCTCATTGAGATGCAGTCACACCAGGCCATCGCACCTCCACTGCTGCTGCCGGCCGCTGTTGGGATATCCACGTCCATCGGCCATGTGTATTCATGTGTATTCATGTCCATTGGTCGTGTGTATTCATGTCCATCGGCCATGCGTATGCATGTCCATTGGTCGTGCGTATTCATGGCTCCCGCTGGCGGAACTGCCGGAACGCCTCCCCTTGCCCTGCCCTGTTTCCCACGAGGCGGATGCTCGACTGAATGATGGATGTGCGCGTGTATTTCCATCCAAAAAAACAACTGAGTGCCCCGTTTTGAGCTGTAAACGGGCGAGCAAGATTCTTTGCCGACTCACAGGCATTCCAGCACCCGCCGACATATCAACAGGAAAAGAGAGAGAGAGAGAGAATGGAAGAAAGGGGGGGGGAAATACAATGAGACACTGGACAAAGCATGAAGACTGAGTGTAGCCAACGAAGCGGTACAGGCAGGAAGGAGAAAGAAAGACATGAAGAGAAGAGCGGGAGGGGGGGGGCAAGTAGCTTTACATCTATCAAACAAGATAACCAGGCCAGCGGAACCACATGGATCGTCTCGGAAGCAGCACAGTCTCTACCTCCGCTTTCCTTGTGATGTGTATTTATTCGCTGACGCCGACGGGGCTTCGATCCGATGGGACGGGCAGAGCCAGACTGCAGCAAAAAAGAAAACTTGCAGCAGGTGGGGCTGGAACACCGTAAAAAAAAAAAAGGGAGAAAGCGGGTAGAAGCGGCAATCTATCGTGGGGACGATGTTACTTCTCCAACGGGAGTTCGAGAGTGGGGTGCTTTACTGCCGGGGAGGTGATGGTGCCGGACTTGCTGTTGCGTCGAGCCGTGGCGGGGGTGCGGGGGAAGCTACCGACGCTGTCCTTGATGCTCGAGGTGGCGCGAACCTCCAGCAGCTTCTCGGTTCTCCAGGCCTCATAGAAGATTTCTCTGGTGGTGACCCGCAGCTCGTTCATGTGGGTGCCAAAGACAGCCTGCTTGAGACGCAAAAAGTCGCAGTGGTCCTCGTTCTGGACCTCGACGAGGCCCCACAGGTACTGACGGCACAGGATACGCTCGTTCTCGATGATCAGGCCGACATGGCCGTTTTCCTCCTCCGAATTGACGACGGCAAAGGGAGCAAACGATCGCAGCTCGGCGTTGATGGCGGCCATCTCCTCGTCCTCCTCCTCGGGGTCGTCGGGGAAGTTGAAGATCTTGAGGTCGTGCTCCTCAATGTCCTTGAGGATGGAGGCACGCAGCGACTTGAGCTGGCGGACAGTCAGGAGATCGACCTTGGCAATGACAGGGATGATGTTGACTCGGGGGCAGAGCTCCTTGAGGACAAGATGGTCGATGGGAGTGAGGCCGCCGCAGGCGTGGGTGAGCTGGGGATCCAGGAAGTAGAGGCAGGCGTGAGTCTGGTAGTCGGGCGACTTGGGGTTGCGCTTGACCTTGGACTCTTCGAGAAGGGTGGCCTCGTACTGGGCCTCGAGATAGCGGAGAATGCCCGAGACCCAGGCAGAGGCCAGGCTGCTGTACTCGTCCGCCGATTTCGATCGGTAGATGGTGACGGGCACGGGCAGGCCGGGAGTGTCGATGAGTCGGAGCGAGATGCGCTCTCCGGTGTAATCGTCGTCAAACTCGATGCGGGCGGTGGTGGGCGTGGGCTCGACGATCTCGTGGAGCGGGAAGGGCGACTTGGGAGCCTCCTCGACCTCGGGCGAGTAGACCAGCTTGCTGACTTCGAGCGTCTCATAGAGGGTGCGGATGAACGACGACTTGCCAGTGTTGGCGTGGCCGGCAATCATCAGGTTGAACTGGTGGGCCGCATTGCGACGAGCTCTTCGGGAGGCCATGGTGTTGGAGCGAGAGATGAACGGAAGAGGCGACGATCAGGGGGAGGACGAGTGAGAGAAGAGCGTGCGGCAGACAGCAGGCACGAAGCAGGCAGGACGGCAGATGGGCCGGGGAAGGAAACGACAGAAGCAGAGCACCAAGCAAGCGACCTGGACGCAGGAGAGGCGGCAGCAGAAAGACGACGACATAAAAGAGAAAGGAAGGGCAGACCAAAGCCGCGGGCCGGGACGAGAGAGGCGAGACGGCGGCCCTCGCCCGAACGAGAACGCAGCTGGCCGCGGCTCTCGCGAGAGCGCGTCGCTCTCGGTCCACAGCCACAGTCGCAGTGGCGGCGCTTGCAGCCGAGGCCAGTGCTTTTTTTGGCCCGCCGCAAAAGGAAACCGACGCACGCTGTGCGCGACAGAGTCACACGTGTATCACGGCGGCGCGCGGTCGGCACTGCAGTGCCTGTGCAGCTGTTGGGGGCGGGACGCGTCGGATATGTTGTGCAAGGGCGGTGCTGCGTAGCGCAGCTCTGTTTGCAGCATTGTTTTGGCTGTTTGTGTGGGCGATCTGTGCTGTCCTGGTCTTGTTGCGTCCATGGCGATTGCCGATTGTATCCCCCTCTCTGTGCGCGTCTTGGTCTATCTATGGCAACTGTGTGCGTGTCTGTGACTGCTGTTTGTGTCGCTCGGTCCCATTGCCAGCCGTTGTTTCCGCGTTGTTGTTGTTGCTGCCGCCGGCTCTCCTTCGGCCCAGCAGACATGCGCGCCTTGCTCCCGAAACCTCGCATGGACATGAAGAAATGCCAGTGGGTGGTGGTGGTGGTGGTGGTGGTGGGTGACGATGGCAAGGCCCGAGGGCGGTGCGAACATGGTGAAGATTGCCCTCCACAGCAGGCGAGTCTGTCCCATACAACCTTGGGCCCATCCGGCGCAGTGTGCAGCACGTCCTGTGCGATCGCTGTCGCGAACGCCTGGCTCCAGACCGACATCATGAGCACGTCGTTCCCTCCATGCAGCGATGCGTTGCTGGCCGGATTGTTGTTGTTTTGTCGTCATCTTTGTGCACCACACCAGCTGGCTCGGTGGTGTCGGGGCCTGCGCCGTCCTGCTGTCGCGCCCAGCCAAAACACCGACATGCCCTTCGTGGCTGGCTTGTCGACTTTCTTCTGTCGTTGCTGATCAGCTTGTTGGTCTGTTGGGTCCGCACCAGCCCTTGATCAAACGACCGTCCGTCGAACAACCGTCGAACGACCGTCCATCGGCTGCATCCATGGAATTCACGCCCTTCACCAAGGCATACGACTGGGACGAGGTGCGGGACATTATTCGCCAAGGCCGCACCGAGATATTCTGTCGCTACCAAGAGGTATGCCCTTCGCCAGCGAGTTCAGAACGAGGTTAATGCCGCCCCGCGCAAATGTCCGGCGATGACATGGGTCGACGCAGGACAACACCGACCTGCGACCACATCCTCGCTTCGCAACCAGGGTCATGGGCATATACCGCTCTTCGTGGCCATCGGGATAACGATCCGATCATCATCATTCTCCGCCCCCACCTTGGCACCGCCGCCCTCGGTTTGACCAGGTTAACGACACCTATGCCAAAGGCATCGCCGAGATCAGGCAGACCTATGTGTCGACAGGCGGTGGGTTAGAATCCGATTTATCGACCACATAGCCGTCTCTCCGATTGGTCATGCCGCCGCTGGCTCTGGTCGAGCTCCGATGATGAATCTCGATGTCGTGCCTTCCCCCGTCACTCAAAGCAACACCCCAGAACTCACAGCTGCACTCTCTGCCAGACTATATCAAGATTCGCGTCCTCAAGTATCCTTCCGAGGCTGACCCGGGTTCTCGGAAGTTGAAGGCCCGGCCTGCCGACCCTAAGGTGTCGCTCACGATGGTGCGTTGGGTCCCTGCCGATATCCCGAGTCCCAATGGATAGTCCTTGGCTTGCTGCTCCTCGGCGTTGGTATTTTCTTTTTTTTTTGGCAGCTTTGAATCTCTCCTCAGTCTCTGCCCCGCCGGACTCACTAACTGGTCAATATCGCTTCGCCAGACCCTCATCGACAATGACTACCCCTACGCTCTTCATCCCGAGATCAGCCACAAGGTCCTGTGGTCCCAGAAGATCCTGACTCGCCAACAGATCATCGACTTTCTCAAGACCCAGCTTGACCTGGACAAGGTCGAGTACCAGTTCTTTGAGAATCCGCCGCACAAGAAAACCGTTCCCGAGGTCCAGCACATCCATGTTATGGTCCGTGAGCTACCGGCAGTGTCATCCGCTTGAACATACCTCCAGTTCCGCCAGAATGCAGCCCGCCAGCCAATCCCGTGTCTCCGGTTGAGCCTGAACCTTGTCTGCTGCGCGCCTGGTCATTCGACAACCACCACGCAACCTGGTGTGGGAATCCACACCGCAGATCCGCACCAGACCATCCGCCTCGCCGATCCCTCCGTGCTGATCCAAAGAAAAAAATATATATAAAAATGCGAGGCCGCCCGGTCCGGAGCGACCAGCACCAACGCACCTCCTCGCCTGTCTTGAGTGCCCTGCCCTCCCAGCCACCTATCCGTCAGCCGCCTTCGATTTGATACTCTTCCACCATGGTTATGCAGAAAGATCAGCTCATTGTTTTCGATACCACTCTGCGCGACGGCGAGCAGGTACAGCATCCATGCCAGACACCACTATCGACGGGTCACGGAGTCGATCCGATCGGTCGAGCTCGTCCTGCTGCAGGCTCATCCATACATATCTCCGCGTCCCCTCTCCTTATCGCTCTCGCACCATTCTTTCAAGTCAATCTATTGCCGCTGTCGCGCCACCCTTCTGCTTCCATATTTTCGTCTGTAAAGTACTTATACCACCTACCACGCCTTCCTCCACTCTAGTCCCCCGGCGTCACCCTTAATGAGGACGAAAAGGTCGAAATCGCCCGCCAGCTCTCGCGTCTCGGAGTCGACATTTGCGAGGCCGGATTCCCGATCGCATCGCCCGGAGACTTTGCCGCTGTCAAGCGAGTCGCCAAAGAGGTCGGCCATCTGGTCGAAGGCCGAAAGTCCGGCAAGCCCATGGTACGAGAGCTTTGTCCACATATCCCTCGATCCACGTTGTACCTCCGCTGGAACTTGCTTGGTCGCCAGCCCAAGTCGATCTAGATTGACATCTCTCTCTCCTCCGTCGACCACACGCTGACGCTTGCTGCTCTTGGCCATCACCAGGTGATCGCTGGTCTTGCTCGAGCAGTCCACGCTGACATTGCCCGGTGCTACGAAGCCATTAAGGAGGCACCCCTCCACCGAGTCCACATCGTTCTGGCGACCTCGGATCTCCATCTCGAGTACAAGCTCCGGATCACCCGCGAGCAGTGCATTGAACGAGCCGTCTCGGCGGTCACCTACGCCCGCTCTCTCGGCTGCACCGATGTCGAGTTCTCCCCCGAAGACGCTGGACGCACCGATCCAGAGTTTCTGTGCACTATCCTGTCCAAGGTCATCGAGGCCGGTGCCGGAACCCTCAACATTGCCGACACCGTTGGCTACAACAACCCCGAGCAGTTTGGCGGTCGCATCAAATACCTGATTCAGAACACCAAGGGCGCCGACCAGGTATGGCCGAGTGGCCTGAGATCAACAGCCCGCTGCTCTTGAGTGATGAGTACCGGAGTGAGGCTAACCCAGGAATTGCCGGTGCCAGGTGGTCTGGTCTGTCCACTGCCACAACGATCTCGGAATGGCCACAGCAAATACCCTTGCCGGTGTCCTCAACGGCGCGCGTCAAGTCGAAGTCACCATCAACGGCATCGGCGAGCGAGCTGGTCAGTAGATCCATTTGTCTCTGTCTCCATCGGCTTGACTTTGCCTGGCTTGACTTTGCCTGACCTGCTCACTCGATTGACTTTGATCATCCATTCAACACTGCAGGCAACACTTCGTTTGAAGAAGTCGTCATGGCCGTCAACACACACCCTGATTACTTCCCAGTTCACCACCTGATCGACACCCGGCAGATCTATCCCACCTCCCAGTTGGTGATGAAACGCACCGGCGTCAGCGTCCAGCCCAACAAGGCCATCGTCGGTGCCAATGCCTTTGCGCACGAGAGCGGTATCCACCAAGACGGCGTCCTCAAGAACAAGGCTACTTATGAAATCATCGAGCCTGAGCTGATTGGCCGCACCGCCCAGTCGCTGTTCTTGGGCAAGCACTCGGGCCGGAACGCCTTCCGCACTCGCATCGAGGAGCTCCTCGACAACGTCGTCTACGCCCACCACTTCCAAGGCCACCCTGAGCTCCTCAACACCCTGTTTGAAAAGTTCAAGGTCCTTGCCGATTCCAAGAAACATGGCGTCTCGAACGAGGATTTGCTCGCCCTCCTGGACGAGGAGCTGCACATCAAAACCTCGGGCTCGGAAAAGTACAAGCTCGCGGACATGCATGTTGTCTCCAACACCCGGGGCCATGCAACTGCCACAGTCTCCATCAGTATCAGTGCCAACGATCCAGAGGCCGACAGCGAGGAGCCCAGCTCCGAAGAGGCCACCGACGCCGCCGTCGGAAACGGCCCCATCCACGCCATCTTCAACGCCATCAACCGCATCACCCAGTGCAACAACGCCCTGGTCTCTTATGAAGTCAAGGGCGTCACCGAGGGCTCCGACTCTTTGGGTCGGGTTATCGTGCGCATCCACAGCTTCGACGCCAAGGCCGCCAGCCAGCCTCCCAAGCTTGTTGCTGACGACTCGTTTGCCTCGGATGATCAACCGACGCTGTACCAGGGCCAAGGCACGGACCAAGACATCCTGGTCGCAAGCGCCAAGGCATATATCAATGCCATCAACAGAATGGAGGCTGCCAGATCCGTGGCAGCCGAATCAGTCACGCAAGTGAGCCAGCAGCCGGTGCGGGTCAACCTCTGATCTGAGTAGCTACACTTTATTCAGAAAACGGGACACACGCGCTTCCATAAACATGAAGTATGTGATGGCTTGCGTCTAGCGGAGCCATAAGAAATATAACAGATAACCTTGGCAGCCTCCGAGTGAAGACCACCGGTGCTCTCCGGTATCCACAATCGACATGCACACTGGTCTTGGAATGCCAGCGGCGACTGGTGCTTTTGGACGCTGAATATGGGGGGCAACTTTTCTCAGGCCACGGATGATGGTATTGCACCGCATCACAGAATGGTCATGGCCAGGGTGCGATGGTATTGGGCAACAAATCATTTGATCAATGGTCAAAACCAATGTGTCCCGTGTTTTATTGGAATGACTGCGAAGCAGCAGCAACACCGGCCATGCCGCACCAATCACTCCAATAAACCATCGTCGTCGTCTTGATATGTTGTGGATTCATTTCCAGCACCGAATAAGAATGCAGGCACAGGATGCGATGGTCAGCTCATGGATTTGTATTGGGCTCAGAGAAGGACGGTGCCTCCGGGTTGCCTACTGGCCTCGCTGTCCGCGGAACAATGGATTGACGCTGAGATACTCGTCACGCTGTGACTTTCTTGCTCGGGATGATGCCAAAGTAGTACGATGGTGAAACTTTGGGGCGATGGTGGACGGGTCGACCTTGGGAAGTGCACGAGCAAGTCATTTCGGATATCGGTAGCAGTGTCGAGCAGTCGCCAAACTGCCCCCAGCAGTCGTCGGACACCTTATTCCTTTCGATCAGATGCACTGGGCGAGCGCTATTCCACACCAGCCCGTCGACATTCGGCGTTAGGATTCTTGGCCGGGGGGTATCGGCGTCTATTCATCGTCGTCGTCAGAATCGTCGTAGACCCTGCGGTTGGTGTTCGAAAACAGTTCGTCATCATCCTCTTCGTCCTCCTCCTCATCGTCATTCTCTCCGTTCTCGTTGTATCCGCTTTGTTCCGCCTGGTCTGTTCGCTCGGCCGTTGTGCTCGAGTCTTGGTCATTCGATTCAGCCTGTTGCTGCTGCTGCTGTTGCTGTTGCTCAAATTCCGGCGGCCTGTAGCCGGTGGGGTCAGGTATGAGCATTCATTAACCAAATGACGACAAACCTCCCCCTCCTCGATGCTGTGCTCTCGATCGGGGATGGGACGCAGGGTACTGCTTCCTGCTCCCTGCTTCCTGCTTCCTGCTTCCCGGCATTCCTTCATTCCGTCGCCCTCTCAGGATTGCCGGCGTGCAGCTGCTATAGCTCACCATTGTCCTGCCTGCTTGATATGCTTGATGTGATCTGGCCCGAGAACATACAGCACTTCGTGGGTGATTTTGATTTTGGAATCCACGATGGGCTGGACGATGACAAAGTTGCCTGTGTGAAGATAAGGGCGATGGGCGGCAATCGGTCGGACGACATAGAGTAAGGTAAATGGGTGAATGGATGGAAAAGCAAGTCAGAGGCATATCACAGACCAGGACCTGTCAAGCCTGATTTGCTTTCTTTCTTTTGGAATCGCACAGCTATCCTCCAGCGCATCTGGGTGGCCGATGGAGGGAGGTGGGAAGGAACCGTGCTGTGGGCGTATCCTCGAGAGCAGGCCCGGATCAGCTTCGAGGAGACCAGCTCCCCGCCGATAGGCAGCACCCCTGCCCTCTTGACTCTGCTCGTACCTCGCTTGATCCAGAGCACCTTGCGGAACTTTGTCGGAATCGTCGCCAGCGTGGTCTGTCCGTCTGCAAAGAGGACCAGGAACGAGTTGCCTCGCGGCTCAAGGATCTTGACGACCGGGTGCTCCGGGGTTGGCAGCGGCATCTCCGTGAGGAACCGCTGGGTGGTGTGCTTCTTGCTCATGGTGCTGTGCCTGTCCTCGCTGCGATTTGCCTTGCTTGGTTGTTTGCAGCTCGGCTCTGCTGTTCTCGACTCGGCTCTGGTGTTTTCGACTCGATTTTTCTGCCAGCCGCTGCGCCACACTTCCCTGTCTGACCAATCAGTGTGTGAATACGAAAGGGACAGGACACCCCGGTTGTCTGGCCGACAATCACCCAGCGCCATCCATGGGCCTTTGCTCAGAGGTTGCCACAGTGATCAGCGTTTATTGCAAAATGGCCCAGGCTATCTCACCCTGCATTTGGCTATGGATACGGCAAATCTTGGTTCAATTCGCGGACACTCTATTGGGACATCGAGCAGCTGAGACCATCGGCACAAAGCAGCCGAAGCCATGGACAGGCAGTCTTCCAAAAAATTCGCAGGTCCGAAGTCGGGTGCTCCAGACGCTGGCGTTGGCTGCCGTTCTAGGCGGAGCGAGCCTGGAGCAGACAGGGAGAGCACATGGCAGAGCACAGTGCCGCTACTGTATGCAGCAGTCCTTGGACTCGACGTACTTCTGTATCTTCTTGTAGTCTGTCCGCGACGCCAGCAGCTCGTATATCTCTTCCAGACGCAGATTGTTTCCCCATCGCGACGAGTCATAGACGAGGGTCTTCAGTTCGACCTCGCCATCCGCCATGAAGAGATTGCCGAGTTCCTTGAGGACAATAAACACTTTGGACACGCTGGAGACCCGGAGCGAGGTTGACCACTCGTAGTAGCGGTTCAGGTCGCTGCATCGACACAGGTGACATGTAAGTGAGCCATAAACTTTGACGCAGATCGCTGATTCTCGCCCACGCCGACCACGCCGACCACGCCGACCAAGCAAAGGTCTTAGTGCGGATATGCCCCGGCCAAGGGTCTGCACCCACCACATCAGCTGGATCGAGCCGGACTGGCTGACTTGATGCCGCTTGATGTGTTTGATGATGACGCTGCGGAAGAGGGATCGTCAGAATCGCATGCGACAGCCGCGGAGCCCCCGCTCATCGACTCGACGACGAGCACATCAAACACAAACACCTACGCAAACAAGCGGACAGCAAGCTCGCTGAAGAATACTTCGACCGTGTGTTTCTCGGTCACGCCATTGAGGGCTTTGGCGTATGCATTGAAACACTCGACTACATGTTCGCACGCCTGGAGTTTAGATTGACCCACTGATGCGTCAGCCAGAGAGTGGAAGCAGGCGTCGCGGAGATCCATGTGCGATCCGTTTGAAGTAAACAGAGGGAATGTACACCCAGCATACTCTTGAGCCAGCCCAGCGCGCGCCCGCCTGGTCGATGGTCGGCTCACCTTCGTTGGACGCAGCTCGACCAAGCCGCCGACAGGATTGAAGTCCGTCGGAAGCTGCTCGGTGATAAGGATGTGGTCGGCCTGGTTGATCAGCGCCTGAATCGACTTGTCCATTCCACCGGCCACCTGATCGTCCAGTAGTCGCTCAAAGGCCTTCTTCTCCATTATGATCTCGGACAGGAAATCACCCTCATCGATCCATGGTTTCTGTCACGCCATCGCGTAGCGGTGTTCGATTGAGACAAAGTAAGCCAGGCATCAAGAAATCAGAAAGCTGACCAGCGCCCGATGCCCAGAGCTACCCAGTCACCTACAATATCCTCGCAGTAGTACGCATCCACCATCTGGGAGATCAGGTCGCCGATATGCACCAGCTCGAAGAATTCCATCGAGTCGGTTGCGCCGGACTGGGTCTTGCCGTCGACAACCATCGTCAGCTGATCGGTGGCCCTGTGAGAGGCCATGCGCAACAAGTGAGCAAAGTGCCAGTTGGGTAGATGACGACAAATCCAGAGTACCTCGTCAGCAAATGGGACGCTGATTCGCGTATCTTGGTCTGATCATTGAATGCACAACGGAACCTGCCAACACGAGCGCCCCATGGCGCATCGTGTGTGCCGACACTTACGCCACAAATCCAGGTTTAAGGTGCTTCTCTCCAAGGGCCTTGAGCAGCCTCACAAAGATCTTTTCGATGTTGATCCTCCTGTGAGATGCAGACAGACACACGTAGCTCAGCTTTAGTTTCCGTTCTAGTTTTAGTCTATCCAGCTGCGCGCGCCGCCTCATTGACCAACATCCACACAGCCACAGATCATACATCCACACATCCACGCACTCAAATGTCATCGGATTCTGGCAGGTGCTACTTACAGCTTGGAATAGTCGGTTGCCGCTGTAATGACCATTGCGCGGCCAAGGCTTTCCTTGTTGAAGTGAATCAGGTTCAAGGAAAGTTCCAGCGATACCAGACGCGATAGGGAGCCATCGTCCAGATGGTAGGTGACCGATCGGACCTTCCCGTCGTCGGTGACTTCGGCAACGGGCGTAGTGGCACTTTGGGGCTGCGCTGATTTCTTTCCAAGTACCGTGCTACCTATCGTTGTGCCGATCGTCATCGTGAGGGCGACGGGTGCGAACAGGACCGTCTTGAAGGTCTGCATCACATGGCGCTTATGGGCGACCGACTGTTCAACATCAGTCATGTAACTCGGGTCAGACGTGGGCTTTCCGGCCTTGCTTTTCTATTGTCGGCAGCGCAAAAGCACGGTTACCATTACGAGACGAGTAAGACAGGCATCACAGACTCCAACGAGGCAGCTGGTGCTTGCTGTATCCCAGCCAGCCGAAGCGAGATTGCGGGGGAGGGATTGGTCTCCATCCTGTCTGGGTTTACGCTCGCCCGTATTGGCGTGCGCATGCACACATGCATCCGTGCATACCCGAGGGTGTCGACCAGAGGCAGTGCTGCACTTACCCTGTTTTTCCAGCGCATAAACTCGCCCTCAAAAGCCTTGAGCATGTAGTCAATTTCCTGATTTATGTACGTCTCGGCATACGGCTTGAACATGGCCGCCACAGCGAGCTTCAAGTTATCGGTCTGAAGCGCAACGCCATGCGCGTTGCTGGAAATGAACTCGACATACTGGCTGCAGCAGTGAACCGTGGCCGCCAGGGTGTGGAGGTAGATTCCGGTGGACTCGCCATCGCGAGCAGCAACAAGAGTCGAGTTAAGATACTCAGACACCGAGTCCTCAAAGACCTTGGTGATGAAGATCGTGCCGGCATCCATTTGGGGCAGGAAAACCTTGGAGATGACCAAGATTTGCTCGTGGGAGTTGCTGAGCAGGTGGTCCATGAACGATGCAAAGTTGTCGGCCAGGGCATAGCCCGAGGCCTTGATGCCATTGACCTGCAGCCGCGCCGCCTCGTTGATCAAGGAGGGGTTGAAGGTCGAGTCGAAAAAGATGGGGTTCTTGGCCACGAAGAGGGACACGCACGAGGCGCCGCCGTTGAGGTTGAAGCAGGCCATGGCGTTCTGACGCATCTCCTCGTAGCTCTTGGTATCGTAAGCCCGGTCGAACTGAGCCAGGACCATGGACTCGAACCACTCGATTGTCGTCTCGAGAGAAAAATCAATGTCGTCGCAGTTGGGGAGGAATTTCGCCCGCGAGAAAAGCCGCAGGCGGCGCAGAATGGTGGCGACGTCGGTGATGTCCTTAAAGTCCTTGAACAGCTTCGAGTCCTTTTGCTTCTTCCGAAAGTCGATAAAGTATGGCAGGAGCTCTGTGTAGATCTGCTTGAACGATTCGCGCGAGGCCCGTGCCGATCCATCGACAATACTGGAGACTGACGAGACACCCGACGCGACGCCCGAGGTCGACCGCCTCATCCCGATGGTGATGTTGCTGCTGTTGCGACTCTTGGCCCTCAGTCCACCGGCACCGACAGTGATGGGCGAGGGCTTTGAGGGCAAGGTCGAGGTGATCTTTTGAGAAGGCGTGGCGCCGCCGGGACTGACCGGTGCCGGGGTGCCCTCCCGTGCAGGCTGCTCAATCGCAATTTCAGGGGGATTTGTCGGCAGCGGCTCGTTGGAAGAGACTGCGGCTGCGGCGCTCGACGAGCCATCGCCCGAAGGAGCGGCGATGCCGCCCCACATTGTCCCGGTCTCGAGGTATCGTGTGCTGCCGGGCAGGAACTGTCCGCCGGGCAACTGGCGGAGCCGGGAGTTGAGAATATCGACCAAGTCGTCGGACTTGGTCTGGCCGAGCGCCGCCTGGGTATCGGGTCCTTCGATAACATAGCCAAGGGCTTTGAGCTTTGGCGCATAGACCGCATCGTTGTACACAAGGATCTTGAAGCGCCGCGAGACGCAGGCAACCTTTGGGAGATCCGAGACATGCAGGTATGAAAAGATGCGGATGACAAGGTCTGGCGGCAGCGAGGTGATGAGCTTGGGCGACGTGGTGCTGCCGGTGCCGACGGACGAGCCAGCCTTCTTGGAAGCTATCATTTCTCGAAGGCCGGGATGCTGCTGCGGGGCGCTGTTGGGATCGTCCCAGTCAGAGGTAAGCGAGCTGGATGAGGAGGCAGGGTCCCACGGATTGTTAGAGTCAGAATACTCTCGCAGATTGCGATACTGCGAAGAGGGAGTTCGCCGCATCGCCAAGCCCTGCAGGTCGGCCTTCCGGATCAGACCGGAGTTGTTTATAGAGTTGACGAATTGGGACAACATGGCTGTGGACGAGGGGCTCGACGCTGCAGATGGGATGGGGGAGAGGTGCTGTGCTCAGGGACGGGACGGGATGGGATGGGAGATCGACAGAGGACAGAGAGGGAGGGATGGGGAAGGGGGAGAGGGTGCCGATGAGGGGCTGGAGAGGATCGTGGCAGAGACGAGCTGCTCAAGAGACGGCGGATGTCTCGGGATGCTGTCCAGCGGGCGCACTTGTGGCCAAGGCCGTGTCTGTTTGGGCAGACGCACGCACAAGGAGCCGGACGCTGCCACATCCTTGGCAGGCGATGCCATGGATACCAGTGCGACGCGGGACAGTCGGGGAGGATATGGAAATGGAAATGGATATGGAAATGGCATGGCGGTGTTGATGGCGATGGAAGGGGAGGATGTTGGCGGTGCTGATGGAAGATGCTTGTGCGGAAGGGGCAGCGGCGATCCTGACAGACGGTGGCCTGTTGGGCGATATCGGGCACGGTTGGCACTCACATTCACGACCAGAATCGCGTGTATCCCCTCGGATAGCCGGGTGGTTCGTTGGCCCGACGGTCGCTGGTCTGGACTGGGCTGGTCTGGACTGGTCTGTGGAAAGGGCTGGCTTGGATGGCAGCTGTCTGCCGAAAGCGATGGAGACGGCGAAAGGCGAGCGGCGAGCGGGATCAACAGCAACATTCCACTCAACATCGTTGGGAAGCTCGCTGGGATGCAAGTGCGTGATTCGCCAGCGCACGGATTGTATTGTGGCTCGGGCTCAGATGAAATCTGGCCAATACAGAATGCGTTCTCGAAACCGGGGCTCTCCCAACATGGGCGGGGGCCGGGGCATCACATTGTCGGTCGCGCTGGCTGGTTCCTTCTCGGGATGCTTTGTACTGGTCATGATGGCATCTGCCGCTATACATACCTCTGGATACGGTTCCACACCAACGGGTATCTGGCTCTTATTCTCGATGGATCGATCACCAAAGTTACTTGGGCTCGACCAGACAACTGCATTTGCCGATCCGCCGCTGCCCATGTCATTCGTCAGCGGAATCGCTGATCTCAGGATGAGCATCCAAACATAGCTTTGACGGTATCCCGTCGTGATTATGGATGTATTTCAGTCAATATCGTACAGGCATCGCAGTCTTGACTTGATACCCACCACCACCGCCACCATACAGCCACTACCATACAGCCACCACCGCACAACCACCACCACAGAGGCCGGCCCGTCGCTCGGCTTTACATTGATCGGCTCTACATTGGTCGGCTCTACATTGGTCGGCGAAACTGTGGCTGAGCGCTACTTGACCTGAGGCGCTTGACAATCGGGGTTGAAGAGGCATCCGCCTTGAGAAAATGTGGCAAGCGCTCCAGCAGTTTGCTGTCGAGTCCGTGAATACTCCCCCGCAGACGAGCCTGCATCCGCGGGGTGCGAGGGATTGGGCCGGCTGGTGTTGGTGTCGATGAGGGCAAGACTGCCGGGGATGGGCTAAGGCTTTCCACGGGTGAGTCGTGGCCTAGTTTCTCCGTCACTGAAGCCGCCAGTGATTTGATTATCGGGGCCAAGATTTGGAATGCGACGATACCCAAAACCACCAGCGAGAATAGCAGCAGAAGGCGAGATGTTGTGGCAAGCAAGCACGCAGCAAGTAGCACACGGAGCCCGAATGTGCATCCATCAGAGAGGGATTGGGTCTGTGCCTGCTGAGAATTGGTCGGTGACGACACAGGCTCTAGATCAACAGCCTCGGCGACATGGGGTTTGGTGGGAGAACGAGTGTCCTTTGATGCAGTCCCCCGATTTTGCTCGCTGACGATGGTTGGATTGCCAGGCTCAGCCATCACCGGGCGTGCTCTGGCCTTGGCTCGCTGTTCTCGTAACTCATGGGCACAGCCCCGATTCGCAATCGGCCCGGGCGCTAGAAGTGACGGGTCCGAGCGAAAGGGGATAAGGGCATGGTCAGCCAACGGCAGCTTGAGCACCAAGAGTGGGTCCCGATAATGGCGAAGCAGTGGGGTGCTCTGCGATTGGTTCTTGAGGGTTCTCGAGCGATCATCGATCAAGGCGGAGACTTGAAGTGGAGTGGCCTTGGGCATCCGCGCTTGAGGAGATGGAGCGCCGGATTGAACAGGGGAGTGCTTGTGGCTTGTGACGAAGGATTCATGGGCTTCTGGGACAGCAAACATATCCGGTTGCGAGCCAGCGTGGCCCAGCTCAAGCTGCTCTGGATAGAGCTCCAGCTGGCTGCAGCCTCGGAGATCCAGGGTCTCGAGTGATCCGAGCACACCCGAAGCGGACAGACTGTTGAGTGTCGCCGGGGTTACTCGCGGCAGGTTGGTGAGAAAGAGATGACGCAAATTCGAGCAACGGTTCGGTAGATCAACAAGCGACCCGTCCGAGATCAGCCCACAGTTACTAAGGTCGAGCAATCGAAGCCGAGGGCACACCGCGGCCACATGGTTGAGAAGAGGGTCGGATATCGGGGTCGACGACACATCCAGGAATCGCAGACTGGATTTACTTTGGGTTGACCGTGGGAGCGGCAGCGAGGACGCCCCTTCGATCCCGGACAGGACCAGGCGCTGCAGCGACGTGGCCCGATGGATGGCGATGAAGAGGGTGTCCAAAGTGCAGTTTGTGAACGACAGATCAAGATCGGCGAGGCGGGCACAGCCCTTGACGAGGTCCAGAACGCACGAGTCGGTGATGGGGCACCCGCGAAGTGAGAGATATCGGAGGTGGGGGTTGTGGATGGCCGATCGATCCACCACCAAGTTGGTGATGGCCAAACTGCTGTCGATGGTCAGGCGTTCGAGCGCTGGAGCAAGCTCCAGCATGGCGACGATGTCGCCGACCAGGAGATCGGGGAGCAGCTCGGCTGTAATCGACAGGATTCGCAGCGGTGCAGGCGGGCCGGAAGCATCACCGGCGACACCTCCTTTGTCATGGTGTCGGAGGCGAGCCAGGTGCTGGAGAAAACCTGCGGCATGAGCAAACTTGGGGCGCATACACATCTCGGCCAGCGCTATTCGGGAAACAGCCTTCGAGACCACCAGAAGGGTGCGGAGATCGTGAAAATCCAGGAGACGGACCACCGATATCCAGATGCAAGACCGGGTTGCAGGCTCGCTTTGTGCCATCGCGAGAGAAATGAAAGGCAGCAATTGCGCGGAGGACTGAGAGCGAGTCGACGGAGCCAAGATTGTATCGGGATGGCGGTCGTGCGACGGCAAGCAAGTACTTGGATCTGTGTTGCTGAGAAAGCAGCGGATAGATTATGGGCAGACGGATGCGTTCGAAGCCTGGACAGCGCCTGCTGCTGGACGAACCGAGGGCGCTTTTCAATGCGGCTGGGAAGGAGCGATGAGGACCAAGCCCATCCAGAAGCGCCGTCCATATCGGTAAGCGCCACTGGGGTCGATATCATTGAATGGGGATGGAGACGAGCGCAGATGGCGACTGCAGACGGCGGCGACAGGCCAATCAGGCCCTTCTGGGTTCCTGCCCTTTCGAGCGGGAATTCCTGCGATTCAGCTGTTGCTTTGTCGGGCTATCAGGGGGGGGGGATCGATGGAGGCGGGCACATTCGCCCAGCCCGGTCCTGAGAGTCGGTGTGTCGGGGGCAGTCGGCAGGCAAGCCCAAGCACCATCCGTGCCATGCCATGCCATGCCATGTCGCTGACGACAGAAATGCGGAGGGACGCACACTTGCCTCGGATCGCACGGCCACCAGACTCTCCTCGGACAGTATGGGGATCGTCGGCCGGTGGGCTGTCCATGATGCCGCCTGACATCGACCATGCGCACTCTCTGCGTCGGCGTCCATTTACCCAGAAAGCGCTGCCAGTGTATTGCATGGATGCATACACGGGCTCTGCTGTTGCAATGTGCAGTTATTACATCCACGTCGTCCTGGAGCATCGTCTGGGACAGACGCCGCGGGTAGCTCGGCAACTATACATATCCTTCGGCCGCAAGCACCCGCTGGCCAGCTGATTGTCGAATGCCGGTTGTCGAGCGCCGATGGTCGAATACTGAGGATGTTCGCTTGGTCGTTGTCCAAAAACCAGCCCCAATCAGCCGCCCGCATCACCGACCTAGGCGGCATGCGCCTGCGATACGATGGTCGCATCGGGCTCATCCAAACAGACACCCACAGGTCGGATCAGAATCGGGTCAGATCGACCAGTCGGCACTTTCGTCGGCCAGGCATCAGCAGCCGCTCTTCAGCCTTCTCCTTCTTCAGCGTCTGGGCCTGCGCCGAGAGCTCGTCGATCTTGTTCATGACATACTGGTACTTGGAAAGGTTGTCGAGGCTGAGATAGACCTTGGGATCGACCGCCTCGGCCAGCTGTCGTTTCAGTTGGGAGCGGCTCTGCAGCTCCGGCAGGGTGCCGTCGTCGACAGAGATGTATCGCCGCTGAGTCTTGAGGTCGTAATGGAGTCGGACGGTGCCAGGGATGAGCGCAAAGATGGTGTGGTCGCGACCGATGCCGACGTTGTTGCCCGGAAACCACTCGGTGCCGCGCTGTCGGATAATGATGTTGCCCTGATCGACCTTGGCACCCTCTCTCTTCTTGAAGCCCAGGAACTTTGGCTGGGATGTGCGCCCGTTCTTTGTGGATCCTCCAGCCTTCTTGGTGGCCCAACGGACCTGCAGAGGCGCGATTGGCGAAAACGACGACGGGAGCGGGCACCGAGGGACTGCCGGGAGCAAGATTGAGGGGCCGACAGAGGCCACGGGCATGGGACGAGAGGCTGCAATGAGCCGGGTGATGGCTGACGAGAACAGCATTGTGGACGATGCGCTTGTGTGCGGCGATGCTAGTGCGAGTGGGGGATTCGACGCAAATTCAGAGGCTGCGGGAGTGTGGATGCGAATGCCGGTGACAGCCCGTCCTGGCGCGGATGCAGATCCGGAAGCAGATGCGATCGGTCTGGAGGCAGATGCGGTCGGTCTGGAGGCAGATCCTGTTGTGGGAAGCGGTGCGCGTTTGGCAAAGTTTTTTCGCAGGCGCCGCCATGGCGCCGGCCTATGAATTAAATTCATATCGCCATCCGCCCCGGCTAAGAGCACGTCCTGGTCTTTCCCTGGCTCTGCATCCAGCCTCGCCTCGGCCAGCCCGCCGTTCTCAGGCCAAGCATTGCATCTCTGCGGTCGAGCGAGCAACCCGGCAGCCCAGCCCAGCAGCATCTCCCACCCCGCCCCAGCAGTTTATCCCAGCAACCCAACGCGAGCCTGCCTGCCATGGGCCCGTTCGTGTGGCTTCTGTTCCTGTCCTTCTCGATGCTGGCTGGGTCATTCCTGGCCGGCAATCTGCCGCTGCTGGTGCATCTCACCGACGACCATCTGAATCTTATTTCGACCTTTGGCTCGGGGCTTCTCGTCGGGACGGCCTTGATCGTCATCATTCCCGAAGGCGTCGAGACACTTTATGCCGTCCAGGGTGTCCGTCAGGTCGTTGCTGATCCTGATTCCTATCCCCAGGCCGAGCAGCATTCGGTGCACCCGGACGAGCCGTCCAGCGGAGCGCATTCACACAACCCCGCCTCGCACAGCGAAACGAACCGGGGCTCCTTGGAAAAGAAAGCCAGTCCCTTGGTCTCGCGTGGTTCAGACGAAGGCGCGACCCGATCCGGCCTGTTCGATTCGCAGAACCCTGGCAAATCCGAGTCCGACGACAGCCATACGGACCACCAGCACAGCCAAGAGGGCTTTGCTGCCCATCGATACATCGGCCCTGCGCTCTCCGTCGGATTTGCGTTCATGTTCCTGATCGACCACTTTGGAAGCGCTCACGACCACCACCACACCTCGCACATTTCGGTCTCGGAGTTCCCGTTGCCACGCGCCGTCGATGTGCTGCCGGCCGAAAGATCCAAGACCGCGGCCACAGTCGGGCTGGTTGTCCACGCTGCGGCCGACGGCATAGCGCTGGGCGCTGCCTCCTCGTCGAGTCAGTATCAGTCGGCGCATGTGCATCCGAGCGACGTCGGAGCGATGAGAATGCGATGTCTGCGTGGTCTCCTGCAGTTACAGCTGGTCGACAGGATCATGGCGGAGGGCCACCTGCTGGAGAGCATCGTCTGACACTCCAGCACTCCAGCACTCTGTACTGTCGTAAAACCGGCCATATCTCGCGATTAACGTATGCATTGACTTGTACTCGCCAATGCGGCAATCGCTGCCGGGATCCTTCGGTGTGTCGGACTGCGAAAATCAATGATATCAACGCACTCGACGGCGATCGTAGGCCGAACCAGCCTCGAGCTGATTGTCTTTGTCGCCATCATGCTCCACAAGGCACCATCGGCCTTTGGCCTCTCGACTTTCCTTCTGCACGAGGGACGCTCCAAACGAGTCGTGCGCCAGCATCTGCTGGTGTTCTCCCTTGCGGCTCCACTCGCAGCCATCATCACCTATATCTTTCTCAAGCAGGGCTTCTACAACGCTGCAGCTATGCAGAAGTGGACGGGCACGCTACTGCTCTTCTCTGCCGGCACCTTCCTGTACGTTGCCACGGTGCACATCCTTCCCGAGATATATGCCAACCACAGCAAGGGCTCCAATCCCGGTACCAGCCCCGTCACAGGCACGACCGGCCATGTGCACGCCAAGAATCTCTCCATCCTGCAGATCATCGCCTTCCTCTGCGGTGTGTTTGCTCCGATCATTCTTACGATCGAGGTGAGTCGAGTTGTGCCTGCACCGGACATGCACGCGGGATACGGTTGTGTCCATGGCAGCAAGACAGAGTCGAATCCATGGCAGCAGAATGCGGCTCTTCTTGCCGGTCTAACATGCGCCCGCACTTCTTGGCCACTTTCATGTTGATGCTTCCCGTGTCTCTGTCGCGCTTGAATGCGATGGTCCACGGCATGATCCTGCTCATGATATCGGCAACGTCAACCCTTCTGCGGGCACGATCGCCTTGATCATCTCGCTTGCCACACATCTTTGCTGCCATTTCGTCGATGCACAGCACACTCACTAATACAACGCATACCTAAAGAGAGCTGCGTCGGCCCCCCCCGGCTGTGTGGCCGTGGGCATCACACTGAGATTCGCAAGCACACCTCGGGTATCTGTGCATGCGATTCTGCTGGCGCATCGGCCGAGGCGGCAGTGCACCCGCGCCACATCTGCGCAGCACAGTGCCCGTGGCGCTGTTCTCGCATGTGCTCTCTCCAGCGCTCTCGGCAGGCGAGGGCGGTGTCTCGTCTCCTTCCGGCCGCCCTGGTTTCGGTTCTGGTTCTGGTTCTGGTCTGGGTGGCTTTCCTTCCTTGGCGACCCAGCCTCTCTGTCTCGTTCATCCGAGCTCTTGGCCAACCCCCTTCGTCCCGCAACGACCAACGCCCTGCCATGACCACAAGCGGCCCTGGTTCTGCGGACTCGTTCGAGCTCGTCGTCCGCAGCCGCCATTCGCAGTACTCCCAGAACACTCCGTCGGCCTGCACCATCCTCGCCACCGAAGCCGCTCTCCGGGTCCTGCATCTGGCTGTCATGTACCAAAATGAGGCCGCTGTGTTTGTTCCCTACTTCAACACCAACTTCCTCGAGGAGATAGTCTCCTCAGCAGAGAAATACAACTCTGCCGCCCACCTCGACTTTGAGACGATGTTTGCGGGACTGAGTCGGTTCCGCACGAGCCTCGACGCCAGGCCTGCCATTCAGTCCCTGTCGAACCAAATCCCCGACATTCTCAAAACCATCCTATCCCAGCACCTGAAGGACGTAAACAACTGCCTCAGGCCCTTCGCTGTCATCATCACCAAGCCACCTGAAACCGTCTCGCTTGTCATCGTGCCGATTGTCGATTCAGATGTCGGCCAGAGGGATATCGGGAGCCCAACCAGTCCAATCGGCCCGCCGCCTCCCGTTCCTGCCAAAGAGCAGCCGATGGATAACTTCGACCCTCGATCGATAGAAACACAAAGCCGTGCCCGGGCCGACGTGAACAGCACATTTTCGAGTGGCTTTGAAGCTGTTGGTCTCAGCGAGTTCGCCCAAACGGGCCAGCATCTGGATGATTTTATCAGCCAACAGCCCACGATAAGCCAGGCCGGGGCCCTCAATCCAAAGACAGATAATCTTGGTACCGACCACTCTTCTGGGGCGATTCGTTCCTTGGAAGATACAGAAGCTTGGGGCTCTTTCATCGGGAATCCGCCGTCCTCGTCGGTATCGCAAAGTCTCCTTGACGACACCCCCTCGATGGGGATGTCGCAGGGCCCTGCGGCCCAAGATTTGCACCCAAGCACCATCAGCAACTCGCCTGTGAATGCCGCTCTGAACAGATCGGATTTCTCGACCGTGGCACCCTCGGTTCCAGATCTGCCAGACTCGGACACCATGTCGACGATCAGCAACTGCGCTGTGGTCGGCGGGCAGACTCACGAAACGGGCACCCCTGCGCCACCTGAAGCCTCGCAGCTCCAATTCGTGTCCTCGGCTGGTGGGTCTTGGACGAACGGCACTGCTCAAGCCGTCGCCACATCTACTTTGGTCGACAATGCTCCTGTTACGAGTGACTCTGCGCTCAGCGCATCGGCTGCATCAACACATTTCATTGCGTCAAGAACGACAAGCACCACAAGTTCAACTGTCCCTCTTGACAGCCGAATCAACGCTACTGACGCTATGACGGCTGATAGAACCATCAATAGCCCCTCGGCGACAAGCTCCGCCGTTCCTTCGAACCAAACTGCGGCGATGCAGTCACGCACGATTCTCGGTCGCCGGAAGACCGTTCGTAATCCGAACAAGAGCTCTGGCTCAAATGTCGCACCGCAATTTGTGCCACAGCGTAGTGCAAGCGTTACCGGTGGAATCTCAGCCAACGATCCCCCTAAGAATCTCGGATGCTTTGACGAACGCCGGGGATTCGATGGCAGGACTGCCCAGTCAGCAAGTGGGTACGACAACGAAGGCAATGCTGCCCGGGCTCCACCGTCCGGCGCCAATCCTGGTAGCTTCCGGCCTACCCACGGTCAAAGCAACTCGTATAGTCAGGGCCAATCGCTTGGTTATGGTCAGAACGGGTCCACGGGCCAGACCTCTGCTTTCAACAATCGTACTCCCGATAACCAACACATAGACCCCAACATGACGCTCCAGAGCCCTTATGGCACGTACACAACACAATCGCGGACACTGCCGCGCGATCAGGTCAAGTCTCCCAGCTTGACTCGTTCGACTTCTCGGAATTCAATTCAGCAAAATTGGAATGTTATCGGAAGTATCTTAACAAGTATCATGCCCTTTACCCTTCAAAGTACCCAGGCAACTCAGGCCCGCCCGCCCCTTCCACCAAGGAATGGCTTCCCTAGTCCTGTTATACCGCCACGAGGAGATTCTCGTGGCCCCAACACCAGACCATTGAACCGGCAAAGCCAACCAACAAACTCTTCGATAGGAGGGAGTGTGCGAGATTCCCCTCGTGTCCAGGAGTACAACGTCGCTCTCAGCGAGAGTCTGAGCGCGCAAGGACAGAACGGCACCTCATCTTACCCGGACGATGCGGCGCTCCTTCCTTGCAAATTTATTCTCTTTGACTCACACTCGCGGCCGCCACACTTCTCCGGCTCGTACCTGCTCGTGGACTCCTCGCTCGAGAAGATCTGCAACTACCTGCAGACGATTTTCCCGATCGTAAATACGGACGACAGCTCCAGCAACGCCTTTGAGAACTATCAGCTTGCGATGCTCAATGCCATCGAATTCAACACAGTGTTGCTCTCCGAGGCCGTCTACAAATCAATCCACAATCTTTATGCAGAAGACTCGTCAGCAAACCCCGCCTTTGTCGTGGAGGGAAGACTGGATTCCGAATTCCAGACAGAGCTGAGATACATGTCGAATCCGTATGGACGATACTGATGGGACGCGCTGTTCTACCTCCAGCCTCACCAGTCGCTTTGTTCTGGGATCGTGAATACACATATGTCCACTCATTTCATGGGGCTCGCATATGAGGAGTGAGGGCAAGGGCGGCATGCCGGGCGACGCCTTGCCTTGGGCACCAATTTGTAACTGGAGGATGCGCTCAGGCGATAAGGGCTTGGAGTGAATGAGTGTTGCGAGGTGTGTGTCGCTGCAAATCGCGGCTCGATCATGTACTGAGGGGTCTGTTCGTTTCCAGAATGAAACGGGCATAGTTTTGAACCTGGACAATCGCTTGTATTTCCAGGACCTGAATACACCCCCCCCCACCGCCAAACAGAGTATTCACAGTGCCTGGAAGCCAAACGACTCGGGAAGGCCGAACATTTTGATATCGATACACCACAGAGTGGTCAAGATTGTCGAGTGAATGCACCACACAAAGAGATTGCCAACCAGGACAGGAAACAATCGTATGGCTTGCCCACTGGAGCCTATGGAAGATCAGCAGACTTGTGTCGCTGAAGCCAGAGAGTGACCGTCTCGTTTCTTTCTGAATCGACTTTATTCGTTTAGGAACCATCAAGACATGATCGAGAGCTGCTTGCAGCGAACCGCATTGCAGCGCTAGAGAGCAGCTGGGTGGCAGGGCCATGGAGAGCATGAATCATGGTATTGTGCCAATATCTATGTACAGGGAAGGGTCGAGGGAAACATGCTAGTCTCGTTGACGAAGAGACAGAAACGGGATGCATGTGTGCGAGTTCAAGCAAGAGGCGGGGCGAACAGGCCGTCGTGCGGATGTGCCTCGGTTTCGTTGGCGCTCTCGAATCGCAGCTTCTTGGAACGAGGCGAAATGGGCGGGGTGAGAGGCTCGGGCTCCGAGCGCTTCAGGATGCCAAAGTTGAGAGTGTGATGGGACGAGAGCAGGGACGAGTTCAAGGCGAGGGTGGTGGAGGTTGCGGGACGGGACTGCACCTGGGATTGCACCCGGAAGTGTCGATACCACTCCACAAACTTGCTCATGCCCTCCCGAAGCGACGTCTGCGGCCGGTACCCGAGCATCCGGCTGCTCTTTGTCAGATCCGCGTAGGTCAGTGGAACATCTCCCGGCTGGTCCGGGAGCTGCTTGATGAGGGCCTTCTTGCCAACAACGTCCTCGATCACCTCGATGAAGCCGTTGAGGTTGATGGTCTGCGAGTTGCCGAGGTTGAAGACCTCGCACGGATGCGGCTTGTCGATCGAGGCCAGCACGCCCGACACAATGTCGTCGATGTAAGTGTAGTCGCGGCACGACGAGCCGTCGCCGTACTTGTTGATTGGCGAGCCGCTCGAGATCTTCTCGACAAACATCCACGGCGCCATGTCTGGCCGGCCACGGGGTCCCTGTCGGCGGCGGCGAGGTGGATGGGCAGATGAGCAGATGGGCAGATGAGCAGATGGGCAGATGAGTGGATGGGCAGATGAGCAGACGAGCAGATGAGTGGATGAGTGGATGGGAGCCAGAGCCGCACAAGTCACCATCGAGCAATCAAGGGTGTCGAGGATACCAAGGGAATCAACACCAACCCACCCGCCGATTGCACCAACACCGCATCCGCACTCACATAGACGGTAAAGAACCGCAGTCCCGTCACGTTGATCTTGTACAGCGAGTGGTATGTCTTGGCCATGATCTCGCACGCCTTCTTGGTGGCCGCATACGGCGACACTGTGTTCTCGGTGGTGTCGTCCTCGGCAAACGGGATCTTTGTGTTGGCGCCGTAGACCGAGCTGCTGGAGGCATACACAAAGTTGGAGACGCCAAACTGCCGCGCCATCTCGAGCATCGTGACGGTGGCCTGGATGTTGGAGTGGACATAGATGTGCGGATCCTGTCGGCGGGAGCAGCGGGGCGGTGGTGTGCGATTGTGCGATTGTGCGATTGTGCGAGCAGGTTTGGTGGATGGCGGAGCAGCGAGGCCAAATCGAGGAGGGTCAAACGAGGGAGTCGGCGAATGATGCAATGTCAGTGCTGGTCGATCGGGTGCGGCTGTGCTGATGGTGTGCCGCATGGATGGCATGCTGCATTGATGGTACGCAGTAGCGATGGAATGCTGCATGGATGATATACCGCATGAACAGCAATCCCGCATCGATGGCATGCTGCACATCGGCCCCGCTGTCCGTCGCCTCGAATACCCACCTTGATTGACGGCCTGACTCCTGCTCGCGCCGCCAGATGGCACACCACGTCTGGCCGCTCGAGCTCAAAGATCGTTGTCATGCTTGTCATGTCGGCACAGTCGGCCTGGAAGAACTGGAATTGCGACCCGGTCTCGGCGGCCTTGGCCTTGAGGATGTCAATGTTGGCCATCTTCTGGGACAGGTCGTAGTAATCGTTGAGTTCGTCGACGACGACAACCGAGTCGCCTCTGGCGAGCAGGGCCTCGGCCGTGTGGGAGCCGATGAATCCGGCGCCTCCTGTGACGAGCACTTTCATTTTGGAGCAGGGGCTGGGACTGGGACTGAGACGGGAAAGCGAGGGAGGGGCGATTGGCTTGGGCCTGGGCAGAGAGCGGCGGTGTTGATGGCGACAGACCGAGCTTGGCAGAGTGCAGACCGGATTGCGGCTGTTGTGCTCGATATCGACCAGAGGATGAACCGGGTTGACCGACGGAGACGGAGAGATGGAGAGATGGAGAGATGGAGAGATGGACTGAACAAATCACTCAGACCAGACAGATCCGTGGCAATGACAGCTGGGCTCGCTGGCTGGCCGGGGATGGCGAGCACGTCCGTTTTTATGTTCGCTCGATTTGTAACGTTTTTTTTCGGCGCCTGGGCTTCAAATCTGTGCGACCGCCCGTGGCCGCAGCAAGGCTGGCCTGGTGCCGGCCAGCGCCCCTGCGCTCGGAAAAACACAGGTGCAAACCCAAACGCTCCGAGCACCCGCCTGTTGTTTCCGAATCTCTGCAGGCAATTCTCCCTCAAACGGACATACAAACATATTCCAATTATACCTCTCGTACATCGGCGTCGCCGCACGCTCTACCATTCCGTCCCATGCGGCCCTCACCAGCCCAGCCCAGCCCAGCCAAGCTTGGCGCGGACCAACCTTCGCTCACTGCGTGCCCCTGCTTGGTTGGCTTCGAAGGGCTTGGCTTGGCTGCCTGCATCGCTGCATCCCCAGAGGCGGCGATGTTCCGCATGCCTGATCCCCGTCTCCTTGCAGCGGGCAACTTGCCCAATCGACAACGAGATCCGCATCCGGGCATCCCGCTCAGCATCCGCGTAGCCAGAGCAGCGGAAAATATCTCCCGAATCTCGGCCACTGTGACAAACATGTCGGCCACATTTGCAATCCGTGATCCTCCTCATGCCTCCTGCTGCTGCGTCTGGCTGTTTTCGAGGGGTCAGGTGATGGATTCGCTCAAATTATCAATGAACACCGCACAGTGACCCCAAACAGCCTCGAAGCCCTGGCATACTGGCGGTTTGCTGTGCGCCAGATCGCCGCAGATTGTCAATGCATCATCCTACGCGCGCACTACACCTGCAATTAGGTCGTGTTTTATTACAGGCAATCCAATAAAAAACGGGACACCCGGGTTTTTGACCATTCATCGAATATTTTGTTACCCAATGTTATCGCGCGCTGGCCATGACCATTCGCCACACATCCGACTTTCGCACCGCCGCATTGCGATGCTACGCCCTCATCCATAGCCTGCGTAAGGTCGCCTCCATATTCAGTGTATCCAAGAGCACCATCCATCGATGGCACCGAGGACACAAGCCAACCGAGTCCCAGCTCGCAGATCCACTTTCTTCGAGCAGGCATGTCCAGTCATTCGCACCCTGATTGAACAGGACCCATTCCAGACTGGTCCTGTGTTGCAATGCAAGCTCGAGTCCATCCTCCAGAGGAAAGTATCACTCTCACTCTGCCACACTGCCATCCACCGAGCAGGTCTCTCACACAAGAGGGCAACACACCTCTACAAGTCCAAGCGGCTGGATGAGCGAGTGGCACAGTTCAGGGACCAGGTCCGCTCCATCGACCCACGGCGGCTCGTTTTTGTCGACGAGACAGGGTTCAGGAGATCCATTTTCCCTCTTTACGGATACTCACCGAAGGGTGCTCCGCTTCGCCAGCGCAATCACATGAAACACAAGTCTGTCTCGGCTGCATTTGCAATCAACCACTCTGGTGTGCTGCATCGCATGTACATCCCCACATCATTCAAGACACACTCGATGGTCGAGTTCTTTGAGCGAGCGACCTTCCCAGACGACTCTGTGATTGTGATGGACAATGTCAGCATGCACAAGACAATGGCTATCCTGGACTGCATCGAGCGCCGAGGATGGTCAGTGATCTTCACCCCACCTGCCTCGCCCGACTTCAATCCCATCGAGAACTTCTTTGGGGTTGAGTCCCCACCGATTTGGGGTTTAGTCCCCCAATCAAGCCGCCATTTTCGCGTTCACATCCCTGGCTTGAACCTCTCGGCGATTTTTGAACAGGGTCACTTCCCCAACCAGCCCGCGCAGACGGGTTCCTGCTCTCGGGTATAAATGCCACACCTTCGTCCTGCTGCTTTCTTCCCTCATCTCGCCTTGATCGGATCATCGCGCCATTGTACGATAAAAAAAGTCTCTGTTCTGACCAGTACCACTGGCAGGCATCCAGCATCCTCTGCCCCCATGCCTCCGAAGCGCAAGGGTACCGGTGATGGCCAGCCTCGGCCACCCAGGCCCAAGAAAGCCAAGTCACAGTCGGAGCCTGTCTCTGGTTCGTATTCTGATCCCACGCATGCTTGGTCGTCTGTTGCTCCGTCGCTCACCACCACTGCTTCTGCAGATCCAATGGATGTCGATCCCACCGAGCCTGGTCCATCTACTTCCTCGAGTACCGGCAAGCGATGTCCCAAGTGCGATGGCACCGATCACGAACGTTGCAACACCAGCAAATGTCCAAATACCGGCCCCTCAAGAGTTCTGTCGTCCCTCTCGTGGATGGAAGGTCATCCGCCCCTCAGTTCAGCTGCTTCAAGCAGACGATGGATGGCTGTTGTCTCAATCCCGCTCTCCGCGACAAGATCCAGGCCACTGTCGAGGCCATGACCCAGATCCAGTTCGAGGCATCCAGGCTGCTCAACCTGCACATCCTCCGGTGCATCGAGCAGGATATTCCCATCCCCGTCATCTCCAAGTCCACACCTGCTTTCATCCGCCAGTGCTTCACGATTGTCGAGGCCGATGCCCTCTCGACGGCCAGGGACACCAAGAAATACAACGAGCATCTGGTCGCTTCCTTTCGCGACTACCAGACCACTCGGCACGCAGACCTGCCTCCGGCCCCTCGTCTGCCTGATGGTGCTCACAGTCAGCTTCTCACCCTGGCTGTCAATGCCTATGCCACCAACTGCACCACCTGGCCTACTGGCGACTCCTTCGCCGCTTCTGCGCTGCCGTCTTCCCAGCCAACAAGCACAAGCACGAAGCCATCGAGGCCTGTCTCGAGCTCTTAGAGAAACCAGGGCAGACTCCACCCAAGGCCGATCTCGAGTTCCTCTACCCGGACTTTGGCCACGTCCTGGTCGAGTTTCGGTACAGCAACGACCAGGACCGCTTCCGGGCCCTCCATCGCCTCTCACACCATGTGAGAATCCTCGCCCGAGACAAGATGGTCGACAATGTCCACAAGTGGATCGACTGTGACATGCCCGCCCTCCGAGTCACCGAGCTGCAGCGCCAGGCCAAGCTGGACGAGCTCACTACCCAAGGCATTCCCTCCGACGACAAGAGGTTCACCACGGCCAAGTCTGAGCTCGGCACCACCAAGTCCAAGATCAACAAGCTGGCATCCAGGCTCAAGTGGGCTCTCAAGTAGCTCGCCGTCGACACTCCTCCGGCCGTGTGCACGATGGTTCCTCTGTGCACCACCAAGGCCAAGTATGTCAAGATTGACACGGTCACTCTTTGGCAACTCCTGGGTCCAAAGAAGCGCCTTGGACTCACCCGGGACAAGCTCAAGGAAGAAGGCGAGGACGGCATCAACAACCAGGATCGTCTCTGGCGCAGTTGCTTCAAGCTGCGTAGTTCCCTCTTCCAAGAACGGGACGTGAACAAGAAGCTGTTCAACTACGAGATCAGCACCGATGGCATTGGATGCACCATCGGCCTCGTCAAGTTTCTGCGTCGGACCGATCGCACCGAGACCTCCGAGCCTCCTCCGACCGCCGAGCAGCGTATCCAGGCCCACATCGGCGACCCAGACCCCGATCGCACCACTTGGATTGGCATCGATCCTGGAGTCGGCTCCATCTTCACGGTGGTCATCCAAGCACCGGGCCACCAAGACGAGGTGGTCTCATTCTCCAATGGCCACTACCAGCAAATGTGTGGCCATACGTCCAACACCAAGTGGCACAATATCATGAAGTATCGACTCAGCATCGAGACCTGGATGTCGACCACTCCCTCGCCCAAGGTGTCGTCCTCGGAGGCCTTCAAGGTCCATCTCACCCATGTCCTGCGACCGGAGCTGCGAGTGCAGCTCGACTTCCACCTTGGCAAGAAGGCCCGTCACCATCGCTTCACGGGCCACAAGAGGCGCCAAGTGGCCGTCGACAAGATGTGCAAGGCCGTCCTGAAGCACGCCCCGATACGGACCGATGTGGTGATCGCCTTTGGCAATGCGTCATGGCGACAAGGCAAGGGCTATGCATCCAGCCCTCGGAGGCAGCGATTTGCTCGGTACTTTGAGCAATTCGAGCACCACCGACGCCGTCCCAATCACCATCATGGAAGCGTCAAGGTAGTCTCGACGAACGAGTTCAACACCTCGCAAGTGTGCTCCAAGTGCCTGGAGCCGGTTCGGTTGGAAGGACTCGATGCGCCCAGGGTTGCGAATTCCCACTTTGTCAGGAGCTGCAAGAATCCCAGCTGCCGGACAGTGTGGAATCGCGACGTCAATGCGGCGCGCAACATGATCACAGTGTGCAGGTCGATTGTGGAGACCGGAGAGCGACCGGTGGTCTTCACTCGGAGGCTGCCAAAGTGATCTGTTTTATTTCTTGTAGCTTTGCTTGACGCAAGCACATCACATACTACATGTTCATGGAAACGGCTATATTGTCCCGTTTTTTTTTTTCTGAATAAAGTGTACAGTCGATAAGAAAGAAACGGGACAGTCACTTTCTGGCATCAGCGACACAAGTCTGCTGATCTTCCATAGGCTCCAGTGGGCGATTGTTTCCTGTCCTGGTTGGCAATCTCTTGGTGTGGTGCATTTCCCATGGTGTATCAATATCAAGAGACTCTGCCTTCTCGAGTCGCTTGGTTCCCCGGCACTGTGAGCACACCTGGAGATCTTGGGACTTGGTGTGGCATTCGTCCGTTGCTGCAGACCAAGGACCTTGTGGGTGCTCTGGATCCACTTGGTCGCCTGGGTGGTGCGTTTCGCTTGCAGGGAGCCATTTGAGCGAGAAAGTATCCTTGATTCAGATCCAGAAACACGCATCACTGAACGGTCATGGCCAGCGTACGATGTTTTGAGGCAACAGCGTATTTGATCAACGGCCAAAATCCGGGGTATCCCGGTATTTATTAGCAAAGATGCGGTGGGGGGGTTGATTGGAAGTGGGAGGGGATGCTTGAGAGGCCACTGGACAGCAGCGACCGACGGGATTGAGATTGTGGCATCGCATCGCATGGCATCGTATCGCATGGCATCGTATCGTATCGTATGTTCCAGAGCCGGGCACCGGCATCGCCCTCGGTTCTATAGACAGTGTGGCTAGGCGGGCACCCGGCTTAGAAGGCTTGTCGGTGGAGATCAAATAGCACCCATCCATCCGTCGCAGGGTTGTTCTCGGCCTGGGGATCGATGCATTGCGCTTTGGTGAAGATGATGGAGTAGTAGGCCTGGTCGATGTGATCCTCGACGCCAACAACAAGCTCGCCCTTCTTGTTGCGGAAGTTGAGGATTTCATTTGTCTGACATGTCAGCGATAGCAGCGGCAGCTCGTCGTCCAGCATGATGGCCTTGTGGATTTGAATCTTGCGAACGTCGAGCAGCTTGCAGTCGCTGATGAGTCCCTGGGAGTGCTGGTTCTCGATCGCCATCGAGAACTTTGCCCATGCCTGCCAACAGCCGAGTCAAACGATCAAGATGGATCGGCGAGATCGGCAAGGAAGACAATTGAAGAGTACGGCATGTGATGCGGATTGAGCCAGAGCCACCGACGGCACATGATACGGGTTGCGTGCACAAGCGGTGATGTAAATTCATGGCAGGTACGTTGCGTTTGTTGCAGAAAGTCGTCGGACGAATGATGCCGGCGTTGAATGGACAGGGCAGTTAGTGCTGCTGGCGATGGAGTTTGCTGATTCATCAGCGACGGACAGCAGACTAGAGACTCCAAACACAACGGCAAAGCCGCGACACATACCCTCTCAGTGCACCAGGCCTTCAGAGCCTGGGCGTCGCTGTGCAGATAGGCTTCCAGGATATCCGGAACCATCCACTCGGTGGCTTCGCGCAGGAAGGTATCCATCCGGAAGACTCCGTCGACCATGCGGATAGCGGTGATGACGCGGGCCTCTTCGGTGTCCTCCCACGGCGAAAACCACGAGCGCAGACGGTCGATCAGAGGATCGTCGCTCTCTTCGATGCGGCGGCCGATGGCCGAGACAGACTTGGACAGGAGGCTGTTCTCCTTAAAGTCGTTCCAGCTCGCGGCCCATTTGGAGGTCTTGTGGAGAACAACGCTCTGGCCGGCATTGGGATCGGCTGTGAGCATTCGGATCGAATCCTTGCTGAACGGGTCCTTGGCAGCCTCGGCCAAGCGCTGGGCCTTCTCAGCTTCACGGATGTGCTTGGGCTTGTATTCGGCGTAGCGCACAGCGCTGTCGCTTGCCAGGTCCTTTTGAATGCTCTTGACGCCCTTGGCGATTGTCTTGGCGGCTTCAGTTTCCAGGATGGGATCGGCAACCTGGAAAAGTGATGAGCGCGGTCAGCGCCGAAACAAAAGCAGAGCCGTGGCCCAATGGTGTCGACATCCAGCACAGAAGACAGCTTGCTGGCGGTGCGAGAGGCTAGAGCCGGATCGACGCCGCATGCGCTATTATGCCTCCGCCGACGATCTGGCCGATTGACATTCGCAGGCCGCGCGGCTTGACACGGACAGTAAATGATCGTACAATCACAGTCTGCGTGTTCGAGTGGCTGCATGTGCAAACCACCCTCTCCGATCTGATTTGGGCCACAGAGACGATGCCATGGTGCCCCTACCTTCTGGGCAGTGTCCGCGACCTTCTCTCCGACATAGGAGATGGTCTCGGTGGTTTTCTTGACAGCCGGCATTTCGGCGACGGTATGGATGGCTTGGGCCGTGCCCGCGGCAACAGCACCAACGACCTTGGAGCCCTTCGCCATGGCCTCCTTGGCACGCTTGACGGCTTCCGAGTCGGCCACCTTGTTTGTCTCGTCGGAGAGCAACTTGACGTTCTGCTGCAGATCACGATTTTCCTCGATCTGACGCTTGACGGACCGGGCAAAGGCAGAGAAGAAGGACACTGGCTCGCCACCGTCTCCGCCGCCGCCGCCGCCGCTGTTGTTGTCGCTCTTATCGCCGTTGTCTTGCTTTTCTTTTGAGGACGAGAAGAGCCGGCAGACGATCATGGGGGACGGGAGACCCGATCTCGGCAGCGACAGGCCATGCTGCCGCAGGACGGGCCGCTGCGATGAAAGCAGCCGAGGGACGGCGGCTCGTGTGCGTGCGATGAAGGACATGATCTGTGGGGCTGTGAGCGCTGCGATCGGGACGGGCGTCGAGCAGAGTCGATAGAGTCGATGGAGTCGATGAGTGAGGCAGAGCCGATGCCGATCGGGTCTGCGGCTCCGGCAGGAACACAGCCGCCAGGCACAGGCACGATTGTCGTGCGCAGACGCCGAGGCCCGAAAAAATTTTCTGCGGGGTTCTGTGGAGGCACGGCGGCACGGAAATGAAATCAATAGATGCGCTGCCACACACTGCCACAGTGATACATGCACTGCCACGGGTCGCGTGCGTGTGTGGCTGTCCGGCGGACATGGCGCGATCCGTCCCTTGCTGTGGACTTCTTTGTGGACTTCTTTGTGGACTGCAGTCCTCTGCGGCTGAGGTCCTTTGCGGTGCCTTGTCGATGCCTGGGTTGTCGATTGCGGTGGCATGGACGAGGCTCGAGCCAGGGCCAAGTCGTCCCCTGCCATCGTCCTGCTGCTGCTGCTGCTGTTCTCCTGCTGCTGCTGTTCTCCTGCTATTGCTGTTGCTGTCGCCCTGCTGCCCGTCTGGGTGCATCGGTCTTTGCATCGCAGACTCCCCCAGGAGCGGATACAGCCAGGCCCGTCCATACATCCAGTCTTCCCGTTTGGGCATGGCGGTGCACCGAGTTTGTCGCTGGCGCTTGTTGCCGAGCGAGGGTCGCCAGATTCCCTCCCCCCCCCCCAAGCCCGCAGCGCTGCATTTCGCGCTCCGTCTTTCTCCCCCCCTTATCGTGGCAGCATCTCTCGCTCGTTTTCCTCCTGCATCTCTTGCGCCCCGCTGTCGTCTGGCAAGTCGCTGCTGCGACATCCGCACCATCGCTGGCGCATCGCTCTCTCTTTCTCTGGCCTCTTTCTTGTCTCCCGATTGCCATCGTTTCTCGTCCCTGCCCCCTCTCTGGTGTGCAATTTTGGTAGCTTCGAAACTTGGGGGTGAACCTCAAGCGCCAAGAAATCCATTGCACTCACCGCCAAGAGCCCCATAGCTTCTTTGCCATCAGCATCGCCATCGCTGCCAGCGGCACCTTTGCCGTCACTATCACCGGCTTCGATCTCGGCTAGCACCCTCGCCGGCTTCGACCTTGACCAACAACGCCGTTACCGGTGCTCGCCCCCTGCCCGTAACGCTCACCGCCAACTGCATCTGCAACTATAAAACACGCACTCCTCATCCGGCTCAAGCAGCATTTCCAATACCCCTGGGTGCAACCCCTCTCCTCGCGCCATTTGCCAACCGTCCCGTCCCGTCCCGTCCGTTCGTTCGTCCGTCCGCCGCCCAGCTCCGTGTCCATCGTCAAAACCCACCGATTTCACTCGTTTTCATGCAATCCATCTCCCCCTTTGCCTCAAGCCCCACCCGGCTCCGAACAGACACCCCCGTCTCCGAACTAGCCTGTTCGCTCATGTCGCCTCATGGCTCGGACCAGCTCGCCGAGGACAGCCGGGTCGTCTTGAATGTCGGCGGCAAGACCTTCGAGACCACACGAACAACCCTCCAGTCCCTTCCGACAACGTTGCTGGGCCGGCTGTTTTCGGCCGCACCGTCATCCTCGGTCGGGTCGCAGCGCCGGTCGCGGGTCTCGCATCGTCAAAGCCATTCACTTTCGGAAGCCTCGTCGGCATCGACCATGACATGCTCCTCGACGGGGTCCATCTCCGACTCCAAGGGACAACACTTTTTTGACCGCAACCCCACCATCTTTGCCGCCGTCCTGGAGTTCTACCGGACAGCCGACCTGCCCATCCAGATTCCCCTGGGCGTCTCTGTGCGGGCGGTCGAGAAGGAGCTCGACTACTTTGGCATGTGGGATGCCATCGAACAGATCCATCGCGAGACAGGCGAGCCCATCTTTGACAACAGCCTCAACGACTATTACTTTGACCGCTCCGCCTCGGCTGCCGCCAGCCGGTCGCCATATTACGGTGACTCGCAGCGGGACTCGGACTCCATCTCCAACCTCTCCATCCGCTCCTCGCGCCGCGGCTCGCAGCCTGGAGCCCCTGAAGCCGCCGCCGCCGCCGCCGCCGCTGCCACCCACAACCCTGCCTCGACAAACTCCACTCACATCCCCCTCATGCGCCTCGGCCAACGGGCCGCCGGGATCGCAAGCAAAGCTCTGACAGCTGGACTGACAACTTTCTCGGTGGTGGTGCGTCCTGACGGACGCTGCGAATCTATCCCGCAGGTCCTGCACGACTCGTTCTGGCAGGATTTCAGCTCGGCCATGGTCACGTACGAGTCGCCGCTCGAGTTTGTCTCGTGTCTGAACGAGCTCGTCGCTTCCATGGACCTGGTCCAGGTTACCACAGTGCGCTACAACTCTGCCACAAACTTTCACAGGCTTGGTCCTGTGCTGCTTCCGGGCGGCCTGTCGCTGACGGCGACCGAGGTCTTTGACGAGCGCGAGCAGTCCCTCAAGCTGAGAGTTCCCAGACGCAACAAGAACAAAAAGTCGCTGAGGTTGTCCATGTCCGGGGGCCCTGGACTCGAAGATGCCATGGCCTCGCAGGCTGCAGACGATCCGGACGACGAGCTGCGCCGATACAGCACCCTCAGCACCCTGTCCCATTTCCACCCAGATGCCTTCCATAGCACGGCCCAGTCGCAAGTCACCCTGCAGCGGTCGCAGTCCCTCAATCTCACCCTGAATCGCCCGTCGCTCTCCAAGGTCACCCAGCGGTTCTGGGAGCGCAATCCAGGCAGCGGCCCATCGTCGACATGGTCAGCAGCAGCAGCAGCATCGTCGTCGTCGTCGTCGTCGTCATCGGCAATGCCGCCACCAGCATCGGCATTCCCGGACATGGGTGCCTCTGTTGCCAGGCTGGCTACGAGCTCCGACGCTGCTGCTGCCACACTCAATCCAGAGACTGCCACCACCGACGCAGATGGAGGCACCCCGCATGCTGTGTCAAAATCCTGGGGCATGGGTACCATCCGGTTTTTCCGCGGCTGGAAGATTGTCTTCCAGCTCCCTGTCGCCATTCTCATCGACAATGATGACTGCATCTCAGTTGAGCTGGGAAATTGAAGAATGAATGAATGAATGAATGAATAAATGATCGATTGAATGATTGAATGGATAAAACAAAGCAAGCCCTAAATGCACATCGTCGCGGCTCCTTCGTCGGGATCCATGGGATGTCGTGCGTGGTATCATTTGGGCTGTTCACACCATGGGATGCTTGCATCGACTGCGTTTGTGCTCGATCGTTCGCGCTCTGCCTTCGTGTCTCGCATTCAGCTCGCCCCACATCATCTTCTTGACTCTGTCCTCCAGCTCTCCGGGCCTGGTTCCCGCTCCTCGCTTGCGTCTCTCGCTCATGGGCGGGAATTGCCTCCGTCCTGGCGCCATGGCTGCGTTACCGCCACATCCTGGCTGGCCAGCGATCCGCCAGCCACCCCCTGGCTACTCCCAAATGAAATCTTCATATCTCCTTTTGGGTCAGTCACGTGCTCCATGACCCACAGGCTCTGCGGCGCAAAAAAAAGCGGCTCCAATCTGCTCGGCAGAAAGACGTCGCCAGATCGAACGACTTGTCTCTGGCTGCGAGCAGCGCTCTCTTGCTCCTCCTCCTCTTCGCAGCGCAGCCCGAGTACCCGATCGAGGCCCCCCCCCAGGCACCCAGGACATCAACCGAGCCGGAATTCGTCGTCGCTGCCGCGCACCCGCATCCATACGCACACGCATCTACGTTCGTACACACAACCTCACACAGCGGCCATGAACATCTCGACTCTGCTCCAGTCCGGATACTCTCGCATCGCCACATCGGGCCCGACATGGCGATCGGCGTCGTCGAGTCTGCAAAAGCCCATCTTTGGCCAGCAATGGGCCCAGATGCACAGCTCGCCTGCGGTCTCGTCCCGATCGCAGCCCCTCGAGATCGTGCGGTCCCGCCGGTCGATCCAGCGGGCACAGAGACGAGCCGAGCGCGACAAGATCAGGTTCGGCGACAAGTACCGCCCCAAAACCACCCCGGCCCCGGTCCCGTCGACGATCGAGGGCGGCGCCAAGCTCACGCCTGTCTTTGCCACACCGTCGAACCTGAGCCCTGCATCGATCGTCCCGCAGAACCTGGGCGAGACGCTGAAGCACCTGGCCAGCAAAGCCGTCTCGACCGAACCCGACAACGAAAGCTCCTCAAAAAGCCAGCGTGTAGCCAGCGAGACACAGGATCCACGCAACCTCCGCAACATGACTCGCCGAGACAACAACATTGTCGATGCCATCGCCGAGATGACGCTGGCACCGGACGCGATCCCACCCAAGCCGGAAACTGTGGCCGTGCCTGAGAGCCTGGCTGTTCCCGAGGAAACAAAGCTGCCGGAGCCTCTGCAACACGGCCCCTTCTACAACTACGGATTGACGCACTCGGACATCAAGTTCCTCCTGGAAGATACCCAGGTCGTCCACCGCAATCGGGTGCAGAACTCGCTGTCGGCCACCCCTGCCGAGCAGTCCGAGATGGTGCGGCGAATCCTCTCGATCGAAAACTCGAGCAAGAAGCAGCTGACCGAGCTCAACAAGTTGCGGATCATGGATGTCTTTGCCAAGAAGCCCTTTGACACTGGAAGCCCCGCCGTCCAGAGTAAGTGCGGGGTGGGACTTGCTTCGCGAACCAGTTGATGCAGCGGGGATCGATGGGGGAGGTCGATGGGACGATCGACCAAAGACAAGACTGTCGTCATCAAGAGGCCGTGCACTTGGTGTCCGAGTCGTCGTGGATGCGGACATTTAGAGCTGGATCGTCCGCCATTGTATTTTATCGTTGCTGTGTGTTTGTTGATGTGTCCGGGAGCGTACCGTCGGCCCGCCGGGGAATGACGACATGGCCCTGTTTGTGTTGACATGCTCGCGTTGGCTCCGGCATCGACGGCGGCGATGGTGATACTGCTCGCCCTCGTCGAGTTTCTGCTTGGCGGCGCAAGGCAGATGTGGCTGGACCGGCTTGCCGCTGTCGGTACGGTTTGAAACGACCCCTTTGGCTCGCTTCCGGATGCACAGAGTGGGCCCAGTGCCGATTCGCTGACGCTATGTCCTGATTATCCAACCGTTGGAACATCCTATGCGGCTTCTGCGGTCTCCCCCGACAATGCGGCACATGTGGCAATCCTCCGCATGGCTCCGATTGATCACCACGACGAACTCTCGGCCTCACAATGCCTTGTCTGCAACCGGGCGTCGCTATCCAGTCGGGGTTTTCACGGTCCAGATCCAGGCCCTCGAGGATCACCTGCAAAAGCACAAGAAGGACAAGAGCAACAAGCGACAGCTCCAGCTCGTTATCAACAAGCGCCACCGGATGCTCAAGTACCTGAGGCGAAAGGTATGTGAGCGGTGGTTGCTCTGAGGGGTTGCTTTGCACGGGCAGGGGTTATCGACGGCAAACCCATGACTCCACTGGCCGCTGGCCACATATGGCGCGACACTGACACTGACGCTGTCCATGTCCGTGCCCATATCCGTGTTCAGAACTTGCAAGAATTCCTGGATGTCTGTGAGGCCGCCGGCGTCAACCCTGAGAGCATCCGTGTGTGAGCTCAAAGCCTTTGGGGGCGTTGCCGTGCCGGAATCGCATAGAACAAGATATAATCGATGATCAGGATGCAGATATAGGTCTCTCCAGATGCTCAGCAGCGACAGACTGGGCAATGGTTGGCACCGTGTGCAGAGCGAGAGCCGTGCAGGTCGCAGGGAGCAACGGCGAATCGCCAAGCGGCGGCGAAATAGGGGGCGGGACATAGGAACATGCAACAGCCGATCCCAGATGAACCGACACTGGCCGATGGCGCCAGAGGACCAGGATGGGCCGGCTGGGTCGATGGAGATCACCCAGGATCATCCCATTGGCGCGGCGCTCCGGCGGGCTGGTTGCCAAAGCGCGCACAGGCCGGTGCGGGGCTGCGACCCAAGGCTGCGACCCAAGGCTGCTGATGGGCATGCGGCCTTGCAAAGACCAGGCGCCCCATGAGGCGCACAGGCGATTGGGCGGAAAGCGGGACACATTTGAGCAGACATTGGCCGCGCTCGACCACCGCCCGCTGATATGTCTGGTCTGAGTGATTTGTTCAGTCCATCTCTCCATCTCTCCATCTCTCCATCTCTCCATCTCTCCATCTCTCCATCTCTCCGTCTCCGTCGGTCAACCCGGCTCATCCTCTGGTCGATATCGAGCACAACAGCCGCAATCCGGTCTGCACTCTGCCAAGCTCGGTCTGTCGCCATCAACACCGCCGCTCTCTGCCCAGGCCCAAGCCAATCGCCCCTCCCTCGCTTTCCCGTCTCAGTCCCAGTCCCAGCCCCTGCTCCAAAATGAAAGTGCTCGTCACAGGAGGCGCCGGATTCATCGGCTCCCACACGGCCGAGGCCCTGCTCGCCAGAGGCGACTCGGTTGTCGTCGTCGACGAACTCAACGATTACTACGACCTGTCCCAGAAGATGGCCAACATTGACATCCTCAAGGCCAAGGCCGCCGAGACCGGGTCGCAATTCCAGTTCTTCCAGGCCGACTGTGCCGACATGACAAGCATGACAACGATCTTTGAGCTCGAGCGGCCAGACGTGGTGTGCCATCTGGCGGCGCGAGCAGGAGTCAGGCCGTCAATCAAGGTGGGTATTCGAGGCGACGGACAGCGGGGCCGATGTGCAGCATGCCATCGATGCGGGATTGCTGTTCATGCGGTATATCATCCATGCAGCATTCCATCGCTACTGCGTACCATCAATGCAGCATGCCATCCATGCGGCACACCATCAGCGCAGCCGCACCCGATCGACCAGCACTGACATTGCATCATTCGCCGACTCCCTCGTTTGACCCTCCTCGATTTGGCCTCGCTGCTCCGCCATCCACCAAACCTGCTCGCACAATCGCACAATCGCACAATCGCACACCACCGCCCCGCTGCTCCCGCCGACAGGATCCGCACATCTATGTCCACTCCAACATCCAGGCCACCGTCACAATGCTCGAGATGGCGCGGCAGTTTGGCGTCTCCAACTTTGTGTATGCCTCCAGCAGCTCGGTCTACGGCGCCAACACAAAGATCCCGTTTGCCGAGGACGACACCACCGAGAACACAGTGTCGCCGTATGCGGCCACCAAGAAGGCGTGCGAGATCATGGCCAAGACATACCACTCGCTGTACAAGATCAACGTGACGGGACTGCGGTTCTTTACCGTCTATGTGAGTGCGGATGCGGTGTTGGTGCAATCGGCGGGTGGGTTGGTGTTGATTCCCTTGGTATCCTCGACACCCTTGATTGCTCGATGGTGACTTGTGCGGCTCTGGCTCCCATCCACTCATCCACTCATCTGCTCGTCTGCTCATCTGCCCATCCACTCATCTGCCCATCTGCTCATCTGCCCATCTGCTCATCTGCCCATCCACCTCGCCGCCGCCGACAGGGACCCCGTGGCCGGCCAGACATGGCGCCGTGGATGTTTGTCGAGAAGATCTCGAGCGGCTCGCCAATCAACAAGTACGGCGACGGCTCGTCGTGCCGCGACTACACTTACATCGACGACATTGTGTCGGGCGTGCTGGCCTCGATCGACAAGCCGCATCCGTGCGAGGTCTTCAACCTCGGCAACTCGCAGACCATCAACCTCAACGGCTTCATCGAGGTGATCGAGGACGTTGTTGGCAAGAAGGCCCTCATCAAGCAGCTCCCGGACCAGCCGGGAGATGTTCCACTGACCTACGCGGATCTGACAAAGAGCAGCCGGATGCTCGGGTACCGGCCGCAGACGTCGCTTCGGGAGGGCATGAGCAAGTTTGTGGAGTGGTATCGACACTTCCGGGTGCAATCCCAGGTGCAGTCCCGTCCCACAAACTCTGCTGCATGTCATGCCTCTGACAAGACTGCCCAGGGCAAGCTTAAGCGATCGCTCGAAATCGAGGTGTACACACCCGAGGCGAGCTGTTTGGCAAGCAAACGCCGTCAAGTCATCAGCCAGCTCGCCACCCCTCCGCTCTCTCCGAAGCAAGTCGTCAACTGGCAAAGCGACGCCCCTCTCCGTCTTCCGAATTAGCCCACCCCGCCCCTCTCTGGCCGCAAGATGGTGAACAAGGATCCCAGCCAGCACACACAGCTCCCTATACCGCCTCACTGTTGCGGGCTGCTCGGCCTGGACGTGGCCACAAACCAAGTTCAGCCCCCGGCACAAGCCCCTTGGTCGGTGGTGATGTGTAGCAGCGCCCTCAAGGATTGCTGTGAGCGTTATTTTCCGCTCACGTCATATCACAGCAGGTCACATCCCTGCTCGTCATCGACGACGGCGTTGCCGCTGTGCTGTCTGTTCCACCATCGCCCGGCCCCGGCTCGAACGACCCGTAAACCACACGTGCAATGACGCTGTCGCAGGATCAACAACCCTGTGTCAACAAAATAAAACTAAACCCCTTAAATACGCCGTCACCAGCGATCCGCAGATCTGCTCCCATCCTCCTCCCGTCGCATCTCAATCCGCGCTTGACCACAGTGCTGCGTATCCACGTCTCCATCCAGGCATCAACTCCCATCACAGGCATACCGTATGGCTGTCACACACACCATGAGATCCTCAAAGACCATTAGCCAGCTTATGGTCCTCAAGTGCCCCAAGCACGAATCGACCGTCCACCCAACCACTCAGCATGTCAGCTTTGGTTCCACAGACACTCTGTGCGAATCCCAAACGCTGGTGCACTACAGCTTGCCCAGGAAAGACTCGCAGTCGCGCACGTCTTCCCGGCGACAATCACTCAGTCTCTCCGTATCCTTCCAAGACGAAAGCAAGGGCCAACGCCGGCAGCGGTGGATCACCATCCAGGCCTGGCGGTTCAAGCTCGCCCTAAACAAGATCGCAGTGGGGCTCAAAGCCTGCTGGGATGTGCTCGCCTGAAGGATCCCTCCGGCTTTCGTTCCCACGCCTGTTTGTCACTGACGCCTCGCATTCCCTCCTTTCACGCAATATACCTTCCTCGGATGTCGCTTTGTTCATGTATCCATCCGATATTGTGTCCAATCATTGCAACTTATACCCGACGTTCGCTCGATGCGATCGACCCCCTCCCCAGCGGATCCCGATGCAACTCTCCCGCACCTGCGTCTGGGCGTTCGCCGGTGCCCCCTGGACGGCGTGACGACGAGCAGCGCTTCCGTGTCCCCCCAGGGCCATGCGCTTCAATACATAGTGCCCGCTCATTCTTGTGCAAATCGTTCCTGGCTCTCTCGACTCGCTGCTTTGACGCCTCTGTGCTGTGTGCACATCAGCCTTGCTTCCAGCTTGCCAGTGAAATGCCCACCTTCGTCTCGGCCAATGGAAGCGTCATTGTCACCGTGACGCCAAGCAGCACATCGCAGCATCATGTGCCGACCGGGCATTCTCAATCAAGAATGTCGGCCGAGCATCCCCCCCCCGATCAGCGGAGTGACTCTTGAGACCGGGCAATGGTTTGCGAGGTCTCGTCTTGGTTTGTGTGGCCCATATTCGTTTTGTTGTATGTTTGTATTTTTCATTCGATCCAGGGATCTGTCGACGCGGGAGGGCAAGGGCAAGGTGGGAAGCGCAGAAGTAGGGGGCCTTTGGCTGGATGATTACGGGATGAGCGGTATAAAGGTGAACGTTCGCTGGCGATACTGGCGGTAAGCCTCGCCGAAAAACTCAGGTTGCGACATGACGCCCTCCTCATATCGGATGCGGTTGTTGAAGAAGGTCCAGAGGGCCGCAATAAAGCCCACAAAGCAGATGGGGTTCCAGAGCATGACGGTCATGCCGATGCCCCAGTAGAAGAAGGATGTGTACGACGGGTGACGGAAGACACTATCGAAACAGAGCATGAGCGTGGTGAGCACCGCGAGCGGAAACCAAGTTTCAGGCTGCCGAGGGACGAGCAGAGCCTTCTGCACTTGCGTCGTTCGTGTGAGCTGGCCAACCGATGCAACGAACCTGTAGACGCCGTTGGTGATGAGGACATGGTTCTTTTCTCGTCGCTCGGCGATCAGATGGGTAAAGTTGGATCCGGCGGTGATCATCGCGGCCGACCTGATGATCTGCATCGACACCACGATGACGAAGCCTAGAACGTCCCCGGCCCGCCGCCCCCGCAGAGTAAAGAAAGCACAGCATTGATCATGAGCAAGGACTCAACCAGTGACTCACACACAGTAGCATTCGCCCATTTGCAAAGCCGGGTACGCTTGGACGCATCCTCTCTCTCTCTGCATAACACAGACTGCTCTATTCCAGCGAGATGATAGCGCAGTAACTGGATTAGGCGTTCTTACCGAGGAGATTCATCATACCCATACGCTTCATGTTGGGCCAGAAAAACGACTCTATGACGAATTCTACCACACATGCACTCATGGCAAAGTGATACTGAGGGCTGTGGTTGAACAGGAAAGCTGCAGACGCCCGTGCAAAGCGACGCACGGCGAAGGAGGTCGCAGTGACGAGGACACATCGGCGCATTGAGTCAGTTGCTGCTTCCATACCGAGGTCGGTACGAGACCCAGACAGGAGACCGCGGAGATCCCACCAGACAGATCCGCCTCCCCAAAGCAAATGGAGGATGCATCTGCAAAGGCCACTGCTTACACTGGAGCGTAACGTCCCGTCGATACATTGCGGTGCTGATGTACTCCATCAGATGGAACATTGCCAGAGAGGCAATAAAGAGGCCGATGGGGCCGAAGCGAGCAGACACCGCGCCGACAGCGAGTCCCAGGCCGATCAAGAGGCCCATCGCAGCAGCGTAGATGGCCACATTCTGCGGCGTATGAGCGCCGTCCAGAACAGGAAAGCCCATAAACCCACATCCGTAGCCATGCGAGTGGCGGGAGTGGTGCGGAGGACGAGCAAAGCTGGTCCTGGGCGATGAGTTGGAGGATGTCGACGAGCCCGAGTCGGACCGCGTGAGCGGAGGCGAGTCCAGCCGGATGGTTCCGTTCGAGAATGCGCTCATCTGGGGGCTGGGCGGATGGAGGGGATACTATGAGATTCTTATGGCCCCGAAACGACAGACGGCTGTGGCTTTGGACGAGACGATGGCGGCTCGAGGTCAAGACGGGCAGGGTAAGCGCAGAACAGCCGTGGTTTGGGCGCGCGTGGCGCGGGCGGCTTCTGGATGGCACCGCCTGCCCGAAACAGAATGTGGGGCTTCAGCGGATTCAGGACATGGTGGGTTCCAAGCACAGCGGGATACACCATTTCTTTCGACCACGGACGACCAAGTGGGCCAAGTCATAGAGTCCGTCTGGGACTCCTAGATCTCTGCAGTCGACATCTCATCGACAGAATCCATCCCAGTGCGAGCGCTGATCGGCGCCATTCAGCCAGGCAACTGACTGATCAACAACCTCCAACACCACCCAGCCCTCACATCGCGATGACGAAGGACGAAGCAGATATCGCGGGTCATGGGCTGCTACACAGAATGAACCATGCATTCCAAAATGGTCCAATGTTCTAGGAGTCGCTGGTTTGGTCCTGCCGCCTCATTTCGTCCAACGCCGCCTGAAGGTCATCCTGGGAAACGACTGCATCTATCGCGCGAGTAATCTAAAGCGGGAGGGGCCTGCGTGAGCAAGGTATTGCAAGGCAAAAGTACAAGGAAATAGGAACTGGACGGCAATCGATAAAATGGTCCTTGATGACTGCATGTACGCCATCCATCGCTCTGCAACACTGCCCATACCTTGTCCTGGTCCGATTGACGATGGAACGAAACGAGCACTGCCCGTCGGACCATGTCTTGGATGTCGGCGCCTGAAAACCCCTTCGTCTGCAGAGCCATGGACTTCAAATCGGCTTGGGGCGATAGAGACAGCGACCGTGTCACCGTTCTCAGAATGTCGAATCGCTCTGCATCATCCGGCAATCCGACGGCAATCAGCCGGTCGATGCGGCCGGGCCGCAGCAGAGCCGGATCCATTCTTTGTGGATGGTTCGTCGCAACCATGACAACGATCTTGTCGTGGGGCCATTCAAGCGAGTCGATTTCAAAGAGTAGCTGAGAAAAGATCTGTGGCAGCAAAGCACGGATTCAGAGTGAGGCGAGAGTGGCTGGCTCAGAGTTCATGGGAGATGTCCGTCAAGCGGCGCACTGGAGAGCTTGAGCGCACGCAAAGAGTGCTTTGTCTCGAGGATGCGCTAGCGCTGCTCCTACCTTCTGATTCAGATCTCCAGAGTTATCGCGGTCGCTAAACAGGCACTCCACCTCATCGATGAAGATGACGCAGGGCTGACATCGTCGTGCCGTCTGGAAAAGCGCTGCAATGGCCTTCTCGGACTCTCCGACCTTGATTTGATACAGAGTTAGGTCCATGGAAGATATGCATGCTGCAGATGCACTTGCACCCAGAGCACATGCGGCGCCAGAGACAACCCTTTGTTCCAGAGCAAGTGTCCGGGTCTTCCTGCACGCTTGGGGTGGGGCTTACCTCGCCTTTTATCAGCGATGATATCGAAACAGGCAGGAACTGGGCGTGGGCCTCAGAGGAGACTGCCTTGGCCAGCATTGTCTTTCCGGTGCCAGGAGGGCCGTACCTGGGAAGCGTCAGAGACGGTGTCGCCTTTGATTGTTAGCCGATCGTTGCTCGTGCCGCTCAGAGACAGAATATCCCTGCTTGATGTGCTCTGGCAGCAGTACGTACAGCAGCACTCCTTTGGATGGCCGGATTCCAAGGGCTCGAAAGTCTGCCTCGCGACGATAAAACCAGACCGCGCTTTCTTCCAGAAGGCCCTGCAAGCGCAATTGCGTCAACTTGATTGTCCTCAAAGCGTCTCTTGGCGTCCCATGCGACAGAGGAAATCAATACCTTGATGTGACTGTGTCCACCAATATCCGACCACGCCACTGAGGCCACTTGGTTCATCTCGAAGATATCCGACGATACATTGTGTCTGACAATCTCAAAGGCTTGATCAAAGAGACAGTCCAAGTCGATGGTGACTGGATCTGGACCCAAACGTACCATCGACCATGGCCCAGACATTGGTATCGAGAATGTCCAGACAACGGCATTGACATTGGGATTAGCATTGTCATCGATCGATGCACAGACCGACAGTGCTATCACGGACATATTCACATCGGCGTTGCAATGTCGGGATAGAATTGACTGCATCTGTGCCATCCATCCCATAACTTCAATCGATGCAAACAGTCTAGTGTCCCACAGCGTCTCGGCATGACTCGTTTGTCTGTCCTGCAAACATGGCCTGTACGGGGCCGTTGGAAGTACCTGGCGACGCAAGCCGTTCGCATTGGATGCTAAAGGCAACCAGATCGGCAAAGGTCCAGCCGTGGCACTTTTTCGATATGCCTTGCAGCTGTTTCTCGATGGAGCCGTTGGCACCCCGGTCGAATCGAGAGAATCGAGAAGGCTGCGCGAGAAACAGCAAGAACTCCAGTCGTTGCGATGCATTCGGAAGGGCCATGTGAATAGTCTCCTGGCAAACCGGGTGGCATATTGAGAATAGAAGGAAGCAGGCGATCAATGAGCAAGAATCGCATGTCCTCGCACATACCTCATCGGTATGCAGCGCTGATGTCGTTCCGGCACACGCTCTGTTGCCAATACGAAAGTAGTGGCACTCAAATCTGTCGCCATTCCCAGCACCCCGGAGGGTCGATTGTTGCCGAGACTACCTGGAAGATCTTGCGAACGGCTGGGTGCAGATCGGTCGGGCTGTAGCAGGTTCCTATGATCAGCTGGGCCTTGGAAGCACTCGCCCGGCGAGCACAGTCCAGAAGCTGGTTCAGCCGGTGCAGGCGAATGGGGTCCAATGACTTTGTCGGAAACATCGTTCCGATACTGTCGAGCAGGGTAACGCTGAGCTGCGGGTCCGGACTCGGTGGGATATCCGGGCACGGGCGCTGTTGCCGCACTGCGTCTTTCCGGATGTCGATGCTTGTGATCTGTGCATTGGGAGGGGCGGCCTGAGGACCATCGACCAGGCGCTGCAGGTCGGCGCTGACGGTACATGGTGGCGAGGGCATACATCGGGCTGCGAAGGGACAGCTCACCTCGGCCTGGAACTGGCTGGCCATTTCTTTGATCATTGCCTTCTTGCCTGCGACCGCAAATAGCCCGAGTCGATCGGAGGAGGATCAGCCGCGAGCAGTGACACCGAGACAATCGTCGAAACGGAATGCTTGCTTGCACTGCCCTCGTGGTTTCGCTATCCCTATGCTCAGCTGCTTCACCTGTTCCGGATCGCCCGGCAATCAACACAAAGTAACATGTTGGGGGCGCAAGCGAGGACAGCTCGAAAAAGTGACGTAGCCGGTCTGCTGCTGGGCCAAAGGCTGCCAGAGGAAGCCGCGGCCGGTCGGCGCTCGCGAAGCCGAACATCGGAGGTATGGCCGATATCTGCCAGTAATTTCGAATGTCCGTCGCTGCTTGTCGCTGCTTTTCAGTGCCGCTCGTTGCCTGTGGGTCCTTCCCGGTGCAGGTCGGGCTCGGCAGATCGTGGAGAGCAATCTCTTGGGCGGGCCCTGGCGAGGCCGAGAGCCGATCGCCAGCCAATCGCCCCTTCTCTGCTCCGACTCTTCCCTTGCCCGACTCGTCTCTCATTTCCTGGCCCCCCAGTTCGTTTGGGCACCGCCATCCCAAGCAGCTGCCGTCTCCAGCCTGCCCAAGACGACGACCCAAGAGCTTCTGCAACTCCCACCCACCCACTCGCAGCCAACCAACCGGCCATGAGCATCCACCAGTCGCTGCAATCCGGCTTGGCTCGGACAGCCTCGATGGACAAGCCGATCGAGAGCCGCACGCGCAAGCTTTCGGCAACCCAAGCACCCCCGCCTCAACAGCTGCTGCTCATGTCCCAGGCGCCGGCCTCGACCGAAACTGCTCTGTCGTTGCTGGCCACTCAGCGAGAGAAAAAATCCCAGCAGAAGCTCTCCATCACCAACAACTACTTCCTGCCCATCAAGCAGCTGATACGGCAGGGCAATCTGGCCCAGCTCAAGAAGCTCTATTCCGAGAAAAAGTTCCCCCTGCAGATGCCAGACCCACAGAACGGATGGTAGGCACTGCAACGACTGACTGGGCACAGACTTCTTGTGTTCTTGGACCCTCGAACGAATGCTGCCGTGGATGCCAATGCGCTGTGGGTCTGGACAGCAGAAACATCCAGGACCCGAGGCCCTAACCGACCAAGACGCCTTTATTGCGCAGGCCGGGGCTGTTCTATGCAGCTGCATATGGTCAGAACGACATTCTCAAGTTTTACCTCGATGCTGGGCACGAAGCCGAGAAAACTGCGGTGGTAATGGTGGTTGGGAGCGCCGACCAAGAGCGGCGAAAGGGGCGGTCTGTTCTGGTCTTGGCTCAGGACGTTGTTGGCCAGGAGCTTCCACAGAAAGTCGACAGCAAACTCGTGCCCCAATGCTGATCCGCCCGTCTGTCTGTCTCTCTGTCTCCACCAGGATCTTCGAGGAAACACTGCCCCGATGGTTGCCGTCGAGCATGGCAATGAGCAGGTGCCCGCATCCGCTAGAGCTGTTGGATCCGACCGGTCGAGCCGAATTGCCTCGCTGTCGTTGCTTCGTTGGACGCAGATCCTCAGTCCTCACGCCATGAACGTCTTTCGCGGATCCAGGGCTTTGCCATGTACTTTGAAAGGTTCCCCAAGGTCCTGGACATATGCAACCTGAACGAAGAGACACTCCTTATTCTCGCCGTACGGAGAGGTCTCACCAAGGCCGTGAATGTGAGGACTGCACTGCCGGCTCGGATGCATCCCTGTATTGATGTCGGCATCATGCACCAATATCGCAAGCACACCCTGTGCTCACCAACAGGATTCCTGTCGTCTGGCGCGAGACTGAGCATTGTTTCTCACAGACACTTCTTGATGCTGGTGCCGAGATCAACAAACCCGACAAGGCTGGAAATACCCCGCTTCACCAGTGAGTCAACGCCGCCTGGTGGTCGAAACCAGATGGCTCCGAAGTCGATCGTTGCTCATCATGTTTTCTCCACATTAGCGCTCTGGCTTTCGGACACTTTGATCTGATCGCCCTTCTGATCGAGCGGGGCGCGGATCCCAAGATCAAGAACAAGCTCGAGTGGGTGCCGCTCGAGTACGCCTACTCGTTTGAAGTTGCTGACTACATGCAAGGTAAAGCGGCCTTTGGGGGGGGTGTAGTAGCGAAGGGCCGCGGCCAGGCAGGAGCCCCAATCTGAGCACTCCTGGGGTGCATTGGACTGAATGCCTCGGCCGTTCCTCTTGATCGCAGAGTGCCTTTGTGCGCACTCTGAGCACAGATCCTTGCGGCGAAAGGACACAAACACAACTCACTCAAGTCTCGGCCAGGGATCGGCCCAGCCAGACGCTGTCCGAATGCTCTTCGACCGAGGCGTCTGACAGGCACCACTACAGAATGGATCGGCACGAGCGCTGATTCGATCGAAGCCACTGCCAAACTCGAGTGAGCCGCCGCTGCAGGATAAGGTTGCTCCTTGATTTGAGCGCTGGTTGTCATTTTCTGGAACCTGAACCTGAACACGCACACGTCTGCCCGGCATGCAGTCGGAAGCAATGGCATGCGATGGGAAGCAATGGCATGCGATGGGAAGCTATGGCAGTTGGTGGGAAGCTATGGCAGTTGGTGGGAAGCTATGGCAGTCGGATCAGCGACGACGAACCAGCCATGCGGTGGCTGCTTGCTGGCCGCTCTGCCCAGAAAGGAAGGCGGTCTGCTGCGCACACGGGCTTCTCGGCGAGAAGGGCATCACGCCCCGAGAGCGCCGTCGCGGTTCTCGCCTGAGATCGCACTATCAATTTTTCCGGCCTCCTCGCGGCTGCTCGTCTCGGTCACCTGAAAGTCACGTTGTATGTGGCGCAGCAAAGTTGGAATCCGGCCATGGTCGATTGACGGCATTTGACTCCCTTGTGCAAAGTGTGTGTGTGTGACGGCGAGAGGCTTCTCGCCTTCCCTCGGGGGTCTCTCGCCAGAGACTGCTCTTCTCGCCGACCGAGGTGGCTCCGAGAGCGAGTTTTTTCGTTCTCGCTCAATTTTTAACAAGAAATTTTTTCATAGTGTTCATGGACATTCGGCCCAGCCGGCCTCGCAAAACGCACTGCCCATCTGCATCGACTCTGCGGGAATGGACTGGGTACCGCAACCACACAGCCCCGTGCGATGGGAGCGGGCTCACGGAGGTACGCCCTGTCGCTCTCGCGGCGATCCTGCGTACTCGCTTCGCCCTGGTACTGCCATAGCACTGCTGCCCTGACGAAGGTGCCCCGCGTCTTCAACCGGATCATAGGCAACATCCCTGCCAATGCCGTGCCTGGCGGATTCGAGGTTGACGGAAGGCCGCTCTTCATCGCACGGGCCGATATTTTTGTAAGATTCTGGGCTACCGTCCCAAGGTCGTTGCTGCTTGGGTGAGGGCGGCCTCGACACCACCCTGGCAGCGTCATCTCGCCATTGCCATCGTTGTGCCATCGTGGACTGATCTTCGCTGCCACATCCAATGCCCGGTATTACCCTTTGCCGTCTCAGGGCGGCTTGCACCCGGGCAAGTGCGGTGCCCATCTGAAGGGTGCGACGGTCTCTTACGGCGACCTCGAGTATCATGTGGTCGACTATGATGTTCTGGTCGCCGACGGCAACTTTGCCGACCACTTCATCTGGGTCGTGTGCACCGGCGAGTTCAATCCCGGCCCTTCGGGCGGCACCGAGCCCGAATACATGATTGCCGGATACGAAGCCGGGACATATGGAGCGCCTCGCTACATCATCCAAGGCAAACAGTTGAGTGCCGCTGCTGTGCTGCAACTACTTTTGCTTTGAGTATCCTCTAATATTGGCCGCGCATCGATGTGTCCGTGTGATCAACAACAGCGAGGGCGGTGTTCATCCGGGCAAAGCAGGTACGGCACAACCCTCGTTGTCGCTGTCGGCACCAGCGGGTGTCATTCGAGCGATCGGGTGGTGAGGCGAGCGCCGAGCACCACCGGATCCGCTGATTGCCGGCTCATGGCTGTTCCAGGTCCTGGCCTTCCCTGCGGCCTCATCCCGTATGGCGACAAGGAGGTCTACTGCAAAACCTACAGGGCACTCAAACGCATATTCCCGCCGGCATGAAAACGAAGCAGCCGCAGGCTCGCTGGCGATCGACTGTCCGGCACAAACGACGCTGCGAGCCGATGCAAGGCGGCTCGGCTGATTGACGCATGAGCCTCGGGGAGAACGGGTGATTCATGTGATGCCGACGCTCAATAAAAGCTGTCGGCCGCCCGCCTCGACCGGCCTTCCACATCTGCCCACGATGAAGTTGCCCCTCTCCGAAGGCATCTCGACCGAGATCGAGGCGGCTCTCGAGCTCGAATGTGTGTTTGCTGCGTCTGCCGCTCCGGCTGGCCTCTGGCCCTGCTTCTAGCCCTGCTTCTGGCTCTGCTTCGTCGCTTCTGCTGCACCCGCCGGGATATTGGACCGGAGATGCCGTGCTGAACCCCGCTCCTCTGATCGCCAGATATCGATGCCGATCTCTACAGAAGCAGACATCTCTGGCTTCCCGTGGGGGCTCGCGGTGTATATGGTCGGTATTGTCGGCCAAAGATGTCCCACAGCAGATCCATGCCCTTCTCCCATGCTGCCGCAGCTGCATTTTGCCGATGATGCAGCTTTGAACCGACTGCGACCATAAGCCTCTTCGCTCGCTCACCCATCCACTCGGCTCGCTGCTGGATCCAGGCGGCCAGGTCGTTGGCTTGGCTCTTGCTGCCGCCACAAAGACAGGTATGTCGGCTCTGCGCTCCTGAGGAGTCGCCTTATCTCTGCTGCCCGCATATCGCCGTTCCTGCATTTCTCCGCTCGCTTTTGCTGCTGCCAACTCGCAAAGCGGCCAAAGGGCCCATCTAACGTGAGGCTTCCCTCTTCCGCTCAAGTTCCTCCCACGCATCACGTCCATGTACGTTCGCAGATTGCCGTCGGCGTCGGCATGGCAAGAGTCATGCATCAGCTTCTCATGGCGCTTTTCTTGCATAGTCTCTCCATTCCTACTTTATTCTCCCCGGCGATGCAAACATCCCCATCATCTACAAGGTGATTCGCGTGAGAGACGGTAAGTCCCCGCATTTCAGCGTCCTCTGCCCAACAGCCAGGGACTTTCGGCATCCATATCCCCGACTGACTATCGCGCTCCAGGACGAACCTACGTCACCCGCATCGTGAACGCCAGCCAGAAGGGCAAGATCATATTTTCTTGCATCTGTTCTTTCCAAACATCCGAGGATAACGCCCTCGATCACCAGGTTGTTGCCCCTGGGCTCCATATGCATCCGTGTCCCTGAGGCATGTCCAGCCGCCGTCTCGGCATCTAACACCACTGTCGTCTTCAGTACGAGATGCCCCAAGCACCCCATCCAGACTCTATTCCCTCGTAGGTTTCATCCGAGCTCAGATGCTTTGGCATGACTATTTCCTTCGAGAGTGGCCTTCCCTGGCCGCACGCTGCTCCGTTCGTCATGCTGTTGACCGTTTCTTCCACGCGGTCCATTCACATCCCACTGTCGCTCACCATGACCAGCGAGGAAGATGAACTGAACTATCTGCTCAAGCACCCGGAAGTGTCGTCCAGCTCTGCTAGTCTGATCAAGATGAGGCTGAAGCAGGTGAGGGTGCATCTCGAAGGCAGCAGCATTCACAAGTCAGCAGATTCTGCACAGGGCCTTCTGCGCGTCCGCGAATGCCCGAGAAGACGTCTGGCTTTGTGTGTGCCGAAGTACTTCCCGTCGGAGGACTTTTTGCCTGCCGAAACGGTCTTGAGTGATGTTAAAGCACCAACCTTGGCAATCCCAGCCAAGGCCGGAACACTTTGAGTAATCGTTGTCGTGGTTGATCCCCGTTATAAAGCCTATCCCGATCGAGGCCAAGCTCATTCGCGAGACTGTCGAACCGCTTTCGGCCTGGCGAGCCCCGGAGAAACGAAAGCCAAAGCAGGTACGATACCCCAGTGCCGGAGCTGTGCATGTGCATTTTTCTCCATGTCGTCGGGCAATCCACTATGGCGTTCACGGTCTATCGATGCAGATATTGACTGATATATGGGCATCCGACCCTCTCATTCCGATTCCGATTCCGATTCCGATTCCGCAGCTGGCCTGGATGCGTGCCAAGGGCAAGCTCCCCGATGCACTCTCTGTTCATCATGTATGCCCAACTCTCGAGCATCACCCGCGTGCTTGCTTTTCTGCAATCGCAATGCACTGACTGGATGCCCAACTCTTGTCACAGTGCGTTGCGGCCTACTGTTCCGACTATTATCTGCTCAACACGAGCCTTCTTCCCCACGGAATCACTCGATTCTCGACTCCAAGGCTCCAAATGATCGCCAGCCTGGACCATACCATTGTAAGCGATTATTACTCTTGCCGGTGTCTCCCGACTATGGCTGGATGGCTCTGCCCGCTGCATTTATGCATGTGATTCCTATTGTTTTGTACTGAAGCGCATCGCTCTGTGCGATGCGATTTGCTCTCTTAGTGGTTCCATGAGCCTTTTAGGGCGGACGAATGGCTCCTCTACGAAATGGAGGTAAGGATTACCGAGCACCCCCTACTTCGCCATATTCCAGTTGGTTCGCGATGCTAATCACCTGTGCTCCGAAATACAACTAGAGCTCGAGAACGTGCGGCGGTCGTGGCTTGACATTCGGACGCATCTTTACTATGGATGGACGCCTCGTCATGTCTTGTGCCCAAGAGGGCGTCATCCGAATCGAGAAGATATCCAAGGGCATCTCGGACAGCCCTGGAAACCAAGACGACGAAAGCGGCAACACCGTTGCAGCCAAGCTTTGAGCATGTCCCCATCCCCAACACTCCTCCCTCGCTCCAGTGCCCATGCTGTTGTGTGCTCTGGCCCAGCACCTTGATCCGCTTCCTTAATTTTATCTTCATCCACGCACTCCCCCGCCTTGTGCCGGCAACGGCTTCGTCGAGAGCCGTTGCTTTGTCGCTCTGGCTATATAAAAGGCAATCATCGATTGGATTTCCTCATTTCTCTTGCCACTCTACGCGTGAAAACAGTGCCAAGTGTGTCCATTGGAGTTCATCACTGCTCCAGATCGAAACAGAGCGCCCTGGGCGATGCAGCTAGTGGCTCCGCTTGGGCCTACGGGATGTGAAAAGATCAAGGCAAGGACGAACTTCCTGGTTGCCACTCGCAACAGGAGCCATGGGCTGGAAGCGACCCGATGCATTTCTCCAGATTCTGCTTACCCCACATCAGAGTGATTTGTCTATCTGCAGCAATCAATCGATCACGGGCCTGCGACTATTACTGAGCCGCCACTGCTCCAATGTTTCCGTTCTGAGGGTTGCACTGCCTTTACATTTGGTAACGTCGCTCTGATCTATTGCTCCTACCAGTTGACTGGGCACGTTGTATCGCTTCTTTGGCAATGTCCAGCACCTCCCATGGTCCAGTCTCGAGCGGCGCCTTTGGCGACGATCTGCTGTCGCGAGCGGCTGTACCGGCTGCCCGAAGCCGCTCGGCAGCTAGTCTGCACCTTCGAGTTGAGGACAGCCCGTCTTCCCAGCCACGAAGCCAGTCGCTTCTCGAGGGCATCCACAACAGAGCAGACTCGGGCTCGCCGACCCTTCGAGGTGCGCTGAACAGCTCGGGAAGCACCAGGCCCAGATCAACAGCACCCGACCAAAGCATCCGTGCAGCCGGTGTGAGAACTGAGCCGACAGGGCCGAGAATCCCCGTCGCTGCCTCTCCAGAGACCACCCGTCGGAACATCGAAAAGGAGTTTGCCGATCTGCTGGACCCGAGTATTCTTCCCGAAAGCCACCCACGACAAGCGCCGCGCCTGAATATCGTCGACGACAGGGACGAGTTGCTCGAGCGGCTCAAGCAAGAGCTCATCCCACGCGTAACAATTGCGCCGCCGCTGGAAACGAAGGACCGCCATTCTCGCACTCGCCAGAGCACGGACGGCTCCAGCGACAGCTCGGCATCTTCGGCATGCTCGTCCCCAAAAGACAACCTGCCCTATCAGCGAGACGCATATAGGTCCATTCGCGCCGAGCCCTCCAAGCCCGTCGGTGCCGTCCCGGCGTCGGCCAAGCGACCGGCCCAATCTCGGGCCGACCTTTTCTTTGCCCCGCTGCCACCTCCATCTTACAAAACTGCTCGGGCCACCCCCGGACGTCCACTGTGGGATCCTGCTCTCACCGCCTCTGCCCCGGCTGCTCTTGCCACAGCGACTTTGCTCATGAACTCGGCATGTTTGCCAACCACGCACCTGCCTATCGGTGCGGCTCCCACCCAGGTCTTTGCGCCCGACCCCTTGGCACATCTCGATGCGCTCTCGGTCAGCTCCAGCCGCAGGGGGCGCGTCCATCGTGAGAAGAAACATCGCAAGAAGAAGCGGCATCCGACCAAGCGCCATCGCCCGTCCTCTCCCGCGGCACACTCAACTGTTCCGGTGTCGCTACCGCTGCTGAATATTGTCAAGGCACGTCTTGCCGAAATTACCGCATTTGCAAAGGATCAGGCTGTTCAGATTCGTGCGCTCGAGAGCGAACTCGGTAAGTCCCAGGAGCAACTGCATGCCCTGGCAGACTTGTTCGAGTCGACAAAGCACGAGTCCAAGGCCAAGCACCAGCAGCAGGAAATCACCATCCGCGCTCTGAGAAAGGAGTTGGTTCAGATGGAGGCCAAGATCAACAAGGGTCATTCGACCCAAATTCGGGAGCTAGAGCTGGAGTTGTACAAGGAGAAGCTGCACTGCAAGTCGCTTGAGGAGGCAAAGGCGGGTCTGGAGCAAGCTATCGCCAAGGAACGGACGCGGCACGAGCAGTCTTCGAAATCCCGTCACGAGCAGCAGATAAAGCAGATCATAAAGCAGCTCGAGGAGGTCACTGAGATTGAGCGTGCCCATGAATCTCAGGAAAGGCAGACGCATGAGATTCTACAACTGTGCCAGCTTTCAAAGGGACGGATCCAGGAGACGCACCAGCATCTGGATCTGCTCACCAACAAGCTCAAAAAGTCGCTCAGAGTCAGCGCGAGCGGTGCTGAGGATTAGTATCGCTGCCCTCAAACTAGGGCGACAAGTTGACTGATCCGCGTGTAATGGATCGGTGGCGAAAGTTGCGGCCGCAGCCGGTGCGCTGCGTCGACAGCATTAGGCGAATACATGAGGACGGTGTCGCAATTCGGTGTTGCTGGAGTGTGTTTATTGGACGAGCGGGCGTTTGTGCCTTTGCTGGGCTCACAATACACTACCATATCCGCATACTTCGAGAGTTGTGCTCTCGCATGGCAGCTCCATGTTGTGTGACAACCATGATGGTCAATGGCTGCAGGTGTCGGCTACCTTATGACCCTCGTCGCTCGGTGCTGACAGGTCTTTGGAAACCGAAGCCTGAAAAATCGAGGCTGCGTCGCACATAATCTCATCTTCGGATGGCCTTGCGGATGTGCCGCCAATAGTACACGAAGCCAAAGCCAGCGCCGGCAAGATGGGCAATAAAGTTGGTGCGGCTTTGCTGGTTCGAAAAGTGGCCCCACAGATCATGCAGAATCAGGCCGACGGTCGCCAGATATGCAGGAATGGGAATGAAATAGAGATAGATCGTGGCCAGCGGGTTGAGGCAGGTGAAGATGACAATCGCCGACATGGTGTTGCCCGAGGCGCCCAGGCTCGAGCTCACAGGGACTGGGACGTGGCTTCGCGAGAACTCGGTCGACGCCTTGTAGTACTGGTAGATGAGCGTCAGGAGCGACGTGGGGGCGCTGGCCAGGAGGTAGATCGACAGAAACCGAGCGCTTCCAAGGAATGCCGCCACCTGGACGACAGATGCGGTGGAGGACGTCCCGTTAGCACATACGCTCCCATCGTCACCAAGCGCAGACATCTACAGACGACCGCAAGTGCAGATAGGTACATACCGGGATGCCGAAAAAGTAGAGAGTCATCATATTGACAAGCAGATCTAGTAGTAGACGACCAATGGGGGTCCGTTCAGAGGCCAGTCGAGGGCAGCTCTTGGGCTGTTGGCGCCGCCAACGACGGCGAGTCCCGCATACATCGATGTCGAGCACCTCGCAGACCAGCCCGCCGTGGTCGCTCCTCCAACTTACGCATAAACTCCATGTGCGAGAACGAGGCGGTAAAGATGGTCCACCATCGGAATTGCTCGACGGTCGATGGCCAGCTGATCATGAAGTTCTTGTACCTGACGATGCAAGATCGAGGTCACTCCGGATGAGGCAAAAGACAGGCACCACAGATGGGACTCAAGCCGGCATTCCGCATCGCCATGTTTCGGAGCATTCAGCAGATCCTAAGCACACTCCGTTCGGATGCTGCCAGCGGCTCCTGCCTGTGCTTTGTTGCAGATCTGGCATATATTGCCATATCGCCTGCACACCAGACTCACATGAATTGCAGCAGCTTGTAGTCCCGGAACTCTTTTGCATTCTTCTGAGCATAGAGCCAGACAAGATACACTGAAGTTGCGCAGAGCCGGATGGCGAAATATGAGCAAAAGCAGCTGGATCCATGAAGCCATCTCGAGTGTCGCGGACTGGGTCTTCAGACAAACCACGCAGCCCCGCAATTTACCTGCACAGTTGATGCCGATGATGCCATAAACTACATATTCGGGACTGAACCATTTGGAGTTGGTGAACCGCCGCAGAGTCCGCCTCCATTCGGTGGGGATCTTGTTCTGCGGCTGCTTCGACAAAGACGCAAATGGGCGCTGCGCTACCAGCGACGATACCGAGCAACGTGCTGGAGCCCTCCACATGGATGTCTTGAGTCTCGAGGTAATCAGAGAACCGGGCCCGGAAAGCATGCTGGGTCGACTCCACGGTTGCTTGGCTTGTTGGGCGAGCACCCACATGCTGCATCGCTGGGGCGCTGGACTGAGTGCCGAAACAGATCGGGTCCAGGGCGAGGCCCGCAGGATCGAGCGAACCGGGGCCGACAGCGCTACCCCAGTCCGCGAGAATAGGCCCATCAGTATCCTTGTCGCCGCGGCCATTGCCGTTTTGCAGTTGACGGTGCTGGATCGGTGAGATCAGGGCAGAGCACAGGCAAGTGCGGCTGGCATCGGCTCCAGATGCCGCCCTCCGTTCTCGTCTGCTCTCGCCTGCTCTCGTCCGCTCTCGCTCTCGCCGAGACGGTGTTGATCGTTCTTCCCACCAAGATCGAAACCGACGACGCTGCATATGCGCCCCACGGATCGCCTGACAATCAACCCCGGCGATCGTCAGGGTCGACGAGAGGCACGATACCAGTTTCGATTCCAACGAGCAACGCCCGTCTCAAAAGCATCCACGCTCCGTCGACATGACCGGCATCGAGAGCCAGCGCCCGGGCAGTTCCATGAGCAACCGATCGGAGCCATTCAGGAGGTATCTGCGAGCATGTCGAGATGCGAGTGTAGACCTGCTGCGGGTGCATCGATATATTTGGTCCACTCGATGGATATATAGGCTCTGTTCGCCGACAGCGCTGCCCCGCAGCCAGTATCCTAACGCTAGATGCGCCGTATCATCACGACCGCCACCATCGCGGCATCCTCAGGATGCGCCAGAACTTCATGATCGACCAGGACCTGTCCAAAATCTTCGTATCTCCGATACCAACTGGCGGGATCGGAACATCTCTGCCGTTGTACTCGGGCCTGGACGATTCCATCGGTGAGCACGAGACACATCCGCTGATTCCGCCGGCAACCATCAAGACCAAGACAATCGCGGGAATCGTGCTGGATCTCAACCAGAAAGACTCAGCCGCTGCTTCGAGGCGGAGTCAAGCGTCGGCTCGCGGTTCGGTGCTGTATCCAGGCGATAAGACCAGACCGAGATTTTTGGTCCAGTTGCTACGATGTCTGCAAGAGGAACTCAGGGTGACTGGCGGTGATGGGTGAGTGCTCGCTGGAGGCTTTGTCTGCCGCCGTTCCCACGCCAGGGTGCTGACCAAGGCGGCTGTTGCACGGTGCGTCCACGGCAAAGGCTCAATGCAGGGCATCCTGTGCGCCTGCAAATCTATCGAGAGCTCTTCGGTAAGGTTCTTCTGGCGGCTCACGATCGCCGGGTGCTCTTGGGGTGCATGCGAGGCGAGCTGCACGCGCCAGGCTGATCAAACTCTGGCATTCATTTCATGCGTCCGAAATGCCGTCTCTCCGATCGGCGCAGATCAGTTCATTCAAGAATTCAAGACGTACGAGTCGATTCTCAGCGATATCAAGAACGAGTATGAGGCGTGCATCAGCGCGCAGGACGTGCTCTTGGAGAATCTATATCCTACCCATTCTGAAGCTGACCATTCTTCGAGCCACCGTCCTGTTGATGAGCAGTGTAGTCGCCGAGCCCGAAATACTCCTTAACTCTGCTGTGTCGTGGCATGGCGTGCCACTGAGCCCATGAGGTCAAAGCTGTCTGTTCAGGTCTATCAAGCCTCGAGGGAGCTCGAAACCCTCCGCGAAGACATGCAGTTTAGCCTGGATACCGAGAGGTAAGGTGGCTCTGCCGGACATTGCGGGTCTTGGCGACAGCTGCACGACAAACCAGTACGCTGACTGCGCTCCATTACTGGCTAGGGAGAAGAACGAACACCTCTCGGTGCAGATGCATGCTCTGAAATCCCAGCTCGATGTTGTCCATGAAGATTATCGGCGAGTTTCGGATCAGTTGAACAGAAAGGAGACCGAGTACCGAGCTCAGGTTGAGTGTGATGCTGTGACGGATAAATTGCTGGTTCCGATGATGCATTCAATGTACCGCTCTACGTCTGCAGTCGCTAATTGGTGCCTTTGACGATACGGTGATATGGCGATGCGACGATACACGTTGCCTGCTACAGTCATTCCTTCGCGACAAGGTCAACGAGCTCGTTGAGGAGAATGAGCGGCTACAGAGAGACTACGGCGAGAAGCTCCGAGAAAAGGAGGAGAGCCTTGAGGAAGTTCGAAAAGAGAACCGAAAGCGTAAGCTCTGTCAAGATGTGCTCAACGCACTCGGCTATCGGGCAGCGACAGCGGACCTGTCGGCAATATTGCTTGTCTGATGATGGAGGTATTCACAACAGCTGGACTGCTCAGTCTCGTCCCAGAGCAACGTCTCCAGCCAAAGGATCATGGACTTGGAGGCGGAGCTGCAGAATTCCGTGGACATGGAGTCGTTCAACCAGATCGAACTGGACCTGCGAAAAACCCAAATCGACCTTGAAAACCGCACGAAAGAAGTATCCAGCCAGGTACGTACTCCGGGCAGCACCCGATAGTATGTGGCATCCGTTCCTTGCTTGCTCACTGTATGTTGATATCGGACGCACATCATTGAATCGACAGGCGGTAGCACTTGCAGAGCTCGAAGCCAAGTTGAAAGAGAAGCTTGCAGAGCTCCGCAAGCGCACAGATGAACAGGTGAGTATGCTGTATGGTCGCAACTCAGAAGTGCGCGCGGAAGATCGGATGGACTCAAGATCCTTCCACTACATGTCCTTCAGTTTCCGAACTGGGACTATATCCAAAGCATGTGTCCTTTCAGCATCAAAGAGTGGGGCATGCTCTGCAAGGACTTGGACTTTCACGACACTATTGTAATCTTGTGTCGCAAGCTTGGAGAGGTGAGTCGTAGCATGGCTTGCTGCAAACATTGTCAGCGCGGCTGGCGTTGGCTGACCTTGCTCCATACGGATCGCGTTGATTAGCTCAAGAGCAAAGCATTAACTGACAAGCAAGCCGGAGATGACACCAGGTCAGTGGCATGTCTGATTTGCGTGGGTCCTGTATCCTGGCCAGTCAGCTGGTTTCTGATCAACCGTGCTTGCCAGAGCGGACGAAACACCCGGAGAGCCAAAGTACTTTATTGGTCTTGGCATATCCTCGGACATACCCAAGCACCTCCGGTAAGGCAGACCGTGCACTCACCCTCACTCGATCGAGTATCACCAGTGATGCGGGTCTACAGAGTCCGGGACACGGTTGATGTGCTTACCTGGCGTCGCTGTTGGGTGTCGATTCTGAACCAACGCAGCTACAAGGGCAAGATTCTCAACAGAAAGCTCTCAAAGAAGAATTGCTCGTTGTTGATCAAGGACACATGGGAGGCCAAGGCTCTGTATGAGTCCTCGACTCCGGGCAAAGGCACGCCTACCTCGGTTTCGGTGAGTTCAGGACAGAGGGTGCATGGCCTCGCCACCAGCCCTTCTACTAACAACCAGTTTCAATTTGATCCAATCAAAAGCTCGTGGAGTTCTTCTACATGTATCTCAAAAAGCGATTCGGCACCCAGGACATCATCGCCGAGTGGGCCTACAACATCTGCGAGGCTTGCAAGAAGTACCGAGTTCAGAGCAACACCTGCGCTCTGTTCATTGATGTCCTTGATGGTATGGTGTAGATTTGCCAATTTTACTTATTCATCGACGTGTGTCGCCTCGAGCTGAGTCGTGTATACTCAGATTTATGACTTGGTGCCTCTTTGGCTGTATCATTATCTGGACCGCTGTACTTTCCCCATTCACGCTCACATACATCGTTCAATGTCATAGGAGTCGTCAGCGAACGTGTATACCATCACCAAAAGCAAATGATTGCTCGTCTGAAGGACGCATTCTACCGCTACGATGTCACTTTGAACGAAGGGAGGGCCAAGGGAACGATACCAAAGTCAAAGGTTCCCTCTATTTTTGAGGAAATCTGGGGCCCTTTGAAGACTCAAAAGCAAATCGAGTATCTGACAAGTGTATGTGCTGGCGACACCCTTCCGCAAGTTTATGCGCTGTCTCCACCCTGCTACTCACGAGCCTCTGTCGAGTATCCTACAAAGTTATTTGGCTCCATTGATCACTTGTTTCCGTTGTTGGCTTCACCTTTGCTCATAGTTAGTCTGTACAATCCAGCGCCTACGCTCCCCGACAGTGTGCTGACGCTTACATCTGGCTCTCCAGGCGCTGGATTCGGATCAACCCGGACCCGTGGTGACTTATCGCTGGCTCTTCCACAGCGATGAGGACTGCATGTTCATAGACGTTGTGAAGGAGCAGGAGATTGAGATACGCGATGAGTATATCGTTGGACTGTTGGTCAGTATCGCAGAGGCTTGGTCTGCTATATGTCTGTCAAGTGAGCTGCCAGGGGATAGCGGGTATCTCCAAGTCGCACCCAAGATATGATACACGCCAGCTGATATATCTATTCAACATCTCGGGCACTTGGACAACGCCATCAACGATCGAACCGTGGCCTATTAGTCTGCACTCAACTCAATGTTCAAAGACAACAAGCTCTCTGCCCTAGATTACTCGCGGTGCATCAACAAATACGACCCCGAGAAGCGGAAGGCTGATGTTGATAGACTCTTATCGGACGGATTTGGAACAAGCACGCAAGAGGTCAAGCTCCGATCGATGATCGAAAAGGACAAGTTTTTGGCGGTGAGCACGGCCTGCAGACCCAAAATATGGATTCGAATGTCTGTGGCAATCCTTGCCCTTGGCGATTCTTCGGCGAGCTATTGGCTGACATTCACATCTTCATTTCCGCGCTAACCCACAGAACCTGAGAAAGGTGTTTGTGCAGAAAGGCTCTGTTGTCGAGCCGGTTTTACAAGAGAAGCCCTGAGCGACAACTAGATGCAACGACCGGTGTTCAACCTGCGGCTACCGGGTTGACACATCATCGAGTACTGCGCTTGAGCACATGGGTACAGGGTCTCATCCGAGTTGTGGCAACGGACATGTGTAGATATATTCAGAGATAGCAAACATAGCACAGCTTGTTTGGAACGAAACGGGAGAGTATCCCTGAGCGTCCCTGGCAGTACCCTGTTGGCCTCGGTGGACGGGGTGTATTCAGGACCAGAAAATAGCGATGTATCGGACTCAAACCAGGCACGGTGCAATCGCAATCCAACAGAAATGCATATTCCGATGCCGTGTTTGAGCCGGACAGACTCGAGTGTCGGAGGCCATACCACGGCAACAGATCAAATCATGATCTCGCGCTTGATATTCCTGACCTCGAATGTCCGGCTGTCAAAGTAGACCAGAACGGCCTTGGTGAACAGGTCGGCGCCCTTGTGCAGAAACTTCTTGGCCGCAATCACGGGCGTCATGCCAGAGCTAGTACCAGGTGCCGCGGTGTCGGCTGTGCTTCCGAGCTGGAGATCGCGGGCAAACTCCAAGAGCGGATGGTTGATTGTCACCACCATATGAGGGATCTGGACAGTAACCTGCATGGTCGCTGAGAGTTCGGCATCGATCTCCAGACCTGGGAGACTCGACCGAGGCTGGGTGGTCTGCGGCAGCACTGGTTTCCTGGACGACAGGCTGGGAACCGAGAAGGATCGCCGCATGTTCGTGGAGTCATCTGATTTGATTCTGCTGAGGGTGGGATGAGGTCGGAGGGTGCTGCTGCTCCTGGTGGCTTCAGTATGCACAGGGACGGCCAGGTCGATGGACGACAGCGATGACTCGTCCCCCAGAGTCAGGAGCGGCGCCGAGCTGGCGTTTTTCATGCCGCTTGAGGTCGACGAAGTGCTGGCGAGCGACGATCGCTGGCTCGCCGACGGAGTTGCTTGCGCCGGGGCTGGGCCGCTCTGCGTCTGGTCGATGCGAGCTGCAGATGCACTCGGGTTGTTGATGATGATGACGTCCCTCCAGCCAGGGCTGTCCTCGTTTTTGGGTTCGTAAACCTTCACGACAGCCAGAGCCCCGCGGACCTTGATGAAGGCAGTTTCGACTGGCAGCATAGGCACGGGGTTAGTCCTGCTGCCAAACCCGAACTTTGACAAGCTGACGGCCCGCGGGCGGTGGCTGGGCTGTGGGCCGCCGTCCACCAAACGGTCGCCAAAGTCAAGGTCCTTGAAGTAGAGGCAAAAACGAAAGCGCATGCCAGTGCAATCGGCGATGCTGGTGTTGAGAGCATGGTGCTCGATCAGGGTGGAGGCAAATCCGTGGAAAAACTCTCGCTTTGGCCGGGTTTCTTCCCACAGCAGCCACGGCAGAAGACCAGCCCATGTCAGCGGCTCGCTCTTGATCTTTTGTGGAGGAATTCGCAGCACCCCCGGAGCAAGCGGCCCAGAGCGATCGGATGGGCTCGGGATGTAGATATTCATGGTGGTGACGTGCAGTCGCAGCCAGCGAGGCACATGTTCGATGAGATACTGGTTGAATCGCTCGGCCGCCCTCTGACGGTCGGTGTCGGTCAGCGCTGCCAAGTTGGCCGCCGAGCTCCGCAGGTCCTCGGGAAATCCGAAATATGGATATGCTGGCAGATAGACAGCAACGCCGCCCAGCTTGATGCCGACGTAGGGAGGAGCAAGTAAACGCACAAGTCGCCGACGCAGGCCGTTCTCGCCAACGGCATCCGCGGCCTCGTCAAAGTGGGACTTGTCCGGCCAGAAGAAGGATACATAGCGAATCGTCAGAACAAACTGGCCCGTCAGTATGGCATACTTGACATCGGATTCATTGCTGCGCTCTACCGAGAAGAAGTTGAGGACGGCTGCCCAGCCCGGCTTTGGGGCGGGCTTCTGCTGGGCGGGCTGGGCGGGTTTGGTCGAGACTGGCTTGGGCGAAGCTGGGATGCCTATCCGTGGGCTCTGTGCCGTCTTTGCTGTCTTGAGAGCATCGAGCAGACCCTTGGTTGGACCAAGCCCGGTGGTCAATCGACGCTCGGCTTTGCGACTTGCCCTGGACTCATCCGACGACTGCCACAGAGGCGAGCCCGGCACGGATGACAGCGGGGACGGCAGATTCGAAGTGGCAAGGGGCGAGCCTTGCTCCGGGACCGAACCGACAGGCTCTCTTGGTTTGCTTGATGTCGCCGTATTGGCTTTGAGGTTCATGGGCGGGGCACCGAAGGTGAAGGACAGCCAGAACCGTGTGCGGCTTCGATGCAGCCTCAGCGAGATGCCGTATCTGGTGCTGAGATGGACAATCAAGACCAGCAGCGAGGCAGCCGCAACAACCCAGCCAAGCAGCACTATGAGCGTCAATGTAATCCACTTATTGCGGATCGAAAGCCTCAGGATGGCATAGGCGACCCTCGGGATGTACGGCAGCACGAGGCTGAAGACCATCAGAGCGAACAGAATGTTGGTCGGGGTTGGCGACATGTTGTCCCTGGATAATGTTGGTACGGCCGTTGGGCCTCTGAGCTCAGCCTGTGGATGAAGTTGGAGACCACCGGCCAATCGAATACCCAAGAGCCCCGCCGAAAAGGGGTCGAAGCTGCGAAAATGCAGGCAAGATGAGGGGCGAAGCGGCCGAAGATTCGAGGTTTCCGCGTCCGGCTTCTCTTTGGAAGACACGACCAGGGCAAGCGACCAGGGCAGGCGACCAGGGCAGGCGAGACGGCCAGCACACATCACTCTCAGGATTTGGCAGTGCAGTTGTGCGATAGTACTGGTAGGGCCGCACGGACCCGAGGAAACGGCCCCGCACATGTCAGAGAGCTATAGCTGAGTGGCAGATTTATTGAAATGGTCACACTATGCCTCGGGCGCCTGGTTTTGGAAGGCGTAGCCGTAGTAGCCATAGTCGGATATCGTCGAATCTGAGGTGATTGTGGAAAGGGTGGAGGTGGACAGCTGGTTATCAGGCTTGCACAGGAAAATCAGTGGTGCCTCAATAGCCACCTACCATGGTGTGGTTCGCTCTCTCGTGAATATGGAGCTGCAGGGTTAACTCTTGCATAGCCGTAGTATCCATAGTCTGAAACCGTGTGAGTAGGCGGGTCTGTGTGGGTATAGCTGGTAGGCAGCACATCTGGGCTTGGTGGGCGGTTGTAGAATGCCCTTCCGTAGTATCCGTAATCTGATATGGTTCCTTTGAACTCATTGGACACTGGAGGTTTGGGATCCATGTGACGTGGCCTGGCCACTGGACCGCTGGCCGGTCGGTTGTGGAAAGCATAACCATAGTATCCGTAATCCGAGATAGTCTGCGCGACATCCCCGACGGGAGGCTGTGCTGGTTTCTTGGGGCTTGGAGGGCGGTTGTGGAAGGCATGTCCATAATATCCATAGTCCGATATGGTTCCTTTGAAGTCGGTGGAAACAGGGAACACGGAATGCTTCTGGGATGGCTTGATTGAGGGACTACTTGCCGGCCTGTTGTGGAAGGCATAGCCGTAGTATCCATAGTCCGATATGGTTGCTTGGTGGTCACTCGAACTTGTTGCACTCTCGGAAAGTGCCTCAGCTGCGTCCTTAGTCCGTCCTCTTTTGGCTGGTGCTTGACTGTTCTGGGCCTCAGTCGTGCTGGCGATCACTCCAGGAGGGGCGCTTGGTGGACGGTTGTAGAAGGCGTATCCATAGTATCCGTAATCTGATATGGTTCCTTTGAACTCATTGGACACTGGAGGTCTGGGATGTATGTGGTGTGGCTTGGCCACTGGACCGCTGGCCGGTCGGTTGTGGAAAGCATAACCATAGTATCCGTAATCCGAGATAGTCTGCGCGACATCCCCGACGGGAGGCTGTGCTGGTTTCTTGGGGCTTGGAGGGCGGTTGTGGAAGGCATGTCCATAATATCCATAGTCCGATATGGTTGCTTTGGAGTCGGTGGAAACAGGGGACACGGAATGCTTCTGGGATGGCTTGATTGAGGGACTACTTGCCGGCCTGTTGTGGAAAGCATGTCCGTAGTATCCATAGTCCGATATGGTATAGTGCGACTCTTCTTTGGCTGACACATGTGGAGCCAGCGGAGGACTTGCGGCCGGCTGGGTCTTGCGAAGTGGATTCTCGAAACAGTATCCATAGTATCCATAGTCGGAGACGGTTGGTTTTTCACTCGGCTCATGCACAACCGCCGCACCTGATGCTTCTATCTTGGCTGGCATGGATTTGCTCAATGGTTGGGCAGACGGTGGTCGGTTTTGGAAGGCATAGCCATAGTAGCCATAGTCGGATATGGTGTTCCCTGGGAGTTCTTTTGATTTATGCTTTAGATCATGGCCTTTTGCTGCTGTGGAGGCGTTGGGTGCTGTGGCAGGTCGGTTGTAGAAGGCATATCCATAGTAGCCATAGTCTGAGATCGTCGAGTTGGGCTGGACGTGGGTTGGCGACGGCTTCGAGACGGACTGTGCCGCTGCTGGCTTGTTCACGAAACAGTACCCATAGAAGCCATAATCCGAAACGGTGAGTGAGGCGCTGTCGTCCATCGGCTTCTTGTCCACAGTAGATTGTTTTGCAGGGGTATGTGTTGGATGATCCGGGCTGCTATCAGCCTCTGGATGATTATGGAAAGCGTATCCATAGTATCCGTAGTCTGAAATGGTCACATCTTTGGAACGAGCAGACGGAGCAGACGGTGTCGTTTGGGCACTGGATTTGGCAGATGGTGGCCTGTTGACGAAAGCTGCGCCATAGTATCCATAGTCCGAGATAGTAGCTGGAGCAGTCAAAGTGGGCACTGAAGCAGGAACAGACTCGGATCGTATGGTCTCAGATTCGCCGGATGCGCTTGGATGATTTTGAAAGCAGTATCCATAATATCCGTAGTCTGAGATGGTAGTATACTCCTCGAGCGGACCAGGCGAAGCAGATGAGGCGACTGCAACCTGTTTCTGGACGTCGGCGGGCTGCGGAGCATTCTGGAAGCAGTAACCATAGTATCCGTAATCGGATATTGTTGTGATGCCCTCATCAGCAAACGCTGATGATAGGCTGGACTGCGGCATGACTTTCTTATCAGGCGAGCTTGGCTTGTTGTAGAAGGCATAGCCATAGTACCCATAGTCTGAGATGGTTGATGGAGGAGATTCCTTGGCGAATGGCCCATCGGATCGGGTTACCGGTTCTACAGGAACGTGGTTTGCTTTGGACTCGGAAGAAGCAGCCATGGATTCGATTCGCTCGAGCTTGGATACTCCAGAGCTGCTGATATCTGGCCCAGACGTCTGGCTGGGTCGCGACCCGACACTGGGGCTCTCGTTTGAGAGCGACGATCGTCTCTTCAGAGGTGGTCCGGCTTCAGGCCCCTCTTTGCTATCCTTGGTCGTTTGCTGAACAGGCCGGGCCAAGTCCTGATCTTTGGAAACGCGAGATGGCTGCTTTGACAAAACGCTTGGTCTGCGTTCCGAGCGAGACGGGGGCGCCTGGTTTTGACGAGGGGTATCAACCGGTTTGGGTATTGATTCACCAGCACCGGATTTGGTGTCAAAGTTGGTAACGGCTGTGTCTTGGGTCACGGAAGTCTGCTGATCAGATACATCGCGGCTTTCGTTTGTCGGTAGATCACGGACCTGCTCGTGCTGGAGAACAGTTCTTTCAATGTTGAGGACATTGTCGATCTCGTTTTGCCCATTGTGAACCGTGTTAGTTTGTTTTTTGCTCCGGTGGCGCTTCTCTGGAGGTCGATGACTCTGGTAGTGCGGATGATAGCGCCGTTCCTTGGGAAGCACCACCGGCCGCCGAGGCGCCGACAGCCGCTCAAACGACTCCAGCGGGACCTTCTTGCCGTGCCCACACATCTTCATTCCCACCAGAATCTCGGGGTGGATCGGCTGTGCCGGGACCTTCTTGGGCTGGCTCAGCTTGTCGATCGTGACATTGTCTGGGATCTTGATGTGCCGCCGATGCGGCGTCTTTGGCGATGCCTCCCGCACCACGGTCTTTGGTCGGCTCATGCGCTCAAAGAAAGCCGAGTCGGGAGGAGGCCCGAACGGCGGATGCGGCGCACACGGGTCCTCGCCATCGAGCGCAAGTGGTGTCCGGTGTCGGGGAGCGCTGAGGCGGTCAAAGACCGAGGTCGGGCGGCTCTGGCGGGGATAGTGGTATGACTCGTTGATGCTGCCTTGGTCGGAGTGGTCGTGGTCGGAGAGGGGCGGGGCAATGTCGTCGGGGATCTGCAATGGATGTGGTGTGGGATGAGGGATAGTGGAGGGATAGTGGAGGGATAGTGGAGGGATAGTGGAGGGATAGTGGGTAGGATCGGTGGTGGGATACGAGTCAGAGGTTGGTGCAATGATTGCATCTGGGAACCGCCACTTTCGTCGCTGTCGCCGAGTGATCACTCGCCCCACCTCCAGAGTTGTTCTCATTCACCCCATCAGGGCAACGACCACACCATCAGCACCATCAGCACCATCAGCACCATCAGCACCATCGGCACCATCTGCACCATCTGCACCATCTGCACCATCGGCACCATCTGCACCATCAGCACCCACATTCACGGGAGGCAGGTAGTTCTTCCCAAAGGAGGCCCCCATCCCAAAGTACTTCTTGTCGTCTTCGGCCACGTATGGATTGTTGATTCTGAGCATGAAGAGCTTGGCCAAGTGTTCCATTTCTCGCTCTCGTTCTGCCAGGGTGGGAGACGGGGGAAGTGCAAACCAGGCGACAAGAGCTGTGAGCAACGATGGCAAGCTGGATGGCAAGCTGGATGGCAAGCTGGATGGCAAGCTGGATGGCAAGCTGGATGGCAAGCTGGATGGCCCGACCGCCACCAACTTTGTCGTCGAGACACCGCTCTCCCGGTCCACTGCAGATCCATTTCGGATCCATTCACTGCTTGTTTGGCTTGCTTACCATGTGCGAGCCGTATCGATAGCATTTCCATGGGCCAGTTGCGATGGAATTCAATTGCCCGCAGACTGACTAGCTGTCTGAGCACCGGACGTCTGCGCACCAGCGTCGGGTCCATAGATGGGTCGCTCAGTGGGTACGACTCAATGTCGGCGGAAAGCAGTGAGGTGGTCAGAGGCACATTGATGCGGGCAAATGCGACATTGGCTTGATCCCGAATTCGAAAGCCTGGTCGCTTTTGGGACCTGTGGGTGCCAGGCAAGGGCGGCAGCAGAACCGCCTCGGACGGAGGCGGGGTCGCTCCTTTGATGGGAGGAAGTGTGGTCATGCAGTGCGATATTTGATTGTATCGTCGGGCGAAGGAATTAGATGGTCGAAAAGGTCGCTGGCCAGATATATGTAGCGGCCATCGAAGCCGAGGACAAAGTATCTGGGGACGACTCTGGGGAGGTAGGGTTACACTTTTCATGGAACCTTCTTGATTGGGCACCAGAAGCTTCCTATGTGTACTTGTTGACCTGAAGTGTTGCCAACCATGGATGCACTGCATTCAGAAGAAAGAGGAGCGCATCCATCTGCATCTTGAGACCATCGTCTGCGAGAGCCTGAGTTGGACAGACCGTTTCTTATCAGAGTGATTGCCTCGCCGGCTTCCCAGTTAAGGCATCATTATCGACCAGGCGCATGCTACAATCTAACGACGGTATGCTTGTGTCCAAAATGCTGCAAACTTGCTGCAATATGACGAGCCTGTGGCCTGGCGATGGTTGAGTTCTGGGCAGCCTTGCTGTTCCCATATCACTCACGCCACTCACTCCAGTCACTTTACTTACTCTTGTCGAGTGAATGGACTCGCATGAGTGGACTGGACTGGACTGCTGGATTCATGAGCACCACAGCGATCGAGCAGCTTTATTCAAGAGCACAGTGATAGGTTGGTCTCGTCTGGGTTGACCTCGGGCTGATCAAAGCCGGTCTTGGACTTCACTCCAAACCGGGATCGCCGACATGGCCCCGCTTCTTTCGACGCAGAGTGCTGCTGCAGCACTCGCCTCGTTGGCGGCTGCAACGTACTTGCTCATCTCGAGCCGTCGAATGTCCTCTGATTCGGCTGCCGGAAATGGGAGCTGGGCCTGTCGCTTCGACAGTCCAACCACAAAATATCCTACGAACGTGTCGCCGGCGCCAGTCGTATCGACCACCTGCCGGCACTGGGCCGCCCGGATCGAAATCACCTCCGCGACGCCTGGGAAGCCAAGGAGCGAGCCGTCCGCGCCAAGGGTGACGAGCAGAACAGCGGACGGGTATTTGGAGCCCAGGCGGGCCATCAGTCCCTTGTGGTCGGCTGATACAGCAGGATCAGGAGTCATGGACTCGCTGGCAAGACAAGCTGCTTCCCCGCGGTTGAAGCAGAGCAGGCTCGCCGAGGCAATTGGGTACTGGAGGAGACTCGGGGTAACGGGAGTTGGGGTCAGGACGATCGGAAACTGGAGCGAGGCAGCGAGGGATATGGCTGCGGCGACATGCGAGATCTCGTTCTGCAGGACAATCCAGGGAGTGCGCTGAGTCGGGCGCTGATGCTGATACTGCTGCTGAATCGAATCAAAGACCCGGCGCAGGAAGCGCTCGTCGATCGTGTGGTTTGCACCGGAGAAGAGCACGATTGCATTCTCGCCGGCAGCGTCGACCTGGATGATAGCTTGGCCGGTGTGCTGTGTGCTGTCCAGGTCGATGAGGTTGATTTGAACGCCGACGGACTCGAGGAAGGATCGAACAGCGGCACCGTCGATGCCAACCCGGCCGGCATGGTGGATGGCGATGCTCGGCTGGGTTGAGGATGCGACCGACTCCGGAACGGCTCTCCGCATCGCACAGGAGGCATTCGCACCCTTGCCGCCAAAGGAGCTGCTGATGTGCGTGGAGGCCAGGGTCTCGCCGGGACGGACAATGTGGGGCACATGGAAGGTGGTGTCGATGTTGATGGATCCAATGCTGAAGATGTGGTGGATGCTGGGCATGGCGGCTTGGTGCTGGCGGATATCGGCGGGCTGGGAGGCAAAGACCAAAAGGTCAGCAGGGGGAAAGTTGCCCGCCCTTTTGGATTTTGGATTGTGGATTTTGGAGGGAAGTTGGCGGAGAGCGACCGGCACAAGAACATCGAGCGATCCGGTCGACCCCGCCCAGGCCCATCTCCCATCGCTGCCATTCGTATTCGGGCACACCCTCGGCTCTGCGGTTCGTTAACGACTCTCTTGCATCGGACCCACCGATCATCTAGCCATCGCTGACAGCCGCGCTTTCGTCTCGGCATGCTGGTGAGCACTAGCAGCACGATCTCGCAGGGATCCCACATCGAGGCGGGCCCAGAGTCCGAGCATCGCCTCACCGTATCGACGTTTGCATTGGATGCAGTCCTCAACCAAGGCCTCAGGCGCGTTCCGCCCTTTCAGAAGGGCATCGGCCGCAGATCCGTCGTCCGTCTCGATTCATGAAAGCATCGCCCCGTCCACACGGTCCTCCAAATGGGGGTGGGTGCGAAAGGTAGATTCGCTGGAGGTGTGGTCGTGAGGTCTTTCAGGGTGGTTGCGATGGCGGGACGTTGCTCGGTGCGAATGGGTCCCAGCTGGGTCCATATCATTCGAGGCCGGGTGCTGGCGTCCGGCTGGAATAGAGTGTGCTGGGCCGTCGGCAGCATCTATCGCCACGCAGTAACTATCGCCGGGCATTAACCATCGCCGCTCGGATGCTCTTCCTTGCACCCACAGAGTGGCCGACGCGAAGCCCCCACGCAAACCGATCTGCTGGTGGAGCAGATTCAGCAGGCAATCGAGAAGCAGCGGTCTCGTCTTGGACGAAGCGAGCCTCGCGCCGTGAGGGACCAGAGACAGAGCGAGTTTCTGGAGGTGGTTGCCGCGCTGCTGGACGAGTATCTCGAGCGCTTTACGACAGCAACGCTGCACCAGCTCTCCTCCAGCAAAGTCTCTTCGGACACCCTTGACCCTGGGCACGATGTGCTGGGCATCCCTGCCCTTGCGGCATCCAGCCGGATCCAGTTTTACGAGTCCTTGGGCAGTCCAAGTCGCCACGAGCTCCACAAGCATCCTGGCGGCATCCTTGCGCCGGCCATCCTCGACGGCCTCGCCGCTATCCAGTTTGCGCCGATGGGCACTCCCGACAGTCCCTGCGGTTCCAAGGGACTCGGCCTCGTATGTGAAATTGTCGAAGTGGGCTTTGTTCAGCACAAGATATCCACATGGACTTTGCCGTGTGCCATGAGCAATCCTCCAAAGCGACCGCTCGATGAGCGCGAGTGGGTCGCCCTCGGAAGCTGCAAAGGCATGGTGTCGGTCTTGGTGCAATTCTTTGACGGACTGGCCAAGGGGCGCCCACAACCAACAGCACCCTACACCAAAGCCTTTTCGCTGTTCCTCTCTCCCGCCACGATGGCAGCAGCGCCCCTCTACCGACCCGATTTCAGCTTCAGTTACCGCCACCAGTTTGACTTTGAGGCATTTGCCAACGACCGCTCCTCGAGGCTTGAAAATGAGTCGAGGGAGTGCCAGCAAGCCTACGCTCGAATCAAGGCTCTGTATGAGCGCCATTTTAGCTCACGCCAGGCAGCACCGAGACAGGAGCAGCCCAAGAAGCAAGACTCCAAATTCGACGATGCGCTTGACATGAGCGTGGGAATCTCACCCGACACTCCCGCATGCCCACCTTGCAATACCGTCACCGGCAGCAGCACCGCGGCCTCCTCGGACCAGTCGCATGGCAGCAGGGGCCATCTCGCCCAGAGCCTGATTTCCAGGGTCAAGGTCTCGGCACTAGCATCATTCTTTGATTCTCTGTCGTTCACAAACGAGCATCAGAAGTTTTCGCGCTCCAAGGAAGCCCGGACCAATTCTGTCGATGTGTTGCCCGATAAGAACGTCTCGGCTGGAAGTTTGCCAGCGACCAGCCCGGTTTTATCGCCGCTTGGGCAGGTCCATAGAGATAGCAGCTCATCACTCACCCACTCGGGTCCGTCTGCATTTCGCTCCGCGGCATTCGGCTCACCGCCGATACTTGGCAGCGCCAGCACAAGAACCTCCGACAGCACCCTCTCGCCGTCCCATCCAGCCCCACAGGCGCTGGCGACACAGCCAATTACCTTTGGACAGCTGCCCCTGCTGCCTCATTCGCCTCCAGTTCCGCAGCAGCAGCACCAAAGCCCACTTGATCTTTATCCTGCTACGCCGGCCACACCGTTCGCGCAGCTGCTTACACAGTCTCAGCCGCTGCCATTTGGCAGCCTCGGATGCTTAGCACCAACCGCTTCTAACTCGGCTGGATCCGCACAAGCCTATTCGCTCTCGTTGGCAGTTGCCTCTGGGAGTGCACCGCCCCGGCTCGGCTTGCATGCCACATCCTCGCCCACAGTGTCCCTACCGCCTTTGGCTTCACTCGCATCACCCGCGAGCACGACTCTATTCTCAGGGCTGACTGGTCCCTCGGGTTCTGGCTTGGTGTTTCCGCCACCGCCTGCTGCCTCACGATTTGTAACAGCGGCTCTACCCGGTGCCACGGCTCCAGGACTTCTCGGCACTTTGGCACCACCACCACCACCACTGCCATCACCATCCAGCTTTGTGATCGAAGGCAAGCCAATGTCCTCGCCATTTGCAGCGCTGGTTGCTGCTAGTCACGAAGGAGCTGCGATCAACCCTGCTCCTTCGTTTTCGTTCACACCTACGATCCCGCAACCATCCGCGCCGAGTATGAATGCTTGCGCATCACCTTTCGCCAAACTCGTCGTCGAAGCCAATCCAACGAATCCAGCGAACTCAGCCAAGGGAATAGACACGTCGTCATTCTTTGTGGACGCTTGTCATGGTATGAAAACCTCACCGATTGCCAAGACTGAAACAACTGCGGGCAAGCCAGAGTCGTTGGCCAAGACTGCTTTTGTTAGTCAACATGAAGACCCGAAGCCCGAGCGCGAGGTCATGGCATCCCAACCCATGACGAAGCAGCGGGGGTCTCTTGTGAGCGTGCACCAAAGTGAAAGTGCCTCTTCCAGCCTGAGCGAGCGATTTGGAGGCAGCAAGCTCGCTTTCGAGCAAGCAGCAACACCCAAACGAGCCGGCGTTCAACGAGAGCTTTCTGGACTGGAGAATGCGAGACATGTATCTAGGCTGCTTGAGAAGTTCTCGGGCTAAGATGGTGGTCTGTGGGACATGCAAATGGCTCGGTCGGCATGGAATTTCGATTGATATGGAGATGGTAGGGTGTCTTCCTCGACGATTACACGCTTCAGAGACTACTCAGTGCATGCTGCCACAACGGCGGAAAATGAAGCGGGGCGGGCATTTATCATGTGCGGTGGCGATTATCTCAGTGGCCTACGAATAAACTCATATCCATAAATGGCTCTCGTTGTGGTGTCTTACGCTTGCAGGGAGCCATCTGTGCGAGAAAAGAAGTGACGATGGCTGGTTCTGCTCTTGGGCAAGAGTGAATATCCTCGAATCCAGCGTATTTTGGGCTGGCAGCGATGCCCACAATGGTGTCCTTGATTCGGTTCCAGAAGCCCATCACAGAATGGCAGTGCGAAAGTCGAGGATGTGGCGAACGGTCATACCTAGCGCACGATGTTTTGAGGCAGCAAAATATTAGTTCAACGGCCAAAACCCGGGGTGTCCCGTTTGTTGTTGGATTGGCTGTAACCGGGCCGGGCGTGGAGGGAAGCTTCTTTCGATCCCACCGCCAATCATCCAGCCAGAAACTTCCTTCCAGGTCGCCACTCGACCCGGCGGGCCGACAGCTCTTGCTGCAACTGGAGAGATGCGGACGCAAGGTTCGTAAGGTTGGTTATCCAACTCACTCCGCTTCGAAACATCCGTCCACCTCCAGGCCAGGAAAGCGCTTCATTTGTTTTACAACCGAGAGAAGTCCATGAGCAACAAAACGCCGGCGATGAATGCCGAGACATGTCAGCTTCCGCCTATCCATGGCGACTTTCCGATCATCACACCGAGCAAGCTGCCGACGACACGATATCCACCGGCAATCCCAGGCCCTCGAGTGCACCCACGAGAATCTCAAGCAAATGTGTCGTTTGCTCGAATTGTGGTGCCCTCGACAAATATCCCACCGTTCGACTCATCGCCCTATCCATATAACGACCCAACGATGGACCCGACGCTGGTGCGCAGACGTCCGGTGCTCAGACAGCTAGTCAACCTGCAGGCCGTCGAGTTTCACCGCAACTGGCCCATGGAAGTAGTGTCAATGAGGCTCGCACATGGTAAGCAAACCAAACAAGCAGTGAATGGATCCGAAATGGATCTGCAGTGGACCGGGAGAGCGGTGTCTCGACGACAAAGTTGGTGGCGGTCGGGCCATCCAGCTTGCCATCCAGCTTGCCATCCAGCTTGCCATCCAGCTTGTCATCCAGCTTGCCATCGTTGCTCACAGCTCTTGTCGCCTGGTTTGCACTTCCCCCGTCTCCCACCCTGGCAGAACGAGAGCGAGAAATGGAACACTTGGCCAAGCTCTTCATGCTCAGAATCAACAATCCATACGTGGCCGAAGACGACAAGAAGTACTTTGGGATGGGGGCCTCCTTTGGGAAGAACTACCTGCCTCCCGTGAATGTGGGTGCCGATGGTGCCGATGGTGCTGATGGTGTGGTCGTTGCCCTGATGGGGTGAATGAGAACAACTCTGGAGGTGGGGCGAGTGATCACTCGGCGACAGCGACGAAAGTGGTGGTTCCCAGATGCAATCATTGCACCAACCTCTGACTCGTATCCCACCACCGATCCTACCCACTATCCCTCCACTATCCCTCCACTATCCCTCCACTATCCCTCCACTATCCCTCATCCCACACCACATCCATTGCAGATCCCCGACGACATTGCCCCGCCCCTCTCCGACCACGACCACTCCGACCAAGGCAGCATCAACGAGTCATACCACTATCCCCGCCAGAGCCGCCCGACCTCGGTCTTTGACCGCCTCAGCGCTCCCCGACACCGGACACCGCTTGCGCTCGATGGCGAGGACCCGTGTGCGCCGCATCCGCCGTTCGGGCCTCCTCCCGACTCGGCTTTCTTTGAGCGCATGAGCCGACCAAAGACCGTGGTGCGGGAGGCATCGCCAAAGACGCCGCATCGGCGGCACATCAAGATCCCAGACAATGTCACGATCGACAAGCTGAGCCAGCCCAAGAAGGTCCCGGCACAGCCGATCCACCCCGAGATTCTGGTGGGAATGAAGATGTGTGGGCACGGCAAGAAGGTCCCGCTGGAGTCGTTTGAGCGGCTGTCGGCGCCTCGGCGGCCGGTGGTGCTTCCCAAGGAACGGCGCTATCATCCGCACTACCAGAGCCACAAGCACACGGGCGACCATAGCGATAGAGAACAGAATCAACATGACTTGGGTGCAGTTTCCACGTCCGCGGCCATGCAGCCGATATCTACTCCAGATCGCCTGGTCAAGACTGCACCTTCCGATGCGGCAAAGTCGAACAATCGCCACAGCTCGCAGAAAACCAAGAGTGCGGCTGTCCGAGACATGCATTCGTCCAAAGACAAGGTTTTGGTTGCTGACGTTTCTGTCGAAGGTGGAACTGGGGCAGCTATCAACGTGCCCCCAACAGAGCCCTTGCGGCCGCAGTCTCAAAGTGCAGCTCATGAAGCCTCCGCTGCCGCCGCTGCTACTGCGACGCAAGAAGCAGTTGATTCCTCACCAGCTGCCGCTCAAGAGGGTGCCGAGGGTGCCTTAGCTGAAGATTCAACACCAAGCACAAACACTAGCCCCGAAGTACCTCCCGCAACGACCAGCGCTGGGCCCGAAGCCAGCGTGATTCTCGATTCTTCGGGAGAGCCAGGGACACGCGAAGACGCCGTGAGTGTTCTGGACTCACCAACCACTGTCGCAGATGCTACTCCGGAAGCACCGACTTCTGAAGAGCCGCAGCAGACCAATTCTGCAATTGAGCCCATCCAAGACATATCATCTGATGCAAGTGTTTCTGACAAAGCGCTGGCAGGAGCTGTATCACCGCCCTCTGTCGCTGGGTCAGATGCGACAGCGATAGACCCTGACGCTATGCAGACAAACACATCCGGGACTGAAATGGCTCCCGTCGAACAGTCCAAACTTGGCTCCGGTGGTGAGAACGGGCAATCCACAGGTCTGCCAGATTTAGAATCAATTGAAGCCACAAACGACATCGGAGCGGAAGTGCCGGAAGCTGCCATCGGCGATACAGCACGACCGCAGCTTGATGACGAAATACGGCCGAGCGATGGTGGCGAGCACCAAGTGCCTGCTGATATCTATGTCATCGCGAGCAATGTGCCAGGATCGACAGAGGCGCCATCGGTGAAAGAGACTAGCGAACCCACAAAAGGGACACATACGGAAACCAGCTCTGTAGCCGCTCCAGTCGAGGCGCCTGCTCATGACGCCCATACCACTGAGGGCGAAACCGATCCTCTTGACGACAAGGCCGATACCCCGGCAGACGATTCCAGTCCAGCGACGGCTCAGCTCGATGGGTTGCCCGAAGGCACTCCTGCGACTTTCGAAACGAGCGAAACCATTACTCTCGAGGAATCTGCAAATGAACAGTCTGAAGTAATCGATACTCATGTCCAATCTACCGGTGAAAGCAGTGCAAAGTCTAACGAGGAAACTAATGAAGGTGCTAATGAGGAGACCATGGTGGAAGTCTGCACAGAGAATGTTGAGACCACTGCCGTAGCCGCCGAAAGTCTGACGCTGGAAGCCAATCCAGAAGGAGCCAACGAAGTACTCCCCGCTGATCCAGACGCTGACGAGCTCGCGGGCAAAGAACCGGCGCTGTCGGAGTCCGCCGCAGTTGCTGTTGCCGATCCCGCTCAGGCACCTGAGCAGGAGACGGTCTCAGAGGAATATGCACCTCAACCCGTGCTGACGACAAATGAGCTTGCAGCAGAGAGTGAAGCAGAAAGCGGTACATCCGGCTCATCGATGCCGACCGGCTCTGAGCCTGTCGCGGCTGCCTTGGAACCAAACGAAATCTTGGAGGATGTTGTTTCTTCGGACTTTGCAGCCGAGCCCGTCATCAAGGATGATGCATCTCTAAACTACGATGTGGATCCGGGCCAGCCAGACGACACCCGCCTTGCGGCCGACCCAGCAGCGGATGAGACGGCTGCGGAACACCCTGAGGAAGGGGCCCGTCTCGGCAACGAATACAGCGACCCGGTCGCATCGGAGGACGATCCGACCCATGGAGAGATTGCTGCTGGAGCCGCAGAGCCAGAAGTAAACGCCATTGACTCGATGGATTATCACCCCGACGAGCCGCCGGCCCTCGAGGCGGATATTGCCAAAGTGGCTGGAGGTAGGACACCGAGCAGGATCCTCTTGCGCTGCCGATGCTGCCCGAGACTGACTCTGACACGACTTGCTCGTAGATGAAGCACCGACAGCGACGGAGCCAGAGGCTCTGAGTCCCGATAGCGCCGCTTTGGAAGATGACATTGTCCCGGCCAATGACGCCGCACCGGCTCGCGATGCTGCTCCCATCGAAGAAACCACCGAGCAAACACAGGCGGGTCCAGAAGGCGTGTCGAACAGTGCCACCAGCGCACTTGGTCCGGAGCCATGATCTGGGAGCGGAGGCAGGTCGTTCCGGCAAGTGGTCGGCAAGTGGTCGGCAGATACAAGTAATACACTTTGCCCGCATCTCAGCCCATCGCCCCTGAAGTGCCCGTCTGCATTCCCACGGGCTGCACTCCCACGAGTCCAGGCGGAAACCGGGGTGCGCGACCCCGAAGCCGGGCCCTGGCGGTGTTTGGAGCAGCGCGGTGGAGGGGCCCTTGTTTGTGTGGACACAGCAAAGTGCGTCGGCAGGCGCCACCGTGTCTTGTCCCACAGCAGCGGCGCGGCGGGCGTGGGGGGCTGGACACTGCGGTGTGTGAGGAGTGTGCACAGCAAACAGACAGTGCCGAGTGCAGCTCTGCGGAACACACAGACACTGCCACACACACAGTGTCTCCCCACAGGGCCGGGGCACACAGGGACAAAGCTTCCCAGGGCCGCTTTGCCAGCCGCACAGGGTCGACGGCATCGCCCAGGGACTCAGTGCTGCTGCTGGCGATGCAGGGATGCCTTTTGGTCTGCACTCTGGATGATACTGCCGACGGTACTGCATGCTTTGGTCTCTGCTGCAGAGGGGTGCTGCTGGTGGCATCGCTGCCTCGTCGCAGAACCCCTGCTGCTGCTGCCGCCTCGTGTTCGTCGAATGCATTTGTGTGCGGGTTTGGCGGCGGGTTGCTGCGCCTGGTCCGCGACAAAATAACACCGTCGCTTCCAATTCAGGCAGCGCCGCTGATACAAAGGACCGTCGGTCGCTCGGCTCTTTTGCGAATCTCCCACCGACTCATCTCTCCTCCCCGTCCAGTGACGCATCCATCTTAACCATCGACATCCCACATCGACATCCCACATCTCCATCTCCACATCTCCATCCCCACATCAGCATCCCACATCAGCATCCCATCTCCGTCTTCATCTGCTACGTGCTGCTGCATCCCCGCTCGCTGCTTCGTCCTGGTAAGCCAACTCACGCTTCTCCCTCAACAAGCCTCTCCTGTGCGAGCCCTTCCTTGTCTGCTCGTGCCGCTCACCCACCCGCTGCACAACTCTCGGGCCTTGCTCGCTGTTTTTTGTGTCGGCTTGCTCCTCGGCCAATCGCCTTCTCGCCGCTGCCGTTGTTCCTCGTCCCTCCTCCACCGAAGCCGCTGTCGTGCGCTCGCCCATCCAGGCTTGGACTTTCTCTTCTCCTTCGTCCGCTCGCCTGCTCACCCGTTTGCTCGGCTGCTCTCTCATCCTCCTGGCTCGCTAGACTAGATCCTAGAAGCCTGCATTCGACCATGAGCTCCGGCGCTGGTGTCGAAGACTTGGCGTTCCTGCCAACGCCTGTAACCGATGAGCAGATCCTTACGACCCTCCGGGCTAGATACCTGAACCACCAGGTCTTCACCCGGCTCGGCGGCAATGCCATGGTGTTCGTCAACTCACCAAAGGCCCTCGAGTCCTTCTCGGACGTTGCCTCGCAGACCTATGCCGCCCACGCAAAAGAGGTCCGGGCCGACAAGCAGCCGTTGCCCGCACACATCTTCGATCTGGCTGCATCTGTGTACTTTCATATGTTGAATCTGCAGATGGACCAGTCGCTCATTCTTTGGTAAGTTGGCCGTCTGTCTGTGGCTACCTTCTGGCGGCCGTGGCCAGAGTGCCCCCCGATGCATGTGTCCGACTCGACGACGGACCAGCCCTTTTGCTGCTCCAGCCAGCCAGTCCTTTTTTTTCTTCCCTCGCTTGGCTTCGCTGCAGCCATGGCAATCCTCCGCTCGATGTCTCCCGGCCCTCTGCCCGTATTGACCGGGCCGGCTCGGGTCAATCGCCAATCAAGCGCCCCCATGCTCCGTAGAGCGTCCCTTTCAGTGTGTGCCGTTAGCCCAGTCTCTTTGGGCACCGAGGCTGTGTTTCCGACGTCTTCGCAGCGATAACCGTTCCCAGTGCTCATCCTGCCGCTCTCCCTTCCTCGACAGCGGCGACACGGGCGCTGGTAAATCTGAGGCCCGCAAGCTCTTTGTGCGCCAACTGTGTGCCCTCTCCAAGACCAAGAAAAAGTCAAAGGTCCTGTCGGGCGTCGTCAAGTCGGATATCCTGCTCGAGTCCTTTGGCCATGCCCGCACCGCCAACAATCCCAACTCGTCCCGCTTTGGCCGCTACATTGAGTTTCAGTTCGACACCGATGGCAAAATGGTCGGCATGAAGGTGCTGCCCTATCTGCTCGAAAAGGCCCGTGTCACCCACGTCCCCAAGGAGGAGCGCTCCTTCCATGTCTTTTACCAGCTGCTTGCCGGCGCAACCGAGGAGGAGCGCCTGCAGCTGCAGCTCGCCGAGCCCTCCCAGTTCGCCTATCTCAGCTCCACCAAGTACTCGCGCATCTACCCGGACGACGCCATCAAGTTCAATGAGCTCAAGGACAACATGAAGTCTGTCGGCATCGGCCGCCGCCAGCAGACCCAGATCTTCCAGCTGCTTGCCGCGATCCTGCACCTCGGCAACATTCAGTTCGGCGACGACCCGGACCGCCCCCAGGAGCCCTGTGTGGTCAAGAATCCACAGATCCTGCAGTTTGTCGCCGTCTTGCTCGGCGTCACCCCCGAGAACCTCGAGTACTGCCTGACCTACAAGACCAAGCTGGTCAAGAACGAGCTGTGCACGGTCTTCCTCAACGCCGCTGGTGCGCAGGAGCAGCGCGACGGCCTCGCCCGCACCCTCTACTCGCTGGCGTTCGAGTGGATCATCGAGCACATCAACACCCGTCTTTGCAAGGACAACTGCGCCAACTTCATTGGCATTGTCGACCTGCCCGGCTTCCAGAACTACAAGACCAACAGCCTCGAGCAGTTCCTGTACAACTTTGCCAACGAGGAGCTCTATTCGCTCGTCAACCGCCGCCTGCTGAACGAGCCCATTCAGGAATTCATCTCGGACTCGCTCATTGCCCAAAAAGTCGACGTCTTTGACAACGAGCACATCCTAGACATGATTGCCGATCTCGACAATGGTATGATCGCCCTTATCGATGACGAGGCCGTCAAGGCCAGCTCCCGCAAGGGTGACAGCCGCATTGCCGAGAAGATCTCGGACACCCACTACGAGAACGCTCATTTTGTGACCGGCAAGAAGCCCTCGGTCTCCTTTGGCATCCGCCACTTTGCTGGCACGGTCGAGTACGATACCCGGGGCTTTATCGAGAAGAACTCGAGCTCCGTCAGCACCGACTTTATCAACATCTTCCGCGGCAACGACGCCGACATTCCCGAGTCTGCCAACCCCTTTGTCGCTGCCCTGTTCTCGTCGCGCTCGATCCAGACCGAGAGCCATGCGAAGAACTCCCGCGTTGTCATCTCGGGCAATCAGTCCAACGTTCCGGTGCGTCGCCCATCGATCAAGGCTAGCAAATCCAAGACCCCGTCCAGCGCAAGCTCCGTGTCGCTGGGCTTCCAGGTCTCGGTCAACGAAATGATCGACACGGTCCGAGATACCTTCCCTTGGGTTGTCTATTGCCTGCGCTTCAGCGACGATTCGCAGGAGCGTCTTGACCCGGGTGCCATCCTGCGCCAGGTCAGCAACCACAACATCCGCCAGATCGCCTCGGCCCGCAACTCGGCCGACTACACCGTCAGCATGACCTTCAAGGACTTTATCGCCCGCTACCAGCCCCTGCTGACTCCGCTCAAGCTGTCGACCAGCACCGCTCCGCGCGACGCCGTTGCAGCCTTTGTCAAGGCGTCCCACTGGACAGATGGCGAACTGAACCTCGGCCGTGCCAAGGCGCACATCTCGGAGGCCTCGTGGCGGTACCTCGAGGACGAGCTGCGGGTGATCCAAGAGCGTCTCAAGCTCTCCCGCGATGCCCACTACGACCGTGGCGTCGAGGGTCTTTCGCCCAGTCCCTCGGAGGACTCGTTCGGCTCGCGCATGGACCTGCTTGGCAACGTCCCTAACCTGCGCGACGACGAATCGGCCTACAGTAGCGAGGACGAGCGCAGCCACTACAGCTTTGGATTTAGCGGCCAGAACGGACGCCGGGTTGTTTCGGGCCAAGGCAGATTGGGCCGCCCCCTGTCGGAGGCATCGGCTGCGGATTACGGATCTGAATACGGCGGCACCACCAAGGGTCGTCCTCGTGCTACAGCCGCAAAGGACATTGAGCTACAGCCCATCCGTGACGACAAGAAGGCACAGCCCGTGCCCGAGCCCAAGAAGCAGCTGACGTCGGCGCGCAAGAAGTGGCTCTGCTGCACTTGGTTCCTGACTTGGTGGATCCCCTCGTGGTTCCTGTCATGCTGCGGCAAGATGAAGCGCAAGGATGTCCAGATTGCCTGGCGTGAAAAGGTCGCCTTGTGCGTCATTGTGGGCTTTATGTGCTCGGTTCTGCTGTTCTTCATCATCGGTTTTGGCCGTCTGATCTGCCCCAAGCAGTACGTCTGGAGCAAGTTTGAGATGGCAGCCATGAATAGCCTGACCGATGTGTGGGTCTATGGATACGGCCGCGTGTACCAGGTCAACGACATTGTCAAGAACCACCAGTCCTCGTACGGCGTCCAGACATACAACTGGGCCAGCTGGGCCGGAAGCGACGTCTCGCCGCTGTTCTATCCCCAAAACGTCTGGAGTATGTACTGCCCGAGCTTCCCGCAGCCGGCCGGATGGGATCCCATCGCCAACCGACCCAACCCCAACGCCCTCGTGAACTACCCACACAAGGCCATCGACACCTCGGGCCTGACCGGCTCGGGCAAGCCCATGCAGAAGCTCTACCTCGAATACATGAACCAGTACGCCAAGGGTCGGCTGGCCTGGACGATGGACTATGTCGCCTCGCAGGCCTCGCAGCAAACCCGCTTGATCGTGATCTACAACAATGTCTACGACGTTTCGACCTACTACAATGCCCCGAACCAGTTCCTTGGCTCCGACGTCGGGGCCATCTTTGGATCTGTTGGCAAGGATGCCAGCTCGCTCTGGGATGCCTACGCCAAGAGCTCGCCCACGGCCGCTGCCAACGCCCTGAGCTGCATGAACCATCTGTTCTACATCGGCACGGTCGACTACCGCAACAGCTTGCGTTGCCAAATGTCCAACGTCATCCTGCTCACCGTCTCTGTGATCCTGGTGTCCGTCATTGGATTCAAGTTCCTGGCCGCGCTGCAGTTCATCGGCAACAAGACCCCCGAAGATCAAGACAAGTTTGTGATCCTCCAAGTGCCCTGCTACACCGAAGGCGCCGAGAGCATCGCCAAGACCTTGGAGAGTCTGGCTCTGCTCAAGTACGACGACCGCCGCAAGCTTCTCTTTGTCATTTGCGATGGTAAGTGGCGTTTGAGGGCAAAGTGGGAAGGAGGTGGGCGGCAGTAGCGATCCGCGCGGGCTTGATCCGTGATTCCCTACATGGGACAGAGTGATGGGTTAGACGCACGATACGAGCGCTGGCATGGTGGCGGCGGGCCCCGGTTTCAGTCGGTTGCAATCCTTCTCACCAGCGCTCTGCATCCTAACCCACCTTCTCTCCCGGCCAGGTATGATCACCGGAAGCGGCAACGATCGCCCGACCCCCAGAATTGTGCTCGACATTCTTGGCGTGGATCCCGATGTTGACCCCGAGGCCCTGTCCTTCCAGTCCCTGGGCGAGGGCGACAAGCAGCACAACATGGGCAAGGTCTACTCGGGTCTCTACGAGATTCAGGGTCGCTCGATTCCGTTTGTAGTCATAGTCAAGGTCGGCAAGCCCTCCGAGCGCAACCGGCCCGGCAATCGCGGCAAGCGTGACTCGCAGATGACTCTCATGCGCTTCCTGTCCCGTGTGCACTTCAACGCCGAGATGAGCCCGCTCGAGCTGGAGCTCTTCCACCACATCAAGAACATCATTGGCGTCAACCCCAGCTTCTACGAGTACATTCTCATGGTCGACGCCGATACCGAGGTCTACCCGCAGTCGCTCAACAGAATGATTGCTGCCATGATTCACGACTCGCGCATCATGGGTCTCTGTGGCGAAACCCTGCTCTCGAACGAAAAGGACTCGTGGATCACGATGATCCAGGTCTATGAATACTTTATCTCGCACCATCTGTCCAAGTCGTTCGAGTCGCTCTTTGGCTCCGTTACCTGTTTGCCTGGCTGCTTCTGTATGTACCGCATCCGCACCCCCGGCAAGAATGTGCCGCTGCTGATCTCGCCTGCCATCATCAACGACTACTCCGAGAACGTTGTCGACACCCTCCACCTCAAGAACCTGCTCCATCTCGGCGAGGATCGCTATCTCACGACTCTGATGATGAAGCACTTCCCCAACCTCAAGCTCTCGTTTGTGCCTGACGCCCAGTGCCGAACCAACGCTCCCGATCGCTGGTCTGTGCTGCTGTCACAGCGCCGCCGCTGGATCAACTCAACGGTGCACAACCTTCTCGAGCTCATGCTTCTGCCGCAGCTCTGCGGCTTTTGCTGCTTCTCGATGCGCTTCATTGTGTTCTTGGACCTGTTCTCGACCGTGGTGCAGCCGGCGGCCGTTGTCTACATTGGCTACCTTATCTACTCGGTCGTCACCAGCACAGATGTCTTCCCGTTGATGTCGATTATCATGCTGGGTGCCATTTATGGGTTCCAGGTCATCATCTTTATCCTCAAGCGCCAGTGGGCCCAGATCGGATGGATGATTGTGGTACGTATGACCGTCTCCCGGCGAAGGGAAGTGGGAGGTGCGGTTGGGACTTTCTCATGCGATGCTCGACTGTCGGCGCCGCGCATGTGTCCGCTCATCGTGATCTGCCGTCGCTGATGTGCTGATTTGCCGTCTCCTCTCTTAGTACATCATTGCCACCCCTGTCTTTGCCTTCTACATCCCGTTGTACGCCTTCTGGCACTTTGACGACTTTTCGTGGGGTAACACTCGCATTGTTGTCGGCGACGACGGCAACAAGGTCGTTTACAGCGCTGATGTGGCTCCGGTAAGTAGTGATGCCGCTGGCGCCAATCGAGTCACCTCTGTGCTGGTTAGCAACAGTCCGTCTGCCGATGAGGGACGCCCTCTAAATCGACCTGCCCTTCTCTAGTTTGATCCCAAGTCTGTTCCGCTCCGCAAGTGGTCTGACTTTGAGGCCGAGATGTGGGACAAGATCGAAAAGGACTCGAGAGCCGACGACTTTGCCGACAACCGCTCGCAGCGCTCGTTCGGCAGTCAGCACTACCCGCCAGTCGCAGCCTCGGTCGCCCCCTCGGGATACAGCGGTGGCATTCCCGCCATGCCTGCTATGCCTGCCATGCCTGTCATGGCCGGTGCGCCCAACGGATCAGTCTATGGCGGATATGGCGGCAGCCCCATGATGGTTGCTGGTGGCTCGCAGTACGGACGGTCGCCCGCTATGGCTCCAAACGGATCGCAATACGCTGCTTCGGCATACGGCGACGCTGCTGGTGGCCTGGCGCCGATGCAGGCTGCCTACGGCTACCCAGCCGGACGCAATTCGTACGGAGCCTACGGTGGCGCTGGTGCCTTTGTGCCCGGCACGATGCCCTCGGACGAGATGATCCTGGTCGAAGCGCGCAAGCTCCTTGCGTCGGCCAATCTGATGTCCATCACCAAGAAACAAGTCCGTGACGAACTCTCGACCATCTTTGGGGTTGACCTGACACCCAAAAAGACCACGATCAACGCCTTCATCGAGGACATTCTACAGGGCAAGCTCTAGAAAGGAAGAGTCGTCCTGCGTCTCCTCTCCTCCCCTCTTTTTCTCTCCTTCTTGCGTCCCTTCCTTCCCGGCTCCCCCTGGGAACGCTGCTCTTTCTTTCCTTCCTTCCGTTTCCATGCCGCTCTTCCCTCGTTGATGACGATCGTTCCGTTCTCTCCGTGAGAGGCCGGTCTCGTCGCCGATGGGTGGCGGAGGATAGACGGCCAACGCGGCTGGCCCTAGTCATCATCAGCACCACCACCACGCAGCAGTCTACGAATTCTAGCCACCGCCCCACTTCAAGAAAGCACTCTCATCAGTTTCTCCCTCCCTCCCTTTTTCGTTCTTTCACACTCTTTCTCTTCTTTCGCCTTTCCTCCCTCTTTCTTCCTATCCTGTGCTCTCCTCAGTTACAGTCGATCCAATAAAAAACGGGTCACCTTGGTTTTTTGATCATAGACCGAATATTTGTTTACCCGATACCATCGCGCACTGGTCGCGACCATTATGTGATGCGGTGCTGTACCATCACCCATAGCCTGAGGAATGATGCCTCCACATTCAAGTGTGTCCAAGAGCACCATTCACCGCCGGCACTCCGAGGTCCATGACACCTTTGTCGTCCTCGAGCCGCCTTGCCTCGATCGAGGCAAGGCAACCCCCACAGACATTTCTTCTTGCGCCTGATCTGATCTGATTTGATCCGGTCGGGCTCATGATCCGCACCGCTCAAGCTCATATCTCTCGACCGTCGCTGCCGCTTCGCACCGCACTACATCCACTCTGGCGTCTCGTCAGCATGGGACCCAACCGTACCGAGGATATCGAGGATCTGCGCAAGCCCGAGCCGGAGGAAGACTGGGTTGCGATCCATCAGGAAGCCGTGGAGGTACGCTGCGGTACCTGCTGCTTTCTCGAGCTCTGTGGAAGCGGTTAGGGGAGAGCTGACTTGCTCCGTGCTGCGGCTGAACACTGCTATCATTTCTTCGCCCTCGGCTGGCCAGAGAGGAGAGCTTACGTACACAGGTCAGTGCCCAGACGGACATTCTGCTACGTTGGCGTGGTGATGGTGCCGATGCCATACGATGGCGCTGATGGCGGTGACGGCGACAACGAAGCTTACCTCGCTTGACTTTATCAGACCCCAAGACTGGCTACTCTGTTTTTACCGAGCTGAGCCACAAGCAGCGAGGATACTGCTGCGGAAACCGATGCAGGTACGTTTGGAAAGGAGAGGGGGCGGGGAGGAGCGGATCTCCGAGCCTCGTTCCGAGCAAGAAACAATGCCAAGCCGATTGACAGAATGCAGATTCGGTGCCGTGGCTGCCGCACAAGTCTGGATGATGAGCGCTGGTCTGCAAGATGGAACGAAACCTCTCTAGCGGCTTGGCTCTTTGGCGCTCTGTTCGATTCGGCGGCGATCAAACGACCCCCGGCCGAGATCGGTTCTCTAACTGGGTTGTGCACTATCCGACCGATTTTATGGGTGGGGTGAGGCAGACACTGTCCCTTCGACCACTCCAACGTCGATAATCCCGCGAAACTCAAGGAGGACACTCGAAATGCCCGGCTTGCCAAGCAGCGGCAGCGACAACAAACTGCCTCGGACTCCTCCGAGTCATCGTGAGGCGCCAGAGTCGGCCGCCCTGGTGATCTCCGCTCGGCCAGCTTGGTGAAGCAAGTCAATCTGGCGGCTCAATGCGGGCCCGTGTGCTCAAAGCCGAAGCGGAACTGGAGAGCGTCTGTTGGAATATACGACCTATCTCGCAAATCTCAGTCGGTGTATTCTTATTGCGGCGATTTGAAGCCTCACGGCACAACGTCTTTGGTCATTTGAAGCACGACCACCCCGGCAATCTCCTCCTCGTGATAGAACCACTTGGGAATGGCGTCAACGTCCAGCTTGGAGTACTTGATATCGGCGTCGCTGAGGCAGGAAACAAAGAGCTCAAAGGTCTCTGGTTGCCGAATCGTCGCTGCCATCCAGCCCGTGGCTCCGCGAGCAAGGTAAAAGTCCAACACCCGAACGAGAGCCGAGACAATGGAGGGATCGTAGGTCACATCGGTACAGATGACAGTGTCGACGGCCCGCTCCCATCGCGGATCAGCGGCATCAAAGCCTTCCCAGTCCAGGGCCGAGACCGACGCGAGAGAGCCTGAGCCCTGTTCAAGCAGAGGCCGATTGAGGTCGACATTTTCGGAGAGACGCCGCAGAACCTGCTCGTTAACATCGGTCATCCACACTGAACGAGCGCCGAGCATTGCGCCGGCCAGCCCCACCAGGCCCATGCCAGCCCCGAGCTCGAGCACGCAACGATCGCGGATAATGTCGGGACGGGATATCATGACCTCGGTGAAGCGCAGGGCTGCCTCCCAGGTCCGAAGACCTGTTGTTCCCTGTGAGATGGCAGCCAGCTCCTCGCGCAGAGTGATGACGGGCGGGTCCATATCGGCATCGGCATCGGCATCGGCATCGGCATCGGCATTGGCATCGGCATCGGCATTGCTGGCGGAACTTGGGTGTTGGCGAGGAAAGACATACGACTTGTGGCAGTCCGCGAGCGACGACGCATCTGAGGAAGAGCTGAGCGCCATCAAATCAAGATACGTCGAGAGGACTGAGTCGATAACCTCGATGCCATGCGCCTCGATAAGCTCGATGAGTTTCTTGAGGAAGCGCTGCGAGTAGACAGGCGCCGGTGGGCATGACTGGGCCAGTGCCGAGGCGACGGTGTGGTCCAGGATCGTTTGCTGCATTGGCTCGGCAAAGTGCTCCGGATTGCTCGCACCTCCCCAGTCGAAAGAGCGGATCGGGACAAGCTGGTAGTACTGGCGCTGGAGTCGCCGAATCCACTCGCTGTGCGGCTCGGGCATTGCTGTCGTCCGGCGAGTTCGGTGGAGGCGATCCCGAGGATGGGCTGTGGAGCTGGCCAACAGAAGCAGCAAGGCAGATCAGCAACAGCAGGACCAAGGACAACAAAAGCTGTTGCGACAGGATCCAACCGCCGGCTCGGTTGGTTCGTTGGAGGCAAAAGACCAGCAACATCCCGCCCAAGCAGCGGCCGCACCAGACCAGCAACTCTGCCCAAGACCGACAGCAGCCCGGAGCAGGAGTCGCCCCTCCCCCCAAGATGCCTCGCGAACGAGAAGCCGATCGCGAGCACGGCGAGGACCTGGAGCTTGGGCGGGATGCCCAAAAGTACAAGGGGCTGTTTTCCGAGAAGGTGGGCGCCGCTGCTTGATCCACCGACTGCTCGAGCCGATATGATGCAACGAGATGCGACGGATCGGTTGCTCGAGACGACGTGCCGACTGTTCGTAGCGATATGTTGATTCCCTGAAACGAAGGATACATTGACTGCTTGAGACGATGTGGGGCTATGTGCCGCTCCCTCGAGGCAACGCTGACAGGAACCGATCCGATTCGGCTCACCCTCACTTGGCTGGCTCCGACAGGACTGGAAATGCAAAATGTGCTCCAACATCAACTGGGCTCGCCGCAGCCACTGCAACCAATGCCAGTGCCCCAAGCCTGGATCGGGGGCAGACGCCGAGCGGGCAGGCAGTGGCGGTGGGTTCATGGAACGGGATCGGATCGTGGAGTACCGAGAGACCCGCTACCAGGACGACGATGAGTACGACGACTTTGGTCGACTCAAGAAGAAGAAGCGAGGTCCGGGTGCCGATGTCCCCGAGGCTCCGCCGCGGAAAGGAAACAACGCAACCCTGATGCCGAACGACAAGCTCGCCGACGAGGACAAAGCCAAGGATGATGGTGAAGACGATGGCGAAGACGATGGGCGCTGGGATGCCTGGGCCGACATCTTGAGCAACGATCAGCAAGCAAGCAAGCCAGATACCAAAAGTACCAGAAGCATCGAAAGCGAACGGTCGCGGCGGGATCGCTCCCCACCGCCGAGGGCCAGAGATCGTCGTCGAAGCCAATCTCGGAGTCGAACTAGAAGCCGAACCAGGAGTAGGGACCGGCGCCGAAGCAGGTCCAGAAGCAGAGACCGGCGCCGAAGCAGGTCCAGAAGCAGAGACCGGCGCCGCAACAGATCCAGGAGCCGATCACGGAGCAGGGACCGCTATCGACGACGCTCGAACAGCCCAGATCGGATCCGGAACAGATCCCGATCGAGAAGCCGCGATCGATGGCCGAGAAGCAAACGATAGAGGAGCTGCTGGCCGGTGGTAGCGCCAGGACTGCCAGCGATGATGCGAGATTCAGATGCGCATCCGGGTGCATATCCAGATGCAGATACGTACATGGATGAGCGGCTGGTGCCGAGGAGATGTGCAATGCATGAGCGCTGTCTCCAATCCACACACAACGAAACTGGCCTTCCTGCTCTCAAGTCCTGCGTATCGCTTCTCTGGATCCTGAATACACACACCCATCCACCACGGCCAAGCAGTGTATCCGAGGAGACTGACGTTGCGACAACCTTTGGCATTGCCTCGTGGACGTGGACATGGACGTGGGTGGAGGGAAAGGATACTCACCACGGAGACAAGTGTCTGCACGATACCTTGCCATTTCATCGCCATCAGGACACCCGAGACCCACATGGAGGCCGAACGACGACCCCATTTGACCCGGCCACCCTGGCATCAGCGGATGTCTGTGGACGGACCAAAGCCGTCGATTCTGTCCAGACAACCCGGACGCTTGGCTCGACGACGGCCACGGTGTCGAAAGTATCGGCTGCATCCAACCATCAAAGACTATCAAAGACTATCAAAGATCATCAAATCATCCTGTATCTGCATGTTCTCTGCGTCCTTGTCGCCTTTGGCTCGCCGAACTGTCGATCGCTGGCAGCACATCTCTGGCCATGCCTCGCTCCCGCCGTGATGATCGCAGCTGCCCGCCACCGGCCTCGATCGGCAACATCCACCACCACCACCACCACCGCCGGCCCTGCGCCTTGTGCCGGCAGGATGATGCCAGGGGCCCGAGTCTCGACGCCAGCGATGTCGCCTCCGCGGAGGCGATGGCCCGAGAGATTCGCCATGGGCGATGGTTCCGCGCAGCAGATGGCGCAAAAGCCGTGGGGGATGCCCAAGGTCGATTCAAAATCCACAGCCAGCTGCCTGCGACATTGCCCCGCCGCTGCCCACCATGGCCCAGCCTTATCGGAATGCGCTGCATCGGCGGGACCCCGACCTGCCGCCAGGCCGCTATATATCTCGTCGCAGCGAACCCAGCGCACCGAAACCCCAGCCCCATCGAACCGCCTCCCGCTTCGCGGCATTCTTGCGCTTTGGCTTCTTCAGCATCCGCAACAATGCCACTGGTTCCTCATCGCCTGTCCCTCAAGCACACCTACGATGCCGAGCTGGCCCTCCCGCCGCCCTACAACGACCGCTGGGCCGAGGAGATCGGCTGCCGCTGGGATCAAGGCAACAGCGGTATCGATGAGCCGCCGCCGGACTACTTTACCCAGAGTCTCGACCCGCTGGGCCAGCTCGTCTTTCAGTACTCCCGGAATGCCGACTGGCGCGACGTGCAAATGATCGAGTTGGCCGGCCCCAACGATCTGCAGCCGCTCTTCCTGGTCGAGTACCCGCAGGAGACACCCGTGACGACCCGGGCCGATCTCGATGTAGGTCCATCATTGCCCATGCGACAATCCGTCGTCGGATTCGTCCGATCCTCGTGCCCAGCTTTCCGAGCACCTGATATAGGCCCATGTTGCCACTCCACTCTTGCTCGCTAATCCGTCTCGCCTCCGATCAACAGCAAAAGCAATACGAGCGCTGGGAGATCCGGTTGTGCAGCGCCGGCGTCGAGGAGCTCTCCCTATTGAGTATAATCCGCAAAGCCGCCGCCTTGTACGTTGATCTTTCCCATGCCGAAGAAAATCGAAAGCGTCCGCCGATGCCTTTACTTGATTGGCGGTACCGGGTCTAACTAACGAGTTGGCGATATGTGCTTGTCTGCAATTGCCATGCTCTTTTCCTGCACAGTGATTTTGAAGTGCAAGACGTGCACAACCGGTTCATGAAGTCCGGATACCGACGCACTGGCGCCGTCCTTCCGAAGCACAAGTTTGACGGCTTTCACGGCGACCACTATGCCTGGTGTCCTGTGCCCTTCAAACCCAACCAGTTCCAGCTGGTCCACTACGAACGCCAAAAGACCGTCGTTGGATCCTACACTCTCTCACAAAGCGGCGACCGGATCGAGGGCCGGATTGTGCTGAGTCCCGATGTTGCCCGCGACCAGACCGTCGCTCTCTCAGCGGCACTGCTGATCCACGAATACGATCGAGTCTCGGCTCTCCGTCAGCAGCGCAAGCAGCAACTGCACACAGCCACGGCCATTCGCAAACGCTCGGGCGGCAACTTGCGGGCCATGATGGCTCAGAGCTCATCCATAACGCTGGTCTGACAGGACAGCCGGTATCAGCTCAACCTCCAAACTCACACCAACCCACATCGGCCCCGCCAGACAGGATGTCCATATGTCCCTCCCCTTCCCGTGCCCACATGCCTCATCGCAATTGTCGATCTCTCACATCCACACATGATCTGCGAGCACAACTCTGGTGCGATGAATGGAATCGCTCCAGCGTCACTCCCTATTTATTTGGTTCCCTTTGATTCCATCCGGCCGTCGGATTGCTGTTCGTCTGTTGATCATCCGTACAAATCCATGCCATCTTCAATCCTATCCTTTTCACTCTTTGCATTCCGTTGCACCCATCGCATCTGTTCTTTCCATCGCACTCATTGCATCCATTCTATCCACTCTATTCCATCGCGTGCCGACTGATCGGCTGATCGATTTCGCTCGCTGTTGGCTGTAATGCACCTTCGCTCTGCATTGACCTTTGCCCTTCCCTGTTCAGTCAAGTTCTATGCGGTTGCAGGTCGCATCTCCGCCCCGGCCGATGTACTTTATCCGACCGCTTCAATGAAAATCCAGAACCACCTACGTCATTTCCGAGTGCCTTCGTGCCTGCGTCCAGCTTTTGGTTCAGGGCGATCGGGTGGGTGGAGACGGACGGGTGCAAGGGGAAAGGGTGCATGGGGCTCATATTGGACCTTCCAAAGAAACTATGGGCCTCCGTTTGCTCGGCCGAGAACGACCAAGTGGGTTGAACCATGCTCTTTGGCGATATCTCATCGGGCGAGTCCACCGCAGCAGCGCGAGTGCCGATCAACATCATCAGACCAACTGGTCGATCAACACCACATACACTGAGTCGCGTTTCAGTTTTGGCGAGCTGCAGACAAGTATATTCAAAATCCAGAAGAAAAAGGTGGCCCGTCGACCTCAAAGACAGGGAGCGGGATAATGCCGGAGTATCTCTCCCCCAGGCAGACGGATATGCAAAAACACGTCGGCAGTAAGATGAATCAAAGGAGTAGGATCGAGCAGAAGCGTTACCAGCCGCAACTAACCGCCTGTTGTTGCTTAGCCCTGGCTTCTTCGCATCCTTGTTCCACGGCTCTGTCGAACCAGAAGGCTGCCATTTGGCCATCGCGTTCGACACCAACGCCATCAAAGTGACATCGGCCCATGTTCATCAGAGCGGGAACGTTGCTTTGGGCAGCGGCATCGGAATAACACTTGATGGCCTTGGTGACGTTACGCTGGACACCTCTGCCGTGCTCGTAGCACTCGCCGAGGAAGTTCTGAGCCCACGGATTGCCTTGGTCGACAGCGGCCTGGGTGAAGGTCAGGCTGGTTGCAGGGTTGGCATTGGTATTGGTCTCGCTGATGTGCCAGAGGCCGAGCCAGAGTTGGCAGAGATCACGGGATTGCTCGTTCGCGAGCTTTTCGATGGTCCTCAGCGCTGGAGCCTGCTGGCGAGCCACGCCAAAGCCGCTGAAGAGGCAGACGGCCGCCAGGTGCTGGCACAGCCAGTCGGACACCACACCGAGGTTACAGAGCTTGTAGAAGAGGGCAGCGTCTGCCGAGTTGACCTGCGCCAGCGCTCCAAAGCAGCCAGCGTCCTTGAACGGGAACTCGGTGATGTAACTCTTCTTCATAAGGTCGATGGCCTTGTTCTGGTTAAAATCGATGCCGCGTCCGAGGTAATGCGACCAGCCGAGCATCTGGGTGGATATGGCTTTTAGCCCGTCGGTTGCTGACTCGCGGACGCTGGTCCAGTGGGAGAAGGAGCTTTTGTAGTCTTGTTTCACGCCGAGACCGAGGAAGTAGAGCCAGGCGAGCTGGAACGAAGCACGGAGGCACTTGCTATCACTCGCGGCGCTACACAGCTTGAAGGCGGGTTTCCAAGCGGGATCGTCGCCATCGAGCTGAGCGTCGATGAGGAGCTGGGTAACGGCAACGCAAGCATCGGGATCGCCCTGTCGAATCCTGGGAACCATGCCACCGGGGACTTGGACTGCCTCTTGGATGAATTGAAGCTCACGGTCGGTGATCAAACGGTTGGGGGTGTTGGGGCTGCGCTCCGGTGTGCGAAAGTTACGAAACCAGCGATCAATCAGCTACGGTGCAGATCTCTTTGGATTACGAGCGGCGGATCGTACGGCAAGCGCCGCAGGATGTATACAATCAAACTCGGCCTCCACTAAGCCAGTTGCGTGGAGCAAAGTGTGCGGCTATCGCCGCACGCCCTTGGTGCATTTGGAGCAGCAACACTTACCGAGATGGCTCATCTTTTTGAAGCTCAGTGAAGTAGCTCAAGCGAAGCAAAATCTCGTCAAAGATCGGTCGCTCGTTGCGGTCATTGCCCCAGCAGTCTTGGATGAGCTGCCACACATCCTCATTCAGACCACGGATCTTCTTGGGCCGCTCAGATCGGAGAAGGGTTTGCTGCTGCACCGCTGCCTTCATATGGTTTCCGGCATCGTCGATCCAGCTGTATCCTTTGTTCATGACCTCATAGCAGAGGATGGCGTAGGCATAGACGTCACTCGCCTCGCTGACGCCCGTAGGGGTCTCTACGCCGACACCCAGAAGCTCGGGGGCCATATGGAATGGGCGTTCGCGACGGGTGTCGTGTCGTCGACGACGGAAGGTCATGGAGACATTCCGAGTCTTTGACATGCCAAAGCCGGTGATAATGGCGTTGAGAGAGTCGTCGAGCGAGACATTTGCGGTGCGCAGATCGCTGTGGACGGTGCCATTGGCATGGAGATAGCTCATGCCGCAGGCAACCTGGTAGATCCAGCGGATCTGCAAGGGCATGTTGATGCTATAGTCGCTGTCGGAAATGTATGTTTCCAGGGTGCCGCGCGACAGCAGCGGCGAGATCATAAAGAGCTTTTCTTCGGTATCGCAGGCGCCGAGCAAGTTGAGGATGTGGGGGTGGTTCAGGTCCTTCCAGACGCGGATCTCGCGGCGGAACTCCTTGACATCGCTCTCGGAATACGTTCCAAAGAGCTGCTTCATGGCGACGGCGGTGCCGTGGTACTTGGCAGAGAAGGTCGTGGCATAGCCACTCACGAGAATCGGCTCGGCGGAAACATCGGTGATGGAGAGAGCAGAGATACGCCAGGGCTCCAAATCCATGGACTGGGATGCGGCAGACTGGCTTTGGATCAGCCGAAGGACCTGGTTGATCGAGTCGACGATTTGTCGCTGCGCATCCCCGGCAGTGGCAGCGTCAGGCACCGTGGCAGTGGCGGTTTGGATGGCGTCCGTCAGTCTTCGGATTTGCCACTCCTGCATATTGCCGAGCTGGACGCCCATATCAGCAAGGGCGGCGTTGGCGTTCTGCTGGAACTGATCCTTGAAGCGGCGCAGCTGATCGGCATCCCTGGCTTCGTCGCTGCTGATGGCCTGGGTGATGGTGCGGTCGTGCTGGACTCTGTTGGCGATGCCGATGGTGAGGGCCATCATGATGGACCGCTGGAGATTGCCAAACTCGCGGTGGAAACTTTGGATCCGTTGACGGATCTGGGAGCCGTAGATGAACAACTCGAGCCGGGAGCGTAGTTTGATGTGCTGGTTAAAGTAGTTCAAGATTTGACGATGAAAATCATTGAGGCGCTGTACCTGACGGGCAAAGGCAGGATGGTTCTCATTGCAACCAGCGAGCATCTCCAAGGCGTCTTTGGACTCTCGGGAGAGCTCCCCCCAGGCGGCTTCGTTCTGCTTGACAGCCTGGATGGCGGCATAGAGCTCCTGGGCAATGAGAATAGCCGGACGGAGAAGCAAGGGGGCAATGTGAAGGAGGCCTGCGAAGCCTACGATCTCCATGGTGGCGGTAAGCGGGTGACCCGAGACGGGGGGAGATGAGGTGGGGTGAAGGCAGAGCGGGTCCGGCAGGAGGACAGCAGGCCGACGAAGGACAGAGGAGAGGGGCGGACGAAGCCAAAGCCAACGATGAAGCAAACCGACACCAGCCGCAACGAAGGCCGCGGGTGCGCAATATATAGAGGAGTCGCGTCGCGGTATCCACACGGCTCGTGCGTCTCTGGGTCACACGGTGTCAAACGCGGCAGTCAACAGCGGCGCGGGTTGTCTGAGTGAGTCCCCCGCCGTTACTTTGGGTGACACTTGGTATCCCCGCTGCCCCCGCCACCGTGGCGCAGCAGCGGCACTGCAGCGAGAGAGAGAGCCGAGAGCGCCTCGCCGAGAAGCCAGCGGTGAAAACGGGAACGCGATGGAAACCAGAGGGCGACGATGGAAGTTAAAAGGTGATGATGGAAACCAGAGGGCGATGATGGAAACTATAAGTTGATGATGGAAGGTAGAAGAAGTCCGATGTCCTGACTCGGATAAGGTCAGACGGAGACGGATGCGTCCCGCTTTCCTCTTGACCACACGTGTCAGATCTACATTGGTATCATCCGCGTCTGCATCTGGATCGGTGTCGGTATCGGTATTACAGTCAATCCTTGCCGGCCCAAGGGCGCATGCTTGGCGATACCGCCCCCACCCATACCGCCTCCGGAACCCCGCCTCTGGATACCTTCGCCGTCCACCAGAGTGCTGCTGCGACACTCGGCCAGCAGTCGCCATGGTCCTCGCTGCGTTGGGCCGTCAGCATCCTGGTTCATCCGATCCGAGCTTGCCTGCCGTATCTCCGCGGCTGTCGCTCATCAGCCAGCCCGACAGCACTTCTGACCCAGCTGGACACACGCAGACCCCCACCAGCGTTACGATGGCTGGCGAATCGGCCTTGTGGACAATCCGATCCTCCCAGCGCCACCCCAGCGCCTCAGTTCCAGATCGGCTATCACGGCGAATGAGAGCATCCCGGTCCGGGATGGGAGAACCTTTTGGCGGGTGCGGTTGGATCGGCGCAGAGGCGGCATGGTTCAGGCAACAGTTGAGTAATGTTCTCCGCCATCCGCTGTCATCCTGCCATGACCCCACGCCCGCATCACACAACCAGAGCTATAAAGTCACCGGCAAGCCCTGGCTGTCGCCGAGACCACGCCAATCGCAGCCACCATGCGTCCGATAGCACGAAATATTCTCGCCGGGCTCATACTTCTCCTCAGCGCCGCTCTTGGAGCGCAGGCCAGCGACATCTACATCCCCTCCTCGCTGCGCTCGCTCCCGACGGATGAGCCCAAGACCGTCCTCATTCTCTCCCTTCCAGCCACGGGCCACGCAAACCCGCTTGTGATCTTGGCCGCCGAGCTCGCAAAGCGCGGACACCATGTCACCTTCATCACGGCGGCCAGCTACACTGTTCCGGAATATGCGCGCAACACCAGTATCGAATTCCGTCTCTTCCCCGACGAGCGCGACTTTGCCCAGGCGCTGATCGGCATTGCATCAAGAGCCGGACACGGATCGACCCAGCTCGAGAAGATCCTCAGCCTTGCCCGGCACTGGAGCAGCTTTACGGCCTTGCAGAAGCTCTTTCTTGGAGATCTGCTCGCGAACAGCCTCGAGGTGATGAAGGACAGACGCCCCGATGTTGTTGTTGGCGGGAAGCTGATCCAAAGGGTATGTTTGCAACAGCACGGGCTGTACATAATGCCGCTCCAGCACTACTCAATCGCTCGATTGCTCCAGCGCCCCGTCATGTTCGCGACTCCAACCCTGCTGATTGTCCGCCGTTACTCGCTTCGAAACAGACCACTTCCGCTTTGGGTCAATACTGGGACGTTCCCGTCATCTCACAGTTCATTACCAGTGCCATAGTCGAAAACCAAGCGTTTGCAGATTCATTCACTCCATCGATCATGGACGGACTCCCCGATCCGAAGCTGACTTTCCCTCAGGCCATCAAGGTGCTCATCGGTCGGATGGTCATGATGGGACTGCGCGAAAGCCTCACGTTCCAGCACCTGAACATTATAGACTCGATCGACGATAGCCACCCGGAATACCACTTGAAGGAGCGAGTCAATGCCCACCCAGCTCAGCCTGCCATCGATCTGGTCTCGAGCGAATGGGGATATGAGCCCATCACGCTGAGGACCGCAGCGACTCGCATGGGTGGCATGTGGGTGCCCTCGGGCCAAGACCTGCGCACTCAGCATCCATCGGTGCTCGAGTGGCTCGAGTCTGCTTCCCGTCCTGTCGTGTACACCTCGACCGGCACCATGGTTATGCCTTCCAATGCGACGCTGCTCGCCATGTTCGAGGCCTTCAATTCCACGACCGAGTACCAGACCCTGTGGTCACTCAAGAAAGTCTCCCATGCCAACTTGCTCCGGTTGCTCGGTGACACGCAGTGGCCCAGCCATATCCGAGTCGAGCATTTTGTTCCCCAGATGGCGGTCCTGGCCCACCCGTCCGTCAAGGTCTTCTTCACTCACGGCGGATTCAGTAGCGTCGTCGAGGGTATCTGGAACGGCAAGCCGATGCTGGGTGTCCCGTATCACGGCAAGTACCGCAGGAGCCGAGAGTGGTACTCTAGCAAAACTGGGACGACACAGCCAGTCGATGTTCGCGCAGTGGGCGGGCTGGGAAGGAGTGGTCCAGAACCATGGCGAAGTCGTGTCGGCAATACACGATGCATCAGGAGGATCGATACCGATAGTGGCTGCTACTGAGCTTGGTTGGGGATCGGACAGAATGATCGCGCCGATCCGACCATGTCGAGTGCTTTTGCGTCACTAACACCCATTCCGTCGCCTCAACGTCCCCCAGGCGATCAGCCCTACAACATTGCCTATATCGCTCGATTGAAGGCCGGTCTCTTTCTCGACAAGGCCGTGCTGGCATCGGAGGACCGGGAGCGCTCGCGCACCGAGATCCAGACCAAGCTCCAGACGCTTCTCCGCGACCCGTCCTATGCCAAGAACATCCTCCCGCTGCAGCGTCTCGCCCAGGCCGGCGGCGGGGTCATCAAAGGGGCCAACATCGTCGAGGAAACCATTGCGATGGGCAGCACCGAGCATCTGCGATATGCAGACAACACACGCGTCATAGCCTCAGCCTATATGTTTTTGGCGATCCTGCTCCTCGGGGCAGTTGCGTTGTCCATGTGGGGCATCACCGTGGCTGCCCGCAGCCTCTGGAGACGTCTTAGCAAGAAGCAAAAGGCCGAGTAGCGATCTTGTGTCTGTGATGTTGCCCGCGACGAGCTGGTTGGCAGGGCCATTGCCCGAACATGCTCCCGAGTCCCTCCTCCACCCTCCCCCCCCCCAGACAATCACCAACAAAGTTGGCCGAGCAGGACGTGGTTCCGTGGCCTGTCGCCCCACGACCAGGACCACGACCAGGACCACGACCAGGACCACGACCAGGACCACGGGCTTACAAGGTGCCGGCCACGCGAGTGCCCGCTGTCGCCTCTTTCAGGACGGGTGTGGTGCTGTGTGGAAACGCTGGTCCAGGCGACTGCATGCGCCAGGCCGGAGCTCCTGTGCGAGGACCGTTTCCAATTTTGCCTGGGGCAGCGTCACGCTTTCGGGGCGAACAAGCCGACAGAGCAACAGAGGCCGTCAGACAGACAGCGCGCCAACAAGACTTACCAGCAAGGGAGCGTGATACATCCGTTGCTCGTAGTCGCCCACGAGGTGTGTCAGCGCCGTCCGGGAAAGCTGCGACCAAAGGCTCCTCTGCCGCCCCTCACGGCTGTTGCTCGCCTTGGACCTGCTCTGTCTCCATCGCATCTGCCTCCTCATCCCGCAGCCTGCCGACATGGTCTTCAAGGCTCTCTCCTGCTGCTTCGGGGGGTCCGCGGGCTCAGCATCTGTCCGCGAGGCGCCCGAGGATGCCTCCTCTGTCGTCGTCCCCCAGGCACCATCAACCCAGCCCAACTTTGTGCCAACGATGGACCTGTTCGACCCGTGGGTGCACCCTGTCGAAGCAATCATCAAGACGGCCCAGGAAGAGCCCAATGCGCTCGCCATCTTGACCCTCGAGAACGGCGTGCTCGAGCGATACACCTACCTTCAGTTGTGGCAGCGGGCATACTCGATTGCCCAGGGCCTCAAGGCTCTGCCCGGATGGGACGACGAAGACCACGAAGTCGTTGCCCTCTACTGCGAGGCCGAGTCGCACTGGGCGTTCTACTCGATGGCCATCTGGATGCTCGGAAAGTAAGCGGCTCGTGTGCGGTATCGCCAACAGCAATCAGCATGTTCCTGAGTTGACATCTGACCAACAGCCTTTGGTTCCGGCCTTCAGGAGAGTCATCAACCTTGGTCTCAACTGGCCTTCGGCGGTTCGCAAAGCTCTATCCGAGCGGTGGGTTGCCTGCTGCTAATTTCATGGGGCCGCATATGCCGGTCTGTGGTGCGGTGCGGTGCGGTGCAGTCGGTGCAGTCGGTGCGGTGCAGTCCGTGGTGCCACTCTGCGGTACCGAACCCGGCCGTCACCCAAGCCGCTGCAGTTGCCTGTTGCTTACTGTCGCTCCCATTGCCGTCGCTTGGGCAGACTCAAGATGAAGTTCGTCCTCTATCACTACGTCAAGCCCGGCCGCGTTGCTGGCCTTGAGGCCATCGACGCTGGCAACCTCCCGCAGCTGGCCGACATTCCGTCGCCGTCTATCAGCGTGTGTCAGCCTCTGGACGACTACATTGCCTATATGAGCACCTCCGGCACCACAGGTACGGTTCTGCTGCATTTCATGTCTGCAGCACTCGAGCTTCGTGTACTCACTCGCTCCATTGTACACGATCCTCTCACAGGTGTGCCCAAAACGTGAGTCTCGCTCAATTCGCCCGCATCGCTCGTCTCCACTGGCTGCAGTGCACTGACATATCATGGCCTTGCAGCTACCCGGTATCCCATCGATCTATCGAACCGAGCCGTCCAAACATGGCATTCTTCAAGGGCTCGACAGGAATCTTCCAGGTAGGTGTTGCCTTCCTTGAATGGGCATTCCATGTGGCCGAGTCCAGCCCCAACACACCCGGAGCCATCGATCGTAGGCTTCCGAAATGCCAAGGACCTCATTGCCGATCACCATACACCCATGCACAGGCTCCCTCGTTTTCAATCCCGCTTTGGTGCTTTGTCATTGCTTTCAACACCAGAAGCTCGGTTTGGTTCGCCAAGCCTACACCCAACCCCATCGAAAAGTCTGAGAGTGTCATTGGACTCATGAACGAAGGCCTCGAGTTCTTCTTCTCGGTAGGTCAGCAGCCACCAGCCAAAGACACATGGCGTGCGACTCGAGCCCGGATTCCGTACTAAGGCGACCACTTTCTCCGGCAGCCCCCTTCGTTCGTCAAGATGTTCTTCCGTGTTGCTGTCTCCAAGTATCGCAACATTTCGTGGACGAAAACCAGAAAGTTGAGTCTCGGCTCAGAGCTCGTGCCGCTCTCGCTCGTCCGCCAAGCCAGAGAGCTCTGTCCAAATGCTCTGGTCCAATGCGCTTACGGATCCAGCGAGGTACGTTTGAAACTGAACAGCGATCGCCTTGTTGCGTGGGCCCTGGTTAATCGCTCCGTCTATTCTCCCAGACCGGTGTCATCGGAGCGCTCTCTACCCTTGTGCTGAAGCCAACGGACCCGAATCCCAGCAAACTTGTGTACAGCATCAAGAAGCCCGGGGTCCGATGTCTCCTTCTCGACGAGGAGGGCAACCTCCTCGACCGCAGCACCTCGAGCCATGGCATCCTCGTTTTCGCTGTCGACAAGGACGATCCGATCCGTGACCACCCCAACTTTGTTAACTCTGACCCCAGCGATAAGCTGGCTCCCTTTGGCTTCCTCCCTGATGGCTCGCCTCGTGTCTGCACCATGGACTGGGTCGAGATGGCTGGAGAGAGAGAATTCACTGTGATCGGAAGGTGAGCTGGCGTTTTGAGTGAGCTGTGGCGGGGCGATGGTTTGCGAGCCATAGATTGATCAAGCTGGACATCGACTGACCCAATTGATTGCACCCGCCTTGCGTCCCAATACCACACTGGCTGCCGAATCTCACACCGCCAGATTCGGCCAGAAGATCAAGGTCAACGGTGTTTACGTCGACCTCAACGCCCTCGAGGAACTGGCCAACGAGCATATGAGCCGGATCATTTCCGATTGCACCTTTGTCCAAACCTCCGAGAAGAAGATCGTGATGCTTTACGTCCCCAGGAAGGGATCCGAGGTCTACATGACTCCCGCCGAGATTCTCCAGATGGCCCAGGATGTCTTTGCCCTCAAGAACGTCGCCAAGTTCCCGATCCACAACTGCTTCGAACTCCACGAAGTCCCCTTCAACGACTCGGGCAAGCGCGACCTCAAGAAGCTCAGGCGCATCGCCGAGAACGTGGGTCTCTATGGCAAGTCGGTCGAGTACCCCCCTCTGGACGTGGATGACTCTGCTCTGTCTCGCATCGCGATCAAAATCTCGACTCTTGGAAGTCGGATCCTTGAAGCCGAAGCGCTCGACGGCCGCAACTTCTACATTGCCGGTGTCGGTTTTGACTCGCTGAGTGTCGGTCGCCTCGCTCTTGCCATCAAGGACGAGTTTGATGTCGAGATCTCGCCGCTGATCCTGCTGTCGAACGGAATGACGCCGCTCGATGTCGCCCAGCTCGTGATCGACATCCTCGACGACAAGCCCCTCATTCCCCCGACTGTTGATCTGGCTGCCGAGGCCGCCAAGCTCGACGATGCGAGTGTGACGGCCGAGGGTCTCCCTCCGTTTGTCTATCCCAAGGAGGTCCGGGGCATTGTCCTGACCGGTGCCACTGGCTTCCTCGGCGCCTTCCTCATCTTCGAACTGGCCAACAAGTTCCCCCGCGCCAAGTTCTACTGTCTGGTTCGAGCTCACAACGAGACAATGGCATTCCTCCGTATCTTTTCCAACGCCTCGAAGCTGGTGATTGCGTCGAGAAAGCCCGGCGATCCGTGGTACGATGTGCGAGACCGATTCATTGGTCTGCGCGGCGATCTGTCGCAGGACAAGTGGGGACTCTCGGACGACCAATGGAAGGAGATCAGCGAGGAGACCGACATGATTGTCCACAACGGCGCCGAGGTCCACTGGCTCTTCAACTACGAGCGACTCAAGGGACCCAACGTCCTCGGCACGGCGACGGCCCTGCGACTGGCCACCACGCACCACCTGAAGGTACTCCACTACATCTCGACCATCGGCACGGTTCCCATAGTCAAGAACTCCAAAGAACCTCTCAAGGAGGCGATCCACTCGGCCTGGAACATCTCTGGCGGCTATTCGCAGACCAAGTGGGTCTCTGAGCAGCTGGTCAACAAGGCACGATCGAGGGGAGTGCCGGTAACGATCATTCGCCCAGCTGGTATCGTTGGCGACACTCGCTATGGAGGTAAGTTGTTGATACGGTGTGGTGGAGAGTCGGATTCGTTCCATGGCTCGGCCATGAATCGATGCTCCTTGTTTGCCTGGCGACACAGGCACACGCTAACGCACATCCGCTCCACCACCACCAGCATGCAACACCGATGACTACATCTGGCGATATGTCAAGGGATGCATCCAGCTCGGCGTTGCTCCCTCGCACGCCACTCCCGTCACCATCACTATGGATCCCGTCGACCACGTCGCCAAGGTGGTTACCGAGATTGTCGGTTCGGAGGAGGCCCTGTCCAAGTTTGTGTTCCACATCAGCGACTCGGAGCACAGGTAAGGAATGTGTGATGTGGTGTGAAGTGCGATGTGGTGTGGTGTGTTGTAGTGTGGATGGTGTATTCCGACTCTGATTACTCACTCACTCACTCAACCACTCACTCACTCACTCAAACACTCAACCACTCAACCACTCGCTCACTCACACTCACACTCCCACGCCAGTGTCATCTCCGAGACTAAGCTCTTCGAGATCGCCAACGCTCACGGCTGGCCTGTCCTCTTCGAGACGCGCGAGCAGTTCAAGACCCTCCTCGAGGCCAATCCGTCCATCGAGAACAACGCCCTGTTCCCGCTCATGCATATGATGATGGATATGTCCATGCAGGTCGACAACACCAACACTCGCTCGATCTACCCGACCCCCTGCCCCTCCATTACCATGGTCGCCAAGAAGAGTCTCAACTACCTGTATTTTGCACGTTTCCTGGACGAGCCCAAATTCCCGTCGAGCAGCCTCAGGGAAGAGGAGTATCCCGAAGTCCCCATCTTCAGTCGCACTGGTCGCCACTGATCGCCAAGATCACTCCAACCACCCTTGCCGCTGGACTCTTTCTCATTTACCGGACTCGCTCATAACGAGCGGCAGCGACCCGTAGCGTCACGCTGTCGTACACTCCAAACTGGGCTTGCCCAGATCTTGCCCTTGACGATGTATTGTCTCCTCACCTCTTTCATTTCTTGCGTCAGCACCGATGCTGGCGGTGTCTCCTCCCCTTTCCAATCCACGCGTTCTTGCCCCCTCCCCATTTCGCTCGTGTCTCTCCAATTTCTTATCAGTCCCATGACCGCCTCAGCTTCTCCTCATATCCTTCGTTTCCTTTTCAGCTACTGAGCCGCTCTATCACCCAAATACAGCAAATTGATATTGACTGGACTGTCTATTGCCCCTTCGTTGGTGTGGGTGGAGCCAACGAAAGTGTCGAGTGAACCTCAGGCAAGGCAGCCGGATGCCTGACTCTTACTCTGCTTCCGAGAGGCGAATGCCGATGTACTTGAGCCGATCGTGTGTATTTGAGTCAAAGGAAAATGTCCAACAAAAGCAGAGCCAGAGTGGTCCGTTTCGCTTGGAAACACTCACGCTACCACACACCACCCCGATGTGCTTTCCTCCACAGCATCTTCGTCCAAATATTCTTGCTCGTGCTCTTCATGCGGTTCTGGCTCCTCCTGCCTCTCCGGCTCGTTGTGTGCTTCTTGCACTTCTCGCTCGTGTTCCTCCGGCTCTTCTGGTTTGGACGCTTCAGTCGGTACTGCTTTGTCTAAGCCAGCTTCCCTTGGTTCGGCTCGAGCTGCTTTGTCCATAACCGACTTGAGCTGCTGCAGCACCGCACCGACCTGCGGATGCTCCTCGCCGAGAGCGAGCTTGCGAATCGACAGTGCCTCTTGGCAACGCTCAGCCGCAAGCTGGTATTGGCCCTGCATCTCGAGAACCAATGCGAGCTCACAGAGGACCTGGGCGGTAAATGGATGCGGCTGTGTACCAAAGGCACCTGCGCACAATCTGAGAACTCGCTCAAAATGCGCACGGGCATCTTCAAGCTGTCTCTGCTGGGCAGCGATGCGGCCCTGCTGGATAGCCAATCGGGCCACACCCATGCACACCTCGGCGGCAAGCTCGCTCTCCAGGGCACCCAGTGTCTTGAGCACATCCAGCGATTCTTCGTAGTATCTGCGTGCTTCCGACTGTTGGTCTTGGTCCTCCTCAATCTTGGCCATGGTGCTCAGAAGGACAGACGCCATGAGATCTTCTGCGGTGCCGCACTCGCGCTTTATGGCGAGGGCTTGCTGGTAATAGCCCAGTGCTTTGTCAAGCTGGTGCTGTCCCTTGGCAGCGTTGCCCAGGCTCGTCAGGATGTTCACGAAGCTTGGGTGGGTCTTGGTTCCGTGGATTTTGGCGAAAATGTCAAGGGCCTCCAGAAAGCACTCCGTAGCCGAGCCAAAGTCGCCGCGGAGATTCTGCACGCTTCCGATGTTGTGGAGCGCTGTGGCCACCGAGAGATGGGTTCGGGTGCCGTGGATTGATACGTGTGTGTCCAGACATTCCTGGTAGTATTTGTATGCACCATCGAGGTCTCGTTCACCAAAGGCCGTGTTGCCCATGGCTCCGAGAACATCTGCCACGTCTGGGTGGATGCGAGTGCCAAAGGCAGCAACGTAAATGTCCAAAGCTTCTTGGTGATGTTTGAGTGCCAGGGCAGGCAGCCCTTGGGCGCTCTCAACGCTTCCGATGTTCATCAGTATCGTGGCTATATCTGGATGCTTTCGGGTTCCAAGGAGCTCGACTTTGATTGCCAGAGCCTCCTGATAGCGCGAGAGAGCCTGCTCGTATCGACCCTGAAGCTTGTCAAGGTTCCCGATGTTGTGGATGGCTTCGACCACCGAGGGATGCTGTTTCGTTCCAAAGGCCTGGTGGAGGATGTCGATGGCGTCCTCGTAGTGGCGGGATGCAGCAGCATAGTCCCCACGAGAAGTCATGATCTGCGCCATGCCCATCACAGCCGAAACGGCAGCAGGATGTGCGCGCGTTCCATGAACTTTGGTGTGAATATCGAGAGACTCTTGGAAGCACTCCGAGGCGCTCTCCCAGTGCCCCTGGGAATGCAAGATATGTCCGATGTTGCATTGCAGGTCTGCGACACTGCTGTGGATGCGGGTCCCCTGGATATTCACAACATTCTCGAGGGCCTCCTGGCTCCGGGCCAGGGCCAGGTCGAGCTGCCCTTGGCTGCGGGCGACGATTCCAAGGTTCTGAAGCGTCTCGGAGATTGACGGGTGGTTGCGGGTACCGTGGCATTTGATTTTGATTTCCAGAGCTTCTTCATAATAGGCCGTGGCTTCGGCATAGCGGCCCATATCGGAGGCTACATTTCCCAGATCGTTGAGGGTGTCGGCAACTTGAGGGTGGCTGCGTGTTCCAAGCGACTCGATCTCGATCGCGAGCACTTCTTGGAAGTGATCCATGGCTTTCTTGAGCTGCCCATGACTATAGCACAGGTTCCCAAGGCCGTGCAGGGCCGCGGCCACCGAGGGATGGCAGCGGGTGCCGTTCACGAGGAGGTACATGTCCAGAGCCTCCTGGAGATATCGCTCCGACTGCTGGAACTGTCCTTGGTTTCGCGCAACAAGCCCAATATTATTGAGCGTATCTGCGATAGTTGCGTGTCCGCTGGCTCCATAGATCTGGGTCTTGATAGAAAGAGACTCCTGGTAGAGTGTGAGTGCTTTGTCGTACTGCCCGCGGCTGAGGGCAACATTGCCCTGGCAGTGCAGGGTATCGGCAACGGCCTGGTTCGTTCGCGTGCCGAAATATCGGATCGACTTGTTCAGACTCGACGCAAAGATCCGATCCGCTCGTCCATAGAACCCCATTGCGTACGCCAGCTCTCCCACGCGCCGCTCGATATCGGCATCTTCGCTCTTGGTGTAGGCGCCTGGGCTGGCGACCGAAGCGTACTGCTCGAGATGGCGAGCAAGGGCAAAGGAGCGCTGGTCAAAAGGCTTCTTGATCAGCTCGAGGAGCGTGCGGCCGACTGTGTCTTGGATCTCTTGGAAGGACAGGCTGGGGTGACTTTGAATGTATCGCCAGGCAACCAACTGGATCAGAGAATGCGTGCTGTAGCTATCGTCGGACTCGCGGCGCAACAGCCCGCTTCGACACAGCAGCTGCACCAGCTTGGTGGCTGGTGTAAATCGGCCAAGGGAAGGTAAGCCACTGGGCAATCGACCGAGTCTATGCAACAGCTGCAGCTGCAGCAAAACACAGCGCGGAAGTCACTCGCAGCACGAACAAGCGAATCTCACCGCTAAAGTCGCTTGTAAGATTGGCAGAGAGCCCCTTGAGCAGATGGAGGGGGATTTCCGTTGGAGCCACTGTACTGATGGCCCCAAACAGCTTGCAGGCGGCTATGCCCGGCTTGCCTTCTCTATCTTCGAGCGAGGCGAGCGACAGTTTCACGATTGCTGTGAGCGATGCTCGGCTGCCGCTGTCGTCATCATCCTCGCCCTCCCCAAGTGCTTCGGTGAACTCGGATTCCATTTCAGCGAGCGGAGGATCGTTGCTTTCGACATAAGCAGCCAAGGCTTGGATGACTATTGGATAGCCACCAATGCGGGAGACAATATTCCCAAAGAGTTCCTTGGACCCGCTGCTCGTGACTCTCCTCGCGAGCAGCGGACAGGTCGAGAGAAGATACTGGTGCGTGATGTCTTGCGGCCACGAGGCTAGATTCAGTGGTTCCTGGACGAACTCGGGAGAGCCAAGCTTGAGAGCAGCCACCAGGTTTCCGGTCGGCAGAGTCGGGAGACGGGTGGTGATAACGACATCGCCCCCGAATCCATGGCGCTTGGAGTGCTCAAATACCGAGTTGGCGAGAGCAATATCGTCAACGTTGTCGAGGACCAGCAAATAGCCGTGGGTAGCACCCAGGAAGGCGGCTGTTTGCTCCTTGAGCTCGTCTTTGTCGACGCCAGGAAGGATCCGGCCGAAGCTCTCCATCACAGCCAATTCGGTGCTGCAGTCGACCCAGTATACATGCGAGTACTGGGGCTTGATCCCAACCGAGTCGCGAGCAAGGGTATCGAGGCTGTCCTGGTTGCAGGCCCTCAGTTTCCCCATCATGAACTGCAGAAACTGACGCGCAAGTGTCGACTTGCCCATGCCCCCCATGCCGCTGACGACGGACCGCCCAGTGAGGGTGACGGTCTTGAGCAGCTGGTCGAGGTGGTCGGTGAAGACGAGACGGGTCGAGTCTGGGAAGAACATGGCGTCGAGCGCAGCGGCTGTGGCGGGATCGACGGTGACGGGACGAAGCAGCGACAGCAGACGATAGAGTCGCCGATGAGGGCGATCAGGGCAATACCCATACATCTGGACCTGGTTCATGCGTGCCAGGACAGCGTTCAGGCGCTCAAAGTCAAGCGTCGCCGGCAGAGGCACCAGGTAAGGTCTGAATGACACGAACGAGCCCTGTCCAGCGGCAGCAATCAGATAAGTCGATGGACGACAACTGACCTGCAGGGAGCACTCTGGCCTACCTCGGTGGAGGTATCGACGCACAGCGGCAGCACAGCAGCCTTGCCGCCGTCCATCAAGTCGAGGGATTTGTCAATCTCCAATACGACGTTATCCTCCTGCTTCGCCTCGATCTTGTTCTTCATGATTTGCATCGAGCCCTTGCTGACAAGCAGGAGAATGACCGAGCTGTGCGGGAGGGCTCCGAGGAACCCTTCGCGCCAGCTGCGGGCATCGCCCAGACAGTCCACGTCATGGAAAACAGAAACAGACTGTCCGAAGCGGCGCTTGGAGATGCGCACGAGCAAATTCTTGAGGGCATTGACAGTTTCGGAGTCGGTGGCCACGCGGTACGATAGAAAGAAATCATGGCGCTTGCCATGTGCATCGCAAACGTAAGCGCTCTCGGACGGCATGGTACCATTCGGAGGATCGAGAAGCAAGGGCCGAGGGCAGAGGTTGGCTGGCTTGGCCGGGGTCTATTTGTAGGGGGGATTTGCGTTTTGCTCCCTCCCCCCTCGAGCCTGGCAGATACGCCACTGCGAGGTGGCTTTAGGGCCAAGAGCCGTGTTTGGGGCACAGAAACAGAGGCACATTCCAAATCGGACCAGTTCGGCGCTGCAGAAGTTTTGCCTGATCCGGGAGTGGGGATTGGTCTGTGGTGGGTACTCGCCGAGAAGCATCCGCAGTTTGATTCCCCCGTCTCCGCCAACGACCTGCTCATTCTTGGACGAATCGCATTGCAAAGAAAGCTGCAAAATCACAGCCCGTTCAAAAGGCAAGGAGTGCACAGTCTCGAGATGCTACATGCGTTCAAGAGATGAAACGGGGTGGCTGCAGCGGTGGTTGACATGGGCAAAAGGAAGAGGCAGAACATGGAAAAAAGAGCGAGTGCATGGTCCGGGAATCGAACCCGGGTCTGCCGCGTGGCAGGCGGCAATTCTACCACTGGACCAACCATGCTGAATAAAGACCGATCTTGCCTCGGCCGTCGTGACCCAGTGGTCGTCCGCTGTTGTCGTCGCTGTTGTCGCCGCTGTTGTTGTTGCGTCCATGGTTGTATCCGTCGTCGCATCCATTGCATTTGCCATTGGCACTGTCGCTGCCGCTGCCGCTGGTCCCTCCAGCGCCACCTTGGTGCTCGTTTCTTGGCAGCCGCCCATGGCAGCGCCGCCACCTCTGTGCGAACCTCGAGTCTTTGCTGTGGCGCCAACCAAACGAGGCTGCCAAGACCGTCAGCCCACCAGCCCAGCGACAAAGCCTCAGCCTGGCCCAGGGTCCCGCGTTGGATGGTCCACCCCCGAGCATTATTGGCTGTCCCCGATTCTGCTTGCTCATCTCTTTTCCAGGCTCATGCCCCGATAAATTCGAGCATTCTCCCCCCCCTTCTCTCGTCGCCCCGCCTGCCGTATCCCGCTGTCGTTGCTCATCTCCCTGCCGCAATGAAGTTCTCTGTCTTGTCGGTCTTGTCTGTCCTCAGCTTTGTACAAACCGGAGTGCTCGCCGATCCAACCCTCAGCTATCTCCCAGTGGTATGTCTGTCAGCAAACCTGGTCTGGGCCGCCAGTCCCATCTCCTGCTGTTGGGTGGCCCCTCGGCTCATTCCCCGCCTTCGTGACTTCGCCAGAACACAGTCTACTCGTTCCCATATGCCTCGAGCGTCAATATCAACACCCCAAGTTCATCCATCAAGACGCTCTTTCTCGCGATACATGGTTGGTTGTTGGCTGGCCAAGAGCCGTCCTGTCCTGTCTCGTGTGTCCCCTGGACCTGAGCGACTCTCACATCCGGCGCACCCGAGCCCCCTTTGGCCCGATGCTGACCGCCGCTCACCCCTCGCACCGTCCACTCCCCAACCCAATAGGAATTGCCGGCGATGTCGAGACCACATTCAACAACATGGTTTCCCTGACTTCATACGACTCATCCATCGCCGTCATCGCCCCATACTTTGCTTGTGATGACTCCATTCCCGTCCAGCCCAAAACGCTGATGTTCGACTGCAATGGCTGGCAGCAAGGCACCCCCAGCACCCAACTGTCGTCGATATATTCCTTCACCGTGGTTGACCGCCTACTCCAGACAGCAAGGTCCAGCTTCTCCAACCTGGGTCAGATCTATATCGTCGGCAACTCGGCTGGCGGTCAGTTTGTGCAGCGCTACCTGGGCTCCTCGACCGTTGCCCTGTCGTCCAAGCTCAACACAGCCGTCAGCTTTGTTATCAGTGCCCCAGGCAGCTACCTCTACCTCGACAACCACAGGGTCGCCAGTAAAATGTCCTTCAAGGCCATATCATCGGCCTGCCAGCCCTCGAGCTGCACCCTCAGCAACAGCGACTTTGATAGCAACTATGGCTCGAGCGCCTCTTGTTCCAGCTACAACTCGGACAAGTATGGGCTGGACGGCCTGCAACTCCAGAGTCCTCCAACATACATGTCGCAGTTCTCAGGACCGTCGATTGTTTCGCAGTACCTGAGCCAAAAGACCACTTATATGGTTGGGGATCAGGATGTGTCGACGTCGTCTGTGCTGGACAGCTCATGCGCGGCCGTTGCGCAGGGCCAGAACCGGCTGCAGCGCGCTCTGGTCTTCAACCGGTACATCAAGCTATTCTTCCCCCAGGCCTCGTCCCAGCTCTATGTGGTTTCCGGATGCTCCCACGACGAGGTCTGCGTCTTCCGGTCGCGCGAGTTTGCAGCCTCAACCAATCTCAACTTTCTCAATCTGCCGTCCACGGCCAACTCGTGGGGTGCGCCGAGTGCACTGGGCCAGAGCCTGCTGTCTGTGCTGTTCTGCACCGTTGCTGCTCTCTTCTGGATGGCCGTTGTATAGAGCGGCGAGTATCCTCACACGATGCTAGTTTGACCATATTCCCTCGTTTATGTGGGCACATCCGACAGCAGGCAGGGCAGGTGCGGGTTCTCGACCTTGTCTCCCGCTGTCGCCTCCACAATACATGCGCTCTACCTGGCGCTGATTCTCTGATACTGCGAGGACATCCTGCTTCCAAAGCGATCCCGGGTGTACTCTTGGGCTGGGTGGGTTCGTGAGCCATGACAATGCGGATCCAGCCGGCTCGATCCGCGCTCGATCAGGCGACTCTCGCATCGTCCTGCCTTCGTCCGGACTGGCTCTCCTGGTCGTCATCGTCGCCATCGCCGTCGTCACCGACAACCAGCCCTTCCCCGCCGTGTGGTTTCCAAGATGCCCTGCCCAGAGACCATCGTAAGCCTCGACGCATAGGCTCCGAGGACGCACCGATGGTCTGCCGGATCCCGGAGGACACATCGGTGTCTGGCTGATCATGCGCATCCCTGAACCTCGTCTCTCCCGACTCCCAACCCTTCTGCGGCGTATGCCCACCCCATTACCTGCTTCTGTGTCCTAGATATTCTGCCTGGACACCTCGGCCGAAGTCCAGACTGGTCATTTCAATCAAATGTGAGGCACATAGTGTGGCTCGATTGCATTCGTGGAGCGACACCGACCCCTTGATCGATATGCAGGAAGGAGGTCGACGCCATCCAGTATCCCAGCGACGATGCAGCATGTTCTGATCCATGTCCCACAGGACCTATTGGGAGGCTATCCGAGAGGACCTGATGATGTTTGTGCATCAAAAGCACTCCTTCAGTCCAAACCACCAGGCAAGTTCTTTGGCTTGGCTCGCCCTTGCGATACGGCATCCAAACCCCGAGTCCGCTCGCCTTTCGCTCTCATTCAGCTTGGAGGCGACGCCACTCCGTCCCTCTGCACACATACTCATACTCATGTCTATATTCATGCTCATGCCTGTGTCTCTTTCCGTGTTCCTCCATTTCTCGATCAGTTCGGTATCCTCAATCTCGCTCTGGAGGTGTTCTGGGTAAGGTCCGCAATGTAGCCTGCCTCTTCAGTCTATCTCCAGTATATCTCCAGTCTATCCCCAGTCTATCCCCAGTCTATCCCCAAGAGCTCCCGGCACCCATCCTCGAGGCCTCCTGGCAGTAGAGCCAGGATATCAAGTGGCGCGGTAAGCAAAAGTCCAGAAATGGGGCATTAACTAGTACTCTTGCTATCACCAGGAACTCCATCCCACCACGGATATCGAGAAATTCAATCAGGCGATGCAGCTATTACGGCCGTTTCCGGAGAGAATCGCCCACTGCGGTGAGTCCGGGTGGCGTGGATGTTGCGCATCTCTCTGTTCCCACTTTCTGGCACTCGTATTGTATCGTCCTCCCCCAAATGCATGTCATTAAATATACTGCCCGCTTCTTCTACTCCCTCCGGGCTGCCATGGCTGGATCCTCAAGACCTTAGCTCGTGTATTACCTCCGTGTAAGTCTCTGGCAAACACGAGGGACTCGATGCGGATCGAGCCTCATAACTCTAGATCTCCGTCAACTACGGACATGGCCCGCGACTCGAGACTTGTTCCCGCCCTGACGGTCTCGCACGACACAGGAAAGATCATATCCCCAAGACTTCACAGGAAGGAATCCTTCGTATCATCGTTGTCTATGCCAGATCGAAAGCACCGACACTTGAAAGCCTGGAACAGGTAGGCACGACCGACCTGACGATGACCATGACGACAATGACGGCGATGGAGCCCGGAATATGGAGCTACGGCACCGTTCGGATACAATTGAACTCACCAGCTTTGCTTTCTCTTGGATGCCATTTCCTATCGTCGGAGCAGTCTCCAGCGATTCAGAAATATGACAATGTTTTTGTCGACTAGTGAGTCTGTCAGAGCCATGCAGAGTTCTAGCAGAGGATGTGAAGGATATCCACGGCCTCTTGCCTGGCAAACCGCACCTGTACTCACACAGGTCCATCCTCAGTCTGATTTTGTGCAGCGATATAAATGACCCTGAGGTAACTGTAAGTACTTTTCATCCGCCGCACTTGTCCCGTTTGTTTTGGATCGACGCTTGAGCTCGAGGACTAGGCACCGCAACTCAGTATCAATCCCAAAGTCCGGACAGAGCATCGCTCGCGATCCGCATCTGCTCCGTTTGCCGGCCTGGATGCTTTTCGTGGACACCGCGTGATTTACAGCTTCCAGCCGATCAGCGGCTCCAACGATAGAGTCACCCCTGTTGATATCGATCATCCGCTCCCCTCCATTTGATGCCACGTAGTCCATCGACCTGGCTCTCAATAGTTTACACAACCACTGGTCGTCTCGCACCGGAGAAGGGTACTGCTTCACAGCCTCAAAGCGCACGTAAGTTGTCCGATCTCGCTCCGAACAATCTCCGCGATGCTTCTGCCTTTGTCAGCCGAATTGACTGCCGCCGGCGCTTTCACAACGGATACCAACGTCGCTATGGGTCTGCTTTCGCCCAATTCCGGCGTGCGACCACCCCTGACTCTACTATCTGCGACACATTCCCCTATCCAGGCAAGCTCAATGGCGAGTGATTTCGCTGCTGGCCCATCCTGACCAGCGGCCAAAGGACCAGCTCAGTGACTAGCTTGGTAGTCGCGGAGGCAGCACATCCGACGGCCAGGGCGAGGTGATAGCGGGATTGAGCAGCCACACGGCAGGATTTATGGACAAAGTCTTCCCCTCCCGCCGATGGCGATATCATACCCCCCCCCAACAGCCAATGAACACGATCTTGTTAACGAAGGAGCGAGACGGGGCATATGAGACACAAGACAAGAGTCGAACCAGCTGGACATCGGGCCTGGCCGATGCTTGGAGCCGGGATATCCGCACCCAGGCTTCACCGCTCGTGTACAGCCTAGCATAGAGCACCAAATACGGACGTTCATAGATACAGAATATTCCAAACCAAAAGCCTGAATTTGCTCTGAAACACAGCCCACAGGCGCGGGCACGACGGCGCCACTTGAGAGCAACTGGAGCGTTACTTCAGCGTTACTTCAGCGTTACTTCAGCGTTACTTCAGCGTTACTTCAGCGTTACTTCAGCGTTACTTCAGCGCCACGATGGTAAAGTATCCGTTTCGGAAGACAGAGTCGGCGCGAGGCTGCCGGCTGAGGGCCTCCAGTTGTCGTTCACGGAAGGCTCGCATGGCTTTCTGGCGATCAATTTCATGCACCAAGAAAGCGCACGATACGATCACCGTCTGGTCGTAGGAAACGAGCTGATCCAGAGTGAAGGCTCCGCTGATGTGATCAGAGCCGTCTTCCGTGAGGACGTACTTGCCCACAACATGCTTAGCCGGGTACTTGAGCAGAGCGTATTCGTTCCGCTTGACCGGCATCCAGCAATACTCGTCCCCCTGGAAGCCCTGGAACTTGTATTTGAGTCGGACAAAGCCGGTCCGGTTGAACCTGGACCGGAGGTAGCTGTTGTTGAGGTCGCGGATGTCAAAGTCTCTGTGGTGGGAATGTTGACCAAAACAAAGAGTTGGTGATGTGGACGGAGCTTCAGAAAGTCACAGCGCTGCCTTCATGAATGACTTACAGATCGTGCGGCAGTCGGAGCATCGACAGCAGATTTGGGCCGTTCTCAGCACCGCTGGCCAGAATGATCTCCTGGCAATCATAGCTTCGTCTCTGTGGATGCCATGGCAGGGAGGCGAGAGGAGTCAGCAGCGCACGCCGTCTGGGTCACAACCCGACAAGACCACCTCGACCAACTCTTGCACTTCACTGCAATCGTAGCCAGGCCAGTCCGTGGGCTCAGAGATGCAGTAGCCCATCGACCACTCCTGCGGAGAATATCCAGCCGCCCCTCAGATACATACCACCAAATCGGCGGCACTAGTTATGGGCGTCTCCTCAGGGTAGCGGATCGTATAGACAACATCGCCGGCCGCGGCTGTCGACAACCCAACTGAGGAGACCTGCGTCCAGTCCTTTTGTCGGCTGTACTGAAACACCAGCTGGCCGTCGCCGGCATTGCCAAAGCCAAAGTAGTCGGGTGGCGTCTCATTCAGATACTCCTCAGAGACTGGGCCGAGCGAGTCCACGATGACGAAATCGTATGACGGAGGGAGCAGCACCGTTGTTGTTTCTGCGTCTGCCGCCGCTGATTCCGTTGCTGTCGCTGTCGCTGTCGCTGTTGCTGTCGCTGATTCTGTCGCTGTTGCTGCCGAAGACGACGAGCCAGGGATGGACTCGTATGCAGGCGGCTGGGACGGAGCAGGCTCGGGTTCGGAAGGATCGACCAGCATCGCCGGTTCGGGAGGAGACGAGGGCGGAGAGGGCAGAGACGAGTCTGGCGACCGCAGCGACGAGCGCGATGTCGATTGTCCAAGCAGACGAGAGGACGAGCCCAGGTACTGGATCAACTGTGGAGTTCTGAGCGATGCAAAACATGGCTGGTGTGAGCGGTGTGCGGTTGGAGACAGGGAACCAGAATCGAGCAGGGTGCCTGCGAAATGGCCAGGACTGGGAAACTCACCGAAGCATGCTGCGAAGTGAGCTGAAGGGCAGGCAAAGAGCCGGGGAAGGCGGTTATAGGAGGGGGGGGTGTCTGGGATGAGAGAGAGACAGGCAAGGAGCCGGGAGCGCCAGGGACACAAGGCAGAACGCAGGAGCAGCGGAAGATTCGGGAGCGGTAAAACAGCGTCGGGGACGGCGGGACGGAGGGAGCGAGCGAGGGAGGGAAGGGATCGAGAAGGCAGGAAGACGGAAGATGGGATGGGATGGGATGGGACGGTAGATGGGATGGAGGATGGAATGGAGGGTGGAGCGGATGGGCAAGATGGAGGGTGGGAGACGGAAGACCGACGGGAGGGCCAGACGGAACAGACAAGGCGGATGGAAGGAAGGGCGCATGTTGGCGCTGTTCTTCACCGCGGCGCCGGTCATGGGGACCACGAAAAGCCCAGCACATCAGCTTTTCAGCGAATACATTTTGAAACGAAGCACCTTTACACGTGGATCGGGTGATGTCGATTGATCTGGCTGAACGGCTTTGATCGGTACTCAAACCAGCGATATTGCTCGTTGCCCTGCGTCTTCCTCCCTCATCCCAGGTATACCCCATTTTTCTCAACACGATGTATATTCAAGAAGCAATGGTGAGAACCACAGCTGCAAAGAACTCCAGGCCGAGACCGTGCGGTCGACCACTGGCGAGGTATGCGGCCTCGTTCCGCAGCAAGCAAGGGACGGATCTCATCCCGGTCGAGGCTGGCTGGCTGGCTGGCTGGCTGGCTACTCCTCGTCAAGTTGCTCGTAGTAGAACCGGCGGCTGCGTCCAAGAACGCTTCTGCGGACCAAGAGCGCATCCTGGACCGAGGTTGCTCCGATGCTTGCCAGGAGGACATAGACAGCCTGAGGGCAGCGGATGGCAGGGCTTCAGCAACTCGAAGCAACGGCGCCGAATGATAAGGCGAGCCCGCATCAGACGGCAACGAGACGGCAGCCAGCATCGGTCGAGACCCAGCCCCACATCATTGCCCTGGCACCACCTGCACCGGCCGACCAGCAGTCCTGTCGCAGCCAGCTTACCGTCACAACGTTACCCAGAAAGACGAGCAGGATTAGTGTCGGAATCGCCATCCACAGGTTGTTTCGCTCGCGGATCCAGATGTACATGGCCGTGAACAAGACGCCTGAGAGCTGCAGGGCAAACAGCAGCAGCGAGGACGGATGCGTCCGGATGAAGCCCCAGCCGACCGAGATCGACTCCGTGGCCAGGGCATAGCTGCAGACCCCGGTGAAGACAACGGCCAAGAGTCCGGCGCTCCATCGCAGCAGCACCGTGCCGGGCCGGTTGGGCGAGGTGGCCGTGCCCGCTGCGAACGGCACAATGGCCTCGGCGACGGTGGAATGCAGAGCCAGACGAGCGATGCCGCGGATCAGCAGCACCGGGGTGCCCAGCAGCAGCTCCAGGATGCACCAGAGTGTTCCTGTCCAGGGTGTCGGGCCAAGACAGACAAGATAGGGCAGAACCAGACTCATTCCGCTGCAGAGCGAGGGCGACAGCAATGTGTTAGTCGAGAAGCGCACCGACCGTCGCCAGCAAGCAGTCGCTGATGTCGCTAATGTCGCTGATGGTCAGCGCGAAGGGCCGACGACAGTCGCCAGCAAGCCCAAGGCAAGTCCAAGGCAAGACTAGAGCCGCTGCGGCGATGGCTATCATTGATACCGCGATGGAAAGGCACATCCAGCACTCATACGATCACCCACGTAATGTAGTCGGCCAGAGTACAGAGACTCCAGACGTTGCTGACGATCAGCGAGATTTCGTTCGGCAGGCCAGTCCCATTCTTCAGGGCCGAGGTGGCAAACGGGAACAGCGCAAACAGGGTCGCGGAGAGCACCGCGGCCGTCAGCAGACGAAGAGCCCGCGAGGTTGGCTGGAGATCCATTGCTAGTGCAGGAGGCGGTTTGGGCGATGGAGGGATGGTCGGTGAGCGGGTTGTTTGAGGCCCGTTGGATGCAGCGGTGGTTTTGAGGGCGGCGAGATGGAGACGAAGGATTGGCAGCGCGGTCGCTCGGCGGAGAAACCGCCCATGCAAGCAGACGGACAGCGATCAAGCACCATGCTGCCGTTGCGCTCTGCCGCTGCCGGTTCGGGTCGGTGGGCATTGGAAATGTCTATTCGGGAAAGCATCCACGGGTCCGAGGCAGCCCGGATGTTCCGTTTCCCCGAGCACACCACAAGCAAGTTCGGGGCTCCTGTTGGGATCTCATGGCTGCTGCTCGCCAGAGCCAGAGGACGTCTTGTCTGCATGGGAATGCTTGGAGCACGACGAGGCCCCGAGGGTCTCGAGCGACTTGAACGACACTTCGGCCGAGCCCCTCGGGAGCGGTTTGGGCTGCGAGGGGTCTTCCTTCCAGCCAATCTGCAGCATGGGATCGGCCCGCATCAGAGTCCGCAGCATTCCTCCCGCCGATGAAGGGCCCAGCGGAATCCGGGCAGCCCGCATTCATGGGGGCCAGAGTTGCGGCGGCGTTGTTCCGTGATGCAGGATCAGCTCAACTGAGTGCTCTCGACTCACCATGTAGATAACCTGTAGGTTGCATGGGTCGGGTGGAGTGGCCCGTCAGTGCTGCAGTCTCCGCACCACGATCGTCTCTCAAGAATGCCGCTACTCGGACCTCGGGTCAGCATGCTGGCATACCTGGAAGGTCGCTGGGACAGCCCCATCCTGATCTCCATAGACAGACCTGTAGATGGCCGAGGCAGCCGCGAGCGTGTCTTTGCCAAGATGGTGTCTACTCATCCAGCAGAACAGAGCGCCGGGTTGATCAACATCGTTAGCAGCGGCCCTGACACGATACTGCCAGGGTCGGGCGAGCCACGAAAACGATACATCTCGAAGACTTGCAACTCGACACGGGAGCAGTCACATCCTGCAGAATCCATCAACAGACCTGGCCAACAGAGCGCTGCTCTCGCCCATGGTCTGAAGGTCCTCGATGAGCTCAAACATCGATGGGTAGTTGATCACAATCTCGTCAATGTCGACTGTATCGGACAGGCGCTGGGTCGGGTTAGTGCGTGCACGCCGCTGCTGTCGGTGGTCTCCACTGTCGACAGCTATTCTCCGTCGCATCAAGGTCTCCCATGGGCTTTGGTGGCAGGGACGGCAATTGAACCACCCTATCTGCATCGTCTGAAGGCAGCAGCCGCACCTGTTGTCAGCACCAAACCGGCTCGGGAAAGAAGACTGCCAATGTCCCGCACCGTAGCCATGGGTGAGACATGGGGCGAAATGCCGCCGACTCGCTCGATTTCGGCAAGTTGCAGGGATGTCCTGGATCATAACAGAGTGTGCCATATTAGTTCATGGATGCGCTCGTCGATGGTCGATACCGTTGACTGGGCCATCTCGTCTACTGATCTCATCTGTCGCTTTCGTTGACTGGGAAGGGGGCCGCACCTGAGTTCGTAGAGTGTGTCTTCGCCAAAGATGGCTCCGATAAAGACACTGTCCGGCTTGAGCGATCGGCGGATCTGGATCAGGCTGCCGGGCAGGTCATTCACCCAGTGGAGCGAGAGACTACTCAGGATGCACTCGACCGAGTTTTCTTCGAAGGGCAGCAGCTCTTCATCGACAATCTGGCGCTTGATGGTCACTGCAGCAACATCATCCCGTCCGCCAGTGATCCGAATCGTTAGCGAACGTGTCCGTCTGGCCAAACCCATGATTGCTTCCGCCGCTTCAAGATCGAGGGCATCGGGTCTGTTACTGCGTTTAGTCGCCCTGCTAGGCTCGCGAGGGTAGCGAGCCGTTCTGAGTGTTTGACCCACCTTCCCGCTCGGCGTCCAAATCCTGATCACGATAGAGTAGTTTTTCTGTGGTGGGATGAGGAGAGCAGGGCGATCAGAATGTGACAGACACGAAGGGAGATGGCAGCACCATCCATAGCAAGAAATGTGTCGCTACTGCTGGCCAGTCCTGCTGCGAATGCAGTTGTCGAGCTGCCATTGATCCAATCGCCATGCTGGCGCTGTCGATCCGCAGTCGATGGCAAGAGACTCACCCGACATGTCCGTCATAATCACTTCCTCGGTCATGTCAGACTCGAGATGCTTGACGATGTGGCCTGCTCCCGAGCCCAAGTCGACAATGGATTTGTAGTTCCGCTTGATGTCCTGCAAGACAAGTCGCAGGATCAGGGTCGGCACTATAGCCAGATCATCTGCCCAAAGATGCTCGCCATTCACACCAGCAGGGCTTCAGGCACTTCCAACATGGGGCCATGTCTTGAAGGCCGGTCTGATCAGAGTTGTCCGGGTCCGCAGCCGACACAGAGACCAAGGGAGGAGCGAGCAGGCGGCGATTGGACCTGTGCAGGATCACATACCAACAGTCGATCGACGACTCTGGCAGCGACCTCGTCCTTGAGATAGTCGACTGTCCGGGCATCCTTGGCAACGGCTGATCGGTCCCGCTGGAGCTTCTTGACTGAGCGATCAAACACCATCTGCGTGGACGGTGCCGACGCAACCGAAGACATCAGCCGACATGACGGCCGAAGGGCAGCGATCGTCCAGGCGAGCGAGGCAGTGTGCAGCGGCCCTGTGCGTAGCGCAGGTTGGGTCCGCAGGAAGGGGAGAGCCTTGGCAAGCATCGTTGGCAGCGAGATCAGGACGATGGGCGGGCGCTCAGGTATCGGCCGATGCGCGGATTTGCCTTCTCGCTTGTTGCGTGCCGCTGTTGCTCGCTCGTCCAAATGGCCATACCGGCGAGACATGCATGATCGGAATCGTCCCCAGCACGCATGGGCGCTGCTTGGTACTGGCTGCATGCATCTTCTCTGTAGGGCCGGTGCTCGGCAACGCAATGAGGGCGGTGTCAGCCGTTGGATCGTCACCCCCTGCCCGATGGCTCTGCTCCGTCTCCATCGCGGTCGCATCCAGGCCCCGCGGCCATATCACATAGCCGCTCATTGATATCGAGTTGGGCCGGTGGTCTGCGGACACCGTTGCTCCGCATGGGACTTGTCTAGCTGGCAGCAAGCCTTCCCTGTCGCTCCCTGGGCCCAGCCAGGGCTGCTCAGACCCTCGGCTTCCTGCTGCCCGCCTGCGGTCCTGCTCTCCTCGGCGCCGTCGTCGGCTGCTTGCAGACATTTCCCTATCTTCCGGAGGTGTCGCCGTGCCGGACCCCGTTTTCTCCGAGCCAGATCCCCACCGGTCTGGTCTTGCTTTCCTCGGCCATCAGACGTCAGACGGGCAGCTTCCCTGGCTCGTTTCCTCATATCGCGCCCGCCTCATATCCGGCTCCTGCTCGCGATGCCGATTATACGCCGCCTCGCTGGCAGTCGCCACATCCGCCGACTCGGCTATTTTGCAGGCTTCGTTGCGGCCGGATGGCTCGCCGACGAGCACCTCAACTACTCGACATTTGGGCGCAATCTGAGAACCTTGTTTGTCGGGGCCCTCGTTACCCTCGACTACAAGCTCAACTTTGTTCCGGGCAAGGCCGAGAGCATCGGCAATCTGCACCAGAGAGTGGCCAACCGCGTTCTGGAGGTTTGCCAAGAGAACGGTATGTTGCGGCGGCGCTGAGGATGGGCTGGACTGCGGGCACATTGTTCGGACCGATGAGTGGACGCAGTCGCAACAGCCGCCGATAGTGCTGGTGCTGGTGCTGATGTTGCCGGTGCTTCCTTGGGCGAAGGAATGCTGAGGGGCTTGGGTCTGCTGCCCTTGCGTCGGGGAGGGGCATCTGCTCGCAGCCTTCCCTTCCAGCCCACGACGGCTCCTGATCTCGCTATATTCGCACGGCGTTTCTATTCGGGCATGTCTTGGCTTGCTCTCCGTTGGCCGTGAGGGGCCTTCCAGGCGGACTGTATATCAAGTTTGGCCAGCAGATCGCCGGGGCCGGACACATCCTTCCGCCGCAGTACTTCCACACTTTTCGTCAGCTTTACGACAATGCCCCGACGATCCCCTATAAGGTCGTCAAGAAGATCTTTGCGCAGGAATTCGACGGCAAATCCCCGCAGGAGCTGTTCTTGGAGTTTGATGTCAATCCCGTCGCCTCGGCCTCGATCGCCCAGGTTCACAAGGCCAAACTCAAGGACGGCACCCTGGTGGCCGTCAAGGTGCAAAAGCCCGAGATCCGGCACCAGATCGGCTGGGATCTGTTCACCCACCGCCTCGTCATCACCGCCTTTGAGTTTTTCTTTGACCTGCCCTTGGTGTGGACCGCCGACTACATCAAATCGCACCTCCTGCAGGAGACCGACTTTTTGAACGAGGGCCGCAACGCCGAGAAGGCAGCAAAGTACGTCAACCAGGTGCCCTCGCTGGCCCGCCACGTCTACATCCCAAAGGTGTTTTGGGAGTACTCGACGCCGCGGATTCTGGTCTGTGAATGGATCGACGGCTTCAAGTTTGACGATGTCGAGTCGATCGAGAATGCGGGGCTGTCGGTGCGCAAGATCATGACGACAACCGTCGAGGTGTTTGCGGATCAAATCTTTCGTGAGGGATTTGTGCACTGGTGAGTTTGACTCTATCGCGAGTGACTTTGCGCAAGCTCAAGCAAACGGCGAGGGAGAGGCAATGAATGATGTCGATATGAGCTTGAGTCTGCGGGAGTGCATCCGACGGAGCATGCAGTTACGTGGCGACAGATGTGATCGGGTGGAAGTGCACGGGTGCATATATAGGGGAAGTGCACGGGTGCATATATAGGGGAAGTGCACGAATACATATATAGGGGGAATGTGTATGTGGGTGCAAACATGCCAGCAAGTATCGGCCCGCTCAGAGTGCTGTCGATCCAGGTGTGGGAAACGGGAACTGACGCATCTAACTTGCCTGTTGCTCTTTGGTCATATTCAGTGACCCGCATCCCGGTAACTTGATCGTGCGCAAGCACCCACAACTGCCGAACACCCACCAGATCGTGCTGCTCGACCACGGACTGTATGTGCAGGCGAGCGAGGCTTTCCGACACAACTATGCCGTCTTCTGGAAGTCCCTCTTCACCGGCGACATCGACACAGTCACCGAGATCGCCACCTCCTGGGGCATCCACGACGCCCAGATGTTTGCCTCTGCGACGCTGCAGCGACCCTGGAAGCCCGGGCAGATGCTCCACGTTGAGCAAAAGACGAGCGTCAACAACCTGTTCCAGTCTCAGCTCGAAGCCAAGAAGCGTGTCAAGCATTTTTTGAGCAACACGGAGAAGGTGCCCAAGGAGCTCATATTCGTCGGTCGCAATCTCAACATTATCCGGTAAGATGCGCCACCCATGGAGCCACTACAGGACAGAACTGCACTGGACTATTGCCGGAGCTCTGTGGTGGTGCCGCTGGGCTCACATTGCCACTTCTGCCACAGTTCCAACAACAAAGCTCTGGGCTCGCCTGTGAATCGCATTAGCATCATGGCCAACTGGGCTGGTAAGCATGTTGTCGTTGGCTGTCCTTTGGCACGGCCGATACATCGCTGCTAACACCATCGCATGTCCTCAGTCAAGAGCCTGGGCAATAACTGGTCGGTGTGGACCTCAAACTCGACGCTGAAGCCTGGCGACTCGCCCCGTGGTGCCCTGGCACGCTCGTTGCAACTTCCAGGCGTCGTCCAGGCCCGCATCAACTACTGGCGCTTCCAGTCGATGCTGTTTTTCATGTCGCTAGGGTTTTTTGCAGCAAGAGTGGTCCAGAACATCAGTTGGTGGGTCTTTGGCATCCGCTCGTCTGGATTTGAGGATCTGATCGACAGCCAGTTCAAGAGTGCCATGAAGGATCAGTTTGGTATCGAACTGGACCCGGCCGTCTTTGATGCCTGAGCTGGCTTTCAGTGGATTGACAACAGCGGTTGAACAAAGAGGCCTGATGCAGAGCATCATTCATATATGGCGATGGCTGGCAGCCAGGATGACCACAATGATCGAGATGACCAGCCGAGCAGCGGTCGAGCCGAGCCAAACAGTCGGGGCACACTGTCGTGCAGAGCAGATTGCCGCCCACGGTTCTCGCCCGCTGCCACGAAGCCGAGGTTGGGCTATGCCATAGGGCCATAGATTCTCTGGGTCGCCCAGCGTCTATCGCATGGCGCTGGATCGCGTCGGATCACGTTGCCATGTCGCCCGGCTCCCTCCGGTTCGAATGCGCATCCCTTGTTGCGCTGACTCAGCGGCCCTCATGACCGCCTGGCTGAATCATCGTTCCTCAGGGTGAGGGCAGAGCAGCGCCACGCTGGGCGACATGCAATGATTCACCGCCCATCATGGCCGAGCGATGCCCCATCATGGCCGTTATAAACCCCGTGGCTGCTGCCCCCAGCATCCAGTCCATCATCCGCAAAACATTACTCGAATCCCGTCTCGGCAAGAGAACTCGCCTGAACCCGCTCCTTCCTTCGCCGTTCCCAATCGCCTCCAGCACCAACACCAGCACCAACATGAACTACGCCTTCTTCAAGCGCGGCATTCCCCTGGAAGTCTACCCCATCTTTGGCATGATTTCGTGCGCCGTTGCCTGTGAGTGTCTCCATGTCTGGCATCGAGTACCCATCGTTCTCCACGGCCACACCATGGCGTCCCAATCCCGCACAACCACATGCTAAGCAGCTCTCTCTCTCTCTCGCCCTCCCTCACAGTCGGATGCTATGTCGCCCAGAAAAAGTTCCGATACGACCAGGACCTGCGGATCCGTGAAGACAAGGGCTACAACCCCCACCATTGGGCTCACCGCATCTCGGGTTTCAACTGAACGCACCCTCGAAGGTCCGATGCCATGCGTCGCAGCCGCAGCCGCAACCTCAACCGCAGCCGCAGACGCAGCACGAAGCATCGCAAAATGCCCAGCCTCATAAGCAGGAGGCAAGGGGTCGTGGCCATTTCCACTCTGTTTTTTTTTTGTTAGTATCCTTCTATATTAGTTGCTTCTCCCTGACGGCTCGCTGGACGGCTTTCGTCTGACCCCATGAGTCTTTACTCCTATGAAACCGCCAACACCCGCTGTTCGTCCCTTCCTGAACCGTCGCTCTTGCCATTGGCATCCTGATTCTGGTGCTCGCCCCCGTCGCCTTGCACCACCTCCTCCCTTCCGTTGGTCCATCCTTTCGTGGCTCAATGGAGGAAAAAAAGACGACTGGGGCATTCAGACAAAGCTCTGTCTGGACAGCGCCTCCCCAGCAAGGACCCCGCTGCAGAGAGTCCCCTTCTCTCGCAGATCCCGCTGGGCGCTGTCTGTCTTCTTTGTACATTGTTTTTAAAATCAATCTTGTATTTCTTGGAATGCGAATCGCCCCTCCTCTCCCTCTATCCTCGATATGCAATATAGCATGTTCAGAACGAAACGAGTGAGCATATCCCGGAGTGTGTTCCTCCCACGAGACATTGATGCGGAGATACGATACTTGCATTCGGCCGCCTGGACACTGCTTTCGGAATGAGCGACATCAACAGCATTTGCCGTGCCACGGGCTTCCACGTGGGCTGCGATGCTGCGCTGCCCACGTGATCATACCAGACACGTGCCCTCGCGGTTGCTCATCCCGAATATGAATACACGCTGTAGACCAAGATGCAGCAAAAGTTGGAATCCGGCCATGGTGGGTTGACGGCATTTGGTATCACCTTGAGCCGATTGACGGTGGTGGTGGGCAATTGGTGTGGAGGAATGACCAATTGTATCATTGTTGGAAGCTCCACTCCGATTGCGGACAAGAACCACCGCCATCTGAATCTCTCTGGTTGGAAACCTAGTCAAGCGTGGCTGTGTGTCAGCGAGATGACATGATCGTTTGGCTATCAGGCAAGACTCACCTTGACAAGATGTCTTCCCACGACTGATTGAGCGAGCGATGCGTTTCTGGATCTGAATCAAGGACGCCACTGTGAGCATTTCTGTCAGCCCAAAATGCGCTGGTTTTGAGGAGATTCTTTCTTCCCCAAGGGCAGAACCAGCCATCGTCGCTATTTTCTCGCCAGATGGTTCACCGCAAGCCAAAGACACCACCCAAGCGACCAAGTGGATCCAGAGCACCCACAAGATCCTTGGTCTGCAGCAATGGATGAGCACCACACCAAGTCCCAAGATCCCTGGGTTGGATCCCTTCCTGCAATACATTCGCCATGTGTTCGATGGAGACATGCTGGACAAACAGCTGTACTTCAGCCTGACCCGGCGACGGCGATTCAAGCGACTCGATCTCCACAGCAAGCGACAGCGCACTGTCCACGAGATGTGCAAGCAAGTCATCGACCAGGCACCAAGGGAGACCGAAGTGGTGATTGCCTTTGGGAATGCCTCCTGGAAACAGGGGAAGGGATATGCATCCAGCCCACGGAGACTCAGGTTCGCCAAGTACTTTGAGCAGTTCATACACCACCAGAGACGACCACCAGACCGATCCGTCTCCAAGATCCGTGTGTGCTCGGTGAACGAGTTTAACACATCACAGGTGTGCTCACATTGCCGGGATGCCAAGCGACTCGAGAAGGTCGAGCATCTTGATATCGAGAAACCACACTTTGTCCGGAGCTGTGCAAGCTGCCATACGCTGTGGGATCGAGACATCAATGCCTCACGGAACATGATCTCGGTATGCCAGTCGATCATCGCCACAGGAGATCGACCGAGTGCATTCAAGACCATGCTTCCCAAACCAACCAAAACAAAGAGATTGCCAACGAAGACAGGAGTGCAATGCCATGGCCTACCCGCTGGGCCTACAAGTCAGTCAGCGGGCTTCAGATATCAGAAGCCAGAAAGTGACTGTCCCGTTTCTTTCTGGATAGACTGTAAGTATATCGCACTGTTCCTTGAGTATTTCGACAGTGGATGCCGGGTCGCCCATATTCTGGGCAGTCCACTTCGGGGTTGCCATCCCTCTTGGGATGGTGATGGGAGGTGTTTGACTCCCTTGTGCAAAGTGTGTGTGTGTGCAGAGAGAGAGAGAGAGAGTGTGTGTGTGTGTGTGTGTGCACAGTGTGTGTGTGTGCCGGCGAGAGGCTTCTCGCCTTCCCTCGGGGGTCTCTCGTCAGAGACTGCTCTTCTCGCCGACCGAGGTGGTTCCGAGAGCGCGTTTTTTCGTTCTCGCTCAATTTATCAACAAGCAATTTTTTTCATAGTGTATCAAAGTCGATCTGCGTTCGACAGCGGATCCTTGCTCTCGCCATCCAAGTCTCTCCCATCGCAGCATCTTGTGAGCATCCCATAAGCATCCCATAGGCATCCCATGAGCATCCCATAAGCACCCTGTGGGCATGCGCGGCGGCCGTCGCTCTGGCCTCAGACTGGCCGGACGCACTCGCATTTCTGCCCTGATTTCCATATATCTGCTGAGCTGACGCAAAGGAACCGTTGTCTGGCAGACCCGCTCCTTCCCAAGCTCGATCAAATGGCCGGCCACGCCCGAGTCCCCCTCATCAAGTTCCTTGGCCCTCGCCGCCTGCTGACCGAATGGCCTCATCAGTCTCCCCGGCCCGGCCAGCTTCCCGCTGCACCTATCCAGCCCAAACCTGCGGCTGCATCCGCGGCGGCCGCCGGCCAGCAGCGCTCGGCGACGCTTTCCACAAGCTCGCAGCTCCCTCGTCGTTTCTGGAAGCGTCCGATCTCCGAGTCCGAGATTAACGCTGTCGAGGTGAGGTCCCGTTTGTGCATGACTCTGCATGGAGCAATTGCGCCGATCTTCTCCCGTGCCTGGTGCGATCGTTGCGGATCCTGCCGATTCGCACCTGTGTCGTCAAAATGGAACATTGCTGAGGCATCTGCATTTGCTGATGCGTCTTTGCCTTGCTCATGGCAAACCCTGCGTGTCTCGCATGGCGTCTCTCCCTCGCTCGATGAATCGCCCACACTCATTTATGCCTTGATGATCCAAACCGACCTCAATCCTCGTCAACCGGGCATTTTGCAAATCGCCCTCTCGCCGTCTCTGTCGCCCCTTCACCTGTCGCAATCCTCGGCCTGTTCCGAACGATCATTTGGATTTGCAGCTTGGCGGCGCCGGCCTCGTTTACTGAAGGACCTCGCCCACCACCATCGACGAGGCTGGCTTGTTCCTCCCCTCCCCTCCCCTCGCAGGCTGAACCTGCCCTCGTTTCCGCAAATCCTTCCCCCCTGTCCAGCAGATCGGATTCATTCCCCCTCAGATTGCAGTCGGATTCCTCGAGAACCAGCTGTGTCCAGCGGGTGGCTGGCATTGCCTCTAAGATGAGGCACTTCGGTCGCTGGTCATATTCCGCTGTCCCATCCTTCGGCTTCTCTTGCTTTCACGCGCATACTTCTTCACTTCCTTTCGCCGTTTCCTCTTTCTCTTGTTTGATTTGCAGCCCGCACACTCGCCATGGCATGTCTTTGCATGCTCCCCAGCGGCCCCTTGCCTTGGCGGACCAGACTCAGATACATGCCACGACACCCCAATAAAAACTCGATGCCTTCGACCCGAGACATATCGCACAAATGGCGACACAAAATCGAGACCAAGACGCTGCATCGTATTTCCGCAGAAAGCAGCTTTGGGATCGCTGGTGGTAGCCGCCATAGCGAGCCATGCAAAAGGCGCGACCTGGCTCGGCCGACCATGAGCCGAGCAGTTTAGGGAGGCATTGGGCTTTGGGATCGACGGGTAGCGAGATTACTGAAACAATGTTTTTCTTTTGAGGGCGGGGGTGGGGCGACGATACCAAGGTGGGAGAAGAGAGCCTGCTGGGAGCGATCAGCTCTGTAATTCGGTTGGAGGGGTGGGCGAGCAAGAGTGGCTGTGGGCATGTCTAGAGAGGAGGAGGCATCTAGCAAAAGTACTGGGCGTACTTGCGGCTGGTAAACTCCTGTATAACCAGATGAACGAGAGAGCGAGACATTTGGGCTGATCAGTTTGGCCGTCGCCGTGCAGGTGGATGGACGGAGCATGCGAGGTGTCGATGGTACGCTCTCCTCCTCTGTCTACCGGTGGCCCCGGCATATGCTCGGCATGTGCAGGACCACCAAGCCAAGGATCGGACAAGGATAGATCCACGGTGACAGCGCAATAGCAGGCCGGACCCAAGGCACGTTGGACCAGAGAGACACAGCGATACTTGCATATGTTCCAAAGATCACGGCGCTCGAAGGAGCCGAGCGGGCAATGGTGATTCCGCATCCGCGATAGAAACCCTTGATGCCCTGCGCCTTGTAGACCTCGCGGGCAACCTGCAGGAAGCTCGGGTTGCCGGGCAGGGCCTGCTGTCGGCTCTTGATGACATCGGCCGGGAAGAGCGAGCCATTGAAGGCCATGCCGGCCACGGCGCCGGCGCCCATGACCTGCCATGGCGACAGGTCCTCCTTGGAGCGCACTTGCGGGTCGGTGCTGCTTGTAATCCAGTAGCGAATGATGAGCTCGTACGTGCCGAACCAAGCGGCGCCGCCGCCGGCTTCACGCAGGAAGGTGCCGAGGTGCCCCCGATAGAACCCAGCGACGCCATCATGCCGCAGTGTCTCGGCAATGACGGTGAACGGGCCCTTTTGCTTGACGGGGCTGGCTCCGGTGGCCGAATGCGCCGCAAGACCCTCGAGCTGGAGTCGACACTTGACAAGCTCGATTGGTGTGAGGATGAGCGAGATGACCGCGCCGGACATGAATCCAGCGGCCGTCAGCTGGGACAGGCTCAGCGGTGTGTCGGGGTGCGTCCCTGAGCTGTATCGGATGACTCTCTGGATGTAGTTGTAGGCGACAAAGAGACCCGAGTTCTCGATCATGGAGCCGACCAAGGGTGCCGAGAGGCCCTGTGAGCGAGCGCAAGAGACAGGACGATGGTGCGGAAACACACGGGGGCAAGGACGATCAGAGGCAGACATGGGTCAGCACAGTATGCCGCTCGAGATCCATGGCCATTCTGCCAGAGATCCATGGCCATGCCGCTCGAGATCATCGCGTCCGAGGCGGGTGCCGGACTTGCGGCAGCGGTTGGCCTGTATTTTGACATGTCTGCCGCCTGCAGGAGAGCAAGCCTCGCCGGACAAGAAAATACGGGCCGATGGCCGTGCGGTCTTCCGCCCGAGCAGCGTGGACTTACTTTGTAGAGCCCAAGGAATCCCTCGGCCTTGATGGTGCGGGCAAAGCAGTCCAGCGGGCCTTTGAAGGTGATTCCGCCAGCGGTCGGGGCATGAGGCTGGGTCTGCAGACGGACCTTGACGGTGTCGAAGGGGTACTCGACCAGCTTTCCAGTGATGCCGGCGGCCTGGAGGTTCCAGAAGAACCACCGCAATAGATGAGAGCAGGTCGGATCAGCGGCCGGGTATGGCTTCACGCCGTGCTTCACGCCGTGCTTCCCGTGCAAGAGAGCCCGAGAGCGGGCTCTGGCGGTGGCTGAAACCAGCTGCTGTCGGCTCGGCTCGACAAGCACACACGCCAGGCTTTGCCGTGGAGTGTTGGTTACATGAACGAGTTCGGGCCATGTGTCCAAACGACCGAGGCGACGTTGCTGGCGAGCTTGCCGTCCTGAGCAGGACTGGGTCGACAGCAAGTCGTCTTGCCAAGCTCAATGGACGGGCGGCGCGCGGGAGCTGCCCCGAAGGACATGGATCTGGGCGCGAAGTGACCTACCGAGCCACAGACCAGGTCGCCAAAGCTCGAGATTTGCTTCTTGGAATCGGAGGAGTGGGCCATGTTGGGGGAGGGAGAGAAAACTGGACGGGACGACGATCGAGGGAGCCGACACACGACAAGAGGCAAGACGAGAGCAAGAGGCGGCCGAGCAAGCAGGCGTGGGAGGGGGGCGACGATCGAGTGCAGGAGAGCGGCTGCGATTCCCAGCGAGCACAGCCGGACAATCCTTGGATCGGAGGAACCCAAGTCCGGGCGGTGGGGGCTCGGCCAGAAGGACATCGACACAACAGGCGCTCGGGTGTCGCTGCGCGATCGGCGTGTGCGACACCGAAAAAAAACGCGGCCGCACAGGCAGCGAGACAGGCCGAGAGATGTGCCCAATGAAGGGGGGTCGTTGGGCGGACGACTGTTTGGCGTTGGTGACATTCGCTGCCGAGTGCGCTGGGTGTCGGGCGAGGAGTGTCGGGCGAGGAGTGTCGGGCGAGGGGTCTGCTGCGTGGTGCTCAGCAAATCCGTCGGGCAACAATGCCGGCACCCATCTCCTTCCAACAGAGCATGTGGGTTTCAAATCGCTCGTCCTTGGGGTACTAATCGCTCGTCCTTGGGGTTCTAATCGCTGTCTTCATTTGCACTCGCAGACGGATCGTCTCAGTAACCTTCCTCGGAGTGATGGCCGGCACGCGGCGTTTGAGGCCACAGCGCATTGACTGTTGTTCAAAACCGACCCGGGGAGATCCGTCTGGCTGTTATCGGAAGTGGCGCATTCAACAGCCCGCATCGTCGCCGCGTGCATCTTTTGATCCGGCAGCATCTTTTGATCTATCGACAGTCCGGCGCATCGTCGTCGCGGGCATCGATTGATCTTCCGATATGGACACGGATTTTGCAGACACCTGAATCGGCGCTGCTCTTGCTCTGTCGTGCTGCCACGTGAGGCCACAGCCACATGACACCCAGTGCATTCGAACCGCCCTCAGACACACACACACACACACACACACACACACACACACACACACTGCTTCCCACCGATTCATTTTGATCTCCCACTGGCGATCTCCCACTGTCGAGTGCATCATATCGCACCCGTGCTGCTCGCCATGTCGTCCGGTCCGTCGCCACATCGTTGGGATATCGCAAAGTACTCCCGCCACAGGCCCGATGCCGGTGGTCCTTCGCCCAACGCCTGGCAATATGTGGCCGACAAGGATATTCGTCTACTTTTCACCGAACCCAATCCGCTCTTTCCTGCTGTGCCGTCGCTGCGGGTTGTTGTTCACCAGGGCCCCAAGCCCATTACCTTGGTGAGTTGTGTCTGTCTGTATGCGCAAGCAGCTGGCCCCCATCCTTGCCTGCATCCATGCTCACACACCAGCTCACACCTATAACCACCACTGTGCCCGGTCTGCTATCCCAACTCCATTACGTATCGCGAAGGAGAGTCTCGTCATCATACCGTCGCTGAGCCTGAATTTGCAGGTCTCAGAGGATGGACTGGTGTTTCAATACCTTTGCGAGCAGGTACGTGAGTCACATGGCTGGGACTGACTCACCGATCGCTAGTACTGCTGCCTCTGCCATTTCTCACGACGAAGTGAGTGCCGCTGACAATTTCCGTCTGTTCATCGTATCAGCGCACAAGAAAGTTTCAGCTTCGCTTTGTGGAGTCCGGATCTGTCGCCCGCGTCCTGGCTGTGCTATCCAAGTACATCACCGTGCCCGTGGATCTGCCTTTGGAGTTGGCAGCGTCTGGATCCCCTGATATACCAAGGAAAGATCCCAAATCATCTCGTCCATCTGGAAATCCATCTACAAGTGTCGGCCTGCCTCTCCAAAACCAGCCAAGCTGCATCACAGTCCCAGCCCAAAGCACTACCCAAGCAGCCAGGTTTCTGCAGCGACAGGTTCCAGGGATAGTCTTGCCGACGCCCAAGCCAACACCTAACGATCCTGTTGCGTCGTCAGGCATCCCAGCGCAGAATTCCGGTGCCATCAATAGTTTGAAATCTACATTTGTTGCGCCAGCTGTGACAGAGACGGATGTGGCCGATGCTGCCCCATCGACGGTGCCTGATGAATATGCCTTGTCGTCGGTGCATTCCAACAGCTCCCACGCCACATCCCAGTCGATTTCGGCATCTCCACAGGGCCCACTCACGCAGACATCGGATTCGGGTAGCACGGTTCTGCTTCCAGCAACGGACTCGGGCACCGTCTGCGACGTTGGATCGGCCAAGCGTGCGTTGATGTCATTGAGCGACGAGCAGATCATATCTCTTGTGCAGTCCATCCGCCAGGACCCAGCCTTCAAATTTGTTCGTGAACGAGTCAAGCGGCTGTGTCGCTCGATCCAGTGATGGAATTTCTGGGTACAGTGCCCAAAGTACCTGCGTTTCTGAGTATGCATGGACCCATTTCTGTTGAGCCTGTTGTTGTTACCAACCCTGGTATTATCGGCTCCGCTATTGTTGACCCTGTTGTTGGTGCAGATCCAATACATCGCCGGCTGTTGCTCTTGGTCATGCTTTTGGCCATGCTCTTGGCCGTGCTCTTGGCCATGCTCTTGAATCGGATTTTGTTTCGAGGCGCTGGGGCCGACCCGGAGCAATCTGCGAGAGAGAGCACCTTGCTTACCTTTGTCACCTCGTCGGGCCTGGTCCATCATTGGCGCTGATCAGCCAACCCCGCTATGAGGTCTGTTTCAATAATCCAATGCCGACAAGCCAGGCATCAACGGTTGTGCAGCAACGCAAGCGTGACCCGGCGATTCAATCAGCCATGTTGGTTATGTTCTGGCTTTGCTGCATCGGATCTTTCCTTTTCTCCTTTGATCTTCTGGAAACACGGCCATGTCGCTGGACACCATTCGCACTCAATCCAACCCGAATCTTCACGGCAACCTGCGCGTCGGTCTCAACTATGACCCTCCGCCTGAGTCTGCCGTCAGCGTTCTGAAGCACATTACCGCCAACAATGTCTCGCGCACCCTGGCCTCACCACGTCGCCAGAGCACGGCCGGTATCACGCCGAGCAACAAAAAGTCGCTCTCCAAAAGCACCTCGGATCTCAGCGCTTCTGCATCCCGAAAGCCCGTCGCGTCAGCCTCGACCTCGGTTCGGCTCGTTGTTCGGCAGCAACTTTCGAACCCTCAACTGCTGTCGTCTCAGGCATTCCGAGAGACCGGACAGCCGGCTTTGGACCGGATGGCGGTCCAGCACCGGGCTGCTGGTTCTCTGGACCAGCTCTCGCTGAGCATTCTTCAGGCGCGAAATCTTCCTATATCGAGGTAGGATATCCGCCACCATCTTTGCCCCACGGTGGTTGCAGGTGGCGGCTGATGAAGGGCCGCTCTCAGAGTGCTGCCGCGATCCACTTTGTTCCTCTCTCTCTCAAAGACGACTCATTCGTGCATGCTCTTTAACCACTGGTTATCACAGCAACCAGCTGAAGTTGCTGGAAATGAACGGTGTCTCCTTTCTCGAGTCCAATCTTCAGCAAGTCTACGAGAAACTGAAGCGACGGATTGGTATGAATGCTTTCGATGAGCAGTCCCTTGACTCGGTATCGGAGAGACCTGCACTTCGAGTAGATTGTGCAAAACAGGCGAATCGACGGTGCGTCCAATGTAGTTTGGATGGCGCCGACTAAACGCTATTCCTGTATCCTGCACAGATGTATTGGCCGACGGAATCCGCCCCGACGATCTGCACTTGATCCTCTCTCGGTATTTCAAGGACTACTGCGACTCTCTCAGCGCATATATGGAGTCGGTGAGTTGTTAGCGCGATGGCTGCGACCAAGACTGGCCCTGAAGCTGAGCGGCGGCAGTCGGGCCATCACTGGTGCTGGCCACTGTGAGCACGATGGAAGATTGCCGTTCCTTTCTACCAGAGATTTGGGCCTTGACCGATTACTCATACACGCCGACCTACACATTGCCGATGGCTGGGCATGTATCGGGTGTATGGCTCAGTGCGGAGCCCCCTACGTCTTCGCCATTTCTGTCCCCCAGAGAGAATCGATCGATGCGGACATCAAAGGACTGATCCAGAACATGGATACGTGGATTCAAGCCTGCGCAAAGTATCTTGTATGGGACTCTCGAGCTGGTGCATGCTTGCGAGGCTGCTTTGGCGGAAACGGTGGTGGTCCGGCCCCGATTGATACGGCGGCGTCTCCACAGTGCTGCACGACTGAGTCTCCAAAATTACTGTCATCGCATGGATCGCATCCTCGGTGATCCTGCGCCGTCTCATAGGATATCCTCCGAGAGCGCGACATTCGTATTTCCGAGTTCTCGAAGCAGTTTCAGTCTCTCGAGGAGGAGAACATTCTGCTGAAGGAGCTACTCACCCAGCATACCCTAGTCGGCAAACCAGGCGGCCTGTCCGAGGCTGAAAAGGAGGCCCGAATCTCACGCTTGCTCAAAGACATTGCTCAGAGCCGAAAGTTTGCGGTAAAGGCGGCGTGCTTATCTTTGCCAGCATTCGATCGACTCGTGCGGTCGGCGCATATTCGCTTTGCTTGTGTCATACGCACCTATGTCGATTTCAAGTCCACCAATTGGCATACATTCGCCCTTGTCCCCCATCACTTCCCGATACAACCCTGTCCGTCACAGCTCCATACCAAGGCAACCAACACTTCGGCAGGCACGTGCTCGACAAAAATCGTCCAGACAATTGAATGCCAGGTCACCGACAGCCAGACTTCCATGATCGAAGATTCCAGCAGCCCTCTGGAGAGCGATCGAGTGATGGACGCGGCGGAGGTACCTCTTTCGTGTGAACCGAACGTCTCGCCATCAACCGATCGGCTGAATCAGATCGACCTCATCGCCGAAGCCAGCCAATTTGTTAAGCTCCATATGGAAAGAAGCGGTGCATCGGCCAAGGAAATTGGCGATCTCGCTCCACTCGCCGTTTCGCTTCTGCTGAGTCCGACACAGCCGCCAGAGGAAGTGCTGAGCGAGACGGCCGTCGACGAGGAGCACAAGAGCAAGGCCCAGTCTCTGATCCAGGATGTTTTGGACAAGTCCATGTCCGACCTCGCCTTCAGCTCAACGGTGTCGATGGAAAACATCCGCAGGCACTTGTTTTCGCTCAAGCGCATCCGACCAAAGAAGACGGCGTTTCGCAAGACTCGCATGGGCATCTCGCGGTCTGTCCATTTTGAAGACGACCTCCTCGAAGGTGATGGGAGTGACAAGGGCAGATCCAAAAATATCGACTTGGATCGGATGGATCAGGACGACGGGCTCGAGGAAGACACCGGCCGTGTCCGTGACGACGGCATGTCGAACATCGATCTGGCAAGCAGCACCGTAGACACCGGAAGTGAGATAGCAGCCGACTCCCACGACGGGCTGGAGCCTGACCCCGACTCGTCTTCGGACCGGTTTGTCAGCGTTGCAGTCGGGAGCGATCGGGTCAGTATCCTCGCCTGCAAAGTTGGTGCGGCAAAGTGAAGCAGCCATGGAGACACTTTGGCTTACTCCATTGGGTTGTGTGCGCTTGTGGGAAGGGAGCGAGACTTTGAGCTGTGAGTCACGCTGTCCACAGGGTGCTAACGTAGCTACATCTCTCGCAGCCCATGTCCAAGTTCAAGGATCGCGTGATGCAGACGGATCCTGATAAGAATATTGAGGCTCTGCAAAAATGCCAAGCAGATCTGGAGAAGGCAAGCGCCAAGGTAAGAACTTGCAACTGGATGTCAGGGAGTACCTGGCATTGGGGGAAATGCCAGCCCAAGGAACATTGGCTATGGCCGCATCGTTTGGGTCCGTCGGCCTTGAAGCGCAGACGATACTGGGGCTTGAGACGCAGCTGGCGGTTTCGATGATGAAAGTGTGGTCGCTGACTCGGCCATGAACCGATGGGTTGGATAGCTCAAGCGAACCAGTGAGAATCACTCGTCATCGATGGCCCAAGTCAAGAAAATGTTTGATGACGAGAAAGCGCGGCTCCTCAGCGATTCGAAGGTGGGCGACTGTTGGTCGTCGTGGGGGGGGGAATCGCAGCTGCAGCTCAGCATACTTGCCAACGCAGTTGCTGTGCAGCAACGGCTACCCGGGCAAGAGTATTCGGCGATACACGGGCGCAATTCACTCCTTCAAAGTCGAGCCAATCGCTTCGTCTGCTCCGCCGCTTGATGCTGCGGCCATGTTTGATTGAAGATCAATACCACCTTCCAGGTCAGGATTCAGTCTCTCGAGGGAAAGATCGCATCCACGCTCGAGAAACTCAAGGCAAGCGAGGTGGTGTGCGAGCAGCTCCGGCAGGAATCCAAGACCTGGATGGAGTCTTTCCATGCTTCCGAGAAGATCCAGGAGACCCTGCGAGAAGAGAGTGAGTCGATGCTGCATATGTCTGCAGAGTAGCGCAGACGGCCATCCACTCTGGGCTCGTCCCTGTGTCCTCTTGATCACATCTGATGCATTTTTGAAATTGCATATGGGGGACATCTTGTCCGCGGGTCGGCGACTGTTAATTCCCCCCCTTCCGCGACCTTCCTCAGTTGGCTCCGTTTCCCAGCACCTGGACTCGGCACGGTCGCAAGGCTACAGGCTCTCCCATGAGCTTGAGGTGATCCAGCAAAAGTTCACCGTCGCCGACAGCAGACGAACCGAGCTTGACTTGCAAAACCAGGATCTCGCCATCAAGCTGGATGTGGAGACCAAGCGGGCAGCCAGGTTCTCAGAGTCGCTCGTGAAGCTGCAGGATGAGTCGCAGACTTGGAACGATAAGTTTCAGCAGATGCAGAGCTCCGAGAAGGAGGCCAAGCTACGCTGCGGCGATCTGCACCACGGCATGGTGCTGATGAAGGAGGAGAATGCCCAACTGAGGGTAAGCTTCATGGGCGGCTCGCAGTCGGAAAGGCTGTGGTAGATGCTCCCACAAAAACAGATATGGCCAACAGTATTTACCAACTTCCCTGTTCACCAAATCGCCCGCTCTGCACCGACAACAGTATCAGCACATTCAGGACGAAGGCAATGTCAAGACCCTCAAGCTAAAGCTCAAGGATCTGGAGCAGACGCTTGCCGTGGTCATGAAGTATCCTGACGTCAGCCTCGGCCAGGACACCAGCCTTCCGGGTATTCTCTCGCAGACATGCACTCTACCATGGGCAGCAAGCGCAATCCGATTGAATTGCGACGCAGTGCTGCGTGAGTCTGCTTCATGGCTTGTTCAAGTCGGATCAGCCTGACATACTTAAATGTACCTCGGCAGATTTCGAGGTCAGCCCAGAATACGACCGGCTGCTGAAGGATGTCATCAACAGCAACAATCTCCGAATATCGCTACTCGAGCAAAAGAACAACGAGCTGCGTCTTCTGCGCGTGAAGAGAGTGACCCAGGAGAAGGCCCTGAATCCGCTTCACAAACATCAGAGCCAGCAAGCCTCGCCGCTATGGGAATCGGCGACCATGGACCACCTCATGTCCAACCTTGACATTGCTCAGCTCGAGCAGGAGCATGCCCTCCGGGTGGCTTCGGGCATGCTGGATCCATCCGGCGAGCACACACCAGCAACCTCTCGCTCTGGATCACCGTTGGCCCGCCACTACTCGCTGATAACGCCAGAGGATCCTCCCTCCCGGCCGTCGCCATCGCCGACCCCGGCCATGGCCAAGCACCTCAACAATCCCGATCACTCGCTCTCAAGGTCGCTTATGCATGATGCAGGCAAGACCCACCAAAAGCCTGCTCTGAAGAAGGGCTTGAGCCCAGGCGGTCGAGGCAGCGGGTGGCTCATCCAGCCGATTGCCGACGCCGACGCCGACTCTATGATTGTCACCCGACACCCCCCGCCTGAGCTTCGGAGCCTTCAGCAGCCCAGTGCTCTTGTTGGGCCACGGCCTGCTTCAGCGGCGAGTACAGCAGCGGTGGAGGAGCGAAAGACTGTTCGCTGGGAGGCCACCACACCGACGGGCGGTTACGATCAAAAATCCAAGAAGGCCTGGACGTCATAGCCGCTGGCCGAGGACGACATTGACGGATGGCGGCGGCTCATGATGGTGCTCGTTCGGCAGACACTTGTGCGTGTATTTTCATTGAGCTGTTGCTGGGGGCAAGCCCTCTGTGAGGAATAAGGTCAATGTCGGTTTACGAACTGGCATAGCGAAGGAGGGCATCGCCATCCAAGCGGAATGTAATCCAGTCATCCAGAGATCTGGCGCCGACCTTTCTGTAAAAGTTGATGGCGTTCTCATTCCTGCACCAAGGGGCGATGAGGGGAGGCCCCAAAGGAGCACAACGCAGTCATTAGGCACCGTGCGCATGGTCCAGCCGCCAGCAACCTGGCAATGCAGACAAGTCGTATACTCACCAGTCCAGGGCCTGCCAATCGACCCGGGTGCAGTCTCGCTCGACAGCAAGACGGGCAAGGTATTTGAGCACGGCAGTTCCCACGCCAAAGTGGCGAGCTTCCTGAAAGCATGAGAAACAGCAGCAACGATCAGTCAGCACCGCGGTTCGGTTTGCCGCAGCTCTGCTTAATGGCACCAAAATCAACTCAAACGTGACCAACCTCCTTGACATAGAGATCCTCGAGATAGATGCCGGGCTTGCCCGTGAAGGTTGAGTAGTTGTGGAAAAACAAGGCAAAGCCCACGACCTGTCCCTCGACGCTCGGGATCACGATCTCGCAGTATGGCCGAGGGCCGAATGCAGCCTTGCGGAGCAGCTCCTCGTCGACGAGGCACTTGTCGCGCAGCTTCTCGAAGGTGGCCAGATCACGGATGAACTGGACGACCGCGGGGACGTCCTCCGGGGTGGCGGGCCGGATCTCGACGGTCTTCTTGCTGGACATTGCGCGCGGGACTTTGGGGGGGGGGCGGTTTGGATGCCTGCCTCAGGTGGCCGGGATGGTCGAGATGATAGGGATGGTGGAGATGGCTGGGTGCTCGTCCCATGCGTTGGCAGGAGCCAGTGGGTGGGAAAGCAGATCACCTGATGCACAAGCGCAGCACTGCGCCTTCCTTATCCGGAAAAGCCGGGAGGAGTTGTTGTGCGCAGCAGTTGCCCATGAGCACCGTGCGCAGCCGGTGGATCTGCGAAGGCCGGCAACTCCCAGGCAAGCAATGCGATGGGACAACAATGCATGCATGAACAGCCGGGATGCTATACGCATCCAAGCGACGGCTGAAGAGCATTTACGGGTTGAGCATGTGTGTTTTGGGAGAGGAGAAGCACAGCAAGCTGTCCAATGTCGATTCGGCTGTCGATCATCGGAAAAGTGCACACGGTCTGACTCTTGCGAGACCGTACGCAACCCAGGAACAGCGGCCGGGCACAAGTAGATCGGAGAGCAGCTGCCGCAGTACATCCAGGCGCATTTGCCAGACGGGATGCAAGGTGGGATAGAAAGCGCCATTCCATTCTGAAAACAGCAGACCTTGGGTGGCATGGGTCTCATCGGCCGCCGATCGGCTCTCGCGCGGCCCCCTCCCTTACTTCGAGTTCTGCGGCACTGGCTCCACTGGAATCAAACCCCGGTACCTCTCGCTCGAGCACCGAACTGGTGCTCAAGAGCAGGCTCGTCTCTGCAATTCACATGGTGCAGCCGTTCGTTGGAGTTTCTGTTTGGCAGTTCGGTGCGAGTAGTGGCGAAAGCGCTGGCTTGTATTCACCTTCGATGCACTTTCGTACTCGACTCTGCCGAGCCGGCATCGCATTAGCGCCAGAACCCCTGACTGCCATGTTCCAACAACAGCCGGCATCTGCTGACAACTTGCATGAGGTACCAAGATGCAGCAGTTGTTGGTATCGAGGGGCAGCCAGCACTGTGTGTTTCCAGTCAGCAGCCCAACACCCCACATGCAGTTTCGCCTGTTGCCCCCGTCGTCTCCGGGATCCGTTCCAGCCTCTTCCCTGGAGCCGATCCCCCGATTGGAATGCCCCATCGTCACATTGGAATGCCCTCGATACTACTGGCTGCTCGTCAGCAGCATTCGATTTGTTACTTGCACGTCCCCGGGCTGTCTGCGCTGCTCTCGCTCGTTCTCTCGCCGCTTGCTCACCCTGTTTCGCTTCGTGCCGTTTTTTTTTTCCGTCTCCAGGCTTGGTTCGCCTCCGCCGACCGCCCCCCCCCTTTTCTCTCCATCTGCCTCGCTCGCCATCGATCACCGACGCCTCCGGCAATTGCCACCTCACGCCAGCCCTTGCCAACGCCAAGAACAGCCTCGACAGAGTTGGATGATCCAAGCGACTCGCTCGTCCATCATCACACATCGGCTTTGACTCGACCCGCACCATGCCCATTCTGAAGCGCACCAAGAAGCCGGTTGAGCTTCTGCCGCTGCCTTCCAACCTCCCCGCGCTCGCTCCAGACACAAACAGCGACGACGATGGTGCCCCTGTTTTCCAGATCCGCTTCACGGGAGAGATATTCGTGGACTACGAGTAAGCCATCTCTGCTCACATCCCACTGTTCTTTTGGCGCTTTTCTTGCGCTGCTTGCTTGGGGGTGTCTCGGACAAGTTGGGTTCCGAACCCAGCCGATCGGGATCGAGAGATCACCCGCTTCCTCCTCTGCTCGCTGCCTTGCCGAGCAGTGACTTCAAGCCGAGATGCACATTATGCCGAAGGTCCGGCCTGGATCGGCCAAGCCGATCAGCAAAAGATCTCAAACAGTCAAGACGAAGTTTATTACGCCTCGACACCCACACTCGAAGCGGCAGTCAACGAGGCATTCGATCTCCAATATGCGGCCTTTTGCCTGCATTGCTGATATGCACTCCGAGTCGGCTCCACGACCACTGGACCGGTGCCATGATTGCCGGAGGAGGACCACAGGGAGCTGCTATCGGGCTCGACTGCCCGGCGGAATGCATGCTGCGATGATAGCCGCTGACGCCAGTTATGATATATTACCGCCGTCCTGCACAGATCGTACTATGAACGCTACAACATGTATCGGCAGAAGCAGTGGCAGTGTGAAGCTACAGGAAGAGGCAACCTGACTTTCGAAGAGGCGCTGATCTCCGAGCGCATTGCTCGCCGCAACGTCAAGGAGCGCTTTCCGGAAGTCTGGAAGAAGCCCGCCTTGGAGATGATTCAATTTAGTGAGTTGGTCTGCCAGACCCTTACCGAATGCTAGCAGAGGAGCGATGCTGGATAGCACCACACGCCTCACACACGAGTTCGATGGGGGCCAGATGCCATCGGATAGCGTTGTGGAATGGCAGGCCAGATGGAAAGCAGCATGCTGACCGCTTCTGGCTTGGCTTTGGCCGTCTCGCTCTCGCAGACACACTCAAGGTCATCAATCTCATCGATGTCATCTACAACTACTTTCGAGATAACGTCTTTCCGGGCGAAGAGACCTTTGTCCAAATCGGCGAAGAATCGATTTGGTGCAAAGTCCTGCAAGTCTATCCGCCCACTAACTTCAGCGACAAAGCCGTCTCGTCCGTGGTGATTCACACTGATCAAGATGATAAGATCACGGCCATCGACCACGATCTGGACCCGAACCTATGTTCGTGTCGCGTGCATTTGCTCGATCAGGACGGCGAATTCGTCTTTGACGATGACGCCGGAACCCAGTACCGAGTGCCGATCAGCAAGATTAAGCGCAACAGGCTTACTCTGTCAAAGCAAAACATCAAGACATTCATCAAGGATGTGGTCCAGCAGAGAGAGACATGGCCCGGGTCGCCTCTGGTGATCAAGCCAGAGCTCGCGGAGCAATACGGAATCACGACCACGATGCCACTCAACCTGGTCGACAAGATCAAAGAGCGAGAGGAGAAGGTATCTGCTCTGCGCCGTTCGATCAGCAATGGGACTGTGTACCCGCATTTGAGTGTGTTACTGAATGGGCTGAGGTAGTTCGCGAGATGGTCTATTCTAACCGGGGCATTGGTCTGACATGAATCTGCTCGCCAGCTCGATCCAAACTACAAAGCCAAGCAAAGAGCCCTTCTAAAGCAAAAGAAGCTTGAGGCTGCTTTGGCGGAGAAGCAGGCCCGTGAAGAAGAAGAGCGCAACAAGAAGAAGGACGGACGCGTGAGCAAGCGCAAGGAGAAGCAAGCACACAAGCAGATGGAAAAGGAGGCCAAGGAACGAGAGGCCAAGCTGCGAGAAGAAGAGGAGCAAGGTATAAACTGTGCTGGGCGCATTGGGTATACGGTCCACAAGCAAAATGCGGCACCGTTTTTGGCAGCAAGTCCACGAGCGCGGGGAGGAAATGAGAGTGCGGCGGCCCCCTGTGGCATAGCGATGGATTCATACTCAAGCCTCTGTCGTGGATCATTTTCAGCGCGACTCTTGGCACTTTCGCTTACCTTTCCGATGGACGATATGGAGCTCCTCCAGCTGGCGCCTCGCTTGCGTGGCGCCGAAGATATCAAAAAGGCCGGGGCTGTGTATCCTCCGCTGCAGCACAGCTTTGGTGACTTTCCGTCATCGTCGGCATGCGCTCTCATCCGGACGTGGAACTTTCTCTCTGTTTTCAGGTACAGCTGTGAGTCTGTGGACTACAGTGCAGCGGGTGTGGAAACCGTGGAGTGTGTGGCGAGGCCAAGTCTTCCCGTAATTCAGTGCCTACAGCTCCAACTTGACTGCGCTTGCCGCCGCTCACCCGCTTTCTCTTGCTTCCACAAGCAGCAATCTGCTCAGCCTGACTCAATTCCCGTTAGACTACTACATGGATGCCCTGTCACACCAAAATCTTGAGCAGGGACAGAGCCTAATCGTGGTCGAGTCATTTGGTGCGCTGCTGCAGGCTGCGTGCGAGGAATGGGCATTCCGGCTGGAAGATCCCGAAGATCCCTTCTTCAAAGAAGTAGGTGCCTTGGCAGCCAGCAGCACAGCCGACGACGCTGTGCCTGGAAGCCCAGATATCACCAAGACTGAGTCCTCCGAGAGCCACGATATGGATGTCGATCCCAAGGACCTCAAGGACATCAAGGACGCCAACGGCGGTAACAGCAGCCACGATGCCGCGAAACAGGAGTTCTTGAAGGCCTTCGAAGAGCTCACTGCGGACGAAAAGATCGCTATCGATCAGTGGTGGAAATGGACACCAGGGGCCTGGGCGGGCACTCACCGAAAGTCGGCATTGGTCGCGCGGCCGTTGGTCCGTCTGAAGGCATGGAATATTGCTCTTGTCGGGCTCATTCGCGACTGGGCTACCGAGGAGTCACTGAAAGCCAAATGGCATATCCTTGCGCGTCTGCTCAGCACCGAGCTGGATCATGAAAGTGTGTTCATTCATGGCGAAGAACCCTCCGACGACGAGGCTGATGCTTCCACCGAAGCCGAGAGTGTCCCTGAGAAGCGGCGATCGAATGGCCGAAATCCCGGATTCAAGGGCTATATGGAGGCCAGCGAGGACTCGATTGCGGATGACGGAACGAGCGGCGACGATCAGTCCGATGCTTCTTCGACCCGCCGGAAGCGCTCGTCTCGTAACCGGGCTCTTGGATCTCGAGATGAAAGCAGTGCCGGATCGGCTCTGAAACACGAGCAGCACTTCCAAAGCGGCAGCGACAGCGAACTCGACCACGACCATGAGAGTATCTCCAGCGATACCGATTCGGACTCGGACAGCCGTTCGAAGCGCCGACGAACCGACGAAGACAGCAGTAGCAGCCACCAGAGCTTCGACGATGCACACATCATGCACCACGACCAGGGCGGCGACCATGCGATCGTGGGATCACCGACACACGAACCGTCAGCCCGCGCGACTCTGAGCCGACGAGCCAAGTCGTCTATGGAACTCAGATCGCCCACTGCCGGGCCAAAGTCTCCAGAGCCGCAAATGCTTCCCAGCGAGCATCTCGGGCCTCATCCCAAGAAGAGGACCAAGCCCGTCAGCTCTGCTCTGTCGATCGACGGATTACTGGCGCGGGTGGAGAAGAACTTTTGGAAGCTGCTCAGCCCCATTGAGAAGCTGGACCTCCTCGATTTTCTCGTCACCGAGACGGTGCAAACCAACCACAAAGTCCGAGAGTTTATTGATCACGCCATTGATCGCTGCATCGAGCTGCGGAAAGAGCGCCGCGAGATTCTTCGCGAGCGCAAGTACATGTAGGTTCCCTCCTCCCGATGCCAAGCCACCGCCGCTTCCCCAAAGACCAAGCGCAACCGTATGTGATTTGGCAAGTTCTAACGCCGATATTTGACGAAACTTTATGCGCGCAGAACCCAGCTCTGGAAGGAATATCAGAGCCGCGAGGCTGTGCGCGAAAGCGAGAAGGATGCGGAAGACGAGAAGGAGATCGGAACCGATGATGCGGCGTCCGTTCCCACCGCTGATGAAGAGAGAGAGCCCAAGCCAGCGGATCCCCCCGTCGACTCGACCTTCGATATGAATGACAGGTAAACGGGAGACAGGGTCCAAAGTCTGCCCGACCGAATCCGTGCTCTGACCGGGGCGACGCATCCGACTGTTTAGCATTCTGCACTCCCGTGCGAGCAATCGAGAAGTGGTTACGCCCTGGTGACAGACAGTCCGAGGCACAGAGCTCCCTCCTTCGGTCGTCCACGTCCACGTCCACTCTAATCACTGTATAAATCCACAGCTTCTCAAAAGGAACATCGCGCATCCAAAAGCTCAAGGAATCGCAGCAGCGCCGAGAGGCCGAGCTCAAGCGGCAGAAGGAGGAGTCGATGCGGCTGCAAAAGGAGCATCGCGAAAAGCAGCGCGAGCAGCGGCTGCGTCTGGAGGTACGTCGCAGCACATCCGCCGCACGATACCCCCACAACTGCGAATATTGACGTTGCAAATATGCCGCCGTCGCTCGAATGCCATCGAAATAGGAAAAGCGCAAGATCGAGTCCCAGGAGAGGGCCTTGATGAAGCGCGAGTTCAAGTTTGAGCCCGAATATGGCCTGTGTTCCGCAGCAGCACGTCTCTTCCCCCTGGGTCAGGATCGCTTCCTGAACCGCTACTGGTGGTTTGATTTGGCTGTCGGATCGGCGGTGAACCTGGACTTGGACGAAGCCATGGGCATGGCACCCGGCACCGTGCCCTCCAACAAGACATCGACCGTGCTGGGTCCCGCCGATCTCGAATGGGGAACAGGGCGCCTGTTCGTGGAGCTGACGGGTCTGGACAAGGACGGCATCAACGGCCACGATAGAGAATCGCTCGCTCGCCTGCAGACAAGCTTGGATGCCACCGAGGGATCGTGGGGATACTTCACGGAAGCTTCTCAGGTACGTCCGGCAGCGCTGCCTGTGATTTTTCTGCCATGCTCTCCTTCCGTGTGTGGCCCGAGACCAAGGCTGCGCTCCAAATGCCGAGGCAGTCCTGCGCCCGCCAGTGCTGATATGCATGCCCCCAATGTGTTCCAGATCAAAGCACTTCTTTCGTGGCTTGATACACGCGGAGAGCGCGAGGCAAAGCTCAAAGCGGCCATCAACCAAGAGCTCTCGTGGATCCAGGCGTCCATGTCCAAGCGCGCTGAGGTAGGCAGCGCCCTGTGCTCCGAGATGATCGTGTCGGCAGAGTTGGCCACTCTGCGGGTTTTAATCACCCAGATCATCCCGAAGCCTGCGGTGTTTTATGGAACTGTTTGGATACATGGGGACGATGGCACTAATGCACATCTTGCCGATCTGCTCTGCTCTACTTTACTCTCCAACAGGATCTTGCCCTCGCCGCCGTCGACCACGATGTCCTGCCGCAACGCCGCACCCGCCACGGCCACAGCCGCAACCCAAACAAGCGAAACGAGATGAGGGGATACATGAGCTACGCAAATAATGCAGTCGGTCCATAAAGAAACGGGACAGTCCTTCTCTGGCATCAGATCTCTAAAGTCCGCTGACCTACTGTAGGCACCAGTGAGCAAGCCATGCGATTGTTTCCGTCCTGGTTGTCGATCGTTTTGGTTGGTTTAGAAAGTAGTCTTGAATACACTCGGTCGATCCCCAGTGGCGACAATCGACTGATAGTGATGTGTCGATGTGGGAGTGTGGTACATCCACTCGATGAGGGAGTGCGGTGCATCCACTCGATGAAGGAGTGTGGTGCATCCACTCGATGAATGAGTGTGGTGCATCCACTCGATGAAGGAGTGTGGTGCATTCACTCGCTCTCTGGACTGCTCCATGGTGTATCGATGTCAAGGTAGTCTGCCTTCTCGAGTCGCTTGGCTTCCTGGTACTGTGAGCACACTGTTTAGCCATGATTGCAATGGGTGAGCGGGTGTATTCAAGTTCCAGACAAAAACAGCTGTCCTGGCTCAAAATGGGGGTGCCCATTATCACTTGGAACGTTGGAATGGGAACAGAGTCGCGATGCCTCGCTCTCGTCCATCCATGGCCATTGTTCCTCGACAATGAGTTGGGTTACTGTGAATGAACACGTGTGTATTCAGGATGCAGCGGAGGAAGGGCAAGGAAGAGAGGAAAAAAAAAGGGGGGGGCGGTCTATAACGTCGACCGATCGTTCCAAAAAAAATAGGGAATAGCGCAGGAAGCAACGTGTCAACATAAATGGCGAGGAATCGAGAAGTAAAGCCGTCGGAAGGCATATGCAGAACGGCCATGGAATAAATAGATAAATATAATGCTGGTCCGGTCATCGGGACCTGCGACAGGGGCCAGGCGAGGGAGACTCGAGGGAGACTCCGGGGAGGATCTGAGGGAGCAGCGGCTACCTTTTGGCTCATGGGAGCTCTGTGGCGCCGATTACGCACGCGCTGCCCACAGATCGTTCATGATGCCGCCGTTGGCCCGTAGGCTGGTGAGGTACTGCTTCAAGCTTCGGATGATATCGGAGTTGTAGCGGAAGATCTGACCCAACAGGCCATCCGCCTCGCCCATGAGCTTCTCGAGCTCGTCAGACTCCGGCGGGAGGATGAAGCGGATCAGGGCCAACGAAATCATGACTAGAAAGGCCGGATGGACGATAGTCGGGGACAAGAGTGGAATGGTGATGACGCCGAGGAGGTCAACGAGTTAGCATACGGCTCGAACGGATTGCGATACAAGAGCCCTGGCCCACTTTCCTGCACGGGCAATCGATGTGGCGCAACATGACACTGTCAGCTCAGTTGCAACATGCAGGGGCGGTACATACTCAGCAACATTGGGATCCAGAACAGATAGAGCATGCGCTCCTGGTGCAGCTGTTCGCGTCTCCGGGTCTCCTGTCGCTTCTGGGCTATGTGTGCGGCGTCGGTAACCGTGACGCTTAGCAGCCGTGAGGACTGCGCCGAGTGAGCCGGGTCTGTCTCGGTCTCCGAATCTGACTCGGTCTCGTCCAAGACAGAGGTGTAGCCCCCAACAGCGGGTGACGTTTTGGCGGTCGGAGACACCGGGGGCGACACTGCTGCCTGGGCCGCAGCCAGGAGCACCGCGGTCGCCGTGGGCTTCTGGTCTGTATCGGCTCTCTTGTCGGATGGAGCAAAGAGCGATAATGCCCAGGCCAGGTATTCTGGTGGAGGCGCCTTGTGGCTGGTGGCGACGGTTTCATCACGCGAATCGCCCTTGCCAAAGGCCGAGGTCATGGTCTGCAGAGGAGCGATGGCTCCTGGGATGTTGAGGGCATGGAAAACGTTGATGGCGACGCGATGCGGGGCAGCCATCAGCGGCGAGGTCTGGTCGTTGAGCATGCCAATGGCAAGGTCGAACATGCGGAAGAACAGGCTTGAGTTCTTGACCGTCGCGTCGTCCGTAAACGAGGCGTGCTTGTCACCGGATGACTTGGCGGTGTCCGAGGGCATACTGGTGTCGGTGCTCGAGAGCAGCATTCCCAGCGACGCAAGCAGGCTGTTGCGCTGGCTGCGTTGGGCAAGCTTGGAGCTGGCGGCCGTGTTGGGTGCGCCGGTGGCCTCGCTAAAGCCGGCGGGCAGCTGGGACATCATCGTCGGCGGCGGTGGCAGGGTCGAAAGGCCCGAGTTACTGCGCGGCATGGCAGCACTGGCCCGCACGCCGGCGTTCGGGAACATCTGCAGATCCACAGCAGGACGGTTCATGTAAATGCGCCGGATGCCCATGGCTGTAGCCACAGGCACATGGCCATCAACGAGCTTGCGCACCGCCTCGGGCTCAACAAGCGGCGGAACGGTCTCGACGCCTGGGTCTCGCATCAGAGACGGAAACGCTGCCTCGAGCTCGGCCTGGATCTGGTCGTCGTCGACGGCATCGGCTTCATGAACACCAGGCCCGTCGGTGATGTCGACAACAGGAATGCGGTCGTCAAAGAGCTTCACGATGGGGTCGTGGCCATTTTTGACAGCCAGGTCGCGCGCAAAAAAGCCCTGGTTGTTCAAGATGTCGGCACGAGCACCGGCTGGAGGCATCGAGAGAGGGGTGAGGATAGAGAGCGCACGCGGTGAGCAAAACGAAGCGATACATCACAGGTCGTGACAGCATGACGGCAAATACATGCGGCGCATACCACCCAGCTTTCCTCCTAGTGCACCTGCCGCGGATCGTGTGCGCTCTTACCTTCCAGCAGTTCTTCAACGAGATCGACACGGCCACACAAGGTGGCAAAGTGCAGAGGTGTGAACCCGTTGGCGTCTTGGCAGTCGAGGATCTGGGATCGGATGCCGCGTTCGCGGGTCTCTCGGACGGAAGCCAGGATCCACTTGCTGAGGGTGGTGAGGCCGCCAAGGCAGCAGAGGTGCAAAATCGAATGGCCGGTTTTGTTTTGCTGATGAAGGTTGCGCAGGGCCCGCTCGTGGGAGCGAGCCTGCAACTCTTCGTCAAAGTGATCATCGCCGATTTCACTTGGACCGTCGCCCTCAGACGCGTGCCTGGCTTCTTCCTCATCCTCATCCAGGATTTGATTGAGGGTCGAAAAGGCTTGGATAAGAGCAACCTCGAGGCGGGTCTTGGAGCTGGTTGCCGACGAAAAGTGCATGCGCTCCGCCACCAAGGATCGAACCACGCCTCGGAGCCGAGCCAGCGACAGAGCGGAGCGGGTTGATCCGCCATGCGACGAAGCCGAGGCCGTTCCGGACCGCTGGGTGGCGCTGCTGGCGCTGTTGACGATCTGCATGGCAATGTTGCGAGCGTTGTCGAGCTGCCCAGTCATGCGCAGGCCGACCACCTGGAGGGCGAGCTCCATCAGCGCCATTTCGGTATCGTCCTTGTAGGTGAAGACACCGTGGGTCATCTGCGGAAAGTCCTTGAAAGTCACCGGCACGACGCCCGGCATCGGCGACGGCGGCAGAGTGCAGATCATGGTGTTGGAACTCCAGAAATGCGTCGGTTCGGCACACACGTCGCCAAATTTGACTGTCAGTCCGTTGTAGAAACCAGTGCCCAGTACGGTGATCTCGAGCCCGCCGCAGATGGGGCCCTCGGAGGGGATGACGCGGTTGATGGAGGGAATGGCTTCGGGCGGCAGATTCCGCATTGGATTTGGAAGGGTCTTGGGAATCCGTGCGGGGAGGGGTGGCTGGGACGGGCTGGCCATCATCGAGAACATATGCTGAGTTGGGTCGATAGGTTGCTGGGACAGATCCGGGAAGCTCTGGACCGGCTGTGCCAGCGCCAGCGGGGAAACCAGTGCTGAGATGCCGGACTGGATGGATTGGATGGGACTTGGTGACTGCAGCTGGGAAAGGAGCTGGAGTTGCTGGATGGCTTGAAGCTGCTGCGAGAGGAGTAGTTCTGGCGACAGTTGCTGCGTGCGAATCTTTTGATCTTGACTCAACCCTTGACGATCATCGAGAGTCTGCAGAGTAGAGGCAGCGGGCGCCTGGGTCGTCATCAGCAGCTGAGCCTGATCGATGGTGACAGGATGAACTCCTGGGCTGGCTTGAGCCGCAGCATTCGCAGTAAGGCCAGACGACAGTGTCGCGGGAGGCTTGAGCTGGCCGTCCGGCATGAAGAAATAGCTGCTCTGACTGTCGAAGAACTGCATCGGGGTGGTGGTGGCTGGGAAGGTTGTCAAGGGGGTCTGGAAGTGGTTGAGCGAGTTGGGATCTTCGAAGGTGATGAACGAGGTGGGCAGCGAGGTGTTCGACAGGTTGTTGGCCATGGGCGTATAGATGGTCGTGATCAAGCCATCCTGCTTGACGGGTGCTGGGCTCGCGTCCGCCATTTTCAAAGCCGGAGGAGAAACGGCCGGCGCAGGCAACGACTGCGGGGTGTAGTTGCTTCCAAGCACATCGCTGACAGGGATGGGCGTTGGACTCGCTGTCCGGCTGAAGATGAAACTCTCGGGGGTGGCCGCTGCGTCCATCTTCATCGGGTCCGAGACAGGCAACGGGGGGAACATCTCGACCGAGATGAGTGACAGATGCGACTGGTCGCGTGCAAGCGCGGCGGAGGTCTCCAGAGACTTGAAGGTCTGCTCGGCAACAAGCGGATCATGGAATGACGGCATGGCACCGTGCGTCATCGGCAGGGTATTTGGGACCGGGAACACCAGGTTGGTGAGGAGGCTCGAGATGGCTTCGGGCGAAGTGTCTCGACTGGGATTGGCATGGTCCAAGACGGGGGATGTGGCCTCCTCCTCCGCTTCCCGCGTGCGCTTGAGAGTTTTGTTCTTGACTTTGGAGGACTTGTGATCGTCGGTGATCATGATGGGGGGTGAGATGCTGGTGGCGATGATCCGTTGGTTCTTGTCGCGGACCATGAAGTAAATGCTGCCAAATCGAGTGCGTGGACGTAGCCCGATAAGTGATCCCGAGCGAGGCAGAGAAGCCCACCGTGCGAATAGAGCGAGGGATAGCCAGCGAGGGGGCACGGTCGGCAAGACAGTGATGCCCTTCGACCACGATGGCGCGGCGGAGAGATACTCACCAAAAGCCCACTTTCTCGTGGTGATGCCGGCAGTAGCAGGTGATGCGCGTTGGGAGGATGATGTCGCCGCCGGCAAAGTCCAGGATACGCGAGCAGCTGAACAGAAGGGCATTGGAAGCCCTGTTGGTGGCGATGGGATCAGAGTCATCCAGCATCATCGCCATTTGTCCGGGTGTCGAATCGCTGTCGAGCTTCACTGCCTTTTGGCGATTGCTGATTGTACACTTTTGCGCGCGCTTCAGCTATTTGCAGCATGAGAAAGATTGCAGCGATTGAAAGCGTGAGGAATAGCATGGATGCACAAGACGGCGAAGGAACCGTGAGGATGAGCGTCTGGCCTTTCCTCAAACTCGGGGACGGAAGGAAGCGGGTCGAGGTGCTACGGCGGATCGAGGTGCTACGGCGGGTCGAGGTACTATGGCGGCTGTCCTACCTCGCGCTGCAAACACGTTGTGCAGGTGGTAACAGGTCTATCAAAGTCCGATGCGCAGATAACGATGGCATCCAAATCCAAGACATTGTTTTCTGATGGTGCTTTGTCGAATTCTGGATGTAGAGCGTCGCAAAGGCGCCGGATGTTAATATGGATATGTACAGGCTCGGTGAGAGTACAAGATGGAGCGGGGGTCGGCAATGGCAAACGGCAACATACTCTTGTGGGGCTTTTCTTTGGAGGCGAGGTATTCGGGTAGCCGCAAGAACGCCCACGACGAAGCCTTCTCGCCCTGGAAGATTCAGTTGATATCCCATAGGAGAGCATCAACCGAGAGCGGGGGAGAGCTTGATCAGTATGACTGAGAGGGCCGCGCTGGAATGGCATGTGGATGCACCCAAGCTCGCCCGATGGCATCCCATTCTACTCGAGGCGGTGCTCTAGAGTTGGCACATCTTGCCGACAGGGCACAACAGCGGGGGCCAACACACAGACCAGCACCAGAAGAGGACTGAGGGTGCATACCTTGTCGGTGACGAGCTGGAGACAAATCTTGATCTGGGTCTCGACTCTTGACTTTGCATTCTGTTGCGGCAAACCCATGACACGAAGCTGCAGTCCCGAGTCAACGACGTTGTACCGCTGATCCAGCTTTGCCTTTGCCGCGGTGATCAGGTTGTTAGCGTGCATCGCCGCCTCATCGGCCACATCAACCGGGGCTGCCACGGATGCCCCGGATGCCCCGGATGCTAGGGCCGCTACGGCTGCGGCCGAGACCGAGGAAGTCGAGGGAGCAGGCGAGGGCATCGATGTCAAGCTGACTGAGCTCGTCGAGTGTCGGAGGGTGGATGTGAAGTTCATGACAGACTGGTGCAGGTCGGAAGGTTTGCTGGGAGCAGGAGCAGGTACGGAGAGAGGCTCGATCTGTACAGAGGCAGAGGGCAGTGATGGGACAGCCTTGGATTGAGACGCCGGCTGCAGCGAGGTGCGGCGGATGCGCTGATGTGATGACAGGGAAGCGGGGACTGGGTTGGATGTTTTCGGAAGGAGCGGCTGCGGATTGTACTGGATAAAGTGTTGCTCTGGGGCAGGCCGCGAGCGAAACGAGTCCAGAGAGGCGACGGACGAAGATGCAGAGAGGGATGCCGATGGAGAGGCGATGGAGTCAAGCTGGGGAGTTGGGGGAGTCGGCGGCAGCTTGAAGGAAAAGGATGCCGAAGCCGGGATGGGGGGCGACGATTTGGGGCCTAGCTGGGCGGCCGAGAGCAGCGAGGTGGCATGGTCGTCGTCCTTGGGCATTGGGGCTTGCACCTGATGATAGCTGATGAAGTGAAGGTCGTGCTTCTTCTTGGGAGGAGGCTGCTTGGGATGCATTTGTGGAGAAGAAAGAGAATGCAGGACAGGAAAGACTGCGACGGGAGGACAGCAACAGGGGCGAGAGCAGGGAGCGAGGAGAGAGACGGCAGCGAGAGCCGGGGCAGAAGGACGGCGAGAGCCAGGACTTGCAGCGCCAGCAGCAGGCGAACAGCAGATGGGAGAGAGCGAGGCAGAAAGGCCGCCAAAGAAGGCCACGCAAAGGACAGCGGTTTTGGGGCGGCCCAAAGACGAGGGCGGACGGGTCTTTGGGGAGGTCGCACGAGGATTGGCTGTGGGGCGGCGGGCGAGAACGCGGGCGAGAGCAAGGTGTTTGAGGTGTCGTTCGTGATGTTGGTCTGGTTGTGATGCTGGTCTGGTAGTGATGTTCGTCTGGTAGTGATGTTGGTCTGGCTGTGATGTTGGTCTGGTGGTGGTGATGTTCGTCTGGCAATGCTATTGTCTGGCAAGCATTCGGACCAGGAAATCAGGGCGAGCAAGGGCTCAAACTCCGCCCACACGACCCACACACACCCCAAAGACTCTTGCACCCTCGCCGCGCAAATGCTACCGCTCGTCGCGTTGATCAACAGCGGCTCTGGGGCATTTGCAGTTGCGTGGAACTGCAGCGACCGAGTCTGTGGCGATAGGATCTGTCTGTGGCCCCCACTCGGCAACAGACTCTGTTGGTTTGGGGAGCGCTGTCGCCCCAGCCCTCTCTCCATCTCTATCTGTCTCTCTGTGTCTCGCTCCCCCCAAATGCTGCTGTCCTCGGCAGCCGAGAGCGCCCTCGTCCCACACACACACACATGCCGATCACATGCCCGCCTCTGTTTGTGTGCCGCTGTTTGGGGCTAGCCTGCACAGAACGCTCGCACACAGAACGCACGTGAAGCCCGGTCACGCAGGCATGTGAATCCCGACCCGCTGCGCGATCACCAAGTTGTGTCCCTGTGCCCACCCCATCTGGGCATCTCCGTGGCTGCTCGATATCGCGATACTGAGCTTCTCGAGTCGTTTGGCTTCCAGACACTGCGAGCGCGCTGATTAGCCATGTGTAGCCATGTATGTCCAGTATTCAGTATTCAGTATTCAGTATTCAGTATTCAGTATTCAGTATTCAGTATTCAGTATTCAGTATTCAGTATTCAGTATTCAGTATTCAGTATTCAGTATTCAGTATTCAGTATTCAGTATTCAGTATTCAGTATTCAGTATTCAGGAACCGGCAAATCACAACAGGGTGTCCCTTTCGTTTCTGGAAAAGCTGTCTATTGGCACTCTCCGCATCCCATCCATGCCATGCTGTAGGCTTCCCACAGTCTGCAACCCATGCCAGATACAACGACCTTTCACCCCTCTCCAGCAACTTCTGTTCACTGAGCACCCGCACCAGCATTCAGCACACCACGGGAAATCGTGGACTGCTTTCGCCAGAAATACAGACCGGCTCCCGCCGCACCGCATCCAGCGACCACGCCGACAGTGATGCCGGCAATGGCGCCGCCACTCAGGCCAGTGGATCCAGATCCAGATCCAGCATTATTGACGGATCCAGTGCCACTGCCAGCCCCAGAGGCACCGGTGGGCTTTGGAGGACTGACGGCGCTGGGGACCGTGCTGGCGATAGAAGCAGCACTGACGGTGCTCGAAGGGGCGCTAGAGACGGTACCAGAGGCACCAGAACCACCAGAACCACCAGAGCCGCCAGAACCACCAGAGCCGCCAGAACCACCAGAACCGCCAGAGCCGCCAGAGCCGCCAGAGCCGCCAGAGCCACTGGCAGCCGCGGACGGAATACATCCGTCATATCCGGCATTATGGACCTGTGGTCATCGTGGTGTGCCTTAGTACGCATTGCGCTCCTCGACAGCTTGTTACTTTCCCAACATCGTGCTGCAATCCAGACCACCACCACCCGTCACCGACTTACCTCAAGAGATCCGCGCACCGAATGGGCAAAGACGCTGCCGTACACAATGCTGCTCTCAGACACAATGTCTGCAAATGGAGCGAGCACGGTACCGTACAGGATCGTATCGATCAGATGCAGACCCTCGGCCTCGGGGAAGTTCCAAATGATGCGGCTGGCATACGGCTTGAGCTCGTCCACAATAAGCGACCGCAGCTCTGGGCAGCTACCGTCGATGTTGATGACCAGACCCTTGCTGGTCAGCTTCGAGAGCTGATAGAAAGCAAGGCGGATCGTATCTGTAATGTCATCCGAGTCAAAGTGCACGACGTGCAGGGTTGTGTTTTGGCTGCACTCGTCGGCGGGCTGCACCGTGATCAGGTCCGAGTTGTTGTAGTCCGTGCAGTCGTCCGTCTCGGTGGTGTCGTCCAGACCGGCAAAGTAGTCTGCGACATTCGACAGATAGGTCTTGACGCCATCGCGGTCCCAAGGATCGTCAGGGAGCTGGATTGTCGACACATTGGTTGGCCAGGACCCATGGGCATGCGCCAACGTGAACAGATCGTTTGTGTCAGCAAAGGTCGACTAGATGCGTCGATATGGGCTGGGCAAGCAACTCATGCGTACCACACCGCTGAACCCCTCCCCGTTTGGGGTTTGCCGTAATCAGCCCACACACAAATCAGCCGCTGACACTGAAATCCTCGTCTCTTCCTTCGGGCGGAAATGGCACTGCACACTCTAGAGAGAGCATCTTACCGGCTTCTGGTGACAGTCAATCGGCTGGTAGACGGTCTTGTAGAGGCTCGGAGGTGTTGAGTTTGAGTTTGCTGCAAGGCCGTTGCGCGTTTTGAGATAGCCAACGTACCCATAGTCGAGCGTCTTGGGTGCGCTGTGAATGTACCGAGTGCGGCGGGTGAGAATCTTACGTCGCCGTTCAGGTGTGCCCCATGCGGGGACCATATCGTGCCCACACGACATTTACAAGTGGCAGTGATGGAAGTCGGGACCAAGAACACACGCAGCGATCGCGCAACATTCGAATGCATTCTACCCCACTGTTCTACGATGGCGTCTCTCTTCTGACCACCGACTGCTTATCCAGGGCAGCGTACTTACTTGACAATATTGCCGCCGGCAATGAAGGAGTAGGTGAGATATGGGAACGAGTTTGATCCCTCGATCTCATCCTCAATGTCGCAGCAGGAAGTGATGGATGCGCAGAAGCGGGTATGTTGGTACAGCTCGGAGCCGATCGTGGCGTTGGAGTTGTATTCGCCACCGACATAGACACGACCACCGACGACTGAGACGCATGGGATGGGTGCACAGGTCAGCAAGATGGAGATACACAGGCCAGCAAGATTGAGGTGCAAACACACAGTAGTCGAATGCAACTTGAGGCTTCGAGGCATCCAGCAACCTGGTCGCGGACCACTGTACGTACCGTTGGCCGAGTTCTGCCAGTCGCGGAGGACGTACACGTTGTACTCGCCCAGGGGGAAGACGCCATCATAGTCGCTGCTGTCGCAGTCAGAGATATGAGGTCCCCAGATGGTTGTGCCGTGGGTGGCACAGCTGGCGATGGCAGGGCAGCTGCCCGATGCAGCAACGTAGCGAGGCACAAAGCCCGCAGCTAGCACGACGCCAGCAAGAAAGGAGCTCACAAATCGCATTCTGTCGGTCGAGGCGCTGACTGGATAGATGGATAGATGGATAGATGGATAGACGGATGTTCTGATGGTGGCTTGTTTCCGGGGCAGGACAAGAGCTTGATTCCGCAAGATGGTGTCAAAGGAGACCCAGAGCTAGGAGGAGTATTCGGCAAGCGGAGCGTGCGAAACTAGAAACAAACAAACAAAAAAAGATGTATGTTCCCAATAGCTCTGGTTGAAACGGCAACGAGACGGGCGGGTGTTTCAGTATCTTGACCTCCCCCCTCCCCGCGGCAAGCAGCCGAGTGATGTGTGACCGTAAAGCATCGAAAACTCGAACGCTGGGTTGAAGCTGCCCGTGCAACTCACCAGGCGAGAAGCACCAAAAAGTACTCCGGGACGCAGCGGAAACGAGGCGACCATACGACAGCGGCCGCACCGAAAGGCTTTATATGACAGCCTTGTCAGGGCGGACTGCCCTCTGAACAAAGACCGGCGGCTCGAGCGGAGCAGACTGGTCGACGAAACGGCCTGCTTCTGAACAGAAGGCTCCAAAGCGCAGCAGAATCAGGCGGCTCTGCCAATGGCGGGACAGCGCTCGGAGGCGAATGCGTGGGAGGGGTGCAAGTCGACCCGTTGATGGATTCGACAGCAGTGCATTGAGTGAGAAAGTGGTGGGGAGCATCCAATCGCAGCTTGGGCATGGATGCTCTTTCTGTAGGCCACAACAATGTTAGCTGCATAGCCTCTGGCACGATGTTATCCAGACAATGGCACATCGTCGTCAGTCGGAGAAACGACTCTGGAATTCTCGACAGAAGTTCGGGAGTGGGAGGATGGACGTACGTGCTTATCCCCAAAAACAATCGGCTCCAATCAGGACAGATGGTCAGCTCCGCACTCTCCATCCGAGCAGCAGCCGATCCGTCTCTTGCTCGCAGCACCACCCGCTGTTCGGCCAGGCGAGCGCGTCGAGCTGTATCAACAGCATGCATATCTCCCCCCCCCACAACTCTGCACAATTCCGGGGTTGGATCAAAGCCGCATTCGCTAAAGCGCTGCTTGCCGCAAGTCGTTAGTATCTGATCTTGTACAAGCGAGACAATCAGCGGAACAGTCTCGACGGAAGCTTCAGGCGAGCGAAGCAGCTCCAACCCAAACCCAAGCCAGGTCCAACCCTATTATGCCCTGTCCCTTCGTGTCGACCCGTCGGGAGCTGAACTAAGGGGATTGGCTCTCTGTTACATGCTGCTTCGTGGTATGGCGTCACACCGGCACTTTGATATGGTTGGTTTGGGAGTCGTGGTCTTGAATACCCCCTGTGGCGACGATCGACTGACATTGATGCTGTGATACTGGAGTGTGGTGGATGCCTCAACTCTCCGGACAGCTCCGTGCAATATCCTTCTCGAGTCGCTTGGCTTCCCGGCACTGTGAGCATCCCCTTGGTCATGGCTGTGATAGACGGGTGTGTGGATTCAGGACCGGAAATCAACGACAATTCAAAACAGGGTGCCCTGTTTCAAAATGGTACGCTTTATATTCATATGCACATGTGTGGTGGCGTGGAGGAAGAGCAAAGGGATGCGATGACGAGTCGAGGTCGGAGATCGGTAGGATGGGACAAGATTCGGAGCGCTCAGTTGTCGGAGCTGTGGCGGCTGAGGGAGGACAGAGTCGAGTAGTCGAAGGAGCCATTGAGATGTCGTACATTCGAGTTGCGCTGGAGACAAATATCGAATCGATTAGGCGAATGAACAGACGCCCGGCGGACCAAAGACCCATCACCATCGCCATCGCCATCGCCATCGCCATCACCACTATCACCATCGCCATCGCCACTATCACCATCCCCATCATTACCACCATCAACAGGCTTTGAAAAGACACTCTCTGTGGCCAGAAGCTCGCCCAACCTACATTGATGAGAGCAACTCTCTGCTTCCTTTCTTTGGCACGCCGATGGTTGTTCCAAGAGCGATATGCAAAGACACTGCCGATAATCAGGGCAATCAGCGCAACACCTCCTCCGACCGATGCCGCAATGATGGTGGCGTTGCTTCCGCCACTCTGTTGAACTTCAAGGTTGGTGCCGTGTGTGGGCTTCGCCGGCTGAGACGGATGCGGCAGAGAAGGCGATCCACCAGAGATAGCTGCGGTCGCAGGCGGCTGGGTCGGAGAGTCGCTGGGCTGGAAGAACACATCGACGTTGGCATGTGCACTCGAAGCCGTCGGCTGGACGATGGGGACGACCGGCGCAGACGTCGTCTCGATGAGCTGATCGAGAAATCGTCGGTTGAGATGCATATCTGAGGGTCGAAAGATCGCTCAGCGTTAGGAGGGCCATGCGAGCGACGAGTGCATGCGAGCGGGCGAGCTGCTCGATACCTTGAAGGAACCGGTGGGTGTGCGGTGTGCGTCAGCAGAGCGTTGCTAAAGTGCTGGGGATTGGCGATGCTCAAAGCCGAAGGGGGAGGTGGCGAACGAGTCCTAGTCGTGGAGATGGCCGATTCGAAGGGACGACCAAAGCAGGCCGATGGAGGGCGTATCGATGGAACAGCAGGTCAGTGGATGGCGGTGGTGATGGCCGAAGGACAGAGCATCGATGTGCTGCTGGTGGTCAGAGGGGGGTGAGGCGGCAAGAGGGCCGGCAGGGCCGACGAGGCCAACGGGCGAGTGCTGCCAAGAGCGAGGAGCCAAGACATGCAAGGCGGACGGAGGCGTCAAGCAAGACGCAAGCCAAGGACAGCATCACGCCACAGCCAGTGCGGATACCGACCACGGAGAAGGTTGGGGTCTGGAAGGAGGCAACGGCGCTGGCAAGTATCGGCGAGCGTTCGGCGAGCGTTCGGTGAGTGTTCGCAAGGACAAGATGTCCAGATCGATAGAGACTGACCAAGGCAGACAGAACCCAAGAGCCTCCAAAGCCCGAGGGCGGTGTATGAACCCAGGCAGGCGCCAGGGGGCGATGCGGCGCTGCGCACACAGCACAGCGCGCGGCGCAGCTGGGCCGGCATGGGGCGATGCAAGGCTCATGAGCAGGCATCAGCGACGTCCTTCTTGGGCGAGCCAGACCCAGACCATGCAATCTATTCCCGGCACGGCAGGAACGAGCGGGGGAGAGCCCAGAGTTCATCCCGCTCGATTTGCATGAGCGGCTCTGTGGCGAGCGAGCAGCACGATCCCGCTCCCAACAAGCGCGATGGCAGCCCACAACATCTATCCACGCATTCAAAGTCGTCAATGTTAGACCAATGCAAACGCCGGAGTCCCGTCGAGTTGGCAGCAGCGCAGCGAACGCAATATCCCACCTTGCTCTCGCGGTTCCGGGATTTGGCTTTCTCTTGAACGAGGTACTCTCGGATGCACTGGAGCTCAGCCTCCAGCTCAAGCATCCGATGGAGCAGATCGTTGTACTGTATCTCGCTGATTCGCGCGGGAGCATCGGGGCTTGTTGCGCTGTTCTGTCGACTCGACGGTCTGCTCCAGCTCGGTGCGGTGCTGACGGACTTTTCAGGCATCTCGACGATCGCTGTTCTCGCCCGGTGTCCAGTAGAGGGTGCCAGACGGGTCGTCGTGGTTGATGCAGAGCACAGCGGATAGAATGGTACCTGGCGTGAGAGTCCACGCCGCAGCGCACAGCCCAATGCTCACCAAGTTATGATGCAACCATCGCTTCTGGGCGAGGCAGTCAGTCGAGTCAAACTTACAGAAGGTCTCTGTTGACGGGTTCGACTGCAGTGTCATCTGCGATTGGCGGGTCCCTTCAACATCCTCGATCGCTTGTAAAGCCTCTGGGTGGTCCATATGTTGGTGCAGGATCTGGACTCACAGTGGCAATCACAATTCGTCGATGTTGGACATCAATAGCCATACGCTACACCCTGCGGCCAATATGAACGAGATTCCAGAACTACGCGCCCAGAGCGAGCTCGATCGGTAGGCGACTTGCTAGTCCCGTCGGTCCGTAGACATACCTCCAGCACAAAGGCAGTAAACTCTTCCTGGGCATTGGATTTCTTCAGGTCTCCAAGATTCCTCCAGGCTTTCCTGCATCTCGAGAAACCCGTCGTCTCAGTGCTTGTCTTTCCCCGCCATGACTGCCAAGACATTCTCAGTGCTATTTTGGATATTTTGCCCCCAACCCGTCAATCGCTATCAGCCTATGTCCCTGGTTTCTCCGCATGCAGCTGTAGCGTCCTGAGAGTGAAGCTTTCGCCACCCAACAAACATTGTGACGTATCGGCGATCAGCCTGTGCTGCCTCGACGGCCATTCCGTCTTCATGAGGTGCAGCTCGTCTTGGATCCGAGCAAGTTGTGCGGGATCTTCACTCACCATCGCTGCCGTCCTTGGTGATCCCATAACCATGGCTGGGGTTCGGTGCAGGGGCCATAGATCGATTGCTTGTAGAGCGCATAGAGCTACAGGCAGCGGAGATGAGGACACCGCATCTCGCTGCTCCAAGAGCCACCATGTTTTCTGTGCAGCCTCCATCAGCGGCGATGCTGCAGCTCCTGTTCGGACCCGCCTGTATCTTTGCCGAACATAGCCGTACCTGGAGCTCATTGTCGCGCCCGAGGCCGAAGATCGAGTTCCTTCCGGGTCTTGGCTCCACAAAGGCCTCGTACCATCCGACTGCCCGCTCGAATCGACCCTCATCGGCCTGTGGTGCTCTCATCCTGGCGACGTTCTTGCCTGGGTCTGGACAGCGCCTCTGCTGCCCTTCCTGTTGTGCTTGCTCCGCCTTTGCCAGTCTCGCCCAGCTCCGCCTGGCACATGCGAATGCCGCCATGAGCACGAGCGACGGATCATGTGAGAGTCATGCGACGACATCGATGCGCAGCCATCACGCCCGGTTTGTGCCTCTCCTGGTTTTGGCACTGTCTTGGGTCTGTCTCGGCCAGCCATCCAAGCGATCAAGGACCTTTCGCGGCAGACACCTCATCGACAGGCCCAACCAGCGACATGGATGCCACTCAGGTGCGTAGAGCAGCCGGCTCGGCGAGATCTGCTTGTGCATTTACTGACTCTCCCCATCCTCAGCCGCCGCAAGAGCCTGTTCGGGAGTGGGTGCTCGAAGCCGAGCAAGAGCTGCGACTCGAAATAGACTTCAAGCACACCGTCAAGATCAAGGTGGGTCGGTGCTCCTCGGCCAGCTGGGCACGGTATCGGCACACGCAAGCTCACACATAGGTTCACACTCATCGCCATTCGATTCTCGTCCTCCCTTCTCTTCTCCAGCTCAAGTCAGGAAGAGCAGAGCTCTTCGGCACGGAGCTGACTCTCGATCCTGAATATTTGTTCCGGGGACGCAAGCTGGCAATCTTTACATGGCACGGATGCACGCTCGATGTCAAGGGCCAGTGCAGCGGATACGTCGCTGGCGAGACACCCATGTACACTTATCTGAATACTCATCTGGCGCTGGCCCAGCTCTCGGCCGAGGCCAAGGCCCGCGACGAGATGGGGCCGCGAGTCCTCATCCTTGGGCCAACCGACGTCGGGAAGAGCACCCTGGCCAAGATTCTGCTCAACTACTCAACCAAGCAGAGCCTGAAGCCGCTCTTTGTCGATATTGATCCCAAGGAGGTGAGCCCAGGTGTCGCAGCGGCTGGGCGGTGGCATGAGCCGCCGTCTCTCCAAGCAGCAGCAACCTCTCCCGTATCGTCGAGCGCATTTGTCATGGCCCCAGATCAGGCTTCTTTCCACCATGATTTGCATTGCGATTTCCGTTGTGTCTTCCATCGCACTTCGAACTCGGATACTTGCACAGGCTTCTCCGCGTCCTAATGCAGAGCAATAATCTCGTCGACCATTTCCACGGCATTGTCCTCCTTGGCGGACATAGGGCACCGTCGCTGTTCCAGGAGCGCTTTCGACCATTGCTATTGCCCGTATGATTGATGCCGAGGATGATTTCGGCGCCAGCCCAACCATCACCAACAGTACGCCTTATGTGCTCTACTACGGACAAACGAGCCCCACCGAGAAGCCGATCTGGTACAAAACGCTCCTGTCGAATCTCGCGGCTGTTGTCTCCAAGAAAACCGAGATCGATCCCGAAGGTGAGCAGAGGCAGCGCACTGGCAAAACAGCGCTCGCTTACTATTTGGCAGCATTACGTTGCGACGATGCAGATCGGTGCACTATCGCATATCTGGCCAAGCCATGACACGCTGACTTTGATGCCCCGTCAGCACAGTTCGATCATCGGGAATCATCATCGACTCTCCATCACAGTTTGTGGAATCGGGCGGCAGGGATCTCCTTATGCACACAATCACCGAGTTCAAAGGTGTGTGCCATCGACGATACTTATCGCGGGCCATTGCCGCTGCCAGTGGGCTTGCTAGTTGCCGACCGGAGGCTCGGCGAAGGTCTCGACCAAAGAGGGTGACTGCAGCGAGGAAATCCCTTCGCTATGTGCCGAAGTGGGATACTCAACAAGCAACTGCCTTGCATCACTGATATTTGACTCGGATCTCCCCATCGATTGCCACTGCAGTCAATGTCATTCTGGTGATAGGACACGAACGAATGTACAGCGACCTCAAGCAAGAGTTCAATGACAACAGCGGGATCTCGATCATCAAGCTGCACAAATCCGGCGGCGTTGTGAATCGCGACGACACATTCCGCAAGCAGAGTCAATCGCAAAAGATTAGCGAATACTTTTATGGCACACCCAAGCTCGAGCACAGCCCGTACTCGTGCAGCGTCAACTACGCAGACATCACCATCCGACAGGTTGGCGAAGGAACTCTGGCGCCGTCGTCGGCCTTGCCTCTGGGCGCGCAGCGCAAAGTGGCCGAGACCAGGATGGTCAAGATCGATCCCGGCGAGATACTGTTGCACTCGATCATGGCCGTTTCGAACGTGCCGGTGGATCCAGACGCGGCCCTGTCTGTGGACGAAGAGAGTCGCAACATTGCAAAGACTCCCCTTGCTGGGTTCGTTTATGTGTAAGTTACATCCACGACTGGGATTCTGTCGAGTGCAATCGACATCATTTGCCGAGCCAGTGGGCAGCACGGCACATTGACTGCGCCGATTCACCATCAACTCTACTCCGGATTAGGTCTGAGGTTGACGAAGTGCGCAAGAAGCTCACGGTTTTGGCCCCCATGCCTGGACGACTGCCGAAAAAGTACTTTGTGCTTGGGTCACTGAAGTGGATCGAGATCTAGCGCAAGTGGTAGGCCAGCCCGGCTGGTGGCATCAAGCGATCGAGCTCCAGAGGGCTGTATTAATGCACACCTGGCGCTCGCTCCGAGAATACAATCTGCACCCGCTGTATATTCCGATCATGGGACGCCCTGCTCCCTGGATGCGCTCTGTCGACTTGCCCATTCTTGCAATTGGCGCGCAGCACGGTGCTCGCACGTTGGTGTCACATGCTGCGGCCACATGACTGCTCGTGGTCGCGTTGGCCTGGCTGCGTTTTTTCGTTTTTGGATCTGCTCTGTCCAAAACCGCATCGTCACCGCCCAACAGCCAGAGCACCCAGCGCCAGCCGCCGCTCACGAAAAAGCACAAGCTGCCATGGGTAAGCAGCCCCCGGGCTATGCGCCGGCGACAGCGTCTCTGGATGCACGGGCCAGTGGGGCGGGAGTGTCGTTTTCCGGGCAACCAACGGGATGCTGGACTCGTTATCAATCAGTAATCGAGGATCAGCAGCCGTGGAACGGATCCGATGGCCAGAACAAACCCGAGGAGCCTAGCCTGCCTCTCGCAGGACTCGACTCATACGCTTGGATGAGCAGGGATATGGAATTGAGTCGTCCTGTCCGCACTGGGCGGCCTTGGCGTGCTCGGCCTGGACGGCATCCTTGCGCGAACGAACTTGGGCCATACTGTTCGCCGTTCTAGCGGCCATCGCTCCAACGATCCTGCGGATAGAGCGCCCGTGTCACCATCCGAGGACACTGCCATGTCGCTGACGCTTTATCGATCCACTCCACAAACTGTCGGACTTTGGTGGGATCGCCTCCCGGAACCACTGCTGTAACTATACGGATCCTTGTGGCCGACAGATTGGTCTGGAATGACAAACGCCGAAAAGGCGCACATGCAGTCTCTGATGGAGAAGAAGCAAGTACGTATGCTTGCCGGGCCTCATCCGTTGTAAAGACGACATTCTGCGCTCGAGGGCAGCGGCCACGAGTTCTCGCTGTCGAAGCGCCCAAGCCGTGGCCTTTGATCCCTCTGACCTGGTCCGTGTGCTTCAAACTGCGCTGGCAGATGCAAGACTTTATGCGCCTGTACTCCAGACTCGTCGATCGGTGTTTCAACGACTGCATCAATGACTTCACGTCCAAGGCTCTGGGCAGCAAGGAGGTGGGTTGCCATTACGTCTCGTTTTTGTGCAAGAGACACATTCATCCGGCTATGAGTACGAGCTCGTCGCAGCTCCTGCCGCTGGAACAGGACGAGAGGAGCCCCGACAGACAACCCCCCCCCGATGCGTTCGCCTAATTCGCATATCTATATCCCCTGCCACGTATGGCGACCATTTGCCATCTGGAATACAATAGCAAAGCTGCCTGAGCAAGTGCACCGAAAAGTTCATGAAGCACTCTGAGCGAGTTGGTCTGCGATTCGGCGAGCTCAACCAGATGATGCAACAGCAGCAGCAGTAATACAACCCTTCAAGAAACAGCGAAGCGTGTCTTTTGATCCAGAATACATCGCACGCATTTGGGCGATGTTCATCAATGACGGAGGGCTCGTTGTCGCTGGCGGCACTGTTCTGGCGGTCGTCAACGGCACGTTGGACTTGAGAAGCCCTTCGGCCGAGGTCGTGGATGGGCTGGCATGATTGCTCCATATCGCAATGCACCGGACACGCCGTCTGGACATTGAGATCGGCGGATTCCAATATTGGAGACAGGGACTGGGATATGTGCACTCGGTTTTGAGATCGGGACTCGTGTCCTCGGACCGGGAGCACTGACTCGCTTGACAAGCGCTGATCATACAGCTGGGTCGCGGCCGGCGCGAAGCAGACTGTGATGTAGGCATTTCATCCAAAGGCGACGCCCGACCGCCCTCTCTGCCTATGCGCTGCCCTCAGCATCCTATGTGTGGGCATCGTCGGGTTCGCTGTTGATGGCATCGCCAGCCAGCGTGGCCGAAACCCGGGACAGATGGCCGTCAAAATGAATTTCATTTGCTGTCGCGCCTCCAGCGCGAAAAAACGCAGACCCACAACCGCCTGTTCCTCTCCTCTGCTTGACCGAGGCTGTCCCTTGCCCAGATACACCCCAGTCCCCGATCGATTCCTGTCCCAAGCAAGCACAATGGTAGGCGGCCGCCGCTGACGCAGCCCGGAGAGGCAGATACGCTCAAAGCGATGCACGATGATCTGATACCGCGAGCCCCGGGCTGGTGGTGTCGAGCAACTTTGGTGATGGAAAAGGCAGCCGGGAGCGTCCGGCAGACCATTCCATTGCCCTGTCGACGGCCAGAGCCATGCGATACGATTCCGCGCCAAACGAGACGAAAGAATCCCTCGACTTGGGTCTCCAGGGCGGCGCGAGGCGCACAACGAGTTGTCGATCCAACCGACAATCCTCTGGGGCGGCCTGGATCACTGAGAGCCGTGCTTCAAACTGGCTGAATCCTGGGCCGCTGCCTCGTACACAGCCCGGCCACTTACAGAGGCGGATCGGTGACCTGCCCCCTCATAGCAGGGAATCCAAGACGGCCCTTGATATCGCTGGAACGGCGTACACTCGACTCGTGCGTGTCTTGTCTGGCCGACCCCTGACGTCTTCCCTTCCTCCATGACCCTCCCGCCTCGTCGATCGGCTCGTCGTCGTTTTCGCTACGAAACAACCTTTCGTTGCTCCGCCATCAACTTGCTGGACCGAAATTGACCACCTCGCAGGGTGGCGGCGGCAAATATCCTTTCCCTCAATGGGTCTGGTGGGTATCGGCCCTGGCTTGTTGCCTGCTCGACATGGCAATATCACAAGCCCGCAGCTTGCTTCTATCAAAGATCCCAGTATGGAGAGGATTCCGTGTACCCGCACGGTACTGACTCAAATCATTATGATATCCGTCCAGGTCCTACTCCGGCGGCTGGTGGGGCCTGCCCAAGCAATGGAAGTCTAACAGTGTCATCACAGCGACCGCCATGGTTGCTGCTACTGGTGTTGTTTTCAACTTCTCGGCTGGCCGTGAGGTATTTGCCCGGTGCCCGCTCTCCCTTTTGGCTGCAGACAGTCTCGCGCCGCCTTTGTCCTGCCCGGCCTTTCACCGATTGACGAGACTGCTCACAGCTGCTCTCCGGCAATATGTGTTGTCTTTGTAGATTCGCCATCACTATCCTGAGAAGTGGATCCCTTCGATGCTCTGGTCCCGAGACTTCCATGTACGTGAGCGATCAATTTGTGCCGCGTGGTGAAGCATTGCTTGCTTTGGTGCTGCATCATTGTCTGTGAGCGATGTGAAGCAAGTCCTTGGAGGTAGAGGACCCGCCTCGTCCTATATTGCGTCGCGATGCATAAACTCAACTTGTATCCAATCCGCAGGATCCCGAGTTTGTTGCTGTCTGGAAGAAGCAGCTGGAGAAGGAGGGACGAGAATGGATTGAGCCCATCCCAGGTGAGGATTTGTCAACTTTCAGTGTGGGGCCAAGTCAGGCTGACTCCCAGTGTCTTGCAGCGACATCTTTGCTGGCGATGGACCTCTGACTTGTCCCTCCTGCCTTACAGACTGGTGGCCGTTCAAAAAGTCCGCAAAGAGCACCCAAGCTTAGATGTGTGGACTCGCTACGAATGTGCAAAGCGCATTGATATAATACACCGATACAGCTGCTCCGGACACAAGCCTGAATACCGGTGCACTGAGCGTCTCTGCCAGTTCACATCCGCTGAATGGACATCACGAGCCCCGCGTGCCTCGTTCCCCTGTCTCCTGACTTGGATACGTCGGATCCGGCTCGAGGCTTTCGCAGGCGACGGGTGAAGTAATGGTCTCGCCCACAGACGGAGGAGCCTCCGCTCCAGCGATCGTAACGTCGGCATGAGGCTCTGCTGGGAACGAAAGAGGGAAGGCCACGGCCGCGGCCGACTTTATGCATCGCTCGCATTTTGAAACGGGACACCCTGCTTTGAGCCAGGACTGTTTTCTGGGACCTGAGTACACACCCGCTCATCACAACCCCAACCACAGTGCTCTCTGTGCCCCTGCACTGCGATGCTTCACCAACTTCGATGTGTCCCAGGGCACCATGGCCGTCGTATCCACGGTGATTGTAGAGACCGGAGAGCGGCCAGAGATCTTCACTCGGACGCTCTATTTATTGCATGTGGCTTTGCTAGACCCACTCATCTCATAGTACGCTGATATGCGGGAAAAGGGCGTCCAACCCCTGAATAAAACGTAAGCGTGCCACGAGTGTATTTGGGGCTGAGGAGCCGTTGCTGAAGTCCCCCTGGAAGTACGTGCTGTTCTGCGCCACACTGTCTGGGCCGGCGTGATATTCGCCTGGCCGGCATTGGGCTGCCTGCAGTTGCCCAGCTTCTTCCTCCCAACACAGATCCAAGCAAGGTGTCTCAAATCAGCGACAGAGGCTTGCACCAGCAGGCTCCCCTCCAGGGGGTGGTGCCTAACGTCGGCCCAAGAAACAGCAGACGGGCGCAGAATAAACAAAAATGCTGCTGGATGGCATCGTGAAGTCGCGGCCTGGTGCTTGTCGCTGGGCCCGAGGACGGCTGCTGAACGATGTGGAGCGTTCCTCATAGAAGTGAAGCTGCCGGTATCTTGTCCCGTCCTCACAGAGCTTCAAGCTTCAAATTTTTTACTCTGTGCTTTCCCGCAGCATCGGGGCTGCCGTGGATGCTCAGAGGAAGACGACATTGAAAAGGTGCGCCAGGATCGAGGCCCATTTGGAGAGCTTGCGGACGACCAGCGAGCTCGTGAAGCGGACCCACCATCGCCGCAGTATTCGTCCCTGCAGCGACTCGTCCGCAAACGATACACTCTTGCGCTTGCGCTCAGACCCTCCGGCAGCTTGTGTTAAGTTGCGTGTCGTGGCATCGACCGAGTCGCTGCTGCCAAAGTTCATGACGCACGAGGCGTTGTGGTCGCTGAGCCTGAGGATGCTGTGGCTACTCGATCTCCTGGCAACATCTGCCATAACACCCGGCGCTTCCGAGGATTTCAAATCAAGCTCGACCTCGTCGTTCAGGGTCTTGTGCATCATTGCGTGTGGGACGCATCTGGAGCTGGACCAGACCGGGATGGTTGGATACTCGAGCCAATAGTTCGACAGAATGAGAGTCAATCTTGGCAGATGGAAGCTAACTGCGGCCCGATGGACAGCGAGGTTGCATCTGCCGACGATCTCCGATGCTGCGAGCTTTTGAGATTGGGACCCCTGCATTCAATGAGCGTCTGCATATGACAGGCGTTGGGGGCAAACAAGCAGTGTTCAAAAGGCAGGCCGCTGTCGTGTGCATCCACAAGCCCAGCTTGTCAACAGAAACAAACGAAAGGCACAGGCTGGCGCCCGAGGGACAGATCCGAAGGGGAAATGGATGCTGGACTCCCTCCGAAGAGAGCGCTGGAAAAATCGAGCAAGCCAACCGCCGGGCTCGTGCTCAGATGCTTGCCAAAGAGCCCAGGAAGGTTCTGGATCGCTGCTGGTCGGGGTAGTCGCCGCATCTGGATTGGGGCTCGATATGCGCATGGCTGATCGTCCAACCGCCAAAGCCCTGCAGCAACACGGCCAGTCCGGGCGGAGAGCAGCAAGGCATGGCCAAATGCCTGCAACGGAGAAGCTGTCGCTGGGCAAAGTGCGCAGGCCGCACGGATCAGGACAGGGCATGCGGATCGGCGAGGGCGCTGGCGAGGATGTGTATTCAACAAACAGACGAACGAGGCCCGGCGAGAGGTCCCACGCTGCAATCTGACGACCAGTGTTTGTTGATGGGCTGGAGCAAGCATCCACAAAACGTCAAGCCGTTTGGGCTGGATCCATTGGATACTTTGTTGACATCTGAACAGTCCTGCAGCGGCCAAACACATCGCTCGAGGCCAAGTCCCAGTCGCCGTGGAATAGCGAGAGCATTGCAGTAGGGTGGCATGAATGCGGCGATTTGTGCGGAACGAGCCGAAGCACTGTGTGGTTGCATTCTTTCTCGCTGCTGCTGTGGGTGTGGGAAGCACAGCCTTGAGATACATCGTACATTCGACCATCTGGACAGCTTCGTGCAAAGTAAGGCGTTTCGCCGCAAAGGTGGTCGGGTTGGACGAGCCGCTTGGATTCCATGTGGGTCTTGAGCATCTCTGGTGACGGCGGGGTTGTACCCACGACACACAAAAGGGGGCTCGAAACGAGTACCCCGTTTCAAAGTGGCTGTGGGATTTAGTCGTTGGTCAGCATCCTCTTGACAGCCGACGAAGCCAGCACCATCGACATCGACTCAGCGCCCGGGCTTCTCGCACGCCTCGTCGACCAGTCCCCGGGTTCGTCCTCGAAAGATCGAGCGGATTCGCCCATGGACAGGTCGTCCGGGTGTTTGCTGTCCAGGCTGTAACGGCGATCCGCGCCAGACGATGATGGTTCGGTGCGCTGGGCATAGTCTCGCGACAGCCGCTTCTGATTCATCAGGAACTGGTTTCTGCGGTGGCTCTTGCTGATCTCAAGCTTCTTTGTGGCATATCGCTCCAGCAGCTCCTGGACGTTGGGCCGAGCATCAGGATCTCGCTGCATCAGCTGAGCGATCAGGGCCTCGAGCTCTGGTGTCACCCGCTGGCGATCGAGATGGGGGAAGTGCAGCGGATGCAGTTCCGATGGAAAATCGAGGATTTCCTTGCGGAGCTCGTCGACGTCTTCGATCTGCGTGTACGGCACCGCGGAGTAGCACAGGTAGTAGAGGACCACCCCGAGCGACCACAGATCGGCCTTGGGCGAGTGGTTGGGCAGATAGCTTCCGTGCTCATCGCGCTGGAGCAGTTCCTAGAGAGGGACAGATATCCAGCGGCATTTACCCGTGAGTGCGCATTCCGAGTCATGCACTGCAGGGAGCTCGTGGCGCTGCCCTATATAGAGCGCCACATAACGAGCATCGTCGGAATCGAATCTCCTTCGCAGAGCCGGTAGCTCACCGGAGGCATAAATTCAAGGGTCCCTGTCGCGCCTGTGCGGGCTCTCGCCGATTGATCCGAGATCACTTCACACTCTCCAAAGTCAGAGAGTAGGATCGTGGGACTTGAGCACCGCGCCCAGCACGTAGAACCGAATTGCATCCGATAGAGCATGCAGAGCGATCAGTACATCTGACATTGCTCGCGGGCAAATATGCACAACATGAATGAACAAGCTCACATTTCGTCCTGGTTGGTTTGGTCTATCCAGTGTAGAAGCAAATTTGGCGGTTTCTGCGAATCAAGACAAGTGGGCCATCAGTAAAACTCCGCTGCATGTTTGCAGATCCTGACATACTCGTGCAGATCCTGACATACCCATGCAGATCCTTGCATATTCATGCAGGTCGCAAGAGATGTCATGTCTTCTCAACCGCAACGTACCAGATCGCGATGGATGATTCCGTGTTTGTGAAGGTGGCTCAAGCCTTCGCAAATGTCCAGGAACATACTCCAGATCTCATAGCTTTTGAGATAGCGCACTTTCTTGCCCTCCAAACCAAATCCGATCCCGCCTTCGATACGTTCCTTGATCGAGGGTTTGTTTTGGGCTTTGTGCATTTCCTGGAAGGCGCGAAGCCGCTTGAGTCGCTGCATGCGCTCTTTGGCACTGAGATTGCTCAAATCGCTGACGCTTTCCGGAGACCACTGGATATTGATGTACTCCTCAAGGTTTCCACCGTTGGCGAGCTCCATGAGGATGAACAGACATGGCACTTCGGGGCCGAATGTCGTCAGCTGCCTATTTTCCAGCCAAGCGTGCTGCACAAGGGCTCGAGTCAGTCGACAGAATCCGCAGTGCAAACTGAGGAGTGGTCGCTCGTCACGCTAAGCATGTCCAAAGAATTTGCTGGAGCGTCGCTGAGTCAAGGCGATCCAAAATCTTCGTGTTGTCTTCTCTCTGCTGCCAATGCCCTGCAGTGTCTACCTTGTATTCGATGATGTTGGGATGGCGCAGCTTCTGAAGCAGGTGGACTTCGCGTAGCATCCCAACGAGCCAGGAATGCGACCGACCAACAGGTATCGTTTTGACAGCATACTCGCCCAAAAGAACCTGATCGAGCATCTGCAAGAGGATGTCGAAAGCGTGTGTCGGATCAAACCTGGTCCATCTCGCAATGAATCGCCCGGTACAATCTGGCGACGGTACGGACGATCATGGCTTTGAGCTTACATGTTGACAGAGGAAGACGCTGCCACGAAGACCTCGGCCAAGCTTCTTCTGTTCGACAAAGAAGCGGTCGTAGTAGCCCTGGTTGAAGCTCTTGGAGTTGAGGGAGGGCTCGGCTCCGTGGTGGGAGGAGCTCGGATCCGGTCTTGCCATCGGGGATGCACTCCGCGAGCGAATCTGTCCTTGTTCGCTGGCCTGTGGACTCTCTATTACAAAGTCCTCCGCCATGGCATCGTCAAAGCCAGGGGGATCATCGGCGGAGGGAAACGGAGACGATCCTGCGATACTCATGGTGTCGCTTATCATATTAGGCGGCAGGGACGCGATAAATCGGGTCAGCTTCTGCTCTGTCGAGCCCACATTATGAGCATGAGCCCTGCCGAGATCCAGACAAAGCGTCAGTTTGCTCGCAGGGGACGATTCCTACCTTTGAGAGGCGCACTCCAGCAGCCGAAAGTAGTCGCGATCGATGAATTCGTCGTGCTCGGTCGCGAACAAGTAGTCGGAGGAGTCGGGCGCAGACGACGACGGGTTGAAGCTGTTTGGGATGCGCTGGTGGCACAGTGGGCACATGCGGTTCTGGGTCTGGTGGAAGGTCTGGGACAGCAGAGACAAGATCAGAGATGGCCCAACAGCAACGCCAAGCAGAGTCATCACCCAGAGCACGGTTGCTTGGACATGTTTGCTCGCGAGTGACGCAGAAGGCTCCGTACCAAGCGATTTCGCCGGCTTGACTGGGTGGTCTTGACGACGACTTGCTGCTGATGGGGATCGTAAAGGACGAGCTGCCCTTGATCGGGTCGTCGCAGGATAACAACCCATTCGAGCGATGGCGTCGTATCCTGTATGTCGTCTGCTGCCCCTCCATCAAAGGTTGGGCCGGATGCCCGAGTGCCTGATATTGCAATCGCAGACTCTGGCTGGATATCTGAGGGACAAAGCCCGCTGGACGGTTGATCTGCTGCGGTGGGATGGCCGGCTGGTCTTGTCACCGGGGTTTCGTCTGCATCAACCTTGGAGAAAGGGTCTGTTCGGTCATGGCGATGGGGGCTGAATGAGGGACTGAGCGACGGCAAGTACCCACGCTGGGGAAGAACATATGCCGTCGATGGCCCGGGCGCACTGGTGGAGGGCTCTGCGTTTATGTCAGATGGGCGCATTGGATCCGATGGAAGGCGATGGTTGTCCAGGGTGCTGACGGAAGATCGGCGCAAGTTGCCGACATGGCCGTTGCTGCGGAGCCGAGGTCGGGCAGAGATCTTCTCGGTCTCGGTCTCGGTCTCGGTCTCGGTCTCGGTCTCGGTCTCGGTCTCGGTCTCGGTCTCGGCGAGGCGAGACGCTGGACAGAGACAAGTCGCCATTGACCCTGGTTGGTTGTTGGCTGCATCTGCAGTGATATGCGATACCACCTCATGCTTGGCTCGATGGCCTCGGCCCACGGCCCGGGATCTTGGCCAAAATCGTTTATTATCGATGACCTACCGAAGCAGCGTCTCAAAGCCACCCAGTCACTGAGCACGGACTATCTCGGTTCTATGTGGGTATGGTCGGTCCAGAAAACCGGGGCAGTTCTTTCCTGGCTTCAGATGTCTGAACACCGCTGACTGACTGTAGGCCCAGCGGGCAAGCCGTGAGATTGCACTCCTGTCTTCGTTGGCAATCTCTTTGTTTTGGTTGGTTTCGGGAGCACAGACTTGAATACACTCGGTCGATCTCCTGTGGCGATGATCGACTGGCATACCGAGATCATGTTCCTGGCTGCATTGATGTCTCGATCCCACAGCGTATGGCAGCTTGCACAGCTCCGGACAAAGTGTGGTTTCTCGATATCAAGATGGTGCTGTGCTTGGCCATGAATGCGATGAGTGGGTGGGTGTATTCAGGTTCCAGAAAAAACAACTGTCCTGGTTAAAAACGGGGTGTCCCATTTCATTCTGGAAACGCTGTAAAGTACTATATGCAACCAGTCGAGTCGAGTGGATTGACATGCATCATTGAGAGCGATGATGCGCGGCCCTGGACATTGGCATATTACCAACAAACTGCGCCCGTACCCAAACGTACCAGACAGTCCGTCAAGGCAGGCTGTAATTTATCAAGCATCTGCGACGAGACAGGGCCAAAACGCCTCTATAGATGGCGAGTGATCTGTGTGGGGAGCCGATACTCTCAACGCACTGGCTGGAGGCCATGCTTGACCAGGAAAGCACTGATTTCGGCGGCTGCGTCGACAGAGAGTTCGTCCAGTGGCACCACCGGTGCTGCGAACACGTTGGAGAACGAATCGACCAGCGGCTGCACAACGTCGGCGATGCCGACATCTACAACGATTGGCGGAGAGAAGAAGTTGGAGCAGTATTTTTCGACTCAGTGTCTAGTTCGAAGCGATGCATACACCGATCCTGGCTGTGCGGGAATAGGTGGTCAAATTGCTCCAGCTCCGTACCTTTGGTTTTGATGTTCATGCTCCGGAGCTCTTGAGAGAGCGATGTGATTTTCTTGTCAGGCAGTCCACATGGAACGATGTGGTCAAACCATCGGAGGTCTGTGTCGCAGTTGAGTGCAAATCCATGTGCTGTAATGTGCCGTTTCACATGAATTCCTGAGCGGTAGGGGGCGTCAAAGAGAGGTCAGACCGGATGTAATCGACAGAGATCGACGCTGCTGAGAAGCCTCGGCCACTCCACTACCCGAGGTAGTTATTGATCGGATCAGAACAGCGTCTGAGGGGACGCAGCTGCCTGCGTACCGATTGCTGCGATTTTGCGGTCTTGAATCCAGACGCCTGTATCCTGTGTCGTTGTTGCGTTGATGCCGAACTTGGCGCAAGTCTGGATAAGGGTATTTTCGATGTTTGACACATACGATCGGACTCCGATCTGGGCAGGGCGAGGAGTAAGCCTTGATGAGTGCCTCGATTCGAGTGTGCGGGCCTTGAGTGCATCCTGGTTCGTGTCGCCTCCCCCGCCACTGCTATGAGGCTGCACTCACTTCGTGCGCCTGGAGATTGAGAATCGGATATCCGACGAGCTGTCCGGGACCGTGAAATGTTGTCTGGCCCCCTCGCAGTGTCTGAAAGGCAACGGCGAGACAGCATGAGCGCCTTGACGCAGCCACAGCATTGAGATTGCAGCGAGCCTGAGAACGCCATGATCCCTTCGGAGCAGCCAACTGAGTCGCTCGGTCATCGAGCAGGGCGGGCGGGCGGACGTTCGCGACGGCGTCACCTCAAAGTATTCTGCCCCAAGGGCCTGGAGCCGTGGCCCCTCGGAATCGGTGGTTCCCTTGATGCGCCGACCGGCGGTGTATGTCGGAGGGTGCTCCACCAGAAGCAGGACATTGGTGTGGATCGGCGACTTGGATTCGGGATGCGATATGTGCCGGTGATAGAGATTGACGATATGCTGCTGCAGGGCCTGCGACACCGAGTACGGAAGGAGATACGGGATGCGCACGTATCCGATGGCCCTGTTCGCGGCAGCACCGGCAGCCGAGCGGGCCCGACCAGCCGTCATTGGAAAGCGAGGACCGCTGATGGAGGCGAAGCGTTTCGGCACTTGAATTGGCCGGGTCTGGGTCTGGGCTGCCTCTGCGCCGTGTCGGGCCGGATGACGGGATGCAGGCTGGACGGCTTGCCGATGGCAAGAGTTGCAGGACAGGACAGGACGGGACAGAACAGGATAGAACAGGATAGAACAGGACAAGAGAGAGCGTCCTTGCGTCTTGCCCCGGCCCTGGCTTGCTCGTTGCCTTGCGTCTTTGCGGGCCTGCATGGCTGCGCACGGCCACGGCCCAAAACCACCCGGCCTGCCCTGCTCTGAGCAGCTATACCAGAAGGATGCCGTCGTTCATAGAGTTTGCAGAAGAGCCCCAAATATACCTCGAAGAGTTCCTGGCCGGTAAGGCGCTGGCTGCTCGGTTGCGGGACAAGTGGGGCGGTGGCAGCCACTTTGCATTTATTTTGTGAGAATCGTCGTCCAGCCCGGCCGTCGGCGATGGCGATTGCATTCGAGGGATGGATACTGGGTCTTGCGGGCTCCTGGCGCTGACCAGAGCAGTCTGGCCAGAACGGGTGCTCGGCAGCCACCCATATATCCTCTAGGCGTTGTATAATGCACGCCTCGACTCATGTGAGAGTCCCTGACGTACGGGAGCGAGCCGGACGATTGCCTTGGGCGATGTCGGCATTCAGATCTGGTGTTCCGGGCTTGCCCTTTCGCTGGAAACACTTACTGCCTCACGCCGTCCCCGCCTCGCACCCCTCTGCATCGATTATGAAATCTGGGGAAACCCCCCGTATTCCTTGTGATGGAGTGGTTTACCCATCATTGTGTGCTCCCACAATCTCGATAAACGCACAGATATTGAAAGCCTGGCACCCGAGGTCAAGAAGAGTTTTGCCGAGCTGAGGGATATCGACGACGAGGTCCAGGACATCATCGCCAGGGTATCTACGATACAGCACCAGCTGAAGCATGCCGGCGATCCACTCGAGCCCTCGAAGCGGCCAGGCCGGGAACAGAGCATGTTGGGGTCCATCGAAAACGGATACAAGCAAGCCGAGGAGCTGATAGATCACAAAGTCGAGCTGGTCGACAAGAATCTGGCAATGGTGGGTAGAGGCAGCGGCCACCGGCAGGCCACCGGCAGGCCACCGAGTCTGGGTCCAAGTGCGCTCAAGTGTTTTTTATTTGATGGAACTTGCACAGGGGCGAGCAGAGTGGTTCGCAGCCCGTTCGAGTCGTTGCATTTCGGCCTGGATCGGCCACGGCGTTGAGCTTCACGCCGGTTGTGTTGTTGTGGCTGCCAGATTCTCACCATCTTCCCTGCATTCACCCGCACCTCGCCAACTAACTCTGCCCATGTCGGCCGAAATTCCCGCGAATCTCATCCACTTGGCAAACGTGGGCCCGACTACAGCTGGACCAGTTCCTGAAAAAACTCGATGCCGACCTGCAGAAGATGGGGGCACATGCGGCCGCTCAGGCCGAAGCCATCAAGGAGGCCGCTCTCGTCCAAGCACTCCAAGAGGAAGCTGACCATCTTTCTGGTAGGACTGTGATCTGCACAGACTCTGCACATGCTCTAGCCATGCGGCCAGACATGGAATGCTGTTTCTCTTCCTTGAATTGTGCTAATCGATGACGGATTGTGCTAATCGCTGGTGCGGTCTCAAATTGTTTGCGGTGACTCTTCCGACCATGCGCACGGATGACGGCCTTGATTACATGGACCTTACTTGGGATCGCTGCGATGTTCGATAGTCTCGGATAGGGACAAGTTCAAAACACCATCGCGGCCGAGCTCCAGTCGCAGCCGGCGAGCTCAGCCTTCATTACCCCGCAGCCATTCGCCGGTGCAGCGTCCCTCTCTGAAACGGTACTGTGGGAGACTGACCATTGATGATGCCTGAGCCATCAAGGGCACGGCCAACATCCATACCACACTCATTCCATCACTGATACTCTGGGCGGCTTCCACTGCTTACATCGCTGCCATCGCTCGCCATTTGTCTTCCAGAGTACGGACACCAAGCCAGGATGACGAAGATGACGACGACAATGCAGACTCGGAGCAGCTCTACTGCTTCTGCAAACAAGTATGGCCACGCATTGCAAACACCGTGTCTCTGTACTGAATCGAGGTGGTCCAGAAGTCCCTGCCTGACCTCGGAACTGGTCCACGCAGCAGCTAATGGCTTTGCATTGCATTGCATTGCATTTTAGGTCAGCTATGGCGATATGATCGGCTGTGACTCGCAGGTGAGCTTGTGGCCGAGTTGTCGATGAACGCTGATTCGCCAGAGGAGGAACTGGCGATGGAGAGGCTGATAACGCACGAGCACTCGCATGAGCAGTCGCATGAGCAGTCGCACGAGCACTCGCATGAGCACTCGCATGAGCACTCGCATGGTGTCCATTGCCATGCGTGGGTTTCTAACGCACACCCTATCACAGACCTGCGATGTCGAGTGGTTTCACCTGGACTGTGTGGGTCTGAGCGAGCCACCGTCAGGGGAGTGGTATTGTCCGAGATGCATCGAAAAGAGCACCCGGAAGCGGAGCCGAAGTCACCACTGATTCTTTTGGTCGATACGGCGTTGTTTGGGTGGGAGCCCTTACTTCCTCAGTTTTTGGGTCTTTTTGTTTTGGTGCTTGCGTTACTTCGAGCATGATGATCACACTCCCTCCGCCATGTGGTTTTCGTCCCTCGCTTCGCTTTACTTCACGGAGTGCGACTGCTCTCCCTGTTCCCCACATTCTCAGCCCCCACCCCCATTTCACCTCGCTTCGCTCTCTGGTCAGTGCTTTTCATCTTTCAATCATTCGCTTTTATGTACTGCCATTTGCACATTCCACGCGAATCGGTTCAGTAGCCCCAATGTACAGCAGCGCACCAACACGCATTCAAGCCAGTATCGCCGATGTTGCTATAAAGTGGAACCCGGAGCATTGTGAGACGTGCGTGATTCCCCCGTGCTGATGGCGGTTGGTTGGATGGCTGGCCACCGTTTGCAGCGGGTTTGGATCATTGACACCTTTCATGTCGTGTTGCGACGAGATGAGAGACAATCTTACAGAGTTGTCGCATTGCCTCGTAGCAATGCTCGAGTCAAGGACTCGGCAAAGAGCAACAGCCAACCATATATTGAGTTTACGGCAGCAACGGATTCAACGGTAACGGATTCAACATCAACGGGTCCAAGCTTAAACTCTGCATTATGCACTCAGATATCTTCATCGGATCGAGTGGCACTACCGCTTGGCTCGCTCACGGATGGATGTGAAAGCCGTGTCTAGACGCACGAGCCTTGCACGATGCCATAGGCTCCTCGGCTTTCAAGATTAGCTGTTGATCCTGGCCACTTATGTCACGATTCACATTGTGGCGACAGCCGCCCATGCGAGAGCAGTGGTGCATTACTACGGAGGAATAGTATGTGGTGTGGTTGCAGCACGGAGGCGCCGCATCGACGGGAGCAATCAGTGGTCACCAGGACCAAACCACCCTAATACAAGATTGCCGATTCCAGACCGACAATGGCAGCGGTGGCGATGAGTTGGTCGCGCACATATCCGCAGTCGCTTGCGGAATAAGCCCTTGGGCATTGATTGTCAAGGATTTTGTCTTTGCGGAGATTCTTGTGCGTGCAATACCGCCCACTCGATCCACTCTTTCCGGATGGCACCGTCGAATCACACCAAATCTTTGTCCAGGAAGAACGACTCGTGGTTGAAATGCAGGACCTGGTTGCCCCACGAGGTCCATCCCGGATAGAGATTGCGGGCAAAGAGCTCCAGACACCGAGGTGACTCGGGGAGGAATTGGTGGAACAAATCTACATTTGATCGCAAGGGACAGAGGAAAGAGACAGACGTATCGTCAGTGAAGAGTGTGGATTGGCCTTTGGCCGCGCCATTCTGTAGTGCTATGCTCGATGAATGACTCAGCCCCCACGAGCTCTCACGGAGCTTTACCATTCATCAAGGGCTTCTTTGAGTGGTATTGTCCGGGTACGCTGCAGATGACCCTGGTAGGTGGAAGAGCGGGATAGTCGATTGCGGCGTCTGATCCACGCACCCGTCCTATGATCAAACGCTCATAGGGCTTGCGGTGAAGACTGTGCGATCGAGTCATGTCAGTCTTCTGGCGCTTGCTGGCATGTGGCTATCACCGCCGGGGCTATCAGTTGAATCCCATGCCTCTGTTGGTTGCGTGGTTGAGCTCTGCGGCCAACTCACTCCGACACACGTCTTTAGGACCACCGGGCTCGCTTCGTACCTTTCCATGCTGACGACGCACTCGCAGGAATTGGTGACCTTGACCCAGTACCAGCATGCAACCGGAGTAGCGCCCCAGTCAGGCAGCAGCTTCTCTTGCACGAATCGAATGAGCTTTGGTCTGTTCGTCACCCAGACAGCAATCAAGGCTCCGGGGTTTGCAATCCTTTTGACAGGGAGCTGAAACAGGTCGTAGTGATCCATGCCCTGGTAGCGCTGGGATCTGTTGGGGGGGGGGCGTTGCAAGCAATGTTAGCCAGAGCCACAAGGCACAGCACATAGGGTCATACCTGGCATATCTGTGTCTGACTCCGTACTTGCCTCTTGACGCTTTTGTTGAGCCAGGGTGGGTCCATCATGACGATATCGTACTGGTCTATGGTTGATTATGGAGCTCAGTCCTCAGCTAGACGGGTGATTGTCGTTGTCTCGGATTCACCAAATCGAGTACTCGCCGTGCCCATCCGACTTCAGATACCAGCCACATATGGATCGGACTGGGTGGTCACGCAGCGAACCACATCCTTGCGATGGACTATGCTGTTGAGACAGACAAACCTGAGACAAGCGGGCTCGTGTTGGATATGTCCGACATCAGGAATCGGGAATGGGGCGGAACAATAAACACATGGCCATCCAGCAGCAGCTTCTTGACGGCTGGGCTATCGTTGACCACCATTCGATCGAAGATTGTGGCCATATCCGAGACAGAGCACTCTGAACCTTTCATGGAGAGATTTTGCGGGAATCGGACTCAGAATCCTCTTTACCGACTCTCGGCATCGCTATCGGGCTGCAAATTACCGGCGCTCGTTGTCACTCACACGTACCAGAGATGATCAAAGGCTCTTCGACAAAGTCGTCGTCCCGGAAAGGATTCAGTTTCTGCCAACCGATTGCGTCCGATACCAAAGTCAGACACAGTCTCTGCATCCAAATGACGGCTTCGAGCACACCCTTGTCCATGATCTACATCAACATCCCACAATACTTTGTCCGTGATTGTCATGCCAGAGCACACTATCAGGGCATTGGCTTCGAACGCTGCTCCTGACGCTGATCTGCTCGACGAGATGCCTCAACACTTGGATCCGATCTCAAGTGCCCTTGCAACTTACCCTTGTAAGGCTGGCAAGTTCGCCAATCTGCACAAAATCGATGGGATTCTCCATCTCATGCTCGCTCGCGGCACTCTCGCACCCGGCCTTGACTGGAAAGGCCCCCGAGTGAGCGACCAGGTCAGCGACGGCGACGGCGAGGAGCTCCCGGATAGGCAGATGCAGTTGCTGGAGGATCTCTTGCTGTGTAGGCAGTGGGGTTTGGTTGGACTTTGTATTCCTGCGCTTGCGTTTCCGACCTCCAGCAGCGGGCTCGATGCTCTCCCGATCAATGTTGCTGCCACCGGCAGTGTCTTGAGGATGGCCGATCGAGTCTGGGCCGGTATCCAAAAGATTATTCCGCCCAGATTCGACGGAGCCGCTTGTGGAAGATCCAGCGCCAGACGATCCAAGTTGTCCACAATCCATAACGGCCGCAGTCAACGGTTGTTTTTCATAGGAGTGCGCCAGGCTGAAGAGCTGCGGTTTGTAGATTCTATCGCCGATCTGAACTTGACTGGACAGCACCACCCAGCCTCCTGGGCGCTCGATCCATGCGGATGCAGCCATTGGTGTCTGCAGCCGAGAACGGACTGTTGGTTGGATCAGCAAGGCTGGGCCAGGATGCGGAAAGCAGGGTGGAGGAGAGACGGGCTGGGAGAGACGAGCTGAGGCAACCGAGGTGATCGTTGGGCGAGGGCAAATTACGGCGACACCTTCGCACACGGATGACCTGGGTGGCTTGTATGGCTTGTGCGGATTAGACGACTTTGATCGGCACCCAAAACCCAATATAATCCGCTCGCCGAGGTCCTCCGGTGATGTTGCCCCTTGCCCTGCGTCTTCCTCCCTCATCCCAGGCAAATCTCCTTGCTCTGACCCGCACTGGCTGCATCTGCGGCGACTCGCTGGTCCCGTCGTGCCACTCACTCCATGCATCTCCCTCACTCAGGGAAAGGACTTGACCCACTTAGCCGGGTGTGCGCTATGACCCGACTCCTCCGTGTTTGTCCGAATGAGACGACGTGTCCCATATTTCTTCAACATGGTGTACGGCTGCGAGACGACGACCGGCAGTAATCGGTCGGATCTGCCGATGGCATAACGGAATGCTTCAATCCAGCAGCATCGATCATTGCTTCGTACCCCTGTATTCAGAGATAACAGTGCCGCTCTTTTCAATCGAGCATGTGGTTTTTGAGAGCCTGAATCCAACAAAGCCATTTGCAAATCACAGCTGATGACCTCTGGGTCGTAGCCAGCGCGCGATATTAAGACCTAACAAATCAAAGCCGGGTGCTCCGTTTCATAGTTTAGGTACAGGATGCTCCAGCCCCGGACTCCAGGCGGGATGCAGCAGATGCGCTGGGAACGGCTTGTCCAGGGAGACGGAGTTTGCCAGCGATCTAGCGCTGCTTGGTGTGGATAAATGCCTTGAGAATAAGGGCCGCATACTGCCGAGTGACGCAGGATGAATGCATGCTGGATCGATGGCGACAGAGCGGGCGCATGCAGACCAGGAGCGCCGTGGGGACGACTGGCTTGCCTCGGGCAGCAGCAAGCGGTGTATTTCCATGGCGGCCAAAGAAAGCAGAGGCGGAAGGTGTGTCGTCGGCGGGTCCTTGATCAACGATGGGAGGGAGAGATGCGAAAACGCTGGCGGGAGGAATGGCTCGGGAATCATATGAAATACGGCCGCAACCGGGTCTGGCCAAGATGGCCCGGCGACGCCCGGAATCGATCATCTGCCTTGGAATTGATCATGCCTTGGAATCGATCATCTGCATCGGATTAGTCGATACACTGGAATCGATCATCTGCCTTGGAATTGATCATCTGCATCGGATTAACTGGGTTATCGACATGCCGGATCTGCACTGCATCCGTCCTCTCGTTCGCCCCTCCCCCTTCGGCCCTTGCTTCCACGTCGTGCCGGGTCGGCCCATGTCCGTCCAAGCCTTGCAGCCGACATCGCAGTCGCAATCGTCGTGGGCCGGGGTGGATTCTGGGGCATGGCATTCATGTCGTTCTCTCCACCCCCTTGTGCTGGGACTGGTTCACTTCTTTCGTGCCCTCCATCCCGCTGCATTCTTTGCTGGACGGCTCATCCATCCCCGACGCATCACCGTCTCCGTCGTCGCGCCCGTCTGCCTGTGCATGATGCTCATGATCATGATCTGCCCCTGTGCTGGCCCTCGGTCCTGCGCTCGCCCGCGGATGTAAGTTTATGGTTGCGCACCGCCCACGGGGGTGCTGCCACGTTGAGTTTTGCTTGGCCTATCCGGAATCAGCAGACCTGCGTCTGGCGCCCATGCCACTGCCGCAGTTGTTCTGTGCTGCTTGTCGACCCACGGAGCACGGCGCTGCAGCAAAACGCCCGCTGGATGTCAGCGTTACGATGTTCGACAGAGGGCCTTTGTGTCGACCCCCACAAGCGAGCGTCCCTGCCAAGACCCCCGGCAGGCGCCGCTGGCCTCATGGCTGCCGCTGCTGTATAAAAGGGCTTGCTCGACGCCGCGGCCTGCCCATCCGCACCCAAGAAACCTCCAATACACCCATCATCCCAAGCACACCCTGAACCGACACATTCGACGCCATGGCGGTCACCAAGGAAGCTGATCCGGTCGGCTCCCTCGATCAGGCCCCCGCCGAGGACTCCCTGCCGGCTCCGGCCACCACCAACAACGCTCCTCGAAAGCGCTCCCCGCTGGCCCTCTTCGCCCGGAAGGCCAAAGGCGACAACGCCAATGCCCCGCCGCCAAAGGAAAAGGAACCGGTCGTCTCCTTTGGAAAACTCTTTCGCTTTGCAGATACGCGCGACAGGCTCTTGATATTGTGAGTTCGACGCAGTAGCAGCGAGACCAGGGCTGTCTCGATCGACTGGCCGTCGTCTTGGAAGCGGGACCGGTCTCTGTCACTCCCTTCAGCCGTGTCACCTCTCATTCCCAGGGGCTCCGCTATAGTCTTGACAGCTGCCCGGATCCAGCTCGTCCTGTCCATTGTCGCATGTTGTGTCGGCGCTGTATCCGCATGATCCACTGCCAACTGCCAAACCATTCTTCCATGCGTTCGCTCACTGGCTCCCTGTCTCATTCGCTCCACAGCTTCGGTCTGATCACAAGCGCAGTCATTGGCGCCCTGATGCCATGTTCCATTCTTGTCCTGGGCTCCTTCCTCGGGGGCTCCAAGAACCTCTTTGCGACTTCCCAGCTGGCCACTGATGCCAACGGCAACTACATCCTGCCTGGCGGCCAGGTCGTCACCAAGGCTCAGCTGCTCGCCAGCGTCGACCCCCAGCCCCTCTACAACACCATCTTGATTTTTGTGTATTTCGGCATCGCCATGCTCTTTTCGGGCTACCTCACCCAGCTCTTCTGGGTCCTCTCGGGCGAAAACCAGACCCGCCGCATTCGTCAGCTCTTTGTCAAGTCGGTGCTCCGTCAGGACGTTGGGTGGTTCGATCTTGCTGCCGAAGGGTCGCTCACGACCCGCCTCGCTCAAGACACAGCCCTGATCCAAGACGGCATCTCGGAGAAGGCCGGCATGTGTATCCAATCCATTTCCCAGTTCATTGCCGGATTTGTCATTGCATTTGTCAAGGGTCCAAAGCTTGCCCTGGTCCTGTTGGCTTCACTTCCACTTCTTGGTGTCGTTGGCACTTTGATGATTCGCGCGATCAGCAAGTTCACCGGAAAGGGCCAAGATGCTTATGCCGGTGCAGGCGCAATCGCTGAGCAAGTCATTGGTGGAATCCGAACCGTCTACTCGTTCTCCCTCCAGAAGCGGTTCATTGAAAAGTACGACAAGGAACTTGCAAAGGCCGAGGTGACTGACTTCAAGAAAGGTCTGTCGCTCGGCATCGGCTTTGGATCCTTCATGCTCGTCATCTTTGGGTCCTACGGCTTGGCCTTTTGGTACGGATCCCGGCTGGTTCTTAGTTCGGACATGGAAGGCCAGGATGTCTTGGTTGTGTTCTTCTCGATGATCATTGGTGCCATGGCCCTGATCATGCTCCCAACAAACCTGTCGGCCGTCTCCAATGCCCGTGGTGCTGCCTTCAAGATCTACGCCATCATCGACCGTGTTCCCACCATCGACTCGCTCTCGACCGAGGGAAAGAAGCCCGCCGAAGTCACCGGCTTTATCCAGTTCAAGGATGTCCACTTCACCTATCCCTCCCGCCCGGACACCAAGATCCTCCACGGCCTCACTCTCGACATTGAATCTGGCAAGACCGTGGCCTTTGTGGGGCCGTCCGGGTCGGGCAAGTCGACGATTGTGCAGCTGATCCAGCGATTTTACGACCCCTCCGGTACGACTGGGTGATGAGCGATGGGTGATGGGTGATGGGTGATGGGTGATGGGTGATGGGTGATGGGTGATGGGTGATGGGTGATGGGTGATGGGTGATGGGTGATGGGTGATGGGTGATGGGTGATGGGTGATGGGTGATGGGTGATGGGTGATGGGTGATGGGTGATGGGTGATGGGTGATGGGTGATGGGTGGTAGTGGTGGAATGTTGGCTGCGATCAGTCAAGACCAGATGGGAGGCGAGAGTTTGCGGAGCAGAACAACGACACATCATCTCACACCACGACACACCATCTTACACCATGCTACCTCACACCACACACCACCACATCATACATCGCACATCACACACCACACATTACATACCACGCCACACATTACATACCACACCACACATTACATACCACACATCTTACACCATGCTACCTCACACCACACACCACACACCACCACATCACACATCGCACATCACACACCACACATTACATACCACGCCACGCCCGCCAGCCGGCGACGTCGTCCTCGACGAAAACAACCTCAAGGACCTCAACGTCTCGTGGCTGCGCCAGCACATCGGAATCGTCGGCCAGGAGCCCGTGCTGTTCAACACCTCCATCAAGCAAAACATCCTCATGGGTGCCATCGAGGAGGTCACCGAGTCGCAGCTGATCAACGCCTGCAAGATGGCCAACTGCCACGCATTCATCACAAAGCTCCCTCAAGGCTATGACACCTCGGTCGGCGAACACGGCGGCATGCTCTCTGGCGGCCAGAAGCAGCGCATCGCCATCGCTCGTGCTCTGATCAAGAACCCCCGGATCCTGCTGCTGGACGAAGCCACCTCGGCCCTCGACACCCAGTCCGAGCGCATCGTGCAGGAGGCCCTCGACAACGCCTCCAAGAACCGCACGACGATCGTGATTGCGCACCGGCTGTCGACGATCCGCAACGCCGACGTGATCGTCGTCCTTGACCATGGAGTGATAGCCGAGATCGGCAACCACAGCGAGCTGCTCAAGAAAGGCGGGGTGTATGCCGGGCTTGTCGAGAAGCAGCGAATCAAGATGGAAGTCGAAACCACCCTTGGTGTTTCTCGCCGCAGGACACTGACTTCTTCTGGCGACACCGTCGTCGAGGAGAATGGCAATGGCGAGGACGAAGTTCAGATCGTCTCCGATAAGGACGACCACACCGCCGAGACCCGCCTTGTTTTGGAGTCAAGCGAGGATCATCGTAATGCTGTTCGAGCAGAGAAGAAACAGGAGAAAGACAGGCGACGCGAGCTCAAGAAGCAGGACGCCCCCATCCGGCGCGTTCTCGCGCTCATGAAGCCTGAGTGGGGATATATTATCCTTGGGTGCCTCGGCGCTTCCGGTGCAGCTGTGGTGGGTATGGATGCTCTGGGCTTGCGTTCGCCAGGGCGACTTTGGATCGCGGATGCTGTGCCCTCAAACCGCATGTCGGAGAACCACGCTCCCTGTTTGCTTACACATCACTCGCATCGGCTTTAGGTCTTCCCCGTGTTTGCTCTGATCTTCTCGACCGTCAGCATCATATTGCTTGATCCATCCGAGATCGATCCTGGGCCGTTCAAGGGAGCAAATCTGTACTCGTTCCTCTTTGTCGTTATGGGAGTCATTGCGTGCTTTTCGATCATCCTTCAGCTCTATGGTTTCGAAAAGGCCGGTGCAGCCATATCGAGACGAATCCGCCTCCTGACCTTTGCCGCGCTGTTGAGGCAAGAGGTTGGGTTCTATGACGAGGAGGGCCACAGTCTCGGCGCCCTCACGTCGAGACTCGCCGTCGATGCTCTCAAAGTCGGCGATCTGGTCACGAAGGTCTGGGGCGACGTCGCCCAGCTCATCGTCACGGCGGTTGCTGGATTCCTTGTGGCTTTCATCAACTCCTGGCAACTCACTCTGGTACGCACACAGCAGTCCGGATTACTGGTGTAGCTCTGTTCGACCGCTCGGCACTTACTGTGCTTGGGTCGTCATTCCGCAAAGGATCCCGCGCTATATCGAGACTAACGAGGACCGCACTAACCGCGAATGGCGCTTCGCAATGCGATTGCTTCCTCGCGCACAGATCCTCGTTGTTGCTTCTCCTTTCATCGGCGCTGCCTCCTTCCTCGAAGCACGTCTACGCCACAAGTTCGAGGATGAAACCAAGAAGCTGTATGAGGACTCGGGCGAGATCGCCGGCGAGGCTTTCAAGGAAATCCGCACCGTCACTGCCCTCAACCGTCAGCACTACTTTGAAGACAAATATAACGCCACTCTCGAGCACCCCCACCAAGTTGCCGTGAAGAAAGCACAAATCACGTCCCTGGGCAACGGATCCAACCAAGCTGCCTCCCAGTTTGCCTACGCTCTTGGTTTCTATGCAGGAATTCGCCTCGCCCTTGCAGGCATCATCGACTTCAAGCCTGTTCTCACCGTTCTGATGGTATGTGCGTCTTGATCGCTGAATTGAGCACCGATTCTCTTCAAGCGTCTGGGATTCACATCACTTCAAACGCGCAGTGTGGGTGTCTGGTGCCGACCATTCACAGCACCCACCTTGTGCTTGCTCCAATGTGATCGCTGATTGTGGTGCGCATTCGCTGCTGTCTCCCACTCTGTACTTCAGGCCATAATGATCACCGCTCAGGGTCTTGGCCGAGCCTCCAACTTTGTCGGTACCTACACCACAGCCAAGCTCTCAGCCATCAACGTAAGCCTCCTCATACTCTGCCTTTGCTCCAATAGCTGTGTGTTGTTTTCTTCTCTGCTCAACCGACTCAGTCCGCCACTCGGTGCGATACAAATGTCATGGCTAATCTGCTTTCGGACGCAATAGACCTTCGAGCTGATCGACAGAGTCACCAAGATCGACCCAGATGCCGACGGTATTGTTGCCGAGGAAATCGACGGTGATTTCGAGTTCAAGAATGTGCAGTTTACCTATCCTGCACGCCCCAACCAGCCCATATTCGACGGAAAGCTGAGTGTGAAGGGCAACAAGAATCTCACCGTTGCCCTGGTCGGCCCCTCTGGCTGTGGCAAGTCTACCACTGTCGGCATCATTCAGAGGTGGTACGACATCTCCGGTGGCCAGGTGCAGGTCGATGGCAAGGATGTGAAGGAATACCAGCTCCACAGCTTGCGCAAGCACATGGCTCTTGTCGGCCAGGAGCCCGTCTTGTTCGACATGAGTATCCGCGAGAACATCCTCGCGGGCACCGAGCGCACCGATGTTTCGGAGGAGGAGCTTACCGAAATCGCAAGGATGGCCAATATTCTGTCCTTTTTGGATGAGATGCCCGACAAACTTGGTAAGTGTCGACCAGAGAAGATCATTGGGTGATTTACACCACAAGATGCATTTGGCCAAGCAAAATTTTTGGTGCTGCTGATGCTGGCCAGTACAGTATCCAAAGCTTTGGGTAGTGAGTGCTGTTTCATCTGCAAATTGAATATGGGCATGGCTATGTGTGGACATTTCTCGACTCACATTGCTATGATGTGGCTGTCCAGATACTCGAGTTGGCGACAAGGGATCGCAGCTCTCTGGCGGTCAGAAGCAGCGAGTCGCCATCGCACGCGCCCTGATCCGCAATCCCCGCTTCCTGCTCTTGGACGAAGCAACGTCAGCCCTGGTGAGGAGAGAATGTGTGATTGCGATTGATCTCTGGGTTTCGAATGACGACAGCCGGCTGGCCGAGTGTGGCATCGCGGGAGAACCAGCGGTCGAATGAGCGAGCTGTTCTTGCACGAGCGGAGCTGACCAAGATTCTCCCACCAGGACTCTGAATCCGAGAAGCACGTACAGCAGGCAATCGACAACGCCATCAAACAAGGCGGCCGCACCACAATCACGATCGCACACAGGCTCTCCACCATCCAGGACGCAGATTTGATTGTTGTTATTAAAGATGGTGCTGTCGTTGAGCAAGGCACCCACTTTGAACTCCTGGCTCTCAACGGAGTCTACAATGCCCTCGTGAAGCAGCAGGATCTTTCTGTGTTTTGAAACCAAAAAGTACAACCTTCTTTCGTGAGGAGATCATGCTGGTCTATTCCAAAGAGCCAATGGGGTCAGTAGTAATATGATTCCTGTTACTCGTTATCGCTACCCAAATATACTGATGTAGTTGTCATGATGCCCAATTGAGAAGATGAGCCACAATACAACCACTGTGCCGAGCTACTCCGAGGTGCCAGAGTCAAGTGAGTGCCTCTGGGAGGGATCATTGGACGGCTCAATGAACGGGCGGTTTGTGGACAGCCACTTTGATGTCTCAGAATCAACGGACAATATGACAGCGTACCCGTTTTGAAACCGGGCACCCCGTTCTGAGTCAGGGTTGTTGCTTCTGGTCTTGAATACGCATCTGCCCCTTGAGCCATGACCAAACTGTGCGTCCAAGGAGACTGGAGCCCAAGTAACTTGAATCGCCTGAGTATCATGATATCGAGAAGCCTCGCTTGTACTGAGGATATAATGCATCCGCCACACTCCCACATCAAGACATCGGTACTTCATGGAGCATGATCTCGGAACCGCGGTCGATCGTCGCCACAGGAGATTGACTGGTGTATTCAAGATTACGCTCCTGAAACGAACGAAAACAGAGCGATTGCTAACCAGGACCGGAAACAATCGCATGGCTTGCCCACTGGGGGCTGCATATCACTGTGAGGGACACTTAGGGACACGCTGTCCTGTTTCGTTCTAAACAAGCGGTGTCATGATGCCTTTGCATTTCCGGATTCAGTGATTTGATAGGCGAAGTGGTACCCACTGACCAATAATAATGATTATAACGAATAATGAGATTCGGCAATTTCGTCTCTGAACACAGGAGGGGTGAGCCGGAACCAATGGCGAATGGATTTACGTGGCGTTGAGATCCTGCTGCTTCACGAGAGCATTGTAGATTCCGTTGAGAGCCAGGAGTTCAAAGTGGGTGCCCTTCTCGACCACCTCTCCGTCTTTAATAACGACAATCATATTGGCGTCCTGGATGGTGGAGAGCCTGTGTGCAATCGTGATTGTGGTGCGGCCGCCTTGTTTGATGGCGTTGTCGATTGCCTGCTGTACGTGCTTCTCGGATTCAGAGTCCTGGTGGGAGAATCTTGGTCAGCTCCGCTCGTGCAAGAACAGCTCGCTCATTCGACCGCTGGTTCTCCCGCGATGCCACACTCGGCCAGCCGGCTGTCGTCATTCGAAACCCAGAGATCAATCGCAATCACACATTCTCTCCTCACCAGGGCTGACGTTGCTTCGTCCAAGAGCAGGAAGCGGGGATTGCGGATCAGGGCGCGTGCGATGGCGACTCGCTGCTTCTGACCGCCAGAGAGCTGCGATCCCTTGTCGCCAACTCGAGTATCTGGACAGCCACATCATAGCAATGTGAGTCGAGAAATGTCCGCACTTAGCATCCAAGATTTCATATCGAGCAGCAACACAACAAACACTCGTGCAGCTCTCGTTGTTGGGGAGGGGCTCGCTTCTGTTTGATGCAGTCACTCACCAAAGCGTGCCGGGAAATCTCCAATGAACACCATCATGTTCGCCATCTTAGCAACTTCTTCAATCTCTTGGTCCGTGACATCGGTTCGTGTGGTTCCGGCCAGGATGTTTTCCTTGATGGTCATGTCGAACAAGACGGGCTCCTGGCCGACCAGGGCCATGTGCTTGCGCAGATTGTGGAGCTGGTATTCCTTTACGTTCCTGCCGTCGACCAAGACCTCGCCCGCAGCGGCATCGTACCAACGCTGGAGCATGCCGATAGTGGTGGATTTTCCGCAGCCAGAGGGGCCGACAAAGGCGACAGTGGTGTTCTTCTCGCCCTTGAGGTTGAACTTGCCTTCAAAGATGGCCTGAAGCGGGCGGGCGGGATAGCGAAACTCGATGTTCTTGAATTCAAAGGCTCCGTCGATTTTATCCACCTCGAGACCCGGTTTGTCTGGGTCAATAGAAGTCTCGCGATCGAGGAGCTCGAATGTCTGGCATCCGAGAAGAGGTGCAGCTCCGATGAGATCATCAAATCTGTGCAACACATGCGCTCAAAGAAGTATAGACACATGCGCTCCGAGGCTGACAAGAAGCATGTTCTTGCACCAAGCGGGACTCATTGTCTTCGCAATGTGCAATATTTTGCATGTTCATTGGAAAGGTATATAGACTTACGCTGATGGCAGCAACCTTTGCCGCCGTATACGTGGCCACGAAATTGGATGCGCGACCGAGGCCTTGTGCGGTGATCATGACGGCCTGTAGTCAAACGGAGCGGGGATGATATTTGATTGAGTTAAGCTTCTGCGAAATGGCTGCGATTTGCTTCGGGACGATTTTCTATACTCGGGCGGTATCACTCGCAGGAGATGGTCATGTCGACGAGACCCATATACTTGTCGTGCCCACACATGATAGTGCAAAGATGATGAGGAACAAACCCGCGCCAGCGATTCCGTCGAGTAAACACATACCATCAGAACAGTAAACACAGGCTTGAAGTCGATGATGCCTGCCAGAGCGAGACGGATGCCGGCATAGAAGCCAAGAGCGTTCGCAAGCTGGGAAGCTGCCTGGTTGGATCCGTTTCCAAGGGACGAGACCTGGGCCTTTCGCAAGGCGAGCTTGTGTGGATGATCAATGCTGGCGTCGTACTTGTCCTCGAAATAGCCTTGTCGACACAACGCGGCAACGGTACGGATTTCTTTGAACGCCTCGGCAGCGATTTCTCCGGATTCTTCATAAGCCTTCTTGGATGCATCTTCAAATCCACGGCGGCTGCGGACTTCAAAGAAGGAGCCGATCGCAAGGAACGGTGTGGCACACAACACGATCTGCAAAAATGGTTCAAGGGATCGAGTTAGAGCCCAAGGATAACCATCTCTCACAGAGACCCGGCGAGCAGTCAAAGCATCATATTGTGTTTGGGTATGTGCCTCGAATACAGTGTCATTCGCTGCCGACTAAAGCTCTTACCAGGGTGAGCTGCCAGGAATTGATGAAGGCAATCAAGAGTCCGCATAGGGCTGTGATGATGAGCTGGGCGACGTCTCCCCAGACCTTTGTAACGAGTTCGCCAACTTTGGATGCATCCACCGCCAATTTCGATGTGAGAGCGCCGACGCCGTGGCCTTCTTCGTCGTAATACCCAATCTCCTGGCGGAGCATAGCCTTGAAGGTCATAATACGAATGCGACGGGACATGGCTGCGCCGGCTTTTTCGAACCCATAAAATTGCAGGTTGTAGGACAGAAATGCGACGAAACCGATGATCAAGAACAAAAATGAGTACAGGTTGGCGCCTTGGAATGGTCCGGGATCGATCTCGGATGGATCAAGCAATATGATGCTGACGGTCGAGAAGATCAGAGCAAACACTGGGAACACCTGGATAATGATACGACAACAAAGCAAAGCAGCAATCAGATCAATGAACCAGCGACTGAGCAATTAGGCAGAAACGACATGGTGCCCGTCACTGGGTAAGCATCTCTCCTCCGATGACAAGTGCAGCCAAAACCACGTACCGTTCCAGCACCAAGTGCTCCGATAATGCCAATGGCAAGGTACCCCCATTCAGGCTTCATCATCTCAATGACGCGCCAAATCGGGGCGTCTTGCTTCTTGAGAGCATCGAGCTCCTTCTTCTTTTGGTCCTTTTCGGCCTTGAGAGCCTGGCGGTGTGCTTCGTGCGTATCCAAAACAAGGCGAGTCTCGACAACCTGACCGTTTTCGTCCTTGACAGACTCGACAACATTTTGGGGAACAGTATCGGCCTGCTTCTCGACCTCGATTTCCTCAACAATTCCTTCCTGTTGTTTGTTCATGCCAGAGTCCTTGGAGCCGCTGAGGTTCTTCGCGAGGGTGGTTTCGACTTCCATCTTGATTCGCTGCTTCTCGACAAGCCCGGCATACACCCCGCCTTTCTTGAGCAGCTCGCTGTGGTTGCCGATCTCGGCTATCACTCCATGGTCAAGGACGACGATCACGTCGGCGTTGCGGATCGTCGACAGCCGGTGCGCAATCACGATCGTCGTGCGGTTCTTGGAGGCGTTGTCGAGGGCCTCCTGCACGATGCGCTCGGACTGGGTGTCGAGGGCCGAGGTGGCTTCGTCCAGCAGCAGGATCCGGGGGTTCTTGATCAGAGCACGAGCGATGGCGATGCGCTGCTTCTGGCCGCCAGAGAGCATGCCGCCGTGTTCGCCGACCGAGGTGTCATAGCCTTGAGGGAGCTTTGTGATGAATGCGTGGCAGTTGGCCATCTTGCAGGCGTTAATCAGCTGCGACTCGGTGACCTCCTCGATGGCACCCATGAGGATGTTTTGCTTGATGGAGGTGTTGAACAGCACGGGCTCCTGGCCGACGATTCCGATGTGCTGGCGCAGCCACGAGACGTTGAGGTCCTTGAGGTTGTTTCCGTCGAGGACGACGTCGCCGGCTGGCGGGCGTGGCGTGGTATGTAATGTGTGGTGTGTGATGTGCGATGTGTGATGTGGTGGTGTGTGGTGTGTGGTGTGAGGTAGCATGGTGTAAGATGTGTGGTATGTAATGTGTGGTGTGGTATGTAATGTGTGGTGTGGTATGTAATGTGTCGTGTGTGATGTGCGATGTATGATGTGGTGGTGTGTGGTGTGAGGTAGCATGGTGTAAGATGGTGTGTCGTGGTGTGAGATGATGTGTCGTTGTTCTGCTCCGCAAACTCTCGCCTCCCATCTGGTCTTGACTGATCGCAGCCAACATTCCACCACTACCACCCATCACCCATCACCCATCACCCATCACCCATCACCCATCACCCATCACCCATCACCCATCACCCATCACCCATCACCCATCACCCATCACCCATCACCCATCACCCATCACCCATCACCCATCACCCATCACCCATCACCCATCACCCATCACCCATCACCCATCACCCATCACCCATCACCCATCACCCATCACCCATCACCCATCACCCATCACCCATCACCCATCACCCATCACCCATCACCCATCACCCATCGCTCATCACCCAGTCGTACCGGAGGGGTCGTAAAATCGCTGGATCAGCTGCACAATCGTCGACTTGCCCGACCCGGACGGCCCCACAAAGGCCACGGTCTTGCCAGATTCAATGTCGAGAGTGAGGCCGTGGAGGATCTTGGTGTCCGGGCGGGAGGGATAGGTGAAGTGGACATCCTTGAACTGGATAAAGCCGGTGACTTCGGCGGGCTTCTTTCCCTCGGTCGAGAGCGAGTCGATGGTGGGAACACGGTCGATGATGGCGTAGATCTTGAAGGCAGCACCACGGGCATTGGAGACGGCCGACAGGTTTGTTGGGAGCATGATCAGGGCCATGGCGCCCATGATCATCGAGAAGAACACAACCAAGACATCTTGTCCCTGCATTTCCGAGTTGAGGACGAGCTTGGATCCATACCAAAAGGCCAGAGCATAAGTGGAAAACATGACAAGCATAAACGAGCCGAATCCCGTTCCCAATGCCTGGCCCTTCTTGTAGTCCGTGATGAAGGCTTGCTCCAGAGCCTTTTCGTACTTGTCAGAAAACCGCTTCTGGAGGGAGAACGAGTAGACAGTGCGAATACCAAAGAACACTTGCTCAGCGATTGCGCCTGCACCGGCATAAGCATCTTGGCCCTTTCCGGTGAACTTGCTGATCGCGCGAACCATCAAAGTGCCGACGATGCCAAGGAGCGGGAGAGCCGCAAGCAGAATCACGGCGAGTTTTGGTCCTACATGTGGTTATGGCTTGGTCATTTCATCTGGCGCAGCCACCAAGATGTTCACAACCGTCTCCATGCGGTTCTTTACACCTGTGCCCACTTCTCACGAAGCCCTCAGCCTCTCAGGAGCGAATCGATCAAACTCCCATTCAAGGCAACGTACCTTTGGTAAATGCAATGACAAATCCTGTTACGAACTGACTCACGGACTGTATGCACATTCCGGCCTTCTCCGAGATGCCATCCTGGATGAGCTGAGTGTCTTGAGCGAGGCGAGTTGTGAGCGAACCCTCGCCGGCCAGATCGAACCAGCCCATATCTTGGCGCAAGACGCAGCGCACGAATAGCCGACGGATACGACGGGTCTGGTTTTCACCGGCAATAACCCAGAAGACTTGGGTGAAGTACCCGCAGAACATCATCGCGATCGCAAAATACACAAAGATCAGGATGATGTTGTACATGGGCTGCGGGTCAACTTGTGCCAGGAGCTGGGTCTTGGTGATGATTTGTCCATTTGCCAGAACCAAGTTGCCACTTGCGTCCATGTGGGATCCGGCCGGGAGGCTCGGCGACGCAGCCAGGCTGCTGGCGCTGCCCAAGAAGCTTCCAAGCACCAGGACGGCGCTCGGAATGAGGGCACCGATGCCCATACTGGTAATAACTCCCAGCCTGTATGTGAGGCATTGAGCTAGTTGTTAGTGAGCGGGCAGAGCACGGCCAAGATATCGAACCTGCCTCACCAAACGAACACAACGGCGCAGCAACTGCCGTAACATTTCTGCTCGCGTCGGCAGAGATGCATAGCCTCCTGTCCATCGGCCAAGCTGCATGTGATGGCTGACCAGACGCTCCCGACATGGTCGACGCGGCGTCGCAACAGGAAGTTCCATTCGCCGAAGGAAGCGTCAAGCGCATGCTATATCTCCACCTTGGCCGCTCGAACCGTGGGTCCTCGATACTTACGCGATAAGAAGACGGTCGGTGGCATCGGCAAAGCGAAACAGCTGAAGAAACGGAACGGCGGGATCACTCTGTTTCTTATCCTTTCTGCGACGGCGAAAGCGCCCTCTGCCAAAATTGCTCTCGACTGGAGATTCACTGTCGATTTTCTCGAGGGATCCGCCGACAGGTACGTTGAGCTGCACCGCGGCGTTAACCGGCGCCTGCTGCTCCTCTGACATGCTGGTCCACAGACAGGAGGCTTACGGAATCAGAGGCAGGAACGAACGGACGAGTCTGGAAACTGCTTCGCGACGCGCCGTCCTACTTATAAGAGAGCGGGTCGTGTTTCGCTACCTCGGGAGCGGGCAGGGGGCTGGGTGCGGCTACGAGGGGGCTTATTGCCGGGGAGTCCGTAGTTCTCATGGGTGTTTGGCGCCAAGTCGAGCATGGCTGGGCCTGATTCAACGGCCAGCGTGTTATCGCGGGACTTGGCGTCCCATTGGATCTCGATGCAGCGCGGCGGGACAGGCAACCCAATTGAGATACAGAGGACAGTGCTACTGTCTCGATTTCGTGTGGCTCCGCCAGCAAAGGAGAGATTGGAGATGGCGGGCTGGCGGCCAACGACAGCATGATTGATGGCCAGTGATTGCACAGGAAAGGCGTGCTCGCTCAGCGCCGGCCAAGTGATGGGCTGCCATACCGGATGAGAAGATCCCTTTGCTCCCGGCCGATCAAAGAGAGGCGCGGCGAGGAGCAGATCCGGTCGGTTGATTGGAGGAGACCGAGGCCGGCCAGCCCATCCATCGTCCGCACGGATCATTCGCCGTGGGAATCGGTTTGGCGGGTGGACAGTCGCGTGGCTGGCAGCCAGCCTGTGGCCATCTGGCCACGCCAAAGAATGGCTTGACTCCATCTTCTCGCTCCTGCCTCCTGCCATCCATCTGAATCAAGCATCCCCCAGACCCGACCAGGCTGCGTGACTGTCGCCATCCCTGGGCCTATTCCCCTGTCGACCGCCGATCACCCGACGTAACTGCCTACCACGCCATGCCTCCTCCGTCAAAGTCACACGTTGTTGGCTTTCCAGTCTATTCTCTAAGCTTCACTCCGTCGTCATTCCGGGTTGTCCTGGGCGGCGGCGGCGGATCAGGACGCAACGGCGTCAAAAATGCTGTGGTGAGCCTCCGTGCTATGCCGCTCCAACCGCTAGCTTGTCTCACGATTCGATTCAGGCCAACTTGGCCCCCTCCTGCAGGCATCCTGCACATGACGGTCCACAGCCCGACCCAGCTAGGATGCAGACTCGGGAGAGTCAGACGCAGTAGACTAACGCTGTTTCCCGATCAGCTCGTCTACCAAATCGACCCTGTCACCCTCGACGTTAAGCCCCTGACGGATCACCAGCTCGAGAAGGGAGAGGACGCCTGCATGTCTCTCGCCGTCCATCCAAAAGTTAGTCGGAAACGACATTGCTGCTCCGCTGCCGATGATGATGATGGAGGTTTCCCGAGGCTGACTCATTGGGCTTGGTGGTGAATGTTTTAATATCATACGCAGGACAAGGTCATCGTCGCTGCAGCGAACTGCACGGAAGACGAAATTGCCGGTGGACTGAACAAAAACTGCCGCATCTTTTGCCTCAAGGACAACAACACCAGGTCGGTCGAGTGGATAGCGGGCTGCTGCTGGCCAGCAGGATCCCCCAGTAGGATCGCCCAGTAGGATAGCCCAGATCGGCAGCTTTTGTGTGCTCAAGGAACTGAAAGACGTGCGTTGTAAACTTAGCATACAGCAGGCCAAGGCATTCGACTCGATTGGCGAAACCAGCCCGGACACCTACCAGGTTCGCATCCCGCATTCTCAAGAACAAGCAACGTCGTAGCGACGGTTGCAGCTGACTCGCTGGTGCTTCCGACAGTGCTGGCATTGTCTTCCAGCCCGTTCCCTTGACCCACAGCGTCTTTTGTGCTGACTCATGCATTTCCACGATTTAATACCGCCGACGATAGAAAGTGACCCGGTTCAGTGCTGATGGCAAGCTGCTCGCCTCGGGACTAACCAACGGCAAGGTAAGAGCCGCTGGCCCTTCGATATGCTCATGATTCTGCTCACCTCGCACTTGGATGAAGCGAGCATCGAGGCCCAGGCCCTTGTCCAGCTCAACTCGCCGTCGCTCAGCTGATGAAAGTGCCCTCTCACTGCAGCTCAAGGTCTATTCTTGGCCCAGCTGCTCCCTCGTCGAGGAGCTGACCCATCCTAGCGATGTTATCGATATTCACTTTGGTCCCGAAAACAAGGTAAGCACCTACTCTATCGAGCGAGGAGCCTGTTTTGCGCAACTGAACCTACTAACTCACCTGTCCGACAACATAAATGCTACAGGTTGTTTCGGTTTCCTCGCAAAAGCTCATCGTCACCTCCATCGGGAAAGCCGAGCAGCTTTGTGCGCTGGATAAGCCCGTGTTCGACGAAAACCAACCGGCAGAGTTTCGTGGGGCACGCTTTGCTGCCAGCGAGGCGAACGAGGTGTTGCTGGTCATTGCCAATGCCAAGAACAAGAAACGGTCGTGTCTGTACAAGTACACTGTTGGAAAGGAGTGCAAGCTGCTTGGGTCAAAAGTGCTGGCGCCTCGTCCCGTCACGACTTTTGATATCAGGTGCGATCCAGGCTGCTGGCCATGATTGATCTGCTTGATGGTGCTGGCTCTGTGATGTATCTCAACGGGATGAGCTGACTTTCCGCCTTCATCCTCGTGCTCATTTTGATGCCCTAGTCCGAACGGCGAACTTCTGGCATATGCAACATCGGACTGCGGCATTACCGTGCTGTCCACCAGGACTATGAAGGTGGATACGATTGGCGCGCGCCAATGCTGTTCGATCAGTCCCGGCTGATCGGGTCTGCATCGCCGGTCTCTCTGGTTGCAGATCGGATGAATCTAACGCATCACCGATGCCGTTCCTGCAGGTCCTGCACACCATGCCCAATGCACACGGCTTTCCTGTGACGTCGCTGTCCTTCAGTCCTGACTCAAACATCATTGCTAGCGGCTCGGCTGATACTACCTGTCGGCTCGCTGTGCTGCCCCCTAAATCGTCAGGTGAGACTCGACAGCGCGATAGTGATTTGAGCCGATGTACGTGTCTACTCAGGCCAGTGCTAATTCCGTTGTACCTAGCTGTTTGCGGAGTGTGCTTGTCGATCTAATCCCCCGAGCGCTGCCTTTCCTCAACTTCCCAGGAGTTTCCTCGATCCTCCTCCTGCTGCTGGCCATTTTTGGCGCAATCCTCGCTGTATATCTCGGGCACGAGTTTTCCCAGTGACGCTCGGCTGCTGTCAGAATACCGAGACCTCATTGATAGTAGAACACTTACGCTCTGTATTCAGACAAACATGGACATTGCGCATGAAGTGCAACTCCTCCGGGGCCGTTCGCAGGCCCTTTCGTCACTTGTTATGGCCGTCCAGACAGCCGTTAATGTCTGTGTCCAAGTTGGTTGCCACGCGCTGTGGAATAGAGATTTCAATACGTCCAGAACTACGGCCATGGTGTCGAGAAAGGAGGACACTATGAAAAAATTTCTTGTTAATAAAATGAGCGAGAACGAAAAAACGCGCTCTCGGAGCCACCTCGGTCGGCGAGAAGAGCAGTCTCTGGCGAGAGACCCCCGAGGGAAGGCGAGAAGCCTCTCGCCATCACACACACACACACACACACACACACACACACACACACACACACACACACACACACACACACACACACACACACACACACACACACACACACACACACACACACACACACACACATCCGCACACACACACACATCCGCACACACACACATCCGCACACACACACACTTTGCACAAGGGAGTCAAACACCTCCCATCGACCATCCCAAGAGGGATGGCAACCCCGAAGTGGACTGCCCAGAATATGGGCGACCCGGCATCCACTGTCGAAATACTCAAGGAACAGTGCGAGATACTTACAGTCTATCCAGAAAGAAACGGGACAGTCACTTTCTGGCTTCTGAAGCCCGCTGACTGACTGTAGACCCAGCGGGTAGGCCATGGCATTGCACTCCTGTCTTCGTTGGCAATCTCTTTGTTTTGGTTGGTTGGGAAGCACAGTCTTGAATACACCCGGTCGATCTCCTGTGGCGATGATCGACTGGCATACCGAGATCATGTTCCGTGAGGCATTGATGTCTCGATCCCACAGCGTATGGCAGCTTGCACAGCTCCGGACAAAGTGTGGTTTCTCGATATCAAGATACTCGACCTTCTCGAGTCGCTTGGCTTCCCGACAATGTGAGCACACCTGGGACGTGTTGAACTCGTTCACCGAGCACACATGGATCTTGGAGACGGATCGGTCTGGTGGGCGTCTCTGGTGGTGGGTGAACTGCTCAAAGTACTTGGCGAACCTGAGTCTCCTGGGACTGGATGCGTATCCCTTCCCTTGCTTCCAGGATGCATTCCCAAAGGCAATCACCACTTCGGTCTCCTTTGGTACCTGGTCAATGACTTGCTTGCACATCTCGTGGACGGTGCGCTGTCGCTTGCCGTAGAGATCAAGCCGTTTGAACCGCCGTCGCCGGGTCAGGCTGAAGTACAGCTGTTTCTCCAGCATGTCTCCATCGAACACATGGCGAATGTATTGCAGGAATGAAGCCAACCCAGGGATCTTGGGACTTGGTGTGGTGCTCATCCATTTCTGCAGACCAAGGATCTTGTGGGTGCTCTGGATCCACTTGGTCGCTTGGGTGGTGCCAGTTCGATGCTGGTACTCCTTGTTGGAGAACGACACGATCTTCTCGTTGGCGCGCTGTGCCTTGGTCACCTTGACACCGTCTTGCTCCTGGATGGATGGTTGACCGGGTGCTCGAATGACAGCGGTGAAGATCGATCCCACACCAGGGTCGATCCCGATCCATGTGGTCCGAGAGTCGTCGATGGGACCGACCCTGACCTGGATCCTCTGCTCGGGAGTGAGTGCGCTCGCCTTGTCGTCCTTGTCTGTGGGTTCTGGCTTGACATCAGGATCCTTCTTCAGGATCTTGTACCTGAGTGTGGTGATCGAGCACCCGACCCCATCGGTGGTGATCTCGCAGCCAAAGAGCTGCTTCCCCTCCTTCCTGGCACCAAAGAGTCTCGGATCCAGCTTGAAGTTGGTCTGCCAGAAGGTCTCTTGCTTTGTGGTGCCATTGACCTTGGTCTTCAGGTCGTCCCACTTGAGTCCAGTGCCAGTCTGGTATCCAAGGATCTCCCACAATGCTTTGGTGTCGAGCTTGACATACTTGGCTCAGGCATCGCAGCGCGGGACCAAGGTGCACTGTGCTCGAGGGACATTGTGTCGCTTCTTCGTCTGGGCAAGCCGGTCGGTCAATCGCTTGATCCGTTTCATGTTGATGGTGATCTGCTTGCACACCTCCTCGTGCTGGGTCTGGAGATCTTTGAGTCTGTCAGCCCCGATGTGGTGGATGGGTTGACACATCTCCTCGTTCAGTCGCCCACGCTCTCCTTTCAGATCATCAGTCCCCCTCACGAGCCTGGGAATGATCATCTTCTGAAAGACCACCATGAAGAGGGCCTCCTTCAGGTGGGTCAGTCGAGAGACTTCACTGGCCAGTTTCGATACAACTCGATACAGGTCCTGGTGGCTTTCGTACCGAAGCTCATACAACTGGTCGGCATGGTGGGCGAAGGATTTCCTCAGATCACCGAGAAGTGTCTTGGAGAGGGGATTCTCCATCAGCTTCATACAATCGTCGACGTGTGTATGCCGTTTCACACCCTTGGGAGCAATCAGGGCCAGATTGCAGAATCGGCGTAGAAGGGACCAATATCGATCGAGAACGTGGGTCTCACAGTTGACGGCATAGGTCTTGACAGCCAATGTGAGGACCTGTGACCCAGTACCCTTTGGAAGGGACACTGGAGGCAGGATACACGTCTCACTCCATGCACGCCGATACATCTCATAGGTGTCGATGATGTGCCTGTCATCTTCTGGGGTGTTTGTCCTGACACTCACTGTTCCTGTCTGCACCATATTGAAGCACTTTCGAACAAACGAAGGTGTAGTTGATGACACGGTGGGGAGGGTGATGCCCTCGTCCAAGCACCGCCTGAGATGCAGCTCCAGGAGTCGAGATGCTTCGTACTGCACTTGAGTCATGGCTCGGACAGTCTCCTCGATCTTGTCGTGCAAGGTGTCGTTCTTGATGATGGCATCGAGGGTGCACTTGACGGTGGAGTAGTCGGCCTTGACTTGCTCGTTTGGGCCACAGCCCGGCAAGGTAGAGCTCCAGAGTGGGTTATAGAAACGGCACTTTGGGGTGTTGCTTCTGGCATGACCCACTTGCTTGCACGTGGCACATACAGGGACCTTGGGTGCTTGGCTGACCATTTCAGCGACCGAGGCAGGGCTGCTGTCGATTCTGGCTGTGCACTTCTTGGTGAAGGGCCTAACATGGTTGGTCAGGCCACAGGCACGACACGATTTGATGACGGGTTTCTTGGCCACAGGAGAGTCACTGGGTGATCCTGGGTCGGGGTCGGGGGGTGTCTTTCTCTTGGGAGCCATCTGGCGAGAAAATAGCAGCGATGGCTGGTTCTTGTCAGGAACGGAGCTGGACTTTGGCACCAGACAGCTGATGGTAGTCGAACGGACGGTCGTAGGACGAAGGGGAGTGTATTCAATAGGCTAAGGGCAGGATACACGAGGCAAGGTGAGGTGCTGGTTCTGAGGCCACAGCACCTCGTTTATATCTCTAAACGCCGTCCTTGTTCGCCGCAGATTTTTCTTCCACTACAAAGGAGATTGGTTATCTGCGACGGGGGGAGATTAGATCCGAACGTTTCCCTCGCCCGCCGGGAGGTTTCATGTCAGTGCCTTACCCAACATTGCACATCAAGGAAACAGGACACGGGTTGGGGCGCCCATGAAACCATCCACCGGGCGTGGAAACGCGGTTCATGACAGTTCTGCCCTTGGGGAAGAAAAATTCTCCTCAAATCCAGCGCATTTTGGGCTGGCAGAGATACTGTGTAGTGGCGTCCTTGATTCAGATCCAGAAACGCATCGCTCGCTCAATCAGTCGTGGGAAGACATCTTGTCAAGGTGAGTCTTGCCTGATAGCCAAACGATCATGTCATCTCACTGACACACAGCCACGCTTGACTAGGTTTCCAACCAGAGAGATTCAGATGGTGGTGGTTCTTGTCCGCAATCGGAGTGGAGCTTCCAACAATGATACAATTGGTCATTCCTCCACACCAATTGCCCACCACCACCGTCAATCGGCTCAAGGTGATACCAAATGCCGTCAACCGACCATGGCCGGATTCCAACTTTTGCTGCGCCACATACAACGTGACTTTCAGGTGACCGAGATGAGCAGCCGCGAGGGGGCCGTAAAAAATTGATAGTGGGATTGCTTCGGTTGAGTGCTTCGGTTGAGTGCTTCGGAGGGCCGTCCACAAACGGCAGGTCCAGCCCTCCCCGCTTGGATCGAGCCACCGGATCGAATCGGGCTGTCTGGATCCAGCCGCCGTCCTTTTGCTTTTTCGGGCGTTTGCCGCTCTGGCTCAGCCATCCGATCAAAAGGGCCTGTCCGGGAGGTTTGCCTTGCATCTCGCCTTTCGCCTCTCGCACCCTGCTTTGCCCGCCCCGGCCCCCTTGCAAGCGACCGTCTGCCCCCCCCCAGCTGAAAATTGACTGCCGAGGTGAGAGCATTGATCGGCTCTGGAGCCGCGATGCGCTGTGTCACGGCGACGGCTGGTCTTTGGTTTTCCGGAGATCTGCCAGCCACCTTCCCCCCGAGATCCTCGATCAGCATCCGCCTTCATTCCCTATCTTTGCTGCTTCTGGTTGCGACGGAATTGGCCTCGGTGGACACGAACCACACATGCTGGACAGACCAGCCCGGCGACGGCCGCCGCCTCCGTAACCATGGCCTGATCTTCGCCAAGCACGGCGACGAGATCTGTGTGCGTGTCCGTTTCTGGCCGGTCGCCCGGCTGGCTGGGCTGTTGGTCTGTCCGGCATTTCTGGTGTCTGGCTGGCCCCCCAGCGGCTCCCGATCCGCTCGGGCAGGGGCAGATGGGATGAGGAGCGTCAGCGTTCGGGGTCGATTCGGCTGTCGTCTGTTGTCTGTTGTGAATCTTGGCATTCTGCATTTGCGTTTCATTTTTATGTCGGCGGCTGAGTCCTGCATCCACTTCCTCGCAACGGCTGGCTCTCTCTCTCTCTCTCGGCCTTCTCTTGGTCCTTGCTTGCTGCGTGTCGTCTGCGCACTCCTTGCCTCCGCACTCCTTTCCTCATCCCTCTCTTGTTTTAATATGTATCTCTCCCATCTCCACGCCACGCAGAGTAACGTCCTCCATCCTCTCAGCTGCTCCTCCACCCTCCATATCTCCAGCCAAGTCCAAATCCACACCACACTCCGCCTCCCGCCTCCAGCCAATCCTCAACGCACTCTACCACCCTCGAGTCTCCTCGATTCGATCAGCTCCTTTCGCTGGCCCTCGGTTTTGCCCTCCTACACAAGCGCCCCAGCCATCTACCCTCTTTTGAGCACCTGTTTCACCCACTGCTCCTCGGCCGCGACCCTTTCTTGCCTCAACCCCCGGATCCACGAGCACCCATGCACTCCACAAACAGCGCCGAAACGTTTAATAACTCGAGCCCTTCACCCGACAGAAAACGCTCTCTGGAAGCTGGCTCAGATGAGGACGAAGACCTCGGCTCCCGCGGAGGCCGCTACAAGCGACAGGCAGCCGAGCCCCTGAAGCCCGGAGACGCCCCAGCCCCCGTCTCTGTACCGAGCGAAGATCTCAACCACTCCTCGGGCGACCATCCTACCGGCACGGGCTCTGGCTCCAAAGCCCACCACGGTCCTTCGGGAGGCTCGGATGCTCCTGCGGCGCGTTATTTTTCGATGCGTGCCCTGGTCGCCACCAAGGACGCGGGTATCATCATTGGCAAGAGCGGACGAAACGTGGCCGAGATCCGAGAAGAGAGCGGTGCCAAGGTCACTGTCTCGGAGAACATCTCGGGTGCCCCCGATCGAGTCATTACCATCACCGGCACCCTCGACTCGATTGCCAAGGCCTTCTCTTTGATCGCCAAGAAAATCGTCCAGGAGTACCCCGACTCGACCGTCGACATCAACCAGCGCCCCTGCACAATCCGTGTTCTCGTGCCACACACCCGCATGGGTTCCGTCATCGGCAAGTCTGGCATCAAGATCAAGGAGATCCAGGATGCCTCCAGCGCCAAATGCACAGCCTCGGAGGAAATTCTCCCCAACTCTTCCGAGAGAACTGTCACTGTCCATGGCGTTATTGATGGTGGGTATCATTGCGTCGTCACCGTTTAAGGCGATGGTGGCTCTGGCTGCAGCGACGATGTCTATGATGGTAGCGAACGAGTAATTGTGTGCTGAACGAGTCCTCCGTGAGCTTTGCTCAATCAGCGACGCATCCACACTGGCTTGCACCACCGTATTTTCCATCCTCGCACATACTGATCATACATCACTGTTGCTGTAGCTATCCATATTGCCACCTACCATATCGGCGCTGTCCTCCAGGAGCATCCCGAGCGATCGATTGGAACGATTCTGTACAAGCCTCAGGCGCTCTTCCGCGGCATGCAGTACCCGCCGATGCCCCCGCACGGATACTATCCCACTGGCGCAGTCGGGGCGGCTCCGTTTGCAAGCCCGATTGCAGGCAACCGCCCCGTGATGCCCGCGGGTATGATGGCCCCCAGCAACCCGGCCGCTGGACTCCAAATGCAGCAGATCTTTATCCCCAACGAAATGGTTGGTGCGATCATTGGCAAAGGTGGCAGCAAGATTAACGAGATCCGCCAAGTTTCCGGCTGCCAGATCAAGATCGCCGAGGGCTCTCAGGGCGCGACCGAGCGGCTCATCACCATCACTGGATCACCCGAAGGCAACCAGACGGCCCTGTATCTGCTCTACAACCGTCTTGAGGCCGAGAAAGTTCGACTAGGCACCAACTCGGCTCACTCGAGCCAGCGCTAGCCATCTGCAGTCCTGGTAGCGGTTGCGATGCATTCTGCTTGATGTTCGTTTGCTGGAGCCCATCCCATCACTCTTTGCCCTTCTCTCAACTTCTTTCTGCTTTGCATGCCGGTTCCTCGCTGTGGATTGAGCGACCCAACCCGAACTCGATTCACTTTGGCCCGGAAGAGCTACTTCTGTACAAAACGAAACAGGACCCCCAGACTTTCTGGCTCTGTCTGGTTTCTAAATACACATATGCCTATACATTCTACGTGTCGAGCTTGAAAGGGTTGGTGCCGATTGCGAGCCATCGATCGACGTGGATCTATACCGCAGAAATCGCCCCTGCCAATGCCTGGCTGCCCTACCCACGCTTCCATCGCCACAAGTCTCCCGATCCATCCCGTGAGATGCGTGCGTGACCCGCCGGAGGAGGCGAGTGCTGCTGCAATTGAATGCTGTACAGCAGTTGGAGACTGTCGGACATCCACTTTGCTGCATGTTGCATCTCCGTCCTGAATGTCTCCGGTGCTCCCGGACGGACTCATGATCCCGGGTCGGCGGACCTGGCGCTTGCCCTCCACCCATCAGCACGCCAGCGTCATCGCCTCAAACGGCGTCCTGCTGGCGGTCCGCCCGTCTGTCCCTCCATCTATCGCTCCATTCAATCCTGGATCAACTATCTCGACAGCTGGTGCCCACTTGGCCGGGTCGGGTAAGGCGAGCGCATACGGATTCCTTTGCTGTTCATGGCCATTGCATGGCGCACCCTTGGCACCGCCTCTTGGCGCCATTATGGTCGCCCATACATTAATCTTGGCTTCTACTTTCGATTGCTCACGGTGACTGACAGCGCCGAATCAATTGACCGTATCCATGTCGTCGCCATCGTCACCGCTGAGTTCCAGTATAGTTCCCAACAAGCCTGCCCCTGTCGTCTCAAGCAATCCGGCCATCAGCGCCCTCTCTGCCCTCCTGCTTGCCAGCAAGGGCGGACAAGGCCGTGCAAGCGACGGAGCAGCGTTGAGTACCGGGGCTCTGCTCGTCAAATCGAATGCTGACGACAGAGCACAGCAACAGCAGCAACAGCAGCAGCAGCAATCCAACCGTGTCCGCATTTCGAGATCCAGAGACCGCGGTGGCATCGAAAATCTATGGCCGGGCATGGTTCCGTCAAGCTCGGGCACTTCGTCAGTCTCGGCAGGAAGCTCGTTTGGCGGCCGTGACGGCCAACTCTCTCCCAGCAACCACTCTACCAATACGCCTCATTCCCTTGGCCTGACAATGCCGATCCCTATCCAAGTCGGCTCTCACAGCTCGGTTGCGACCTCATCGTCATCGTACATGGCTTTGTCGCCGACCTCAGTCATATCAAGTTCCCCGGCAGCTCAGGGTCCGGCTGCCGCCCTCCAACGGATCGTTCTTCCGTATGTACCGGCCTCTGGCTCGATCCTCAAGCGAGCTTGCCAGGGCAGCGGTAAGAGTTACTATTCCCTGTCGGCGCAAGCCGACCGATTTGTGTGCGAATACGACACCATCCACCACTTGGCCGAATGGAGAATCAAGAACTCCCACGATCCACTCTTTGGTCTTAGGTGCGATGCTGATGATTTGCTGGATGTCCCGCACACGACGTCACTGCTACATGGTTTGCTTGCCCAGCTATCCTAATATCTTTACTTCGTCTCTGGACATAGTTGCTGCGCCCTCTGTGATCCCGAGTCATGGACCTTTCAGGGATCGCAGTATGATTCGAGCCTGGCCCATCTCTATGCGGACACAGATGGATGCATTCCCTCAAGCGTTATTCTTAACTACCCAAAGTTCATTGTTCCCTGGCGCTATCGTAACAAGAAGACAGGCGCGATTTCGTGGAAGATCTTCCATCTCTGTGGCGGCAAGGTCGAGAGCAGCGACAGGTTTGTTCCGGGACCCACCCTGCAGTGCAGCTTGGGTTGATGTACTTGGCAGAAGCAACCCGCATGAAGCACAGACTATCTAGCCACAGGGGCTTCGGCAGCCCCAATGAGAGACAACAATACTTATTTCTGTCGCTACTTTGCCAGCGAAACCATCATCGTGAACCCATTTAAAGACCGAAAGCTCATGCACACCATCAACCAAGTGCGCGAGCAGTACCGGAGGTCAGTGTATCGAGGCCACTGCCCATTCATACACTCTGCCACCTCACGAACGCTTGTTTCCAGTGGCTGTTGTTACCGACAAAGAGCGGAAACAGCGACTCTGTTCAGCGTCTCTGACGGGATGCCTGCTCTATCTAGATACGAAATGGGCCGCCCGCTCGTCGACTACCTTCTGCGAGTCATTCAAGAGATCCTTGGGGACTATGGTTTGCCCGGTGGACCTACCAGCTCCAAGGCCGACGAGAATCTGCTCAAGCAAATGAAAAAGTAAGCATCCTCCTTCGGCAATAGTCCTTCGTTCTCGGCTGTAGTCGCTCTGTGCTCGCCAGCGATCCTGATGGCATCGGGCCTGGGGCTGCCGCGACTGCTGCGTTAACCAGAGCACGCATTCGTATCAATAGGCAAGGACACAACCTCATGCTGCTCTGTGAGGTTGAGATTGGCCTTTGTCGACACAAAGCTCTGCTGTTCAAGATCCTCTGTGATGTTGTCGGACTTGAGTGTGCGCTCGTGACGGGTTATTCTACCGCCGGTCGCCACCAGTAAGTCACTTTCCAGCATGCCACGGGATCCATAACTACATTGGAGTGATGCCAGCACCGCTGCCGTTTTCTCTGCTCTGCGACTTTCTTTGCCGCTGCACTTGAATACGCTTCATTCAGTTCTGACGACCACCCGTTGAATATCCCTATTCTCGATTTTGCGCTGGGCAGATGGAACATTGTCACCCTTCCGGGCCACGGTGACTTTCTGATCGATCCAACATCGCCTTACTTCACTTGGGCGAAGAAGGGCAGCCAGCGAGCCAAGGGCTACAAAATCAAGGCGGATGACTCGTTCGGGCACGCTGGCTTCACTGCGAAGGATATGGGGTTGTTGTAGCCGATCTCGGTGGGCTGTCGATCAGCGATTGCTGTTGGGCTGGTTGGTCGGTTCCGTCTTGTTCCGTCTTGTCCCATGTTGTTCCGTGTCCTGAACTACTGCTATGGCTTTATGCCTTCGATGACCTGTCCTGCTGCTGCAAAGCTCGTTGTCAGCCGGAGTTAAGGCGCCAGACAGTAAAGCGGAACATCCTGGCTTCATCTTGACGGGAAGAGATAGTCGTGGGAGCGCCTGGTTCAATAACAAGGCATTCCGTTTTCACTGCGCTTGCCGAGCTTTGGCCAACCCACGCCAAAGTGGCAGCGCAATATTGCCTGTTGGGGTTGCGCTTCGCGCTGGCGGTTGTGCCCAAACCGCCTTCACTCTCCATTCACAACCCTGCCCTGATCTGTGGTCCGGTTGCCCTGACCCAAAGTCTGCCTGTCGATCATCCTCGCTCGCCCGCTCCAGCGACTTGCTTACACTACCCGCACCGCAAGCCGAGTCGCTGTCCTTCAATTGCTCGGTCGTAGGGTGTCATCATGTCCGAGAGAGAAAACCCCAACCCGCCGGCCGCTTCGTTCCGCCCATCGACTCTGTTCGAGTATTTCCACCCAAAGACAACCAATCTTGTCACCAGGGTCAAGCCAAAGGCGTCTCTGGATGTGATCGACCTTGATGATCCCAAGCCAGTCGCAGCTTCGCTCAATGTCTATCCTCGGGCCTCCCACAGCACTCTTGTGCCGCTGCCGAGACCCACACCTGTGTCGCAGCTGGCGGGGGCCAAGAAGAGCGGCCTTGGCCCAACTTCGTCGTCGGCAAAACTTGGAGGCAATCCTGTTACTCGACTAGCCGTGCTTCGATCCGCTCAGCTGCAACGCCAGTCGAGCTCTGCCTTGATCTATGATGTCGATGCTCCTTCCGAGCCTGGGCCCACTAGCTTGTCGACAAAACGAGTCGCCGAAACAGCTGCTCACTCCCTATACACAGCCCCTCATCCCCCGGAAAAGAAGATGCGAGACGAATATTGGGATCTAGAGCCTCGCTGGCAATCGAAAAAAACAATCGTTTTCCAGAGCGGGTCAGTCAGGCGTAATCCCTACGAAAGCAAGAGATTTGGAGACCACGATCTTTCGGAGGAGCAGGCCAAGGTCCTGGAGCTCGTCAAGACCGGCGAAAATGTGTTCTTCACCGGAAGTGCCGGCACGGGCAAGAGTTTCCTGCTCCGCAGGATCATCTCGTATCTCAAAGAAACACATGGGTCTGATCAGGTTGCAATCACGGCGCCGACCGGCATAGCCGCCGTCAATATCGGTGGCTGCACGCTGCACTCGTTCGCAGGATTCGGCCTTGGCAAAGGTAGGTCCTCCAATACTTGGGCAAATTGTTCTCCTCAGCTCGCTCACTGACAGTCCGAGCCGCGGGGTGGCTCTATTTTCGCTACGGGATGCTCTGCTCGTCCTTCTTGGCCCATGCCTCAGATCTCGATGACGCACGTCGGCAATTGCGCTGACACATCATTTGCGGTGCTGCGGATGGTGCAATTGATACAATTGATGCATTCGCCACCACGATCCAACAGGCAGCGTATTGGCATTGGTGGCATTTATCAAGAAGAATCGACGAGCGGTAGACAGGTGGAAAACAACCCAGTACTTGGTGATTGATGAGAGTATGTACTGGGCATCTGACCTCGGGTCCTCTCGACGAATGCATGGCTTGGATCGTCTTGGCGCGCAATTCTGCAAGCAGCAGCATTTCCAGGTCCATCTTGAACTGACTTGCCTTATTGATCCATCATGGCTGTCCCAATCGGGTCCAACTCAGTCTCGATGGTCGATGCAGAGATGTTTGACAAGCTGAATGCAATCGCCCAAGATCTCAAGGGCAAGACGGTCCCCTTCGGAGGCATCCAGGTCGGTCATCTGCGGGTGTTGGTTCGACTGTGGTGGATATGGTGACCTTTTCTTTGACCGACAGACCCCACTTCGATTGCCGCCTACTGCTCGCTCAACCGGCGTTCTTTACTCCATGTGTATGATCCACTGTCGGTCATGCGCTACCGAAATCCACGAACAATGTGTGCCTCAGCTCATCATCTGTGGAGACTTTCTCCAGCTGCCACCTGGTAACTATCCGCCAATGCAAGCCTGTATCGATCACGGCTGCGGCTTTGACCGGTCCTGATCGCTGGGACACTCAACTATGTTTGATCTACTATTGCAGTGGACCGAACGCCAAAGTTTTGCTTTGAGTCGGCTTCCTGGGGCGAATGTGTTCCTCACACGATCAAGGTATCGACTTTCGATCTGGCTCGTTGGCTTTCCTGGCGCAAACATGCATAAAGCGATCCTGTGGACGCCGCTCGGCCGCTTCATGGTTCAAGCTGACAAACTGATTTGTCCCATCAGCTCTCGAAGGTTTTTCGACAGAAAGAGCAGAGCTTCGTGGACCTCCTCAATGAGCTTCGGATGGGCATCGTCACGGACACGACGGTCGAAATCCTCAAAAGGCTCTCTCGGACTGTGCAGTACCCAGACGATGGAATCGAGCCGACCAGGCTGTAGGTCTTGGTCGATCATCGCTTTCTACACCCAACTTGGTAGAGCTCGGCTGAAACTGGCACCGAGGCGGCATATTGAGGCGCCGCATTGAGGCTCAGGGACCTTACCGCCCAAAACCGATTCCCGTGCATTCACAACTCTCCTCTAGATATCCGCTGCGAGCCCAAGTAGACTCGGCCAACCTCGCAAAGCTCAAGTCACTGCAAAAACCTATCATGGTTTTCAAAGCATCGGACTCGGGAGACGAACACAATGTGAAGAAACTAATGGACAGCTGCATGGCCCCAACTTTGCTGGAGCTGTGCATCGGTGCCCAGGTGATGCTGCTCAAGAACAAGAGTCCGACGCTCGTCAATGGGTTAATGGGCCGGGTGCTCGATTTCGATAAGGGCGATGGTCGTCCGATCATCCAGTTTGTAAACGGCCAGATCGAGCATATACAGCCAGAGCTGTGGCTTCTGGAAGTGAAGGGAGTAACACTGGCAAGTCGTAGCCAGGTAAGTGTCGGGTCCATCTCTGGACTCACCCGTCGCCTGGCCGATGCTGCCTGTCCACCCACGATGACGCTCTGTGGCGGGCCGCTCCATATCGCGCGAATTGATTGCCTCTGGCTCTCCCTACCAGCTTCCACTCTGTCTGTCCTATGCACTGTAAGTTGAAGCACGCGCCTTCTCACTTTGCGCCCCGGTGAACCAGTCCAACTCAAGGAGAGGGGGAGTCTGTGACTTGGCATACTAATCATCCGGCGGTGTCGATTTCCGGTTCACAGGAGCATCCACAAAAGCCAGGGCCAGACTCTCGATCGAGTGATCGTGGATCTGCAAAATATATTCGAGACAGGCCAAGCCTATGTAGCCATCTCGCGAGCCACATCCATCGACCGAATCCAGGCAAGTACATGCTGATGCATAAGCCGACTGGCGGACAAAATGCTGATACTGGCCATTGATGCAGATCCTCAACTTTGAAAAGTCCAAGATCAAGGCACATCCCAGGGTAAGTGCCGCACCGTGGCGGCTGGTTCTGGTAAAAGTGCGATCGCTGACCTCTGCTTGACTTTGCTCTATCAGGTCGCCCAGTTTTACGAGCATCTAAAGGAGCTGTAGGGCCAGCAGGAAGATAGAGTGCCGCTCTGCGCATCTCCGCTTTGTCGACAAGTGATCGTGCTTGCGAACGGGACGCTGCACAATCATGATAATCAATTTGCACGCCATGGATGCGTGGTGAGACACTGCCGAGAGCCCGGAGCCCGGAGCCTGGGAGTACATGCAGAGCGTTGAGCTCGTTGGAGAGCTTCCATGAGACGCGGTGCGCCTGGGTCGCCCAGACAATCGCGCGATGGGTCGCATGTCCGAGCGGGCTCCTCATGCCCTCGGCCTCCCGCCTCCCGCCTCTGGCCTCTGGCCTGTGCTGTCAGAAGCGCCGGCTGCCATGTCGTCTGTCAGCTGATCCCTCATTCGTGGCATCCCGGCCGGGATCCCCGCCGGAGCCAGCGCCCAGACGAGCGGGCAGAGGGCCCACAGCGGTATGGATGTTTGCCAGGGTGGCCCCGGAATCCATCGTTCTTCTTCCGCCATCCGGCACCGTTGTAGGCTCCTCGCTGCGTCTCAATCATAGGCGCCCACGTCCGCACTCTGCCTTTCTGGGTCTTTTGCGGGTCTCTTTGCCGCCGCCTCTCGCTGTCCGCAAACCCGACGACAAGTTTTGCCTTGACCTTTGCTCTCTACCAGCACCCGATTGCCTTAAGCTCGAATCGATGCTCGGATCGATGCTCAGGGCACTGCAGCTTCCCAGTCTCGCAGCCGCCCCTCGCATCCGTGTACTCAGTCCCCTCCGCCGGCCGGGAACTGCACTCAGGGGGGTCCGTCCAGAGTCGCTTTGCTGCTTCAGCACCCTGCAGGAATCTTTGCTCGGTCTCGAAGGGTCGGGTCCAACGATCATCCGTAATCCTACTACGGCCCGATGCTATGAGGACGCCCTGCGTTACGAAAGCGGCACCCGCATCAGCTCGTCGGGTGCTCTGGCGGTGGTCAGTGGCCTCAAGACCGGAAGATCTCCGTCCGACAAGCGGATAGTCCTGGAACAGCAGCATGAGCACAACATCTGGTGGGGACCTGTGAATACCGGTCTCAGCGAGCTGTCGTTTCTCCAGAATCGGAAACGGGCGATGGATTTTTTGAATAGCCGCAAGCGACCTGTATGTGAGTACCCGCTGCAGATTTACGGCTCTGGTTGGTCAAGCACCACAGACTGGAGCAAGTGTGATGTTATGGACTGAGTTCTCAGCGGAACCCTCGCTCCGGCGATTTCAGACGTCGTCGAAGGCTACGCTGGATGGGATCCCTCCGCTCGCATCAAGGTGCGGGTTGTGTGCACCCGTGCATACCACGGTAAGGTTAGCTCTGATCAGACAAAGCCGGCCACTGTCTCAGGCACAAGCAAAAGTCCGGATAGCGTCATGGTTGCAAGCGAACGCACAGCAAACGCCGCCGTCGCAATAACAGCTCCTTCGTCGGATCCTCTCGTTCGTTGATGCAGCGCTGTTCATGCGGAATATGCTCATCCTGCCAAGCTCCGAGGCCGAGGAGCAGTTTGGCTCGCCCGACTTTACGATATACAACGCTGGCGAATGCAGCGCCGATCCAGATGTCGACGGGAACACGTCCGCAACCTCGGTCTCCATATCGTTCGATCGCAGCGAAATGATCATTCTGGGAACAGAGTATGCAGGAGAGATGAAGAAGGGGGTGTGTAGGTATCCTGCGAGTCCATTTCGGGTGCTGCTGCTGTGCCTTGCTGAGAACAACGATGGTGCTAACGTCCGATTGAGTAACTTATCCACCCGCTTCGTCGTAGTCACCGTGATGCACTACCTCATGCCCTCGAGAAATGTTCTCTCGCTCCATGCGTCCGCAAATGAAGGCAGCGATCGCTCCGCCAAGGACACACACCGCAGCACCACAAGCAGCGGTGAGCCAAGCGACGTCACTCTATTCTTTGGCCTTTCAGGAACGGGCAAAACCACGCTATCGGCTGATTCCCGACGCCGACTCATTGGCGATGACGAGCACTGCTGGACTGAAACAGGTGTATTCAATATCGAAAATGGCTGCTACGCCAAGGCCATTGATCTGTCGCGAGCCAAAGAGCCGGAAATCTTTGATGCAATCCGCTTCGGTACCGTTCTGGAGAATGTCGAGCTGGACGACGAAACCAGGGAGGTTGACTACTCGAGCAGGCGCCTGACCGAGAACACTCGGGCATGCTATCCAATTGAGCACATGTAGGGATTTTACGCACCCCTCCGACACATTTTTCACACCACTAAGGTTCCGTTCCAAGAGCAGTGTGGCCTGAAGCGTCATGCCTCGCCCGTAGTATCTTTGTATTATGATCTGGTTGATGACTTGCTGCAGTGTTATTAACTGGTACTCTCGGTCAACTTGCCCGCTCCCCTGCCGCAGTGCCAACAGCAAGATCCCTTGCATCGGCGGTCATCCGAAGAACATCATATTTCTGACGTGCGATGCATTTGGAGTACTCCCTCCGGTTGCACAGCTGACTCCCGACCAGGCCGTGTATCATTTCTTGAGGTATATTGCAATCCGGTTAGGGCACCCTGCTCAGCCGAGACAGCTCTGTCGTTGATGCTTGGACTTCTCTAATGCGTATTGGCAATCTTTGCCTTACTTCCGACTCTGGCTTCTTCTTCTCCTTCTCCGCGACCAACGGGCATTGCCGTGATCGATCTTGGACACGGCTCTGCAGCGGATACACAGCAAAGATTGCAGGAACAGAGGACGGTGTGTCGGAGCCTCAGGCGACATTTTCTGCATGCTTTGGGCAGCCCTTCCTGGTTTGGCATCCTGTGATTTACGCAAACATGCTTCGCGACAAAATCCGAGGTGCTCTATACGATCCTGACTCCCTTATGCAGCAGGCCCCGAGCCGTTAGCCAATACTCTACTCCACAACTAGCTGCTGCGGCGACGTTTGATGTAAAACCAAATCAACTACGGATGACCATGTGTCTCCCGGCCCGGTATCCAATGCGCGCTCTAAACAATGTGATTTCTCCCCGTCGATCTATAGAGCACAAGTCGGCAGTATGGATGATCAACACTGGCTGGACAGGGGGCAGGTATGGCACTGGAAAGCGCATCCCTCTTCAGCTCTCAAGATCAATTGTTGATGAGGTAGGCTGGCCGTGTTGGGTTTGCTCTCAGTGGGCCCCAGCCGTCCCACTCGGCAAGGGCCAGCATAAGCATCCCGATTGGAGCTTTTCCACCTTGGCCGCTCTCGCTGATCCTATGCCACACTTTCCTCGTGTCCGCACAATCGCGCAAGATTCATTCGGGTCGATTAAGTGAGAGCATGAGCTCTGGGATCCAACAAACCTTCCCGGTCTTCAACCTGGCGATTCCAACCGATCTTCCCGGCATGGGCGCCTCGTTCCGATCGATTCTCGACCCGAGAAGTGGTTGGCCATCGGGCGCAGCTGATTTTGATCAGAATCTTCGAGAGCTTGCACTCCTCTTTGACCAAAACTTCGCACAGTTCTCTGGCCAAGTTGGCACTCAAGTTGCCCGCGCCGGAGTAAAGCTGTGAGCGTATCTTCCAACAGTGCATACGATGGCACTTTGCCTTGCTTGCGGCCGGAAACATTCTCAGGCCATTGCCGGTCCTAGAGCCGGATCCAGGATGCTCGTGTTGGCAGCAACCACGCCGACGCCATCCTATTGTTAGCACAGATGACAGCTTCAATCGACAGATGGCTGGACATGAATTGGTCGACGACTAATCAGTGCAAACCTATCGCAGAGTGACTTTATCCAGCAACGCGGATTGCCTTCTGAAATATACAGCTCTTGCGCAAAATCGAAATACTTTGAAAAGAATCGGTGGCGAGACGATCAGAAGCTGCCGGGCGGCACTGATCAATGGGTGATGATCGACCTGCACACTGCGTCCATTTGTCCAGTGCGATTGAAACTGTTGCTCTGGGCTGGTATGCACATAATACAGCCGTCACGCACTGCAGCTGACGGATTGTGCTCCACTTGGGTACACTGCATGAATTTCGATGTATTCGGAAACCAGAAAGTGGTCGATGGCCTCAAAACAGCCCGTCCGTTTCGGCTAGAAACCCTTGCAAGTCAGTCCATGTACACATAGACAACCTTCCCATCGAGGTCGTAGCTTGCAATGTATGTGCTTTCGTCGAGAACAATCGACCCGATGGAGCTCGAGGGCCTTTCGCCGTCTGCCAATGCCGACGTAGAGGTCGGTGGGCTCTCGGTATAGATGTATAGCCTCAAGGGAGCGACGCGTTTATGTGACTTCCGGAGCAGCTTCTGCACATATCGAAGAATGGCCGACACAAGCTCATCCTTTCTGAACTCTGCAGGATGCCTTGTTCCGTCTGGGAGCTTCAGCAAAATCCTGATCGACCCCGAACATACGGGTAATGCGGCGCTCTCCTCGTGTCGATACCCGACAGGCGTTTCATCATGAAGTAGATCTAGGTGACCTGCATCGGCCGTGACCAGCCCCCCAACATCGGCATCGGAGGCTTGTTTGGCCACCGAGTCATCAGGAGCTTTGAAGCTCAACGGCTGTGGCGAAAACGACAGTGGTTTGTTTCTGGCCGTGGACGCCACCGATGCCTCGGTCTCCGTCGAGAGAGCATTGCTGCGCTTGACTGGAGACAGGCATCTCTTTGAGGAGGCAAAACCCATGGGTTCAATATCATCGTCGAGACCCTCGGCCCTGGCAATGCCGCTAAATTGGGCCGCCCCAAACACATCCGTCTCTCGGATGGATGATGCCTCGCGGGACAGGAATGGGGCGGCGCTGAGCGGCGAGAGAGTGACGAGGTTGCGCTTCATTGCTGCCGTGTCGGATTTCTTGCTAGCTGGCTGAGCAACAGCAACCGAGACCGGTTTGGCATGTGTTGGTGTCAGCTTCTCATGGCTGTCGCGTGGATCGTTAGTGTCCAACGAATTCAGAATTCGCGATCGAGCAGCGTTCACATCCAGCGGCGGAAGTGAAGGAGCCTTCTTCTATGGGCAGCCGTAGGTTGTGGTATGGCGATGAGTAGGTGGAGGGGCGCGAGGGAGCTACGGCTCTGCATCCCGCGGACAATCAACAATGAGCACCTTACCGGGTGCGCATAGCGCTTAGCCGGCTGCCCCTGCATCTTGAGGATCCGATTGATGTTCGTCTACTGAAGGGCGACCTATGAAATGGAGCCCTGAGCCTGGGGGGGGTGAGAGGCGAAAACTCAAACTCGCCTCCAGAGCTCGACGCTGGCTTGTGTCGGCCTATGCGTGAGAAGAGCGCTGGCGGGCCAATGGATGATCGGACGACGGCAGCCAGTGCCAATGAAAGCGCCAGTGCAAGTGCAAGTGCCAGGCCCGCCGTGGGAATATTGGGAGCAGCTTGTGCGACACGGCGCCGAGAGAAAAAAAAAAGTTCCTCCTGGTTGGCGCTGGGCCTGGAATTGATCAAACCCAGAGCGAGCAACACCAGCAGCGCGAGCAGCTGCGAGCCAGAGCAAGACACCTGCAGCCATGGGCAAGGGCCGTGATAAGAAAAAGAAGAACAAGGCTGAGAAGACCAGCGCCAAAAGCAAAGACAAGGTCGGTCTACAGTCTTTGCAGGGCCTGGCGGAGCCTTACCCAGCCAATGTAGCAGGAAATGACCTGGAGTATCTTGGAACGGTATCTAGGAACTCGAGAAGAAGCTCAAGAAGCAGTCCAAGAAAGCCAAGAATGAGCTAGATGAGCCCGAGGAAGACATCGATGCCATATTGGCAGACCTGAAGCAGCAGGTTGGTGCTGGAATGGGCTCCCCCCCCCTCCAAATCCAGATGGGCCCGACTCTTGAGCACTGCCAGATCCAAACAAGACGGGATGCACAGCATGTCTCGATGAGCACCAAAGCGGGCCGCTGTTTGTCCGAGGGCCGACTGATCAATTCCACACGGTGCCATCTTCATAGCAAGAGGAGATGTACAAGGTCACGGAAGAGATCAGCACAACCCCTCCCTCGAGGCGGGTCAACGGCACACTCTCCGTCAATCCCCTAAATCCTGCCGAGCTCATCCTCTTCGGCGGAGAGTATTTCGATGGCCAAAAGTTCCATCTGTTTAATGATCTGTACAGGTGGGCAGATCAGAGACTCGAGCAGCAGATCGGTAGCACCAGCCACACAAGACAACGGTGCGATCGTATATCGGATCTGCACGCCTTTCTGGCTCTGACACTCGATATCGGCATCGCATCACAATTGCTCGAAACGCTGGCGATGGTATGTGCCAGGTACAACACAGAGAAGAACGAGTGGCGCAAGATCACTTCGCCGAACAGGTACTAGAGATCAGCATATCATCTCCCAGAGCGCCAGAATGTGACAATCAGCACGACAGGGTGCATTCTGGGGGGGGGGAGCCAACCCACACCTCCGCTCAACCTGTCCTATCGCAGTCCAGGACCGCGCTCCTCGCATCAAGTTGGAATCACCCCAAACGGTCGCCTGTTTTTGTTTGGAGGTTGGTTTCTTGACTGGTTTGTGAACAGGGCGTAGTGACTGTTGGGTACTTTGGTCTGATCAATTCGCTCGATTCGCTCGTCGTGGCTTACATTCGATCTGTCCTTGGCACTCGACAGGAGAGTTTGTTAGTCCCAACGAAACCACATTCTTCCACTACAAGGACTTCTGGACCTTCGATCTCAAAACAAACCAGTGGGAGAAGCTTGAGGTGAAGGGTCGGCCAAGTCCCCGCTCTGGCCACCGTATTGCCATGTGGAAGCAGTATATGCTTGTATATGGAGGCTTTTACGACACCTACGCCGAGACGCGATAGTGAGTATTACGCTGCCCGATCATGGCACGCTGATGTGTCAGAGTGGCGTCTCACTATCAGCGGAGCGGCAACATCGATGGCTTCCCAACCCCAAGAATCTCGGGTCTCCAAGTAATATGCTCACAGTCACTTTGCATTCATCAATTTCATCGCAACATCCTGACGCGCCGGTACTTTCCCCAGCCACGATGATTTATGGTGCGTGCCTCCGATTGTTCAGTAATCTCGACGTAGAGAATATGATCTTGAGAGCAAGGCAGCTCATCAAGGTGTCACGTCATCAACCAACCAACCAGCCTCCCTTTTGTTGTGTGCGCTCATCCAGGGCATTCGATACCAACAACTACTCTGTATGTAACTGTATCACGCTCCCAAACAACCTCGATGCTTCCCTCGGTAGACGAAGGGTCTGGAAATGCACCGCTTTCTTACCCCCTCCACTACGGTTAGTGGCAAAAACTCGAGTTACCCGACCCAAAGCCATCCGCACGATCTGGATGCCAGTTCTTCAACATCCCGCAAACCGACAACGTGCTTTTGTATGGTGAGTAAAAGAAATCCCGGGCATTTCGACTCTGGATATACTGTGATTGATGTACTCCAAGCGATGGCGAAAGCAAGCCACAGTCTGACTGGCGCTGCACAATCGACACGCGTCTTTGGAATGGCCTTGGAGGCTGATCCTCATACAACTCCAATCTGTACAGGAGGATATTGCAAGGAAGTTATCAAGGGCCAGAAGGCTAGAGGTCTAGTCCACACAGGTGCGGTCCTTGCATTTGAGTCCACTGGAAAAGGTAGATCTGTAGCCCTGACACGCGCTTCGCATATCCTTATCACTCTGTGTGGCCAGATGCATGGATTTTGAAAATGACTCCTGACCTGAAGAACCTCAAGTGGGAGCGAAAGAAAAGGAACGCGTCCGCTCCGAGGTAGTAAATGGCCATGCCCTGCACATGTGCGAGCCAGCATCCTTCACGAAAACATTCATGCGGAATGCGCATTGACATCATCGCATCATTTATCCTCCAATAATAGCGCGAGAAGTGGATGCACCATGGTTTGCTACAAAAATCGCGGCATCATGCTTGGTGGTGTATCGGATATCGAAACGGAAGAAAAAATCGAGTCAGTCTGCTACAATGAGATGTATGTATGAAGGAGAAGTCGTGGTCGCAGCGACAGAGCATACCTGGATTGCGCTGGTGGATGTGTACTTTAGCCGATGGCATTGAAGTCACAGCAGTGTTATTCCTCATGGTAAAGCGACCGCCCTTAACAACGATATGGCATATTGCTCACCCCCCCCGGATCGCCAGGTACCAGTTCAACATTGGTAGGCGATGCTCAAGCTGGAGCCAGATTTGTGTTTATCGGCAGTCCAACCCAGAATGATTCGTGTTGAACAAGTACACTCCTGTACAGATCCTCGAACTGTACATATCGACTGAGCTTCTCCGTCCCCCCCCCCAGACTCAAACAAATGGTTTCCTCTGACTTTGAGACAATCCAAAAGCAAAAAGCCCAGAAAGAAACAGGATGCCAAAAAGGAAGATGAGAGCGACGATGAATTTTCGATCGAAAAATATCTCAAAGGCGACGAGGACGGCGACTCTGACGATGAGAGAGACGCTACAAGCGCACACAAGCCTACCGCTGCTGCCGATGATGTGCCAGAGACAAATGTACTTGCGCAGCCATGCCCTCGATTCAACACCATGCTCGCCATCTACAAGAACTTGCTGTTCATGTGAGTTGCTTTGCAAGATAACAGCATGTGTCCGATCCGAGACCATCCATTCGATTGTGCCTTTATGTTGCTGGGCTAATCGGATCACCCTATGGTTTTACGACAGATACGGAGGCATTTTTGAGACTGGAGCAAAGGAGATCACTCTAGCCGACATGTGGAGCGTCAACTTGGACAAGATGAACGAATTCAAGTGCATCGTTGCAGATGATGTAGATCTGGCGCAGTGGCTTGGTGAAGATAGCGACGATGAAGAGGACGATGAAGGGGGCGACGGCGATGAGGATGATGATGACGATGAGGATCAGGACGACGAGGAGGGCGATGGCGAAGAAGGCGACGACCCAACTAGCGACAAGGACGACGACAATGGCGCCGATGGCGCTGACGACAAACTCGCGGTCGAACCGAAGCCGGCTTTGGCAAAGGGCAAGGGCAAAAGCAAGCCCGAGAAACCCACGCCGGTTGCTGATCCTATCTCGCCCCGAAACCACGACGACTCGACCAAGGCAGCTCGGCCTGCGATAAGCGATGACACCGAAGATCAGGAACAGGTAATTGCTCCTATGAGTCCGCAGTGGTCTTGCGCTAGCGTAGCTAACATTGCCCTCGACTACATAGCTGATCGACAGGACCATGGAGGAGCCATATGTCACCGAGACTCTCAGGGAGTTTGTCCAAGTACGTATTGGCCGAGTGCAGGAACGAACCAAGTGGGGGCGGCGACGGCATCTACTGTTGTATGCAGTGCAGCAAATCAAGACACTAGGCAAAGTCCACTCGTTCAAGCCCAGCCCCGCACACCGATGGCCTTGTCTTTGGCGACGTTTTCTGCAGTCAACCAACTCCTTTTGTTCGCTCTCGTGTGCAGAGAACAAGCTCGTACTGGGAAAAGCGCGCCTACGAGGAGTTTGGCACACTGGGAGGCAAGCTGCTTCGTCAAGACGCATTCGAGCTGGCCCAAGAGTGCTTCAACGCCGCCCAGCCCACGCTCGAAATCATCCGCCAGCAGATGGCAGAGGCTGAGGTCGAGGAGCAGGAGCGAATTGCCCGAACCAAGGAGCAGCAAGCAGAGCGCCTCAACCGTAACCGCCGCTGATCGAGCAATCAAGGCATGTGTCAAGAGCACGCGTCGCTGGGCTCCATCTATAGGCTCGTATCGGCTCGGCAGTGCGCAAGATAGCAAAGGGCTGAAAGCAACTCTGTCTTCTCAAAGGACTCGATGAATAGATTCAATTGCCATCACATTTTCAGACCTGTGCTCATGCCAAGAAGTCGCCTCGTGCAAGGCCCATCTATAAGCCAGTGCATCGGAAATGGACGAGCAGAGCACTCTGTCACCACAGGGATACGCACCGCGCTTCCTCGCATCCAAACCGATTGTATCGGCCCTGTCATTGGCGAGAGCGGTGCCCACCCTATGCGACGCGACTCATTCCGAACTTTGTGCAGGGACCGCCTGTCGGCGCAAATACAGCCTCTTGGATCGCCGACAGAACCTGTCTTGTTGGAGCTCGGTGAGCTTTTCGGCCCAGGCTTGGAGTCGCTCTTCGAACTTGAGCAAGTCGCATAGGATGGGCTGGATGTGGGTCCTACGCCCATCAACCATCGAGCGATTGTCCCTGATCAAAATGTAGAGATTGGAGTTGGAAGGCGGCGTCTGAGCTGCGGCGGGCTGTGGTGGAGAAGGCTCCGGAACTGACAGGCCGGGCTTGGAGGTGCTGAGGGTGGCTCTCACGGTCGCCGCCCCGGATCTGCCCCGTTTCCGCTTGAGTCCCGAGTATCGAGATGTGCCCAGAGCGCTGGCAATAAAGGCTTCCTCATCCCAAAGAGTAGATAATGCCTTGTCCCAATCTGCCTTGCTCTCGTCCGAGTAACGGTCCAGCACAAGAGTCTGGTAGAGATGCTCAAGGATGAACTCGGCAACACCAAGGGTTTCTTCCCGCTGGGCAATCCGGAGTATGTCGGGCAAGTGTTGCACGCTAATTGAGATCCCGGCTCTGAGAAAATGCTCGGGCAGCGGACGCAAGCAGCATTGGGAATCTTTGCTACCCAGCTTTTGCATAATGTCATCGAAGCAAGCCTGCACAATTTCGTCACTGGAAGGAAATATGCGAAAGATCCACTTCCAGATGGTGGCCGGGTGCTGCTGGTGGTAGCAGCGCGTGCGAAACTTGATTTGGTCCTTTTGCGGGCAGCCCGTGGATTTGTGGGTCAGAAGAATGCCCTTGATCGTCGCCAGCGGGATCGAAAAGCTGTGTCTGAGATGCTATGGGTAGGAGCAGATGTGAGCCGATCGAGCTACTCGCACCGAGGAGATGTTTCGGCGTGTGCAGCTAAGCGTGATGCCATACCCCAGCCGCAAATCACCAGCAGCACACAGCGCCTTCAAATGAATGCGCCAGCTTTTACCTCCAGAATATGTTCCGAGGTGCACAAGCGATCGGGACCAAGTAGACTCTCGAGGGTATTGAGCACATGCCTGCTCAGCTCGCCTTCGGGCACACACTCCTTGAAGGCACCGATGATTTCGTTGCGAGCGAGCTGCAGCCCCAGATTGACGACCGACGACGTGAGCTTGAAGCCAAGTCGCTGGAACTTGGCGAGAGCCTCCTTGGGGCTCTGAAACTCCTGTCAACGCAATTTGGTGCGATAGACCGAACAAAGCACAATTCTGCGTTTGTAAGGACGAAATCTTCGTGTCCCCCGCACAAGTGTCACCGTACCCCGAGCGCACACGTTGTCGAGATGATGATGGAGCACCAATTGCACTAGTTGCATTCGCAGCCATCTCGGCGCTTCACCCACCTTTCGCAGAACCCATTTCATAAACTCGTCGTTGATAGCGTCGATTCTATATCCGTTCTTCTTCATGAGGAGAGTCAGCAGGTCAATGTCGATTTTGCCAAGTTTGTACAAAATGTACGCGAAACGCTCATCTTCCGGTGGTGGGAAAAAGCCGTAACGGACGATGAGGTCCGCAAGCTTGGATCGGATCTGCGCCGTGACATCATGCGGGTTGAGGGTGTTGAGGAGATTGCGGAAGGTCACGACGTCATCTTCCAGCAAGTCAAGCGAGTCTTCGTCGTGGTGATAGAGACTGGCTGCCTGCTGCCCAAGCCACGAGAGGAGGGCTGGACAGACGTGGTCAGATGAGCGAAAGGCGTGCTGGATAAGATAGCGCGGCAAGACTGAGCCGTTCTGGATAAGCATGTTTCCCAGGGTCGGTGTGAGAACGTTGCGTTTCATGGCAAAATAGAGGGCCAGCTTCGGAGTAAACGTGGTGCGAAGACGCGTTGCGACGGAGAATGGATGGCGGGCTATCACAGCGAATGCCGAGCAGACAAGCGGAAAGCAGGAGTGCGACTCGCTGGAGAGATGAGCGTATATGTGGAACCAGATCTCGACGGGCAAGACGAGCAGGATGCGACAGTGCTGTGCGAGTGGCTTCATGGTATGGCCGAGGTCAAGGAAAACTAAATACGAAGACGCGCGGTGGGAGTGAGGGCTGAACACCCTCGCAGCGGACTTTCGAGGCTAAGAACCGCAACCAGGTGATGAAAGCGATACCGAACAAGGGTTTGTGCCAATCTCCAATCACAATGATGTCGATAGGGGGAGTGCGTTGGCCCAGGAGAGTCTCATGATTGATATTGCAGCCTCGCAGACAAACAGCTCCTCCAGCCCAAGGGAGTGCTTGGATGCTTCATGTGTCCAGTTCAGTCCTCCGATACACACCGCATTCCTTCTGGAGATGTTCTTGCTCTGCGCCGCTCCAGACGGCTGGGTCGACGGGAAGGGTCGCATCATGGACACACCCAAGCAAGCGAGCCGAGAGTCGCCTGGTCGCTGTTCTCGTTGGCTGGGAGCACATTTGTGATGGCCGGACGCTGCAGCCAGGCGAGCATTCTCCATGAAGCCCCCTGAGCCGCGGTGTGCCCTGCAAGCGACCGATACGGAACGTGCCGGCGCTGCGCATGTGCAACGAAAGATTTCGGGAGCGGGATTGCATGGCGATGCCGGCGCCATGGCAAACATCTGCATCATGGCAATGTCAGCGGCATGGGCCAGATCGCTTGGCTGCCTCGTGTGCTCATGTAGCACAACGGCCAGGGGCATCGTGAGCAGCAGACAAGGGGTGGCCTCGGCCAATCGCAGCGGCGCCAGAGTCACCTGGCGTCACCAGATGTGCCTCGCCTCCCTTGCCTCGGCGGGTGGCGTGGCTCTGTGTGGCACGTATCGTGCGCAGCAGTGGCAGTGTAGCCAATCGCCGTGCAGCGTGCGCCCGGAACGTGCTCCCTGTCGCGACCCCACGGCCGCGCCACATCCGGAAATGGAGCGCGTGTGTGGTACAGAGAAGCAACGCGCTGCGCAGCACCCCTTGGTCCGTTCTTGGCTCGCTTCGTTGCGCACGCGCCGCTCGCCATTGGTCCGCTGGCGGCGATGGCGACAGCCGCCTGGGCGTCCCCTTGGCCTGCTCATGCTGCCTCGGTCGCGGTCGCCCATCCTGTGCCCTCGGGTTGCCGTCGATCTCCCCCCCTGCCTCTCTGCCGATCGTCCGCTGGGCGTCTCCCGGCACACCAGTCTCCGTCTGTCGATCGTCAGCGACCCTGGTATCGCCGCCCCGCAAGGCCATGTCAACCGCCGTTTCGGCCATCAGCATCTCCCCGCCCGCCGGCAAGGGCAAGGGCGGCGTCTTTCTCGTCGAGGTCGAATACGGAATCCCCACATCGATCAAGTGCAATGTTCACGTCACGCTGGAGAAGGACCTCAAGACCATCCGCATCGCTCTCTGTAAGCTGTCGTTGTCTTGGGCCGATTGTCTGTCCGCCAAAAGGGGCGGCGAAGGTTTTGGCGGGGCCGTTGCTGCGGACGCCGTCGCCTGCTTGGCATGTTCGATGGATGGGTGAGAACCACCGGCACTGCCGAGTACAAGCCACCACCACCACCCGCCGCGCTGGCTTGGAATCGAGCCGGGTCGCCGATGGACGTGGCTGGCGGCGCGCTCTTTTGGATATGCTCAGTCGCCATCATCACCAGAGCGCTGACCGGGCTCTGTGCTTATCTCCTTATTGCCGCGGCTGTGTCCTCAGATTTCGAGGGAACTCTCAGGGTCACCGGCGAAGGAAATGTCGCGGACGTCAAAAACAAAATGTCATACGAAGTCGAGACTCTGATCTACTCGGACTCCAAGTCTGGACAGCTCCGGGCTGGCAAGCACACCTTCCCGGCCGAAATCGTCCTGGGTGCGCTCCACCGGGTGCCACCCACCTACGAGGCCAACGGTATCTCGCTCGAGTACCGCCTCAAGGCCGTCGCCGCCTGGAGAAAGAACATGCGCGACTTCAACCGCCTGGCTTCGGGGCCTCTGACAATCGTCCCAATCCGACAGGCTAAGCTCTTGGCCGGCCAAATGGCCGTCACCGAGTCGTATGCCAGTCTTCCCACGACCATGCCTGATCCGGATCCCTTCCGTTTCATGGCCATCCTCCAGCGAGCGAATCTCCTCCCCGCCGATGTGCTCTGCCTTCAGCTGGCCTGCCAGTCCAAAGCCAGGCGCTATGTCGACTATGCCGTCATGACCCTGCACACCGTCACAAAAGTAAAAATCAGCCGCAAGAGCAAGATTGACCAGCACGTCAAGTCGTGGAGGAGCGAATCAGCCCACAGCTGGAAGGCCCTCGATGTCAAGACCCTGCGACTCCCTCTCCCGGACGATCTGGCTCCGAGCATTGTAACCGACGCCGCCACGGTCGTTTACGAGTTGCAGGTCCAGATCTATTCCAAGGATGCCGCCGACCCCATTGCCGACTTTCGTCTGCCCATCAACATCGTTTCGCCGTGGAAGGGCGAGTCGCGTATCCCCCTTTTGCATCGATCGGACTCGCTCACTCCACGGCCCCCGACCGAGCGGGTTATCATCTACACCGATGATGGCCGCCCAATCGAGGAACAGCGCGAGAGGCTTCAGGCTGTATATACACACAACCCTACCGCCGACGACGAAGTTTATCTCATCCCTGGCGACGTTGTTCTTCTCGAGCACGCCTTTGAAGATATGTGGGCTTTGGTCACCAATCTGACCCAGAACTCGACCGGCATCGTCCCAATGACGCACCTGCAGCCGCTCTTTGACGAGCGTCTCGACCGAAACTCGCTGCAGTCGCTTGCATCCGAAGATATTCCCATGTCTCGCTCAGAGTCGCGAACATCGTCCACGCCAGAGGTACTCCTGCCGCCTGGATCTACCAGCTTGGCGATGTGGCTCAATGCTCGTGGCTCGTTGTTCTGTAGCCATGCCTGTTTAGTTGCTCGGTGTGAAGTTGTGTGTGTTCGCGATTGGGCGGTAGTCGCACGGACTAGGGCAGACGTACTGATATCGCCGCTCAAGTGGAGCACTCGCGGCGCGGGCCAGAGCAGCCGTCTCGTCAACCAACTGGCTGACAGTCGATTTCTCTCCTTGACTGCCAGATCAACCCGTTCGACGAGAACTTGAAGACTGTGAATCTGCCTCCTTCGCCGGCCATGACTGCTCGTCAGTCCCTAGCGCTTTCCGAGTCCATCACACGCATGTCCCTGGACTCTCAACGCTCTGGATCGGTCAACAAGCAGCTCCCGCCAACCCCACCCGAGCCGAGAGCGGCCCCCATCAAGATCAATCCTGTCACTGTTGATCACGCTGTGACGGCCGGTAAGCGCCACAACAAGCACATCCTATCGGCTGTCTCCTTCATTTTGCGCGGCCAGTATCATGCAGACCGCACATCCCTACTCCGAGCACCTTCAGCATGCACTTTATTTACCTGAACCTCTCGCTTTCGCAAATCGTCCAGATTCGCTCATTCAACACTTGGGTCTCCTCTCTCGCTTCTCACTGATTGAGTATGCCGACGAAACACATTCCTGGATTATACTCTGTGCCGCCGAGCAGAGGTACAGCATCTGGCTCGATATGCTCAAGGCGTCCCAGTTCACCCAAGCCAACCTGCCGCTCCCGCCGTTGGGTCAGTTCCGTCTTAGATTTGTTCACCTTGCTGCTCGTTGCCCCCCCCCGCCTTCAAAGTGCTGACTCGACGCTCTTTCCATGCCAACAGACGTGGCCTACATCTGGCATGCGCATATGCTCAATCCCCTCCGCTACTACGAAGACACATACTTCCGCGGCACTCCTCCTGTCTCGATGCCTCTGGCTCGTATGGTATGTTAGGCCCATTGGCTCTCGTGCTGGAGTCGGGCTCGGACTGAATCGCCACGGCCGGACCCATTTGTCGCACCTTGCTGTGCAATGAGCGGATTCTGGGTCCTCTCTGTGGAGCCCGATCACTGCCCTCTCTGCGGGACTCCAGTATCACTGACATTCAGTGGGTCGTGTTCATTCAGCATAACCTACCCGGAACGGAGTACGCCCCATATCCACAAGACCAGCAGATCTGGGAGGGCTTTGCTCAGCAGCCACTCCACCTCCCTCATCCCAACGTCATCACTTCCATTCCTTTCACGTGTCCCTGGTGCAACACGACTCACCCCTCGTCTCCAAGTGCGTACTGCCAATTCAGATTCAAGGACGGCTCGGTTTTTTGCCACAACTGCAACACCAGCGTCAGCTTAGACACATACTCTGCCGTACTGTTCATCCGCGACATTGTTGCCTATCGCGACGGGAACTTGCAGGGGCTCCGGTACGCACAGATATCTGCAGTGAATGTTTGCAGCGAATGTTTGCAACAAATGTTTGCAGCGAATGTTCTGTCGCCACCGGACCAGCCTTTTGATGTCGTTACTTGATCGCGGCGCAGTGTAGCTGCTCCTCTGTACGTCCTTTTTATAATGCTGACCCATTCTATTTTCACGACAATCACATGCTTCTCATACGCAGAGGCGCCTTGCTTGACGAAACCAAGGGATACATTTCGACCATCTCCGAGTCTCAAGCAAAGGCCGAACTCGATCTGCTGATCAAGTCTCCCAAGGCTGCGGCATGCATCGATGAGCTCATAAGGGTCGGAGAGTTCAATGGTCGTTATGACTGTAGCTGGAAGACCGTCGACGGCATCTTTGGCAAGATCCGAATCGCTCTGAAAAACAGCGGCGAGCTCAGAAAGATCCGCAGGAGCACACTGGTGCGCCTCACTCGAGCGTATCGCAACAAGCTGTATGGCTTTACCATCGACCTCCCTGCGGCCGTCATCCGACAAAAAAAGTTCACCAGCAAAATGGTTAGCGGCGCTGTGGACTGGTCCGATCCCAATGTCGTGGCTCGCGCCACCATCCGCTACCACAAGTTCCTGCTGCTTATGGGCAAAGAGAAGGGAAAGTTCCTGGTGCCGACCTTGGGTAAGCCGGTGCTCGCATTGGCGCAGCGGACTTGGGCACAGGTTGCATGGATCAGACTCGCTGAAACCATCATGCGTGCTCACTGCCGATAATAGGGGGATACTAATCCAAAACTGCACACCATCGACTCGTCTTGCTAGACATTGATCTTGCCTGGCACACCCATCAGCTTCATCCCCAGCGATACCAGGTCAGTGTCAACCCCGATGGGCATAGATGAGAACCGTAGCACAGTAGTAGCGATGGAGCACGCTAGTTTCGCCGAATCGCTTCCCCCCTCGTCGAATCGCTTGCCCCTCGCCGACACTCAACACCATATGCTCAAATCAATATTTTACAGCAATATGGTATCAACAACCTTGGCCGTCTCATCAACCACGACGACAGCGTGCGCGAAGGCAAATTGGTTGAGTCATTCGCCGAGACGGCGATTCTGTGGAAGAAGCACTACACAGGTGCGTCTGTCTGTACAGCGACGATCCCCGGCTTATGGGCAGAGCCAGTCGAGTTGCGCCGCATTCGCTGACGTTAATGGGGGGGGGATCACCGCGACTCCCTATCGCCGTATCCGCTTGAGGGACGATACTTATCCTGCTGAATGTCCTGCGCCCTGGTAGAGCACTACTCGCGTGAAAATTTGGCGGCACGGTATATGAATGCGGACCGCAAGCTGGCCGCGGTTGTGTTCCCACCCTATGCCCTCTATGCCATCGGCAAATACGCCAAGCTCAAGGCCTCCAGCAGTGACATGGGCGGTTGCAGGATGCACGATGCCACCGAGCCTGTCGCCAGCCGGCGATCCAAGCCTGGGTATGCCATGCGACCTGCTGGGCTTTTGGCTTTACGGATGTGACTCTGGAGTCTGCAGGTATCCTGTCAAGGGATGCACCGCGCTAACATGTCCGTGTTTGCCACTATTGCGTATAACCAGGTGTGCCACCTGTGGGACTGCCTACGCTGCATGTGGCCAGGGACCCTTCGGATATGGCTACACCGGAATTGTTGTTGTTGACACAAGCAGCTATGGCAACTGTGGATCGGCGATCGGAGGTGAGACCCCCATTGCGTGCCGAGCGATGGTGGTGCTCGGGCATGAATAGCGGCGCAGTCGGAGCCACACGCGAGTCTGAATGCAAGGCTGTCGCTAGTGAAATGCGACTGCCATGGAAACTGCGTGAGGATGGAGCTGTGAAGACGAGCTGGTGGAAGACGGAAGATGCACTAACCTTTCCTCTTTGCTGGGCAACTTGGGCCTTAGGTTCATGTGCCAGCAACTGTGGCTCCTCTGGATTTGGTGGCGGCGGAAGCAGCTGTGGCTCTGTCGTGAGCGGAAGCAGCTGCGGTGGCACCAGCTGCGGCGGTGGTGGCAGCAGTTGCGGCGGTGGTTGCGGCGGTGGTGGAAGCAGCTGCGGTGGTGGTGGTGGCTGCGGCGGCGGTGGTGGTTGTGGTGGTGGCTCGTAAAAGGTCTGGTTCACTTGCCATGGCCGCGCACGCACACAGTCGCCCCGCCAAGTCGCCAAGTTTGCGTGCACTCCGCTATCGAAGCAACGATACGATGCTGTCCGGGTCGATTGATCTTGTTCAAAACGGTGCCATAATGTCGGTCTGATAGCCCGGAGCACCGCTGATCGTGGATAATCCGGGCACAGCAAAGCAGGCGCCGGAATACTTTTTTTTCTCCTCTGTATGTGCCTTTCTCTCTTCCTCTCTTTCTCTCTTTCTCTCGCTCCGTTGGTGATATTCAATACACATTGCCAGAGCACAACTCGAGTCCACAGCCCCAGTCGATGCCAAAAACCCTCTGTTCTAAGCCGTGATGGAGTGTATATTTGAACGCCTGCTGCAACGCCATATCAACACGATCAGGCAAACCAGAGACCCAGAAGGGACGAGAAAGTGGAGGATGGGCAAAGGGAAGAAAAGAAAATGAAATGGGGGGAGGAGTGCAAACGGGAAAGCAGTACAGAGACGAGGCTGGAGGGACAGCTGCGGGCACGCCTACTTAAACTTGGCGGTATAGTTCCACCGGCCCTCCCTCAGTCCTCGGCTGGTGTCAATCAGGAGCACCTCACGTCGCTGCGCAACATACACCTTCTTGTCCAGGACCTTCTGCTTCAGCTCAAAGATCTTTTCTTTGGCGATAGGCTCCTCCAGCAGTCCACTCAGCTGCTCGACTGCCATCTCAAGATCGCGCTGGTTGTCTTCGAATAGATCAGTCGCGTTGCCGCGCTCGAGGTAGTATGCAAATGCATATGTCCACTTGAGCGTCATGCGCGACTTGATCAGAACATCGACGGCTTCGCGCAGAAACTGGACCTCGATCCAGCTCAGCTCAGAGCTGTTTTGCATCTCCTCCATTTTCTTCTCTGTCTTTTCGTGGAGATCCTTGTCGAGCTTGGCCGATTGCTCGTGGTTGGCGAATCGATTGTAATACTGTCGATGTCAAGGTGAGGCAAAGAAGCAAACCATGGGCGGATGAGGCTCAAATCATTAACGAGCAACGATGCACCAGATGCATGCGTCGTGGCCGAAATACGGCTTCAGCGACAGAGAGCATCTCGATAGAGCCGCTGGCAGAGGAGAGGGACGAAGCACCACATCCTCGGCGGGGCTAGACTGTGAGTAGCCGTAAACTTACATGCAGGTATTTCTCCAAAGCAGCCCGCGACTTGCCCTGGGCGTCCCGGGCTTCGACACTGGCACGCTCGTCGTATCGGTTGCAATTATACCACTGCGAGCCGTGCTCGGACCAGGGGCCCTGGCACACCCAGCAAAACTCGTACTTGCACTTGCGGCAGTTCATGTGGTTGCAGCCGCCGTTCTTCTCGATGGTGGCGTGGCACTTGGGACATTCCTTTGTGTTGGCCGAGATCCAGTTGGAGGTTTCAGAGTCGTCGGCACACTTCTTCAGCCACTCTCGGACCAGCGGGCAGATGCAGGGCTGGTGGTCCGGCAACGAGCAACCAAAGCAGAACGAGTGGCCACAGTTGCAGTGGACGGTCGGGATGACTTCGGTCAGCGACGAGCTACCAATATGGTACTCGACAGCATAGACGCAATTGGGTGCTGGGCACCATTTGTAATACTCGAGATCGTCCACAAAGGCCCGCAGGAGAAGCTTCTGGTATCTATTTCGGAAACACGCACACAGAGCAAACGGCGAACGCTCATTAGTGTGCGATGTACGCCAACGAGCAGACACATTGGCATATTGGTAGTCCTGACCCTGGCGATCCGACAACGGCCAAATGGAGCCAGAATCCGCCGCCATCGACCAGATGGGTCAGGTAAGGCAGAACAAAGGGGAACAAGTGCCACCGATCTGGAGGACCGGCCTCCGGTGGCGGCGGCGTCGGACAGAGGGCACTCACTTGGCAAAGACTTCGGGCTTAACGACGAGCTTGATGGTGGGCTCATCGACGACCAGCTTGCAGCCCGAGGCCATGCACTGGATTCGTCTCGACTCGCCCTCTTGGTCGATCTTCATGGTCAAGTAGTGCTCATAGCAGTCCCGGCAGAAGCGATGTTCGCAGCTCAGGGCCAGCGTGGCCAGACCGGCCTCGTCGTTGCAGCAAATATCGCAGCAGAAGCCGTTGATGGAGACATACTTTGGCGAAGCGACTGCAGACAGGGAGTCGTCGATGACGACGCCCGCAGCACGGGCAACGCCATCGGGATCTTCCATGTAGCGCTCCATCAGCAGATCCTTGTTCCACTTGAAGTGCCGCAGGAGCGACGCAACGATATGCTGGGGGATGCCGCCGAGGAACGACGAAACCTGATCGATCTCGGATTTTTGGAACTTGAAAATGTCGCTCTCGGTGTGGACGGTAAAGTCGACCTCATACTCCTTTTTGATGTCCTTTTCGGGGATCACTGGCGCAAAGTCCAGGTTTTCTTCATCATCGTCGTCGTTCTCGGAAGTGGAGTCGTGGTCGTCGGAGAAATAGGCGTTGTCGGAGGCATCAAGGTCGGAAGTTTCTTCCATGGTATCAAAGTCCGAGTCGCAATCCATGACGTTGAGTCAGGCGGAGGGATGAACAGACAAGCGATGGAGCGACGGGATGCAGACGGGATGGACTGAAGGCGGACGGTTGCCAGTTATCGGTTCTGGAGCCAGAGAGGACGATGGAGGAGAAGATGGGTCAGATACATGGTACGGCTGCCGAATTACATCATACAGAAGGGACCGTGAAGGATCAGAGGCCAACGGTGAATGGGACAGCACAGGCAGGGGGAGTTTTGAGCAAAGCAGCGGATCGATAGGACGCAACGAGCAAACTAGAGAGAGAAGAGCGGCGGGGAGAGGCGAAAGGCTGCAGGCAAGACGGCAGGTTGAGGCGAAGAATTACCACAGGTCAAAGAGCGGATGGGCTGTGTCGGTGCGAACCAAGAGACAGGGTCGCTGGGGCGCCGGCGGAAGCGATGCAAGATATAGCACAGGGAGATGGTCAGGGAAGCGCTGTCCGGAGAAGACGCAGCGGCGAGAGGCAAAGCGCCAGTGTCGGAGCGAGAGCGCGCGAGAGATACCGAGAGCACGCCTGGCTGGCTGCCAGCGGCCTCGGCGAGAAGGGCGAAGCAGCCCGTGCTTTATGTGGCGGCTGTGCAGCAAGCAGCGGCCACAACGACGGCGATGGCTAATGATAGCCGGTGATGGCCAATGATAGCCGATGATACACCGAGCGAATAGGATACCCTCACGATCCCATTTGTCAGCGTAGTGTGTGATGAGCTTGCATCCAGATAATCTATATGCAACAAACAAATCACCTCCGAGTGAAGACCACCGGTCGCTCTCCGGTATCCACAATCGACCTGCACACTGGTCTCGGAGTGCCAGCGGCGAGTGGTGCTCTTGGGCACACTGAGTATGGAGGCAGCGCTTCTCAGGCTATGGATGAGGGCGTGGCATCGCATCACAAAACGGTCATGGCCAGGGTGCGACGGCATTGGGAAACAAATTATTCGGTCAACGACCAAAATACCAGGGTGTCCCGTTTTTCAATAGAACGCCTGTATCTGCCCGAGACACCACCATATCGCACTCGCACACTCTATCAGTCAATCAAGCGGCGGGAGACTCTGTGACACTCGCCGGATTGCGTTGCTTGGCAGCAGTGATACCCGATTCCGATGACGCTGTTTCGCCCTGGGCCAGACCAAAACTTCGAAGAGCTCCTTTGGGCAACCCGGGTCCTCCCCATCAGCAAGTGCTCCTCATCTCTTGATAACACTGCAAGTACACCGACTGTCCTCCTGCCCAATGTCGGTCTTCCCAAGCTATGTACCGGTTGCCGTCAACTACCTGACGGAGACTGAAGAGGCGCTCGGCCCATTGCCAGATGGATGGGACAAACAGACCGCACCCAACGGCAAGCCTTACTTTACAAAGTTGAGAGCGCTCGCATGCACTCTTGAACGGACCACATGTGCTGCCTGTGACGCCGGGGTCGTGAGTCGCTCACCCTCGGAGATATTTCTCTCAAATCTGTGCTCGTTTCGTTTGACATCGATGGGGGTGGTTGTGCACCAATTCTCCGCCTGCCAGCCACAAGACCAAGACGACGACATGGATCGACCCCAGGACCTATAGAGTTCGGAAGCACGACATCAAGCAGATCAAGGAGAAAGAGGTGAGGGCCGTCGTCGCCAGATGACTCGCACAAGAATTAGTATCGGTTGTCGTAACTGCCAGGAGCAGCTGAACCTGGATGGGAAACGCATGCGCGAGTGGGGTCTAATAACGATTCGATAACCGGACAATCCAGCTCCCCTACGGATGGGACGAAGGTATCCCGCTCGGCTGAGCCAAGACAAAGCACCGAGCAACTAACAGTGCTTGGATTGCGGCGGAACTAACTCGCCTGTCTGCGTTCGGGCCAGCATTTGACGAAGAATGCGGAATCTACTACATCGAGTGAGTTAGCGTCGCTCTCCTAGTCGTGCCGTGCGTTTCCGATCGCAAACACCCTGGCAACTGCCGAGCTTCCTTTATCCCGCACTAAACTGCGAAACGACTCTCCGTCGCATCTCTGTGGCAATTGGATCTCCTCCAGTCACAATACCATGTCGACCTTTCTTGACGCACCGTGGGATCCGCGAGTCCGCGATCACATCCTGGCTCTGCAGCAGCATCTGAAGCAGGAAGAGGCGAAGCTCGAGGTATGGAGCCGGGTGTGAGACTCGCGCATCGAGATGGCTGCATCGAGATGGCTGTAGATACACAGGGCCTGCCACCAGTCCGCTCGGTCAAATCGCATCAGTGCTTGTGTATGATTGCGCACGCATCCAAGCTGCATCTTCTCCGCCATCGTGGGAACGAACGCCACCGCTCCAGCGCACACTTACAGGGGACGGGCTTTCGGCAGTGTTTGATATGGGTGTTGGAATCCTCGCTTCTTCACGAGCGAGTGCACGAACTTGGTCGTTTTGCAAACGCAGACTTGATCACGTTGTCGCATAGGCCCAGATGAAGGAGGAGCGGGCGCAAAAGGGCAAGCTGAACGAGTCCCAGTCCAAGGTCACCCAACTCGAAGCCACAAAGACCAAGCTTGAAAAGGAGCTGGCTCAACTGCAGGCCGATAAGCAGAGCAAGGGAGCCTCCCCGGGACTTGAGAAGAAAATCGCCGATATTCAAGCTCGCATAAGCAAGATCGACCAGGAGCTCCGCGATGAGCGCACGAACTTGGAGCATATTGGAGCCAAGCACACGCAGCTCGCTGAGGACAACCGCGACTTTCGCATGCGCCTTGGCGAGCTCCAGAAGCTCAACGACAAGCTCAGCGGAGACACTCAGCAGCAACTCGAAGAGTCTAAAAAAACCAACAAGGAGCTTCAGGATCTTCACTCGCTTCTGCAAGGCGAGGCGAAGAAGCGCGAGGAGCTAGAGGCCTACATCCTGAGACTCAAGGGCGAGGTGTTGAATCTCACCAATGCCACGCCTGACCCAAGCAGACCAGCCACCACCGGAACCTTCGGAGTCCCCCAGAAGCAGGGGCAGGCCGACGGGGTGGGTGAAGGCGATAAAAAGACCGCCGTCGAGCGGGAGCTGGAGCTACTGGCCTTGCGTCGACAGCTCGAGAACGACAAAAAGCAGCGTGAGCAGCTCGAAAGCATGACTGCCCGCCTTGAAACCGAGAAGCAGCGGATCCAGTCCGACGATGCCGAGCTCGTGGCGCCTGATTGGATCAAGGCTCTGAGCCTAAAATCGAGCAACAAGAACAACCCGGTGGGTATGTCTCTGAGCGACAAGATGGCCTACATCACCAACAGCAACGATGGCTTGGCGGCCAAGACGAGCCCGGCGCTCAGGAAAAACGCATAGTGCGCATGATCATCCTGGCGAACCAGCTCGAACCTTGGGCAGTGGCTCCGACCCACATCTTTCTATCGATGGTCACCAAGCGGGTGTGCGGTCGGTGATGGGCGTTTGTCGATCGAAGGACACGCGTCATACTCCCAGACATACACTGATACCATCACTGGCCGCCCCTCGCCACACTCGTTGTTCTGGATGTCCCAGAGGGCCAACGGCCAAGAGTCGAAGGCTCGGGCAGCGCTATCTGTCGCTGCCATCTGCCGTCGCTCTGTCGTCGCCCTGTCGTCGGACGTGTCAAACCAGGATCCCGGTCGCGTGCGCAGTCGAAACAGGGTGCAGGGCACGGGCTGGCCTGGAGCAGAATCCAGCCGAGGGTGTTGGCGAAGACCTGGCCTGCTGGCTGAAGAGGACAGCCGAGCATATCTCGGACTTGCCAGTCCAATTGGTGAGTCTGGTATACTCGCATACACTGTTGATCGTATCAACCCTAGAGCCACTCGCGGGACGAGCCCAACTGAACCGGCTGCTCGCGCTCCAGTACCCGTGCATAAACGAGTTGCAGCCAGTCTATATTTGCAGAGAGGCGGTCTGTGCATTTATTGAAACGATGAAAACAGCCCCAAGACAGCGAGTCACGAGGCGAAAAAAAAAGGATGTGGCAAGGAAAACGATCTGGCGCTAAAACGCAATAGATCCACGCACCGATATGGTCTATCGCAGACCAACCATCGGCTGGATCGGCAGCTAGATGGGGTGGGCGGCGCGTTTGAGATAAAGTTGATCCTAGCGAGGTGAAAATTAAAACCAGCAATAAACGCAACTGCAGAAAACCGAACGAGCAAAGGCACTGATTCCGAAGGAGTGTTGGTAGGGTCCAAAAGGCAGGGAGGGGAGGAGAGAGGCGGGAACAAATACATCGATAGGGTAAATATGGCCGAGCGAGAAAAACTGGTCATAATCGTACCACATAGAGCAATACCGAGAGGATGGATACCAAGAGTGGTGAGGAGAAAAACGGCGGGTGTTGTCAGGATACGAGAGTCGATGCAATAGCGGTAAGTGGCAAGAGGTTGGAGGCAAGAGGTTGGAGGCAAGAGGTTGGAGGCAAGAGGTAAGAAGTATGAAGCGGGGGCCGCTCTTTCAATCCAACGGCTCAGCGAGCAAGCAGGCAAGGACATCTGCGACAACATACTAGAGGTGCTCGTTGACTTCGGGCACAGATCGCAAGCACGACAGCATCATTGTTGAGCGACTGCTAAGCATGCTGCTCTCTGTACTGGCCCTATGGATGCTCTTCGCTTGCCTTGGTCTTTCTAACCACCTTGACAGTGCCCTGCTTGATGAAGGATCTGAGAATCGGCGACGGCTCTGCGGCAACAAAGAGAAGGCGAGATGCTTAAGCGACGAGTATCGAGGAAGGAACGACGAATGTCGAGAGAACAGTGCCAAGCGGCGAATGAAGGGAGGATGCAAGTGCACAAAGACATTTCTGGATCTACTGAGGCATCGAGTGTCCCAAGATCCTGGAAACGAGGCATAGCATGCATAAAGACGCCACGGATGCTGCGAGAGATGGTGGCTCCAGATGGTGGCTCCAGAGAGTGGGTCTGAGAGCATGCCGGAACAGCCATCACCAGCGCTGCAGTCGATCGACCGACAGCGACTGGTGCGGCGTGCTGAACCAAAGCCGGAACGGAACCAGAACCAAATCCAGAACCAGAATCCCAAACCTCCAAGCATGAATGCAAGCATCTGAGAGTGTCCGAGGGTGGGGTGGGAATCTCCGGCAGGAAGTAGAAGCATGATCAACACAGAGGACACAAAACTGGTGGAAGATCGAGTCACAGGCAGGAGGTGCTGGAGGAGCTCAGCAGTGGGTAGGGAGCATCAAAGGGATTGACAAGAGCATAAAAGTGGCTGGTATGGCTTCCTACCACTCATGCCAGGAAACGTCTTCCATCCATGAGACGTAAATGGCTCAGTCATGACTGTGTCCAGAATCGTGAAGCTGTCGGTGGGTGAAGACCTGTGAGAGTGACCAGGCATTGGAAAACGAGAACAGACGAGATTTGTCGTCAGGACGATGCTCAGCGACAGAGCGATTGAAAAGGATCCAAGCGAGTCGCCTTATCGAGACCGATCTTGCGGTACCACTCGGTTGGTCGGCATCCCCAAGCCGCCAAGCGACAGCCGCATCAGGCTTTGGCAACACCGTCCACGGGTCCAGGCCGGGCTCGGGGCAGTCCACCAACACTCCAACCAGCCAGCCAACCAATGGAACATCGGAGTGATTGCAGCAGAAGGTGTTCGAAACGCTGAGCTTTGTTTATGTTGGTGGGGACCTGGCCGCGTGGCTGGTCGTGTTGCCGATACCCCACAGGCGGGCCAGAGAACGCCAGTCCGGCTCCGGCTCCGTCTCGGCGCTGGCTTGATCTCGTTGATGCCTCGCCGGATCGCTCGCTTGCCCTCGTCGGGTTGCCTCCGCCCTCCCACACCGCCTTGCATTCTTGACTATCTGTTCGCAAACGCAGCTCCGAGGACAGAAGCGGCGCAGCAGTGCAGCAGCAGCAGAAGCGGTGGCAGATACTCACCGGGGCTCCCTCAGATCAATGAGGATGAACTTGAGCCGGAATCGTCCCTCGATTCGGATAGAGATGTTTCCAAAGATGAAGTAGACACCGGTATCGGATCCGTTGATGTCTCGGGCAAAGGTGCTCGGGGCAACGAGGTGCCCAAAGAGCGAGAACTGGCTATAGGGTAGGAGCTCCCTCATGCGATAATCGTCGTCGTTCCAACCAACTGCTCGAGCCGGAGACTCTGTCGAGGTGCGTGTAGCAGAGTCCGGCCGGTGATCGTTTGTGGAGCGATCGTCCTGCAGCGTCGGTGAGGACAGCGATGAAGAGGCGATCGGCGACGATGCGTCTCTCTTCTGCTTCTTGCCAGTGTGCTCGAGGCTACAACCGTGCTGGCGTTGATCATCGAACGGCGAGATGCCGGCCGAGTCCGAGCCTCGTTTCAGAGACTCGGTAGTAACAGCTTCGGATGGACCAGATACGTTGGTGAGGGTTGCCGTCTGTCCGGATTCTGGCTCCGGAACGATCGGGGAGGTCGATCGCGACAATCGGTACATGTACGGCCTGGGTCGCAGGGGCACTGCTTCCTTGAGCTTGGCCGGGTTCACAACCTGACTCTGATTCATGGTTCCGTCAGCCGAAAAGAGCTGAGTATGGACGACAAAGGTTGAGGCCTCCGTCAGCACAGAGGAGCTGGAGGGATGAGGGGTGTGTGGATGGGTTAGCATAATGACAGATGAAGGATACTCTAGATAAAGACATGGTCACAGAATAGCATCTAGTAACAAATTGGAAAGGGAGGCAGAGAGAATGGATAGAAACAACCAAGAATGAAACAAAATCGAGACTCGATGCTAACTCTGGGATGGGCTGCAAGAGTGATGGAGATGGAGATGGAGATGGTGATGGTGATGGTGATGGAGATGGAGATGGAGATGGAGATGGTGATGGTGATGGTGATGGTGATGGTGATGGTGATGGTGATGGTGATGGTGATGGAGTGGGAGTGGGAGTGGGAGTGGGAGTGAGAGTGAGAGTGCCTCAGCCCAGGCTCCAGGGGCATACTATTGACTTGCACCTGATCGCACACTCTCGCTCCATCCAAGAGTGTGAATCAGATGAATTCAATATCGGCTCAAGAGCAGAAACACAGATGGTGTCGCAGAGGCCACCCAGCGAAAGCCGACCTTCACCTTGGGAGAGGAGGGGCCATCGGATGGGGGGAAGAAAAGATGTGGAGGTGACAGGTGCGTCATGTGGCGGGGAACTCATTGACGCCTCAGCGACCAAGAGCAGCGGGTGGTCGACGGATGGCATTCGAATGACCATCGCACCGACATAATCTCGTTGGATAGGGCCGCATCAAAGAAAATCGGAGGGGCGCTCGTTCGGAAAATGAGGGGGGGGGCTCAAACCCCACAATTGACAGCCAAGCGGCGCCGAAAACATCGCCACATCGCAACGGAATGACCCACTCCACGACCAGCTGCGTGCCATATCATCAACGAGCTGCGCGAGTCTTCTCGCCTGAGCATCATCGATGGTGTGGGTCCAGCCAAGTCAAGGAAAGGGTTGCAGCAACACCCAATCCGTCTGCACCGCACCAAAAAAAGGGTCCACACGGGATCACAAAATAGGAAGCAGCGGGTCGGCAACGCCACCAAGAAAGGGGCATGCATCCCGAAGAGTCGGATGCCCCAGATCAAGCGTCTGGGGCCCAAACCCCATCCTGAAAGTGGTGTTGTGGCAGACTAGAATCGACCATGCAGGCAGCCGTTACCCGCATCTACCCCTCCCTTCTCTCTGATTCTTCCGTCGCTCCCCTCACTCCCTTCACTCCTCCCGCTCCCCTCACCCACTCTGCGAATGTACGAAACGGTATTTACTTTGATGTCCGGGTTCCATCGGGATTCTGTCGCAAGAGCTGGAGAATTGGCGCGGGATCGATTGGACGGCCAAAGAGACGATCGCCGAATCCGGAACAGCGGACTTTTTGCGGCTGCTCTATGATCTTGAGGACGTACTATCGGCACGGCGAAGTGCAAGGGGAAGGGCAAGGCGAAGGGCGATCAGTGATCAGCGATTCGAGACCGGTGCTCAGTCGAGAGGAAGCAGTGTTGAGGGCGTGGACTCGGAGGAAGAGTTTGTAGACGCGACCAAGAGGCAGCTGCGACGGTTCTTCGGCCCAAGGAGAGCACAGATCCAGGCCCAGGTTCAGAACAGCCGATAGTGGTTTCGTTTGAGTTTCTTTTGTTCGGCGTTGGTGACGATGATGGCGCCATTGGCTATCGCACCCATGGGTGGCGCCAGGACAGCTTTTTCTTGAATCTGGCTTCTAATACCTTCGTTGAGGGCGTGCAGGATCGGCTGCTGAAGAGTGTGGGACGAAAGTCGAAGCGCGACCGGAACTTACCATGCTGGCTTCGAGGGCTTCTGTGGCGGATATTTGGGAATTGACTCTATCTGTCGGCGAAGATGCGAAAGTCAAAGGGGTTCATGGGAGAGGAAGAGGAGGGAATGGTTGAGGTTATCGAGCCGGGCCAGACAGGGTGGCGGAGAAGACGGCGATGCAGAGGAGGGCTGGCGGGCTTCCAAGCGGATGAAAGGCAGAGCCGATGGAAAAGCGGCCGTCGGCACCTCACAGATAAAAAGAGCAAGCAGCGGCGGGATGCTGGCGGGGATTGCCTGAGGCAGGGACGGCTCTCTCGCGCGGCGCTTTGGAGAAGGAGCCAGAAGTGCGCAACCTGGACAAAGTCATGGCTCCAGCAACAACGACAGGCCAGAGGAAAAGGACCCAGCAAAAAACAACCTTTGCGCGAATTCCAGCGAATCAGCGGGCTCGACGAGGCCTGTGCTTCCTTGTTGTGCTTCGAGACAAAGCCCGGTGCCAACCACGCCGGCCGAGGCGCAACCCAAGGACGGCGACGAGGGTGGGCGAGAGCCGGGGCGAGAACCAGCGAGAGGCGGGGCGAGAGGGTCAGCATGATCGGCAGACAGGATGGGTGGTGGGGCTCGACGTCCAACGATGCAAGCAGCAGGCCGAGGCGGGAAGGGAGCAGCAGCAGGCAGGCCAGCGATGATGTGCCAATGTCCAAAAGTGCGAATGTGCGAACGTGAATGTGCACAAATGTGCAGAAGCAAACAGCAGGCAGATCACCGCATGCCCATTTGCTGGACTCCTCGACCAGCCCGACCTGCCTACCACCTGCATCAGTAAGCCCCTCAGGCCGCTGATCGGCACGGAGAGCTCCCCAAGCTCACTCAAAGCAGTCTTTGCCTCTGCTCTTCGGGAGAAGGACATACTCCTTGTGCACATGTGCAGTTGTGTGTCGGCAACCCACTCCACCGGCTCCAGCTCCAGTGCTTGCACCGGAGAAACACCACGGCCCTCGATTTCCCCGCAGGCGGATCATCCCACACTGCAATGCCTCACAATGAGAAACATGCCCATCCGTCTCTGTGGCGTCTTGTTGCCAGGGACAAAAGTGCTTACCTGTGCGGCGGTAAAATCCAGAAACTGGTGGAGGTGATACTGAGGAGAGCCGGATGTCAACACCGGATGCGTTGATCGGCACTTTGCTTCAAAGTCGTGTTGTTTTGGAAAGGCGCGAGGACAGCCTAAAGTGAGTGGGGCAGAGCAGCTTGAGTATCAGGTGCTGCTAAAGTAGAAATATCCGGTCGATCTAGCCAATTCTTGCCGAGAGAACAGACATATTCATCGCCGGGTAGGCCAGGCACACTGAGAGCCAAAGATCACGAGAAGACGGAAGCAAGCGCCACAACAGAGCTGGGCTGGGCTCCAACAACAGCAAAAAAGACATGGCCAAAGGAGTAAAAGCCCTTCGCGGGACATGAATCAGCTATCGCCCCTTCTTGACAAAGGATCTCAACCTCTTCCAAATCGGACAAACAATGAGCCTGGACCGATCAGAGCATCCAGAAAAGTGCAAGCGCTCCTACTCGCCCGTAGTGGGTGCCCTCTTGATTGCATAAACTGCCTCGCCCAGTCCAAGGAGGCACCAGCAACAATAACGACACCAAAAACAGCAATAACAACAGCAACAGCAACAAAAGATGCCGCAGGCTCTGAATTACCAGGTTCGGCGGATACGGGAGGGGTGGACGGAAGTTGTCAGAGCAGGCCGAGTTCAAAGGTAGTGAATGGCTGGCGGACCAAAGCTGGGATGGAGCTGTGACGGCAATGGATGGCTTGACTGGGTTTATAGTCACGATCGGATGGACTCGTCCAGCGCAGCTTGCCGGTCTCGGGATGTGTGTGGAGGGTCCGGAACTCGGATGCAGGTGGGAGGAGAAGCACAGGGAAAAGAGTTCTACTTCGCGAGGGGCCCCAGGCGTTAGTCCGGATAACAGTGCTCCGAGGATAACGAAGATGGGTGAGTTTGGATCTAAACGGACGCAGTGGCCCGAGGCGATGAGACGAGACGAGGAAAGCAAAGGAAAATGACACGCGCGGAAGTTGCCCGTAATATCCGAAGAGCAAGCGCGCCGATCCCAAGCCCACCCAGCGACCCGAAAGGATTGTGTGGCCCGCGGCGAGAAGGTGTGCAAGCGCCGGCTGGTCAAGGAGGGGGGCCAGACGGAGATGTCGGCGCGAATAGCGGCGGGATTGGATGCAAGCTGGCGAGGCTGACCAGTGAGGACTGAGATTGCGACAAAAACGGAGCGAGACCGCCGAGAGGGCCGAGGAGGTCTGATTCAGCCCGAGGCGGGGTCGGCCGAGAGCGCAGGATGTGGGCCAAAGAGCTGCCTGTTGGGCTCGATTTGAGTGCACCCCAGCCCGATTCGCACAGAGGGCAGCTGGGGGGGGGGCCAGAAGGAGGGGGGACCACACCAAGGAAGCGCTGTCGGTACAGCCCAGCAGACAGAGCCAGCAGTGGCTGTTGCCACAGGGCGGGCCAGGGCGGCGGATCGCCGGAGCTCTGCAACAGTCGATGCACAGCGCCCGATCACAGCGCCAAGCGACAGTCCAATGTCCGCCCTGGCCCGCGCTGATCCTCGCCGGCCCCAATCGCGAGGGCTGCTTGATTCGCTCGCTTGTGTGCCCCAGCCGCTTCGCACGCGGTCTGCTGCCGCGCGTCAGGATCAGCTGAGATGTCGCCAATGGCTGAAGGCGCGCTGGGACCCACGGAATTGTAACGTGTGGGCGACAAGGGCCCACCAATCGCCGCCACAGCGCGTCAGCATATCTCCGGGAATCTTCCACAACCGACAGCGCCGTGCGGCGAGGGACAAGCTTGCGATGATTCATCAGTCTGGGAGCAAGTCGAAAAGAACAAGGTCGGCGGTGTATTGGACAGTGGGTAATGGACAGGAGAGAGACGGGTCATGGGCAAGGGGAAAAAAAGGGGACCCGGTTTGTGGGTGTGGTCTGCCGCTGTGCGGCGTGGGGCACAGGGCAGCGGCTCGGGCTGTCGAGCAAAACTTGGGTGACACTCGCGATCGCGTGCGAAATTATCCGAGGATGGGCTGGTACTCGGACGACTCGCGGCGGGCGCGGACGGGGCGGCCGAGGGCGTAGAGGACAACGACGATGACACCGACGATGGCAGTGTAGTGGATCCAGCCGTTGTGCTGGTTGGCAGCAATGGCAGCGAGGGTCCTGTGAGGGAGGGAGGAGTTACGGACAGAGACATGTCAGTTGGTGCACGGCATGGAGAGACCAAGAGACGTGCAGTGCAGGGTCGATGGATAGCAAGCAACTCATGCAGCAACGGATACTCACCAGGTGATGACAAAGGCACCGGCAACATCGCCGTACTTGCTCTTGTACTCAGTGTAGCCGACGGCGGTGGCAATCAGCTCGATGAGGACAAAGACCGAGACGGCAACCTGGATCCAGCTGGGATCAGCATCGACGTTGGCAGGGACAAAGACGGCGAGGAGGTTGATCCAGAAGACAAAGACGAGCCAGCCGTGCCAAAGGGAGACGGGGGCGTGGACAAAGACGGACTGGATGAGAGTCTCGGCGGGGTAGAGGTTGGTGAGCTGGTAGTAGAGAATGGAGACGGAGCCGGAGGCGAGGATGAGGACGAAGAGGGCGAGGACGAGGTGGCCGGCTTGCTGGATTGTGCCAGAGAGAACGAGACACGAAACGCATTAGCAACCAGTCCGACATTGACAAGCAAAGTCCGGGCAACAAGGCGAGCACATCGTGCATGTGGCAGCCGGAAGGGGTTATCGGCGAGGCAACCCTGTGCCAAGCACTCCTCAGCGCGCACGGACGAGAGGCGGATTGTCATGCACCAACGTACCCAGTAGCCGAGCCAGAAGTTGGAGAGGAGGGCGGCAAGGATGAACCAGCCAGCGACACCGTGGTGGACGATCTCCTCAGTTCCGGGGAGCCACTGCAAGAAGCAAGCAAAAGGAAGAGGACGAGCGTTGTGAGGACATGGGTGTGGCTGAAAGCGCCGACTCGGAATCGACTTGGACTTTGGCCAAGATAGTCCCGACTTGCCCTGGACATGATCAACCGCCCAGTCGGGGCCGAGGGGTTCTTACCTGCCAGATGGCGAAGCCACCGAAGAGGAAGTGGATCAGACCCCAGATGGCAAAGGCCCAGGAGGCAGGGGTGATGTAGGTGGGGTGAAGACCTGAGTGACGGAGAGATGCAGGGGGCGTGGAGAGTCCACGATCGCAGCGATTCAATCAAGTGCAGGATCCAGGCGGTGGGTTTGCGGTGTGGAGAAGGGCAGGAGAGTATCAGCATCGGCAATGCAGTTGAGAGTTGCCACGACACAACAGCAGTCATGGCACACGCACACACTCCCGCCTGAGGAAAGCCAGGCAGACAGGCCTCTGACTTGGCTGACGCCACCAGACAGGCTCCAGACTCCGCCCCGAAACCGACGCCACCAGCAGAATGGCCGGAAGACGAAGCAAGCCGAGGGCTGATGGCGCTCAGCCACGGTGGGACCGATGGAGATCGGGGGAGCTGCACGCCGCCCGAGAAACGGGAGACACCTACCGTAAAAGTCGGTGCCCTTGGCGGGACCCAGGAACGAGTACAGGTGGCTTCCGAGGAAGAGGAAGTACACGAGGGTGTTGGCGATGCGGTGCTGTTGGGAGACAACGAGAGGTGAGCGATGCGGAATGAGCCGGGCGCAACCAGGATGAAAGGATAAGCAGGATGGCAGCGCGATGCGGGCTTGATTGCCGACAGCAATCGCGGCAGCAACACTCCGAAAAAAAGCCTCGCCGTTGGTGACAAATGTGACTGCAGCGCGTGGTTATCCGTCGGTTCGTTTGCTGCCAACGACGACACCCCTTTTGCACCAGACTGATAGACATGTGCAGACGGCGGATCCTTACGAAGATGACGCTCATGGTGCTGGAGGGTAACCGGGACGAGGCGACGAGGCTGGACGGGCGCGGAAAGACTGGCGGAGCGACCGGCCCTCCACCTATATATACGACGCCGGTGGATGAGGCCAGGACGAGCAGGCCCATGAGCCCGCGAGCAGACCGCACGCACGCCACCGACGCAAGCCGGCCATCCAATTGGCAGCAAGACCACCAGCCAAGACAGGACGCGATCGGACTGGAGTCACGCCCGACAGGCAGCAGAGGGAACACCACAGCCGGACGGGTGCCTGCGACAGAAGCCACTGTCTGGCGAGCAGGCGCCAAACGCGAAGATGGCAAGCAGGCCGCAACGAGGGTGGTGGCGGCCAAGCCAGGGCAGCCGATCGGTCCTGCGCGTCGGCGGGCCTTGTGCTGCAGCGGTGGGTGGGGATGGGAGAGCCGACAAGAGCCGGCCGCGGCCAACGCAATCGCAGGAGGCGAGCATGCAAAAGCGACGGAGTGTGACGCGAGCCATTGGCGGCCGGCTTGCGGCGAGTAAGAGTGCGAAAAGCCGCATGTGCATGGCATGGACTGGGCCGGGAGCGGCAGCGACGGGGACATGACGGCGTCGCTGTGGTGGTGGTGGTGGTGATGGTGTGCGAGGGGTGTGGGTTGGCGAGCAGGACGAGATGTGCATGCCGTTGGCTGGAGGGAAAGGAGCATCGAACTGGCTGGCTGGCTGGCTGGCTGGCTGGCCGGGTTGGTGGCTGGGCTGCCAACCGATGCCGATCTGACCCCGGTCTCCATGGCAGCAAGCAGGACCAACATGTCGCCAGAAGGAACATGGCAGCCGGACCAAGAGCAATAGCATAGCAACAACACAACAACAGCACAACAACAGCATTTCAGCATCACTCCAACAGCACACAAGCAGCAGCCCGGCTCCAGGTCTTGGCTCGCTTCCCCACCGGCAAACAAACGCCAGCGGACATGTGTCGCCTGCCGCGCCCGCGCCCGCCGATTGGCCGGCAGCCAAGCCACCCGCCAGCAATCCTCGCGCACACACACACCCGGCGCGACTGTGCGCCCACACACACACACGCACCCGCCCATCCACCCACACAGGCGCTGCCAAGTTCATACACGGCCGACCCAAGGCCCGCCGCGCTGTTTTTCGTCGCCTTGCCTCATCCACCCAGCCCCCGCTCGCCCCGGTCCGTTTCCGCTAAATTCGGCTGGTCGCCCCGCTCCTGGTCTCATCCTCCATCCTCCATCCTCCATCGCATCCTCATCTCCTGTCCGTCTCGGCAATCTCGCACCATGGGCGCCCTCTTCGTAAGTCGCTGCGTGCTGCTTGCTCGTCGTGCTGCTCGTCGTGCTGCTCGTCTGCTCCAGACCCCAGACCCTGCATGGCCATGTCGAGCAGCTTGGCGCTGTCTCCCCAACTGTCTCCCTCTGCCTGGCCGAGATCTGCCTGCTTTACTTACCCGCGTCCCTCCACTATCTTCGCAGCACCGCATCTTCAACACTCTCGTGTACCTGTTCTTCTTCGGAAACCACCTGTACTCGTTCATCGAGACTGGCAAGCAGTCCGGTGATTTCTACGGTACGATGTCGATGCACCATCCCCGGTGGCTGAATCTCCTCCCCCCAGACCTGCTCTTCGCCACCGGACCCAGACTCTTCCTGGCCCCTGGCCTGCGTTGCGCCTTTTCTATCTCGAGCATGTCTCCTTCGTGTATATTGGCAACATGTTTTGCCTCATTGTGGCTCGACTTGCACTGACCATAATCTGCTCTATCCTCCAACCGCAGGTTCCCACCCCACCTACATCACCCCTGCTCCCTGGGCCTATGACATCTGGGCTCTGATCCACCTCCTCTTCGGTGGCTTCACCATCTGGCAGGTAAGAACCCCTCGGCCCCGACTGGGCGGTTGATCATGTCCAGGGCAAGTCGGGACTATCTTGGCCAAAGTCCAAGTCGATTCCGAGTCGGCGCTTTCAGCCACACCCATGTCCTCACAACGCTCGTCCTCTTCCTTTTGCTTGCTTCTTGCAGTGGCTCCCCGGAACTGAGGAGATCGTCCACCACGGCTTCGCTGGCTGGTTCGCCGTTGCTGCCCTCCTCTCCAGCGTCTGGCTCAACCTCTGGGTAAGGATTTCATTTCCCCTGCATTTTTCTTGGCAATCCATTCTGCGTTTTTCTCCTGGTCGCAGTTTGCTTGCTATTCTGGCGCCGCCCCGCACACCACTCACCGGTTGCTCTCGCTTGTGCTTGTACAGGAGTCCGACCACCTCGTCCTCGCCCTCTTCGTCCTCCTCCTCGCCTCCGGCGCCGTCTCTGTCCTCTACTACCACCTCACCTACCTCTACCCCGCCGAGTCTCTCATCCAGTCCGTCTTTGTCCACGCCCCCGTCTCTCTCTGGCACGGCTGGCTCGTCTTTGTCTTCTGGATCAACCTCCTCGCCATCTTCACCACCGTCAACGACAACGCCGACCCCAGCTGGATCCAGGTCGTCATTGCCCTCTTTGTCATCTTCCAGATCACCGGCACTGCCATCGCCTACACCGAGTACAAGAGCAAGCACGGTGATATTGCCGGTGCCTTTGCCATCACCTGGTGAGTATCCGTTGCCGGATGGGGTGGATTTGCTGCTGGCCTCGCACAGCCTCGCACAGCACATCCCTTGGTCCTCTCCATGCCATGCGCCACCAACTGACATGTCTCTGTCCATAACTCTCTCACAGGGCCCTCGCCGCCGTCGCTGCCAACCAGCACAACGGCTGGATCCACTACAGCTCCATCGTCGGTGTCATCATCGTCGTTCTCTACGCCCTCGGCCGCCCCGTCCGTGCCCACCGTGAGGCGACTGCTGAGGCCCAGCCCCTCCTTGGTTAAATCCGACTTGGGTCTGCCGTGGCTCGCAACGCCGTCTGTCGTCGCAGCGTCCACCGCACTTAGCTGGCGTGTCTCCCGCATCCCAAGCGATTTCCATTGCGCCCTCTCCCGCCCCTCCTTTCGTATCATTTCCACATTCCCCCTCACCGCACACTGTCGATAAGCGGTCCCCATGTTTCTTGTTTGTCGAAAGTTGCTCAATATAGCGATGGTTCTCAATGGTAATCCCGATGTGCTTGGTGGCGCAAATCACCTCCATCCGCAGATGGCTGCTCTGCTCCCTCCGTCAGGATATCCGGCTGCTCAGAGTGGGATGATTGTGTTGCCCGCTTTGTCTGGAGCCGGCCTCACCAGACCATGCCAGCACCGCCAGCACCCTGTTTCATGGCGCTTCCTTGTGGGCGAGCTTGCATGTTGCTCGTTCCTACTCCCAGCATCGTCTCCAGCGCCAGCCGCTGCAACCGCCGGACCTCCAACGACCACGACCGCATCTGCAATTACGGGACACTTTCACATGGATGACTCGCGTGTCTTGCGTGAATCAGACTTTGGCACCCAAGCTTCATGAAAGCGATATGGTGCTCTGACCAGAGGTCTCCTCAACCCCCCCCCACGCAGCCGGACCACCATCCGCCCGCCGTCGCAAGCGCAAGCTCGTCCGCTCAGCCGGTGGCCGCACGTTCTTTGTTGGTGGGGGGGGGGACTGGCACACGCGGCGCGCCTGGCCCGCTCCTGCGTCTCTGGCTTCGGCTGCTCGCCCGGGCCCTTTTCTGCTTTCATCGCATCTCATCCGTCGGCTCCCATCTGTGAATCCCCTCCCCCCCTCCCCCTGCCGTTTGCATTGTATATTCTATCGTCCAGGAAACCATGGCTCTCCTGGTAAGTCCAAAGCAAACACAGCCATTCTGTTGTCTCGCCGGCGGAAATGCCGTGTCGCCTGCAATCGAACCCGCTCCTTCCCTCCGCCTTCTCCAGCAGCACAGTTCAAGCCGCAGGCCGCAAGCCGGCTCGTCCTGGCGAGCTGGCTGGGTGGTGGACCCGGATACTTTGCTCGCCTGGAGTTGCCCATCCTCCCTCTCTCAGACTATCCCCGGCTAACGATTCGTCTGTCCCCCTGTTGTTCCTTGACTCCCATGTCCTCTGTTCGCACGGGGATGGCGGTGGCGTCCAGCATCGCATCTTCAACACCTTTGCCTATGTGCTCTTCCTTTGGTTCAACCTCAGGGCCCTGCTGTCCATCAGCGACGAGCCCGAGTACAACAACTACTATGGTACGACTGCGCTGATGAGCCCGGCTCGAGACTCTGCTGCTATGCGACTGGGTGTCCGGTCAAGCCGACTCGGCTGTCCTTACTTTGAGGGTCTTGGGCGACCGCCCTGGCCGGTCTGATCTGATCTGATCTGATCCGCCAGCGGGGCACATCATCCGTGAGCATCGTGCACCCGCTGGCCTCGTCCGCTGACATTAACGTCGTCTGTCCTCTCCCGTGGCAAAGGTTCGCACGCCACCTATTTGACCCCCGCTCCTTGGGCCTTCGCCATCTGGGGCCTCATCCAGCTGCTCTTTGGTGGCTTCGTTATCTGGCAGGTGTGTAATCCGGGCTCTGCCCGAAGCGATGATTGTCTTGGACCTGCCATCGGCCAGGCTGCCCCACATGGCGAATCCCGGCCAACACCCACTGCGTCCGCTGGGGTCGCTTTCGAGGCCTGCGGAAAGTGCAGCCTTGCTTGCGACTCGGATTCTTGTTGTTGAGCAATCGCTCAGCTCCGCCCACGTCGCCACAGGGTGCACTGTCTATTCAGTGCGTGGCATTGCTTGCAGCGGCCAATCGTCATGATCATGCTGGTTCTAATTGGGTCGTACCTTGCTGCAGTGGCTCCCTGGAACTGAGGAAATCGTCCGCCACGGCTTCAACGTGTGGTTCATTGTTGCGGCTGCCTTCTCCTCCATCTGGTTCGTTCTTTGGGTAAGTCCGATTTGATCGCACAGCCATTCCCTGGTCTAGTATTAGGCACATACCACCCGCATTTGGCGATGACCGGCAGCTTGCAAATTGTCTCTGTCGTCTCCATCGCCGCGATCCTCACCAAGAGAATATTGCTGTTGTCTCCCATCATGCGCAGGAGGAAAACTACCTCGTCCTGGCCCTCGTTGTCCTGGTTCTGGCCACCGGTGCCGTTTCCATCATCTACTTCCATCTCGCCAACCTCTATCCCTCCCAGTCGCCTGCCCAAACTCTCTTTGTCCATGCCCCCGTCTCCCTCTGGCACGGCTGGCTCGTCTTTGTCTTCTGGCTCAACCTCCTCGCCATCTTCACCACCGTCAACGACCCTGTCCATCCTGACTGGATCCACACCTTGGTTGTGCTGCTGGTCATTGTCCACCTGGCCATCACCTCGATGGCCTACACCCAGTACAAGAGCCAATACGGCGACCTCCCCGGCGCCTTTGCCGTCATCTGGTATGTCCAGAGCCCAGCACTCGACAATGACTCGGTCCTGCTCGGCTTTTGTCGGCTCTGCGATCCCGCCTGGACGTCCAACTAACTCGCCGGCCCTTCTCTGCTGTCTCACCGAACTGTGCAGGGCCCTGGCCGCTGTTGGTGCCCATCAAGCGGCCGTGTCGATCCACTACTCCGCCTTTATCGCCGTTGTCGTGGTCGTTCTCTACGCTCTTGGCCAGCCCGCTCGTGCCCGCTACCTTGCCTCCAACGCCGAGACCCGCCCTCTGCTTGGATAGATGCCGTTTGCGAGCAAGATGCTTGCCACAGGCCATGCGCCTGCTCGGCGGTTGTGCGAACGGCCGTTTGCACTGACTGTACTTGGCCAGATTCATGTCGACTTTGTCCCTCACTTCCTCCATCCAGTCCAATCCAATCCGCAATTATTATTATTTTGAATCGTCCACTCCATCCATCGTCCACTCCATCCATCCATCGTCCACTCCATCCATCCATCGACCCACTCCATTCCCACGGGCTCTCCTATTCAATCGGATCCCGTCCCGTCCTCTCCCGGGTTCCCCCTCAGCCGCCATCATCACGATCGTCACGCTTTCCTACACTCTCCCGCCTCCGATTCTCGCCGATGCTACCTATGTTCCCTCTGCCAAAGCACAACCGCCATAGCCTGAAATACACAGCGTTCACAAAATGAAACGAGCTATCCCTTATTGTAACCGTTCGGTCGGGAATACCCACACATCCATATCCACACACATCCATTCCCACACACATCCATGCCCACATACATCCATACCCACATACATTCATGCTTATACCATAGATCCATCGTTCGTCGATTGCTCTCTGATGCTCATGATCGCAACGCCCAAGCCCGCCACCCTCAAGGATCCACTCTCCCGCTCCGTTTCAGGACTGTGAAAAGTGTATCCATGGCTTTCCATGTCACTCACCCTGACTCGGACCGATGTTTAGATCCGCTTTGGATAGAACAGCGCACGCCTTGCGGCTTGTATCGGCGACTGTGGAGACCGGAGGGCAGCCCGCGGGTTTCATTCGGAGGATGCTGAAGTGATCGGTTTGGATTGCAAATGGACACAGGCTTCCGAAAGCGACGTGTTCGATTGAGCTGGGGCAGTATCATTGGGATTGTCTCTGTAACGATGACCAATCCTGCCTATCGGCTGGTGGATGCAGTCGCCCTGCAAGATCTCGGTAGATGACATTGATGTTGATTGAGCCGAGCTCGCATACGTCACTTGCCGGTGCTTCGGTGGGCTGCTCTAGCTTCTTCAGGCGACTGATGGTGAGGGCGATTGCGGACATAAACCGCCTCGCCCGGATATCACGCCTGCTGTCTACCATCGCATCGCATCGCATCGCTGCCCCTTGGTGTGAGCCTCAACCTCGCCTTCAATACCACGAACCTTGAATAGCTCGCCTCAGAATTGGCTGCTATGGATGATCCGCCGCCTCCATACCCGCAGAACTTGTCCGCCGCCGAACACAGTGACTATTTCTATCATGCAACTGCTGTTCCCCTGCCGCCCAGCACCCAGCACAGCCGAAGCCCCTCTGCGCTTGGCTTCCAGCCCACAGAGGATGTTCGTGCTGTGGTATTACCCGGCAGCGCCAATGCCGCAGCCTCGGTGCCGCAACAACATCCCGAACTTCAAATCGCACCCAATATTCTGCCGTATCCAGAACTCCATCCCGCTGCAGTCACCGCCAGCCCGTCGTCGGTTGTGACGATGGCCCCGCTCAGTCCCTTGCCATATCCCGTCCTCCCTCTGGCTGAGGCTTCTTCGCAGGCTCCAGTGACAGCAACGGCTTTCCCTCCGCCTCTCGTCATCTCAACACAGACGCATCTTGCCCAGCTGGCCACACAACCCGAGTCGTTGGTGGAGGTTCCACTCTCGCCGTCAGCTCGCGAGCTGATCCAGAAGTACGAGGCAAAGTCCGATGCAGTCTTTGTGGAGACAGGTAGGGACCCTATTCGATTCCGCCGGTCTGTCGGCTCCATCCAGCGAATTTGTCGGTGCGAGATACACCCTCTCTTCTACAACTTATTGATTGCCACTGCACCAAGCTCGTGCCACTGTCGGCCATCATTCGCCCCGCTTTCTCATCGCCACTCACAGTGTTCCACTCACGTTTGCCTCCACCTTCGCCGGTCACAACCCATGCGATTCCCACGGTGCTGCTGACACCACTCGATGGTCATGGCCCTCCTGTCTCATGGATCTATCGACATCTGAACCGCATTCAATGTTTCTGGCGCCAAGTCGCCCAAATCCCACTTCCAAAGAGCGAAGCGCCGACCCGGGAGCCGTCCGAGCTGCTTGACATGTCAGTGGCTGCAGGCCACTCGCACACCACCGAAACCAGCGGCGCACCAAGTCTGCTGCTCATCTCAGCGACAACGACGCCGTCGTCGTCGTCGTTGCATCCCCACCTCACACCACCATCCGCCCAGGACGGGGCAGCAGTGAGACCCATCACCAAGTCTGCCAGCACTTTTATCCCACAGGACCAGGTCATGGACCTGGTGTGTCAGGGCAAGCTGGTCATCGAGACTCGCGCCGACGGCACAAGCATTATTGCATCCAGCTCCCCGTCGCCGATCGCCCCAACTCCTCAAACTGCGACGACGCTGGCGCCGCTCATCACGCCGGTTGCAGGTGGGTGGAGCTCGAGCTCGAGGGATGTAAGCGCGACCAAAGGGTCGACACAACTCGTCTGTGCACAGGATCAGTGTGGTGCATCAACTTACCACCGTTACCGCACTTCTCTGAACCGACTGTTTGATGCCGGTGTCGTCATCCCATTGCCTGTTACGAACCAACCCTTGCCTCGTCTCAACATACGCACATACACACCAGGCAGCTCCATGTCAGCTTCGCTGCCTCCATACCCAGCCGACGAAGGTCAGTGGCATGGCGCGACGCAGGTCCATTACCCTGAGTTCTGCCTCGATCCGAACATCTGCACACAAGGCCGATTGGCATTCGTGATGACACATGGCTTTATTTTCTTTGCTCTTTGCCGTCCCATCTTGGTTGCCACGCTCGTTTTGCTGCTGGACATGTTGAGCAGCCGTCGCTAGTGCCAAAGAAAAGTCGCTTGCAAGTGACTCTAAACAAGCTTCAACTCGGGAGATTGAGGCGGCTGCCAACGAATCCAAGAGCTCGCTCAAGAAACAAGAAGCCCTCAAGAAGAGCGCCGGTGCCGGTGCCGGGTCCAAGGGCAGCCTGGGTCCTCGTCGTCGCAGCAACGGCCAGAAAGGCGACATTGTGCCGGTGATGGATACTGGAGCCCGCTGCTGTCTCTCCGTAGCGCTGTCGCTGCTCGTGAGCCTTGCTCTGGCGGCTTACCCGGCCTATTCGGCCTACAACTCGTTTGCGACAGCCATTCCATAGAGGGTATGTTGGAATGAGTCTGGCCGTCGCCCTTCTCGACCTTGAATACATCCCATTCATCAAGCGTGCTTCACCATCGCGCAACAGGTTCCGGGGCCACACACACTCGGTCGATCTCGTCAGTCGATCCCCACATACCGCGGCCCAATGCTGCATTCTGCACCATCTCACTCTCCGTTCTGGAACGACATGCTGTTGTGTTGGTTCATCATCTCTCAAGCAATATACTAGATACAAAAAGCGTCGAGGGCGGATAAGAGCGGCGGGCAGTTGTAGAGCATTATACAACGATCGGTGAGGTGGAGCAAGGGGCGACGATGGCGAAGCAAGGATCGAGGTGCCAAAGAAGGATAGGATAAAAGGCAGGAAGGAGCGTGGTCAAGGGCGAAAAAGGTCAAATTTGAGCATTCCAAGGCCATTCGGAATATAATCTCAGAGGGTCCGTCAGCAGCGCACACCACAGTCCGTGTGCAGCAGGGTCAATAAAAGGCGCATCTATCCGACCGGCGTCAAGACAGTGCACAGGCATGAAGGGGGGGGGAAAAACAGCAAAAGTTGAAGTAAAGTGAATGTGCGGAGAGAGTGAGAGAGAGGGTGAGCGGGTGCGACATCGATCCGTCTAAAGGCCACAACCATCGATGGATTGTGGGTGTTGGGGGCTTATCCGTCCAGAGCGCCGATATTACATTAACTTATTCATTCGCCTGAGTGGAGCAATGGCGTATTAGAGAATCGATGCTAGATTCACAGCTTCAGTGCTCTGCACTGACCAATCCGACCCGGCGAGACACCGATGCCCTGCAAAGTACTTGGCACCACGAACGAGCATACCCAACGGGATACAACGTACCTCTCCGAGCAAATCAAAGGCGTTCTTGTCCTTGACCTCAGTCTTCTCACCAAAAACATCCGAGGCCTTGGGGGGGCCTGCAGGTTTTCGCTCCTCGCGCTTGGCACCGTGACCGTGGTTGTGGCTCTGGTTGTGATCTCTCCAAGTCTTCTGGGCGTAGCCGCCGCGGCCAGCCGATCCAGGGCGTCCGCCGCGAGAAGGACTGCGAGGGTTGCTGCGAGGCTGCACCGATCCAGCGGCATCAGAGCGTCTCCACGAGTTGGTCTCGTCGGCACGCGAAGGCGCTTCGGGTTCCTTGGGTCCGCGATGTCCGCGAGGTTTTCTGTGATGGTCCTCCGATCTAGTGTCCTCGTCGTTCTTTCGCTCCTCCTCGGCCTTGAGGGCCTCCTCAGCCTTGCGAGCTTCCTCGGCTTTGCGGGCCTCCTCAGCCTTGCGAGCCTCCTCAGCCTTGTGGGCCTCTTCGGCCTTGCGGGCAGCCTCCTCTTCCTCCTTCTTGCGGGCAGCTTCCTCCTCGGCATGCTGGCGTTCGAGCTCCCTCTCGCGATGGCGCTCCTCCAGACGCCGCTGGATTTCGGCTTCGTCGCGGGGCTTGGCATCGCCAAAAGGGTTGGACTTTTTGTGGGCGGGGGCGGGGGCCGCGGCAGCTGGAGCAGTAGCAGCCGGAGCGGCAGCAGCAGCAGGAGCAGCAGGAGCCGCGTCGTGATCATCAGCATGACTCGACTCGACAGGAACAGTGCGGGGCTTCAGTTCCAGCTTCTTGCGAACGGCAGAAGCCTCGGCGGCTGTGTTAATAGTCCAGGTCAAGAAACCGCCATATTAGCTCGATGATTCGCTGGGCGTGCCATCTTGATGAGACCAGCCGACACAACACCGAGAGAGTCACCGCGCATGCTTACCACGATCACGGCTGAAGCCACCATCGCGACCGAATCCATCACGGCGAGCTCCATAGCCGTCACGAGAGCCATAGCCGTCACGGGAGCCATAGCCGTCACGAGAGCCGTATCCGTCACGGGAGCCGTAGCCGTCGCGAGAGCCATATCCATCGCGGGAGCCGTAGCCTCCGGCGGGGGGACGAGCCGGGGCAGCGGGGCGAGCGCCTCTCCAGTCGCCATCAGAGGCGTGGGATTCGCGAGTCGTCTTGGCTGGTAATGGGCGTGTGTACAAAGGGGCATCAGCGACGCTGTAAAGATGAAGCGATTTGCAAATGCCGGATGATCGCATAGGCTGCATGTCGACGCAGATACTCACGAGTGTCCGAGACGTCGATCTTGATATTGCGGCCAGCGAAGGACTGTAGTTGTGACGCAACAGCGACGGTGAGATTGTGATCCAAAATACAATTACGCCCATCCATGTCACGCCAACTCTTGGGTGACAAGGACGCCGCATTCTAGATTGCAATACCAGCACTTGCTGCCGGCCCCTACCTCGCCATCCAGCTGCAGAGCCAGCTCCATGGATCGCACATCACTGAACTCGACATATCCGAATCCCTTGGGTCGGCCATCGCGATCCTTGATGAGCCGGGTTTCCTTGATCTAGCGGCCGCAGAAATGGGCAAAAATACTTTCAGCCGGACTTGTATCGAGCAGCTACGGCTGTGTCGGTAGCACGGTGCGCAGCCTGACACCCTCGCTCGATGGCGACACATACGTGAACATCTCTGCCAAAGAAGGTGGCGATATCATCCTCGTTGACACTGAAGGACAGGTTGCCAACATAGCAAGAGAACGGGGGATGGGTGGGGAGCGTAACGGGACCGCGAGGAGCGCGCTCGTGACGGTCGCCGTATCGGTCACCGTAGCGGTCGCTGCCGCGGTCACCATAGCGGTCGCTGCCACGGTCGTTGTAGCGGTCGCCAGAGCGGTCGCCAGAGTTGTCGCCGTAAGCTGGATATGGGAGCCCACAGATGATCGGTAGGTCGGTGGTCAGACTGATACGGTATCGGCTTTGGACAATTCCCCCCAGAACGCCCGGATCGCAGTCACGATCAGCAAGGCCATCAAATGGGGCAATGATCGAGTCAAGGATTGCAAGGCACTCTACCTCGAACACTGGATTCATCTGATGTCATAAGAAATACAGCATGATCGCGCCGTCGTGGAGCAAGATGGTTAGTCGAATAATAACGCCTGGGTGTGTCCAAATGAGGGCCGACATTGCCGATATGCGGGCTGCACATACCATGGTTGTATCCAGCGGCTAGATCATCGGGTGGCGTGCGTATCGGCAGGGAATGATGGAAATGTGAAGCAGGTAGGGCGGTTGTGCAAGGTCAGCCTGAGACGAGAAGAGCGTCTTCGTCACCGTCACCATCGTCGAGACTGGGCTCTGACCGACCGACCGATCCCAACGGAATGACAGCCCTTCGCAGCCGAGACAGAGATTGCGATGGGAGTCACTTCAGACACGCAAGTCGCCGCTCGGGTGCGACCCGCCACCACGCCAATCATGTCCAGCACAGTGCGTTGTTGCTGAACATGTGTGTGGATTGTACATCGCTCGAGGAAGCCACGATCATGTCGGCCGTCGCTCGCGATAGCCAAGGAGGATACGCCAACAACGGTCTTTGCTGTGGCGGCGGAGCGGAATTGACTCGCAAGAGCAACTGCGAAAGCACGTACGAGCGGTGGGGAGGTCTCCGATATCGTCAGCCCAGGAGCCATACTCTGAAGGCGCAGAATAAGAGGAGGGGAGACGGACAAGAGCAAAAGCGATTTAGTCGAGGTCTTTGAGAGTGTGCTCCTCCTCAACACCGCCGGAGAAGGGGCCCGGCTTGCGGGGCGGTGCCCCAAGATCGGTCGCGAATGAGCACCAGCGAGATGCTGCATCCGCCGGCCACATCCTCTGTTGATTTCAGCCACAGTGTGCGCGAGGTGCAGACACGGAAAAGGCGGATGGGTCGTCAACCTTCGGCGGCATTGAACTCCTGCAGGGACATGACAGTTCCCTTCTTGTTCTGCCTCTTGGACATGGTGGCGAAGATACGTGCGAGACGGTGGGGTCGAAGCGTTGAGCGGAGAGAGGATAGAGCGTCTAGGACGGATCCAGCGAGGCTCTATGCGGGTTGTCGAGGCAACGGGCGTTCAGCGGAAGATGCGAACGAGGAAGAAGGGCGAAAAAAAAGGGTGCCCCAGTGTCTTTCGGGCCGCAGACCGGCCGGCCCAAGCAGCGACGAGAAAAAAAATGCTTGTGGCACAAGGACGGCGAGGAGGCCCGAGAGCCAGCGAGAGCAGACGAGATGCCCGGCGAGACACACCGAGAGGGGAGCCACGCTCCTCGCGAGAGGTGGGTCAGGTCGGTGGCCCAGCTCGCTTCATGCCCAGCTCGCTTCATGCCCACGACGCTCCTCGTTGGCGAGCAAATGCCTCGGGGCGGTGACTCTGCGGTGGTGCCTATGCCTGTGCGCCGGGCGAAGGAGTTTGACGTGCGGTGCAAGCCAAAACGCTTGGCGATCAGACCACGATGTTTCGCGCACCTGATCGCAGCGACAATATCGACAAGACTTGCGAAGCAGCGGACGGCGATGAACATGAGCCCATTGGATGCACAGATGTATTCAAGATCGAGAGGAGCATGGCCGGAGACTCAAGCAAGGTGTCCCGTTTCATGTTGTACGGATAGGAAGAAGCTCTCCTCGGGATAGTAGCATGTGAGCTTATTCTCGTCAATAACATTGGCATCTAGAGAGGCACAGCAGTCATGCAACACCGCACAACAGTCATGCAACACCGCACAACAGTTAGTTCCGCATCAACCGACTATTCCAGATGATCGGCTCACACTTCCATCTACCAAGTGCGCACGCCTTCACCTCCCACGCTATTCCGTGACCCGGCACGGATTTAGGAAGGAATCCGCCTCGTCTCCCGATGCATGTCAACTGTTCCTCGCCCTTCGTTGCCGCAATCGACTCCTGCTCAGGTCTCTTAACCAACAGACAGGCGCTTTTCAATTCGCACAAATAGCCAGCTCGTATGACATACCACATTCTCGATAGAAACGCCCGTCGCCATCATCATCATCGTCGTCGTCCAGGATGCTCTGGATCGCCTTTGGCTTCAGCAGGTACTGTCGCCGGCAAACGCCTTGGTCGACGAGAATATCGAGCAGCTTGAGCATCTCGGTATATGTGAGGACAGTGGAAAACCACTGATAAAGCTGCGACTGTTGAGGACAAGACGGCGGCGCTCTCAGCAAACATGCTCACTAAGATACCGGCCGTGCTCGAGATCGTGCATCGTGCATCGTGCATCGTACAGCCATGTGCACTGCGGCTCCCACTTGGCGGTTGTGGTTATCAGTCAGTCGTACTCACCTGCAGCACGCCCGGCGACCGCAATATGGCGCCGGACAGCGTCTGGAGGCACATCCGCAGGATTTTCGAGTTCTCCTGCCCATTGATGCTGGTCCACAGCTTGGGTTGGACGTAATCCAGGGCATCTTGACCACGCTGGACCTGCTTCTCCCACATGCTCTGCAAGTCTTGATCCGCGCAGTTGATGCTGATCGTCCAGGCATCGAGATATCGATGTGACACATATCTTTCCTCCAGGTAGCCCACTTTGGCAACAATCGATATGTCGATCCTCGGATGGCGCAAAGCCGACAGCTTGTCAACCTGAAGTCGCAGCTGAGAGTCGCTCAGTCTGACCGAGTCTTGCTGAGCTTGCCTCTGTATTTGGCGCTGTGGGTTAGTCCAACGGGGAGAGAGTCGCTGTAGTGGCGATCGACGCGGCCATTCTGAGGTCATCATCACCAGCGGCTTGGGTTGCGGCATCTCCATGCCACCATCTCTTCAGCACGCGCCAGATCTGCCCCTGCCAGTTCAACCAACTTGCCTTGATATTGAGCAAGGATATACCCAACCGACCCGCTTGGACTATGGTTGCGTAGAGGTACAATGCGCACTCCACTTCAGCCACATGCTCTGCGTTCTCTTGGCCACAGCGTCGAATCGTGTCAATCGCAGGATCGCTTGGATCCTGGCTTTCGAGGAGGCTCTCGTCGATAGGAGGATAGGCTTGCGAGCATGGCTGCGACTTCGATATGCCAGACATTGCTGTGTCGTCGTCCAGGTCGCTAAATATGGGTACGACCGAATCTTCTTCATGTGCTGCCACGAACAAACCAGAATTCATGGAGGAGCGCAAAGATTGGTATACGAGTGCGCATCCCTTTCGTCGCCAAGCTTGATTCCCTTGGTCCATCTATGCGGCACCAGCACCAGCACCAGCACCAGCACCAGCACCAGCACCAGCACCAGCACCAGCACCAGCACCAGCACCAGCACCAGCACCAGCACCAGCACCAGCACCAGCACCAGCACCAGCACCAGCACCAGCACCAGCACCAGCACCAGCACCAGCACCAGCACCAGCACCAGCACCAGCACCAGCACCAGCACCAGCACCAGCACCAGCACCAGCACCAGCACCAGCACCAGCACCAGTACGACCAAACCTCGGCTTACCCAGTCGATACATAGAACGGCGTCCGGTCATGCGCATGTTGCTATCGATAGGCGACTTCTCAAACATGATCTTGGGAGTGAGGCGGCGATATCCCATCAAGTCCAGCAGAACCATCATACAGCCATCTTTGAGCAGGGGTTCGAATCGATACACTGTGTTTGACTGCTTGGGTAGCTCAGTTTGCAGCTGTGCATAAAACTCCTTCGCTTCCTGGAACAAAGTCTTGGGCCACACGCCAGTGAGAACATGCAAGAACCTAGACACCAAAGTTTAACAGGATCAGCAAATACAACGGGTCCGTGACTGAGCTAGCATTTTAGGGCACACGTCCACTGCGGACTATGGCCTTGGCTGCGTCGATATCACGGGCATGGATCTTTGCCCAAACATCGCCCCACATAATCGCGGATCGAAAGGGGCGCCATAAATGCCAACACTGTATCGTCCCTCACAGCCCGTCCACCCGATCTTCGTTCTCCTGGACTGTGTGGAGTCGGCCATCGAGGCCATGGCTTTCATATCCCGCGTTCGCCTGCGTACTTCTCTGAGATTTGGTAGCCTCGACCAGGAAGCCGCTTGAGCGGTCCCATAAGCTTGCTTCGACAAATCGATCCATGTTCGTGCAGCATCGACGTCGCATTGGCCAGCTGCTGGTCTGAATATCGAGCCAGGATCATCATGGCCTTCTCGGAATCGTATTCCGAGTCTTGAGTAGCAAGCACGCTCTGTGGACAAAGCGTGGTTACTCAGGGATCGTCGCCATGGGGGCCTTGCTTCGTCGTCTGCTACCAGGACACTTCTGGCCGGGTGTAGTTCACTTGCTATGTAAACAGTGTCCTGGTCGGATCCAAACTCATACACCAAAGCACTTACCATCAACACCGCTTTGATCAACTTGGACTCTAGATTGATGTCAGTGTCCAGATCAGGGAGCTCGTGCTGGGTCGTGTCGTCAACCAGGCCGGAATAGTACAGCAATCCGGACATGCTCTGCGAATACATTGCCAGCAGCTGGCTTCGGACGCTGTTCTGCTGTCCAAGCGCAAAGACAGGCTTGTTGACAACATCGACCGTGGACTCGCCCGCGAAACCAACTGATTTAACAACTTGGAATTGCTCTTCCAACAAGGCCACGGTTGCGGGCAAGTAATTACGTTCATTCAAGACACTCGAGTATCTAGCAGCATTGATGCGTGTCAAGAAGACAAGGTGTCAGTCAATCCCCTGGTTGCAATGACTGTGGGTTCTGGGGCATGATCACATCCACACATTCCCAACAAAACCACGAGCTCCTCCTCATCGCGTTGCGGTGATCATGCTGCCCGTAGCCCGTCGGCAATGTGTAAATCAGGTCGTATGCAGCACTTTCCTCGATCGGCCGCGCGGCAGATCCTACCGACACAAATACACGGCGGCAACATGCACTTACCGAAGCGCAGATGCGCCTTCGTCGGTCCCATCTTCGCTTTCCCACTTGGCCTTGAGAAACATGACATAGTCGATGAGCTGCAGATGAGGTACGGTCTTGGGAACGGTGACGTCGATTATCTCAAACTTTCCGGCCCCGACACCACGGAGATATGCGATTTTCCAATACTCTGAGAGCCTATGGATTCGATTGGCCAGATCGGTGGACTTCAGGAGCACGATAAGGCGACGCCGAAGAGTATCGGCGTTTCCCTGGAGTTTGCGCTTGCCAACTTCTGCTCCGCTGTTCAAATCGCCGCCGCCTTGGATCAGATACTCCTCTGGGGCCAGGAACGGCGCTAGTGATGTGTTATGCCTCTTGTTCCACTCCAAAAAAAGTGTGCGGAGAGGGTGCCACGACATCTTGCATTTCAGGCTAGCCATGATCACGTATCCGTAGATGAGCAGATTGTCCTCTTCGGCGGACCAGGGATAGCGATATCGTGTCTTTTTGAACAGGAGCGATTTGTTGAAAGTCTGTACGTCTGTGATCACGGGCACATGCTCCTGGATCGGACGACTTTCAAAGGCATCGATGTTGACCAGGTCATCCCGGGACTTGAGTCCACGTTGCCGAGTCGAGCGACGCGGCGATAGTACATCGCTGGCCTCGTCTTTGGTATGGCTGCTAGTGGAATGGCCGTGCCCGTTGTCTCTCCACGTCTCATCTCCACTGCTGTCGCTGTCGCTGTTGCTGTCGCCGGCATTGCGTTTGGCGCGGCGGCCATGGGCTTTGCCCTTGCGGGCCACCGACCGGCGCATTATTTTGGCCAGTCGCGATATTTTGTTCTGGTTCGCCTGGCGTTCCTGGAAATTGAGGCGCTTCTGATAGTCGTCGATGACGCCGCGATAATAGAACTTGATCTTTTCAAGCGGAAGACTGTGGTCGCGAGCGATTTTGAGCAAAGTGGAATCGTTGTTGAGCGGCACTTTGGGGACTTCGCCATCGTAGATAATGTAACCATTCAGGCACTCCTTTTCCCGCGGGCCGAACTGGTAGCTCTGTCTCCAGTTGCGTGGGTTTTGGACGATTTCATGGAGGGGCATGCCTTTATGCGACTTGGGGCTTGTTGCCGGATGTTCTCGTTTCCTTGTTCGCGTCGCGAAGGTTTCGCAAATGAATTGCAAATATGACCAAAAGCCCTGGAAGCTTTGGTAACTATCAATATCGAACGACTTGAGGTAGGGTTGGTTGGGATCGGTATAGTTGTATACAGGGACAATCTTGCAAAGCCGAAACTCAGCCACTTGGTTGTTTCCCTCAACCGCATAGCTTGCAAGAGGCTTCGCGCTCCGCTCCAGAACCTTGAACATTTCTAGGGTCTCGATGACGAGCCGAATGTTGGACTTGATCCTGGTGATGGACCTGTCAAAGTTCAGGACTTTGGGATCAACCTCGCACATTTTCTTGGAGCGATTCTCTGCGCTCTGGATATACTCCCTGAGAGGTGGGTGGTCCACCGTTATGCTGACAAGCGAAAGCATCGTCTCCAAAGGCATCTCGCGGATGATCTTGGCGATGTCGAGTACGCCATTGCCCTTGTACTCTCGACTACCCTTTGAAGACGCCGAGGCGCCGCTGCCATTGTCGGGCGAAGTGTCCTCGGCTCGCTGATCGAGAATCATCGATAAGATAAATCGATGGAAGACCTTGGCGCGGATATACTTGGCACTGATCCATCCATAGGTCGCAGCGACGTTGGACCAATAGGTGTCGCCACTGTAATCATCTTGCTTATGGCTGGACTGGCTAGCGAGCGAATCGTGATTGTCGCTTTGGTTCGCCAAAGGCTCGTGGTCCTCTTGGCCTGTTTGCCAGGTCGTGACGGTCAAGGGCTGTTGAGACACAAAGACCCGCTCCACAACAAGATCGTCGTCGACAGGGAGACTTTGCAGCCTGACTTTCTTGCTGACCGAGCTCTCGACATTCCGGTTGACCAGGTTGCGGACATACTCGCGGACCCGCTCGGAACCTGTATCGATGTCGTTGCGGATCAGGAGCATCTTGAAATAGTGCTTTCCGTTGAGGCGCTGGTTCGGAAGCAGCCACAGCACCGTCAGCAAGGAGCATCACAGCAGACTAAGCGCTCCAGCCGAGATACCAAAGAGAACCAACTGCAGGATCGCGACAGTGTCTCGATACCCGACAGCACTCGGCAGCAGTGTCACCAATTCAAATTGCGTGCAAAGCCAGTATAAAGTCGGCTGCATTCGCAACCCTCGACGATGCATCTCAGTAAGCACTGTGCTGTCCGCGGCATGCACGAATACCGCCTACCGGAATTTGCACATTATAGACCTTGAGTTGACCGTCTTGCTCCATACTGGCAGCAAGGCGCCGGAACGTTGCTCGATCGATTCGATAGCCAAGCTCCTTGCCGTGCTTCTTGGCATACTGCTCCATATAGTACAGTTCAAAGCGGGTACCACATTCGACGATTTCCAGCTCTTGAATGATCTCAAGTAGAAGCTGCCGACGCTCCAGCTGGGTGATGTTGAGCTGCGAACTTCCTCTGACGCGCTGGCTTGCTGATGGGCTGGCCACGCTGGCCGCAGCTTCGACACTGCTATCGAAAGTCAATACATTCGAAGGCAGCGTTGCCTTGGACCCACAATCCTTGCTGCAGTACCACAGAGACGTTGGGTAACTCTTGAGCGGAGGATTGCAGCAAGAAAAATGGTACTGACTCGAGCAGTGGTTGCACGTTATCAGCCTGCTGACGCCGATACTGTGGCATGCTTGGCATCCAATCTGAGAGAAGGAATCCAGGGCATTAACACATCGACATCAGATTCGAGATCGTAGGCTCATCGCACTGACATACCCTTGGCTCCTCTTTCATAAGCTCCAAGGACGCTGTCGCTAAACAATTTGGAATCAACCACGCGTCCCCAAAGAAAATGTCAGCTACTCCATCATCATATATAGCTTGCCAGGCATGGGCGCCCTCGAATCAATGAAGACGATGCAGTGCAGCATGTGCACAAACGACTTGCCTGTTGGATCCATTTCGTCGATGCGACTCTTTTTTGGTGTGGTCAACTGCTCAGAACCATCCTCTGTGACATCGAGAAGTCGATGCTCCATCTTGCGTTTCTCCAAGATGGAGGGAACAAAAGCCCCGATGCGGTCCCACTCGTTCGGCTGGATGTCTGTCGAGGAGTCCTTCTTCTTTTCGAAAGCCTCGCGGGTGAAGTACCTGTAGCGATGCTCGCGACGAAACCATTCGCCAACACGGATCACGGGCGCACTGTTTGGGTTCTTCTTCTCGACGGGAGAGCACAGTTTGAAGAGAATGCGCTCGATGATCTTGTCGCCGAGGTTGTTGAGGGATCTGGTGATAACCTTGAAACAGAGTGCAATGCCTGGATGAGACCCATGCTAGTCGGATGGAAGCATCCCAAGTACGCCACGGCTATGGTAACATACCGCTGCGATAGCGCCCGCGACGCCTGAAGCTTCTATCACGTGGAAGACTTGCCATTCGACGTGCATTTCTGGTGCGATCGAACCTTTGCCGATGATCAAGTCTCGATCAGGATCGGTGCTCTGCTGATCCTTTTGGTACTTGGAGAGTGTTTTGCTGGCGGGTGATGCTCCAGTTTCGGCAGCTGCCTCAAGTGGGATGTACGGCTTGCACAACCTCACACATCGCTGGTATCCGTGCACAATTTCGCCGTTCTCTCGCTTTGGGATGTTGATCAGCTGCACGTATCCACCACGTTGCATGCACACGATCTGTCGGAGAAACCACCGGCGCTCGAGCTTTTGGCTTGCGTCGAGATTCTGTGGAGCGAGACAGGATGATGGGTTAAGTGCTGCTTGGACCATAGCTCCAAGAATGATCCCAAGCCGAGCTTGATATATCGCGCGGATGACTTACTGATAGCTGCAAGAGATCCAAGGCATTGAGCACTTGGTTCTTTGCAGCACTGAGCAAATGTGTGACTTGGCATCGCCATGCCTCCAGTTGAACGCGATCGCTCCCGCAGCTCGTTGCCCCATCAAACGAGGACAAGCGAGCAGCCGGATCGTGATGGCTGGAGGACACGGCGATCTGCCAGCTCTGATAAGCGTCATTTTGGTGGATGAACTTGTGGTGAATCAATAGGTTGGTTTTAGTCACGCCCTTCAGCGATACCTTAACTTTGTATCTGTTGTGCATTGATCGTTGCATGAGGAGCCGGAGATACGGTACAGTAATAGAAAATGTCGATGGAGTCAATTCGTTGGACGGACAACAGTTCAACGACTCCAAGGAATATGGTCGCTTTTGACACAACCGCTGCTACGACCCAGCAGTCGTGTGTCTCAAAGTATGGCTTGCTCTTGACTCATCGAGCCATTATATGCACTAATCGAGCGACTTACATGATTTTCTCATCCACCCAAGGCTTGATAATTGCGTAGGTGCTGGTTGGGGTCATATTGATCATCCTGGACAGCTCGACCTGGGTGACTCCGTTGGCTCTGCCCTTCAAAATCAGAGCTAAGACACGAAGATGGTTTGACACGGCCTTGGATGCAGGCTTTCGTTTTGAAGCGTCGGAAGCGAGAGAGGAGGAAGCGGTCGGGGTGAGAGGAGCGGATGTGTGTTCAGGCTCTGTACCGGGCAACTGGTCGACAAAGCAGCGGCATCATACCGCCGGTGCATCCGATATCGCCCAAGAAACGCAGCTACGTCGTAGCAGATAGCACCCAAGGAATGGCGCCGCAAAAATATCCAGACAGACTCGAGTTGCCTTTGCTCAAACAACCAGCTATACCTCTCGGCCGCCAAAGCATTCAAGCTCGATCAGCTTCCGAGGGGCTCGTAGTATCAGGCTGGCTCCGTATGTGTCCTGTACCGCAGACAAAGACATTTGACGCAGGATTTCTGAATCCACCGGGATGGCGTCCGGCCTCGGAAGCTCGTCATTGGTTGCCAGTTTCTTTGCTTGACTCGATGAGGGTCGCTGGGCGGGCTGTTCCTCGCGGTCCGAGGCTCCGTCGTCGTACCCGTCATTGCCATTGTCGTTGCCGTCATCACCGCTGCCCGACTCAGCAGCAACAGAGCCATCGGAGTCGCCATCGGAGGCAGCTCGCTTGGATGATCGCTTGGCTGTGCGAGATCCTTTGGATCTGGTGGCGGAGGGGCCTGCTTTCGCTTTGCCTGCCGGTCGTCGTGGTGTGGACTTTGGGGTGGTCTGCGGGCCCGACAATTTAGCAGGCTCCTTTGGCAATGCAGAGTCTTCCACCGTAGCCTTTTGATCATGAGCTTTGGCAAAAGAGCCCTCTGGATGGTTGGACGGACACACAAAGAACAAGATCCCTCGGGATTTAGTCAAATGTGAAAAGACCAGACTCTGCTGGAAGTGATCGAGGACAAAGCCCGGTGCGTTCTGGGAAGCCAATTCGATGCGCTTGCTGAGACACTTGAACAGCGCATCGACGGTGCACCCGTCGAGCCCCTCCCGGGCCACTTCCTCGTGTGCGTATGCCAGCCACTGATGCAGGTTGGATGCCATATCGATTCGTTCGTGGGTCTATTGAGGATCGATGCAATCGAAATGAGCACGCTTCATCCAGCAGGAGCGACCACAATCGGTCAGATAGGACTGCTGCAGGTCGATCGCCGTTCGGCAGGCAGACGCAGTTCTCCTCGAAACCATCCAGGCAGACATGCAACCCCAGGCAGCCTCCACCCCCCCCCGGCACTTGCCTTCCATGCGGCTCGGGCTGCAGCAGACCCGGGCCCGAACCTGCGGCCGCGGCAGCAGAAAACGCCGCGGCGCATCCGAGCCCGGCTCGATCCGGCTGGAGCCGTGGAGCCGGTCCGTCTGCCAGCAACAAAACGAGATCTTGCCCGCGCGGCCAGCAAGAGCGGAATCTCCAGGAGCGAGCCAGCCCAGGCACCCAGATCGAGCTGCCCTCTCTCTCAGGCTCTCCACATCGGCCATGTTCCTCTACAACGTCACCCTCCAGCAGCCGTCGGCAATCAATTGTGCGTGCATCGGAAACTTTTCGGGCACGAAGCAGCAGGAGATCATCGTTGCCCGATCGTCTGTGCTCGAGCTCATCTCACCCAACTCGGCGACGGGCAAGCTGAACCCGCAGCTCGCGCTCGAGTGTTTCGGCATAATTCGGTCGATGCAGCCTTTCCGCCTCACCGGATCGTCCAAGGACTACCTCGTCGTTGGCTCGGACTCGGGCCGCATTGTCATCCTCGAGTACAACCCAGCTCGAAATCAGTTTGTCAAGCTGCACCAAGAGACATACGGCAAATCAGGCTGCCGTCGTATTGTTCCTGGACAGTTCTTGGCTACAGATCCAAAAGGCCGTGCGGTCATGATCGGTAAGTCTTGCGGTCTCATCCGGGGTGGGGGACGCCACGGTTAGATCTCAAGTCGACTGGATGCAGAGGACAACGCTTTGGCTTCAGCTCATCGACCGGCTGCCTTTGGTGTACTTTGGGGGACCAGAACGATCGCTTTGTCGCAGTTGTCTCTGGATGTTCATTGCATCATTCGCTTGTTGCGTGGCTCTAAACTCATCCCAATCACGACTCGCAGCGGCTGTTGAGAAGCAAAAGCTCGTGTATATCCTGAACCGTGACTCGGCGGCCAACCTCACCATCTCGTCGCCGCTCGAAGCTCACAAGACTGCCACCATCACGCATCACATTGTCGGTGTTGATGTTGGTTACGAAAACCCGATCTTTGCCGCCCTTGAGATCGATTACTCTGACTCTGACCAAGACCCGTCCGGCGAAGCATTCGAGAATGCAGAGAAGGTGCAGTGAGTGGACGAGGATCAGGCGATGTGCTTTTCCAAGCCAGTCAGGATGATAGCCACAAGCCAAGCCACTTGGGTAGAGCCAGTGATGTCAATCTGTGTGCTGACGGAAACGATCTTCTCCCACTCCATGCAGATGCTTACCTTCTACGAACTGGATCTGGGTCTGAACCATGTGGTTCGCAAGTGGAGCGAGCCTGTCGACCCGCGCGCAAACATGCTCATCGCCGTCCCAGGCGGCACAGACGGTCCCTCTGGCGTGCTCGTCTGCTCAGAAAACTATATCACATGGAGACATCAGGGTGCTCCCGCAGCCCGCGTTCCTATTCCCCGCCGTCCCTCAGCCATTCAGTCGTCGGAGGCTGGTGACGACAGAGGCGTCATCATTGTCACTGCCGTCGTTCACAAGCTCAAGAAGGACTTTTTCGTGCTTGTCCAGACCGAAGACGGTGACATCTTTAAGCTGACGATGGATTACGAGACCAGCAGTGAAGGCGCAGTGGGCCCCGTCACCAACTTGAAAATCAAGTACTTTGACACCATCCCTGCCAGCACAAGCCTGTGCATCCTCAAAACCGGATACCTATTCAACGCCAGCGAGTTTGGCAATCAGTAAGCACACCCGCAACATACATACGCATTGCCATGGCGTGTGTCCCTCAAGCATCACATTCAATCTAGCCCTACTGACGCCATGACGATGTATTCCTTGCAGTTACCTCTACCAAATCGAGAACCTGGGCGATGACGATGAAGAGCAGATGGAGTATTCCAGTGGCGACTTTGACAGCGAGGAAGACATTGCCGTTCCTTTCACCCCCAGGCCTCTTCGCAATCTGCAGCCAGTCGACGAAATGGAGTCGCTTTCGCCCTTGATCGATGCCCAGATCCACAACCTTGCCGGTGAAGAGTCGCCCCAAATCTACGCTCTGTGCGGACGAGGCGCCAAGAGCTCGTTCCGCATCCTTCGACACGGTCTCGAGGTAAACGAAATGGTCGCTAGTGAGCTTCCAGGCAACCCCAATGCCGTCTGGACCGTCAAAACAAGTGCACGAGGTAAGCGATGGTGAGCGGGCATCGATTTCGGCTTCGGCTTCGGCTTCGGCTTCAGCTTCGGCATCGACTTCAGCTTCGGCTTCGCTGCATAAAGCCACAGGCGTCCGCACGGACTGCAGACTGTTCTTTGAACGGACAACCCCATTTCGCTGATACTGCTCTGTGTCCGACTAGATGAATACGACTCGTATATCGTTGTCTCCTTCGTCAACGAGACGCTTGTGCTGTCCATTGGTGAAGTCGTCGACGAGGTCACCGACTCGGGTCTCTTGACCTCCACGACTACCCTGACGGTTGCCCAGCTTGGAGAAGATGCCCTCGTCCAGATTTATCCGCACGGCATCCGCCATATCCGATCGGATAAGCGGATCAGCGTGTGGGAAGCCCCCCACAACAAAATCATCGTCAAAGCGGTCTGCAACCAGCGCCAGGTATGCCATGCAACCTTCTGGCACTCACGATCGAACGTGCTATCTGCGCCGACGCAGCATGGATCAGGCCTGGCTGCAGTGCCCGAAATTCCTTGCACTAGCGCGCTGTAGCAGCAGCACCTGGGTCATGTGTGTTCGCGGGAACTGGCACATCTGCTCACAATATTGCCTTGATTCGCGCAGGTCGTCATTGGTCTCAGTGGGGGCGAAATCGTCTACTTTGAACTGGACGCAAGTGGGCAGCTCAACGAGTATCAGGATCGGAAGGAACTTGCTGCGAGCATCACTGCTCTGACACTCGGACCCATTCCTGATGGCCGAATCCGCACCAAATTCCTGTCCGTGGGCTGCTCAGACAACACCGTGCGGGTCATTTCTCTCGACCCGGACAGCTGCCTGCAAATGCTCTCGATGCAGGTATGTGGTGCCTTGGCTGGTGATTGGCTCGACGACTCGCATGGTGCTTTGATTTCCTGACCCTGCGGATGTAATGGTCGCTGCGAATGTGACGCAGGCAAGCAGACCAAAGACTGGAGGCATGCCACTTACTGCTCCATCGTTACAAACAGGCGGTGAGCGCCATGCCCGAGTCTCTCGCCATCGCGCACATGCAAGATACCGGCACAGCAGCCGGCACACTCTATCTCAACATTGGTCTACAGAACGGTGTTCTCCTCCGCACCACCCTCGACAGCGTCACCGGTGTGCTTTCAGACTCACGGCTGCGCTTTTTGGGAACTCGGCCTGTGAGGCTCTTCACGATTCGCCTTTGTGGCGGCGATGCTGTTTTGGCGCTGAGCTCGCGCGGCTGGCTGAACTATGTTTACCAGGGCAGACAATGCCTCACTCCGCTTTCATACGAAGCACTCGAGTTTGGATCGGGGCTTTGCAGCGAACAGTGCCCCGAAGGCGTCGTAGCGATTTCGGCCAACACACTGAGGTACTACCTAACGACATGACGTGCCATGAGGCCATTGTCGCTTCGCCTCCTCATGCTATGCCAGCAAGATCTGCACCGCGGGGCCTTTGTTCGATGGCCCACCATTGTGCGAGGCCCGAGCTCGCCTACTAACCTATACCAATTTGGCAATTATCAACATCGTCTCTACCCAACAGAGTTCTGACATTTGAGAAGCTTGGCAGCTCATTCAACCAAGGCATCGTGCCGCTCAAATACACGCCCCGTCGGTTTACCCTCCACCAAGCCAGCAAGAACTTTGTGATCATCGAGAGCGATTACCAGACACTTTGTCCAAGCGAAAAGGTTTGTGTGTGTCCGATGTCCCGTCCTCAGCACCACGCAGGCTCGGCGAAAATGAAAGCGAGCGCTTCCACATCGGTTCTCACCTAGCCTCTATCCTTGACGTTCCTGGCAGGGAGAACACATGGACCAAGACGACCATGAGCTGCCGCCAGATCAGTTTGGTCATCTCCGGGGCGAGGCGGGAAAGTGGGCCTCGTGTATTCGCCTGGTCAACCCTTTCGCTGGCGAGACCCTTTCGTTGGTCGATCTGGATCACAACGAGTCGGCCCTTAGGTAAGAGTGGTGTTGCCAAGCACGCATTGGCTGGGGGAAAGGACCACTCCGGGTGCGCTCGAGTCAGAGCCGAGAACTAACCCGGTTCTCCACTTGCTAGCGTCATCTCCTGCACCTTCCACGGCAACCAGGGAACGTACATCATTGTTGGAACCGCGAAGAATCTGGTGCTCGCTCCTCGCTCATGCAGCGAGGCGGCACTTCGGGTGTATCGCGTGTCCCATGATGGAGGCGAGCTAGAGTTTGTCCACAGCGTATGTAGATACGACCCGTCGATGCCAGCGAGCCGTCTCACCCGCTCCGTCTTTGAGCGGTCAGCATCATCCCTGCGGAGTCACATCACCCCGGCAAAGTCGCATCATCGCCCTAACTCGACTTTTACTTCACACGTCCAAACGACGGCTCCAGACGCCAGTTGAGGATGTCCCCTACGCGCTCTGTCAGTTCCAGGGCCGTCTGCTTGCCGGTATAGGAAAGTGTTTGCGTATCTACGACATGGGAAAGCGCAAGCTCCTCAGAAAGTGCGAGAATAAGGTGAGCGCCACGGATGCTCCTCCACCGCTTGGCCTGGGTGAGCGAGGGTGCAGCGAGCGGTCGCTCAGTGCCGAGTTTGCCACGGGCCCTTGTTTCCACTGTTTGAGAACCCCCATGGGCCCTTCACTAACCCCTACGGCATGCCCTCTGGGCAACAGCAATTCCCAAACGTGATTGTGTCGATCCAGACGCAGGGCGACCGTATTGTCGTGGCCGATGTCCAAGAATCGTGCCATTACGCCGTTTATCAACACCAAGACAACCGCATTATGATCTTTGCTGACGACATCCTGCCACGGTTCATGACTTCGATGGTGATGGTCGACTACGAGACCGTTATTGGCGGAGACAAGTTTGGAAACATCTTTGCCAATCGTCTCTCGGCAAGCATCAGTGAAGAGATTGACGACGACACCACAGGCAACAAGCTAGCCTTTGAGAAGGGGGTTTTGAATGGAGCGCCGTACAAGGTGAGTCTACAAAGCGTGCACCTCCTGTGCAGTCACGGTCGCTCCTCTGACGCTATAGCCTCGCTTTGTGCCATATCTGCGCTTCATGGGCCCGCTTGTCCCCCTCGCTTTCGTGCCACGGCAACAGGCAAACTAATGACACTATCCATCTCTTCTGCGCCCCCACATTTCCTCCAGCTCGACCATCTTGCCGAGTTCTTTGTTGGCGAGACAATCACTTCGCTCACCAAGACGGCCCTTGTCGCCGGCGGCCGCGAAATCGTCATGTACACCACCTTCCTCGGTCGCATCGGCATCCTTGTTCCCTTCACCAGCAAGGAGGATATTGACTTCTTCCAGACCATGGAGATGACGCTGCGCCAGCACCAGCCACCCTTCCTTGGACGAGACCACCTCTCCTACCGCTCCTTCTTCCAGCCCTGCCGCGCCGTGATTGACGGCGATCTGTGTGAAAAGTACCTCCACACCAGTCAACTGACTCCGGATCAGAAGTCAAGCATTGCGGAGGAGTTGGAGCGTAGCGTCCATGAAGTTGCCAAGAAGATCGAGGACATGCGCACTCGGGTTGCGTTCTGATGGAGTACCCCTCCCTGCACCCCCTCGATGTGCCATCAACGCAGCTTCTGCAAAAAGCGACAGGGACATGGGAGCATACTCTGTCGGTGCGCAAAACCATCAGGGCTCTTCCAATGAATGCCCGAGAATCCCGTTTGTCCCAAAATACATCTCTCTCATTCGGACGCTTCGCCAAATGCTTCCCACCGACTGTTCGCTGTTCGTTGTTGGCCAAACCGCTGCGCACCGCACCCTTGCATATCACGTGATGAGCAACCCTGGGCAAACGCTCGCCAAAGCCCGTGGCGCCTGGGCCGTTTGGCTGTCTCGATCGGTTGCTGGCCTTCAGATCCATCAGCGCACACTCTGCAAGCGTGAGCTACTGCAATTTCGGCCTTTCGATCAGGTAGATGCCCATATCGATATGGCTGCATTGTTTTGCGTCCGTGTGGTGATCCTGTATCTCTCGGTGGAGCTGTGGCGTCTCCTGCATCAGCGGCACCCTCGTCTGTCGGCCAGAGCTCGGCCAGCCCCATGCAACCCAGGCAGCTCAAGATCCCGCTCGAGAAGCCTTGGCTCACAGCTGTAATATGTCCTTTTGTCGGCCACGATTGAAATCGATCTAGCTGTCGCCAGGATGACCAACCCCAAGTCGGAGGATTCGTCAGTTGTGCCCATGGACATTGTGCCAACAGACAAGCAGGATGACGGCGCATCCAAGCCAGACCCCGTGGCCGCCTTCCTGCTCGATGTCAAAATCAATGTCGGCTTCCTCGAGAAGGCCGTGGTCGCCTTTGAACATCGGTACATTACGCGTGTGCTCAGAAACTTGAATACCCTGCGGAAGTCCTGGACGGTCGATCTCTTGGCTCAAGTCACGACGCAGCACGTCGCCGACGGTTAGGATCGCGGTGTGAGGCAAAGGCTACGCTTGGAGTCACCCTAGCGTGCGGGTGTGGTCTGGTGAATCTCGTTCTGCGCCATCTCACGCAACCGTCCCTGTGTTGGATCTGCTCGATGGATACGATCAGACTATTACAAGGCTCTCTATCTTTCGAACCTCGGCGCGGTGAGTTGCACAGCCAGCTGTATGGGCTGTTCGGCCGCAGACCCCTCCCGCAAAACAATGGACGATCAAGGCGATCGCTCCATATGTGCCGGCGTCCTGCTGGCGCAGCGCTAGTCCTTGCAGCGTGCTGCCATCCAGGCTTCTAGCCCTCCGCTCATTCATGTGGCAATCGTGGGTTGTCGGTAGGCCTCTCAGTCGATGGAACTCGACAGTTCAAGCCAGCAAAAGCCTGTGTCCGAAGTCGAAGCCTACTTTGGTCTGCTGATTGTGACCTATCTGCATGACTTGAACCAGCTGGACAAGGTGGGTGCACATCCGAGCCTGGACTCGGAGATATGCCTCCGTCCCAACCGGCATGCAGCAGCGGTCGCCGTCAAGTGCTTAACCACCTTGACGTGCTGCTTCGACGGACAAATCAATCAGGGGTTGAAGCTTTCCTCAATTCTGGTCGAGAGCATCCGCGCCTCCAACCGCCGCACACTGGATCAGATTGCTGCGCGCATCTACTTTTATTATGCCCGATTCCACGAGCTGAAAAACTGCTCGGCCGAAGCCCGCCCGTACTGTACCGCTCCTTGCATGTGTGCTCGACAAACGAATGCGGCGCCACGGATGACTTGTGGCCCAGTGATCGATATTGCCGTCACTAACGTCTTCCTGCGATTGCTGGACCGGACCTGTATTGCCAGTCATCTGCTTGCTGCCCAGCGTACGGCCACCCTTCGCCGAGATGAAGACACTCAGGTTGGCCCTCGATAAATGTCACCCGCTGCGTCAGAGCGATTGATCCACTAGCAGCCACTCACCTACCCTGTCGATGCTACCCTCTCGATGCTGCCAGGCCATGCTCTTGAACCTGCTCTTGCGAGACTATCTGCAGCACAACCTCTACGACCAGGCCGACAAACTGGTTTCCAAGACCACGTTCCCTGAGTCTGCTGGAAACAACCAGGTCGCTCGGTACATGTACTATCTTGGTAAGCGGATCGCGAACTGACCGCGCTAGTCGACTGCATTCTCCTGTGGACCTCCGAGCGCGATCTCAGACACTGATTCGGCAACGTCACTCGCCCAGGTCGTATCAAGGCCGTTCAGCTCGACTATACATCGTCCCATCGCCACCTGCTGCAAGCCATTCGCAAGGCACCGCAAACTGCAACGGCGGCTGGCTTCCAGCAAACCGCCAATAAGCTCGCCATCATTGTTCAGCTCTTGATGGGCGAGATTCCTGAGCGATCCGTCTTCAGACAGCCGATGCTCCGCAAGTCCCTCCTGCCCTACTTGCACATTACCCAAGGTAACCGTCTGCGCTGCGTCCAATGTCTTGAGGGCGTCAATTACTTCATTAGAGCGACTCGTACCGGTCACTTCGACTAACCAAACAACGCCTGATCCACCCTGTACTTGATGGACTGATGATCTGCAGCCGTCAGAGTCGGCGATCTCAGCCAGTTCCAAGAGACCGTGGCCACCTTCGGAGATGTATTCCGGGCTGATCAAAACCTGACGCTGATTTCAAGGTAGTGTTGAGCGACCTTCTTGCCTGGGCTTGTTGTTTGTGGACCTCGTTGCCCAAGACAAAGGAGCGATGTTGAGATCGCTGCGCTGTGCTCACTCCTGTTCTCTGGTTGCTGCCGAATCGCTTCTGTAGACTGCGCCACAATGTCATCAAGACGGGCATCCGAATGATCAGCATCTCCTATTCACGCATTTCTCTGCGGGATATCTGCTTGAAGCTGCAGCTGGACAGCGAGGAGGACGCAGAGTACATCGTCGCAAAGGCGATCCGCGATGGGGTCATCGATGCCAGTCTGGACCATGAGAAGGGCTATATGAAGAGCAAGGAGAACGCCGACATTTACTCGACGGCCGAGCCACAAAACGCCTTCCATCAGCGCATTAGCTTCTGCCTGAATCTGCACAACGAGAGCGTCAAGGTACGAAAGACTGACACCTTCTGCTGAGACTGTACCGTTGTTCGTGGCTCATATTGGATCGAGCGGCAGCACAAGGAACCTGTGCTCTTGGCTCACATCCACTAACATGGCAATCCGCGTGTGATCCACAGGCTATGCGGTTCCCCGACGGCGTCGACAGGAAGGAGCTCGCCAGCGCCAATGCCCTTCGAGAAGAAGAACAGAAACTGGCCAAGGAGATCATCGACGGTGCTGATCTGGATGACGATGACGACATGGGCGATTTTTAAGCCGTCGGATGTATTTTCCCAAGCAAAATGGCACAACAACGAGTCGCGCTCGCATGGGCATTTTCCGGACTGGATGCTGCAGATCCGATCAATGCCCGTCCTGCTTGTGCGAGACTATCGCACCGCGACGGCAGAGTCGTTCTTGTGTTTTACGTGCTGGCTATTCCGGGATCGCGCCAGGCTGTTTGTAGAGCAGCGAACACGATATGCTTGACCATCGATTGCCGAGCGCTTCGGCTTGGCTGCAGCGCGGATGAAGAGCGTGTATTGTATATTCATGGCCAGCGGGAGGAAGGACATGTACTCGACACCCTCCCACAGACATCCAGCTAGATCTGTCCTGAGCGAATGGCTTCGTTGATCTCGGCCAGCTTCTCCTTGAGGGCATCGTGTAGCTCATGGCCCTCGAAGCTGTCTTTGGTGCGGCCGATCAGAGTGCGCAGCGTCATCTTGGCCTGGTACGCCCAGTCCTTGCAGACAACCTCGCCTTCGTCGCTCTGGCCTGCATCGGCCGGCTCTTGGGCCTCGTCCGTGGGGGCGGACGACATCTCGCCCATTCGTGCCACCTCCTTCTTGGGGCCAAGGGCAATGTAGGCATCCACAAGCTCGAGGGCGGCTGTGGCGGCTCTCTTGAAAATGGCCTCATCGGTGGTCAGCGATGGCTGGTGCTGGAGGACGCGGTAGGCCTTGAGATGGCAGTCCAGCGACCGACGGTAGCGTGCTACCGAGAAATAGAATCGCGCGCTGGTGGTGAAGATGTCGGGGTTGTTTGTGATCTTGGAAGTGATGTGCTCGAGCAGTCCAGCGATCTTGGGCGCAAGCAGCAGAGCAGCATTGCCGTCGGCGTCGGTCTCGTTTACAACGACGGCATCGACGAGAATGTCGAGCACCTCCAGATCGACAATGCTCTCATCCTTTGAGCGCTCCATCTGAATGTCAAAGATCCGCTCCATTGCGCGAATCGTCTCTTTGAACTCCTTGAGGTCGCAGGATGTGTACATGTAGTTTTGCCAAACCTTGTAGTTTTCGTACTGGTGACGCAGGGCCTCGCGCAGGGCCCGCCAGGCGCCGCGCTTGTTTTTTTGGCGGATGTAGATGGAGGAAAGGTTTGTCCAGGCCTCGCCGTTGTTGTTGTCAAGGGTGACGACACGCGTGAACGCTTCAGCGCCGAGCTGCCAGTCTTCGGTGCGCATGGCCGCGCATCCAAGCACAAACCAGGAGTTCTCGAACAGCGGGTTAATCGACAGTGCCTTCTGATAGCATTCGATGGAGCTGTGCCACTAAGCACGAGTCAGCCACGATCAAAAGCAGGGCCGTTAGAACAAGCCTCCGTTGCCGCGAACCCGGGATCGCACATGTCAAGACACAGCCGGCGTTGCTCCATTGAGGGCTCCACACGCACGGGCACGGGTACGGGTCGATGTAGCGAGATTGCCCACAATAAACTGCCGAGACGAGGACGCCAGTTTCCTGGCGATTTCGTTCAGGAGAGACTCACCTCATGGGCACGGAACCAATGCGCACCCAAGCTTCGCATAGCGCGAGCGAATCGCTGTCCAGAGATCTCCCAGGCCTTCTCGTAAAGCGTGTGGTCTTTGGTGATATCTCCGAGGATGCAGTGGTACTTTGGAGAGGTCGGGTGCTCCTCCAACAGACGGCGGACGAGCGACTCGGCCTGTTTGTCCTTCCCCAAGAGCTGATGGCACGAGACAGCGTCCTCCCACATCTCGAGCCGCTCGAAAATGTCGAGTGCAGATCGGACGACACCCAGCGACATGAAGGCGCGAGCAAGCTCTTTCTGTTTGGGCCATCAAGGTGCACCGAGTGGTTAAACTCGCAGCCAACCAAATGCTCACAGTTGCATACTGCCAACAGAACTCCATGTCCAGAACCAAGTACACGTTGCCGGTGGCCCAGCGTACCTCCATGTCCCACTTGGAAGGAAGCGAAATCGAGAAGAAATAGTCGAGCCGCTCGCCAGGGGCCGATTCCTCGAGCGGGAACTGATCGACTAGGGCCTGCAGCTGGAGCACAGAGCGCTCGACGGTCCTGGATTTGTCGCTTTCAAGCCTCGTCCGAAGTAGCAGTGCCATGGTGTGGACCATCCAGTTGTTGGGGTTGTCGAGCACCCTCTAAGAGATCGAGACTGTCAGCTACCAGTGCCCGAGCCGTCTCCAACCAGTCAACCCGGCACGATGCAGCAGCCATCATGTTCGACCAAGCCTTGGCACAACTGGAAGCGCTGTAGACTTGCCATAACATAGGGTGCCATTTCTTGCTTGGTCAGTCCGTGGTCAGGGTTGATGTTCTTGATGTTCAAACTGTGGCATAGTCAGTATCCAACCGGGACAGAGGCACGGATACAAGCTTGCTGACTTGACACTCACCAATGGGCCAGAAGGATGCACTGGTCGATGGTCTTGAGCTTGCCCTGGTTTTGAATGCCATCGTTGTCTTGGGTAAAGGCGATCTTTTCCAAGAGCACCTCGTCGTTCAGTGCCAGGGACTCGGGCTTGGCCGAGGCTTCGCTCCCGGCCGACGCAGTTTCATTGGATGAGCTTTCAGCAACCACGACAAGCTGTGCAACATCGAAGGTCTGGAACTTGGTCCTCCTTCCAAGGGCACCCGTGAGGCTCCACTTGAAGTTGGAAACCTCTGTTGCCTTTTCAAAAAGACTCTGATACGCACAGGGATAGCAATCAGCCCCAAGGTTAGAGAGCAGTACATTTGCGCCAGAGACAGCCAGATTGCACCGAAGCCAACCGGCTATGCAGTTTGGAGGGGACGCAGTCATACCGCAGCCTTGGCATCTTGGCCGTAGTAACTGTGCACCAGGCCACTCTCGATCATGAACCGAGCATGTAAATCGCTGTCGCCGCGACAAAAGGGCTCAGATCTGTAAGTACCGAGCTGCAAGCGGGTGAATGCAAAAGCCCGATCGGAGCGGGTGTTTTCGCAATACCCACCGGTACTCGGCCATGGGCTCGGGTAGAAACGCACTCTCTGTCCAGGTGGGATGGCAGCTTGGTGTCAGCTCGGCGATGGTAGGTTGTGTGGTGACGTGGCAATCGATGCGAGGCAGCACTCAAAGTACGGGATGATCGTTCAATGGACTTTGCAGGTAGGTCACGATATCCGGCAATCGACCCTCTCTCTTTGTGCGGCAAGACTCACGGGCATCCAAAGCAGCAGTGATCTTGTCCAAGAGTGTTCCCGAAGGATTGTCCAGCAGCTGCTGTTGAATATACAAAGCGCGGTATCTCCACCAGCCGATCGTCTGGGAACAACGATGAGCAGTTGTCAACGCAAGCGCAAGGGCACAAACAATGCGCAAGTGTGTAGAGCCAGCCGGAAGCCAGCCAGAAGCCAGTCTGCAGCGTGCAAGGCAAGGTTCGCCACCGACCTGGAGGCTGGACAGGCGATGCGAGTTCTTGTCCAAGATCGCCAAAGAAATGGCGAGCAAGGCAGTGCGCGGCGTGAGGGAGTAGACATCCTCAGAGTCAACCGAGAGGCCCAAGAGGCTCGCTTGATGAATGTCGCCGTCCTAGTGAGATACCGCAGGCAGCGCAAGGCAAATGGATCAGCCCAGAGCCACTCCGATCATGGACAGCAAGAGCCCAAATGGCCGTGTTCGGCTCCCACCTTGTCAGCCACAGATTCATGGATGATATCGCTGAGTTCGAAATTCAGCTTGGGACCGGTCCATCCTCCCTGGATGAAGGCGTTGAGACAAGCGGCCGCGATGAGAAGAACCTGGACTTGTCGCTCGGGACCGTCGTGCTGCAGAAACTGATCGAGGCAGGCATCGATATATCCAGTAGTGTCTGAATGGGAGCGGCAGTTGATCGACATCAAGATTGGAATCAGCGAGGAATCGCCGGCGTTCGTCGAGCTATAATAGCTCAGGGCAGCTAAAGCCTTCGTACCGATTCGAGAGCCCGAAACATCCGGCAGCAGCAATCCAATGGACTACTCGAGCCCAGTCGACAGCAGGGACGTGGGTCATGGCCAAAGAATCCCAGATGTCGCTCTGCAGCAGATATCGAGGTGCGCCTGGACCATCCAGCACCAAGGGCAAACGTAGGACATACCCAGGCTCTGGACCAGCTGCTCCACTCGCTCGGATCGTCGTTCGGTGTCAGCCCCGTTGAAGAACTCTCTTGCAAAGGACGTGGTCAGGATCTCCCTGTAGAGCCCCTGGACCAGCATCGCCGACGGGTCCGATGCCGGAGCCGCGAGGTCCTTGCTCCAGGTCTTGGTCAAAGGTGTCCATTCGGCGCTGCTCATGACTGGTTGTGGTGGAGGGAGAGGACGGATGGGCATCGCTGGTACCTGGAGTGCTGGGCTTTCGCTGGTTGCCGCTATTCCAGCAGCGCCACAACCCAGTCGGCCTGGAGAAAAAAAAAGCGCGTGTGACATGGAGATGCGCTGCGCACGGTCTCTGGGCTGCTGGGGTTTGTCATGGAGCCGAGCGGCCTGGGCGTTGGCCGGTCTGTATTTGAAATGCGGCATCGACAAAGATGCCGAGCCATGGACAGCGCCGCCTTAGCGACGGGTGATCCTCCAGCAATGGACCGTGCTTCGCTCGGCTTCGTCTCCAGGGTCGGTCGGGAACATGGCTGGCATCCGCTCGTCCCACATGTGCTCACAGCGGAAGCCGAATCCATCCGTCTCCGCGCCATCGTCATCGCTGCCTCCATCGTCAGGGATGCCATTGGGTGCGTCAGGCAACGAGAGGCGCGGAGCCGAGGCGATCTCAAAGAACTTCATGTCTCGCGCCTTCAACCAGGGTCGGTGATGGCTGAAGATGACAATCGCCTCGCCTTCATCGGTAAGACACTCGTCAATGGTCTTGAGCATTCGGCGATGTTCGGTGTGATTGAATATCAGGTCGGCCAAGAAGATCAGATCATACTTTCTGGCGCCGTGCTCCGGGCCCGCGTTGGAGAACTTGAGCCAGTCCAGCAGCGGAAAGGGATCAGCGCCCCAAAGGAAGCCCTGCAGGAACGGATTCCAGAAAACGATTCAGTGAATCGATCATCTGGTCGCTCGGATATGCCTGAATTGCTGCTGCACGATCGCGCTCTGGCATAGACGATGAATCAAGAACAGGGAATGAAGGAGGTCTTGCCTGGCAGCCAATGACGCCGTTGTGGGTAGCGTCAGGGAGGTTTTCTTTGGCGTTGAAGCGCATATTGTCGATGAGGACAGGCTCGGGATAGTCTGTCATCAACACCTGGAGTTTGGCAGGACGTCAGTTGCCCGACTCGACGGCGGTGATCAGCCACGCCGACATTTGGCTCATTCGGTCGAGGTACAGGCGAATCCTGGCAGCTACAAACATGCCACTGCGTACCTTCTGAGCACCGACGAGGGCGGCGGTGAGCGAAGGCAAGCCCGCTGCAGCACCAAGTTCCAGTATGCTGAAGAGAAGCGAGTGTTAGGCAAGCATGGCTCAAAGCTGCATCTCCCAGATTTGTGCTGTTGCGATTGGCAGCATGACGAGCACATTGCCGGTTGATACCGACCACTTGCCCCTGACAAGGGATCTGTTCCTGTCAATGTGCCGGGCCAAACACACTCCGGCGTTCCATAGGCTGTCGACAGGGCGGTTACAATAGCATCAGCATCGGATCGATCATTGCCAAAAGCTCACACAATGCCTTGTCCTGAGGCGTGTTACCGGTGCGTGTAGATAAAAGCTCACCAATGGGCCCAGAGACTGGATCAGCAATGGATTCGGAGCGTTGTCGCAGATCCGGTGCGAGTACAGATAAAGAAAATCGATCCACCGGTGAGACTCTGGGCGGGCTGTTGAGTTCATCAGCAGCCCAAAGCGCACTGCTTCTGGCTGCTGGTTGGGGATGGCCGCTGTTGGGTATCGGCTCGGATCCAACAAACCTGTGCTGGGCAACCAGGCGAATCTTGAACGACGAAACGGATCCTGTCGGTCGATCGAGGGCGGCAAGAGTCAGGCGAGCTGCTGGGGACACTGCGGTCGACGCAATGGATGGCCCACCAACCTGGCTCGACCACCTCGGGTTCCCGCTCGACGATCTGGAATGTTGGCTCAGGTGTCGCTGGGCGAAAGTTGTCGGGCTCCTGCACCAGCGATTTGCCGTGGATGAGCAAGGGAGTACGATATATACGTTGGCGAGACGACCTGCAGGGTCTCAGTCGGGGTAGCCGAAGAAGCAGGCCGGCGGGAGCGACGAAAGGTCCCAGGCCACAAACAGGCCGATCTGACCGATCCAGCCCCTTCTTCGGTATCGAGCGGCGGCTACGGAGCAGGGGACACAAAACGACAGATCACCTTGAAGAGCTCGAACTCGGCTTCGTCGTAATCCGAATCAACCATGGCGGGGACGCACTGTCTGGGGCGAGATGAGACAGAGAGTCGTCCAGGACTCGGTTTGGTTGTGTCTGGATGGGAGTGCACTTTTTTCTTCTCCGAAATGGGACACAAATGGAACAAGGGCCAGCCACAGGGATCGGATCGGGTGCTCGGTCTTCGATGGACGGTGACTGTTGTCGGCCATGTTCATGGCAGGCAGGTGTCAGCTCAATGGCTGTATCCACCAAACTGAGGATCGACCATCAGGGTCGCAAGCAAGCAATCTGACGAGCCCTGCAAAGTAATGGGGCCTCTTGACAATACCCTCTCCAGGAAACTGCCACTGCAAGCTGCCCACCCACATCTCTCTCCTCCCCGTCTTCACCTCGCTCGTTATGAAATGATCATCTCCGGGCTCAGCGCACACGTCCGGTAGTTCGATATACACAGTAGATTTGCACTCGAGGTGTAAAGACTCAGGAAACAACGGTCACGCGCGGCCATTTACTTGGCCCATTCGACGCGAAGAATGAGGTTATCGTAGCCGTAGCCGTTGAGCTGATCCATCGCCTTCTGCGCTTTGTCCTTGTCATAGTACGAAATGAAGGCAAATCCTTTGCAAATGTTGGTCTCCTTGTCTCGTGCAACGAACTGGGCAGGAAAAGATGCGAGTTAGGCAGATGCAACGGATGCAACGGATGTAACAGATGCAACGGATGCAACAGATGCAACGGATGCACAACGGATGCAGTGGGCGTCAGGCGGCCCGGTAGATAGAGCAGACTCGGCAGAAGCTCGCAGACACTCACAATGCGATGGGTGGGTCCAAAGCGGCTGACGAGGTCTCGGACATCCTGCTCGGTGACATCCTCCGACAGGTTGGTGATGCGGATGGTGAATGTGCCGTCGTCCATGCCACGACTTGCGCGTGTTCCTGCAGGGAGGTCAGCAACGGCAGTGGAGCCGAGTCGCTTGCTGGGAGGAACGTATTTGCCCGACGATGAAGCACCCTTGGATTCCTCGGCACCAGTGTCGGCAGCTGCGAAATCAACAGAGAGCCAGCGCGGTCAAGCCGGTGAGTACATGTGCTGTCAGCCGAAGATGCTGGTACGGAGGAGTCGGGACATCCAGTCGGGAAGGTGTTTGGAACCCAGGAACCCAGGAACCAGGCCGCTCATGGCCACCCAGGTCAAAGCCTAAGAGACCGACTCATGGGATCCCTCGGACGGGCCCAGGACGCCGGCTCACAGGATAAGGGTGCCCAACGGCCATATCTTCGAGCCCCAGCCAGCGCTGCACGTACCAGGAGCCTGGGTACCGCCAGTGCCAAGCTGCGAAAGGTCGCCAATGCTGTCCTTGAAGGGACACTTGGTGGTCCAGTGGTCGCCCTTGCAGATACGGCACATGATCTTGGCAGCAGCGAGGCCGGCCTTGAGGCTGACCTCCTCCTTCTTGTCGTCCAGCTTGCCGGTGGTGGTCAGCTTGAGGGTCACCGGCTCGCCGACGGAAGTCGAGTTGCTATCAGGGCCGGCAGGGAAGCCGCGGACCTGACCAAACTTGGGCAGCTTTTTTCGCTCGGCGACGGCATGGTTGGCCTGGGTCTTGACGAGCACCATGCGGATCTTTCGGGTCACCTTGACCTTCTTGCCGTCGTCGTTGAGCTTGTATTCTGTTACGATTTTGGTGCCATCGTCCTCGATTTTGGTGTAGATGCTTCCGGGCTCGGTCGAGTATTCCTCTGTTTGGGTATCCAACGTATTGTTCCGGGAGAAACCCATGCACCGCAAACCAGGGCGAAGACCGGTCGGTGATCGTGCCAGAGGACCAAGGTGAAGGGCGGTGAGTGAATCGTATCGATGAACTTTGGCCATGGAGTCACGGCCATCCAGGCCCAATGCATTTTTACGACGTTATCAACCCACGACAGCACCACCCCACCCACCCACACACACAGAGGGCTGGCTGGCTGGCAGGGTGATTCGGATCGGCCATGCATCGGCACAAGATCGCGGCTCAAGGTACCCTACCTTCCTCGTCGGCACCCCACTCGATTCGTCTGCACAGAGCGATGCAGCGCCGCAAAAAGACGAGCGTCGGGTCAGAAATCGGATCGAGATCATGTGTGCAAGTGCACAAGCAGCAGCGACACCCACTCCTTGGTAGCCATCGCTTGTGTTGGATCTCTGTTCTTCGCCGGGTCGTGGGCTGATGGAAGGCAGTGGTGTTTCGCCCTGGACAGGCGATTGCTGCCCGAGAAAATGCTGTGGCCAACACAGACCACCTTGCATTGAGCCAGCCTGGCCTGCATTCGAGCCACTTTTTTTCTTTCCCTGCCCAGAAATGAAATTCATATGCCACGCGCCTGCTGCGCATCGATCCTGGCCGAGCCTATAAATACCCGCGCCAGGGCCGATGCCCCCTTTTTGTTTCTTCGACATTTTTTTCACGTCCTCATCGGTTGATCCCTATGACAGCGGCCTGTTATGCAGACCGCCTGATGATTAGGCGACTTACTTCCGAGGCCACGAACAACCGTCCGCAAGGATGGCTGCCCTGGGCAAATTTGAAAGATTTACCGAAAATAGTCTTTCGAATAATCGATGGGTAGAAATCACACACCAGCCAAGCCTCTCTCTTCAGTGGCCGAGGCAGAGGGAGGAAGAGGAGAGTGTGTGTGGATCGATCTGATGATTGTGGGCTCGGTCGATGCTCACCTCCGCCCCCGGGCAAGGAGGACGACGAACGGCCTGTGTATCTGCAGTCCAGAGAGAAACGGGACAGAGCTCCCCTTTTGGTTTCAAATGTCTGAAACGCTGTAGGCTCCAGTGAGCAATGCCATGCGATTGTTCCCCGTCCTGGTTGGCAATCTCTTCGTGTGGTGCATCCACTCGCCCTCTGGATACTTCCATAGTGTATCGATGTCAGGATACTCGTTCTTCTCGAGTCGCTTGGCATACCGGCACTGTGAACACACCTGGAGATCGAGTCGCTTGAATTGCCGTCGTCTCGGTGGTGTCTTGCTTGAGGGGAGCCATCTGGCGAGAAAATAGCGACGATGGCTGGTTCTGCCCTTGGGCAAGAGTGAATCTCCTCAAATCCAGCGCATTTTTGGGCTGACAGTGATGCCCACAATCGCGTCCTCGATTCAGATCCAGAATCGCATCACAGAATGGTCATGACCAGCGCGCATTGGTTTTGGATGACCAGAATTGATAAATGCTCAAAATCCGGGGCATCCCGTGTTATTGGATCGACTATAGTGGCCATTACAAATGGGACACTAGTATCAAAGGTTTGAAAAGGGAAGAAGAGGAAGGAGGAACGGAGCGTGGCCTCCGCTCTGGCTCACGTCGCTTCGCACATTTTTATGAGGCGGTCTCGAGTTTGCAGACTCGGATCTGCGGTCGGCTGAAACTCGAGATCCAGATGTTGTTGTTTTGACGGTCCACGATCGCGCTGGTGATAAACTCGTCCTCACCAGACCACAGCAACTCGGACTTGAGCTGTTGCAAAGATGATGAGAGAGAGATAGAGAGAGGGAGAAGGGTGTGTGTATATATGGTCGTTAGTGATGATGATGGCATCAAGCTCCTCGGCTGCTCGGGTTGTTGCCGTGCTGAAAGAGTGTGGCAACGACGGGATATCAAAGCCCGTCGGATTGCCGATGCCTACCTGATGGCCATAGAAGACTCGATCGTCGGTTGCCGCGCTGATCTTGTATGCCTGGAGGGGCGAGAGCAGATCCAGTCAATCGTGATGGACTTCGCGTAATATGCAGTAGCATAGACACTATACCAATGACGCAACAGCCTGACTGATCTGCCGGTCTCGCTGGTGCCGCAGCAACGAGCCATGCAACCACATCCCCGAGGGACTCCGACGCAGCACAACATCGAGCGGAAACACCACTCACCGCATTGGCGAATCGAGATGGAATGTCAAAAAGCATGGACTTGACGCCGGCGACATGATCGGCGCCACCAGCGGCATAAACGCTGTTGTCAACTTCGTCGTATGCGACGTTATCGACTTGAATGCCCTGTGAAGCCAAGCAGAGACATGAGCGGATCAACATATGAATAAGCGGGCTGTGGATTCGTGCACTGCGGGTCGCGCTATATTGCATGCGATTCTGGTCGACCGAAAGCCTGCTGGCATGGATATTCGCGCTGCTGATCGTTGCATTACCAGAGATACAAACTCGGTCTGGCGCAGACTGCCGGTGTCCTTACGACTGTAGACGTGCACGCCATGTCCAAAGGACGAGGAGACATACACGGTGGACTGATCGGAGGAGCCGACGATGCCGTTGGGATAGGCAAGGCCTTCGGCCACGATGCTGCAAGCGCCAGTCGAGACAAAGGTATACCGCAAACGTCAGTCGAAGGGGCAAGAGCGGGATACTCACAACCAAGCAGAGCTCAACAGCTGACTTACCGAGCCTTGCCGTTCTCGCCGCGAAACACGACGCTGCCAAACTTGAGATTCAGGGACCGCTCGAGGGACGAGAGCACCAGAGACTTGAACTTTCCATCGTTGGTGACGTAGAACTCACTGCGACTCAGGAGCCAGATGCTGTTAGGCCGGGGCAGGAGCTTTTCGTTCTGGAAGGTTTCGTAGTGGACAAGCTCGTCGGTCTCGGTGCGGTGCTCAAAGAGCTCGACCGAGCTCCCAGTCTTGCCGTGGTTGATGGCACCGATCCGCACGACCGTGGGATCCTCGCTGTCAGCCTTGATATCGATGCCGTGCGGGTAAAACGTTGCGGGGTCAAAGTTGGCGAACTTGAGGACCGAGACTTCTTCGGACTGGGAGCAGGACATGGCAGCGAATAATACAGGGATGTGCGGAAACAAGGAGTCAGCCCACAAGGGTAGCGCCGACGAGTGACGAGTGACGATGAGAGGGCGCGGTGATGATTGCAGGTGGCATCATGATCTAGGCTGCGATGCCAGGAAATGACTGCGACGACGTGAGGCAGCAGGACCAGTAGCATATGCCGGATGGATTCTCTCCTTGGCTTACCTTCAAGTGGATGCGGACGATATGGCCGGTCGAGTTGCCGCGGGGGTCTCTACGGCTGAGAGGCGGGAACCAGACCTTGCGCTGGGCAATATCGCCGACGCAAGCTGGGTTCGCCAAGGGTGAGGGGTTTCGTGAGGCATTTCGTGAGGGGTTTCGTGAGGAGGACGCCGCTGGTCAGTCTCACCGACTTGCCGGTTCATGTCGCTCAGAGCACGAGTGAAAGAAGATGGAGCATGGCGCACAGATGTTGGATCCATGCCATTCGATGCTGGTGGTGGCGAAATAGAGCTGGCTCGCATACAACAGCCGTCGCAGCCGAGGCGGCCCCTCTGAGAAGCGAGTGTCAGCAGCATCGTATCAAGGTGCATACCTGAATACGCATAGTCCCCGATGATCTTGATCGTTTCGCATCCTTGGGTAAAGGGTGCTGTGGGTGATACGGAAAATCAAGAGCGACGTTGCAGAGGGGCGAAGGGGAGCGGATCAGCGGTGAAATCCAGACAGAGCTGCTGCCGACCAGAGCCGAGTATTGTCGCAGGTCGCAAGGGGAGCTATGACAGCATCAACTGCACCAACTGCACCAACAGCACCAACTGCACCAACAGCACCAACAGCACCAACAGCACCAACTGCTCCAACTGCTCCAACTGCTCCAACTGCTCCAACTGCTCCAACTGCTCCAACTCCAGTCTCGACAAATGTCATTGAAAACCTGGCAGTGTTGTTGCAGCAGTTGGATCGATGAAGCCCCTTCGATCATGGACACGAGCCGAGCTTACAGTTGATTTCGTGGCACTGGTCGTTGTGGAAGTTGAGCTGGCTGGGGGGCTTGACGGCGTTGATCTGGTGGACTGCTCGACGAAAGAGACATGACGGACAGGGTCACGATGAGTGTCGGAGGATCGAGACGGAGATCAAAGGGGATGAGTTGTTGGAGAGAAAGCAGGGTGAGAGAGAGAGAGAGAGGGGGGAGGGCATGCCAGAGTCGATTGTCGGTTGAAGGACAAACGCCAAAGGCAGTGCCGAACAGCATCGCCAACATTTGAAGACGATGGGCAGGGGCACCGCGGACAAATGCGGGTCACGGAGTCTGCTTCTGGGAAGCTGGCCAGGGTCTCTCAAGGCCAGAGGGAGCAGGTCTTGCAGATCACGCACCAGTGGGGTAGATGACCAGGGCCAGAAGGGGCACCATGGCAATCCAGAACCAGCTAAAGAGGCCCATGTTGGCTCAAGGCGGGATATGCTTTCGGGAGCGGCAGACTGGATGCAGCAGCGCGGCCAAGGGCAGGAGCGATGACGAAGAAGGGGAGCGGCTGGAGGCGAGGCGAGGCGACGCTGAACGGAGGAGAATGGAGGGTGGAGGACGGGCCCGGGCGTTGTGGGATGGGACGAGGAGCGACGGACGGGGGGCAATGGGAGCGAGAAAGGTGGCCTGAGCCCATTCGGGGGAGGGCGGCGGCTCGTGGCCAGCGATATCGCCAGACGCGATGGTGACGCAGCCACGAGGGGCCAGGCGGGGATGGTGTGGATGGCAGGTGTCTGTTGCGACTCGTTCGGCACAGGAGATCGACTGCGTGTATTCAAGGTGGAGCATCCCCGAATCCAGCCACAAGCAGTGGGGGCATACTGTCCCGGTTCGCTCTGATCCGCAGTTGGAATACATGATGTGCCGTTGAACATTTCGAGAGCGCTGCATGTTGGTTAGAGCGCGGCCTCAGAAGTGTAGATGAAGGGCTTGTCGCTGAGGGCGCCCTTCCTCCGCCAGTAGCTGCCTGCACAAGCAAACAACGTAGTGGGGTCAGAGGGGCGAGCACGAGAACAGTCGCGGCGGCGTTCGAAGGAGCCAGTATCGATGCTCGGAACTCATGGCCAGAGTGCTGCCGAGTTCACAGCAACGACACTGGGCGAGCTCAGCACCCTCGCGTCCTTGCATTCTTCGGCAGCGTGAACACCACTCCATGACCACTTGCCTGTGAGTCTGGTGACAAACGTGATCAAGCAAAGCGAAAGGGTCATTATCACCCAGTGGATTGTTCTCATGGCATCGACGGTATCTGTGCGATAGAGACTGGCGTCAGACTAGGGGCGGAGAGGGAGTGATCGGTCGATGCGGAAGGAGCAGGGCTTGGTTGACCTTTGGTAGGGGGCGGAGCGAAATGAGTGCACCGACAGGATGTGATGCTTGTTCTGGAGAGCCCAAGCAAGCCAAAGTGGCGACGTGCCCGGGCAATAAATACCGCTGGCGAACTTGCGCAAGCGTTTGCGACAGCCACGGTTCAGAAACGTCGTGCTTGGTCGAGGGGGAAAGCGGCTGGACGCAGGGCAGAGGAGTGAGACTTGGAGGAGGCGAGGCTCGGGCTGATGAAACTTATTGACAAGCAGCGGCCACGAGTGCCTGCGGCGGACAATGGTTTGGTACACAATCGAAGCTTCGACTCAGCGGACGATCGACACGCCGGTTGCCCATATGCATTATCTGACGACATCAAGTGCTTCCCCCAGGTCGGAGCTGCAGATGGCGGTGCGACGTGGATGCCGGTTGGGGAGGTGGATGCAGCCAAGGCGCGGTGTCGATGTCGGAGAGTCGGGGGTGCGAGTTCAAGCCGAGTCTGGCGGTGTGTACCGGGGAACAGGATGCTTGGACAAACTGGTCGTCGTCTGGGAGGGCCAGCTCTGGTCTCGACAGGAGGCGGATTGGCGAGCTGATCGATGGAGCGGTGCAACGGAATCTTCGGCGGCTGGCGGCAGTGCGGATGTGGCGATGGACGAGTCGTGGCACAAGCGGGACACACATGTCGCGCAGCTGACCACCACCGCGTGCGACCGAGGCGGTGCACACCAGCCCCCTGGCCGGTGATCGGGAATAGCCGGCGTGGGGCGGACAAAGGCGGACCGGACGACGCCGGCTGGTCGGATGCGGGAGATGCAGGGTGAAAAGCAAGCAACCGAGTCTATGTATTGTCCCATTCATCGAGTGTCCGCAGGAGCGGCCTTGGGTGGGTGTTTCCAGAAAAGATTAGCAAAATACAACACAAAATCAGAGAGAGATGAGAGAAGGGGATGTTCCTTGGAACAGGAGAGCACCCAGAGCAGCATCCCCCTCGGCTGCCCATGCAGAAAGGGCAGGGAGGGTGGACGATGTAGGTTCATGCAGGGGCATTTGGAGTGCAGGCGTAATCGCGGGGCATAAATAGGTGAAGGCGCTCGCCCGGTGGTATGTACAGAAAGAAACGGGGAGCGCCGGGATAATGGAGGCGAAGAGCGCGCAGAAGGCTGCAACAACCAAGCACCGGAGGCACGACACCAGACCAGAAGGGCCAAATCAAAAGCAGTCCGAACGAGAAGCACGGCAGGGCAAGAGCAAGAGCAAGAGCAAAAGCAAGAGCAGGAGCAAAGGGGGAGGGAAATGATCAGAAAGAGGCGGCGCGGGCGCGTGTCCAGGGAGAACCAATGCTTGGGCAAAGAGATGGACGACAGCGCCACCACAGAAGGGGTGAACGGATTCATGCGCAAGGCACCAGGAGTTCCAAAGGGGCGGAGAACAACTCAGGTGCGGAGCCAGGTCTGGACGTTCTTGATCTTTTCTTGCACACGCTTGATCTTGTCCCAGCGTTGCTGGGTGTCGAGTGCCCGCTTGCACTGCCGGAACTCATCGAGCTTACTTTCCCATTCGTCGTGCTCGTGCTCGGTGACGTTGGGCGAGAACGACACTCGCTTGGACGAGGTCGAGGACGACACAGACGAGGTGCGGGAGATGACGCAGCTCGAGCGAAGGTTGCAGACGGACGAGCACAGGGATACAGAGAGATCGGAAGGGTCGCTGTAGGTGCACGAATGCACACCGTCGGTGCTTTGCGGCTGGTGGTGCTTCAGGCACGGACTGCCCTTGTTGAGCGAATAGGCCCGGAGTCGGGGCTTGCTCGGAGTACTTCTGGGGCTGGGACAGACGTCCTTGGGGAGATCGTCGGCAGCAACGAGGGTGCCCTCTTCGTCATCGCTCGTGTCGGAGCAGATGTTGGCAGGGCGGCACTCTTCGTATCCGTGCTTATCGGAAACGGGTATGGGGATGGCCGAGGACATGGCTGCGTTGCGGAGTCACTGGTGGTTGTGGTGGTGGTGGTTGTTGTACGCGATTGAGCCGGGCGACTTTGGGCGGCAGATAGATTGGACTATCTAAGGATCTAGCGAGGGCAGAGGAGCCTGGGGTTTGCAAGACACCGAGGATGAGCCAACCAGGAACACGCATCGCAGAGGACGGGCCATGGCTGTGAGCAGGAGGATAGGAATGGGGGATGGATGGATGGATGACGGTACTCACGGAACGACGGGAGCGTCCGGGCAGTAGTAAGCGGAATGCAAAAGGAGCCGGTGGTGCCGATGCAGTTGAATGGCGCGGAACTAGTATCAGAGATGGGGATGGGTGGGGCGCGGGCCACAAGGATGATGCGATTTGCTCGTGGGAATGGCAGAGGAGCTGGGCGTTTGGGATCGTGTTCGGAGACGGCCGGGGAGGAGAGACCGAGAGCGAGGCGAGACGAAGGCGGTGCGAATGGCGAGAAAGCCTGGACGAGGGTGGCAGCGGAAGCCTGGAAGCAGAGGGAGAGAGAGAGAGAGAGGCGGAAGGAGGGAGAAGACAGAGATTGGACGGAATTGGAATATGTCCTATTATTTCCGGTTGATCGCGGGGGCGGGAGGGTTCGATTGGATCAGGGTTGTTTATTCGAGGCGGGCTCGGCCGAGGAGTTGAGGAGACGAGTGAGAGAGACGGCGGCGACGGCGACGGCGATGCGGCCTCGGGGATATCTGAAGGGGTGACAGGACAGGCAGAAGGAACGGGGGGGCAAGAGGGCGGGACGATCCAGGCAGCCCGAAGGCGAGAGTGTGGTGATAGCGGCAGCGAACGCAGCAGATGGCCAGGAGGACGAGCTATATATGAGCATTGGGGGAGAGCAGGCCGCCAGCGAGACCGCCGACGAGGCCGAAAAAAAAAAATCGGACGTGCCTTGTCGAGGAGGGACAAAGCCCTGGCAAGGTGTGGGGGCAGGACGGGGGCCGACAAGGACTAGCCGGTGGAGCAAGCGGGGGGCGGCAACAGACCAGGACGACACAGCAGACCAAGCCAACCGAATGGATCGCCAGCAAAGAGACGGCAGAGCGACAAGATGGACGGATTGGATGCGATGTGGAGCGTGGAAGGAAGCGAAGCGAAGCGATATGGTGTGCAATATGGTGTGCAATATGGTGTGCGATATGGTATGCGATATGGTATGCGATATGGTATGCGATATGGTGTGCGATATGGTATGCGATATGGTGTGGATCGACCGGGTCAGCGCGTTGGAAACGAATGCATTGGATCCGTGTCCGTCGGAGATACGATGGAATGCCACTCGGCGGGACAGCCGAGCAGCGATAGAACAACACCGACACAGCGACAGAGCAACACAGCCCACAGAGCCCACAGCCCCAGTGCAGCAGCCGAACCACACCCAACACCACCCAGCAGCGCTTCTCCGCCGCCACAGTCTCAGAAAACAAGGCGCGCGCCGGTCACCGGGCCGGCCTCGGGTGGATGCGACAAGGGCTGCCGCGCAGCACATCCGCGTACAGCCGCTCTGTGCGCGACACCACCCGTGCCAGCTCCGGCGGCGCCCGTGACACAGCGGCCAATGCGCCGCGCACAGCGCCCGCCCGCCACCAATCACGCCAGCCGCGTCATGCTGCTGCGCGTGGCTACGGGCTTGTGCCTCTCCCCACCCGGCCTTATCGCCCGCCCTGTGCGCGCAGCCCTGTGGCCCAGATCCTCGTCACTTGATCACAGGGGTCCCTTGCTGCTGCCTGGTCTGGGGGGCTCGTGCAGACAAGCCCGGTCTGCTGAGGACGTGCCTGGCTGGCGATCGAGGCTGTCCTTCCCCCCATGACCCTTTGGCGGCAGATTGCTGCCCGAGCCGGCAAGCCCCTGCTTTCGGTTTCGGTTTCGGTTCTGGTGGCCGATCTGGCGGTGGCGTCTTGTGGCAGGCTATCACTTGCTCATCGTCGCTGGCTGGATACAACCTTCATGCATCCCATGATCGACGGCAGGGAGCAGTCGCCAGCGCACACCGCACACCGCAGCGATTCGCGGACACCTGCACTCCGCCCATGAATGTGCCGCTGCCATGTGTCCCTGTCGTTGTCGCTGTCATGTGTCGCCATCGCGGCCATCCTCCACCCTCCAGCGAGGAGGCCGCCCAGCAAGTTTCAGGGGGGAGTAGTGTATTCCATATTTTTGTTTCATCTCGTGAGGGCTATCCATATCGACCCGGAGGAAGATCTTGGAGATCGGGCGAATAGCTGCGAGGCAAGGCGAGGAGGAAAGGAGGAAAAGAGGGAGAAATAAGACGCAAATAGCAAGGTCGAAAGCACGCATCTATTGATAAGGAGGGGGGGGGCATCGCTGGCGCGCTGCCCGGGGGATATTTCGGTGCGGGAAAGAGAACAGGAAAAGGATCAGGTAAAGATTTGAGAATGGTCAGGGACGAGAAACAATGGGAGTGGGCGCAGGAAAATCATGGCGGTTATGCCACTCAGGCCCAAAGGAAGCAATAAAAGAAAGTCAAAGCCAAAAACAAGATACAAAGGAAGAGACAAAGGTGGAGGTGCAAGTTTGCTTCTGCATGCCGGACTGAGGAGGCTTGTGTGGTTATAACATGTCCGAGAGAGTAGGCGCCTGGCATGGAAGATTGAGCTAGTAGAACGAAACAAACGAGGATGAGGGCATGTGCATCTCAGCAGAGTCTGAAAGCACACCGAAGAAAATCTGTGCCCAGCGAGTTGGGTGGTTGCCGTTCTTCAGATTGCTTCGGATTCCGAGAGGTGCTGTCGTTATCCCGCATGTCGATATTCCGTGGGACTTGCCGGTGCTCTCTGCTGCATCAGGCTGATGAAGGTCGAGCGCCTGCACCGTCGACGTGGATTCATAGACATGCCCACTACACTTTTCACTGCGACCTACGCATCCTCTTCCACAGACGTGCATTTCCACCCCGTCCAGGAGGGGGGCTTGGGCCTTGGGCCCTAGTCTCGGTGGAGGATCTGCTTGGCCTTGCCCACGATGCCTTTCCAAATCGACTGGCGGTTACCAGAGTTCTTGGCCAAGCGCACAGCCTCCATGCGATTCTCCCAGTCCTTGTGGTCGTAAGCCTCGACATTGTCCGAAAACGACACGTGGCGCTCGAGACCAGGAGGCTTCGTCCGCTTTTTGGGCCCGGAGGAGGAGGATGTTGTGCTGCTGGTTCGGGACGGAGGATAGCCTCGGCTGCTCTCGCATCCAGTCACCATGGCCTTGTGCGTGTAGTAACTGGGTCGATGGCTCGAGCACCGGCAGTCAGGGCCGCTCGGCGGAGGCTGGACGAGCGCGGCCGGATACGGCAACGACTGTCGCTGAGGGGGGGCGTTGGTTCGATGCTCGGCACAGGACTGCTCGGGTGGATATGGCAGGTTGGGACAGTATGCATGAAGCCTTGGGCGTCGATACGGCGACTGGGCGGCGGCTCCGTCGGCTGAGGGCGAATGCGATCGATCCAGGCTCTGGACGCTGCCATTCATTCGAGTCGGTCCCCTGGGAAACGGAGCGGTGTGTGCACTGGCGATGGGGGCGCCCGTCGGAGGTTGCGCCTGCGATTCGGCTGGTGGCGGATCGGCTGATGGCGGATCGGCTGAGGGGTCGTCCGCATGATTGGGTGCTGGCTCGGCTGGAGGCTCGGGCGAGGGTGCCAGGCTTGGCTGGGACTCGCCTTCGTTGTCATCGCTGTGGCTGTTTTGGTCGTTGTCGCAGTTGTCGTTGCTGTCGCTGTCGTCGTCGCAGTTGTCGCTGTCGTCGCTGCCGTCGTCGCTGGTGGGGTGGTTAGGTGTAGTGAAGGGCTCGGCCGCCGCAGAGGCGTGCGGCATGTCATCAAGAGCCTCGTCGTCCAGGGTGTCGTTGATGAGCACCCCGTCGACCAAGACATTTTCGATCAGTGGGTGGTCCACGAGCGTGCGATCGCAGAGTTCTTGAGCCACATGGATCGTGACGTCGCCGCCAGAGGCCCGCAGCGGGAGTGCAGCCTTATCGGCAACGACGACGATGGCGATGGTCAGAGGACGCTGCAGGATGTCCAGCGACTCTGGCGGCTTGATGGGCTCTTCGGCATCAGGTCGTCGCCAGTCGCGGCGGGTGGCATCGACGGCAAGGCGTTCCGAGATGCTGGCTCGGTTGTTGGGAATTGCACTGGGGTTGAGCAGACCAACAGACAGATCCCCTAACTGGAACGGAGGGAGGGAGGAATGGGCGATGAAGCGGGGCGGGGCGGCGACGGCGGCGGTGGGGGTTCAGAAAGGAAGGGATCGAGAGTGGAAAGAGCCGGGAGAGTGCCGAAGGGTGCATCGAAGGGTGCAATGGAAGGACAGTAGGGGGAGGGGACGAGAGACCGGAAGAGGGGCCGAACGCATCGGCCAATGATGAGTAAATGGGCAGAGACCAGAGACATCCTCATCCCGCACGCCTGGTCGCCGGCGAGAGCTGCATGGATATGCCCTGTCGTCGGTAAGAACTGCTGCCTCGGCATGGCCTTGCCCGCCCCCCGCGCTCCGCCTCGGACAGCAGAGGACTGCCGTACATCACCCCACCCCCACAACAAGAGCTGCAGGATGAGGGAGCTGGGTGCCCCCCCCCGTGCAGATCGCTCCAGGCGCAGGCACGGGCACAGGCATCGGGATGGGCAGGCGGGTGGGTGAAGCGACGCTCGGTTGATGGGTCCGTGGAATGATGCCAACATGAGTCTTGTCGGTGTTTCGAGACTGGCGCTGCGGCTCAGCACGCAAATGCGCCTTGCGGTTCATGAAAGGCGCCGGTTGACGGGGAGAGTGGAGAGAAAAGCCTCATGTGCTGTTGGAGAGCCTTGCGAGTCCAAACCGCCTCTGATCTCGATCTTGTCCGTCTCCGTCCTCCCCTCCTCCTCTCTTCCTCGTTTACAAACGCAGGCGGACTGTCTGCGCTCTGCATTGCCGCCTCCAAGTTGGCTCCCCCCCCCCGATGCTGTGGGCATTGGTCCGCTGGATCGGATCACCCATACCGACAGGGCAGTCGAGGAGGCAGACGGCAACACGAAGAAAGATGGAGGGAAGGAGCAGAAAGTCCGATACAATCCTCTTTGAGAGAGGCTGTTTGTAGAAAGTGGGGTGGGGGTATTTTACCTTTGCTGGGATCGCCGGTTCGGAGCTGGGTGCCTCGGTTTCGTCCATAGGGGAGAAGGGCTCGACAGGGCTTGGCCGCGAACGGAGCGTTGAACCGGATGGGACGGAATGATAGGCAAGATTGTGTGTGGTAGAAAGAGAGAGGGCAGGAGAGCGGGGGGAGCGGCGCCAGGCAGCTACAGGCCGGAATGCAGCGACGGCAGTAGCGGTGGGCAGCAAACGACGGCAGCAACAACGCCAGCGGGGATGTGAGCAGTAGCAGAAGGCCTGCAGCGATCAGACGAGGGAGAAGAGGTTGAAGAACCAAGGAGAGCCAGTAATGGGACTTTGGCTGCAGAGACAGGTATAAAAGGGGGCGAAGGGAGCAGCAAGCCAACAGGGGGCAAACGATGCAGGAACCAAGGCAACAAGCGATGCGAGACGGGACGAGGGCAGCGATGCAGGCGGGAGGGCCGGACAGCGATGGAGAGCAAATAACCGGGCAGCAAAAGGGGGGGGGGCCACATTCGACAGCAGACCAGGAGCCGACGAAGGCGGGAGGACCCGAGAATGGACGGCAAGTATCCGACAAAACGGAGCGGGTGCAAGCGGGTCAGCGTCGCCCACAGCGCAACGAACCAATGGACAAAGGCATTACGGAACAATCGCCGCTGTCTCTCGAGATGGCCAGCGACGGCACAGCCCACACTTGCCTGGCAGGTCGTTCTGGCGAGCGATTCCGCGCTGATGGACGGCTTGCGCTGGGCTCGGGGGTTGGCTCTGGCCGCGATTGCTCCAGAGAAGCCGCGGAAAGGAGCGCTTTTTTTTCTCTGGCCCACAACGCGAACACCCGCGCTGAGAGAGGCACCGGAAGCACGCCGGATCGGCGGCCGCCTGGTGGTCAAGTGCCTCGGTGTCTGGCCGTGCGGTGGCTCAGATCGGATCCCACAGCCTGGTGGGGCAGAGAGACTGGCCTGGGAGAGAGAGGTCGTCGGGCAAAAAGGCAGGCACGGCGGCTGCTCTGATCGGCAAAAGTTGCTTGCCGGACAGTGCAGTCGACGGGAGCCGCATCGCACACCCGCAGCGATTGTCGAGACTGCAGCGACCGCAGCACCAAGCACCGCAGCACCCACTCGCAATCGCCGTTGGTTGCCGTTGGTTGCCGTAATCGCCGTAATCGCCGTTCGCATTCGTTGCTCGCATTCGTTATTCGCATTCGCTGCTCGCATTCGTTATTCGCATTCGTTTCGCCATCCCAGTCACGTGCGCAGGTCGCTTCCGGAGCGCAGCCAATTTTGCACGGATTTTTGGGCGTTTTGCAGCTCGTCTCTGTCCTTGGTCTTGGTCCCAGTTGCGTCGCGATTCAAGCCCAAAATCGACACGGCCTGTCCAGCAGCAAGAGGTCCGCGGCACCGCTCCACTGCCGTCTCCGTCGCCGTTTCCGTCAGCGCCAGCACCAGAGCCTCAGTCTCCCGCCACCACGCCGTCCATCGAATCCACCATGGCCTCCGGTTGCCCCGTCGATCACACCACCATGGCCCAGCTGCCGCCCGACCATCCGCCCGTCCCGTTCAGCAGCGAGGGCGCCAGCAGCTGTCCCTACTCTGCCGAGATGCAGCAGGAGCAGATCAATCCCCTCAACAACATGCTGCCGCCCAACCAGGCTCCCGCGCCCGGCCAGAAGCAGCAACTTTCGATCGATCGTGAAAAGAGCAGCATCCCCATGGGCGGCAAATTCGAGGGCCAGGTCTGGGTCTATCCCAGCGAGCAGGTGGGTCTCGGAGGAATTAGAGGGCGGCGATTCCGCATGATGAATGGCAATGACACTGGATTGGCTGCGGGTGCGCATTCCTCTCCGATGAGTTGCAATCGAGGCACCAGCCCATCTGCATCATTTTCATGCGCCGACGCCAACCCAATCGCCGTCTTTTCGAATCGACCCTTGCCATTCGGTCGCTCCGCAACCCGTTCTGGCTTGCTTGGTGCTGCTCAGATGTTCTTCAATGCCATGCGCCGCAAGAGCTGGGATCCCGAGGAGCGCGACATGTCCGTGATCGTGCCCATCCACAACGCCGTCAACGAGCAGGCCTGGCGAAAGATCATGGAGTGGGAAAGTGTGCACAAGACCGAGTGCGGCCAGCCGAGGCTGCTGCAGTTCCAGGGCAAGCCCAAGGAGTATTCGCCCAAAGCCCGCATCATGAACTTTTTCGGGTGAGCACAAGCACAGACCAAGCAATCGCAGAGGGGCCAGTGCAGAGCAGATTGCCGCTGGAGCGGTGCGGCGAAATCACTTGCCATCCGAGAGCTAATCTGGATCCTCCCGTCCGGTCGATCCCGTCTCGGGATGATCGCACTTGCCCCGGCACAGATACACCCTCCCGTTCGATCGCCATGACTGGGTTGTTGACCGCTGCGGCAAGCGGATCACCTACGTCATTGATTTCTACAGCGGCGACACCAAGGCAACCAAGCCCGGACAGGTGTCGTTCTACCTGGACGTTCGACCGGCCATCTCGTGGGAGGGTGTGAAGGACCGGCTCTACAGGTTCGCGACGACGGGATCGGGGCTCTTTTGAGTGAGTGCTGGAACGGTGCGTGTCTGGGACCTGTTTGATCGATAGCCTGTTGCTCTGATCGACGCAGAGCTGTTCGTCGGACGGGTGTCCCTGTCCATGGGCACTGTCAATCAATACATGTGTGTGCTGGAGCAGATCCACGGAGGCCTGCTTTGACGACTGCGAGCTGCACTCATAGGGCTCGGTATGATACGCACATCGTCAGACGGTGACATGTATCAACCGAGCGAGGGCATATCATGGTGCAACGGCGGGACACATGGCCCCGAATCGATCCGCCATGAACAGGTCGCGGGTGGAGATCCTGCAGAGCCCGAGCACAGCGCCGCGCATGGTCCAGTGGGCCGGGGTCTCGAATCCTTTCAGGTCTTCATCGAGTCCTGGAACGGATGAATGCTCCCCCCCCCCACAGCCACGGTCGATCAAGAAGGCCTGGCAAAATCGCTGGCCAGCACATGCCATGTGACGAGCCATCGTGATCCTCTATCCTTGCTGGCGATCAAGCGTGCGGCGATCTTGGAGCCTGGCGACAAAGGCCCGGACTCTGCCGGCACGTTTGGCGATCGGCAATGTCTGGCGGCATCTCTGGTGGGTGGCCAGACCGAGGACGAGATCCGTCGCTGCCTTCGCCCACCACCACCACCACCACTACCACCCCGTTTGCCTCCATCCGCCATTCCAGGGGCTGCCTCGGGGGCGAAGGTTTGAGCAAGGTTGGCGCTCGCGTTGTCAGCCACGGTGGCAGGACGAGCCAGCCAGGTGGGGAACTGGCGATCCGGTGATGGCCCCAGGCAGAAGAGAGATGCACCTGAATCGACGCCGGCAGCATCGAGGCCGTTGCAGATAGGCATTCATGACGGGTATGCATCCAGGACGAATCACTCACCGTGACTCGACGCATCACGCAGCCAGCCCCCGACACACCCGTGCGAGAGCAACCAATCGACCGAGCCACGGGAGAGCGAGGACGTGGCGTGAGCCATCGCCGTGCCACAGAGCGGACTGACTGAAGATGCGCTGGCAAGGAGATCGCTTGCCGGGTGGTTCCGAGCAGCGCCGGCAGCCCAATGCTCGCTGGGCCTGCGATCGAGGCCTCGGTCTCGCAGGACGACCTCGACATCGGTCCACCAACGACGCAAGCGCATCGCCCACAGCCTCGGTTGCCTGGCGGGGTCGCAGGCCCAGACGTTCGTCAGCAGCCCCACGCGACGGCCCTATCGCCGCTATCTCTCGACAGGGACCAGGGCAGCTCGCGGGGGGGCCGCTGGCCGGCGCAGCACAGGGCCTTGTTGCGCGCACTCACGCGCCGATTGGTCCGCGTCGGGGCCGTCACATGCCCATCTCGTCTCACCAACAATGTCCCGGCGCCGCGCTTGTCGACAGCCTTCGACAGTCGAACGACCGCCGCCACACGCACACATGGCGCGCTGCGTCGCAGCAGGACGGCGCACACGGACTGTGGCTGCGCTGGCTGTGTCGCTGTCTGTGGCGGCACGAAACCCGCACAGCCGGCGCGTCTGCGCACACGCGACTGGCCGCACAGCCGGGTGCCCTTGCTGGGGCCTTTCCTCTGCGCGGGCACAAAACCACACGGATGTATGGCTGGCTGGGAGGGACGCGTCGATACAGCAACAGTGGGTGTGCTGCAGTGATGCAGTCACAGTGAGTGTGCTGCTGCACCAGTCGACCCAGCAATCAACGACACAACCCACACCACACAACGCAACACAGCACAGCACACAACACAACTCACCCCACACGCGCCCGCCCCGACCAACCATGTTCTTGGGTAACATTGCCGTGCAACCCGTTCTCCTTGGCTGGTCGTCTGCCTTTTGTTCTTGCAAATTTCTCCTCCGCGGTCTTGCGCATCCCCTCGCCCACTCCCGCCACTGCCCGTCTCGCCGCCCTGGTTGCCGCTATATAACCTCGGCCTCGCCCGATCCCACCCCCATCGCCATCTTGTTTCTGATCTCGTCCATCTCCCCCGGGCTCTGTTTCGTTGCACCTCATCGCTTCCCCCTTCTCCTCCCATACCACCGCCCCATAATGTCTGATTCCATTACCGGTCTTGGCTTCGGTGTTGGCTTGGCCACTGGCGTCGTCGTCACTGCTCTTGCCAAGTACCTCTTCAGCCTCTCCGACAACAAGTCGGCCAGCCAGCAGCTCACCTCCCCTGCCACCACCACCACCACTTCCGGCTCGACCGTCGTCGACATGGACAAGCTCCGCCGCTCCAACATCGACATCACTCTCGCCCGCCTCGAGAACGAGTTCGGCATCCCCTCGCAGCGCCTCCAGGCCATCGTCAAGTCCTTCGCCAACGAGCTCAAGAAGGGTCTTGCCGACGACAACCAGATGTTCCTGCAGATCCCCTCCTTCGTCTCGAACCGCCCCACCGGCACCGAGCTCGGCTCCTACCTCGCCCTCGATCTCGGAGGCACCAACTTCCGTGTCTGCGAGGTCCTCCTCGAGGGCCAGGGCCGTGTCCGCATCCGCCAAAAGAAGTACCCCCTGACCGAGGAGCTCAAGTCCGGCTCTGGCAAGCAGCTCTTTGACTTTTTCGCCGTCAAGGTCGCCGAGTTCCTGGACGAGCACGGCCTGCCCCGCGACATCAAGACCACCCTTGGCTTCACCTTCTCCTTCCCCGTCACCCAGACCGGTATCAACCAGGGTAAGTCGTCCCAGGAGACGCCGTGGTCGCGTGCTCGTGTGTACATGGCATCTACCGCTCCGATTGTCGCTGCTGTCTCTTGCTGCCGCCATAGTCCCCCTTGCTGTCAAATCGCCTCTGTCCACAGCCCTGACGTTCTGCGACTCTCTTTGCTTGCCACAGGTGCTCTCTGCTTCTGGAACAAGGGCTTCTCGTGCGAGGGTGTTGTCGGCCATGATGTCTGTGAGCTCCTCCAGAGCGCCCTGACCAGACAGGGCCTGAACATCACCGTCTCTGCCCTTGTCAACGACACCGTCGGCACCCTCGTTGCCCACGCCTACACCGACCCCCAGACCTACGTCGGTATCATCCTCGGCACCGGCACCAACGCCGCCTACGTCGAGCGCGTCGAGAACATCACCAAGTGGAATGGCCCCATCCCTCCCAACGGCGAGATGATCATGAACACCGAGTGGGGAGGCTTCAACGAGCCTGCCGTCCTCAACATCACCAAGTACGACAAGACCATCGACCGTGCCTCGGCCAACCCTGGCATCCAGGTCTTCGAGAAGCTCATCTCGGGCATGTACCTTGGCGAGATCACCCGCCAGGTCATCGTCGACCTCATCTCCACCGGCGAGCTCTTCCGCGGCCAGTCTTCCCCCGCCATCAACAAGGGCTACAGCTTCGAGACCGCCTTCATGTCCCGTATCGAGAGGTAAGCCAGCTTTCCGATGCTCTATCTTCTCTTCCATGCCGTGACCCGCCCCGCGTGAACCATCTCTGACATCCTCTATCTCTGTACCCCGCTCGCTCATGCAGAGACCACACCCTCGAGCTCGCTGACACCAAGGCTGTCCTCGAGGACCTCCTCAAGGTCCCCGCCACCACCATCGATGACCGCCGCATCGTCAAGCGCATCTGTGAGCTCGTCGGCACCCGTGCCGCTCGTCTCTCGGCCGCCGCCACCGCCGCCATCATCACCAAGATCAACAAGCTGGACGGCTGCACCGTTGCCATCGACGGCTCTCTCTTCGAGCACTACCCTCACTTTGCCAACCGCATGCGTGATGCCCTCCACGAGCTCCTGGGTCTCTCGGCCGAGAACATTGTCCTGACCCTGGCCCACGATGGCTCCGGACAGGGTGCTGCTCTCATTGCCGCTGTCGCCTAAATCCGGTGATTATTTCTATGGAATTCCTCTGCTCTCTTTGCTTTTGCTGTTGTTGCCATTTGCCACTACTGTATTTTCTTTCTATACTCTTGTCCTGCAATTCCGACAATCCCCCAACCCTTCTCCTCCCCCTCTGTCCGGCTCTGTCACTGCGCCGCCTCTTTCATGCGCTTCACTATTCCTACAAACATCTCCCTCCCGTCACTGTGGCTGCTTGCTTCGAAATAGAGAAAGAGGACGGGCAGAGGGAGGGGCTGCTTTGGTGGGGAGCGCCGTGTGGGACGATCGTTCTATCCGGCAATTTCTCCGTTGCCATCTCCTCTAATATCGCGTCTGTGCGGATCTCGCCTGCGTCTGCGAGAGATATGCTCCTTTGGATGCTGTCTCCGCAGCTCATAAGCGCCGTAATACAACTGCCTCTGAAAACAAAATCGTGTGGCCCCACTCTCTGTCGCCTGTCTCTGTCGCCTGTCTATGTCGCCTGTCGCTGTCGCCTGTTGATGCAAGCCGCCACACAATGTTCGATTGAAATGAGTGTGTCCATTGGTGTATTGCTCATCATCCATCATCACCCATCCACCCCTCGCCGTCCCGTCAATTCGCCGGCGGCGACAGAGTCCCATTTGCCTTGCGCCCCTGGAACGTCCCCCTCCTCGATGCAGCCGAATGCTTCAGTACCCGCATGCTGCCTGCCCGCGACCGCTCCAAGAGATCCTGGAGGACGCTCTCTGTGTCCCAGCCCGGCTGTCTCGGACCTTCCAGTGCCTCAAAGATCGCTGGCGAGTGTCGACCTAGCCCCACCAACGACGCCAGCAGCCCAATCTCGCGCTGCGACTTGAGCATCTGCGCAAATGTCCAGTCCAGATCCTGGACTGCGGCCCGCTTGGCGGGTGGCGCTGCTGGCCCGGTCAGTTGCTTGGCTTCCTCCAAGAACGCTTGCTCCAGCCGGGCAACCGTCGGTACTTCATCGCCATAGATCGATCCGATGCTGCGGCTTTGCTTCCACGCCTCGACCTGGGCCAGGGTTTGGTAGATCGACAGCGAGAATCCCACGTCGATCGGGGCCGAGTTCGAGGGCGTCACGCAGTTCATGTACACCTCTTTGCGGAGGCAGTGGTCAATGTCGACGCAAGAGAAGAACGAGACCGACTGTGTTGCCGACCAGCATGGGGATGTCGTATACATTAGTCGGCAAGCACGCTGCATGCTTTGTCATGTTGCAAGCCCACCCCGTCCTGGCTCGGCTCTAGCACCGATCCAAATACAATCCTTACCAAGGGAAGATCATGGATACCGACGCGGCTGGCAAAGAGCGCTCGGACCCACAGGTTGCTGATGTGAAGTGCCAGCGAGGCCGGCACCTCATCCTCCTCCTTGACCAGGAACCGGACCTCATCGTGGATGCTGAGCAAGAACCGGCCCGAGATTCCCATGCGGCGGAACAGATAGTGGATCGACACCAAGAGCAAGTGGAGATAGTCAACCCCCGACGACTGCACGGCCCAGTTGACCCGGCTTCGATAGTACTGGTGCAGAGAAGAGCCATGAGCCTAATGACATTGAGTCGCACGCAGACCAAACGAGAGTCGTCTGATCCACACCACATCACCACATCACCACATCACCACATCACCACATCACCACATCACCACATCACCACATCACCACATCACCACATCACCACATCACCACATCACCACATCACCACATCACCACATCACCACATCACCACATCACCACATCACCACGACTCACCTCATTTCCAACGTTCGCTGGGTTCAGTGTGTCTGGAATCGCACAGCCCAGGACCGGTGTGCGGGGCTCGTCCGACTTGGCAATCGACCCAAGGGCATTGAACATGTGAGACTCGCTCCCCCCAAAGAAAAACTTGCTGTTCCATGGCTGGATCATCTTGGAGGTCAGGCCCTTGGTCTGCTTGTATAGGGCCTCAGCCTTCTCGGTCGCCTCGGCTTTGGTGATGCCTGGGTTGTGCTGCAGAAGCAGCTGCACGGCATAGTGCACCGACGCCCCGTAGATGCGACTGTAGTTGAAAACCTTGGCGTGATCACGGCTGATGCCCAGAATAGCCCCTGTGGTTGAGTGAAGATCGGTCTTGAGGGCCTTGGCTCCCTGCAGGGTCATGAATCCGATCGGCGTGGCACCATGGATCCCGAACTGCGCGTCGCCCAATAGCGACGAGATCCAGAGCTCCTGGCTGTCGACGTCTGCGCCAATGAACTTGTATCCCGACGGCGGCCGGATCATGGCCTTGAGCTCCGAGCCAATGCGCTTCTCGCTCGCGTTGGCGGCCGTCATCCACATTGGCTCCACTGCACGTCGAGTCACTGTGCCCATGGCAATCGCCAGTGGCAGGATGACCCCGACAGCCTGGTCGTTCGAGCTCTTGATCTCGCCCAGATCGATCTCGCCGCCATCCTGCCAGACCACAAACTGATCAATGACTCGCCGGCGAGCCGAAATCCAGTACGAACACTTGGCATTCAGCTTCAGAATCTCGAGCGCCTCGGGGCAGTTCGAGGTCAGCGTTCCCTCCTCAAAGGCAGGCAGATAGGACTTGCCCAGCGGGTTGCCGCAGTTGACGTTCTCGCCATCTTTGTGCGGCACCCGAAAGTATACATGTGCGCTATCCTCCACGGCTTTTGGGTCGTAGGTCTTGTCGTCGGCGGAGGCGCTGAAGGTGACCGGCGGTGTTTTGATCGAGCCGGCCTCGCGCACTGGCACTCGATACAGCCAGCCAAAGCCAGCGCTGTGATAGAGCGGATAGCCCTTCCACTGCAGCCGCAGCAGATACGGCACCACACGCTTGCTGAGGGATAGCTGGATCGTCTTCGTTTTGGTGTTGTACAGGTCCCGGAACCACTTGGGCCGCCCAAGCCGCGGATCGTTCGGGTCAGTCCGCTTCGTGATCCTGTGTTCCTTGCGAGTCCAGTCCAGATGCTTGAGCCAGGGATCGTCCTGGACATCAGCAATCTCTTCTTTGTGGAAGGCGTCCTGGATGCGCGACATCAGGATCTCCGAGACCCGCTCGCGATACTCGCGGCACTTTTTCTCAGACGAAATCACATAGTTCTTCCACTCCTTGGTGGTCGTCAGATAGGACTTGCCCATGTGCAGCATCCCCGCGAACGACACCGGGTGCGGTGCCTTGAGCCGGAACTTTGGAAACAGCTTGCGGTAGAGCTCGTACGTCGTCAGTACGTCGTCGGCGCAGTAGCGCATACATTCCTGGAAGCTCTGGATAATGTCTTCCTTGTTCAAGGTATCGAACATGTCTCGGGTGGATTTGTCAATGTTCTTGCCCAGATACAGCTCGGCCGTGGCCTTGAGGCTGTTGAGAGAGCCATGCGCGATCCACTTCTCCTGGTGCAGCTTGAACATCTCATGCTGGATCGGATCTTCTTTGAAGGACAGCTCGGCCTTCTTGCTCATCATCCAGGTGCTCCGCTGCTGGCTCGACAGGCCCCCGACGGCGCAATGCAGGCTGAGTGTGTCGATAAAGGCATATTGCGTCGACTCGACCTGGTACTCTTCCTTGATGCGCGCGCGGTCAAAGGCAACATGATGTCCGATGATGACCTTGGGTCGATCGGGCTGGCCCAGCGGAATCAGATCTCTGAAGGGCTTGTCTCGCTGGTCGTTGAAAGTTGGCGCCGAGGCAAGCTCGGGAAAGTCCATGAGCTCGTCGTCGCTCAGAAACTCGATGCTTGGGTGCTTTGGCTGCGGCTGGCTTGTGGACTCGGTCTGTTGCTGCTGCTGCTGTTGCTCGCTCTTGGTTCGCCGAGACTTGCGCGCAGGCACCGAGAACAGATCCGCCGTCGTCCACGAGTACCAGTGTGTTTCCGATAGCGCGACGGCCATCACCGGCAGGGGGCTCAGCTTGTACAGCACCTCGGTGTCAAAGACGATTGCATCGGCATCGGGATAGGGCACCGACTCGGCGGATCCGTCGGCGTTGTAGCGAGTCCATCCGGGTGTCTGCGACCATGTCTTGGGATACGCAGGCGGGGCGACTTTGGGACTGCAAAACGACGTTGCCATGTCCAAGTACGGATGGCACTGCTCCAGGCCAAGGATCGTAAAGTGGTCCTCGATGTTGCTGCCCAGCAGCTTGGGAAGCTCGAGTTTGACTTCGCCGAGGGGCGCTTGTGTTTTGCCCAGCAGATCAAAGTCCTTCAGGAGCTTGCGGGAGAAGTTGACTTGGTCCGGGCTTGCTCCCGGTCCACGCTGCGGAAATAGCTGTTCGTAGAGATTCTTGGACAGCATCTGGATGCCTATCTGGTTCTCTCGGTACTCTGGATCATTGAGCGGCAGCGATGAGCGCATGAGGACAAGCGACATCGTTCCCATGCGCGACAGCAAGCAGGCGTCATACCCGGATCGAGCTTTGGGTCTACGGCTGGGATTGGTGTCTGGACAACATCGGCAGCATCGGCAGCATACGGCCGCCGGCCGATGACATGGGTTGTTGCGCAGAACGGCTGTGGAGCTGGATTCGATGACGGGAACCGCATCCAGTGCAGTCGTGCAGCGCGGAATAGCGAGGTGCCTCCGGATGCAGCTTGCGCGGCCACCAGCATGTCTCCAGTAGCTGGTGAGAGCTGTCGTTGCCGAGGATCGTGCTGATCGTGCTGATCGTGCTGATCGTCTGATCGGCCTTGGTGGGATCTGGAGCAGCCCTGGAGCAGCCCTGGAGCGGCTCTGGAGCGGATCGGACGAGTATGAAACGGCGTGGGCGACCAATGAGCGGAGACACACGTGACTCGCACGGCCTGCCTTCAGTCCTTGATCGACGGGCACGACAGCGACTTGCTCTCCCAGGCCATCTCGCACCGCAAGCATGGACACCGGAGGGGCAAAGGACAAGGCCTTCCTGAAGGAGCCCAAGCTGTTCGTCCTGGACTCTGGCAGCCACAAGCCCGAGGAGACCGACGCCGAGCGGTTCCGCAAGGCTGCTCCCAAGTCAGCACACAAACCCGTCGCTGTGGGCCGAGGTGAGATGCCACTGCCGATCCCAGCGGCACTTGCTTGTGTGTGCATCTCGTGCTGACGATGCGCCGACAGGCAGCTCGCTAGCCCGCCGGATGGCTTATGCAGTTTTCGCTCTCCTGTCCCGGAACAGCACAGATCACAGCGATCCCAACGGCCGTCTACAACGTCTCGCTCAGCAGCGTTTCTCTCGCTGTTCATGAGGACTCGGGTGTGTTGCTGTTGTGCTGCACCACTGCCAGATCTCTCGCGAAGGACTCGACGGCCCCAGCCAGGGACGGACAAACGCACATGTTGCATTCTTGCACCGAGCTCGGGCAGTCAGTGACCGTCCTCAGCTCGTCTGCAAATGCGAGCGGGATCGCCGTCGGGTCCACGAATCCCGTGCAGTGATGGGCCCTCGATACAGCGGCTCACAAGCATCCTCTCCCAACTGGTTTCGAAACAGGCGCCTGGAATACAGGAATCGCCGGCAAGGTGTGGCCGTCGGCGCATGTGCTGTCCGAGTACTTTGAATGGCGGTTTCTCGAGAACGCCTCGTCGGCTCTGGATCTGCCTCGGACGGTACTGGAGCTCGGATCCGGAACCGGGCTTTCAGGGATGTGTCTGGCCAAGATCTTCAACTCCATCGACCATCGGTCCGCAGCCCCACCCACCGTCATGATCACCGATCTGGAGGAGGCCGTTCCCCTCATGGAGCGGAATATCATGGAGAACTTTCGAGACGGGGACTGGGTCGTCCCAGTGGCCCGTGCGCTGTGCTGGGGCGACGAGGATGACTGTCGGGCCGTCTCCACAGAGCTGGTCGACTCCCGAAACACAATCGCCTCTGCTCGGGCCGACGCAACACTCGCAGCCAACGACATTGATCTCATCTTTGGCTCCGACGTGGTCTACTGGCCGCATCTCTTCGACCTCCTCATCGAGACGCTCGTGGCCATGGCGTCTCTGCGGACCGAGGTGATTCTGGCATGCCGCCAGCGCGAGCTCAGCAAGGAAATCGCATTCTGGTCCAAGCTCGGCAAGTACTTCCATCTGAGTCCGATCCTGGAGTGGAGTCGCTACTGGAGCGAGTACAAGAACGAGGGTTTCTTTCTGCTGCGGATCAACAAGCGAGAAGTACCCCTGGAGACAGACTATAGCGACGAGTTTGAGGCAATGCTTTTGATGTGGTCGACAGTAGACGACTGAGAGATGCCGTAATGAGGGCTCGTATGCGAGACCCTCCGTGAATATACATGCCGCCCCCCTGTTGTTCCGTCCGCCCAGTTGCCTGGGGGTCCGTCTCTACCGATTCCTACAACGCTGTGCAATCCTTCCAAAAGCACCTGGGGCGCCCGGGTTTTGTGGGTGATGGATGAGTGTTTGTATTCCATTCGAAACTGAAACACGATATCAATTGCTACCTCCACACACCAGAGTCCGAAGAGGAGAAACATAAAGCTTTCTTGGCCGCACCACAAGCACCACCACCAACGGTGCCAGCCGGTCCAAGTCGGGATCTCTACAGATAGAGCATCGTCTAAACGACCGAGCTGCACGACACCGCCGCTCCGAGGGAGTGAAAATGCCCTGGGGAGCACTGGGCTGCTCAGCCATGCCGAGAACCGTGGCCGTGGCCATGGTCTCCATAGGCGCTACCACTGGTGGCCACAGACTTGCGAGTGCTTGAAGGGCGGGGAGGCGGGCGAACGGTCACGGATTCGGCGGCAGCATTCTCTTCGTCGAGCTGACGCATCCACATGTTGTAGTAGACGCCGCCCTCAACACCCGCGGGCAGAATCTTGGCCTCTCGCATCTTGGAGATTTCTTCGCCGCTCTTGAGAAGCTCGTCGTGAGTGCCTCGCTCGACGATGCGGCCGTCCTTGAGCACCAAGATAAGGTCGGCGTCGACGATGGTGGTCAGGCGATGGGCAATCACGAGGGTAGTGCGGTCGGCGCAGAGGGTGGAGAGCGATCGCTGGATGAGCTGCTCAGTGGTGCTGTCCAAGGCCGAGGTCGCCTCGTCGAGGAGAATGATCGAGGGATTCTTGAGAAGCGTGCGAGCGATCGCCACGCGCTGCTTTTCGCCGCCGCTGAGTCTCAAACCACGCTCGCCGACCTTGGTCTCATAGCCTGGTTCAAATGGTACGACACGACAGGTTGTGAATGAGCATCGGCGTCACGACGAAGCACGCTGGCCACTGGCATCCTCAACTCACCATCAGGCCACTGCATGATGCGGTCGTGGATTTGAGCCGCCTTGGCCGCGGCCTCGACTTCTTCGTCCGTGGCATTGACGTTGCCGTAGCGGATGTTGTAGCGGACTGTGTTGTTGAAGAGGACAGTATCCTGAGGCACGACGCCGATGTGGCGACGGAGGGACTTTTGGGTCAAGTCTCGAATGTCCTGCCCATCAACGGTGATTTTGCCGGACTGGATATCGTAGAAACGGAACAGCAGCTGTTGCGCGAAGTTGCACGGAGCAGAGGGATGAGAAACAGGCGACATTATGAGCTGTCACCAGGCCGGCACGACTGCGGTACTTACCCGGAAGATCGTGCTTTTACCGCCACCAGAGTCACCAACCAAGGCGATCCGCTTGCCTTTGGGGACCTCAAATGAGATTCCTTTGAGTGACGTCTGCTTGGGGTCATACGAGAACTCGACGTTGTCTGGACAGGGAATCAATGCATTTCTCGTAAGCTGAGAACAGAGGCGCAGCAGCGACACCCTTGGAGCGCTGGCCCCGTGGATATTCATCCACAGCCGGTAAGCATGGCTGCAGGCTCAGGTAGCGGCGCAGAGGGCCTTGGGACGATCCCCCAAAGGAGCTTGATTGACAGGGCATGACGAGCGACATACCAAAGACAATCGTTCCGCCATCGTTCATCACGAGGTCGTGGGCATCAGCCGAGTCTTCGACGCCCTGATTCTCTTTGAACAGATCGAGCATTTTCTCCATATCGACAAAGTTCTGCTGGATCGCGCGGTAGTAGGTGCCGAACCTAGTTTGTTTACAGCGAGGAGAATGTGTCAGGAGAAGCATCAGCCCATGACTGTTTGTCCTGGTCGCTACTCGATATCGCGGAGCGATCCAGCAATGCAGACATGACTTTCGCTTGACTCGTCGAGCGCGTTCCAGCATGGTACCTACCAATTCAGAGGCAGATAAACTTGAGTGATGTACTGGAAGAGCATGACAAAGTCGCTCACGACCGCAGAGCCGTCGACAATGCGTTTGGCACAAATGAGGAGGCAGACGAGCAAACCAACGCTGATGATGACGTTCTGAGTGCCGTTGAGGATGTACATGGACGACTGGCTCTTGTAGTCGGCGCGTTGCGACGCTTCTACAGCCTCATCGAACCGGGCCACCTCCCAGGCCTCGTTGTTGTAATACTTGACGGTCTCAAAGTTCAGCAAAGAGTCCACTGCTCGGGCGCGGGCGGCGTTGTCTGTCTCAATCATTTCGCGGCGGAACTAGAGGGTCGGGAGAGGTATAGGGGGTTATGGACCTTGCTCCGGAAGGTGGACAGCATTGTGGCGACCAGCTTGTAGTCACCCTCAGCTTTATCCGGGCTGCAAGGTTCAGAAGGCGGTATATGCAGCGTATATCCCAAGGGACAGTCCCAGATACTGCAACCGCAACTGCATCGCGCAGTGACACCCACCTTGGTTCTCCATTCGGTTATCACAATGGTGCAGGCGATATAGAGGATCATGGTGATGGCCAGGGTGGTGCCCAGGATCAGATCAAACTGCAGCGCGATGGCGATGGAGGTCAAGACAATGTCAAAGATGACAGGGGTGATGTTGAAGAGGATGTAGCTGAGCAGCGAGCCAATCGAGGACACGCCTCGGTCCATGACTCGGAGAACCTCGCCGGTCTTGCGGTTGAGGTGGAATTGCAGAGACAGGTGGTGCAAATGCCCAAGCATCGATACAGAGAGGTGGCGGGTGGTGTACTGTCCCACGTGGACCCAGAGGAAGTACTGGATCATCGACAAGACCCCCATGCCGCCCTGCAAGCTGCGGAGGAGCACAAAGGCGAGGATGGCGGCCCAGGCAAAATACGGTCGCTTGTCCTCCGCCTCGGCTGGGGATCCAGGGGTGAGTGCATCGAGCACGTTCTTGAACTGCCAGGGGATCAGCAGGTTGACAATCCGGCCAATGACAAGCAGCAGCACGCATGCAAAGATGAGCGATTGCAGCACGATAGAGTGAGATGGCCAGATGTATGGCGCCAGAGTCTTCATTTTGCTGAAAAAGTCGCTCCAAGTACTTTTGTTGAGGTCGTCGTCTCTGCGATCGACACTGTCGCCATCGCGGGCTTGGATCGATTTGTTTTCGCGGGCCGAAAGGACCGACAGAACCACGATCGACACCAACCGAACCAGGAAGAGGCCGAGGAACACCTGATCAAAGGCCGTCTGGAATGTTGGGTGGCCGTAGTCTGGGGTTGCGGAGGGGGTGCAGGCGGAGGAAGGCGGCAGGCGGAGGAAAGCGTGAGAGGCGCATATTGGGAGCTGGCGAGGCTGGCGGGGCTGGCGACCGACGAGCGCTGAAAAAGAAAGGGCCCGCAAGCACAAACGACCACCATTGGGATGTCGACAACATCAGCAAACGGGACGGAGGGGGCATTATACCTGGGGCCGGAACGATGATGTCGAGCAGATACTGGGTCAGCTGGAGCACGCCCAAAAACAGGGCCCACTGCCAGAACCACGAAATAAACAGCGGGCAGCTCCTCTTTGCCTCGAGGGGATCAAAGTCCTTGGCGTACTTGGAGGTGTGGTGCACCATGACGGCCGCGCCGGCAATGATCCAGGCAAAGCTGTCAAAGATGCGAGCCAGCTCGACGGCGCCGATCATCGGCATGGTCGAGGGAATGTCCGAGTGCAACGAGTGGTAGTAGTCCAGAACGATATCGACAAGGCTGGTGAAGAAGATCACGGCGGAGAGCACCCGGGCAATGTTGGCAAGACTGAGGACCTGAACGGGAGTGGGAGGTGTCGTGGTCTGCGGCCGATCAGCCAAAAACTGTTAGCCAAGTGCACTTCAGAAGATTGGTCCATTGCACTACGGTGTGCATAGGGTCTCCATCCCATCGGCTGGATGAAGACGGGAGTATGTGCGGCCAGGACAGAATGGGCTTGCTGCTGTCGTCAGAGGCAAATGCGCTGGCCATGAGGGGGCTGAGCATTCTCCGCGGGTGTGGTGGTGGTTCGAGATCGGCATCAGTCAATGCAGATCGAGAGCACTTACTGCCTCTCCCTCTTCGACACCATCGCCAGCAGGCGAGCCGTCAGCATTGAGGAGACCCTGTTGTTCGGACGACGAGCCGCGATCGGCCTTGGCATCGGTTCGGGCACGAAAGAGCCAGACGGCCCAGGCCGAGGCGGCGAGGAAGATATAAAAGAACAGGAAGAGCGAGGGAACAAGGGCGATGATGCACGGAGAGAACCTCCAGTGCCCAACGAACGGGCCGGGACAGAACGCCTCCGGGTCGATGGCCAGCCCAGCGGTGGTCATTGCGCTTTGGAGGATGCGGAGGAGTCGTTTGCGGGGAGAGCGCGGCGGGTGCGGTGCTCTTGGCCCTGCCCTGGCCATATCTCAGAGCTGGTGTTTGTCATCATCGCCCAGCACGCGAGGATCACGACACCTGCGCGTCAGCCCCAGCAGCTTCTTCGAACGGCTTCTGAAATCGAAGGTCGCCCTTGGGCGCACGAGCTCGCCCTGGGTGCTTCTTGCCGACGGCGTGCGCGAGCGCCTTCATAATGCCCATCTCGTTACGCCGCAAACAGAGAGGGCCGCGTTGCCTGTCGTCTTCGGCAGCCAGACGCACGCATCGATTTTCAGAACAGGCTATATTGGCAAGAAGGCACAAAGCAAGAACAAAGGGGATCGGATCTATCGTCATCGGCGACGCATCGGTGCGCCGCGCGATGCAGTGCAATGCAGTGTGATGCAATGCGTTGCGATGCGATGCGCCGCGCTGGGCTGGGCGGAGCGACGCGGCAGATTACATCAAAATTTCGTTGTGGACGCTGCTGCGGATCTCCTTGTGGGGAAGCACAATGCAGTTTCGGACAACAATCTCGTCGGCAATGAAGACGTCCTTGCCGACGATGCAGGCCGACGGGATCTTGAAGCCCTTCGAGGTGGCGTTGTAGGTGCTGGCCTCACCGGGAGCACCCTCCACGCGCGCCCAGGCGCCGATCTTGGTCTCCCAGCCAATGACAGAGTTGACCAAGATCGAGTCGTGCTTGACCTCGGTGTTGTCGAGGACGATCGAGTCGCGGATGCGCACACCCGGGCCGACGAGGGCGCGCGGGCCGATACTGACGTTGGGGCCGATCTTGGCCGTAGGATGGACAACAGCAGTCGGGTGAATGTACACGGGCGAGATGTACTCGGGGTGCTGCGGCAGGACGACGCCCGTGGCCAGGGCCTTAGCGACGTCGCTGGGGCTGAACTTTTGGCCCGTCGAGAGGCGCTTGGGGTTGGACTGTCTGAAGTGCTGGAGATACTCGCGGTTGGCGGGGATTAGCGAGCTACCGGTCTTGATTTGCATCCAAAAGTTGACGGAGGTGTCAATGATGTGGGCAAAGAGCTTGCCTTCGCCGGCCAGGAAGTTGAGGACATCCTGCTCGAGACGGATGCGCTCGTCGGGGGTTCGAGACGAAATGCCCTCCTCGATCTCGCGCTCGCGGCGGCGGGCAACTGCCGTCTGGAAGACCGGGAAGATGTTCTTGTCAAAGACGTAGATGCCGCACGAGATAATGTCCGAGATGAAGGTCTCGGGCTTCTCTACAAAGTGTGAGACTTCCTGGGTAGTGGGGTGCACGACGACGCATCCGTATTTGTGGACATCGCTGCGAGGCACATGCATGCCCATGATCGTGCCAATGGCGCTCTTTTCCTTGTGGAAGGCGAGGACTTCAGCAAGCGGGAAGGACGAGGCGACATCGGCGTTGAGGACAAAGATATGGTCCGGGTCGCCGCGAAGGATTTCGTCGCGGAAGTGGTAGAGGCCGCCGCCGGTGCCGAGGGCGCTGTATTCGCGGAGGTATCTGGAGAGCGCGCGCCAATGCGTCAAAGGAGAAAGGGCCGAGTGTCAGAGCAGACATCGTTTGCGGAGCTGGAGTCGCCGCGCCATCCCCAGAGGCCGTCGAAGGTTCGACCTCGCTTGTTGGCGGCTGGAGCACGACAGCCGATCGGAGCAACCGATATCCTGAGTGACTGAGACCGGGGAGGCAAGCGTCCCGGTCACCCGCAGGCGAGCGATCCCAGGCTGGTCCTCCCGGCTCGGCATTTCCGCCATCCAGCCGCATACAAGTGACCGATCACATGCAGATAATGCCATGAACAGCAGCGACACATGCGGCGGAGGACACCATGATCCAGCGCCAGCACAAACATCAGCGCTTCTGCCTTTTCCATGACCGGCTTCACCGACCAGTCAAATGACTTGGTCTGGAGTGAAGTAGAGTGGCGAGCTGATCCACTGGCGGGCCAGGCAGGCAGGCGAGCTGTGCTCGATCAAGGCCGCGTACCTGATGGAAACGCCCGGGAACTCGATCTGGATCTCCATCAAGAACCGATCAAAGATAGCTTGGTCAAAGAAGCCGATGAGGATGATCTCCTTCATGCCGCTCAGCTGGGCCAGCGCGGCGACGTGGTGGTAAATCATGGGGGTGCCTGCAATCGGGAAGAGAGGCTTGGGGCAGTCCATGGACAGCGGGCGGAAGCGGGTGCCCACGGAGGGCCCACCAACGAGGACGACGCCTTTCAGGACAGACATGGCGATGGCGAGGCTTTGATTACGAACAGGGTTGCAGGACGTACAGGCGGCAGGTGCTCGGCGCAGACGGCGTTGGCTCCGGGGGAAGAAGAGGTTTGCGCTGCAGAGCGGGCTTGCGAGATGGCGTCGGCCGAGATTCCCAGAGATTGCGGCTCAGGCGGGGGGGTGCTGCGCGCGCCCGAAATGGCAGTGTCCGCTGATGTAAGCACACCGCCACTGTCGAGCCAGCCTGTGGCTGCAAGCGTGCCAGCCAATTGCGGCCAGCCGGCCGTGGCCAGCCAGCACCCGCCCATTCTTGCTCTCGATCGTCCATGGAAGCACGCGGGGTTCCAAAGAGAACAGAGATGTTTCCGATGACCGCGCCTGCGATTGCCCGAGACGGGGTCCCTCGCTGGACAGGGCGATTCGGGCGGCTGGCCGAGCAGGCGTGTCTCGACTGACTTGCCCTCGTCCATACCCGAGTGCCAACCGTCTTTCCCACGTCCCGTCAGCAACACCTTGGAACAGCAGACACTTGCTCGATTGTCGGCGACATGTTCAAGGCCACGGAAAAGCCGCCTCAGGAGGAGCTTCCGGCTCCGGTGCTGGATATGTTCAAGGTGGGTTCCAGGGCTGGCGATGAGCACGGATCAAGGTCGACTTTTGCTTGAGCGGGGTCGGTGAAGTCAACGATGCGGCATACTCACACACATTCCGTCGGCAGGTTGCGGAATGGATGCCGTCCAACTACGACCGACAATATATTCCAAGAGCCATATACCACGACCCTATCCATGAACTGATCCTCCGACAAGACGGAAACTCGAAGCAGACCACTTCTCGGCGGGTCGTCGAAGCCACGCGCCATCTCTGTCGAGTCGGCAGCAATGTTCCAAGGACTGACCCAGATTGGAACCGAGTATGTGCTGCTGTGCTGCTGCGCTACTGCGCTGGCGTGCTCGCCGATTGATGTATAAACACGACGAACCTCTGTTTGTTCCCAGGGCGACGACACCAAGACCAGTAACAGGTCCGTTGTTCTTACCGAGTTCGGCATCCAAATCGTTGCCGACAGCAACATCGCCCCAGTCAAGCCCATTGCCTCGAGGATCAAATATGCCTCTCCAGCAGACACGCCTGTCTACTTCACCTCGCGACACAAAGAGCTACCGCCTTCATTCGAGCCCACCATTCGCTATGGCGCTCGTAAGATTGCACTTGAGATCCATGCACCTGATGTCATCGACACCGCCCACCGGAACTGCCAGTACATGCGCCAGGCCAGCGACGAGCGATGGGAGGTATCCATGCTTCGATACAAGCGAAAGGCTCGCAAGATTGAGCGCAAGGAGCTCGGTATGAGTTTTCGTGGTCGTGGTATGTTCGAAAAGAAGACTGGACTCGCGATTCCCAAGCAACCCAAACCTGGTGCCAAGAGTCTGAACGTCGCTGAACCATCCGGAAAGCCCAGCGGTCTGCCTGGGGCCATCGCATCCGTATCAGCCAAAGCTGAGGGTTCCCAAGACTCATCTGCCGCACCACTGCGTTCGGGAGACGAAGTCCAGACTGGATCGACAGCCCAGGTTGTGGAGTCCGAAGCCAGCCCCGTCATCAAACTCGACTCAGCCGACGAACTCAGACCGGAAGATGAAGAGGAAGAGCGCCAGTGGCTCCAGATGCAAAAGGAGAGCCTCTATTCCTCATGGCAAGCCCCAAAAGAAAGCCCTGTCGTTTCGATCGCCATCCCAGAGCAAATACAAGATGTTCTCGCACCAAAGTTGGATACCTCCGGCTTGACAGAAAACATAGCGCCGCGCGCCTCACTCACTCCTGTTGCTCGAAGCCCCTCGGCGCTCGACACTATCCTACAGTTCAGCTCGATGGGGCACACGGGATCGGATGTGTCCCAGCGCACCTCTGTTGGCAGTGTTCCAGCCGCCGTTGTTGTTACGACTTCGTCCAATCGCCACAGAGACGACTCTACCGATCTTCCCCCTCAGAGAGATAGCGTCCCCAAGACTTCTCAAGCGGCAAGTACCTCGGCTGTTGCTGTTCTTCCATCGCCTGAGAAACTCATGTCATCAGCCCCTCCAAACCAAAGCCCTCTCGACCAAAGCCCAACCCCAACCAAGGATGCCGTTTCCAAACTCCTTGCCGATGTTTGCATTGCCAAGGATGAACCAGCCCATGGGGCCTCTGTGATATACTCAGGCCTTCCAACAACAGCAAGCAGTATGTCTCCACAGCTTTCCGCATCAGCACCACAAAATGAGAATGCGCAAGCGTCGACACTGCCAAAGGATATTGTTGAAAATACAACTGAGCCATTGTCGTCCCCGAGACATGTCGAAGCGAAGGATTCACCGATATCTTCCTCTGCTATCGGGGCCATTCTTGGTGGAATTAGGCTGCCTGCAGCGGACGCTGGACCAGCACAATCAAAGTCTCCAGGCTCGGCAGCAGCCAAGAGTCTTGTCCAAGCGTCTCCCGGGTCTGAGAATACCACGCACGTTGCCAAGACTCCCATCGAGACCGAGCGGCCCAAAGATCTACCCCTGATGACTGAAATCGACCACGCCGTCAAAGTTGGATGTACAGAGATTTCGTCGGAGAACAAAATCACAGACCCCCTGCCAGAGCGACCCGCCTCGCATAGGTCTCTCCTTGGGAAGGCCAAGGATGCATTCAAAAAGAAAAAGAAGAGCGCAAACGGCAGCGATGCTGAGGACATGGGCACCTCCCTCGGGAGCCTGGATGCACTTGGTCATGCCGCCAATGGCCAGGTCCTTACAGATTCGCTTGAAAGAGCGGACGAAATCGATGAAAGCGATCGAGCCTCCATCTCCAGCACCAGGTCGCATTCCTCTCTCGCGAGCAAAGCAAAGGGCCTCTTCAAGAAGAAGCGAAACGCTCAATCCTCGGACAAACTCGGAGAATCAGCAGATACGCATGAAGGTCACTCGTCGGCGGCGAAGCTATCAAAGTCCAAGGCGTCCCTCGGCTCAGTCAACGAGCTAATGAGCGAAGATGAAGCCCATGGCTACTCCGAAGACGACACCCGATCCATCAAGAGCACAAAGTCCCACGGCTCCTTGGCAGGAAAGGTCAAGAAGATATTCAAGAAAAAGGGCAAGAGCGAAGTTGATCGTACTGACGATGATTCCAAGGCACCATCGATTTCCAAACAGGCCCTCGGTGCTGACCAGGATTACTCGATGGGTGGACTGCGATCGGGGGACGCTGAAATACAGGCTGTAGCAGAAGAAAACGAAGTCGATCAAGAGGTCGTTGATCGTTTTAAGAGAGAACAAGTTGCCAAGGAAGCTGACGAGGCCAGGAAGGCTCAAGAAGCACAGAGGACCGAGGAACTTAAGAAAGCCGAGGAAGCCAGGAAGACCGAGGAAGCCAAGAGGGCCGAGGAATTGGCCAAAGCCCAAGAAGCCAGAAGGGCTGACGAAGCACGAAAGATTGAAGAAGCTAGAAAAGCCGAGGAATCAAAGAAAGTCGAGGAAGCCAGGAAGGTTGAGGAAGCCAGAAAGATTGAAGAAGCTAGAAAAGCCGAGGAAGCCAGGAAAGTTGAGGAAGCCAGGAAGGTCGAGGAAGCCAAGAGGGCCGAGGAGCTAGCCAAAGCCGAGCAACTAAGAAAATCCGAAGAAGCTAGAAAGGTGGAAGAAGCACGAAGGGCTGACGAAGCAAGAAAGATTGAAGAAGCAAGAAGGGCTGAAGAAGCCAAGAAAGCCGAAGAAGCTAGAAAAGCCGAGGAAGCCAGGAAAGTTGAGGAAGCCAGGAAGGTCGAGGAAGCCAAGAGGGCCGAGGAATTGGCCAAAGCCCAAGAAGCCAGAAGGGCTGACGAAGCACGAAAGATTGAAGAAGCACGAAGGGCTGACGAAGCAAGAAAGATTGAAGAAGCAAGAAGGGCTGAAGAAACAAGAAAGATTGAAGAAGCACGAAAAGCTGAGGAGCTTGCCAAAGCCGAGGTTGTCCGGAAAGCCGAAGAAGCCAAGAAAGCCGAAGAAACCAGGAAAGCCGAGGAATCCAAGAAAGCCCAAGAAGCCAAGAGAGCCGAGGAAGCAAAGAAGGCCGAAGAAGCCAGGAATGCCGAGCAGCTGAGAAAAGCCGAGGAAGCAAAGAAGGTTGAAGAAGTCAGGAAAGTTGAGGAGACAAAGCGGGTCGAAGAGGCAAAGCGTCTCGACCAAATTAACAAAGCCGAATCGGTAAATAGAGCCAACGAGGCAAGAAAAATCGAAGAAGCCGGAGAATCAACGTCGGTCCAGCCGGTACTGGCATCTGCATACACTGCTGAGCAAAGCAAGCGAACAAAGATCAGCTCGCCTCCCGAACCAGACCAACAATCCAGTCAGCCGATTTCCAATGTCGCTGCAGCTGCTGATACCAACGCAGCTGACATCTCAAGCGAAGAGCGAGATCAACCCGCTGTTCTTGATCGTGGTCGGTTTGTCAACGCCTTTGACATGCAAAACATCGAGAAAGGTGGTCATGGGCCTCCTATCAATCCGTCCGAGTCCACGGGAAAGCTTGCACATTCAAAAACCGAGGAATCAGTTGCCTCTCTCTCCAAGGAGAAAAGTGAGCGCAAGAAGTCCATCGGCGACTTGTTTAAAAAGAAGGATAACAAATCAAGAGACTCTCTGAATCAGCCAAGAGCTCGCGAGTCCGTTTCCGAGCTTGCAAGCTCCGTGTCGGTTGCTCAAACACAGCTTCCTGGCAACAGACAACTGGAGGTTGGTGTTTATCTCGAGTTCATCTAGGCTTTGGCATGCTCTAAACATGTACTTTGACAGGATCAACTCAAGGCCAAGGTTCAGTTTGGCAAAGGAACCAAGTGCGATGTTGCCATCGAAAACATGGAGCTGACATGCATCGAATCCGGAAAAGGTCAGGAAAGGGTTCTGTTTCAGTGCGCTGATGATCATTCGAGGACTATTGCGGTGTACGGTGCCGCAACGAAAGCCCAGACTTGATTGCTGCGATGGAGAATGATGCTGAGTCGACTGCCATCAGGCGATGCGGAGCGTCTAATTCCATTTCACGCCGCATGCCATAACCATAACCAATGCAGGAAAGTCCCCAGCCTACTTCTTCCCGATTCCCATGTATAAGATCATCTCCGCAAAGCAGACCAAGAGCGATGTCGTTTTCTACGCTTGTACTTCTCGTGAAAGTGGGCAAGATGGCTCAAAGTTCAAAGATGTACAGTTTCAGATGGCCTCTGAGATGGAGGCATCAATCTGGGCCGACAACTTGATTCGCTTGGCCTACGGAGGAGGTACGCATTGTTAAGTAGAGACAATTCGTGAGTCAAGATCCGCCAAATGACCGTAGACAGCATCTGACACATCTTCACATCACCGATAGACCTGAATCCATATTTTATGAAGAAGAAGGTCATATTCCTTGTCGACAAGTTCGAGGGCAGCTCGGCCACCAAGCTCATCGAGAGATACATGAAGCCTGTTCTTGATTGTGTCGCAAAGCCTTTTGAGATCAAAGGTGGGCCGTATGAGAGTGGAAAGACACCAGCAAGAATCAAATGCACGACTCTGGGCTGAACCCTATGCACTAACTCTTGGCCTACATACGATCGGACATGTGGCTGTTAGCAACGCCGTTCAATGAGCTGAGCGTCAACAACATCTTTAGCGACGCGAACTTCAAGACGCTAAGCAACATTGTTTGTGTCGACAATGACTTTTGCTCCCGTGCTGCACAAATTATCGTTCGCAACCAGTACGCAGATAACCCAGGTACGAAATGGATATCGGGGTAATCGGGAAACCCACAGTGAGAATCGAGTGTGACAAACAAAATACATCCCTCCCAAAGGAGCATCGATGGATCCATTGCAGCACTTGTCTCCGAGCTTATACTGAATGTCGTTTCATTCCGACCATGAGCAGTCATGCTACAGTGTGATCGCGATCCAGTCGATGCCGCAGTCACGCTGATCAAGAGTAAGTTTCTGTTGCAATCCCAGACTTGCGCTGCTCATTCCGACTGGGCGAAGCCACATTTGTGATGCCGGAAACAAATCGCCAATACTTTCTGACAAACCATACTCTCTGTCCAACCAAACCGTCTGTAGGCTTCATCAACAGTCCAGCCCTCGATTCGGTGTTTCTCAGTCACTTGAGCATCCACAGAGACGAAAGCAACAAATTCGGAAAGATATTTAAGAAGAAGTGACCGGATTTTGATCAACGGATGCTCATGATGAGCAAATTGCGATACACAAGCAGGACATCATGGCCTCCAGGCGCGTCATGGCCCCAATAGCGTGGTCGCCAGCGTGTATTGTACATATATGTTGGTGATTGATACATGAGCACGAATACATCGCTTGAGTGTGCGCCATTATCCACACGGACAACATTGGTCGGCGATCCTCAGAGCTTACGCGATATCGGCTATCGAGCATCAAGTGCGTTCGGTGGGCCCAGGACCCCGGTTGACTTTTGCAGCGGAGAAGCGGTGCTCCAACAGCTGCACAGGGGTCGCTTGAACGCATTTGATTCTTAACCACGCACTCATCGAGCAGAGCGATGAATAGATTGCCCGTCATCGCACTCAATTCAAGGCGATCTTTTCTAGCTCATAGACTGCCCCGATCTTGCGAAACAGCCGCCGCGCTTCCTCGGAATGATACGATATCTCGTAGTTTTTGTCGGTGACCGAGTACTTGGAGAGCTTCCAGTGCAGCTGCGCTTGGTAATAACCTACCATCTCGCTGTCTTTCTGCTGCAAAGCTTTCTTCCAGGCGGCCACCGCCAGTCCGGTCTTCCCGCCGCACAGACATCGAAACCCTTTCCATAACTGGCGCAGCATGTCTGCCAAAACCATGGCTTTCATGCGCTTGAGGGCTCGCTCAACCATGGCGCACACCTTCTCTACCGATCGCTTGCTGGCCGAGTCGTTGATGGACCCGTTGTCATAGGCGGAGAAGAATGCGTTCAGGATGTGGATGATTCCGTGGACAGCGCTCCAATCGTGGGGTTTGAGTTGGCTGACCAGTCGCTCAATCTCCTTTGCCGTGGACACGGGCGAGAACCCAACGCCGAAGCGGATGTCGGCCTCGGTCAAGATTCCAAAGCGGATGATCTGCAGAACGGCACTGCTGGTCCAGAATTCAGGCCCAGTATTCCAGACGCTCTGGAAGGAGGAGATAATGTCTTGAAGCTCCTCATTGGAGCCGTATTGAGAGAGCAGATTCGAGATGATCAAAACACATCCCCAGAACTTGCCGATCCAGTACTCTTCCTGGTTCGAAATCGCATAAAGATCCCTCGAGAGACTGGACGAGAGGTGGCGTGGGCCCTGGTAGTAGTAGATTAGTCCTCGAATCCGCAGCGATCCTTCGCGGGCCATCATGTCGCCCGTGATGAGCCCAAGCTCGTATAGGTATTCCGAGCGGTTGATGGCAGGCTCCCATAGCCCCATGATGAAAAGGGTGATGGCCACGTGCGATGATATTTGCGAGGTCGAGTAGATGTTGGTGTGGGAGTCGCTAAAGTCGGCAGCTTCGAGATGCCGGAGCGTGAGCACTTTCCGCCGGTCGCGGATCCAGTAAATGAATGCCACCTGAGCCAACAGCTGACCGTAGACGATGTCTTTCGGAAATTGAGTGCACAGATTGAGTCCCGTCAGTACAGCATACTGATACTGCCGGAACTTTTCGCCCCGAAAGTACAATTGGCCCAGGATCGTCAGAACTTCCCGGGCAATATTGAGGGCAGCGGCGGGTGTACCCTTGACGATGGCATTCCGAACCATCTCACTGTCGCGGGTGTGCCTGCTCGGCCGCTTTGTCAGGCGTGGAACAATGTGGGTATCTGCAACCGACACTGTTGCCCCAACTGCCACGACCGATTCGCGTTTCAATGGGCCGATCATGCTGTTGACTCGACTGCCAGGACGCGCAAAGTACAGGTTCTTGGAGCGGCTGCGGCCATTCGGGCCCGATGGTCCTCCCCACATGCCATCTGATGAGACGGCGTCGCTTCCAGTTTCGACGTAGGTATGCATACATCTGGCCAGGGCTTTGTAGATCCGAAAGCGCATCCAGAGCGAATCGGTTGGAAACTCGTGATTGACGAGCTTGAGGCTCTGGAGCAAGTGGAACTCGCTCTTCTCCCATTCGTCTCGGAGAATGTGCGCCTCGCCCACCTCCCGGTGCCACGTAGCGAGGGTGACGTTGTTGTAGAGGGTGAGGCCGGTCTCCTTTTCGATCTCGGCAAGCGTCTCGAGCAGGAGGCTGTAGTGCTTTATGGCGTCGTTCATGGCATGTTTCTCGTAGTAGTAGTGGCTCACGGCCTCGAGATACCGCAGTTTCTTCAGCCGCTGCTGTGAGCCAGCCTCAACATAGTGTTCGTACAGCGGAATCAGCAGCTTGTGGCGATTGGATTCGTTGAGGAGCTTCTCATAGTACGAGGCGATGTTCAGGTGGAGCTGCTGCCGCTGGCTCTGAACCATCATGTGGTAAATGCACTTGCGCACTACCGCGGACTTGAATTGGAAGTATAGCCCATCTATCTCGATATCGGCCTTGATAAGAAAGCCATATTTGTCCAGCCCTTCGATGCTCTTGATCATCGAGTTGTTTGACCGTGTGTCGAAGGTGTCTGCGAACCGAGGCATGTCACTGATGAAGTGTAGTACATCGTCTGCAAGGAAGCGCTGTCCCAGAACCGAGGCAATCTTGAGAAACAGCTGATAGTTCCGATCCAGTCGATCAAACTGTGCGATGATGATGCTCTGAAGGTCGTAGCCGAAGACGATCTGCTCAAAGTCAAAGTTGGTACTGTTGGTAGTCAGCTCCCCGTTGTTGCCGACGCGCCACTGGCCAGATTCCTTCAGCGCCACGACCAGCGAGCGAATGAAGAGCGGATTTCCGCCTGTCCGCTTGAATATGTTCTCGACAATGGTTTGGGTGACGTTTTTGAGTCGGAAGCCTGACCAGCAGCTGATCACCATAGCCTTGGTTTCTTCCATACTCAGGCCTTGCATGATCCGGTGGGCGGTGCGCGGGAGCCGCTTGAGCTTGAGAAATTGGTTGCGCGTGTCCTCGTTGTCATAGTTGCGGTCCGGCCTTGAGTAGAAAAAGATCGAGATCATGGGGCAGCCCTCGAGAATGTTCCAGATCAGCTCCCATGAAGCCATATCCATCCACTGCGCTTCGTGGATCACGAGCACGGTCGTGCCCACGACCGAGAGCTTGACGAGAAGGCGCTTCAGAAGTTCCGACAGCTCGTTCATGCGCATCTTGGCCTGTATCTGAGGAATCATAGGCTCGATGTCAGAGAACTCGGAGGGGAAGATCTGATTGAACAGAATGGCCTGCATCGGATCCTCGCCACAGCTTCGGAGGATGTCTTGCAGCCTGGACTGAAAGTAATCGCTCTGAAATCGTTGGCTCGCAGATATGTTGTCAACAATCGACCCTTTTGACTCGAGACGCGGGCGTTGCTCCTCCCTTTCATTTTCATCCGAGCCGTCGCTCCCTATGATGTTCGTGCTGAGACTGTTCCGCGAATTGTCGTTGATTCGCCGGAAGGCTTTGAGCAGCGGAATATTCGGGCTGCCGCGAACATCGATAGAGCTCGACGATCCCGTGTTTGGAAGGAGTCGTTTCCTAAAGTCTGGGCGCACTGCAGGGCTATCCACCGAGCTTTCTGCGATGCTATCCGTGGTCGTCTGGGTAGGATCACTGCTTGTGACGGCTTCGTCTGCGGATATCGTGTTTTGAGCGATTAGGACCTCGGAACTGCATAGAATCGCTGTGAGGTCCCGAACGATTCCACCAAAGACGAAAAAAGGCACAGCCTTTCCAACTTCGGTGGCTGTACCGCAACTAGTAGAAAGGATTGCCAGGAGAGAGAAGATCGTGGTGATTTAGTGCTAGTGTGTTGCTTCGAGCCACACACCAGCTGGCTGCATGATGAGCGCATTTTCCACGACGAGCCATCGATTGAGCTTCAGCAATGCGCACTATCGGTCGGGCACAAGCAGGAGAAGGCACCCAGCATTCCTGGTGACCGAGGGGATGCCAAGAAGGCATGGCGAATCGTCGGGAAAGGACAAAGGGATATAACAACGGAGCCAAGCGTGGATATGAATCGCCTCGAGGCCGTCGATGCTGTGGTCATGTGCGGATATACTGTGTTTACATACCATGCCAAGCACTTTCGCTTTTTGATTTCTTGCTTGGACCATTTCACAAATGTCGATAGACCTTGTCCGCCTTCTGTTTCGATCACGACAATGGAGGCCGCCTCACTGCCTCCAGACTTTACTGAAGAAATAGCATCGATGACGGTCGATTTTTCCTTGGACCTGCCAATCATCTCCAATTGGTCGTCGTGGGCAAAGCGGCGATTGGATTCCTCAGCCTCCTGTCGGATCTCCTTTGGGCGGAATATCGATATCGGGTGGTCTTTTCCTTTGACCTTGACTTCTCCGAGACTATCAAACACAAAGGCCCGCTCGGTGAGGTTGTAGGTTCTTTCGTCACAGAGTATAGACTCACTCGCGGCATCGAGGAACATGAGCCGAGCGGCCATATTGATGGAATCGCCCATCTGGCGGTGGTACGGCGTGGGGCCGCGAGAAAACAGATAGATCCGGCGACGCAAGCATGAGTGCCATCAGTACCAACAGGCATTCAAAGCGAGTGATTCGACAGATGTCCTTGACTTGGCGACTGCACCGCCACATGCGTTGGCGAATGCGACGTCATGAATGCCGTCAGATGCATCGGCACACAAACGCATGCAGCACTTACCAGTGCATATTCTGTCCGGACGGAATTGCCGACACCACCGATCGAGATCACTCCTGTCGTTATACCTATCGAAAACTCCGAGAACAGGAAGCTGTACTGCTGGCAAATCTCGAGCCCAGTCTTCAGCCCCATTATGGCGTCGTTTTCGTGCGCCAAAGGTGGCAGCCCAAAGAAGAGCAGCATCACCGCACCCTTGTCATCGACGTGAAACTGCCGCAGCGATCCTTCGTATTTCTTCAGGGCGGTTTGAGCGATTGCCATGGCTTGCTGGGCATCTGCGAGTGATGTTTTCCCGTTCCAGTTCTGCAGAGAGCCGATCCGGATGAACACCGTCGTGACCTGGCGAAGCTCGTAGAGGGACAGAAGCTCATTCAGCCCCGACTCGATGCGAAATAGCCGTGATTGGTTGATATCGGCTTGAAGTTTGTAGAGCGCAGACTCGTTCATAAACTTTTGGTAGAGACAGACATTGAGATCCGCACTGGCAATCTCCCATAACGCAAGATCGTCATTCTCTGTTGGAGTTGATGGCGGGATCTTTCGCTGGGCTTTTTCCAGTCCGTTCAGGAGAATGTACTTTTTGTTGTAGGCCCCAAGGGTGATGGTTTCTATGTCGATCACCAACGAGAACCACTTGAATGCCTGGTGGGAGATAGCCAGCTCGCCTGGCATGATGGTTTGGCGAGTTGCGTCAGTGAGCCGAATGCCGAGCCAGATAAGAGGGGTATAGAGTCCAGAGCGCAATCAAGCGAGCATGATGCTTGAGACAAAGCCCTCCAGACATGATATGCTGCGCTTGGTGCAAGAGAGAGGGTCACTCGCTGCTGGTCCAATATCGCTCGCTGTCGGTCCAATGTCACTGTCGCTTCAATGTCAATCACATGCACCCACCAGGCTTTGCTGCATTCAGAACATGGTTGAGTTGGTTGACCGCTTCACCGGCGATGAAGTGTTCCCATCGGTCAGTCATACCGACATGTACATCGTACAGCTGCCCGGAGCCGATGCCCAAATGGATTTGCAAGTCCTCGATCTCGCATCCGGGGATGTTGATTTTGTATCGCCCCAGTTTCTTGAGCATGTCCAGACAGCAGTAGCACGCCTTCACGACGAGCTCTCCTCGAGCTATGCTGACCGGGTCGTTCGGCGAGATATTTGTTCCGTCGCATGGCCCTTCGATTTTCCAGTACACAATGACGGCGTCGCCTGGAGGAGGGAAAGTAAGAATGAGAGACGGAACCAGCATAGCTGCACTGCCTTGGAATACAAACAGACAGGCACCGTCGGAGAGCCGCTCACAGTAGTAATGGAGCACTATGAGCAAGAAGGAGCATGCGGTCTGCCACCCAAGGCGGGCCACACAGTGTCCGCGATCAATAGAGATCATTTCCACTCCACAAGTCTGGGATATGGGACGCTATGGCTGCGTTGGACATGGATCATCCCACGCCCACTCGAAGGATAAATGCAGGTTTGATATTGACCTGCAAACTTGACGATATCACCTCCATGGGTCAGGACCGTTTGAATGATCTGCGCAACGAGAGAGGCGTGCGAGGAGCAGCCCGAGGAAACAATCACAGCGGTGAGCTCGGGAGATTGACTGGGCTAGGCTTGGCTCGGCTCTGCCTCTTCCTCAGCGCCGTGATGTCGGATCAATGAAGCAGACATATACGGGCGATTGACGGTGGGTTCAGCGGCAAGGAGCAATCGATAGTGATCGACCAACCGCCGCGCTGAGCAGTCGATCTCAAATGCCACGCGAGGGCGGCGATCGATGTGCGATAATACTGGGGACGAGCAGAGTACCTGATCCAGATATCCCTTCATCGTTTTGCTGAGGAGCTCAGCTCCCATCGGCCCGCGTTCGGCCAGCATCGAAGTGAGCTTGGAATACCCGCTCACATCAGCCATAACGACAACGCCAAAGCCTTCTCTGGCGAGCGGCTTGAGCGGCGGCAGGTCGGGTGGTGAGAGATCGCTCGCCAGCCCTGCTTTGGCAGAGTCGCTGAGGGAGTTCCTGTGACCGACAGATCGCCTGTTGCCCATCGGTAGATCGGTCTTTCTCCTAGAAAGGTGTTCTCGGCATAACTCGTCGCAGAATGTCCGAACGTGCTTCGAGACAAAGTTTGGAGCGATTTGTTCGAATCGGACGGGTTGATAGTGGTTCTGAATCCCATCAAGGTTTTCGAGCCCAAAGTTAGGAAAGCCCGAGAGGCTCAAGGTTAGGGGCGCGGTGCCCTGGGTCTTGCCTATCGACTGCCCGCCGCTGAATGTGTGTCCGTTTCCGCTCATGTTCGTTGCGTAGGCTAGTGTCGAGCCACCACGGCGAGTGACTTCATAAATGGGTTCGTGAGATTCAAAGAGCGATGGGCTGGAATGGGAGGTGTATATAGGAGGGGGCGGGGAGCAGATTGACACGGGCGATGTGTCGGTGAGAACGAAGCGATTGGCAGATACGGAAGACTAAACGGCTATCCTGCACGAGGGAAGCCGCCGAGGGAGCAGCGTGCAGAATATGGAGCAACAAATGGGGCGGCTGATGAAGCAGGTGATAGTGTTGAGGATGGAGCCGATCCGCGTAAGGCCGATAAATACGATGGATACGACGGATACGGATGGCGTGCGTGGGAGTATCGAAGGAACCGGTGAGAACGGCGGGATCCTGTCTCAAAGATGCGATTGCCACTGCTGCTTGCGTACCAGGCAAGAGCGATCCTGGGCTGGGGAAATTTAGAGTAGACGTCACTGACCAAACCCAAATCGCAGCCAACAAGAAGCCAGAGGTGATCCGAGCGTTGATTCGCACGGGCGATCGAGGTGTATTGGCAGCCCAGGGGTTCACGGCTGACTCGCTTGACTCTCGACAGCAAACGGCCGGCTTGGGCCACAAGATTGCTGATTGCCGACCAGCTCTGACCTTCGCAGGGGCCAAAACAAGCCCCCCCCCCAGCCAGAAAGACGAGGCTTGACGCCGCTACCCTCATGTCGTCCCCAAACACTCGACGCCAGCCGACGAACCAGGCCGTCGAGCTCTCGCCTGATGGTGCGGGCGCATCTGCCCAAGGCTCCCAAGGTGCAGCCGCAGAGTGGAGACCGCCGCTCCAGAGACACACTCTACCTGGCGGCGTCATCGCCTTTGTCACCGTGCGAGTACGGATTATGGACGGCGACAGCGAACATGACTATATCACCAAGTTCCCAGGGGGTAAGTGCAGGGGTGGCGATATCGCGTCGGAATCTGCATCTGGCGGTCCCCTGAGAGGCCGAGCCGGGTCTGGTACGAATGCACGTCTATGGCAAGCACATCCGCGTCGACTTGGCCTGGTCTTCCACAGCGGCGGATGCGAGTCCGATGCCGTCTGTGCTGACTTTCCACCGACCATCATCATTGCCTTTGGGCACTTCCACGACGCCTGAGCAAGACCAAACCCTCTACGTGCAGATGATATTGGATGCCGTCGCCGCCCGAGTGAACATATCTCCGGAAAACAAGTCGCTTTTCGGACTGTGGGTAGTCGGCCGCGATTTAGGTGAGCGATTTCACTCCAATACCGGAGAGTCGATATGGCGAGCCCTCCCCCCGTGAGCAGACTCGCTCCCGAAGAATCAGCCATTCGCCGTGCAACCTCAGATTAATGATGGACTGGAACGAAATCCCGCATCGAACAGAGCTACAGCTCCGCCCCAAGATGGACATATTTGAACTGATGTTCCGGTGGACGATGTGGTACGCCGATTGGCGGCTTGGTCAAAGCCTATTCTGTCTGAAACCCCTGATCGCTGATGGTCGCGTTTCGAATCTGTTGCCTTGGCCAGGACGGAGAAATACACACACTACCCGGAATGTGGCGTCCCGCAGCATCCGATCAATCGTCACTGGTTTGTCTATCGACGAGAGATCAGCATCACCAAGCAGATCGAGTCGACTGTGACGGAGGAAGCGTGTATTCGACTACTCTATGGCGAGGTAGGATGTCTGTGGGGGCGCAAGATCGTATAGGAGCAAGATCACACGGGGCCAAGATCACACGGGAGCCTATTTATCCAAGCGTAGCAAGAGCAGTGGGTTTCTGTTCTGTCTCATTGTCAAGAATTGCTGTCGAGTGACATGTTGCTCAACTAACTCGGCCAACAAGTCTTGATACCGGAAATCACTGACGGGTGCATATCGCTGGTCTCGTAACTGCTGCTTCCGGCCGTCAATAGGCTAAACGGAACGTCCTGACAGGCCGATTCCCGTGCACCGTGCAAGAGGCAATCCAGTTGGCCGGTATCCAGCTACAGATTATGCAGGGCGACTCTGATCCTGAGCGCCACCCGTATGGATATCTGACGTAGGTCATCGCCGGCTGCGAACAGCGCATAAACTTGCAACGAGCACGGCATAAACTCGCAACGAGCAAGCGGCACCAGATGCACACCGACACGTTGACCACTCTCTCGATGATATCGCTTGCTCCTACAAAAGCCAAAATGACACTTGGAAGCAAATCATTCCGTTCCAACATCACCGAGCCATGGGCCACTCCAAGTGGGAGGCGCATATCGGCACCGAATACGCCAAGCACAAAGGAAACTCCGTCATGGATGGCCAGCTCAAGTAAGCACAGCAGATACTCTGGTAGCAGCAGATTGCAGTCGGCTGTGGGAACACTGAATCAAGGGCGACTTTGCCAGCGACCTTCATGGGCAGTTGCTGGAGCGTCACTAAATTGCTCGAGTCTATTCTAACGACATCCGCCATGCCCCCCTGCTGATGGGACCCGCTCAGGTACTTGGCAGTGGTGCGCAAATGGCCGGCATACGGCTGTGCGTTCTTCCCGGTTTCCCAGGAAGTACCACCGTTTGGCTTTTTCGAGTTCCGAATCCAGAGATGGCTCATTGGGATATCGTCTGAGCATCTGGTCGTCATTGACAAGGACAAATCGGTATGATCTGCATCCGCCTGTCCACACCAGCGTCTGCCGAGGTCATTTGTGAAAACAGGCCGCTTCCACGAGAAGGAGCACTCCTGGAATACTCACGGATTTGTATTTCTTCTGGGTTGGCCAGAAATATGTCCTGGTCGAGTCCGTCAACGACCTCAAATGGAAATACTCTCCTGACACAGTGGTTTTCCACTACATGCGAGATGGCACTGTGCATCAACTTCGGGTGGTGTCCCCGCAATCCGCTCTCGTCCACAACGTGGCCCTCAGGATGAAGTACCTCCACAAGAAACGCGAGATCGGGATGGTCTCAGCGATTTCTGGAGAGCCCGCGAGTGCTCGGGCTCCTTCTGCAGTAGCATCGACGTCTATGGGTATGCCTATGCCTATGCCTATGCCGATGGCGACTCCAAGACAGGCCGCGGCGCCAGCATCCGAAACCACTCCAAAGTTCGTTGCCATCTACGAAGCCGCAAAGACTGCCGTGCCTCCCTCGCCGCAGCCCGATTCCAATCGATCGGCCCGAAACGCATACCCCATGTCACCTGTACCTGCACCTCCGCCGCTCTATACTACTGGCGAGCGACCCGGCCATGAGCGGTCGCCGACGGCACCGTCGACCCTGGATCGCACGCCAACCACACCGAGTGCTCTTCCGCCAGACGAGTTTGTCAGCTCGCCGTATGTGGCCACGAGACGCAAGGCCAAGGCCAAATCAATGACTCCCGCTAATGCCCAGCCTTCAGAAACAGCGCTGCCGCTGCTGCCGTCGGAGACCTCGAGCAGCTTCCTCTTGGACGGCCCTCTCAGGGCCGAGGCTGGCACTGCTCCGCATTCGCCGCAAGTGCCAAGGAGTAGCAACAACCGGCCGCTCTCAATTGAATCCGGCAGCTCCTCCGCCGACGAAGTCGACCCCTTTGCGCCAGCGCGACCGGATGATCGGCAAGGCTCTGGTCAAGCAGGCCAGCTGGGAATCCCATCGACAGGCCCACAGGGCCGCAGCCGAGCACGCTCCATCGGCGAGCCGCACAAACTGAGTCTCCTGACCTCATCACCGGCTGTGAGCCGATCGCCATCCATTCGACGACCCGGAGCTCTTATCTCGGCAGCATTCAAGCAGCCTTCTTTCCGACGAGCCAATCAGGACGAGCTCGAGTTCACCATGATGGGACCAGTCAGCCAGATCGACGACGGCCAAGACCATCCGATGTGAGCGTGTTCGATTGTGGCCAAGGGAGCCGGTGCCAGGCAACGGGAACATGGGATAGCCATTTACCAGCCAGCCAAGCTGGGCCCAGTGGATTGGGCCTTTTCGGCTGTCTGTGTGAGCAGCTGCGGTTTACAATATCGAGGGTGGGTGTGAGTAGCAGACGCAATAAACGCTACGAGCGATAATACTGCCACAGCATCGACTGTACGGATATCCAAAGCCTCAAGAATCGTGGAAATGCATGTGTATTGTGGTCGGTGCGACGTGTGCAGCTCCAGATGAGGAGGAGAGCAACGTGGGGAGGAGCGGTATACCGATGCTGCCACGATGCTGCCACGATGCTGCCACGATGCTGCCACGATGCTGCCACGATGCTGCCACGATGGCATGGAGGGCCATAGGATTGGGGAGCGGCGTATGATTCCGCCTGCTTGCAGCGACAGAGCACAGCTCAAAGTGCGGTCTCATCACAGACCATGGATGCCCTGAAGCGATCCGATGATGTTTCCGAGCTTCTTGTATCCAGACGGAGCCTTAACCCGCTTCGGGATCTCGTTCACAAGGTCGACCTTGAGGAGCTCGCGGATCTTGAGGATCGCACCGGCCGATCGCGGACCCACCCGGAGCCAGACGACGTGGTGCCGATGTCGCAGACCCAGCGCACGAACAAAGTCCCGAGTTTTCTTGGAGAGGCCGATGAGACCTCGCTCGAGGGAGACCTGGTAGTACTTGTAGTTGTAGTGGCCGATGTCGGTAATGGGTTCTGGGTTCTGGTGCGCGAGCTCCTCGGCGGCATACTTGAAGCTGGTCGGCAGGGGTGCTCCGCGGATCTCGGCGAGCGTTCGCTTCGGCAGGCGCCTCTGCTCAAGCCGCTCTTCGGGCGTGCGCTGTCTCGGAGGCGGGTAGAAGGGGTACTGGATCTTTTCGGACGTGGGACGCAGGAGCTGGTCCTCGCTGGGGATGCGGGGCTGGAGATTCAGGTGCTTGACGTTGCGGGGCAGTTGGCAGGCCGTGGAGACCGAGAAGGACCGGCTCTGAACCTGGCGAAGGCACGATCGGAATGCTGAACCGGCAGACTGCATTGTGGCTGCTCGGTAGTGTCCCTGGGGCGGCGAATCGTTCGACGAGAGCGTACCGGAGCCAGTTGGATGACCACGACCAGAAGAAAAAGCAAAAGGTGAGAGACCGATCGGTCATGGCGAAAAAAGAGCTCTGTGCAGCGGACTGGGTGGCTGCGCATATGAATTTTTCATTGCGCGAAGCCAGGACGGCTGGTGATGCCAGAGCGGCAATAGTCACACAAGCATTCGATCCTCTGGGCTGATTGGCGGCTAGCACAACACACTGAGGTTGTGGCGATCGGCGATCGGCGATCAGCGTCGGGAAGTATGGGAGCGGTGAGTGTTGAGGACAAGAACCCTGACTCGAGATGTGTTATACAATATATTTACAGGGGAAACGCATCCCGCGACGGAGGATGCCACGCGGACTGAGACAGAACACAGAGCGAGCTGGTTGGATGATACCGATGGCTCTCTTTATTCAAAAGATACATCACAGCGGGGGCCGCTGCTTACTCGTCCTGAGCCTGGGGAACAATCTTCTCGCCGGCCTTCTTGAGGCGGAGAGCAGTCTTGTGCTGGGACTTGGTTCCCATGATACCACCACCCCAGTGACGGCGAGCATCCTCGAACTTGTCGTTGAAGTTGGTCTTGACGGCGCTGACGACGGCGGCAAGGTCCTGCTTGTCCTCGGGGCGGACATCGACAATGGCCAGAGCAGTGGCGGTCTTCTTGTGGACGACGGTGCCGAGTCTGGACTTGGACTTGACGATGGCGTACGGGACACCCATCTTGCGGCAGAGGGCGGGGAGCCAGATGACGATCTCAATGGGGTCGACGTCGTCGGCAATGACAACGAGCGAGGCCTTCTTGGACTCGACAAGGGCGGTGATGTGGTTGATGCCGTACTTGACAAAGACGGGCTTCTTGCCCTGGTCGACCTTGTTACCGTTGGCAGCAGCCTCGGCAGCGGCAGTCAGACGAACCTTCTTCTCCTGCTTGGTCTCGGGGCGGTACTTGTTGAGGAGCTTGAACAGCTGGGTGGCTGTAGGGGGGTGCTGCGTTAGGATGGCGCTGGGTACAGCATGCGCAGGGAGCAAGGGAGATATCATCCCATCTGACATTGTGCAGCCGGTGGTGCTTACCAGTGTTCTTGTCAGCAGTCTTGGAGAACTGGTTGATGGCAGGGGGGACCTTGAGACGCTGGCGGAGAACGGCCTTTTGGCGCTGCAGGCGGACGTACTCGGGCCACTTGACGAAGCGCGAGAGGTTGCGGACGGGCTGGATGTCCTGGCCGATGACGAAGCTGCGGGGCTTCTTCTCAATGAGAGGGCTCTTGGCGGCCTTGGCAGCCTTGGGCTTGGTGCCATAGGGAGCGGGGGCAACCTTCTTGGTGGTAGTCTTGGCCTTGGGCTGTATAGAGCACACGAGGGGGACGCAACCAGATGTGCAGGCAGGCAGTTGCAGATGAGTGGGCCAGGTCCATGTCATTGGAGTTGTCGGTGCCAGTGCGCAAGCAGAGGCATCGCCAGAGCTCCTACGGCCCGCACAGAGGTCGGGAAAGGTCGGCCACCCTCGTTGCTTGCCGCATGCAGGCGTACGGCGTTGGTCTGGAACACGGTGACGAGGCAAGTGCTGCCTGTCTGTCCACCTCCAAACCAGCGCCGGATCACACCGCAATGGAGATCAACCGAGGGTGTCTTGAGTGCCCCACGCAGCCAGTCGACTGCACCTGACGCAGATACGCTCGCAGCGATCGCTGGCCGTACCCAGACTGGTGCAGCCGAGACTGCGCAGAGTTGCATCAAGACTCTCTTGTCGCAGCGACACACATGGTCGTCTGCAGAGAGGCCAGGCAGCGACAGCGAGCGACGAGGCTGCTTGTCGTGTCTGCCATACAGCCGAAAATCGGCAGCAGTGTGCCCCAAGAGCCGCAGACTCAGTCTGTAGCGCAGACGAGCCGTGGGCGAGTCCAGCGTGCATCGCAGACAATCCGTTGCAGGCGTCGGCTTACCATGGTGATGTGGCTTCACTCGGAGTCGGTGTCCAAGATCGAAGAGAGGAGAGAGGGAGATGCAAACAGGCGTCAGTCGCCACTTGCCTTTTATTCACGGCCCGTCTGCGTGAAAAAAAGCGCGTGTGGCACAGGCGCTTAGTCAACGTGGCGCAGTCCGTGACGTCAGCACTGTGGCAGTCCAGACCAGGAGCGATCCCGTCACACCCTTGCACCACCAGGTCGGCCCGATCTCGCATCTCACCCACATCTCACCCGCCGATCGCCCGCTGATCGCATCGATCCGGTCGCAGCAAGCCCGCTCAGCATCCCAGGTCTCCCTGTCCGCCATGGAGCTCTGTCGGATCTGGACCACCCCCGACGAGCTCCAGCGTTATCTCGTCAAGGAGGTGCCCGCCTTTATTGCCACGATCGAGACTCGGATCACCCCGCTGGTGCCTGAACTTCCGTCGCTGTTTCTGGACCATGTCTGCCTGCGCACCTCAACACCACAAGAGTATACCAGGCTCGTCTGGGACCTGCTGCCTCCCATCGCCACTCTGCTGGTCGAATCCATCGTCGGGGGACGCAGCATTGCCACCTTCAAGCTGAAGACTGCCATCTTGGCTGGCGAGCGGCTTGTCGATGTCATCGAGATCCCAGCGCCAAAGGCCGGGTCCGCATATTCCTCTGGCCTTGAACACGCCGAGTTTGTGGTTCCAGGCAGCTTGGACGACTTTGTGCATTCACGCCATCCCGATCTGGTCTGGGACCTTGGCGGATACCGCAAGACATTCAACCGCGAGGCTCGACTTGCCATCGGGGCTGCAGACGGGCGGGCTGCATTTTCGGTCAAGTTTCATGAGATGCCCCTGGAAACGGTCATCGAGATCGAGAAGCGCCAAGGACCACCCTGAACAGACGAATCTATTTGGCTTGCGACAGGGTGATACCGAGTCAGCGATCGGGCCCGCCCACACTCGCGCTCGGTTCACTCGGCTCACTCGGCTCATTCGGCTCACTCGGTCGTTGCCTCTCCCATCACATCATGCATCCATATCGCCCCATGGGTTGGCAGATCCGCCCCCCTCCCCCTCAATCTGTCGACAGTTTTGACGGGCATCCATCGCCACTGCTCGTGCTCAGCTCACAGTTTCGCTTTTGCGGATCAGCGCTGCCCGGCAGAGGCGGCGTATCGGACTCGGACATAATCTAGTGTTGTATCACCAACTTTTTAGTTTCGCCAGCGGTATGCAACCCCGCGATGGCAATTCATTGCTGGCGGTTCATCGAATCTGGTCGCGGCGCATGTTCAATTCGAGAAAGCCTGCGATTTGGTAATCCACGCGTCGTGGCAGTGGACCAGCTCCGGAATGATCTTCATCTCGATCTCTTGCTCCTGCTTCAGCTCCTCATCGCTCATGACAATGTCCAGGGGCCCAGGTGCGTCTTCGGGCCGGAAGAACAGCGTAACGATCCGCTTGCGAGTCGTAAGGATGTTTCCGATGACGACCTGGTGACCATACGTGTTGAGCGACTTGGTGGCTTTTTCCGACAAGAGCGACGGGTCGGTTTCGAGCTATTTGGGAGAAGCAGAGCGATCGATCGATGCTGCATGTCAGAATCGATGCTTGGTGTGAAGGTCCCGTACGGCCGAACCGCGGAGCCAAGCGAGGCTCGCCAGCTTGTCGCCCCAGGCGAGCGAGCAAATCAGCGACCGATCCAAGCTGTGACATTGCATTCTGTCCCAAGCATATATGCAGGTCTTGCCTTGAACGAGATGATGAAGCCTTCCGGTGCCCACTCCTTCACGAGCGGTCTAATGATCTTGGGCACTTGCTCGAGCTCCAGAGATAGCCCGCCGCCGCTGGACTGGATCTTGTGCTCAACCTGGCCGGCCGGGAGAAACGTGGAATCAGTATCTTGAGCCGGCCCATCAGCGAAGCTGCGTGCACGTCTTGACTGCACGGGACTATGGGCTGATCGCACAGATGCCGGTACACACCATCTTGTTTTCCGGAATGAAAAAGTCACTGACGGCAGCGGCCAGGTAAAACATGGCGTTGTGTCGCAGCGGCGCCATGATACGGGTAATGGACCTCAGCCCAAACAGATACTCGCGCACGGTTGTAAAGTTGATCATCAGCAGCAGCGATTCCTCTTTGGCCTTGCGGTACTGCATCAGAACCTGCTTCATCTTGCTGGTGTACTTGTGGTTGACTGAAATCGGCACATGACATGGATATGCATCGGGGCACACGGGTGCGTCGCCGGATGGCGATGCATTCAGCGACACAGACAAATTGCACGAGAAAGAGAGTCCGCTCGGCGCGGATCAACGGTAAAATTCGGGGGTGAGCGCTGGCACACAGAGGCAAACACATTCGAGCGTCTGTCGTGGCCGACGCCAACATGCTCTCGACCCGACCGTGCCGCATACCAGTCAAATCCCCGCTTTCATTGACGTCCATAAAGTCCAGGAAACAATTCGTGGAGTGCGAGTAGTGGCGGCTGTAGGGCTGGAGACTGAACTGGCGGTGGAAAAAGATAACGGCGTATCCGGCCGCAAGGAAATATTCGGCCGAGGTTGCGCCTCGGGTTCCGGCGCTGAAGTTGTCCAGGAACCGCACCGTCTGGGTCTCCAGCGGGACCGTGGTTCCTCCAGACTGGGGTTGGGTTCCAAGAGGTCAGCGCCAAGACGGTGGGAGGGAAAGGAATTGCGTTGGTGCAGCCGGGAAACAAAAGCTGCTGGTTAGCTTGAGACGGCTCCGTGGCGGCCCGCTCCGCAGCAGAGCTCGCTGCTGGATATCGAGGCGAGCGCACGTCTTGGATGCTTGCTGCAGCCTCGCTGGCCGTTCTGGGGCGCCTGACTTTCAAATCGAGTCGCTGGCGGCGAGGCTCTGGCGAACTCATCCGCAGACACAGCCCAGCGATTCATTCTCCAGCCCCGCTGCTCATTCTCGAGCATGACCAGAGCAAACGCAAAGAGGCATATGAATAAAAGGACTCACGGTGACCAGGACAACTTTGCGGCCCGGGATCAGTCGATGGATCTGGATGAATTTGGCAACTTTATCCTCGAGGTCGCTCAGGGTCCTTGGCGGCGCGGTTTCCTCGAAGTACGAGTCTGGCTCGGCTGCGGGCAGCGTCATGAGGGCGCTGATTCTTCGGGACTCTTTTGTCATTGCGGCGAGGCTCGCAGTGCGGGAGGGCGATGGCCGAGAAAGTCGAGCGGCGGGGAGCGGGCGGGCCTCTTGCTGGTGTCTTGGGTGTCGGTCGCCAGGGCCTGTTTCTGCCCTTTGTCCTCTGCTTTCTGCCTCGGCCTTGTCCTCGAGCGCAATCGCCAACGGATGCTGCGCGATTGAGATGGCTGCGCATATGTCCAGCCGGATCGAGCCGCACTCCATCCGCTCGCAGCCGCCCTCAAAACCGCCGTCTGCGCCCGCTCTCCTCTCTTTCGCCTCAACCGCGAGGTGGCCGTCTGTCGGGAAGACATCCAAGGGTGGCCGGCGAGACCACGTCTCGACCCCCAGCCGGCCTCGTGCCGGAGAGAGCGTTCTGCCCTGTCCGTACTGCGAGAGCCCTTCCTGGTCTTCCCGGTCTCGTCCAGAGACAGGGTCGCCTCCAACAACAACGTGGTGCATAGTACGTCACAGTGTGCAGCGACTTCGTGGCTGTGGCGCCTCCCATATTCCACTACATTCCCGCTCGCCTCAGGCAGCCAACAGAGAGGGCGAGGGGAGCACCGGATCGGATCGGCCGGATCGGATTGTTCTTGATCTGCCACCTCTCAGGCATCAGAACAGCGACTCGGCAAGCAGGCCGGTGGCCGCCCGCTTTAGCCCTGCCACCGATCGTGCTCGAGCCACCCGAGATCCGCTGGTCCGCTGGTTTGCCCGGAGGCACGCTCGGGCTGCTGTCTTCCCGGATTGCAATAGGAGAGGTTGGTCTTTCAGGCGTCTATATTTGATTCACAGCGCTGGTGTTCTGAGGCGGGGATAGAGGGCTTTGCTGTACTGTCTGTCTTCGCGATCTGCGCCGAAGCGGTCCGGCTGCATAGACCCTTTGCGATCAGGGGGAGGGAATCGATGCGCCACGGAGTGGCGGCCCTGGGCAAGAAATGCCAGGGCATTATGAGTGAGTGGGCAAGTACAATGTGAGGCTTCTTGGTGAAGGTGGGGAGTGAGGCTGTCGCGGGGTTACTGCGAGGGATTATCGCGGCCTTGGCAAGCAAGACTCTATGAGAAAGGGATGTGGAGGCACTGTGAAGGCAGTCGGGCTTGTGCGAGAGAACAATGTAGCAGTGGACAGGATGGCTCTTCCCCCCAGGGGCAGGATCAGCAGCCGGCAGTCCCGTATTTATGGTTCCAGGCGTCGTAGGCTTGGATCGAGTCTGCGCCGACACTGCGGCGGATCGTGCCCAGGGCATTTTTGAAGTCAATGAGCTGGATCGGTCGGATATCTTGGATGCTGGTGGTGATGATGCGCTCGCCCAGCTCGCGAATCGGGCCGAGCGAGGCCTCGCGTGCAAGTGCGGTGATATCGCTGCCGGAATAGCCTGCAGCATGGGAGCCGTCAATACACAGGCCAGATACCTGCGTCGGTCCCTCCTCCTGCAGACGGCAGCACTGCAACTGCAGCACTCACCCTCGGTTGATTTGACAATCCACTCAATGTCCCTGATGCTCAGCTGGGTCTTGTGGCTGCCGATGAGATGCTCAAGAAGAGTCTTGCGGGTCACATCTTCGGGCAAGGGGATGTAGATCCGCTTGACGAGTCTACGCAGCGCAGCTTCGTCCAGCTCTGCGGGTCGGTTGGTGGCCCCAAGGACGAGCAGCCTGTCTTCGCTCGAGCTTCCGAGGCCATCGAACTGGAGGAGGAATTCGGTTTTGAGCCGTCTCGATGCTTCATGCTCGTTCTCGGTGCGCTCCGTCAGGATCGAGTCGATTTCGTCTGGAGAAGGATAATGTGTGAGTCGAACTGCGGTCACCGCGGTAAGGAAGCTACCCAGCAGTCAGGAGACTGTAGCGGCTCAGTCAGCACCGTCGGCACAATCGAAACGCAGCTGTCGTACCGATGAAGATCACCGATGGCTGCATCTCCCGGGCCAGAGCGAAGAGAGTGCGGACCATCTTCTCGCCTTCTCCAACCTACGGCGGAAGCAGCAGCAGCAACGCAAATGTCAGCCAGATGCAGCATGGAATCTCTCTATGCTATCACCCAACAAGTCCCACCAAAGTTCACCACAGCAAGGGCTTACATATTTGGATGTGAGCGACGAAGCACTGATGGCAAAAAAGGTCGCCTTGGACTCGTGAGCGACGGCCTTGGGTCGTGCAGCATTCAGAGGGCAGGAGTAGAATGTGGTGGCAATCAGCCGAATTGTTGGCTGGCACTCAGGGCAATTGTCATCGGTCTGTCGCTTGGCCAGCGTGATGCACCGATTCCCTTGCGACAATGCCTTACCTTTGCGAGCATGGTCTTGCCAGTGCCCGGCGGGCCAAAGAGCAGGACGCCACGGGCTGGAGACCGCAGGCCGGTGAAGAGCTCAGGCCGCAGAGTCGGCAGAATGACAATCTCGCGCAGCGCCTGCTTGGCGACGGACAGACCGACAATGTCGTCCCATTTGACCGAGGGGCTCTTGACGACGACATCGTCGAGGATGTGGTTGGCCATTGCGCTGTCGAGCGACTTGAGGGCCGGGTTGCTGGCTGGCGTTTTGAGTCCGGGGCTCGATCGAGACTTGCGCAGGGTGCTTGGGGAGCTGCCCTGCACCCTGGTCTTTGGGATGCTCTTGGGTGGGTGTCCGAGCGGCGGTGGCGGCGGCGGGATAGGGTCGGCTGGGGGGGGGTGGAAGCAGCCGCCGACAAGCAGCAAGAAGATCGAGGAACGGCCAAAGCGCATAAGTCGGACGCAGAATGGGCATGTTCAGACAAACAGCGAGCTTTGCCAGAGGGAAGGAGACGGCGGCGGGCTTACCCTTGTACTTTGAATTGAGCCAGAGGATGCGCTCCTCGACGAACGAGATGTTTTTTCGGATCTTGACCGTCAGCTGGGCGGCTCGGTCTCTGCGGGAGCCATTGGAGGAGAGACGCAGGGGCCGGAGGAGTGAGGGGATATTGACAGACTCGACGGCGGACCAGCGATCGGACGACCACAGCCGGCCAAGCAGGAGCACGCCGGAGCAGCAACATGATATATCCGAGTAGAAGAAACATGCTCGAGGGGGGGGGCGGCCGATAGGACAGCGGCGGGGCGACATACCTTTCCTCCTGCGTTGAAAACGTCATGGTGGTTGCGCTCTTGAGGAGAGACAGGCCCTTCTTGTAGAGGGACAGGGCACCCAGCGGGTCGTTGGCTTCTTCGCGGTCGATGGCATTCGAGACGACTTTGCCGCCCTGGTCGGCAAGCGACCGCTGCTGCTTGAGCGACATGGTGAGTTGGGCGCCGGGAGTTGCAGGACGGATGATTTCGAGGTGGCCGGGGGGTGGGTGCGATGGGGCGTCCGAGAACGAAGTGTCAAAGACCGATGGCGCCAAGGTCTCTTCAGAGGACGACGACGACAACGACGCCCAGTCCGGCCGCTGCTTAGCGCGGGCTGACGAACAGCTGGTGCCGGCCGACCCCGACCCCGTCCGCCGGACGGTTGGGCGAGCGCTCTTGCTACGACTCCGGCCCTCGGGCTCGCCCTGGGTGGGTGGTGGTCGCTGGCCTCGTCGAGGAGATGCCGAGCGACCCCGCGAATGCGAGCGGCCCGACGACACCGGGGTTGGCGACGAGAGAGGCACTTTTTTGCCAGATGCCTTCTCACCGGCCTGAGCTGACGACCCAGAGGGAGTCCGGCTGTCCTCGGCACCAGGCCCAGCCAGCGACCTGCCCTTCGACCGACTCGATCGGGGAGACGAGCGAAGCAGCCAGGTGCTGTACATCCAGATCAGCATGATCAGAGCAGGCAGAAGCACATGGAGATAGAGATTGCTGCCGGCTGCAGCAGGAGGCTGCGTGGCTGCGTTGCTGGGGCGCCAGCCCAGCCAGGGGACCCAGCCAAAGAACAGCGACGGGGCGGCTGCGGGCATGGTCGGTGTCGGCGGCGGTGGTGGTGGTGCCGGCGGCGGCGAGGAGAACCAGCGGGCACAGGTCTGCGGAGAAGCGAGATAACGAATACAGAGCCGATAGGCTGCGTGGGGGTCTGCGCTCTTGGTTGACATGACGGCAGTCCGGAGGTGGGGTATCGATTAGCAGAGGAGTTTGGGACGCTTGCTGAGTGAGCCCTGATGTTTGGTTGATCGGTCGGTGTCCGGCAGTTGGCAAGACAGGACAGGGCAGAGAAAAGAACTAGAGGAGAGGGGGCCTCAACAGGATATCCGTTGCAGCATGGGATTGCAGCGACGGACGGTGCGGATGCCAAAGCGCCGAGGCGACGAGATGATATCGAGGGCCGTATTGGCGAGGCGTATCGGCGAGGCGTGGTGGGTGCGGCTGGGAACTGCAGGGCGAGAAGCGCAAGCAGATCCTCGGCCAGGGCCGGCAGCGACGGGAGCAAAAAGAAGAGGCAGAGGGCAGTCCGGGCAGGAGACGACGGAGGCAAGTCGGGGCGGGGCTTGGTCGGCCGGCTGCGATGGATGCGCAAGGACGTGCAAGATGTGCGTTTGTGGGTGTCGGCGCCGATGAGGGCGAGCACGAGTTGGCGAAGGGCAATGGCACGAAGCGCAGTGGTGCAACAACGACACCGTTACAGGCGATCCAATAAAAAACGGGACACCCAGGTTTTTGACCATTCATCGAATATTTTGTTACCCAATGTTATCGCGCGCTGGCCATGACCATTCGCCACACAACCACTCTCCAGAGGAAAGTATCACTCTCACTCTGCCACACTGCCATCCACCGAGCAGGTCTCTCACACAAGAGGGCAACACACCTCTACAAGTCCAAGCGACTGGATGAGCGAGTGGCACAGTTCAGGGACCAGGTCCGCTCCATCGACCCGCGGCGATTCGTTTTTGTCGATGAGACAGGGATCAGGAGATCCATTTTCCCTCTCTACGGATACTCACCGAAGGGTGCTCCGCTTCGCCAGCGCAATCACATGAAGCACAAGTCTGTCTCGGCTGCATTTGCCATCAACCACTCTGGTGTGCTGCATCGCATGTACATCCCCACATCATTCAAGACACACTCGATGGTCGAGTTCTTTGAGCGAGCGACCTTCCCAGACGACTCTGTGATTGTGATGGACAATGTCAGCATGCACAAGACAATGGCTGTCCTGGACTGCATCGAGCGCCGAGGATGGTCAGTGATCTTCACCCCACCTGCTTCACCCGACTTCAATCCCATCGAGAACTTCTTTGGGGTTGAGTCCCCACCGATTTGGGGTTGAGTTCCTCCAATTTGGGGTTGTCCCTCCAATCAAGCCGCCATTTTCGCGTTCACATCCCTGGCTTGAACCTCTCGGCGATTTTTGAACAGGGTCACTTCCCCAACCAACCCGCAAAGACGGGCTCCTGCTCTCGGGTATAAATGCCACACCTTCGTCCTGCTGCTTTCTTCCCTCATCTCGCCTTGATCTGATCATCGCGCCATTGTACGATAAAGAAGCGTCTCTGCTCTGACCAGTACCACTGGCAGGCATCCAGCATCCTCTGCCCCCATGCCTCCGAAGCGCAAGGGTACCGGTGATGGCCAGCCTCGGCCACCCAGGCCCAAGAAAGCCAAGTCACAGTCGGAGCCTGTCTCTGGTTCGTATTCTGACCCCACACATGCTTGGTCGTCTGTTGCTCCGTCGCTCACCACCACTGCTTCTGCAGATCCAATGGATGTCGATCCCACCGAGCCTGGTCCATCTACTTCCTCGAGTACCAGCAAGCGATGTCCCAAGTGCGATGGCACCGATCACGAACGTTGCAACACCAGCAAATGTCCCAAATACCGGCCCCTCAAGAGCTCTGTCGTCCCACTCGTGGATGGAAGGTCATCCGCCCCTCAGTTCAGCTGCTTCAAGCAGACGATGGATGGCTGTTGTCTCAATCCCGCTCTCCGCGACAAGATCCAGGCCACCGTCGAGGCCATGACCCAGATCCAGTTCGAGGCATCCAGGCTGCTCAACCTGCACATCCTCCGGTGCATCGAGCAGGATCTTCCCGTCCCCGTCATCTCCAAGTCCACCCCTGCTTTCATCCGCCAATGCTTCAAGATCGTCCAGGACGGTGCCCTCTCCCCGACCGGGGACAACGAGAAATACAACGAGCATCTGGTCGCTTCCTTTCGCGACTACCAGACCACTCGGCACGCAGACCTGCCTCCGGCCCCTCGTCTGCCTGATGGTGCTCACAGTCAGCTTCTCACACTGGCTGTCAATGCCTATGCCACCAACTGCACCACCCACCTCGACCTGGCCTACTGGCGACTCCTTCGCCGCTTCTGCGCTGCCGTCTTCCCAGCCAACAAGCATAAGCACGAAGCCATCGAGGCCTGTCTCGAGCTCTTCGAGAAACCAGGGCAGACTCCACCCAAGGCCGATCTCGAGTTCCTCTATCCCGAGTTTGGTCACGTCCTGGACGAGTTTCGGTACAGCAACGACCAGGACCGCTTCCGGGCCCTCCATCGCCTCTCACACCATGTGGGAATCCTCGCCCGGGACAAGATGGTCGACAATGTCCACAAGTGGATCGACTGTGACATGCCCGCCCTCCGAGTCACCGAGCTGCAGCGCCAGGCCAAGCTGGACGAGCTCACTGCCCGAGGCATTCCCTCCGACGACAAGAGGTTCACCACGGCCAAGTCTGAGCTCGGCACCACCAAGTCCAAGATCAACAAGCTGGCATCCAGGATCAAGTGGGCACTGAAGCAGCTCGCTCTCGACACTCCTCCGGCCGTGTGCACGATAGTTCCTCTGTGCACTGCCACGGCCAAGTATGTCAAGATTGACACGGTCACTCTCTGGGATCTCCTGGGTCCAAGAAGCGCCTTGGACTCACCTGGGACATGCTCAAGGAAGAAGGTGAGGACGGTGTCAACAACCAGGATCGTCTCTGGCGCAGTTGCTTCAAGCTGCGTAGTTCCCTCTTCCAAGAGCGGGACGTGAACAAGGAGCTGTTCAACTACGAGATCAGCACCGATGGCATTGGATGCACCATCGGTCTCGTCAAGTTTCTGCCTCGAACCGATCACACCGAGACCATCGAGCCTCCTCCGACTGCCGAGCAGCGTATCCAGGCCCACATTGGCGACCCAGACCCCGACCGCACCACTTGGATTGGCATCGATCCTGGAGTCGGCTCCATCTTCACGGCGGTCATCCAAGCACCGGGCCACCAAGACGAGGTGGTCCCATTCTCCAATGGTCACTACCAGCACATGTGTGGCCATACGTCCAACACCAAGTGGCACAATATCATGAAGTATCGACTCGATATCGAGACCTGGATGTCGACCACCCCCTCGCCCAAGGTGTCATCCTCGGAGGCCTTCAAGGTCCATCTCACCCATGTCCTGCGACCGGAGCTGCGAGTGCAGCTCGACTTCCACCTTGGCAAGAAGGCCCGTCACCATCGCTTCACGGGCCACAAGAGACGCCAAGTGGCCGTCGACAGGATGTGCAAGGCCGTCCTGAAGCACGCCCCGATACGGACCGATGTGGTGATCGCCTTTGGCAATGCGTCATGGCGTCAAGGCAAGGGCTATGCATCCAGCCCTCGGAGGCAGCGGTTTGCTCGGTACTTTGAGCAATTCGAGCACCACCGCCGCCGTCCCACTCACCCTCACGGAAGCGTCAAGGTGGCCTCGACGAACGAGTTCAACACCTCGCAAGTGTGCTCCAAGTGCCTGGAGCCAGTTCGGTTGGAAGGACTCGATGCGCCCAGTGTTGCGAATTCCCACTTTGTCAGGAGCTGCAAGAATCCCAGCTGCCGGACAGTGTGGAATCGCGACGTCAATGCGGCGCGCAACATGATCACAGTATGCAGGTCGATTGTGGAGATCGGAGAGCGACCGGCGGTCTTCACTCGGAGGCTGCCAAAGTGATCTGTTTTATTTCTTGTGGCTTTGCTTGACGCAAGCACAGCACATACTACATGTTCATGGAAACGGCTATATTGTCCCGTTTTTTTCTGAATAAAGTGTACAGCGGGGCGAGAACATCAACTGTTCAACTGTTCAACTGTTGCCAGCCGCTGGAAAGTACAGCGTGTTGAGATCAGATGTCGACTGTTGAAGTGCTGTCTCCGCTGCTGAAGCGCAATATCCGCTCCCGAGACACGATATTCGCTCTCCGGGCACGATATTCGCTGTTGACACATGGCAGCAGCTGTCACTCGGTGCTCCGTGGTGGTCGCACTGTGATTCCAGCTGAATCACATCGCTGGTGTCGGGCAGCCCGTACACCCCGGCTCCATCATGCGGGCAAGTGGATCGTTCGCGGGGTACGGCGCTCGCGCGGGTCGCTGTTCAGATGCATTGTGCAGTCCAACCGGGGCTCGTATTCAGCATCTCAGCAGCACGGCTGCCTGCTCGTTACTCGCTACCCGTCACTTGTCACTGGCCTCGCTCGCTCGCTGCTCGCTTCAGCAGCTCAAACGACTGCTCGCCCGTCTCCTTGCACATCTTCCAGAACCAGCCGTGGCCCTCGATCGCCAGCAGCTCGCGCGGGCTGCCGTACTCCACCACCCGTCCTTCGTCCAGAACCAGGATCCGGTCGTAGTCGATGATGGTGTTGAGCCGGTGCGCGATCGTAAAGACCGTCGAGTCCTTGAAGATGGTCCGGACGCTGTCCTGGATCAGCCGGTCCGTCTGCATGTCGACCGCCGAGGTGGCCTCGTCCATGACAATGATCTTGCTGGCCCGGAGCAGCGCGCGAGCCAGGCAAATGAGCTGCCGCTCGCCAAAGCTCCAGTTGGATCCGTTCTCGGAGATGTGGGTCTCGAGGTCGGATCCCACCCGGGTCTTGAGCGAGACGAGCTCGAGGGCCGACCAGATCTCGGCGTCGGTGTACTTGTTGAAGGGGTCCAGGTTGAATCGGACGGTGCCGTTGAAGCAGAAGGGCTCCTGCGGGATGATCGAGATGGACGAGCGCAGATCCGCCAGTCCCAGGGCACTCGTCGACACGCCGTCGACCATGATGGAGTTCTCGGGGGTTGGCTCCACCAGGCGGAAGAGTGCCTGGATGATGGACGATTTCTGGAGAGGGAACCGCGGGAGCGTTGCCGATATTGTCAGTGTCGTTGGCGGTGTGCTGGCCGCAAGTACCCAGCATCGGACTGGTCGGAACCACACCGACCCACCACACCGACCCACCGCACCAGCACCATCGTCACTCGTGCATGTGCCCTGCTTACCCCAGCTCCAGTACGGCCAACCACGCCGATCTTGGTGCCGCCCTGGATGTCGACGCTGATCGCCTTCAGTGCGTCCCACGAGCTTCCGGGATATCGCAGTGTCATATCCTTCATAGCAACGTTGCCCTTGCTGGGCCAACCTTTCTCGGGGCGCACATGGGTGTACTCGGCCGCCTCCGGGGCCAGGCGGGTGTACTCGAGGATGCGCTCGCAGCTGATCATCAGGTTCTCGACCTCGGTGCTCTGTCGGATCGTCCATTGCGAACAGCCGGCCAGCTGCAGGGCATAGCTCAGGATCAGACCGACCGTGCCCCCAGACAGACCCAGGCTCGACTTGAGGACGACACACAGGAGGCCAAGCACAAAGATGAATGCCGATGCAGACATGTCCAGGCGAATGCCGAGCCATCTCCCCGACGAGAGATAGGCAAAGAACCTGGAGAGCGCAGCGATCCCGTCGGCAACATTAGCAAGCGGCACTTCATCCCACCCAGCCACCATCGGCCCTCACTCTACTTTCACCCTCACTCGATTCCGACTCTGCTGTCCCTGAAGAATTCTCACGCCAGCCACGCTCTCTCAGGCAAACGGCGCGCAACCTACAGTCGTGTGTTGTCGTTCTGCAGCTTGATGAACTCGTTGAGGAACATGGACTGTCGGCCATAGGCTCGGACGAGGGCCAGTCCGTCCAGCGAGGTTGTGATGAACGAGTACACGGGCGACCGCGACACATTCTCCATGCGCTTGATCTGCCGGGCAGTCAGCAGGTAGAAGCGCTGGATTCGCACAAAGCCGTAGACGATCGGCGGGATGAACAGCAGCAGATACGGGATCGTGCCGGTGACACCCAGCGTGCCCAGGATAATGAATGCGAACTGGGTAAAGTCAAAGAACGTCATCGGCAGGTTGTCGTCCATCAGGTTGATGTCCTTGGCGAAGCGGCTGCGGATAAGCAGAAGCACGATGACAGCAGAGACAGACGTGCATGTTAGTCGATGGACAATCCGTCAGAAAGCCAGTGCTCGGCACAGTGTGTCCCGCAGAGTCGAAAATGGTCGCCGAGGCGGTCGATGGATCGCTGACTGCCGTCCTTGAATCGCAAGAGTGGAACTGTGGTGTACACCACTACGCGGAGCCTACTACCAAACCGGGAACACACCCAGAACCCCGTGGGTCAAGCATCGGGATACCTACTTCATGATTCGGCCGTGCGGGTTGTTCTGGAAGAATGTCATTGGTGCTCGGAGCACAGCGTTGAGCATCTTCTTGAAGAGACCCCTCGAGGCGTTCAGGCAGATCCAGTAGAACAGCAGGGCTCGCGACAGGGCCAGCACCAGGACGCATCCCGCAAGGCCGACGTAAATGTACAGGTTCTGGGGGTTGCGCTGGTCCGTGAACGTCTCGGAGGACCAGCGGGACAGCCACCAGTCCGTCATCAGACTGCACACCTGGGCCAGCACCACCAGGACGATGCACACAACCGTCCAGGAAACGCCTCCGCCGGTGCGGAAGTAGTCGACATAGACCTGGGTTGAGAGCGTACCCTGCTCACTCTGCTCGGCCGCCAGCTCCTTCTTCTGGAAGTTCATCTCGGGCACCTCGTCTTCGATCACGAGAACCTCATCGGCCGCGCTGGCGCCTTGGTCTTGGGCTGCTGTCTGTTGGATGTTGGATGCCGCAGCCTCAAAGTCCTGAAGCACCTTGGCAAAGACCGAGTCGGGTGCTTGGCAGACCTCCCGATAGCTTCCAAAGCCGGCGACTCTGCCGCGCTCGAGCAAGATGACACGGTCACAGTGACTGACAAACTGGAGCTGGTGCGTGGCCAGGAAGATCGTCTTGCCCTTGAGTACGCCACGGATGCATTCGTTGAATAGATGTCTGGGTGGGGGGCACGATAGCGAGAAAATGGTCTGTATGAGAAACTCGAGCAGCATACGCCCTAGTGCCCAGGCTCCACGATGGACAATATCGACGACACAGACATCACAGCGACCTCTATCGGTACAAGCATTCATGCGACTGCTATCGATAAGCATCCATGGCGACCCCGACCGTCATCGATAGCAGCGCGGACGCTCATTCGCTCGGGACAATGCAGCCGATACTGTGCTCAGACACATACCTTCCGACCCGGGCATCGACAGCACTCAGAGGATCGTCCAGGAAGATAATGTCGGCGTCGGCGTAGACCGCACGGGCCAGTGCAATGCGGGCTCGCTGGCCACCCGACAGAGTCACGCCTCGTTCGCCGACCACAGTCTCCTCGCCTTCGGGGAAGCGGCCAAGATCGTGCTCGAGGGCGCAGGCCTTGACGACGGTGCGGAACCACTGCTCTCGATACGGGGCACCAAAGAGGATGTTGTCGCGGATGGTGCCGGAGAGGATCCACGGCTGCTGCGATGCATAGGCCATCTTGCGCGAGCGCGTGTGAATGGTTCCGGCTCTGATCTCCATCTCGCCGAGGAGGGCGTTCAGCAGACTGGTCTTGCCGGCGCCGACTGGTCCGACGATGCCCACGAGCTCACCGGTGTTGGCCTGGAACGAGATGCTGTTGAGGATGCACACGTCTTCCTTCTTCTCGAGGCTGGGCACTGGCGTCGCTGTTTTGGACGGAGACTTTGGCGGTGCTTTCCGACCACCCAAGGGAGTCGTGCCCCACGCAAGGGAGGCGTCGCTGACCAAGACCGCCAGCTTGGGGTCGACCGAGTCCAGATGGGCCACATCGGCGCTGTGGCTGGCGAGGCGATCAATCTCAGGCAGAGACAGGAACTCCTGGATTCGCTGGAGTGACACGCGAGCCTCGGTAGCAAACTGCACGGCCTTGGGAATGTAATTGGTCATATCCATTCGGATGATGTTGAACAAAGGAATGGACGTGAAGATCTTGGCCGGGGTAAGGGCTTCGCCGAGGGCATAGGTCGTTCCAAAGGCCAGGAGAGCAATCAGGGTGGGCGAAACAAAGTAGATCGAGTCGTTGATGGCACGGAGAAGCGAGCTCTTGGTCATCTGGTGGACTTCGTGTGAGCGCAGGTCGTTGACGTTGTCTATAAACGGTCGCTCCCAGGCATAGAGCTTGATGACCTGGATGCCGCTGAGCAGGTCGGAGAGACTGCTGATGCGCTTATCACGGAACTTGTTGGTTTCGCGGCGGATTGCACCAAACATCTTGCCGAACTGCGACTGGAGCGGAACGAGGAGGGCTGGACGGATCGAGACCAGATGGGGGTGTGGTCCGCAGAGGCTCAGCGTTAGAAACCATGGTCAAGCGCGGTGCAGCGGCAGCGATAGCCATGCCGAGCAGGAAAAGGCGACAGCGAATAGGGAGAGTGGCACTCGAATCGAACAGCATGCGTGGGAAGGACGGTGCCCTTGATGCACAACGGGATCTCTGCAGGCCGCAACATGGACAACCAGAACCTTGGCCACTCGGCATGGCACGAGAGCATAGCAGAGGAGGGCATAGCAGAGGAGGGCAGAGCGTAGCAGAGGAGGGCAGAAGCTCGAAGGCAAGCAACAAGCAGGTCTGAGAATAACTGTGGGCTGTGCGTCAAGTACTTAGCAGCCAGCCAACACTCACCAAGACCGAGCATGCCTGCCAGGCTCGAGACGCCGATCTGCTCCCACAGACAGTAGAGCACAAGAGCAAACTCAAACGGCGCCAGGATCAGATAGATAGCATAGATACAGGTGTCCTCGAGACGCTGAACATCGGCCGAGATCATGTTGACGATCACACCGGTGCTGGAGGTGTGGCCGATAGAGAGATTCAGGCACTTGCGGTACATGGTTGCGATGAAGCTGATGCGGAGGTTCATGCCCGTACGGGTGGTTGCGAAGATAATCCAGTGTGATACTATTTGGGATAATACTGATCCCAGCGACAGAAGGATCACCCAAACGTAGCCCATGTATGCGGGACTGGTGCCAATGTCCTGGAACCAAACTAGAAGCTGGCTGGAGACACGGAGGGAGACATGGAGAAGGGTCAGGAAGGCTGATGCAGCATGCCGCTGCCCATTCGGTACCGCTGGTGTTTCGGTCGCCGGCGACATGGGCGAGGATGTCGTGGTCGACACTCGCAAGCACTCACCCAAGTAGCAGAGCCGTTCCGACTTTGAGGAGACAGGAGACAAAGACCAGGAAAACGGATTGTCGGTAACCGATCCACATTACTCGCATCTAGACAGGGTGAATCGATACATGGGATGAGAGGAAGTGAGAGACGAGGCGAGGATCAAAGGGCGATCGGAGGCAGGTGTGGCCTCGGCCAATGCACATTGACAGACGACTCCAGCGATCGGATGCAAGGGGCAAGGCGGCTACCATGACTTTCCAGAGCTTGGGCGACGGCTTCTTGGCCTCCCTCTCCCATTCACGGAGGAGACGTTCGGAAGTGGCGTTGCAGTCATCGCTGGGTCTGGGAGATGGACGACACAAGCGATCCGACGAGGTTAAATCACGGAGCCGATGGCCAGAGAGAGCGATGCTGGGTCATTGCCTTGCTGTGCTCTGAGCCAGCGCGAGATCCCTCCCCGGAGAGCGAATGGCGGCGGGATGGCAGCGAAACGGCAGCGTACTCGATGGGGGCAAAGTTCTTCAGAGAGAGCGTATTCTTGGCGCCGTGGGAGAAGAGAAAGGTCATGTGCGAATAGAACCCCTTTTGCAGAGGGTTCATGCTGTGGTGCGGAGGGGCGACCTTGGAGGACGGATCCTCGCCGCCTGGGTTCCCAGAGCGCCTCTTGAACCAGCCGAGGGACATGTGAATGCGGGATCTGGGTGCTGGGAATGGGTTGGATCTCGGGACTGGATCTCAGGACTGGACTGGGCTGGGCTGGGCTGGGCTGGGAAGCGGCGAGGAGAGAGAGAACACAAGCTCATATAGACCGGTGCCGCCGCAGTGCCGCCGCAGCCAATTTCTTCCCTGCTTGCGCTTGCCCAGCCACCCCTGTTTCCACGGCACCCAACGGAAACGTGGCTATACGGCGGCCCTTGTGAGCATCGGGCGGGACAGCCCTTTGGCAAGCCCAGCCTGCAGGTTCACCAGGAGCTGCGGCGCTGGAACGATGATCCAGAAGTCGATGTTTCTCGGTCAGCGGGCTTGACGGGTCACGCGACCCCATTCCACAGACGCGCTCGAGAGCGACGCTGGTTGGCTGGGGCTTCCTTCGGGACAACAACCAGGCCGAGAATGCCAAGTGTCCTCATCGCTGCTGCACCGTTGGTCCGCTTCGCTGCCTCAACGACAGGCGGGGAGCACTGCTCACGGCAGCCAAGGATCCGAGACATGTGTTCTTTGTTGATACGGTATGCCCGGCGGATGCTATTGACACCTGCGGCTGGGAGTCGCGCTCCATCCAGGAGGTCGCCTGTTCACTCCCGATCTGGCTCATCGAGGTCCATCAGTCCCGCCAGGCCCTGCGGGAACTCGGTTCCTCGCACCTTGACCCGGTAGCACGCTGGTAGAGTGTCGGATGGGGTTAATGCAGGCCGAAGTGACTGCGATGGTCGCCGCACCGACCATCGCTTCCGCTCTAGCTCATCATCGAATCCACACAGCGCCATGCCTTCGCTTACCGTTCTCGACCTTGTCGAGGCTTGCGGCCATGACCTCCACCTTCTTAGTGGCCTCGGGAAGATCAATGATCTCGTATTCTGTCCGAGAAGGAGTTCCATCGAGTGCTCAATGACTCATCTCAGCATGGGCTGCTCGCACACCTGACCGATCATGCCACCCTCCGACTTGGATGGATGGAAATACGGTAGCCTACCTGTCTTGAGACTGCGGAGCAGATCACAGATCTCTTGTGCCTTGTCACTCTGACCCTTTGCTACGATGTTGATGGCATACCGCATCAGCTCGCCGCTGAGATCGGCCAGACCCAGGACATATTCTTCGTATGTGAAGCTGAAAAACTAGACGATGAGCCGCATTGGGCAGTGAGCATCCCAATCCTCCTCCATCTGTGCATTCGAAATCCCACTGCCAATGCTGATACTGCATTGCGGATGTGGTCTTGTAACCCCCGTCCAATGATCATTGTCGACCCTCATCCTCACCAAAGTGCCATCAGCTTCGGAAAAGTCGGTATCAAGCCCAGATTTTGTGACGATGGTGCCGTTTTGAAGGAAGTGAAGGAATGATATCGCCTCAATGTACTCTTCACAGCCGGGACCGATGGATCGGCGATGTCTGGCAGCGAGATGATGCGGAAGTGGAGTTAGATTCGCCGCCCGCCACGAGCTGCCGCTCATCAAAGCAACAAGACCGGCGTCAGTGTCAGCCTAGGGCATGCCATCAACCGGCATGATGACGGACCTGTAGTAATCCTGTCCCTTCAGATCTCGGGAGACTTGTCGGAAGAGTTGGACAATCTCGGCTTTCTTGGCGAGCGCCTCGGCAAAGATGGTATCTTGGTTGCTGGCCTCAATCCTGTTGGCACCATCCATACACCGATCAAAGTCATGGAGTTGCAGTCAGAGAATGCCTTCTATTGTCTGCCACCGACCAAGCACCATAACAAGAGCCCGCACCTATGCAGCGTGAAGATGAGCTTTTTGCTGAGGCTGGTGATATCGCGAGAAACCTTGACAATGCGCTCGCGCCGGTCGTACTGTCGTCGTTGGGGCATGTGGGGCGGAGATGGAGCAGAGTTGGTCAGCGATCCAGACAAGCGCCGACAAACGGATATAACCTCCCTGGGACACCGTTCCTTGGCCCAATTGCCCACCATTTGATCCAGATCTTGTCGGCATGCGTAGAAGAGCCGCTGGATGTCGGTCATCAAGTGTGGCTCTGGAGCGCCCGCCCTTGGACCAGCAGAGGCCGGCGGTCGGTTTCCGTCCCGCTTGCGTTGGTTGCGCTGGCCAGGGCGATTGACAGAGGCGGACTGGGCAGGATCATCCGAGGACGCATTGGTTCGAGCGGGTGCCTCCGAATCTCCAGCGGAGTTGTCGCCCGAAGGCTTTGGCCGCTTGTTTTGGCCTTCCTTCTCCGGGCTGAGTTCTGGAGGAGCACGGGATATGTGGGTATGGAGGGATTCGCGGATTGTGGGCATCCATTCGTGAGTCCTCGGTAAGAGTGTGACGGGAGCAAGCAGCTGGATCGCCGGCAGCAAGATACATGTCTGGACGAGTGCCCGTGGGCATGGCTTGCGGCACGCACCTCGGCGGGCAGGAGTGGACATAGCAGCGTCGCCGGCAGGACAAGATGCAGAGGGACGGCGGGTGTGGGCTAGATCGTAGACAGAGTTGGGGGACGCTGGTGATCTGGCTCGCGCCATGGCTTTGGCCTGCGAAATGACCGCCGCTGGGCAATGCTGTCAGCGGCAGCATCTACATCTGCATCTGCATCTGCATCTCGACGGCGAACCCGTTGCCCATCGCCGTGCCGCCATTGCATTCGGGCACCATCACATTCGAGCACCATCGCCCGTCGGCATCCCCCAGAGTCACCGGCGTCGGCGGGTGGTCCTGTCCGAGCCCGGCGGTCTTCGCGCCCGATCAGACGGAATGACACAGGCCTGGTCATCGTCCTGGTGGCCTGATGCAACCAGCATCACCCCAGGCCCCATCCCGCCATATAAATCGGCTGCTTCGGGCTTGATTCGTAGTCGGTATCATCAGCAACACCCACACCAGAGACAGCGATATCCCAGTCAGCAATATCCACCTACTAGCCTGTCAGATCATACAGCATGCTGCACGACAAGCAAGCCCCCCAAGAGCCACCCAAGGACCGACATCTCTCGTAAGCTGATCAAGTCCCGCATGGGCACGCTTGTTCGCTGGATCTCATGCTGGGAGGGGGGGGGCGTGTATGCGGGTCCTGTTGCGGTGCATTCTTCCATGCGGCCATGAGGACTGCATGTGGTTTGGCACAGCGCCAGCCGAGGCCAATGCTTCGTGGCCATTACCATCGATCTACCGTCGCCGCTGCATATGGCTGACCGCCGGCATCGTCTCCTCCTATGTCTATCACAGCAAGAACGGGTCCGACCCCCGCGGCCTGCCCAAGAAAGGAGGCTCCGGCGGCGCCCATAACTGGGGCAGCTTCCAGGACGACGTTGACTACGTTATGGACCACCCAAATGCCCGATCGATCGCCAAGGACCACCTGCCGCCTGCGGCTGTGCAGCTGGTCAATGAGAAAACCTTCTGCAAGCTGACCGGAAAGCCCATTCCGAACCCCGTCCAGGTACCGCACTTTGATACCCCAACGGTGGTCAAGGCCCACAAGAAGCGACATCGCAGACGACGACATCCGGCCGCTGCTGCTCCAGCCGCGGATGCTGCCGCAGCCGTCGATGCCGACCAAGTCGTCGATGACCATAGCGGCGACGACCATAGCGATGACCATGACGACAATGACGACCATGACGATACGGAGGAGCATATCCCAGCTGCAGACACCGCTGTCAGCGCTCACTAAGCCGCCGCGCTGGGGTCAATTGGTCCACGGCCGGCTGGAGCATGCTGCGACTATTTGATTGTATTTCGCTATCCTTCTTCACCACCATTCGTTTGAAATGTCCATGACACCCAACAGACCCTGCTTGGGTCCGCCGTACCCTATTTTTGGAATTTTGAATATAATACTTCCGGGAGTACCTCCGATACCCGAGAGCTGCAGGAAATGATCATGGTGAGGGACGACGGTCGTCGGGAGCTGCTGCAGCGAGAGCATTATAATCCGAGAATATGGTCTGTCAATGGTGACACTAAGCAATATGTTCTCTGGCTTTGGCTTGAGTGCTCTGCGGGGACCTTCTCCGCCCTCTGCCGTATCTTTTGTGTCCGCCGAAGGGTATATGTATGTGTGTGATGTGCCGCCGAGACAGATGCGAGGGAGGCTACCAAATTGGAGGGCATCATGTTTTCGCCATATAGACCTGTTCGCCTCGACACTGGTAATGTTGCCTCGACCGGAATTGCGCCGCCTTAGTTAGACCACACAGTATGTTTGCTGGAGAGAGCGTCGCAGGAAACCCCCAAGTTCAGCAGCGCCGCGGCCCTCCCCATCCCCATTGAATTACTTGCATACAAACTGCAAAGCTGGAACGAAGGCCTCCTCTGCCTCCCCGAGTGTGTCAGCATATGGCCAGCACCAGATTCCTTGGCGGCTGTCGGTTTCGCTATATCCGCAAGGACCAGATGTTGCTGAATCGAGCAGGGACATCCGGGCGATGGCTTCAGTTGCAGGCACGCACTCGATTGAGCTGCATCTCCTGCCGGAACTGCCGATTGTCAGGCGGCGAGGTGGAAAGCCCGCCATGCATCTGCAGAAAGGCACGAAGCTCCTTGAACTGGTCCATGTGTCTGTCGTCGTCGGCGTCGTCGGCGTCAACGTCGGCTCCTCGAAGCGGGTGATCGACCCGCAGGGCTCCAGCAGTGTTCCCGGGGTTCGGAGGTGGCGGGGGCGGACAGAGCACAAACCCGTTTTGCGAGAGCTTTCGAATCTGATGCTTGAACTTTGTCGGCTCGTAGCCGAGATAGAAAACGGATGGAGAGGACTGCAGATCCCCAGGAGTCAGCTTACCGACAACGGCTCCGCGGCCATGGCCCTTCTTGCTCGGGCCCACTAGTCGCTCCAGACTCAGAGCCCGGAGAGAGTTGCGACCGTCAAGAGCGCTGCCAGTGTCGCCTGGGCCCGACAGCGACTTGTAACCAGCAGGGCTGTCCCTGGGAGTTGGTCCAGCCTTGCACGTCGACGGCCGAGAAATGGATAGCGCCAGCGAGCCGGACGAGTCGGAAGAACCGGCATCGCGGCTCTCAGCACCCGAATCCGACGATAGACACAGGTTCGTGTACGAGGACTGCTGGATCATCGGGAGCCCCCGGGAGTTCGGGGTGTTCATGCCGCTCGTGCTGCTGCCGAGCAGCTCGGCAGAGCTCAGGCCCTGGTGCTTGGATCCTTTGCCCAAGATTGGGTCCATGAGCGAGCCCGAATGTGTTTCGGACAGGTACTTGCGACCGGTGATGACCGTGGTTGCTGGATTGAGCCGAAAGTCCTGGGAGAGCCGACCGCGAGAAGATTTGGAGAGCGACAGACCGCTGAGCATCAGGCGCTTGCGCAGACTCGCCATGTTTTCTGATGCCGCCGGAAAGCTGGAGCAAGTATCGATCTTGGAACGGGGACCCGCTCGCTTGGACTTTGTCGGACCAAAGGGCCCGTTGAGAATGGCATTGTTGACAGAGGATTCGCTGACAGGGATGGCGGGGACTAGAGGAGTCTGGGAAGCCGTGTGGTGCTCGGGATTGCCCGGATCCGGGATGTCTTGAGACAGCTCCGAGCCTAACCGAGCTGCCTCGGAGGGCATCCGAGCCGGGGTCGGTGCTGGAGGGCGGCCCGGGATGAGCCCCGGACCAATCTGGGGAACGAGTTTGATGGACTGTTGGGCATCTTCTTTCATGATGACGACTCGGCGACTGCCGGCTGTCAGCGGGCGGCTAGTCGTGCGAGCTTGCGAGGCGGGCACATCGCATGTGTGATGCTGCACCGGAGATGGCCGGTCGTGGTGTCGCTGAAGCGTCGGCTTCTGTTTGGGATCGATTTCGCTTGGAGAAAGCAGCACACTCACCTCGCTCGACTGCGAAAGCGCAGTGTCGTCCTCCAACAGAGCACCGGCGTCGTCCGTGGGTCCATTGGTGTTGGCAGGGTCCTGTTTTGCTTTGTCGCCGCTTGGATCATACCTTTCTTCGCTGGCATCTGGAAGCAACTCGCCCAGAATCGATTCGGCCGACTGCGGCCTCGAGGACGACCACGGTTCATCACAGTCATCGAGAGTGGCTCTCAGGATGGGCATGGGCATGCTTCGCTTGCGGTTGGCTTTCTTCTTCCATTTCTGCGCATTCGAGTCTACGACTGGACTGACCGAGACCACAGACGGCTCAGACCCGACGAGCAAGTCTTCGGGCCTGGTTTCTGGGGTAACGTAGCGATAGGTTGCGGTGGCAATCTCGGGTATGAGCGAGAAGATGTCGTCGGCGCCTGGGGACGAGCACCAGCCGGTGAGCCGCTGGTCGTGGTCGAACATGGACTCGTACAGATCCTTGGCGCTGACGGTCGGGCACTTGATGATCTCGCTTGCGGAAGCCGGCTCGTCGTCGCTGTCGAGCTCGTCATCGTCGGCCAAGAGGTCGTCTTCGATCCGGACCAGGCTTGCAGACGACAGCACAAGGGTCCGCGGCGGCATGGCCGGTCGGCGACTGGGCTCGATCCTGGATCCTGACAAGATTTGGCTCGAGTTTTGGGGAATTTGTGGGTTTGCCATGATCTGGGCGACCGAGACGACCCGGCCCGCCAAAATGGTCTCTGGTGGGATCTCGCTCGATGCTGCGGGAGCGGCTCCATATGTTTTGTAAGTGCGCTCGATTCGGCGGAACTCGAGCGGCTTGAAGCCCGTCTGGGGTCGAGGCAGGAACGGACTTTGGGACGAGCTCGGGACAGCTCCAATAGCCCCGGCGGTCCCGGCTGCTCCGGCGGCTGCGGCCGCCATGCGCACGCCGGTGGTGGTGTATGCCCGGATGACTTGCACTTGCCGCTCCTGCGGCGTCAGCGGGTGAGGAACGGATATGGGGATGGGGATAGCCTGCAGAGGAAGCGAGCAGGACGAGTCCCCTGGATTAAAGCCCATTTTTCCACCACAACCGAGAGACAGGTGGGTACCGATGGGTTGGTTATCAAGGCGGTGGGCGTCCACAGACGCAGAGAACAGGCAAACGTGACAGGAGGCTGCCTGAAAGCAAAGGCGTCTGATATAAACTATTGTCGGGGATGTGCTTGGCTGAGATTCAAACGGACTCGAGTGGTAACGAGGCGTGGGAAAACGGGGGGCTGCCCTCAAGACACCAGTGGCGACAGAGATGCCCGGTGCAGCACAGAGACAGGCGAAGGAGCAAAGGACCGAGCAGGACGAGCGACGAGATCCAGACTCAGACCCGTATGAATACGGCGACGAGCTGTTTGGATGGCGTGGCTCAAGCGAGGGTGATGGTGATGGCTGGATGTGGAGCTCCGGCGCGAGCAAGCGACCAAGTGGCCACGGACAGGCGGGAGTGGTCAGACGATAGTGCTGGCGAGCACGAACGAAAGCCAGATGGAAACGCAAGCGCTGCAGATGAAACTTTGGACCGAGCACGAATTGCGACTGTCGAAGAGCAGCTGGGTCGCCTGCAGTCCGCTGCTGGTCTATTGCAGGCAGCAGCGAGTTTTCTTTTTTGGCGGCCGCAGCCCACTGGCGATGCATTCTCTGGACGAGCAGAAAAGAAGCCAGCCGCAATCAGAGTCCCCATATGTGGCCAGTGACACCAACGGCAATTGATCCGAGGATCTCAGCGTGCTCACCAACTGTCGCGGAATGTGAGTAGGGGATGTGCGGGACTGACGCCAGGGCATTTGTACATATGCCTCTTATCCTCTGATGCTTGGGATGGAAAGAAAAGGGCGCTGCCGATGCCGCCGCCGATTGATTGCAGTGACCTCATTGACACACACCTCCAGCGGTATGAATCTTGGTACACGAACGCAGCATTGCCTGTCGTCATACGGCGCTCATATGTGAAGCGGGACACCCGTGCTGGAGGCGGGTGGCCGCTGCAACTGTAGATCTTGGACTCAACGCCGCTCATTGGCAGTCCACCGCCTCGGTTCCCATGACACTGATAGATGAGACAAGATGCAGACTGTGTTCCCCATCAGTCGGCTTTGGAAATGACCTGCGAAGAGTTTGGCATCCGGGTTCGCTGGATGCACGCGTTCGTCTGTGCAGCTCTTGTTGCTACCGAGCACATCGAATACGGCGTAGTCTATCTGACCGTGCAGCAGAATGCCCCTTGGGCCCGCCGTCCCCGAGCGACATGCAGGACGAGCCACTTGGACAGCAGCCAGGCAGACTCGCTCCAGGGCACACACATCCAGGTTCGCTGCCCGGGCTGGACAGGCCGTGGCGCAGAGTCTGTGACCCTCACATGACTGCGGCGCTGTTTCTGTCCTGCTCCAACTTTTTTTTCTTCCGCCGATCAGCCGCCATATCGCGCCGCGTCCTTCGCTTGCATCTCCAGCCTCATCGCCCGCCGGCTCACCGCTATCTGCCCTTGCACCTGCCCCCTTCTGCGTCCACCATGGCTGACCTGCACGACCGCTACTCGAGCCCCCTGACCTCCCGGTACGCCTCGCCCGAGATGGCCCACAACTTCTCGGACAACAAAAAGTTCAGCACCTGGCGACAGCTCTGGATCAACCTGGCCGTTGCCGAGAAGGAGCTGGGCCTGAAGGACGTCACCGACGAAGCCATCGAGGAGATGCGGGCCAACGTCAACAACATCGACTACCAGCTCGCCACTGCCGAGGAGAAGCGCCGCCGGCACGATGTCATGGCCCACGTCCACACCTTCGGCGTGGCCTGCCCCAAGGCCGCTGGCATCATCCATCTGGGAGCCACCTCGTGCTATGTCACCGACAACTCGGAGCTGATTATGATGCGCGACGGCCTCGACATTGTGATCCCCAAGCTGGCCAGCTGCATCAAGAAGCTCTCGGACTTTGCCGTCGCTCACAAGGACCTGCCCACCCTCGGCTTCACCCACTTCCAGCCCGCACAGCTGACCACCGTCGGCAAGCGCGCCTGCCTCTGGCTCCAGGACCTGCTCCTGGATCTGCGCAACATCGAGCGAGCCCGCGCCGACATGCGCTTCCGTGGCGTCAAGGGCACCACCGGCACCCAGGGCTCGTTCCTGGCGCTGTTCGACGGCGACCACGACAAGGTCGAGCAGCTCGATGCCCGGGTGACTGAGCTCTCGGGCTTCTCGTCGGCCTTCCTGGTCACCGGCCAGACCTACACCCGCAAGGTCGATCTGGATGTCCTCAATGCGCTTTCGTCCTTTGGTGCCTCGGCCCACAAGATCGCCACCGACATCCGCCTGCTGGCCCATCTCAAGGAGCTCGAGGAACCCTTTGAGAAGGACCAGATCGGCTCCTCGGCCATGGCCTACAAGCGCAACCCCATGCGCTCGGAGCGTGTCTGCTCGCTGGCCCGCCATCTCATGACCCTTGTCGGCAACACTCAGCAGACCGCCGCCGTGCAGTGGCTCGAGCGCACCCTCGACGACTCGGCCAACCGCCGTGTCAGCATCCCCGAGGCCTTCCTGACCACCGACATTCTCCTGTCGCTGCTGCAGAACATCTTTGACGGCATGGTTGTCTACCCTCAGGTCATCCGCCGCCGCATCCTGCAGGAGCTCCCCTTCATGGCCACCGAGAACATCATCATGGCCATGGTCAAGGCCGGTGGCGATCGCCAGGTCTGCCACGAAGAGATCCGTGTCCTCTCTCACCAGGCCGCCCGACAGGTCAAGGAGTTGGGCCTCGACAACGACCTTATCGAGCGTATCAAGCAGACCCCTTACTTCAGCCCCATCGTCCCGCAGCTGGACAAGCTCCTCGATCCCTCGACCTTTACTGGCCGTGCGCCCCAGCAGGTCGATCGCTTTATCCGGGAGGAGGTTTTGCTGGCCCTCAAGCCCTACGACACCATCCTCGGCCAGGTCCAGCAGGTCGAACTGACCGTCTAAGGCACCTCGATCGTATTGGTGGTGGCGAGCAGCGCGACGGGCATGCGTCCCGGCCAGAGTCCCGGGCTGTCTGTGTATGTGTGCCAATACTATGGACAGACCAAAACCATGTCGCTCCCTCCCATCTGTGCACGCAGCGTTCTGGCTCCCGACGGATCCGCCCCGCTCTTCATCCGAGCTATGTTGCGTTTGGTGCATTGCTTGTGCGAGCCCTTTCCCAGAGGGATCCTGCCCGATTGGTGGGTCGCACCTGACGTCATGCCTGAGTGCGGCGGTTTGGGGCCAGCTCCAATAGAGCGGCTTGATGCGCATTTACGACGACGCCAACTTTGAGGCCAATGTGGCAGTCGATATATTGAGTGCGATATAATCAGGGCAGCGGAAGAAAGTATCAACATGAAACGAAAGGTGTTGTGAGGATGGGCGTGAGCCGAGATTATAGTACAGTTTAGATCCAAGCAGAATTATAGAGGGGGGGGGAAGCGGCGGCCAGCGCTTCAGTGGGCAGCCAGAGGATAGCTGTGACGTCGTTGGCGATGGCGCTTGTGCTGGACCTTGACGACGGTGGGTTGGTCAAAATGCGGGAGCTCCTTTGGCGGAAGGATGGGCTTGCCGGACATGCGACAAAAGGTCTTTTCGTCGACCGTCTGCACGGTCTGGACAGTGCGGGGACCTCGTAGCAGCGAGCGCGCATTGGGATGTGACATGATATAGTCTACATCGTCCATGAAGCTGCCCCAGTTGTGGGCACCACCGCAGCCGGACTTTTTGGGCAGACCCCGTGGATCCGTGCGGCTGTTGCGTCTGTGGGTTGGCGAGCGAGAAGCGGGTGTGAGAGGCGTGGCCAGAATGGTGGTTTCATGGACGAATGCCGGTATATCTCCAATGAGGAGACTTGCTTGAGAAGCAGCCGGTACTTACGCAAGGTGATGGTCGTGCTCCTGGCTGTCGGCGGCGCTATCGTACTTTTCGTGCAGCATTGTCGGGAGACTGAGGAAGGGACTGTAGCCTGGACTGGTGAGGACAGAGATGATAGGATCTTGGAGGGAAGTTGGAAGGAGTACTTGCTGGGAACGGAGGGTGGTGTGAGATGGTGGGGATTTTATATGAGCCGACCCGCGACGTGGCGACAATGACTGTTTGCGCGTGGCGGCGAGTCACCGGCGGACACGATGGCCGATGCTGAGTCAGGGGCTGCCCTGCTGCGCTCGCGCGGCTTCTGGAAGGCAGCCGGATCGAGTGCGCCGGGTGGATCGATCCGGCGTTGTGCTGCGCAACGCATGGCTTGCTCTGGCCCACCATCCTCGCTCGCTCCCTGGCAGCCATCTGGTCCTGAGCGTCCCTCCTCACCCGCTCGCCATCCCGTCTGTCTGCTGGCCTGTTCCACCGCCCAGGGCACACCCGACCGCCGCTAGAGCCCGTATGTCCAAGACAAGCGCCCACAGACTCGACCCGGTTGCCGAGGATCTGCTCCGGGAGCTTGCCCTGCCAGATCAGCTCGGCATCGCCCTGACCACCCGGATCTGGCACTACTTGCTGCCGCTGCTCTTGCAGAGGGATGCTGCACCGCAATCCGAGCCCACGCCGCCGTCATTGCTGCAGGTGCCTGCCTCTAAGCGCAGTCGCATTGCCAGCGGCAAGGCCGTCGCCGTGTCCAAGCCGGCGCCGACTCTGAAGCAGCAGCGGCAGCCGAAAAAGTCGGCAACCAGCTCCGTTGCCTTGTCAGAGGATCTCAAGGTGTCCAGAGCCAAGATGGGTCTGTTTGCAATGAATGTCCTCAACCAAAATGCTCGAACACTCGCAGATCTTTCAAAGTCCGTCCAGCCACCGAAACCAGCTGGAGATCTGGGCAAGACATCGTCATCTTCCACAGCCAACACTGCAAAGGCCATCGCCTCCGGGACACATGCGCGCACATTGGCAGCAAATCGAAAGCCAGGCACTTCGGCCAAGCTACTGTCGGTACCAAGTCTGGAATCAGAACGAGACTCGGCCATCTTTGGCAGCTTCAAGCAGGAGGGGCATCCGCAGAGGGACTGTCTCGGCGAGACGACGCTGCTTGCGATTCAAGTGCTCATGCTGACCGAGCCCTCGCTGTCGCTTGCCCGAGCCGATCTTCTCAAAGCCTTTGTTAGCGTCGCACTCAAATTCGTGGACCTGAACATGGTAGATGACTCTGCATCTTGTTTGTGGCTGACCAGCTGTCCTTGCACCTGGATTTGGTCTGCGCTGCGTTGCTGCGTCGCCCGCTCGGCCTCAGTACCGTTTCTAAAGCCAGTCTATCGTTCTCCAGACAGAGCCTGCCCTAAGAATATTTGTGCATGTGAAACCAATGCTCCGCGCTCTGCTTGAGACTGGCGGCAGTGCATCGCCAGAGCTCGAGCCACCTGGGACTGTCGCGGCCCAGGGACCCATGGACATCGACACACCCCTAGTCACTCCCAAAGATGTCTCTGCGCTCCTCCAACCAGACTCGGAGGCCGAGTGGTCTCGGCTACTGGACTTTTGTTGCACCGCAGGCGATAATTGCGGCGATGCGAGCATCCTCAATCTGGTATCCAACTTTCAGCATGGTGCTGCCAAGATACTGCTCAGCACATTGAGACGTCCTAGAGTAAGCCTCGAGCAAATCTTGCAGTCCCAGCGACCATGCCGCACAAACTACCCGTCATGCGTCCAGCCCTGCTCGTTGCTGTGGCTAATACCCCGTTGTTCATCCAGATGGATCTGCTCAACATGGCATCATGTGTTGCAGTGTGTGACGCCATGCTAAGGATCGATCTACCGGCCGGACAGAGGATATGCGACGGGCTATATCGGCTGCTCTTCAATTCGTCTCTCAAAATTGGTACGCATCCATCATCGTGCGCTGACTCATGCCGTCTGGCGGCTTGCGCATCCATCCTGCCTGCCAATGCATTCGCGGCGACACCAGCCCAGACACATATGCCGAAGAGTATCCAGGCGCCCCTCATGCGCTAATTGGCTGTACAATCGCACATCGATAATTCTGTCGTATGACTCACTCTCGTCTGCGACTATAGATCAAGGATACGTGGGTGTGCTGCAGCTGCGTGCGATAGCACTTCAGCTCTATGTCCGAACAAAGGACCCGTGTCCGCTGCGATTCCACGACAACGTATTCAAATTTGGAGCCAACTTTGAGCGCGCTGCCACTTGTAAGCATTGCGAAACAATTTGATGCAGCTTTGGTCGCAATCGGTCGCAATCGGTCGCAATCGGTCGCAATCGGTCGCAGTCGGTCGCGCCCTGGAATCTGAGCCCAGTTTCACTACTTCCGTCTCTCACAGCAAACCCACAAGACACTTTGAGAAGGATCACGGATTTTTATCGTCAAATTAGCGATATGGATCTCCCAAACGATACCGACACGTCGCGACAGTCCTCGCTGCTGTGGCGAGAGCATTATATATACGTCGTCAAAAAGGTTTGTCCTCTCGCCATGAGTCGGTGGCCTCCCACGCAAGGTGGTCGCAGTGCTGATAGGCGATTCCAGCTTCCAACTTCCAACTTCCAACTTCCACCAAACGGCGCAGCTGTCCGATGTGTCGACGACTCAAGCCGCACTCGAGCAATACTTGCACTTTGCTGAGCTCTGGACCGCGGAGGCTGCAAGGATCGTGCTCTCGCTCTCCAGCCTCATTGAGCTAGCTGTGATCGAGATTCGAGATGCTGCAGGTGCGTTCACCAGCCGTGTGTTCAGTAAATTTACATCATGCCACAAACTCACACCGGTGTCAACACCTCCGCAAGATCCCAAGCGCTCGCTGAATTTGAACTCGATCCCAAATGTCGAAAGAGCCGTCCGCGCAGCCCAAGAGGCGGCCAATGAGCCCCTGCAAAACTTGGCGCGTGGTCCGCTCGATGCCTCCAAGGTGCTGATGCGATCAGCCGATGCGCTTCGCAGACTACTGGCTGATCTTTTGAAGTCGTGGCCGGATGGAAGCTTGCCTCAGGACTATCGGAGTGTGCTGCTACAGCCAAGTGTCGCCATCTTTGACGACTTTGCGACGATATGCGACCGCTGGATCGAGATAAGCCAGGTAGGCAGTGACCTGTGTCCTTGGCTGGATAAGTATATCATCGCTCATTCTCTCTGATATGCATCTGGCCGATCCAAAGTCGGGATGTCGCACTCTCTTGCTTAGTAAGGTCGCACCAAGCATAGCGGAAGGCTACATCTCGATCGCCAGTCTCTCAGCACCGACAGGCGAGGAGACCGAACGCTTCCTGACAAAGGCTGAGCAGTGGTGCAGAAAATACGGACTCGTGAGTAGCACTATGACTGTCTCGGCCGCATATTACAACCTCGGCGGCAAACTCTACAACTCTGGAGAATTCGACTGCGCAGCGAGATATTTCCAGCAGTCCTGCAGTTTGGTCGAGCACGTCCTTCGTCAGACCGACGCCGAGGCGCCGACACACGCTGAAATGCTGTCGACACTGCTACGGCGGCGCGACGCTTTGGTGTCCTGTTACCTGGCGGTATCCGATCATGCGGTAAGTGTCTGGCAGGAACCAGTATGCTGCGATATCTCCAAGCACAACACTCACACACGCTCTGGTGCAACAGCAAGCGCAAGGACTCATCGCCAGCATTCTCGAGAGCACCGGCCCCTCGGTGTATGAGCGCCTCCTTGCCACAACTTTGAGTGGGGCTCTGAGGATACCGGAAACCGCGTTTATCGTCAAGCTCGTCGAGAAGCACACCAAGTCGGTTTTGATCCAGGCCAAGGCTGCTGCGTCATCGGATGTCATCGAGGACCCGGATTTGCTCCATCAGAAATTGACACAGCTCCGCGAGCGCTACCGAGTTGCAGTTGCCGAGCTGGAGTTGCAGTTCCTTCCAAAGCCCCAGCGGCGACCCGAGAGCGGTACCAGCTTGCGATCATTGCAGTGCCGTGATGCAGTCGTATCGTGGCTCTTGAGCCAATACACTGCGCCGTCGGTCCAGCGAGCGGCATGCTTGATCGAAAGCGCCAAGATCATTCGTCTCGCGGGCGAGGCGGATTCAGTCTCTGTCGCCTTGCAGACATGCGAATCAGCCATCGACTTGCTCAAGAGTAATGTAAGCCGCCGTTCCATCTGAGCTCGATTGAGTCCTACAAGGACGACTGAATGATACAGCACACCAGGCTTTGCACACATCCCAAACGGGAACGCGGTAGTCGCGATTGATGGACCGCCGACGCTCAACGATATGCCGCTGACTCGCCGGCCTCTTTCATAGTTACCGGTTGAAGCCACATCATCGAGTCGAAGCCATTCTGATGTCCTAGCGTGCGCCTATGTCTTCAAAGGCGTCCTACTCTTCGAAAGCGCATCCTACCAACCCAAGCCATTCAAGCAAGCCCTGAAAATATGGCAGCAGCTTCTCCAGCCCATTCCTGCACGCTACTGTGGTGGGTGACGGCTGCCCAATTACCGGCTGGATCACAATCGGCGGCGCTGGGCGAGCGGCAAACAGTGCGATACTGATTCTGTCGATTGGAACGATCGCTCCTGGAATGGTTTTTGTTTCAGAGCAAGCGTGCACAGCAATCGGGCAGTCCTTCCGGGATATCGAGGCATCTTATGCACACCTCCGTAAGCGCCTGCTCCAGCTGTCGTCAAAGCGAGTGTCGGCGAAACACATGGCGATGATCGCAGTGAAGGCGACCTGCCCTTCATGCTCGTGTCTTCACTCAAATGTCTTCCACTCCCTCTTGGCTAGATATGCTGTCCGAGTATTTTGATATCCTCAAACAGCCTCTGAGCAGAATCCTCTCACTGCGTCTGGCGCTCAAGCTCAACAATCTGCGCGCGTCCCCATCCGCCAACGGTAAGCGACCCTCGATGCAACTCTGTGTATCCAGCCAAAGCAAGCGCTCCTGAGCGATACGACTCACCTTCTCGGCTGCATATCGATCTGCATGCTTGCTGGGCCTTACTGCAGAGGCCGCCCAGTGTCTCGTCAATATCGGATACAGCTATCTGGAGCTGGGTTACACGGGCCGGGCCGGTGCAGCTTTTGCAGATGCCAAGGAACTTGTCGATGCAGGAACTGTCGCCGAGGCTGTTGTCGTTTACTGGAAGCTGTGCTACTGCTTCTACCTTGTGTGCATCGGCAATGCAGAGAAAAGGTCAGGCTTGGCGGGCGATCTGCCAGATCCGAGATTGCGGCTGCGGCTGGGACAGACAGCCGGAACAGACGGCCGGGGCAGACAACTGCCTGATGACAGCGCGACTGATTTATCATTTGCATTCCACAGTCGCGCTGTTTTTGACACGATTGAGTCTCAGCATGTCTCCTTCATCAACGAGCCCGGCAACAAGATCCACCGGCTGAACATCATATCGTTTGCGTATTTCGTTCGGGGACATTTGGCCTTTGCAGAGGTATTTGCAGCGCTCGCAGTGGACACAACAATATCATGACTGTGTGTCGAAACCTGCGTCAGAGTGCTGGCCAATCGGGGCTTCTTACGCTGCATTCCTGCATCCAGGGCAAAATCAACGATGCGCTCTACGATGGGACCAACTACCTCTGGGCGCTCAGCAGCCTCTACGGCACACATGAGCTCAGCAACGTCAGCATTTTCAAGGAGGCTCTTTCTAAGAGCGACCTGCGGAACGGCAAAAATGCTGCGCAACAGCTCATGGAGTCATACTCATGGCTGGGACGGCTGCATGTTCTCCGCGGCTCCGTTGCGGAAGCCGAATACTACTACAAGCGCGGACTGGAGCTGGCCGAGAAGATCCAATCCAGGGCCTTTGTCGTCGAGTTTCTGGGCGGGCTTGCCGAGCTGGACTGCAAGAGAGAGCGCTTTGACGAGAGCCGGGAGCTCATTGCCCAAACGGACAAGGTCCAGCAGGAGGTTTGTTTGCGACAGGATCCGGGGACAGACATACTTGAGACTTGGCTTTGCGGTGCTGCCATGCAAGCCACTGACAACCTCCGTCACATTGCGCATGGGACTTCCCGATCGAATCGACGGTCCAGCTTGCGGCCGATGTCCCGATCAAGGATGGAGTTCTCACCAAGATACGCGAGGGCGATCTCCTCTTGAGAACAGGCCAGTATACTGGGGCCTTGAAGCTCCTGAGAACGAGCCGGAACCAACTGCAAGACTCGATGGCGCCGGCCATGATATCTGGACTGGAGAACAAGCTGTTTGAGTGAGTCTGGTGTCATGGGCAGCCCCGCTGCGTAGGTGCTTCTGCCGGCCGAGTCGCAGGCCGCATACTCACGGACGCTTTGCGCTCTGGCCTTTGTAGAGTGCCTGAAACCCCGCGCGAAAAGGCGATGGCCAAGGCGATTTCCAAGTCGGCCGATGACATGCTCATCGACGACGAGCCATCGAAAGGTCTGTGCTGGCTGGATCGCCGATTCAATGACTTCTGTCGCTGAAAGGCTGCTTGGCTGACTCGTTCGTCTACCAAACAGAGCTCGACAGCCAGCTCATCAACGAGTGCCGCCTGCTTCTGGATCTCAAGTCGTCGCTGATATCCAAGATTGGTGAGTCGTTTGCCAGACGAGTCAGAGTTGGCCGGGATACGATACTAATCCCCCCCCTTTGTGCTTGGCCGGCGCCGCACAGGACATGCTTTGGGTCGACTGGGCAAGATAGGGGAGGGAGAGAAAGTGCTGATTGAAAGTGACGACGTCGATCTCTCTGGATTCGAGCAGGTGGAGTAGTTTGGTCATGTTGTCGCCATGTCGTGCTGCTCGCATCGCCACCACAGTGCACTGATGACTTTTTCTGGCCGTGTGCTGTACAGGCCGAGTTCTACGCGACTCTCGGTATGCTGCAAGTGGGCAAGCTCATGAAATATCTCAGCGGAACGCCACTGTTGGACATGTTCTCAGATAGTGGTATGTACGCATCAGCACGGGTCGCTGATGCTAGTAGACAGTGTCCTGCTTCCTCAGCCATCCAGATGTCCTTGTGCCAATCTTGATGGCGGTATGTGTGATCGCATCTGTATCCAGTTCTGGCACTGCCATGGGGCGTGCCCAAGGCCAATGGACGCGAGATGAGCCTCTCCAAGTCGATTCGGAAGAGCATCATCCAAACGGACGAGCTCCTGCAGGACTCTTTTGTATCGGCGTACACCTACGGCTCTGCACAGATGCTCCTGGACACCTGTCATTACCGAGTGCTCCTCAACCTGGCCAAAGCCCATCTCACCCCCGGCGACAACTCCATGACCCCAAGCCAGCTTGCGCTGCACTCTGCATTCTGTCTCGGTGAGTTCGGGGGACTTGTAGCGACTCTGATGCACTACCACGATCACAGTAGCTATCCAGAGACGGCGCCAAACTCAACTGTGTGGTCATGTCGTCTCACAGAATTTGGCAAGGGCCTGACGCACCGCCGTGAAATGGAAACTGTGCTTCGAGAGAAAATGGATAGCACAGGCACCAGGGCAGGCTCTTCTCAGACGATTCTGTGGCCGAGCGCTCAGCCCCAGGCGCGAGGAGATGCCGAAGGTGCAGACCAAGAAGACGACCGAGTACGAGAACTGTACAACCTCTATCGCTCTGAAGCCAGCGCCGGCACACTTGAGTTTCAGAGCGACATTGTGGAGCGTCTGCCTGATGAATGGGTGGTCGTCTCGCTGTCAGTAGACCAGGAGCGGCATGATTTGTATCTCTCGCGCATCGAGAGCAACGAGGCACCGGTGGTCTTGCGACTTCCGATGCAGCGGAAAGCTTTCCGCGAAGGCGAAGAGGCTGGCTTGGTCCTGGCCGACGTTGTGGCCGAGCTCGAGCACATCCTGAAGCAGAGTCGCGAGACCACGGAAGGACCGATTGCCGCGAAGGCAAAGTCGAGCGAAATCACCCACGAAGAGAAGCGCAAGTGGTGGGAAGACCGAAAGGCCCTCGACACGCAGCTTCGGGAGCTCCTGGCGCGACTGGAGAATGAATGGCTTTGCGGATTCCGCGGGCTGCTCGGAGCAGAGCTTGGAGAAGGCATCAGCAGTGGCCTCGTGGAAGGCTTCAAAGACGAGCTGACCAACTGCGTCGCACGATGGATCTCTGGCAAACGGAGCAGACCGAACACACGGGACCAGGCCAAGGACGGCATCGAGCTTGACGGCCGCTTTTGCCAGGTCATCCTTGGCTTGGGCTTGGGCGACGAGCCTGCTGCCGCCGATCTCGAAGACATCATCTATTATCTGATGGACATGTGCCAGTATGGGGGCATCGATGTTGATTACGACGAGCTGGAGATCGAAACGGTAAGAGGTGTGGTCCTTGAGATTGCGATCCATCGAGGAGTTGCGCCTGGGCCGTGTTGTTCCTCTGGCATCGGCGTCGTGAGCTGAACTGCCTGTCTGTTTCCACAGATGATTGACGAGCTTCGGAGTCTCCTTGAGCGGACACTGTCAGCCACGTCACTGCCATCTGGATCAAAGCCCAAACACATTCTTTTGATTTTGGACAAGCATCTGCAATCGCTTCCGTGGGAGAGCCTGCCTTCCCTCAGACGCCACCCGGTCTCGCGACTGCCATCGATCGCCTTTCTGCGGGATCGGCTGCACTCCTCTGGGGTGGCGGCACGCGAATCTGACGCAGCAGCAGCAACGTCACCATCCAAAATACCCAGCCCCATCCAGCCAAGCACATGGACCATTGACTCTGACGAGAGCTTCTTTGTCCTGAATCCAGGCCAAGACCTCAAGAAGACGGAGGACATGTTCAACGACTTTGCACAAAGGTAAAGACGACAAGCATCCCAGCAGCATACACACTGTTTGCCCAGCAGCCTGGCGCGCAGTAGGACTGTTGCGGTCAACTAAGTGAACTAATGACTCTGATGCCACTGCAGCCGCGCGACCTGGAGGTCGGTGATTGGTAGGGCGCCAACCGAGAAGGAGTTTGCCGAGGCCCTCGAGCAGTCAGAGTTGTTTGTGTGAGTATGCCGGTGGGCCCGTACGTCCCCAGCAGTGACCATCCAGCAAATGTTTGTCGACCGACGTTCACATTGTGCAGCCCGAGTCCGCAGCACGCCTGCACACTGCTCGGTGTCGCTAAAGTCGCCGTGCCGTGGCTCTTCTCGTCGCTGAACATGGCGGCTCTTCTTCTGCAGATACATTGGACACGGCAGCGGCGAGCAGTACGTTCCCAGCCGATCAGTGCGCAAGCTGAAAAAGTGCTGCACTACGCTGCTGATAGGATGCAGCAGTGGACGCCTCAGCACTTGTGGTGAATTCGACCCCTCCGGAGCGGCGGTTTCCTATCTCATGGCTGGTTGGTAAGTCGGGACCTTGTGCACGGTGGCCTGCCGCCGCACCGAAGCAGCATGGTGTGAGAGCGGTGCAGCATGGTTCCCGAGAAGCGATCCGCACCGTGCTCACCAAATCGTGGCTGCAGCCCCGCGCTGGCAGCGAATCTGTGGGACGTTACCGACGGCGATATCGACCGGTTTACGGCCTCGCTCCTGAAGCGATGGGGCCTGGCACGGAAGGACGCCGAGGCAGCACAAGAGGATACGATGTCGCTCCCGCAAGCGATGCAGCGAGCGCGTGAGGACTGCCAACTCCCGTATCTCACCGGAGCCGCCCCCGTGGTCTATGGTGTGCCGGTGTCGATCATGCGCGTCCCTCAGGATAAACTCGGCGAAATCAAGAGCAGAGACCGAAGCGACAAGCCAAAGCCGATGCGCAAGGAGGCCGCCAGGACCCGCCGGCAGAAGAAATGAAGCCAAGCTGGCCGGGAGTCTTGCGACGCTGGGGGCCAGCCTCCTGCTGCTCGAATACATGTGGATTGTCGACCGGAACAGATGCCTGGCTGGTAGCTGGATCCGCTCTGCCGGATGGCATCAGGAGATGAAATCACTGACGGGGCAATCGGCTGCGGATGGAGGAACCTTGCAGCAACCCAGCCGATCTCGATGCAGGCCATGGTTGGCGAGCATGGAACTGCGAGTCGCGCAGCATCCGAGGGCTGGATGGTGGAGTTGACGACATCGGCATCAAGCCACAGATGCGATTCATAACGAAACCCTATCGCCGACAGCAAGGAGCGAGTGAGTTCATCGGCTGGAGGGAGATACAGGAGGGGTATGGGGTGGGCATGACGGACCGTGGCGGGTCTGGTGCATGAACCTTGCCGGCTGAAACATGGCGCTGGCGGCCATGGACAGTGAGACATGGGCCTGGCGGCTGCCAATCGACACCGTGGGATCATGGATGAACGGAAGGCGGCCCGCTGCCGACACAAGGCCGGGCATGGGCCGGCAACAGCAAGCCAAGGCGAATGCAGGACGAATGCAGGACGAATGCAGGACGAGCGCAGGATGAGCGCAGCGATGCATCCAGGCAGGATCGGCAGCGGCAAGATCCGAAACCGCGGCAGCCTCATGGCACCGCACACCGGCGCACACCGGTGCGGGAGCGGCCATCATCCGGCGCTTGCTGCTGGACACATGTCGTGGTCTGCGCCGATGTCGTTTTTGGCCCGAGCGGGCGGCTTGGCCCTGTGCCTTGTCGAGGGCATCTCGGTGCCTCTCGCTGGCCTCTCGCTGGCCTCTCGGTGTCACTGTCGCTGTGGCTGGCAAGCACGCGGCGCTCCTCGCCGGCGCCTCGGCGTGTTTCGGAACTCGGCATTCCAGTCGATACCCGCCGAACGATAGCAACCAGCAAGTCGTTAATCGCCAATTAACACCGTCATCGGCGATGGCGACGACGGCCGCAGCTGCAGAGGCCTCCCCAGAGTCCAGCAGTCGCAGCGGACAGCCAAGCCAGCCAGCAAGCAAGCCTCTCGGCCCACCCCAGCCCGCGAGACCACCGCTGGCTTCGCTGCGTTTCCCAGCAAGCCTCTTTTTCAGAGCCCGGCCAACAAAGACGCAAAAAAAACCAAATCAACGCCTGGATCTGGACTTGGATCAGCGCCCTTTTGCTCGCTCCGATCGCCGCGCGGCCTGCATTCTCCGTCTTGGCCTTCGTCTTGGCCTCCGTCTCGGCCTTCGCCTCGATCCGCATCCTGTCTGCGTCTGCGGCGCTGCCCCCCCCGTCCCGACCGGCACTCTTTCCCCGTCTGCCCTGTCCTGGCAGCACCACCGAGGCGTGTCCTCAGCCCTGCCAATCTCCTGCTGCCTCGCTTGCCCCATCGTCGGCCGCTCTGCGGCTCTCCGCACACAGGCCTTGCCATTCCCTTGGCGATTCCTTCGACGATTCCTTTGGTGACTCCTTCGCCGACTCATCCAACAGCTCGTCAGCGACTCATTCAACAGCCCGTCAACGACCCGTCAGCGACTCTTCAACAGCCACCACGCCACTGTCGGCCGCTCTTCTCGGCTTCAATCCCCCATCTGCCCGATCAACCTTTGTCGGTTCTCTGAACGATCCGGCTTATCGAGTATCTCCTTGCTGGAGCCCGTCTTACCACGCCCCCAACCGATGGATCCCGGCGCCGATCCTTCCCGCACCAAGGACTCAGCCGCAGACGATCAGTCGGCCGTGCCTGGCCAGGTGTCGCTGATGCAATCGGCTGCTGCCCACATCCACTCGAGCCCATACGCCCCCCCGCCAGACACCGGCCTGTCCAGCCCGTCGCTCTTCCATCCAATGCCGGCATATCCCTCGCCGTACGTGCATCCGGTCGATCCCATGTATCCGTCGCAGTATATCCCGCCGTACTACTCGCCCTATCCGATCCACCCATATCAGCCTCCGCAACCCTCGATGCCTCCGATCCAGCCCATCCACACCATGTTCGTGCCGCCACCAGTCCCTCATCTCCAGCCTGTCGTCAGCACGGTCGAGATGGCTCTTCCGCTGGCCTCGGGACCTGTCGCCTCCATCCCAGCCCCGCCTCCATCCAGCCAAGAGCACTCCTCCGCCGCCCGAGGTCGGACAGCCTCATCGGCCCACGATCCCATGGACGACGACGCCAGCCACCACGACGAGGATGACGAGATTCGTATGCTTCGAGAGACTCAGCGCAGGGAAATGCTCGAGCTGCAAGCCCGGCAGGAGGAAAACCTGCGACAGCTGCAGCTCAAGCGCTCCAAATCCGATCGCAAGCCCAGGTCGGCTTCGTCCGACGACCGATCGCTGAAACGGCTGTCGCTGCTGGAGATGGCTTCCCAGCAGCCGGTGTATCCCCAGACCGGCTCCCGTCACAACACACCGCCGGCTCCCTCGCTGCCGTCGTCACAGCAACCGCAGCAGCAGTCTCTCTTGCCGGCAAGCTCAGTATCCCAGGCGCTCGCCCATGCCCAGGCTCAGCTGGCCACCCAGCCGCATCTGGTTGCCTCGCTCCAGGCCGCCACTGACATCCATGTGGACACCTCCATGGCCGATGTCCTCTTCCAGAGCACAGCCCACAACCCGTCGTCCGATATCCAGCCATGCATGCCATACGATGCCGAACGCCTCGAGAAGAAAGGTAGGCGCTGGCGCAGATTGTCTGTACGAGTAAATCGACATGGAGTGACCGAGGATGCTGCCGGGCTGCAGAGGGGATTGGAATTGCCTTCCCAAGCACCTTGCAACTTGCACCTTGCACCTTGCACCTTGCACCTTGCACCTTGCACCTTGCACCATAAACCCGCTCGTGTGCTCGGCAGGGCTGTCTCGGTTGTCTCTCTCTCTCCCGCCCCCTCCAACGAATGCCGCTGACATCTCCCGTTGTGCAGAGTACGACTCGGCTATGAACGCCTTTCTATCGCCCTACATGATGCCTGGAGCCGGCAACTATCCTGAAGAAGAAGATGTGAGTTTGATTCCATGCAACGAGCTCCTCTGTGCTGCGCGGACCTTCTCGCTGGTGTCGTCGAGGGACACCGGTCACCGCATCTGCCTGTTCGCTGCTTCCGCTTCGATGATGCCCTGGCACTGGATCTTTCATGGGCAGTGCCCCCGACCAAATCGCCTGACATACCTCTCGTCTCCAGTACTTTTCACTTGTCTCCCCTGCCATCAATGCCATCAACATGACTCCTGGCATGACGCCGAGTCTAGACTTTCAGCGAATCAACCTACAAGGCGTCGACGCCTTCTCGCCCCTTGGTTCACCCGCGCTGCCTGTGCGACTCCCGAATGGCGAGATCATCAATCCCCACCAGCAGACAGCGATGCATGCTGAGATCGTCGGAGCGCTTTCGAATGCTCTCGCGGCCAGCGCCGGGATGCCGTCGCCCCTGATGCCCGGCTCCTCACCACAGCTCCCACAGCATCGCCGGTCTAACCTTTCGAACGTTGTTTCGGTCGACCCGAGCAGCTCCTCGGCTGGACCCGCTCCGGTGGGCTCGCCTTCGGCCTTGGCTCGTGCCCGGCGCGTTCACTCGGCCCTGGCCTCCTCGGCCCCGTATTCGTTGTCCAAGAAGCGTAGCGAGCGTAACCTGCGGCGCGTGCCACCCCCGTCCGCATCGACTGCATCAACCTCGAAAGGCGAAGCGTCTACCAGTCGGAGCAGCAGCAGCGATGCCAGTGGACACATGATCTACAAGGACGACGGCATGCCGCTGCCGCAGGCCAAGTCGCCGGAAGCACTCACTGGATTTGGCACCAACCCGTCCTCTCCGACAGGCCCTATGGGGGCGCTTGACGACGAAACAGGATCCGACGACTCACCCGGCGGCACCTTTTCGGCCCCTCCGTTCAAGAAGCCATCGGGGCGCAGTCACCTGGACAGCGGCATTGCCGAGACGAGCGACAGCGATTTTAAGCGGCCGCACCGGCCCGGCGCCCGGACTTGGAGTATGGACAAGCCCCATGACTCGGGCTCGTCCTCGTCGTGCACCGGCGGCAGCCTGAGCGATGTCAATATGGACTCACCTCGAGCTGCCCCTGATACCCTGCTCGGCTCACTGAACTCGGTCCCGAAGCTCCCCATTGCGCCCGTGACGCCCTCGCAGATCATGAACTCGCTTGAGCAGAAAGGTATGAGGGTATCCAACATGCCGAAGTGCATCGACGCACTCTCTGGTCGCGGATTGTCCCTGTAGCCGGTGTTGATGTGGTGGCATACGCGGATGCTCGCGCCACGGGAAGCGCTGTGCACGCACGATCATGATCACGATCATGACCATGGCCATGACCGTCGCCACAATTGTCACCGCGACAATGACTGTGACTGAACTGACCCGGGCGCTCTTTGCGGGCTGATTGTGCCAGATTCCAAATCCAAATCTGCAAAGAAATCATCGCAGGAAGACGTCTCTGATGCCAATGCAAGGTATGCTCGCGAGGCCGTGAGAGCTATGCATCACTCGACTGCTCTCCTGGGCTTGCCTGGATTCGCACGGCCATCTTCGCTAACGGCTCGCGTTCCATCGATCCAGAATGCTGCAAATGCAAGGCGCATCAGACCTCGGTCAAGGAATCGAGGTGCGCAAGAACAACCACAAGCAGGCCGAGCAGCGGCGGCGCGACTCGCTCAAGCAATGCTTTGAGGAGCTTGGACAGGTCCTACCCTCCCTCACCGAGAAAAATCCGAGCAAGGTTCATCTGCTCAAGAAATGTAAGGATCCAAACCGCAACCCCACAGCGGACGGTCGCATCAGCCGCATCGCCACCATGCCCGTTGACATAACGCGTGCGACTCGAGTGCGAGCCCACAGCAGCAGAGCTTCCTTGCGAGCTTGTGTAATCTGTCTGTTACAGACAAGACAACAGCTGGTGCAGCTCAGAACCGGCTGCCGCAGACAACTAACGGAGCGCTTCCTTTCTTTTTGCGCCATCCAGCATTTGAGTTCATCATGCATCTGAAAACCAAGGAGGGTGAGGCCGACGAACAGATTGAGAGGCTCCAGAAGGATATCGAGCAGGCCAGGCGCTCAAAGTCACAGAATCACCAAATGGGATGATGAGCTGCGGCCGATGTAGGGGCCAGCGGCTCGCTCCGGATTCGAGCGTCGAGCGTCTCTCGATCGCTGCGGCACACCGGCCGGCCCCAACGCACCACCAGACTCGTTGCGACGTCGCCCAGCCGCTTCTCTCCACCCCTTGTCAAATCACCACTGCCCGTCGATTCCAGTCGGGCTGTCACGTCCGAGGGTTTACGAAATGGACCAGCCTCTATGTACAGTTTGTTCCAGAAAATATATAACGGGACAGTGTCCCTTTTTCTCTGGCATCAGCGACTCATCGGCAGTCGGCCGCTGTGGACCTTGCAGCCGTGCGATCGTTTCCGGTGGGGCTCGTTGGTTTCGGGAGCATCGTCTTCAACACCTCGGGTCGATCTCCTGTGGCGACGATCGACTGACATTGATGTTGCGGTGTGGGGGTGTGGTGCATGCCCTCAACCGCCTGGTCATGGTGGTGATGAGCGGGTGTGGATTCAGGACCCAGAGGAAAGCGACAGCCCTGGCTCAAACCAAGGACAGCAACCCAATCCAACCCATGAGAATGCTCCGCGCCCCTTGTGCTGTTGTCGATCGATTCTGGTGCCCGGCACATCTCTGGGCAGCTTCGTCGATCTCCTGCCCCCCATCATCCCGCTCCATCTCGGCCGCCACAGCCCATTAGACACCACCACCACCACCACCACCACCACCATGGCGACCTCTCCCAATATCACAAAGTCCAACTCGGGCCTCATCGGCACGAGCAGCGCCGGCTCGGGCTATCCACTCCCGCCTCTGACCCCCGGCCTCACGAGTCCTCATGCCAACAACCTCAGCGGCAGTCTCTTCTCGATCCCTTCGACAACGGCCTCCCGCACGGGCGCCTCGGGGTATATGGTCCCCGCCGGATCCAGCTCCAACATCATGGCCTCGGCCCCGGCGCCGGCCGAGCTGCTTTACGAAATGGGCGTCGGGGGACCCAACCCCAACCCGATGCTGCCGGTGGGTGCGATGCTCCCGGAGCGGTCCAGGAGCTACTGGCAACACTTTTGTCTGCGAGTGATGCCGCTCTTTGATGGAGAAGAACTCAAGGTCCCGGTCGAGGAATTGAACGAGCTGCTCAGGTAAGCCCTTGGCCGACGACCAGAGCGACCATCCTGAACGATGAGCGTTGGAGAGGAGAGAGGTCGCCGTCTCTATTGCCGCCTCTATCGCCGTATTAGTTGCTGTCGCCGTCGTTGTCGCTGGTGTTGGTGCTGGTGTTGGTGCTGGTGTTGGTGCTGGTGCTGGTTCTATTCGGGAATAGCGTTCTGCTCGAGGAGGGAGTAGGGGGGCTGTGGATGCCCAGGCACACGACGAATATCGGCAATTCAACGACCACCGTGCGCCTCGCTCATCGATCTGCTACTTCCAGCGGGCACCTGGCCGAAACCTCGATCGAGAGTGTCCTGGACGACATTCGCGAGCTTCTCGCCCAGGGAATGTCCAAGCTGGTCGACGAGTTCGAAACGACTGCCAAGGAGGACAACCAGCTGTTCATGCGCATGGTCGAGATATGGTCCTTCTTCTTCTTCAACATCCTGCCGTATCTCCAAGGCGCCTTGCTGCCGATCCGTCGCTTTGAGGGCATCCCAAACGAAAAGAAGGCCATCCGAGAGATGATTCTCTATGCCTTTCGGGATTTTGTGGTGATTCCGATGCGGACGCCTCTGGAAGGTAATACCCCGACGAGGAGGGCCTTGAAAATGGAGGGCAGAGAGTGCCGATGGCCAAATGGCGAATGGTCGAATGGTCGAATGGTCGATGGCGACTGCATGTGCATCAAAAGTGCTATCTTCGTGATACTTCTGTGCAAACGCAACCCGTCGAGGACCGGCGCTAGTTGTTCGACCATCATGTCTGAGCCTCTCTCTCTCTCTCTCCCGCACTGGTGTATCCCTTCCTCCGTAATCCCGCAGAGTCTTTCGGCGTCCTGTCCCAAGAGATTGCCGATGGCACTGCGCGACGCCTTCAAACAGCACTCAAGCTGCTGCAGATGCTCAACATCCTCGATACCCTCCCTCCTCGGAACGACGACATGGACGGCGTCCTGTCGGGGGTGTGTGTGACGCTGAGGACGCTTGTCTCCAAGGCAATGTGAGTCCGTGCTCTGGCCTGTGCTGGCGCATTCGTCCTTGAGGGTGGTGGTGAGGCAACGAGCATCCCGGAGTACTGTTGCGGCAAGCATCGAGTAGCTGCGATGCCATTGGATGCAATGCCATGTAATGGATGCAATGGAATGAAGATGCACGTACTTCTGCAGTTCCGGGTATGCGCCCGTCCCTTCCCCAACACATTCCCTCTATGATGCTCTTCACTGGGAGAGTACCTTATATTCGCCGACTGTGTCAAAGAGACATTGGTGTGAATGTGGCGCTTTATTGCACTTGATGGCTTTGGCTTTGGTTTGACTTGGTCACTTCCACTGGATTCATCGGCGCAACTTGGGAGTCAGTGACGGCATTGAATGAACCAGAGAACCAAATGGACAGGTTGACAAATGCCATCGTGCCTTCGATCCGCACCGACGCCCGCGGATAGCTATATGATCTCGTTGCTGCGGGCACTGCTGTCCAAGCTGCTCTTGATCCAGGGAGCGACCCTGGGCCGGCCGGTGTCCAAGTCGACCTCCTCAAGCGCCACGAGCTTGGTGCCTTTGGTGAGCTTGTAGCCCAGATAGGCCAGCGTGAAGGGCAAGATGCCGCAGTAGGCAGAGAACAGATCGCTCCCGTGGGAGCCCGGGGTGGCCAGGGTCGAGTAGCCCTGTAGAATCACAAGCAAGATACAGCCGCCGATGGTGATGCAGTGTGGAAGCGGAAAGAAGGGCGCACGATGGTCCAGCTTCTCCTGCTTGCGGGCTTGGGCGGCATGCGCGAGACGAAAGCGGAGCGAGGAGATTCCAATCGACATCCAGGAAAGACTGACGGGAGACAGCGAGGCAAGATGCACAAATGAGATGGAAATGCGGATGAGGCGATGCGAAGGAAGTGGTGTCGCTCCCCCTCCTCAAACAAGACGAACAGCGGCGGCAGCAAATACGACGAGCAGACGCCGGGCCACTTACAGTCCAACGACACCGCTAAAGTTCAGTAGCCAAACAAATGCACTGGCGCTTCCCGAAGCCACAACGGCGATCATGGCAGTGCCTCCGATCAAGCCCGAGGCCAAGACGGCCAGAATAGGCACACCCTGACCGTTAACCCGACTAAAGAGCGCTGGCGCCTTGCCCTCGATGGCGAGTGTGCGCAAGGTCCTCGAGCACGAGTACAGATCCGAGTTGCAGGCCGAAAGCACGGCAGTCAGCACCACGGCGTTGACCAAGTGCGAGCCCAGGTTGGACCCAGCCCGCGACAGGATCAAGGTGAAGGGCGAGTACTTTGGATCCTCGCCGCTCTGGCTGCCGAGCTCGGCGTCATTGAAGGGGATGTTGATGCCGATCATGAAGATCACGGAGATGTACAGGAGAAGGATGCGCCACGGCACTGTATCCGGAGCCGTCGCAGTTATCCACAGGTCAAATGTTTTGGCAATGGTGGCCGGACCGGCGTTCCATCGACATTGGAAACAGCCACAGGTCAGAAACAGAGGCGTCGAGTCAGAAGCAGAATCCCCCCCCCGAGCGACGGGTGCTGCAATATGAGCGGATCACACACCCGGGACAATCGTGCACACTCACCGCTCCGGATGGCCTTGGGAATCGACTTGCTCGGATTCTCGGCCTCTCCGGCTACGATTCCAAGTAGCTCGGTGCCCTGGAAAGAGAAAGCCGCGGCGATCATGACATGGAAGAACGCCGGGGCGTCGCCATTGAAGGCACCGGGACTCTGCCAGTAGCGAAATCCAATGTACTGGCGCGAGCTGCCCAAAAATCCCACTGGCAGGACAAACCGGGGCCGTTGGTGCCGGGGTCGAGTGGTAGCAGTGGTCCAAGAGAGGCGGTTGAGAGCAATCAAGAATAATCGCAGGAGGCAGAGCGTTCCGGATGATGCGGCGATGTTGGAGTCGCGGGCCCCACGGAGGATCGGTTATATTGCCAGATACATCAGGGCAGAGATATGCACAGGCCAACAGCGAGCACAAAGTGTTAGAGGAATGGGCGTGCATCGGTGCAGACCAATGACATCGTACCCGCACTTGGGTCGTCGATGTTGTCGCCGCTGGCGAGTGCTGGTGCCCGTGGGAAATGAGCAGATGCTGACCCGAGCAGCCCATCGGCAATCCCTTTCGCCATATCCTCAAGTCGCTTCGGACTGTGGTGGCTGTTTCCCCACCAAGCACGACTTACCATTGAACAGGATCGACACAAATATGAACATCACGCACATGACGATCTTGATCATGGCAAGCCAGAACTCGATCTCGCCATAATAGCGCACGTTGAGGCAGTTGAGTCCGATGATGCCGACAAAGAGCAGGATCGGCATCAACAGGGTGGGCAGGCTCGGGCTCCAGAACGAGATGACGATCCCGGCCGCCGCCATTTCAACGCCGATTGTCACGATCTGTTTCGAGGATGTCCAAGGCGGTATCGAAGGGACAAGGTCGAGTCAGACCAGGCAGCATGTCAAGCACAGAGAATCCGACAAGTCAAGAGTTGTAGAGGCGGACAAGACATCCTTGGGCACATGGAGGGGGGGGGAGCACAGCGAGACACTTCAAACAATGGGGGCGTGCGTATGCATGTCCATTTACCCATGAAAGCCAGTAGTTCCAGCCGAGTGCAAAAGCCAGGGCCGGATCCACAAAGCGGCCGGCAAAGTGGCTGAGACCGCCGCTGATGGGAATGTAGGTCGACATTTCTCCCAGGCATGAGGTGGTGCAATACACCAGCAATCCCACCAGTAGATAGGCAGCGAGTGCCCCGAGCGGGCCGGCCGAGGCGATGTTGCCTCCGGAAGCGAGAAACAAGCCTGTCCCAACCGTGCCGCCTGGTGGAAGATGTATCGCATAGCAGAGCCCGAGTGCCCGAGGGCAGGGGAGCGGAACAAAGATAGGCGCTGAGGGTCAGCCAAGTTGCCGATGGCGATGCCGATAGCACAGATTGCAGGATATCGATATGGGGGCTTGCCGCTGGAACAAGCCTGTGTTCGAAAGGGAACTGACAGGAACGCCCATAGACCTATGACAATCATTTGGAGATGGTGCGACTTGAGATCTCGGCGGAGAGTGGCGTCGGCGTCCCCGACGATGGTGTCGGTATCAGTGTCAGCGTCGGTCTCTGCCATGTCCAAGAAGATGGAGGGTCACAATGGATGAGCAAGCGATGTGTATATCGCGAAAGGTAGCTCCAAGATCAAGCGGGGATGTCTCGATGGTCTGAAGGACACACAGCGAGAGATTGAAGGATGAGCTGTTGGGCAGCAGTGTCAAGAGACAGGGAGTGCGAGGCAGGTCTGCCAAGCTAAGGATGGAAGGCGAGTCTCCGGAATCAGGACCTGTTCCCAATCATGAACCGCACTCGAACAATGCCTCGGATCCAGAAATCGGCGGTGGACAAACAATGTTGCTGATGAGCGCCATAGCGTATTGTCTCTCCTCTCCAAGCCTGCTTGGCCGGGAGGGACGAAGCAAGCGACAGCGGCGAAAGCTCGAGGCCACAAGTAGAGGAACTAGGTGAGCGCATAGATATCGACGGCGGCTGTCGCCCGTCAACCATTGTTGGCACAATCACAGGAGCGATACAGGCTGAAGCGATGCTTTGGCAGGAATAAAACAAAACAAAACAAAACAAAAAAATATATCGAATAGAAATATCTAAGATTGCGATAGAGACAAGAGCGCGAGGTGCGCACACGCAGTAGCATAGAGTGTGAGAACAGGGCTCTTGGTTTGTGCTGAGGGGAAGAGAGTCCGCCTGCTTTAGGCAACAAGATCGATGATCTTGCCGAGAATTCCGCGCTTGGCGTCATTGGCTTTGGCCTGGTCCTCGCCCTCGTAGTGGTCGACGCGGCCGGTATCGAGGTCAACCATGGTGAGGGGAATAACGCGGCTGCGGGTGGTGATCTTGTAAATGACATAGGCCAGGAGGAAGGGAATAATACCGCAGTAGGCGCCGACGATCGAGAGAGCGTTGACGGGGGTGAAGGCGTACAGGCCCTGGAGGATGATGATGACAGTCGAGCCGACAAAGACAAAGAGGGGAGCGAAGGGGAACAGCAGACTCTTGTAGGGGAGATCGCTGATGCGGCGGTCCTGAGCGACATAGGCGCGGCGGAAGCGGAAGGCCGTCAGACCGATACCGGCCCAGGAAATCAGGCCGACGACGGTGGTGAGGTTGATGAGCCAGACAAAGGAGCCGGCGGCATCAAAGACGGCCGAGAGCAGGCAGATCAGGGCAATGAAGTTGGACAGGCAGAGGGCGTAGAAGGGGACACCCTGGCGAGTGACCCGGCCAAAGATCGAAGGAGCCTTGCCCTCACGAGCGAGGGCGCAGAGGATTCGCGAGGACGAGTACATGTCCGAGTTGCAGGCCGAGAGCACAGCAGTCAGGATGACGCCGTTGACAATGTCGGTGGCAACGCCCCAGCCGGCCTTTCGGAAGACGAGGGTGAAGGAGGCGTAGGTGGGATCGGTCGAGGAGGAGCCCTGAGAGAGATCGGGATCGGTGTAGGGGATGTCGAGGCCGATCATGAGAATGACGGTGACGTAGAAGAACAGGATTCTCCAGAAGACTGAGGAGGCGAGAGGGGCGTGTTAGCGAGGACGGCAAGCATGCGGCCGAGAACAGCAGGGTTGGGTGCGATAATACAAAAGGCGTGATATGGCGTGCAAGTGCCACGGCGAGCCAACGTACCATTGTTGATTGCCTTGGGAATGTTGCGGCGCGGGTTGGCGGCCTCACCGGCAGCGATGGCGACGAGCTCGGTTCCCTGGAACGAGAAGGCAGCGGTGGCGAGCAGCGACAGGAACGACACGGTGTTGCCGGTGAACATGCCGGGGTCGGTCCAGTACTTGAAGCCGATGTACTGGCGGCCTCCACCGACAGCGCCGACTGGAGCGTGCGCGGATACAGAATGCGAGGAAGCGTGAGAAGAGCATGCAAGCACGAACGCAGAGGGTCTATAATTCGAGCGAGCAATGTGCGGTGCTGTGGTTGCAAGGCACTGACCATTGACGAGAATCGAAACGATGATGAAGACAAGGCAGGTCAGGATCTTGATGATGGCGAACCAGTACTCCATTTCACCATAGAACTTGACACCGACGCAGTTGAACAGGAAGATGATGACGTAGAACGTCAAGGGCATGACCAGAACATAGATGTTGGGATTCCAGTAGGCGATGATGATACCGGCGGCGGACAGCTCGATGGCGATGGTGACGACCTGGAGAATGAGAGGTGAGGCGGGCGATGCATTAGCGCCGGCACGAGGAGCACGGAAACACGGATGCGGTGGGAGCGCGGTCGGACAATGCAGAAACAGCCGAGGATTCCGGGTGGTGGCGGCGGGAGACGTTTAGACCCAGCCCGGGGACGTTTAGACCCAGCTCGGGAGACAGACAGACAGGAACAACCACTCGGCACGGAAACCTACCCACGAGAACCAGTAGTTCCAGCCGAGGGCAAAGCCGAGAGCAGGGTCGACGAAGCGACCGGCGTAGTGGTTGAAACCACCACTGACGGGGAGATAGGTGGTCATCTCGCCGAGGCAAGTCATCATGCAGAAGACCAGGAAGCCGACGACGATATAAGCGATCAGGGCGCCGGTGGGGCCGCACGAGGCAATGCTGGTGCCGGTGGTGAGGAAGAGACCAGTGCCGATGGTTCCACCTGCAGACAAAAAAAAAGCCGGTGATCGGTCAGCGGCCGCGCCATCAGAGTGCGAGTGCGAGTGCGAGTGGGAAGGGAGATGCACAACTGCGAGCTGCACAACTGCGAGCTGCACAACTGCGAGCTGCACAACTGCGAGCTGCACAATTGCGAGCTGCACAACCATGAGATGCACGGCTGCAAGCAGACAGTACAATACGCCGGTCGAGCAGACAGCGCCGACAGCAACCCACCAAGGGAAATCATCTGCAGATGGCGGGCCTCAAGACCACGCTTGAGGCCGTGTTGCATCTCGCCTTCGCTTTCAACGGTGTAGTGTTCTTCGGTCTTGGACATGGCTGGGCGGCACAGAGATTGGGAGCACGTCCAGGAGAGGGCGGGGGCGAACAGGGCCAGAGAGATTGGCGATCGGCAGGATTTTTATGTGGCCGAGGCGACGACGAGTGCCGGATGGAGTGGGGAGGAGAGCGGGGAGCGAGACTCGTCCTTGTCGGGATCACACGATAGAGCGACGGCCCAACACGCCCGGGCGGGTGGAGCGCCGCGCGTGCCAGCCCCAAAGGCGGTCGCGCACCAACTGCTTGTGGGGCTCTTGCATTTGTGCGCCGTGGGCGAGGGGCTCTTGTTAGGCAGGCGCCTCGCCTGTGGGAGCGGCCGCCGAATGGGTCGCTGAACAGGGCTGTTGAATGGGGCTGTTCGGGGGCCTTGCTGCCCCCTGTGCTTGTGGAAGGGAGGCGATAAGCAGTCAAGGCGCGGGGGGCGTAACGAACCGCCAGCCGTCCAAAGCGAGCGGCAGATAGCGTTGGCCGAGTACAGCGCATGTCGATAGCGAGGCCGGCAGTAGCGGGAGTTCATCCGGCAAATGCAACGAATGCAAGCGCTGTAACTGATGTAACTGATGTAACTGATGCAAGCGATGTAACTGATGTAACGAATGCAAGCGATGTAACTGATGTAACTGATGTAACTGATGTAACTGATGCAATTGATGCAAGCGATGCAGCCAGCCACAGCAAAGCGTAACCAAACAATCAGCAGAAGCAGAATCAGAAACAACAGCGCCGGCAAGGCTCGGGGGCAGAGAACTGATTTTAATCGGCGGCGCTGGCACGACAAACAAACGCCGAGCGGATGCAACATGAGGGCGCCTGTGGTGCAAACTCTCGCCCGCTTGCCCGCTTGCCTGCTTGCTTACTTGCCTGCCGAGGGCTTGCTTGCGGCTGCCTCCGGCCCGGGCCTTGTCGCCGGCCCGACCAGCAAGGCGCTCCTTGCCCGGGGCAGCTGATGAGATCGAGCCGTATCCGCCCGGATCTTGTACAACGCCGCCGACGGCCTTGCGGCTGTGAAGAGTCACCATCAGCCCAGACAGGGTGGTCAGCGCGCGGCTGCAGTGCAGCAGTACCGGGCTTCGTATGCCTGGCTGGGCCGGAGGGGTCTGCTCTGCTCTGCTGCGTGCATGTACACGGGCGGTGGTAGCCGGCGCTGCCGCACCAGGTCCAGGTCGTCGCCAGTCGCCGCCAGTCGTCGCCAGGAACAGTGGCCACCGCCGATCACCAGACTCCCAGCAGAGCCGCACCATGGAAACGCCGGCTGCCACATGAGAGTGGGCCGAGCCGGCAGCTGACGGCAACAGCAACCACACCCACAAATAGCCTTTGCGTGTGCAGACCGCCGCGCCACATCCTGGGATGTGTTGGGTTTGCAGTCGAGCGCCGTTGCGCACCATTGCCACCCCGAGCCTTTCCTTTTGTCGTTTGTTTGTCTTTCCTGTCGCGGGCATCCCCCGAGCTGTCCTGTACCGAGCGCCACCTGGCCTGTTGCCGGCTGGCTTGCTGGTCTTGCTGGTCTTGCTGGTCTTGCTGGTCTTGCTGGTCTTGCTGGTCTGGCGTGCTGTCCTCGCGACCGGCGCGACCGCCTTCCCCTGTCGGTCCGGGAATGGTCGCCCGGAGCTGGCGGCGCCGCCTTTCACACGGCCCATGCGACTACCGCCAGCGGGAGCCACCCTTGCGCCAGCGCTCGCTCTGGCAGAGTTCGTGGACTGGTGGCAACGGGTACGAGCGGTCATCAGGCACCAGACGGACACGCCATGGGCATTTCCCACGCCGACATACATGACCACAGACGCGATGTGCAATGTGCAATGTGCGCTCGTGTGAGACGACGCGGTGTGGCGATCTTGCTCCAGGATGGCCTTGCTCCAGGATGATCCTGCTCAGGGACGAAGGTGTCGTCATCGCCCATATCTCGACTTGATGCGATTCCCCGTTTGCGCCGGCAAGCTCATTCGCGTCATGATCCTCCCGCTCCTGTCGCCGACACCGGCTCTCAGTCAGCACTCGGTCAGCACTCGGTCAGCACTCATCTCTATTCGGATCCGCTGATGCTCGAGACAGCATGGACAAGCTCTGACTTAGAGAAATCCGGGGGCCTCATCGTCGTCGTCGCTGTCACCCGCCCCCTGGCTCCGGACCATGTTGCCCTCCTCATCGACCTCGATGCGCCGCCGCTTGTTCTTGCCGCTGTCTTTGGTAAAGCCCTTCTTGGTCTTGGTCCGCAGCTCCTCGACGTCCTCGGCATCCTTGTCGGCCCATTCGATCACCAGATGGCGGCCGTACAAATGCGTCGCCGAGAGGGCCTCGAAGGCCGCCCGCGCTTCCTGCTTGGTCAAGAAGTCGACAAAGCCAAAACCGCGGTGGCTGCCGTCAAACTTTTTGGGGATCCGCACCGACTTGACCGAGCCAAAGTTGCTGAGGAGAGGGAAGGGCATGTGGTAGAGCACAACCGGGATTAGATGGCTGTCCTGGTCAGATTGGCCCACCAGCTCGTCCGCCATGGCATGGTATGGTACCACACGGCTCGGCCGGGTGCGCTGGGCATTCCGCACGATCGCTCTGGATAGAACACTCACGTAAACAGCGCCTGGATCTCCTTCTTGGTGGCCTCGAACGGGATGTTGCGGACCACAAGTTTGGTGCCGTTCGCCTCGAGATTGGCATCGTCGCCGCGTCGCTTGCCGCTCGAGTCGGACTGTCCGCGGCTGGCGGCATTCGAGACCTTGAGCTGCAGCGCATGGCCATCGAGTGTGAAGCCCTGCATCGACTTGATCGCCCGGAGGGCATCGTTCTTGTTGTAAAACTCGACAAAGCCAAAGCCCATCGACAGCCGTGTCCCCTTGGGGTTCTTTGGATCGGGCTTGGTCGCAACCCGCACCTTGGCGAGGCCGCCGACTCCCCGGAAGGCCTCCTCGAGCTTCGCCTCGGTGGTCTCAAAGTTCAGGTTCTTGACAAAGAGCGTCGTCACGGGCATGCCTGCGTCCGCCTCGACGTCCTCCTTCTCCTGCTTCGAGGTCGTGAGTTCCTCCATGATGGCCACCTTGGCCTCTCCCTTGGCCGTTTTGGACGCCTGGGCGGCCTTCTGGCGCTCCGCCGCCTCCTGCGGATCGTATGCCTTTGTGAACGACCCCATCGGCGCCCACTCAAGGTACAGCGGCAAGTTCTTGAACTTGGTATAGGCCAGGTGACGGAAGGCAGCCTTGGCCTCGTTCTGCTCCAGGAACTCGACGAGGGCAATTGTCTTGGCCGGCGGCAGCACCACGCGGCCCAGACTGCCGAACCGTCCAAAAAGCTCCACGAGCTCGGCCCGCTCAGTCGACGCTGGGATGTTCTTGACGAGAATGATAGCGTCGCTGCGGACCTTGCGTCCGCGCTCAAAGGCGTCCAGCGACACGCCTTCGTCCTCCAGATACTGCTTGGTGTCGTTGATGACGTTCGTTTCCGCAAGCGCCACGCGTACAGCCATGTTCTCGGACTGGGGATCGAGAATCTCGGACTTTTTGATGTTGAGCTTGTTGGCCATCGACTCGATTACTGCGTCCGTCTGGAGATTCATCGAAAAGATGCCAAAGCGATTTGGACGGGTTAGATTTGGAAGCACGACGGAATGGAGAGCCTCGCCGTTCGCCACAAGCACAACCCGCAATGTTCGAGGCCAAGCGAGACTTGCCGCCACGCCCCGATACGCACATTCATAAACAGGCTGTTCCAGCTAAAGTCGCTGCCGGCGGTTTTCTTCTTCTCGAGCTCACGCTTCTTCTTGAAGGCGCCGGGGGCAGACATGTCGATCTGCTCGTCCTTGGCCTGCGGCTTCTCTTTGCCGCCGACAATTTCCAGAATGCGGCCCTGGAAGATCTTGCCGTTCAGCGACTCGTATGCCCGGATGCCGTGCTCTGGAATCAGATAGAGCACAAAGCCATATCCTTTGGATTTGTTGGTCTGCTTGTCCATGGAAATGTGAACCTGGATTGCGGGAGGTGGGAGGGCACGATCAGCTGGCGCCAGGAATGAGGCATTGCTGGGCTGCACTTGCCCGCATCGCATTGCATCGCACGCAGCGCTTTTGGTGTCGCTCGATCCAAAATCATCCGTCATTCGCCAAGTGCAGCGAGGACATACCTCGGACAGGGGCCCGAACTTTTCAAACAACTTCTGAACGTCATCCTGTGTGCATGTATAGGCGAGGTTGCGGATAAACAGGCGACCGGTGTCGGCGATGATTTCCATCGACGACGACACAGACTCCGATATCAGCGGCTCCGCTACAGGCGGAAGCCTGGCTGCCATCGATGGCGGTGCTGGAGTAAAGCCGGTGGCCGGCACCGATTTTGAGGAGCTGGAGGAGGTGGCTGCCTCGTTGAGAGCCGAGCTCTGTGATTTGGGTGGGGACTCGGCCTCGGCGTTCCCAGGATCATCATTCTGCTTTCCAAACCCGTCGTCGTCCATGTCGTCATCGTCGTCGAAGCACCTCATCTTAGATTTGAAGTAGTCCATATCCGAGACCCCGGTATCGTGCGCGACGGTCTTTTCCTGTATCGGCTCGTCCTCCTCCAGCTTGGCATCGTCGTTTTGGACGGCGGGGGTTGGCTTTGGCTCGTCCTCTTGAGCTGGCAGATCCTCGTACTCGTCATCCGAATCGTTGCCGAATTTGACATGAGTCTTGGTCAAGACCATGCCTTCACCGCCAGCTTTTCGATTAGCGACAATGCCGACCATGGCTTGGATCTTTTCTTTCTTTTGCTGCTTCTTGGCCTGTTTCTCGGCCGCGGCACCCACAATGTCGTCGTTCGCCCAGGTCTTGGATGTGGCTCGGGGCTGCATCACCTGCAGGAACTCCCGGAGCTTGTCGTCCTCTTGGTCGGCATAGAGGTCCTGGATGAGGGCCTTCTTCTTCACCAGATCTTGCTCGGCCTGCTGCCGTTGCGCGGCAATGCGGATCTCGCGCTCCTCCTTCCGCTTCTGGGCGAGCAGCTCTTCGTTCTTCTTCTTCTCGTTGGCGGAGGAGCCCTGAGAATATCGACTCCATGGCCGCTCGAGAGTGGCATCTCCGATCTGAGGGAAGGGCCGAGGGTCGGGTATCCAAGGGGGGAATCCAGGAGAGCCAAAGGCGGATGAGTGAGTGACCGGCGGGAACCACATTCTGAAACAGCGGTGAGAATGGGGAGGTAGGTGCGCACCGTTTTCGCAATCTCGACTTGCAGCTTTGAGGTATCGATGAATGTGTCATTGAAATATTGGGCGGCTTTCTTGGCGTCCTTCTCGTTCTTGTAACCGATATAACCGAACTGGCGAAACCGGCCCTCTCTGGTGATGGTGATGGTGATGGTGATGGTGATGGTGATGGTGATGGTGATGGTGATGGTGATGGTGATGGTGATGGTGATGGTGATGGTGATGGTGATGGTGATGGTGATGGGAATCGTCAGACACACAGCGCAATCTGATTCTTACTATCGTCACACAGCTGAAATCAAATGCAGAGTGTATTTCCATCACACAGCATGTTCCTTTGCTTGCTCCTTCCTCAGGACTCACCTTGTGTACATGAGCTTGGCATCAGTCACCTCTCCCTTGGCCGCAAAGTGCTCGCGGAAGCGCTCTTGGGTGATGTGCTTGGGCAGGTTCTTGACAATTAGACGAGACCTGTGGATGCACGGCGTTAATGCTGCGAACCACATGCGTCGATCGGCGCATCCGACAATATGCGCTCAGGGCCCAACAAGGATCAGTCCATCGCCGGCATCCCCGTTGCTTGAGACGGAAGCGTAGAGCCCGGGCCAGACCAGGTCCACGGATACAGCTGGTACGGTTGCAGCGCCCCCCGCACTGCATGGCGCCTTACATGCTGAATACTGTGCGATCCTGGACGATGAGAGCGGCGAGGTGCCTGGGGGAGGGTGATGCTGGTGGCAGGAGCCTTGGATGCGCCCAGACAGGAGCTGGCCAGCCGCCAAAAAGAAAAAACGCAACGTGACCTGCTGCGCTGCGCTGCGCATCTGGCGACCGCGAACATGTCGATCGCGATTCGAGAGGCGATGGCTGCCGACATCCACGATTCGCACTTTGGGCGGCGAGTCACTCCGTGCCGTGGCTCTGTGGGGCACCGAGACCACCGCCAGGGACATACCGATCGAGTCTGCCGTGGATAGCGCTCCCGGGCAAGTCAGGTGAATGTATGTGTATTCATAAATCCAACACGCAGCAGTCCCTGGCAATGAAAAGCAAGTTGCCTCACGGACGCTGTGGATACATGTCGGCTCGCATTTGCGAAAGGGTGATCAGGAGCATAGGCCAAAAAGAAAATGCCGAGATGGGGAATGAGCGACCGATTGGTTTAGTGGAAGCTCTTGAAGCGCTCCTCGACAGGCTGAAACTGCTTCGGGTAGGGCTCGCCAGTGGGCTTGCCAAAGGGGACCTCGGAAATGAGCTTCCAAGAGTCCGGGAGGTTCCATCGAGCACGGATCTTCTCGGCGACACCATCCTTGTAGTAGTGCTGGAGGCCACCAACCGAAAATCATCAGATCAGCACAAGTGCATAATGGGCACGCGTGGGCAGACGCGATCTCCAGGCCGACACAGACAGCCTTGTAGGAGCTGCATCATCTCCGCCGAGCGAGCCGTGCCGGATCAAGACAGATGGCAGATTGCTTACCTGGAGAGTGGCGCCATAGCCCTCCTTCTCCAAAGCAGTCCAGACAATGTACTGGAGGATGCCCGAGGACTGGAGCGAGAAGCTATCAAAGTCGTCCTTGTAGCTGGCATACTTGTCCTTGAACTGGTTGAGGGCGGCTTGGTCCTCAAAGAAGAGGATGGTGCCGTAGCCCTTCTGGAAGCCGGTCAGGCGGCCGTTGGTGTTTTCAAAGTGCTCGGGCGACTGGACCTCGCGGAGAGTCGATCGGATCAGCTCCCAGAGGTCGTCGTGCTCCTTGCCGATGAGGAGAACGACGCGACCGGCCTGGCTGTTGAAGGAGCTGGGAGCATGCAGCACGGCCTGCTTGATGATCTCCTCGATCTGGGCGACTGGGAGAGGAGACTCCTTGCCAATGGCGTAGATGGAGCGGCGAGCGCGAACGGCGTCCAAGAAGGGCTGGCTCATGTTGGATAGGAAGTACGGGGCTTGAGCAGGGGGAGGAGTGGGAAGGCGCGATGCTGAGGAGCGAGGGTGGGAAAGGCTGAAGACTCGGTTGCTGGGGTACCGAACGAAAGGGATCAACCGGGGGGGGGCGCCTCGTTTTATATCGCCATCGGCTGGTGTGCGACGACCCATGCGGCCACCCTGGTTGGCCGATCCGAGCGGGCGACGGCGGGTTCGGTTTGGCCCAGTCCGGCACCACCGCGCCGCGAAATCAGCCGTCGCTGGTCGCACAGACCAGATTTGTCACTGGCGATTGCGCGACCGCCTGGCGGATTTCAAAGCACGGGCGGGTCTTGCGCCAGCAAGGTGGCCTGACCCATTTGTCACCAGGGGCTTGAGCGGGGACTGCCAGGATACGGAGCCTGGACCAAGGAGATGTCAACGGAGATGTGGATCGAGGAGATGCGAACGGGGATGTGAACCGAATGCGAGGACGCTGGGTGCAAAGAGGCCGCCGCATACTGGCCAGACAGCCTTCCAGGCGGGAGCTGACCGCCAGAATCACAGGCCCGCGGCGAGCCAACCCGTTCGGCGATGGCGAGATCGCTGCGTCGTTGCAATGCGGCAGTCGGTGGTCCTCGTCGCCCGCCACGCCCCGCGCGCTCTCGTCGGTTCGGGCAGCGTCGTCGTTCTTTGCAAGCGCCTGCATCAATTTGTCAGCCTGGCGTGCACGATTCCCACACACCATGCCCTCGAACAATAGGATCCCGTTGGCGTGGTCGGCAACGGCGGTCTGGTGCAGGCTCGGCACCAACCAGTCGATGTATAGCCGAGGCAATCGCTACTGCTGCTGCTGCTGCACACTTTGTATTATCGGATCGTGAAGACAAACAAGAACAGCCACTCGCAGCGCCTCGACATGCCTCGGTGGAGAATGACGAGGCCGCCTCATGGCCCATGTCGCGCAAATGCAAACAGCGACCGGGCTCGATTGCTCATGCCCACACCGATCCGCTCGCAGAAGCCGCGCAGAATGTCGATGGGGTCTCGCTCCAGCAACTGGTCGTCCATGCCCAGGACAACGGTCGCCGTCAGGGCATCCATCGGCTTTGGCAGGGACGCCAGTTGGTTGCCGGTAATGTCCAGCAGCTCCAGACCCACCAGCCCACCCAGCGACTCGGGCAGCATCGCCAGTTGGTTGCCCGCAGCACCCAGCCGACGGAGCTGCCGCAGCTCCCCGACGGTGTCGGGAAGGGCCGAGAGCCGGTTGTTGTCCACAAAGAGGTCTGTGAGCCGCGAGAGCTGCCCCAGCGAATCAGGTAGATTCTCGAGGCAGTTGTAGTCGACTCGCAGGATCTGCAGGCTCGCGAGCTGGCCGATCTGCTCCGGTAGTCGCTTGAGTTGGTTGCCCGAGACGATGAGATTCGTCAGCCGGCGCAGCCGCACGATGGAGTCGGGCAAGGCTTGCAGCTGGTTGCTGGAGAGATCCAGGGTCGTCAGCACGGCCAGGTGGCCGATGCATTCGGGGATGCTCTCGAGCTGATTGCATCCCACCAGCAGCGCCGAGAGATGCCGGAGGGCTCCGATCGACTGTGGGAGCTCCCGGAGCCTGTTCCCATAGAGCATGATGGTCTGCATCGCAGCCATGACGCCGATCGACTCGGGCAGACTCGTCAGTCCGAGCGAGCACAGCGCAAGCTCGGAGCATCCCAGCCGGTTCGGCCCGCACACAAGCCGCTCGACTCGACGGGCGAGATATCCATGGGGTTCGTTTTGCGCCCATCGCTGATAGAGCAGCTGTGAGTGGCGCTCGCCGGCAGCCATGACGGTTCGGAACAGATCGGCATCCTCGGCAGCCGAGGCCCACAGGTACGCCTCGGTCTTGTGTGGTGCGGGGCCGACCCTATGAAGATACGAATCGGCCCCCAGCACCACAAGCCGGAGATCCAACTCGATAGCCGTATCGATCGAAGGTCCTTCTGTGTGGACTTGCGTCAGGCAGGTCAGGAGATGTCGCCAGCACGGCCGGTTGGTTTCGTAGCGATGGCGAAAGCTTCGATTGAGCATGATGATCTTGAGCAGCTCAGGCAGGGTAACAAAGCTGCTGAAGACATAGAGGTCCAGCACCAGGGCGATGGTTTCGGCGACGGACTCGCGATCAGTCATTGTCAGAGGAGGAGGAGAGAAGTTGTGGGGGTATAGAGGCAAGCCGAGATTGCCTGTGGCTTGTCTGGAGGAGGGCGAAAGCCAGTCAAAGCGCTGGTCTTGAAGGGGGCAAGAGCGGGAGCTGGGCATCCAAACGGCTGCCGAGATCTCGGCGAAGGAGCGGCTGAGACGGTGGTGGTGGTGGTGGTGGTGGTGGTGGTGGTGGTGATGATGACGCCGGAGCAAGATGCATGCCTCGCTGGACGGTAATAAGTGGCGAGACGCAGCTTGTTCGAGAACCAAGAGCGACGGCAGGACCCGCAGGACCACAACATGGCATGGTCATGGGGAAGGGGGCCAATGGTGCTTCTGCGGCCCATGGCCGGGATCTGGCTCGGCTTCTCGGCAGCCACAACAGCCCGCACAGCCCGCACGGGGGAGATGCCTGCCCTCGTCTGCATCGGTGTTATTAAGCCATTTTGCATCGGGCCTGGGAGAAGGAAGCGGGCGGAAAGGGAAAAGAAGCTCCGGCCATGGACAGAGCAGCGAGATGGATGGGCTGATGGGCCGGAAGGACAGGCATGGTCGAACGCGAGCGGGCATGGTTGCAGGAGAAAGCACGGGCCAAGGCGAACAGTCACTGATAACGACGATGCAGATGTGGTCGCGAATGGATGTATTGTGAGTTGGAGGGGACATTGGAGTCGAATGGTGGGTGGCTGGGTGAGGGGATTGCGGTGGTTCGTGAAGTTGCGTGAGGTTGCGTGGCTCTCGGCCATCGGCGAGGGAACATGCGGGTGTGTGGTTGGAAGAGAACAACAAAAACAGAGGACGAAAAAGAGCAGCGTCGAATCTCCCTCCCCACGCCAGAATCCGCTGTGGAGGGGTGGGATCGAGAAAGGAGAAAGTGCAGCACTGAGCAGGACGGGAGAGCGAGGAACATGGGGCTCGTCTCCGACACGACCTGCTGATCATCCACGATCCATCCAGCGCCGGACATGGCGGGAATGAGTGCACCGATGATACATACAAAAGCACGACTTGCGCAATAACCAAGTACAATCAAATACGAGCCTCTTGGCCGCAGCCGCGAGCTCAAACCCACAGCACTCATCTCAAGCCCCGGACGGCAAAATCGCATGCGCAATGAAGAAAACAAAACAAAACAAAACAAAACAAAGAATGCAGGTCGACGACAGCAAGTACAAAGAGCAGCTCCACAAAATGGCATCACGACAAAATGGAGCGGAGCGCATGCGCAGGAAGGTGGAGGGCGGGGGAGCTTTGTAACAAACCCGATGGGTGATGGAGCGTAGATGTGATGGAGCGTAGATGTGACGAGAGGAGAAGAGAGGACAAGACAAGACATGGCAGTGCAAGGCAGGGTTGGTTGGCGCAGAGACTTGATTCGCTCAAGGTCGCTCGGACGCCCTTGCAGATGGCAATACGACTTGGTGGTAGCGGGCTCCAGCAGCTTCACAGCAGGCCCTTGGGGCTGACCAGTCGACAGGCAAAGTGCAGCCAGAACATGCATGTCTACGAAGGACCGTGCAGCTGGCCACACTCATCGCACTGGGGTCCGTCGTCGGCAGCGCGCCCGGCGGCCGGCCAGAGGAACAGCAGATCGTCGTCGATGGGTCCCTTCTGGAACCGGTCCGAGAGATCCACGATCTGATTCCACAGGAGCGAGACGTCCGTTTCCCCGTGGAGATACTGGAGCTCCAGCAGACTGTTGTCGTCGTCCTGGAAATGGGCCTCAGACAGCAGCAGCGGAGCCAGCTCCAGTGAGCTAAACGTCTTGACGGCCAAGGTTTGGATCCAGGTCGACGACAGGTTCGAAAAGACCAGGCGCGTCCAGAATCGCTCGGCTGAGGACAGCATAAACAGCGACATCTTGGTCGACATGGCCTGCAGGAACGAGAGGGCCAGAGACGTCGTGGTGATGGGCCCGGGCAGGCCAACGGACTGAATGCCAAACTCTTGCACAAGCTGCAGCAGCGATGCCTGTGTCTTGGCCTTGAAGACCATGTCGGGCCCCATCGTCAGCGACGATTCGTTCTCAAAGTGGTTGATGTCGAAGGAGACGTGGTGCACCGCCTCGAGATCCCGAGCCATCTCAATGGCTCGCTGCGCCGCTGGAACGTGGATCGAGAGGAACTGGCGGGCGCTCTTGCAGGCAGCCTGCAGCTGGCCCTGACCACCAGAACCGGTGCAGAACGATCCGTTGGCAAGGGCATCCAGAAGCAGCGACGGATGCAGGTCTTTGGCCAGGAAAATGGCCTTCCAGCCGAGCCAGTCGAGGCCGCACTTGTAGTGGTGCGTTCCTGCGCAGGGAGCACTCTGCAGCTTGTAGACCCGGGTGGCGACGACGCTGCAGATGTGGTCGAGGCGATGCTTGGGCACGATCGAGAACGGCGGGGGGTTGGCGGAGGATTCGTCCGGAGCGATCAGGAGCTTGGGCTGCGAGAGCGAAAGGAGCGAGGTGTGCTTACGGCGGATGCGCCCAACGCGGTCCAGCCCGAGGTTGGCAAAGCACTGTGAGGCGAGGTTGGCAGTCATCCAAAGAGTGTGAAGCCGGTAGATTCCACTGCCGCACCACTCGCTCGGCGAATCGGGCTGCTGGAAGTACGCAATGCACTCGTCCGTGCTGTCAGGAGGGCTGCCGCGGCTGAAGCGGCCACCACGCATGAAATATCCAGAGTCCGGCGCAAAGCGCAGATGCACGTTGGTCTTGTCGTTATCTGAAAAATACAGGCGCGAGAATGCGGGCGTCAGCTGTGCGTATGGAGGTGCAACCCGAAGGGGGATGCTGTTCGGCAATGTCGCAACAAAGCGCTGGTCATGGACAGGCGACATACTGCGGTGGGAAGTGGCTGCGTATGCCATGCATGGCAGTCCGAGCATGGCAGTCCGAGCACCGCCACTGCCCTCGTGCGAGCTCATGATCTTACCTGGCGCCTTTGCATCAGTTCCAGAGCTGCTTCCGGATTCGTTCCGAAACTCAAGGACGTGGCGGTCGCGGCGGCCAGTGTCGATCATGGTCAAGGGAGCAGACGATCTTGCGGGCTTGAACTGCATGACGGTGGTACCGTCCGAGTCGCAGGCATAGTCGCAGCAGACGAGGGTGACAGGGCCCGAGATCGGAACCGAGAGCACCTGCGACTCGATGCGGAAGAGCGAGATCTGGAGCTTGAGGTTCAGGAACGAGTCGTCGATGTAGTCCTGGGCAATCCGATACCATAGACGCGAGACCCGGGAGAGGTCGTCGCGGACATACGACGGTCGGAGGAACGAGAAGATGGTGTACACGATAACATGATTGGAGAGGGCCATCCGGGTCGCCAACAGCGACGGGCGACGGACCGATCGGGAAAGAGTGTCGGTGCGCAGACTCCGGCGTTCAGGCGCGAGCTCGGCCGGCATGGCCGAGAGGGAGCAGGAGGAAGGCGTGCGCGAAAGCGCCAGCGACAGGGACTCGGAAAAAACCGACGCGAGATCCGAGTCGTCGTCATAGACAGTAGCGGGTCCGTAGGGAGAGAAGGGCGAGATGGCGACCAATGGATCCGAGACGTCGATCAGCGGGAAGGAGGCAAAGATGTCGGGCATGACCTCGCTCAAGGAAAAGTCTGTGCTGAGCTGCGACGTGAGCGAGGCCAGCGACTCGGGGAAGGCCCACAGCTTGGCGAGGGCCTCATGGGGGCTCCATGTGTGCGAATGGTAGGCATCCGAGAGAAACTTTGGGTATGACAGAAGCGAGGACGGGAAGGGGTCGTTGAACTGCGGGATGTAGGTCGAGTAGAGGAACGACGGGGAATAGGCCGACAGCTTGGGCCAGTTGATGATGGAGCCGGGATTGGCCGACAGGTAGTAGACGGACTTTGCCTGGTTCCACAGATACGAGGGGCGGGACGAGAGCCATGCCCGTGACGGATACAGGAAGGTCTTTCCGTTGGGCTGCTGCTGCTGCTGGGTGGTGATGGGATGGCGGTAGCAGTAGTACAGTCCAAAGGCCAGGAGGAAGCAGGTCCCCACGAACATGTTATTTTCACCAGGCTCGCCCTTGAACATGACTGCGAAGGGACGGCGGCTGGGTTAGTGGGGGGAGAGAGGGAGAGAGAGAAAGGTCCGAGAATCGGGAGGATTGGCAATGTGGGGTGTGGGAGTTGAACGGACTTGCGGGATGCGGATGCGGACAAATGACGGATTGGTGTCAATCAGGCAACGCCTTGTGGGGGGAGGATGGGACGATTCGGGCGCGACTTGGCAGAGGCAGTTCGCTGGAGACGATGGCGAGAAAGATGCAGCGAGGCAAGACGAGTCGAGTCGAAGCAAGACCAGATGAGACCAGATGAGACGAGACGGGCGCGACGGCAATAGAATTCAGTCCAGGACGATCCGCGGATCCGGCGAGCAATGCTGGGGAGAACTGCCGGAGAGCACGGCGGGCGATGGTGCGATGGTGCGATGGTGCGATGGATGCAGCCGATGCAGTCGATGCAGTCGATGCCAGAGGCCAGGCAGGCAGGATGATCGCCGGCGACGAAAGCAAGTTGACGGCAGAAGACAAGCGTGCTTGCGGGTTTTGTCCCAGAGCAGACCACAGTCCCTTCCCCCAAAAGGCCAAGGCGAGATGGAGTCAAAGCCGCACGCAGACCGAACGCGGTCTTGCTGCGTTGTGTAGTGTTGTGTTGTGTGGTGTGGTGTTGTGTGGTGTTGTGTTGTATTCTGTTGTGCTGTGCTCCACACACCTCTGTGCCTGTGGCCCTCGCGATTGTCTGCGCCAGTGCCGCTTTGGATACACGCACTCCGTTGATTGTGTGCACCCCGCTGGTCAGGCGACTATGCTCCTCGGCCAACAGCTATCCCCTCACTGTCGCTGTGCTGCCTCTCCGCACTGTGCCACTGTGGTTGCGCCGTGTCCGCGTGTGTGTCCGTTGGGGCGCGCTTCCCAGCCAGTGCCCGCGGAGCAGCCACGTGCCGCCAGCAAGACACCACACAGCACACAGCGCGCACGTGGACAAGGCCCCGCGGGCTTTCACGTGGCAGCTGCACTCCGCGGGCGTGACGATCACATGGCTGTCGCGCAGGCCGGACGAGCCCGCGTTCTTCCTGGGCGCACTCATGGACACAGCCCGCTGATTCCCATGGGCGACGATCCGCTGGCGGCATTGGCGTGGCGGATGGACACCGAAGCTCTGGTGCGATATCGAATGGTACGATATCGAATGGTGCGATATCCAATGGTGCGATATCCAATATCCAATATCCAATATCCAATATCCAATATCCAATATCCAATATCCAATATCCAATATCCAATATCCAATATCCAATATCCAATATCCAATATCCAATATCCAATATCCAATATCCAATATCCAATATCCAATATCCAATATCCAATATCCAATATCCAATATCCAACCGAGATCATGCTCTTGGCTGCGTCGATGTCTTGATGTGGGAGTACGGTGCATGCATTCGATCCTCTGGCCTCCAGGCACCATGAGCACGCCGTTTGGTCACGGTAGGAGTATATTCAGGCCCGGGAATCAACGACAGTCCTGACTCAAAACAGGGTGTCCCGTTTCAAAATGGGTACGCTGTATCAGCAGTCTCGTTTTCAATGAGGGCATTCTGTCCTCTGCGCAAGGTTGCTCAGGGCATCCTGTGGACTCTTGGTCTCGCTCTAACTCGCCGCACTCGTTCTCAGCGGTGCTTGGTGTGCATTCCCCCCACTGCACCCTGCGCACGGCTCGGCTCAATCCTCGCCCAGCGTTGCGTTGCTCTGCGGGGTGGGGATTTGTGATGGCGGCGGCGGCGGCGGAGGTGGTGGCCATAGCTCGCCCACTTTGCGTCCCCGCTCCCAGCCTGGAAAATCCTGGTCGCTCGGCAGCGGGACGAACCGCTGGGGGTTGCGCCGACGGCCTTGTCCTCGAACCGAGAGCGGGTGCGCCTCGGTGTTGAACACGTAGTGGCTCAGCGGCAGCACGCTGTCGTCCGAGAACAGCAAAAACAGATACTTGAGCGTCTCGGCCAGGAAGAACGATTGCTGCATGTCGTTGTAGCCGCCCGGATGCTGCACGTGCTGAAGCCCCGCGTATCCGTTCTCGACCTTGAGGTGCTTCTCGATGCTCTGCCGTTGTGGTGAACGCCCACGCCGTCCCACCGGTTAAGGACCGGGCATATGGCAAATCAGAGCCGCGCCATCGATGCCTTTGCTCCCAATGCCGATAGTCGAGGGCAGACGTGTTGCACTTCCACCAAGCGAGTCTGTGTTCGAGCCTACCTGAGTGATATTCCATCCCCACTCGCGGTAGATTGGATCGTGGGTAAACCGCCACATGTAAAAGATCGACTCGACCGTTTCGGGTCTGCACAGCGTTGGTAGAGCCGTAAAGTCGGTCAGCAGGCAGATTTGGCTAAGGGCCACCTGCACAGCTCGAGCACACGGCATCGATCCGGTGTTTCGCAGCATGTGCCAGCTGGCAGCCCCACTCACCCCAGTGCCCAGTCGGCGCCCCCTTCCGACTTACCGCTGATAGTAGGACGGGTCTTCAATATACAGATTCTCTCCATAAACTATTTCGGCCCCGAGGCCCGTCGCCGTCGATGCATAGGCTTGGAAGCACGTGTTGGTAGCTCGTCGGCCAACGTTGAAATCGTCCTTGGTACTTGCATCGTGCTGGGTAACGGCCCCCAGCGACAAGAGGCCGCCGATAAAGCATGACTGTGTGGCATGCCGCCAACGCGGACTAATCAGTGTCCAGGACACACAGGCGGCAATACCCTTGGGCCCTTCGACACTTTGCCAGATCCTGTTTGCCTACCAGATGATGGAAGGAGCTCTCGTGTGTCCACCGGCCGCTGATGAGATTGGCGGAGGGAAAGTAGACATACTTTTGATTCGAAGACACCTTCATGATCACCCGCTTGAGCTCCAAGACCCATCGATCGTATCTTTGCCGGTACGACTTGTCGCCGGTCGACACCCAGAACTTCAAAAGGTATTCGTAGAAAGAGTCCAGACTGGCGCCGATTCCATAGGTATCTATCGATGCACACATACATGCACAAGGTCCGCCCACGCCGGTCCATTGTGAGACTGCCGTTCAATGCTGATGCGAGACCCAGTGTCTGCTTCACATCCAACGCTCGATCATGTATCTATGGATCTGAGCTTGGCTTGGGATGCACCTCATGCTCAAATACAGCCTTACCACTCTTGTACTCAAGTTTGGTCGTGCCAACCACCATCGAGTGCAGATCAGCATACGGCCGCTTGGCAGCATACACTTGCTCCATGGCAAACAACGCCTGATGGAGGAGAATAGAACAGTGTATCCGACACATGACGACCCAAGTCAGCAACGACGCCAGAACTCTAATCGAATCTGCAGTACGTCCCCCACGGGGAAGCCACGCAAGCACCGCCCTGGCAGAGCACTGACCCGATCGGCGTATTTCCGGTCGCCCGTGATATCAGAAAGGTACTGGAACTCGAGCGAGAGCGTTCCAGCCTGGGAAAGAAAGACCCAGTCATCTTTGCTGCGAATCTTGCCGCTGAACAAAAGGAAACGGAAGAGGGTGAGCGGGATTAAGATCCGATCGGACCAATGCAAGGACGGGTGCTTCGAGGTCGGAGAGCCACAGCCGTCTGCCCGAACCTCCCTCTGGGCTCTTGCTGACAACGCTGCTCAACCCCCACGACCGCACGGTGGTCCACGACACACTTACGTTTTGGGATTGACCCAGTTGACCGGGATGCCCGTGGGTGTCTCGAAGGCTGGGAGCAGTGAATCGGCCACCTTCTTTGCCATACTGAGGAAAGCCACATCGCCCTCGAGGTCATAGGCGCTCAACAGGCCGCCGACGATGCGGATGTTGGTCTCAAAGAGGCTGACTTCCTCGTCGATGAACGGATCAAAAGTCTCCAGCACCAACTGCTTGGCTTGAAGGTACTCCTCCTTGAGGCCCATCAGCAGCAGGGTATCCAGCGAGTCGACGGGCGTCGACAGCAGCGAGTGGTTGAGATACCAGTTGTAGGGCTCTCCGCTCACCGGCCTGAGCTCGTCAGCGCCGCGGGCGAGATCGTAGTAGCCCTTCCAGGCAAACTGGGCCATCTGCAGGGACACAATCGAGTAAGCAGGGCCGTGCAGTAGGACACAGCGGGATACAGCAATGCAGGGCGATCAAACGACAGCAGGACAGGACGACAGCAGGATACGATCCCAGCCAGGGCAGCCAAGCTACCTTTTTGATGAAATCTCTCCTTGGTTTGGAAGCATCGGTGTATTTCCACGGGATTGAAAGCTCTTGCTGGTCGCTGTTGTCGACGAGCACCGACAGAGCCCTCTGTCCCATCTCCTTTTGTTCGGGCAGCGGGGTGCGGAAGAGGAGCAACTGCTGGCCGTCCCAGTCGTGCATCAGAAAGGTCGCCGTCCCCACCAAAAGCAAGAGCACCAGCACCACCCGTGCCTGCCAGGATCTCCGGAAGGAGAATGCCGGGAACCACTTCATGTCGACAGGTGATCGGGCCGGCAGATACAGTTGGGGAAGAGCTGGTTGAGATGGACGAGCGAGAGCCGGAGGGTGCCAGCAGCCAGAACAGGAGGTGGCGGGCGATCAGGCAAGCCCTTTTGTTTGAAGGGCCGCACGCCCTCAAAGCCCGAGGGCATGGTCTGTCGCCGATGGCCCACCGCACGCAATACACCACCAGAGCGGAGACGGGATGCCGGGCATGTCGATCCCCTCTCGTCCAGCCGACCCTGTCCAACGGGAGCAGTGCTGGGATGCAACCGCCATTTTGCGCCATCGGACCGGCGACCCCGAACAAACCCTGTCGCCGCCTGCCCTGTCGGCGGCGCCCAGCCAGACCAACCGCCCAGATATTCCCGCCGACACAGCCTCGGAGCCCGTTTGCATGTCCTGGCGAGCGTGCATCTCGCATCGCTTTGCATCCCATCGCAGGCATCGGTGTCTCATGGGGGTGTTTTGTGTCTGCAGATTGAGCATCAGCGGGACCTCGGGCATGTCCTTGCAGATACCAAGCTTGCCCTTGCTCTAGCGAGACGGAGGCACTGCAAGCGACCATGCTCCTCCATGGTGCAGAGTGCAGAGTGCAGGCAGTTGATGAGACGTGCCGATCGGCTTTTGGGTTGTCTGAATGTGTGCCAATCCAGCGTCTCCCTGGCACGAGCGAGAGCAGCCGAGAACGACCGAGAACGGCCGAGAACGGTCGAGAGGCAGAGAGACCGCCCTCCCTGGCAACCATCACTATCAATTTTTTCCGGCCCCTCGCGGCTGCTCATCTCGAATATGAATACACGCTGGAGACCAAGATGCAGCAAAAGTTGGAATCCGGCCATGGTCGGTTGACGGCATTTGGTATCACCTTGAGCCGATTGACGGTGGTGGTGGGCAATTGGTGTGGAGGAATGACCAATTGTATCATTGTTGGAAGCTCCACTCCGATTGCGGACAAGAACCACCACCATCTGAATCTCTCTGGTTGGAAACCTAGTCAAGCGTGGCTGTGTGTCAGCGAGGTGACATGATCGTTTGGCTATCAGGCAAGACTCACCTTGACAAGATGTTTTCCCACGACTGATTGAGCGAGCGATGCGTTTCTGGATCTAAATCAAGGACGCCACTGCACAGTATCTCTGCCAGCCCAAAAATGCGCTGGTTTTGAGGAGACTCTTTCTTCCCCGAGGGCAGAACCAGCCATCGTCGCTATTTTCTCGCCAGATGGCTCCCAAGAGAAAGACACCCCCCGACCCCGACCCAGGATCACCCAGTGACTCTCCTGTGGCCAAGAAACCCGTCATCAAATCATGTCCCTCCTGTGGACTGACCAACCATGTCAGACCCTTCACCAAGAAGTGCACAGCCAGAGTCGACAGCAGCCCTGCCTCTGGCTCTGCCTCGGTCGCTGAAATGGTCAGCCAAGCACCCCCTCCAGACGAGCCCAGCGAGGACACTGCCTTCCCAGCCCTCGTGGTCGAGATGCCCGCACCCAAGGTCCCTGTATGTGCCACGTGCGGGGAAGAGGGTCATGCCAAAAGCAGCAGTTCATTGTGTACCAAGAAGAACCCACTCTGGAGCTCTACCTTGCCTGACTGTGGCCCCAACGAGCAAGTCAAGGCCGAGTACTCAATCATCAAGTGCACCCTCGACGCCATCATCAAGAACGATGCCTTGCACGACAAGATCGAGGAGACTGTCCGAGCCATGACTCAAGTCCAGTACGAAGCATCTCGTCTCCTGGAGCTGCATCTCAGGCGGTGCTTGGACAAGGGTATCACTCTCCCCGCCGTGTCGTCGAGTGAACCCGCGTTTGTTCGAAAGTGTTTCAACATGGTGCAGGCAGGAGCAGTGGGTGCCAGGACGAACACCCCAGAAGATGACAGGCATCTCCTCGACACATATGACCTGTATCGACGTGCATGGGGAAAGTCGTGTATCCTGCCTTCTGTGTCCCTCCCAAAGGGTACTGGCTCGCAGATCCTCACATTGGCTGTCAAGACCTATGCTGTCAACTGCGAGACCCACGTTCTCGATCGATACTGGTCCCTTCTACGCCGATTCTGCAATCTGGCCCTGATTGCTCCCAAGGGTGTGAAACGGCACACACACGTCGAGGAGTGCATGAAGCTGATGGAGAACCCCCTCTCCAAGACACTTCTCGGTGATCTGAGGAAATCCTTCGCCCACCATGCCGACCAGTTGTATGAGTTTCGGTACGAAAGCCACCAGGACCTATACAAAGTCGTACCAGTTCTGGCCAGTGAAGTCTCTCGACTGACCCACCTGAAGGAGGCCCTCTTCATGGTGGTCTTTCAGAAGATGATCATTCCCAGGCTCGTGAGGGGAACCGATGATCTGAAAGGAGAGCGTGGGCGACTGAACGAGGAAATGTGTCGCTCTATCGAACGAAGGCTGCCTGACAAGCACAACGCACTCCAGACCCAGCACGAGGAGGTGTGCAAGCAGATCGCTGTGAACACGAAGCGGATCAAGCGACTGGCCGACCGACTTGCCCAGACGAAGAAGCGACTCAATGTCCCTCGAGCACAGTGCACCTTGGTCCCACTCTGCGATGCCCGAGCCAAGTATGTCAAGCTCGACACCAAAGCACCGTGGGAAATCCTTGGATACCAGACTGGCACTGGGCTCAAGTGGGACGACCTGAAGACCAAGGTCAATGACACCACAAAGCAAGAGACCTTCTGGCAGACCAACTTCAAGCTGGATCCGAGACTCTTTGGTGCCAGGGAGGAGGGAAAGCAGCTCTTTGGCTGCGAGATCACCACCGATGGGGTCGGGTGCTCGATCACCACGCTCAGATACAAGATCCTGGAGAAGAAGGATCCTGATGCCAACCAGAATCCGTGGACATGGACGATAAGACACTCAAGCTCACTCTCGAGAAGAAGATCCAGACCAGGGTCGGTCCCATTGACGACTCTCGGATCACATGGATCGGGATCGACCCTGGTGTGGGATCGATCTTCACCGCTGTCATTCGGGCACCCGGTCAACCATCCATCCAGGAGCAAGACGGTGTCAAGGTGACCAAGGCACAGCGTGCCAACGAGAAGATCGTGTCGTTCTCCAACAAGGAGTACCAGCATCGATGTGGCACCACCCAAGCGACCAAGTGGATCCAGAGCACCCACAAGATCCTTGGTCTGCAGGAATGGATGAGCACCACACCAAGCCCCAAGATCCCTGGGTTGGCTTCCTTCCTGCGATACATTCGCCATGTGTTCGATGGAGACATGCTGGACAAACAGCTGTACTTCAGCCTGACCCGGCGACGGCGATTCAAGCGACTCGATCTCCACAGCAAGCGACAGCGCACCGTCCACGAGATGTGCAAGCAGGTCATTGACCAGGCACCACCGGAGACCGAAGTGGTGATTGCCTTTGGGAATGCATCCTGGAAACAGGGGAAGGGATACGCATCCAGCCCACGGAGACTCAGGTTCGCCAAGTACTTTGAGCAGTTCACCCACCACCAGAGACGCCCACCAGACCGATCCGTCTCCAAGATCCGTGTGTGCTCGGTGAACGAGTTCAACACATCCCAGGTGTGCTCACATTGTCGGGAAGCCAAGCGACTCGAGAAGGTCGAGCATCTTGATATCGAGAAACCACACTTTGTCCGGAGCTGTACAAGCTGCCATACGCTGTGGGATCGAGACATCAATGCAGCCAGGAATATGATCTCGGTATGCCAGTCGATCATCGTCACAGGAGATCGACCGGGTGTATTCAAGACTGTGCTCCCGAAACCAACCCAAACAAAGAGATTGCCAACCAAGACGGGAAACAATTTCACGGCTTGCTCACTGGGGCCTACAGTCCGTCAGCGGGGTTCAGATATCTGAAGCCAGAAAGGGGAAGTGTCCCGTTTCTTTCTGGATAGACTGTAAGTATCTCGCACTGTTCCTTGAGTATTTCGACAGTGGATGCCGGGTCGCCCATATTCTGGGCAGTCCACTTCGGGGTTGCCATCCCTCTTGGGATGGTCGATGGGAGGTGTTTGACTCTCTTGTGCAAAGTGTGTGTGTGTGCCGGCGAGAGGCTTCTCGCCTTCCCTCGGGGGTCTCTCGCCAGAGACTGCTCTTCTCGCCGACCGAGGTGGCTCCGAGAGCGCGTTTTTTCGTTCTCGCTCATTTTATTAACAAGAATTTTTTCATAGTGCATCCATCTGCCGCCTCCCAGATCCGGCATTGGCTTCCATCCCACAACCCAATCGCCATGGCCAAAGGAACGACGCTCGGATCCCCGTCCAAAGAAGCAGCCCAGGCCACCGCGCACGAACCGGCCGCAGTCTTTGGGTCGCCTGCTGCAGGCTGGCTGTCTCTGCTGCAGCATACCACCAAGAGCCGCTTCTGCAAACTCGCCCTGATCAGCTCCATCCTCTTCGCCCTTCTGTGCAAGTGGGCCGTGGGCCTCAACGGATACTCTGGTGAGGACCGTGCCCAACAAGAGAGATAGAGCTGCAGAAGATGTCCGAGTCTTCGCCAACCGTCTGGATCGACAACTCTGGCCAGACCTGCCTGATGAGCACTGGGATCCGGACCAGTCGCTCGCCGCGTGCTGGATTCATCCGCCAAACGCAATGACGGGGCTCTTCCTTCCGATCTGCCAACGGATCCCTGCTGTGTGAATCGCTCTGTTATTGAACGTACTGACACCCACTCAACCTGCACCCAAACGGACGCTCCAAGGCAAGGGGATCGAGCCCATGCACGGCGATTTTGAAGCACAGCGGCACTGGCTCGAAATCACCTTGCATCTCCCGACGGCCTACTGGTACAAGTACGATCTCCAGTATTGGGGTCTTGACTATCCTCCGCTGACTGCCTACCACTCCTGGCTCCTGGGCTGGATGTAAGTTTGCGCCTTGTCTGGCATCCGCAGTTCGGCGATGCCCTGCCTCGTCGTGCTTGGCTCTGGGCTTCCGTTCCTGTCCAGCCGGGCCCAATTGCAGTTTGCGACGGCTCGGCATCTCAACCTGCTTCGATCAAACGCTTCGTGCGGATCTCTGCATGCCCATGCTTCGTTCGGCTCTGATGGTGCGACGCTCCTGAATCCAGCGCCCATCGGATCCACCCGGAATGGGTTGCCCTCTTCACGTCCCGAGGATACGAGAGCACGGCGCTTCAGGTGTTCATGCGGGCCACGGCTCTGGCCACGGAGTGTGCCATCTATCTACCGGCGATCATCGTCGGAATCAAGTCTGTATGGGCCAAAGGCCGCTCCGGCCTCGAGCAGGTATGGGCGAGCTGGTACTGAACCGACAGTGCATCCGCATCATGGAGGCCAGACTATTACCCAAGACTGAGTTCTTGTAGAGCGCTCACATCCGACTCCCTTCTTGTCGCTGCTTCATCAGCAACTTTTGGTCTTGGCCGTTCTGCTTCAGCCTGCCTTGATCCTCGTCGATCACGGACACTTCCAGTAAGCATTGCGCCAGCCCAGCCCAGCGTCGCCTTTGGCTCTTTCTCTTCCTGCTCCCTGGCCAGCGTCCCGTGTTCTCGAATGGAGGCAATCCTGACCAAGGTTCGCCCAAACGTTTATTCGCAGATACAACTCCGCCATGCTCGGTTTTGTAGCCTGGACTGCGGCGCTCGTGGGATTTGACCAGAATGTTCTGGCTGCCATCACATTCTGCTGCGCGCTGTTCTTCAAGCAAATGTCGCTCTATTACGCTCTGCCGGTGTTCTTTTATCTTCTCGGGAGATGTATTAAGGGTCCAAATGGGTATGTTGAAATGGATTGGGCCATGTCGGTGCCAATTGTGGACGAAAATGGCCGCACGCATCCGCAGTGGTCAAATCACGATGTGCTGCTAATTCCTGCTGTTTTGGAACACCTGTCGTCGCCGTCGTCGTCGTCGTCGTCCAGGCTTCTCACCTTCGTCTCGCTCGGAGCCACGGTCGTCTGCTGCTTCGGAGTGCTTTTGGTGCCGTTCCTCGGCTCTGTCGAGAGCCTCCTGCAAGTATTCCGGCGAGTCTTTCCAGTCGAGCGAGGGCTCTATGAAGACAAGGTGGCCAATGTCTGGTGTTCGCTGAGCGTACTTGTCAAGTTGCGCAATCTGTTTGAAGTCCAGCAGCTCGTGTATCTGAGGTATGCATCAAGCGGATGCACCAAAGGATCCGGACCTAGCGGCGCCGATCAAGTCCGGCGACCAGCTCCCACCCTCTCGCTCGCTTACTCACTCATTTGAGCCCACACTATCAGTGCGGCATTGACTCTGTTGGCCGTCCTGCCTTCCGGAATCAATTTGCTACTCAAGCCCTCTCCGAAGCGCCTTCTGTACGGATTGTTGAACGGATCCCTTGGCTTCTTCCTGTGCTCATTCATGGTTCACGAAAAGTCGATACTGCTGCCCCTCTTGCCTGCCACGATCCTGCTGCTGGACGAGCCTGTGGTCGGTGTATGGTTCAACAACGTTGCCATGTTCAGGTGAGCCGCCTGTACTTCAGCCAAATCCCGACTGATTGCACTGCCGCTTCTATCGAGGCTTCTTACACCGGGTTAGATCGTGGCATTGACAAGTTTGACTTTGTGTGTCCCTCTGGCGCCCCACGCAGCATGTTCCCGCTGCTGAAGAAGGACGGCCTTGTCATGCCGTACATTCTGGCGGTTGTGCTCTGGAACTGGCTGTTTTCGTTTGGATGGAAGCGAGCCTCTGGATTGGTCAAGCTGGCCAAAGCGGTATGTTGTCTGTGCTGTTGTGTTGTCTGTGTTGTTGTGACATTTGACTTGCCATTGATTTGACAGTTTAGTGGTTGATGCAGCGCCCGTTTGTCAGTCGTGCATCTCCTCCAACTTTGATTCGAGCACACCTGTGCTGCTTGTTGGCTCATGCCCCCCCCCCAGTCTACGTTCCTTGACGAGTTCCCAATTAACTCGCCCTTTCTGCGCCTAGATTTCATACGCTGTCATCTTCGGGTTGCACGCCATGGAAGCCGTCGTCCCTCCGCCTCCTCGGTATCCCGATATTTATGTGGTCCTGAACGTGCTCTTCAGCACATCCATGTTTGTCGTGTTCTTTGGATACTACAACTACAGACAAATCCTGAGTGGTGCATTGGATCGCGACAGTCGAAAGCAGAAGGCGGCCTGAGTGAAGACCGTGCCACCGAGATGAAAAGTTGCCTCCACGTCTTCGCCTCAGTATCAGATCGCCCACTCGTCGTTGCTGAGCCAAATAGAACCACCCATAGAGGTCATCACACTCCTGCTTTAGGGTGCATCACCTGTCACATATAGGAGCGACGCTTGCCAATGGGTCACGGTGGCCATCGAATAGGATGGATGAGTGTATTGCAGGAGCAGCTTTGTGTGGAAGGTCGAGGGTGTGGTTCGTGAGCGCCACACAAGACGCTCGAGATGGCTCATTTTCAGGGATGGAGGGTGCAGGGATCAAGAAAATCCCGGCGGCAATAACATTCAGGGGCGGAAGAGTAGGCAGCAGCAGCAAGTTGATCTTCTCGGACGGTATGCCGATTTCCACATCGCCAAATCGACGAGCAAATCTCACTGGCACTGTACAGCTGATTCAAAATCGCAGTAGACCAAGGAGCCGAGCGAATGGCAAGCAGTGCCGAGAGGACAAGCCCTGACGACGTATCTACCGTCTGGTATTTAGAAGCACCGGCATCAGTGAGGGCATCATCCAACAGAGGCAACATTCATCGATGCACTCGTTTGTCACCACAGCGAGAATAATGAGCGCCGACTGCTGGAACGACATACCTGCTCCGCACTGGGCATAGTTGAAGCGTCCCGAACATGCAAGGGCCGAGTTGAAGACGCTGCAGGCGGATCCAGGGACAATCGGCGACGGACATGCAGGGAGACTGGAGGCAGTAGTGGTTCTGGATGTGGATGATGCAGTGGTTCTGGATGTAGATGGTGTAGTGGTTCTGGATGTGGATGATGTGGATGATGTAATGGAGGATGTAGATGATGTTTTGGAGGATGTAGATGATGTTTTGGATTTGGATGATGCCGACGATGTTTTGGTCGACAAAGTGGTTGATGTTTTGGATGATGTGGAGGTCGTGGTTGTGGTCGTGGTCGTAGTTATCGTGCCGGTGGTGGTTGTGCTGCCACATGGATAGTTGGAGTCAAGGTCGCAGATTGCAAAGCCAGGAAGAACAATGCGGCAGGAGCTTCCAGGGCCACAGGATGTAAAGTTATAATAGCCGCCTAAATCATAGCGGAAACGCAAGCACATTGAATCGCAGTTAGTGTCTGCAGCGGTCAAATCGCTAAATGCTGCACCAACCGTTGAGTGCTGTCGGCCCGAGGCGTCTGCTCAAGCCGGCGCAACCCGAGCTATCGAACCGATGGATGTGCCGCAATATCGATATGCGCTGTACAAACCCGAGGTGCAGTAGGCGAGCAACCTGTCCGAGCACAGATTGGTGATGACATTCGGGTTGCATCGCGTGCCCGGCTGGATTTGGTTGCAGATGGGAGAGGGGCTAGGCGATGTCGACGATGTGCTGCTGGAGCTGCTTTTTGTGGTGCCGCTGGTGATGGTGCTCGTCGTTGGCGTGCTGGAAGAGAGGCAGACCGAGGCTCCGGGCAAAACGGCTTCCAGAGCGGCAAGTGTCTGATTGCTCGGGCCGCAAAGGCATGAAAAGTCCACGCCCAACGGCGAGCTGGTGGTGGTCGGGCCACAAACTTCCCGGATCGAAGCGCTGCCGCACAGGGACTCGCAGCCGAGCTGGTAGTTTTGGCAGAACGCTGTCACATCCGGAACCACTCCGCAGGTGATGAGAGACCTCGATGCAATTCTGGCGCTTGGCAGCGACGATGCCCTGGTGAGTGTTGGTGCCAGGGAGCGGCAGACCACGAAGATGTGAGTATTGGATAAGACCGGTTGCGGTCGAAAGTGCGTACTGCATCCTCGCGATCAGACTCGGTACCTACACTTGGATATGCAGCACAGCGACCAAGACGACGACAAAGACGGCGACTGGCGAGTTCATGGGTGAAGAAGCGATCGGCTCTGTCTGGAAGGGTCGATGATGCTGGACACAAGACCTCCAGTGCCCCTCATGGATAATATATCCTGTCTCAGTGCATCCCCCCCCTTGCCGGCGCCCCTGTCGGTCCCTGGCAACAATACACATGCCCCGGCCTGAACCCGCAGGGACCACCAACAACGAGCCCTGCAAAACGGGGACGGACGCAGACTCCGACTCTGTCGCACATGTGCGACGCTGCGAGCGCACAGTTTTTCTTTTGCCCAGACCGCCAACCCCGAAGCCGCTCCTCACACTTCATCTCGAATCCGCCGCCATGTCCATCGCTGGAGTCACTGCCGAAAACGCCGTCAACCATGAAGGTGCCGTGGGCGAGGAGACGCTGGATGGGTCCGGGCATAAGGGTGCAGAGGACTGCCGATGGCGGGCGGATCCCCCTGTCTGTTGCTTACTGCCACTGACCAACGCATCCCTGGGGCTGCATCCTGCAACTGCGGGTGTGTTCGCAATGCAGACATTGAGAAGCAGTGGGCGGTGAAGGCCTTCCACCATGCCGAAACCTTCTTCAAGCTCATCTCCGCCGTCGATGCCTCGAGACTCCGACTGACCAAGTAAGTCAGCACCAAGCGACGATGCCGGATTGAGCAGCCCTGAGAAAGCATCGCAGACAGATGCCGGCTCGATCTTGCTGGGACGAAGGTCTCATCCACAGCACATCGGCCGATGCAGCCCACGTACACTGCGAGATCGATATGGATCACTAACTTTCGTTTGGGTGGGGGATTGCAACATTGCCGCTGTTTGCTGCCTTCAGGATCGATGACGAGCTCCACGCCGATTTCCTGACAATGTTCCCCAGCATCAACCTTGCCAGCATAGACGAGATGGCCGACTTCAAGAGCGAAAAGGCCAAGGCTGCCTGGCGAGACTTTATAAAGAAGTAAGTGCGGCGATCAGCCCCGGGGCAAGAGCCAGCGATCGACGGGCATGGATTTGGCGGCTGACCGTAACGGCGTGGATACGTTGTTTGATTTGTGTCATCCAGATACGAGAGTCGGGTCGAGGACTTCAACTTTGGCACCCTGCTGAGAGTGCGGGCAGCAGAGGACTACGGACCGGACAATGCGTTTTTTGGTAAGCAAGTAACCGGCCTTGGCCCCTGTGCTGGTTGGATTGGGCTCGGCAGAGCTGGGACGGTGTGTGCGAATGCTGGTGTGATCTTGGGAATATGGACCCATCGCCTGTGTCCGTGACTTGAATGGAGTCTGCACTGCATGGGTTTGGCCGGCGAGCACATTCCTACTGTCCGCTAATCGTGCTGGCTCTATGGACTGCCTATCCCCTCGGACCCTGCAGTCACCCGCATCCAGTTCTTCGCTATCGAGATTGCTCGCAACCGGGCTGGTCTGAACTCGGTTCACCTGAAGAAAAAGTGAGCCGACGGCATCCACCGGTGGAACACCTCAAGCTGCATCGCCCAGACTCACACTCCTCCCCGAATATACACATCCGATCGAGCCGCGCCCAATGCCCTGACCAATCTGATTCATCCAAATCTATGCGTTACTGCTGCGGCCAGCCATGGCGACCAGGATCCCGCAGTGTTCAGCCTTCGAAAATGGCATTGCTCTGCGTTTGTCGTCCAGGGCGACGGTTTCAGGGACGCTAACGGCTCGCAGCCACCGCGGAGCTCGGGATCCTGGACAGACTTGCTCTTGGCGAACAGTTGCTGAGCAGCAGGCTGGTCTGCGCACTTGCAGGACGAGCAACGAGCGATGATGTCTATGGGAATCCAGCGGCAACAGAAGCCAGCAACATTGTCTGGACCATGAGTATCCTCGGCAATCAAGAATCCAGCCGCACTCGCGGCAAGCGCAGATCCAACTGTGCGAAGAGGAGCACCAGCCAGAAACCTGCACCTGGAGTAGCAGTTGCAGCGACAGTCTTTCTCCTTTGCTGTCCCCCTCCCTATCCCTGGCCGCTTGGCCTTGTGCATGTCTCGGATCGAAGCCGCGTGGGTCGCTGCGGCCCCAAGGCTCCACCGTCGACCATGGCCATGACCATATTGCCTTTGCATGGCGCCGCTGCCCTGCGATTGCTGCTGCTTCGGGCCGCCGTGCAGATTGGCCCATCTTGTGACCATCCCATGGTCGCCGCTCTCGTCGTTAGCGGGCCGGCTGGCGCGCCAAATTTTGTTTGTCGGCCTGGCAGAAGGGCGAGGGATGTTGCTGGCAGTCTTCTCTGGGGCCACGGACTTTTCCTCCTCCGATCCGTCCTGGCCCTGCATTCGCATTTAGTTCTGATTCTGGCTCTGGCTCTGGTTCTCCATCCTCCGCCAAGCTCGGCTCCCGCCCCGCTTACAGCCAGCCCTTCTGTTCTCGCTTGCTCGTGTCTGGTCCGTCGGGTGTCGGCCTATCTGTGCCTGCCCGTTCCCAGCAGCCAAACTGTCGAATCTGGCGCCAGCCGTCGCCTCCACTACTCCCCACACTTCTATTACGGTGCTCTGCGCATCGCCGGACCGCCATCATGAGCTCGTCCGTGGCTCTTCCGCACCAGCATATTCAGTTTGACCGAATCGGCTCGTCGGGCACCGTTGTCGGCTCGGACCAGTCGGATCAGTACCTCAGCCAGCAGCTCAGGCTCCTGGCCTCGGATCGCTCCCCTGCATCAGGAAACGCGTTTGGTTCAAAAGGCCCTCTCCATGACCCGTCGGAGACGCCGCTGGCCGACCGGGCCGACAGCATCACACGCCTCAAGCTCAAAATCGAGTCCAAGAGCGAGCCCAGGCTCATGGCGCAGGATGCCGGTGCCGCAGCGGGCCTGCTCGAGATCGAAGCATCGGCCGCAACCTTGGCCACGCCGCAGCCCCAGATCAAGACAAGCTGGTTTGCCAAGCTCCTCCGGCGCGGCAAAAGCTCACGGCCCTCGAAAGACACACCCGTCGCCGAACGTGCGTCGCTCTCAGCAGGCTCCCATCCGCACGGGGATTCCACCGAGCTGCCGTCTGCTTCTGTCGTTTCGGCGAGCTCGGGCGTCCGCAATTCGGCAGCCACGCTGGCGGGCAGGTCCAGCCGGGCTGCCCCACGCCCAGACTCGAATCCCACCAGAGGCAAGCAGGTAGCAGAGTATAACGCCAATGACTTTGCCTCGCCGGCAAGTACCGTCTCGCGAGCTGACTCCCAGAAGAAGCCCGGCCTGTTTTCCCGCAACAGCGTCGGCAAGGGCCCTGCCGCGTCGATCATAGGATCGGGGCTGCCGGTTCCCAAGAGCAAGCCCAACATTGGCATGGCCGACGACTATGCCCCCGCCTCGAGCCCGGTCCAACTGCCGCCAGTAGTGCTGCCAAAGCCCCAGACGTCGACGCTGTCATTCTTTAGGAAGAAGCCAAAGCCCGACGAAAGCCACAACAAGCCGAGCAAGTCGCTGACCGACGTGCGCGAGTCGAAAAAGGCCCTTACCTCCGAGTCCTCCAAGCTGTCCAAGATCACGGACTCGGAGAAGCCCAAGAGTAACGCCGACGACATCGAGAGAAACACGCGACACAGCGAAGTCGTTGCGCTCATGTCCGGTACAACGGTTTTGTCGAGCCGTTTCCACTCGCAGTACAAGATTGGGGACTTGGTTGGCGATGGAGCATTTGGGTTTGTCCTGACGGTGACCCAGATCTCAACGAACGTGGAGGTATGAAGCAAGCCGGTGGGATACGTTGATGGCGAGGCTGATGAGTCTATGTGCAGATGTGCAGATGTGCAGATGTGCAGATGTGCAATGGCTGTACCCGGTGGGAACGATCGACTGTCCGTGACAAGCCCTGTTCTGGCTGAAAGAACGGCAAGGGCGGGCTCATCCCGGAACACCATTCGACTTTGACGTGTGGAGCATGAGCCCAAGTGCTGATTGCTGTTTGGTATCGCCACTCCATATCACACATTCCCAGGCCGCCGCCAAGTTCATCATAAAGGACAAGATTCCCAAGGAGCACTGGATCGAATCGAGTCGTTTTGGACTGATTCCTTACGAGATCCATATTCTCTCATGCCTGGACCACCCGAACGTCATAAAGTACATTGATCATTTTTATGAAGGACCCTATGTGATTCTGATCACGGAACTGCATGGCGTTCAGTGGTCGTGTGAGAACCCCTCGCTCAACCCCGCCAAGAACCCCGGCTTGAGAAAGGCGCCTCGGCCAAAGGTCGAGACTGATCCCGTGGACGGCAATTACGAAGCGAGCCCGCTCTTCCGACTGACCAAGGAGCAGGAAAAATCGATCAGGCGCCGGACCTCATGCGATCTGTTTGAATGCATAGGTGGGCTGTAGCACTGAGGGTCAACAAGCGCCACCGTTTGCAGACGTATCTATCAATGGGATCTGCCGCACACCCCGCTCCCTGCCGCCATATGCCGTTGCCTCGATTTGGTATCTAACCATCTGTCTTTCGCCTCGGCCATTCGAATGTACACCCCGTATACTGCATGTATCCCGCAGACGCTCGTAAGTAATTAACTTGGCGGCTCGGCGGCGCTGTGCAAGGCTCTGTCGGAAATTATCTGGCGAGGAAGCAGCATCAAGTAGCTTTCGGCCTCAGCCCTAACACCATCCAATGCTCCGTCCTCAAAACTGTCTGCCCTCGCCAACACGGCCACGCTGGCCACGATGCCCACGATGGCCTGGATCGATAGACACCCATATCCCCGAGCACATCGGCGCCAAGATCTTTGCGCAGATAGCCCTCGCCGTCCAATACATGCACGTCAACAATATTGTTCATCGCGATCTCAAGGATGAGGTAGGGTACAAGTCGAGCCCCGAATACCGTCGCAGACCTGAGCCATCCAAGTCGCTCTTCGGACCAGCACTGACGATTGTTCCGACGTCCTTCGCGGCCCACCTCCTCCTTCTCTGGCAACGGACCTCGATCTCGCAACAAGAATATTGTGATCGGCGACGACTACTTCATCAAGCTGATCGACTTTGGATCGGCTTCGCGTATTCCTCGGAGAGAGGACGAATTCTTTACAAAGTTTAACGGGACCGCCCACTTTGCTTCGCCAGAGATTGCCCATGGCAATCCGTATCGTGGCCCAGAAGCCGAAGTATGGTAAGGCTTTCGTGTGTGTCGCTAAGTCGACGACCGAGACAGCGAAGGGGTGTTGGAGCGATTGGGCACGGATTGGTGTCGAGTCGAGGGGGCAGCATAGCCTGATGGTAGGTGCCCGTACCCGACTGAATCAGTTGACACCCTTCGTCTTAGGTCGCTGGGGGTTCTGCTGTTCACGATCATATTCGGAGAGAACCCTTTCCAGACCCGGGCCGACATCATTAAGGGCGAATACAGATTTCCGTTCAAGGTTGACGAACGTAAGTGGCCTGCCGATGTGGAGACAGAGGGGCAGGAAGGCAGAGGGACAGGTGGGGGTAGGGTGATAAGGGAGCAATGTGGCGAGAATAGCGGGTTCTGAGCCTGACGCTGGACGGGCAGGGTCCAAGCACCCGCCTTCATCGTATGGGACTGTTAGCGGTCTTGGCTGGGCGAAGCCAAGAGCAGCCACGGACAGCGATCAACTCACCCTATTTTTCTCACGCCATCATCGACACTGCGGTTGCTGCTGCTGTCTCGGACGCTATAGCGCTCATGGATCTGCTCGACGGCATGCTGACCTACGACTCGGCACGGCGGTACAGCATTAGGGACGTCATCGGGCATCCCTGGCTCAAGAAACCGATCGAGAGCCTCAAGAAAGAGTATCGTCACTTTGACTTTGCGCCGTGCATCGACATTGACTACATCCACGAGAGCGACGTGGACGAGTAGCCGTCCCGACTCAGGTCTTGAAATGATCGCTTGGATTCATGTGGTCGGTGCCAGCGCTGTGTTGTGGTCGCTACGGCAGTTGTCTGCGCTCCCTCTGTTATGTTCAAACGAGCCATCAGACATATGCATCCGCAGCCGACGGATATCCAGCCATGGCCAGCGAGTACTCAGCAATCATCCGCCTGGTGCATCGGCGGGTCGTCCGGCCCACCGAAAACGAACTTGATACATATCTCATATGCATGCGCTGTGCATTCTCGGCGGCCAGACACACCTCATCCAAGCCGAGTGCCGACAAATACAACATATTTCTGCCGCAATGTCCGCTCTGTCCCGCCTGGATTCCCACAGTGGCAACGGGTGGGGTCGAGGGCGTCACAGAGGGCGAACAGAGAGAACCGGGCGCTTGCACACGGAGCACAGTGGACAGTCGGCTCTTGGCCTGGGTGCGTACAACCGAGATACGAAGTGCGAAAGGCTGACACGATTCCCGTCAGCCCTTTGCAGCCAACTGGGTGGCGGTCGGCAGCCTCCTTCGGCTCTCGGCTGGCCAACAAGCTGAAGCAACAAGATCGCCATGAAGCCGATGTCTGCCTGGTGCTTGCCTGGTGCTTGCCTGGTGCTTGCCTAGTGCTTGCCTAGTGCTTGCCTAGTGCTTGCCTGGTGCTTGCCTGGTGCTTGCCTAGTGCTTGCCCAAGGCCATGTTTCAGGACCGCCGCACAGGACCAGTGCAAGCCAGCCTTCCGACGACACATGGCGACGCGTCGATTGCACCATCGGCCACGTGTCGGGGAATGGGCCCCACACCCCCCACACGCCCCCCGCCTGGCTGGCCACTCGGCGAGCTGCTCAAAGGCGACCAAATGGCGGCTGAAGGCGACCAACTCAGTGACGACACCGACGAGGAGTAACCCAGGAACCGCCTGGCAGACCAGCAACCCGGGCAGCAGGTAATCGGCCATTGGCAGCCGCCATGGTTGCTGGGGGAGGCCCTGTGGTCATGTTCATGACGGCGCCCAATGACGACCGACGGCAGTCGATGGCGGGACATCGAGCACTGGTGCGTGGGTGTCTGTCCCCTTGGAATCACCCGGTATCGTCCGACCTTGCCTGCAGGCACTGGCCCAGCAAGCCGCACAGCCATGGAGCGCTCGCGCCGCGGAGCGAGCAACCAGGCGCCCCTTGCTGTGCTGGATCGAGCAAGCCAGTGCAAGCAAATGCAGTGCCGGAGTGCTGCAGCAGCGCATCTCCTGGCTGCGCGATAGCACCATATGTTGCTGCTTGTGTTGCGAGCAGATCCCGTGCAGCTCCAATCAGTGTCCCTTTGACAACAGTCCCATCCATCACCTATAAATGCCCTTTGGTCTCGGCCTCAGCCCGGGTCTGTCTTTGCCCATCTGCCATCTCTCGACGACCCCATTCCATTCCCTGTTCAACCCGGCTGCATCGGCTGTTCTGAAGCAGCACTCCCTCCTCCAAAAAGAAGAAAACTACAAAGCATCGTTCCTCATGGACCCGTTCACTGAAGGCATCGTGGTTGCCAGCATCTCCGGCACTCTGCTACTCGGCTATCACGCTATCCTGGTCTATCTGATCTGGAGGCACACCCTTGTAACCGTCATCGGCCTGACCCGCGATGCCCGTCGGGTGTGGGTGATGAAGATCATGGAGAAGCCAGACTCGATCCTGGGCGTCCAAACCCTGCGCAACTGGTAAGACATTGGAAGGAGGCGGGCCGCTCGTCCAAGAGAAGCTGAGAGCGCCGATGCACATGGCACCCGAGCGACTATGGCCGAGGGAGCTGGCTGGGTGCTGGCTGGGTGCTGCGGATGTGCCCATGGTTGCAACAGACTCGGCATGGCAATCAGCAACATTCGTGACCCTGCTGGGGCCAGGCGCACCAGCCGGCTGGCTCACAACCAAGACCAGTCAAAGCCGAAACTGGGCTTGGTGCAGGTGGTCTGGGATCTGTGCCAGCGGCAGATACAGCACTATTTGCAGCGCATTAACACACTTGGTCTCCGGCCTGAATCCGCCCCAGGGTCATGAGCTCGTCGCAGCTCGCTTCAACGGCGGTCGTGATCTTGTTGGCCCTCACGGCATTCATCCCCATTCCAGGCAGGAGCGGCCAATCGCTGCTGGCCGCTCCGACCGACGACCCCACGCTGATCATCAAAATGGGTATGTCCATTCGGCATCGTCTGAGCCGTGACTTGGGCGAGATGGCAACCATTGCAAGGCAGATGCTGCCGCACGACACAGCGACAGCAACAGCAGCTAACCTCATTGCCGCCGCCTCGGATATCCAGCCATGCTCTGTGTCTCCTTCATGGTGGCCTTCTTTGCCTTCACCCAGTCCATGCGCTACTTCAATCATGTCTCGGTACTTCTGGCTGCGGGATCCATCCCTCCTGCAGATCCTCCCCAGACCCCTCTTGAATACTGGGTCGACGACAACCCCGTGGCGATCCAGAAGTTTGCTGCAAGTCTCTTCAACCGCGGCGCCATGTTCCACACGATCGGGGTAAGATACCCCGCAGCCGATGTTTGCAAGCTCCCCTGCCGATCTGTCGGTGTTTCCGCTTTGACAGCGTCCCGGATATCTGCATTTCAGCGAACCTTGCCGCCCGTCCAATTGCGCGACTAACCACTATGCTGCCTATCGCAATCTGTACCATCCTCGGTGTGAACCGCCACAGATGCGCTGCTACTACTGCACATTCCCTATCATTCTTTGGTTCTTTGGTCACTGGGCCCTGTTTGGCGGCATGGTTGCTCTGCTCACCATCCTTGCCGTTCTCGACTACACCGGCATCGACTATGTCCGCACCAAACGCCGCGGCCCCTATGCCTGGCCCTCTCCCGTCCTTCGGCCCGCACCGCCGTCCGTGTCGTCTCACGCCCTGACTCAAGATCGGAATATGGAGTCGGTCTGAAGCACCCTCCACTTAGCCAAGCACAACCGGCCGAGGCTTGCCTCAAGCCAACCCCATTCATTGTCTCCATCATTTCCTCTTGTTGTTGGCGGCTGGGAATCAGCCCCAGATGCCCTTCGTCATCCCATCGCTCCCTCCCCTCCAAATCCCATCAAAAATGATATCAGTTTGTAATTAGTACCTCCTTTGTTTCCTCCTTTGCATTGTTGTATTGATTTTGTGGTCTGAACTTATCCTTGCCGGGGCTCCGCGTGTAAAGTTGCGGAAAGAAATCCCGTAATCAAAAAAGATCGTGGCAGTCAGATCCGCTTGTGAATGGGCAGGGCAGAGCAGCAGTGCAGGATGCTTTGTTCGAGTCCTGGGAAAATTGGGCAGCAGGCGGAGTGCTGGGTCTGTTCAGATGTCATCATCACTCTCCTCGCGAATGTCCTTCTCGATTTTGCCGAGGAGGATCTGCTGGACAGCCACCTTGAGGATCTGACAGAGGCACCAGGAGAAAGGAAAAGAAAGGCACGCCACGATCAGGGCAGTGGGCAGTGGGGGCACATTTCATCATGAGCATCAAAGAGCTTGACCAGAGGACCGCTTCAAGCACCAGAGAGCAGAACTCTTCAACAGGGTCCTCCGCCGAGCTTGTTAGCGCCAATGCTTTCGCCACTTCTACGTACCAGATACGTCCAGTACACATGGAGACACTCGAGCGACCAGAGCAAGCCGATGAAACCAAACAGGATATCCTCGCGGCCCCAAGGAGTGCGTTGGCCATCAGGGTGATAGGCATTGTACCTGCACAAGCCAGCAAGTAGCCGGACAAGGTGATGGTCAGCGTGGCGTCTATAGACGACGAATAAGCCACCAGGCAGCTCACGAGTACAATGCAGACAAATGGCAACAGAACACCTACGGGATGGGCCAGATGATGAAGCGAGGGAAGATAATGACTCTCGAGACGATGAACACAACCGCAAACATGGGGAACACAATGTCGGCAATCTGTGGAAACACGGCGGAATACGAGAGGGACACATAGCTGTCAGAAAGCATCGGTGGCCATGTGCTGAGCAGAGAGCCGCTCGATCCCTGAATGGATCGCACATCAGCCGCTCCTGCTCGGAAAGCTGCTCAGAAAGCTGCTCGGAAAGCTGCTCGGAAAGCTGCTCGGAAAGCTGCTCGGAAAGCTGCAGCAACTCCTACCAGCTGGTGCCCACAGTACAAGAAAAGCTTGGCAACATGCAGCAGCGGATCCGAAATGTCGTGGATCAGGATAATCGGGCAGCCGATCCGCCAGAAATCGAACCAGGCCGAGCCCAGCAGCAGGAGAAGTGTGACGACGTGGTGGATAATCAAGACGGGGGTGTCCGATCGCCAGGGCTCGAAGTACAGCTCGCTGAACATGGCAAAGATGTAGTATCCCGAGGAGAAGGCATAGTAGAACCGGACATAGTTGCTGTGGCAGATGCATTCGGTGGGTAAGCAAAATAGAGTGGTCCGGGCAGTGCGGACGCAGCAACGAAGCTGCAACGACGACGACGAAGCCGCAGAGGCGGCAGAAGTCGCCTGGTTCAGCCTACCTCGGGGGAATATGCAGCTCAAAGTACTTGGTGGGATCCAGGAACCACTCGCGCTCCTGGTACATGATGAAGAGGCCGACGACCGAGCACAGGATGTACATGAAGCAGGTCCAGGCAGATGCAACGAAGCGCTCCTGCTTGGAAATGCCAGCATGCTTTGCCTTGCCCTTGGATGGAGTATCGGCCGGAGCATCGGTCGGAGCATCGGCCACCGCATCTTGCGCCTCGGTCTTCTTGCGCTGGCGGAGGGTCGAAGCCTCCGAGGCACGGGTGAGATCGGTGCCGCTGTCGTTGGGCTGCAGGGAGGCCTCGGGCTTGGAATCAGCGGTTGCCGGCAGAAGGTAGCGAGCAAGCGGACGGAGAACGTAGGCCTGGCCGAAGCGACAGCCCACGCCCCAGAGAACCGAGGAGAGGGCCATGGCGTAGAGGTCCGAGGCTTGGACGCCGATTTCCGGAGGGCGGATCATGGCGATGGAGTCGGGCACAGAGGCGAAGCGGGAGAAGCGGGAAGAGCGAAAGAACAGAGCGCAGACAGGCGAGAAAACAGGCGGCGGGGTCTGGGGCGCTTCCTGATTCGGCAAGTGCATGTGACGCAAGGCCCGCCGCCAATCGCCACGCGAGCGTGGGCCCCGGCCGCACGAACCCAATCCAAACCCACCACCAGGAGCAGGAGCAGCCGAGAGCGACGCCGGCCCATGAGAAGCCCGCGATGACAGGCGGGGAGGCACACGGCCCACCCGGAGGCACATGGTCCGGTGAGAACGCTCGTGTTCGCCTGGTGCACGAAGTGCATGTCTGCCAGGAAGGCAGGAGAAGCGGCGAGTAAAATCCGGGAGAACCGCCGGCCGCTCAGTCAGCGGGCCGGTCGACGCTCCGCTCACTTGGATGTCGAGAAGATACTCGATATGAAGGCCACGATTGCCAGCAGGATGCACAGCAGCACGCAGTTGACCATGAAGCGGTCGCCCTTCATGACGCCCTCGAGCGACTTTTTCATCTTGATGTTGAGGTTGTCGACGTGGTCCAGGGCGTTCTCGACCTTTTTGTCGACCTCGTCGAGCTTTTCGTTCTGGTTGGTGAGTTCTTGATCCATGTCCAAGGCAATCTGTTTGAGCTTGCCGACACCGACACTTATCCCCTCGAGATCGGTGTCCTGGCAGAGCGCATTGTCATTGGTCGGCGCGTACAAACGATCGGTTAGTGCCTTGCATGCACGCCGTGCGATGGGTCGAACCGAACCAGTCCGGATATACGGCGGAGGCCGATGTGAAGGCAGAGAGAGACTTATCCCCTGTATGCCCGACACTGGCCGGCCACAAGCCCTGCTCCTCATCGAATGCAGCTACCCACAATCGCCTTGTTTTTCTCTTTAATCTTCTGCATGTCCTCGTCCACGTCGATATCGTTCAGCTCCGAGTCGAGATACGGGTCCGGCTCGCCCCCCTTCTTGGCAAAGAGTTGCGCTGCGTTGTCCGGAGAGAGCATTCGTGTGAGCCACTGGCCTCTCAGGACTCGATTGCAATGTACGGCACACTTCCACAAGTCGCCCCGCGAGACATGGCCCGGTCCAACAAATCGCATCCATGGCTGCAATCGGGAGGGTGCGCCGCTGTGCCATTGGTGCACCCACCTCGAGAGTCATCCTCGGGCTTTGCCTTGTTGTTGCTTGTCAGGAGCGCTACACGCTCGACGCCGTGTCCCTCGTTAAACCGTTTCTTCTCGAGATTCTCGCACTCCTCGATGTGCTGTTGGCACAGCGTGACGATTTCTTTACGCTCCTGAAGCTGTTCCTGATCTTTGATGCGTTTCTGACGCCATTGGACGAAAATATCATGCTGTCAGAGATATCCTACGCCAAGTTCCGGTCGTTACTTTGGCGCCAGGGCCTCGACTCTGACACTCCTTTGGCTGCAGATGCATTCGACACGCATCGGACAGCGCGGTGGTGGTCTGCATCGGGATTACCTTCTTTTCATCTTTGGCTGCGATATTCTGGAGCTTGGTCGAATCCTCTTTCAGATTGCGGATCATGACGCGGATGCGGTATGACGCTTCGGCAACTTCATTGGAAGTTCCTCCGGACTGAGCCATCAGCGATTCGCGTTCTTTGAGAGCCTGCGTGGTTCCCACAAAATCAATACCACAGCAAGTGCGAGGCCCAGCCTATCATTCACCGAGCGGGAGCAATGTCCATGCTCTCACGACACACGACCACAACCGGAAATATGAGTCGCGTTCGCCCTGCTCTGGGAAAGCACAAGCGATAAAGCCATACCACCCGGACTTCCTTGACGCCTTTGTGGATCTTCTTCCGCATTTTGCTAAACTCGTCCATCGCGTTCTCGATGGCAGCTTCCTCGATGGCCTCTGGTGCGCACGCCTCGTAGATGATTTGAAGACGCTTCATGGCGTCCCGCATGCTGGCCATTTCGAACGTATGCTGTCAGCAGAATGCCAGGTGGTGGTGTCGTTGGCAGTCGAAGAGGTCTGGCGAGGAATCCCAATATGTGAAAACACACGAACACCGAGCGAGCGAGCGAGCGAGCCAAATTCAAGCCAAGACGACACGACCAGAGCCGGTGGCTGTTGCTCTGGCTTGGAAACGCAGAAGCGATGCTTGGAAAGCCAGGGCGGGACCGTCGAAGGCCAGCGCCAGAGGGCCGAGACAAGCCGCCCTCACTTCTGATTGCACGTGAGCCACAGTCATGAAGTCATGGCGATCGAGCGGCAGTCCACAACCTGCCTGCACCCATCCGCCAGGGCCGTGGACCATGCGGTAATGACCAGGACACAGCGTACACACATGAGCCGAGCCTTCCTGTATTGCCGTGGATCATTCTGGATTGCCAGGATATGTTCCTCCACCATTCGCCGAGTTTTACAAGTGCAGAGACAGTAGTAGCTATTTCAAGTGCCGTCAACACAACCAGGAACGAGGCTTCAGCATGCATTTTGATCATCACTCGCGGGAGAGCTCGACGCTGAGTATCCATGAACCACGCTGCTCAGGAACTTGCCACTTGCGACCGGTGCCAACAACGGCATAAACGATAGATGCAGAAGAAATTATCGAGCAGTTGCGCTTGAGCGCTTACGATGATTCGCCTCACTCCGCGGAGGGACAATACTACACACGGTTTGTCAGACAGCTTTGGACAAGATGCAATGGGCTCGCGGTGAGAACCAGCGCTCGTCATGGAACGTGCTAATCGTTCTTTTTCTCTCGGGCGGGCTTGCTGATTGCCGAGCTGCCATCCGATTGTTTCGCCGAGTCCAGGCTAACAGAGCCAGGCTGGCCAAACAGCCGCGGGCCTTCGCTATCGCTGTCCACGAGCCAGTCCCTGGCGAAAAAATAGCCCTCGGCAAGGAGTACAATCAAGCTGAAGCCAAGAGCTATCAGGGTTTTCTGGGGGCCGCGCGGAGCAGAGAACCAAAGAGGAGGAATATGAGGAAGAAAGGACGTGAGTCCAGGGCCATAGACGCAACGGGATCGATGCCGCGGGCCGCTGATCTGCCGGACATCAATGCCATAGGTCCTACCATTCCAGGATCATTGGAGACATGGCTGGCGGCAAAGTAGATGGCAACAAAGACGCTGGCCACCGAAAACAGGACGTTGGTGATGCTCGCCATCTGTCTGAAGCCATCCCGCAGAGCACGAGCATCCTCGCCTTGGATCTTGCTCTTGTCAGCATCGGAGGTGACATCACGGACCATGTCGGCGTAGGCTTTGTTGTCGAGATCGGTCTTGATCTTCTCCAGGATAGCGGTGAGCTCTGGACTCTACCAAAGATCAAGTCCCGCCGTTGATATGCCAATGGGGACAAACATTTGTCAGCTCTTCCCCAAGAAGCCACGAGTCCAGCTGGAGAAACCATAGCACACGGCTCACCAACTGGCGTGTTGCGGCTCTGGAGAAAACTCACCCGCTCGCGAACCGGAGTAGGGGGCTTATAGAAGCGCGTGCCTTTCAGAAGAGTGCGAAATCGATATTCTTGCCGCCGCTCCGGAACAGCTTGGCCCAAAAACCGAGAGATTTCGTTGAGGAGCGCGTGAGGAATGGCAAAGCTTGGATCGTTCTGGTGGTCGAGAGCCAGAATGCTGGCAAGCAGAGCAGGGTCATGACAAGGTGATGTGTTGAGGCGGGTGTAGGCTTCATTAACGGCACTCGAGATGGCCGGTGTTGCAATGAGGACGACCATTGGACGGGCTCGGGGATGTGAATGGAGCGATCCGATGGGGCTGTGGCTCGGATTGCAGAGCAATTGGCGTATGGACGATTCCGGGCACTATCAATGGACTGGTCTGTTGTGTTCTGTTGTGTCCTGCTCGAGAGTGGTCGGCGTGCGGGCTTGAGCGATCTGGCTGGATGATCGTGTAGCGTCCTCTGGCGGGTGCTGGGAGAGGACCCTGGTCAAGGAAGTGAGCTCAAGTGCGCGGCCAACCCATTCCTCGCTCACAGCCACGAGACGCAAAGCCGGGACGGACGGCATTGCCCGGGACGGATTTCGACCGGCTGCGCACCCACTATCAATTTTTTCCGGCCCCTCGCGGCTGCTCATCTCGAATATGAATACACGCTGGAGACCAAGATGCAGCAAAAGTTGGAATCCGGCCATGGTCGGTTGACGGCATTTGGTATCGTCTTGAGCCGATTGACGGTGGTGGTGGGCAATTGGTGTGGAGGAATGACCAATTGTATCATTGTTGGAAGCTCCACTCCGATTGCGGACAAGAACCACCACCATCTGAATCTCTCTGGTTGGAAACCTAGTCAAGCGTGGCTGTGTGTCAGCGAGGTGACATGATCGTTTGGCTATCAGGCAAGACTCACCTTGACAAGATGTCTTCCCACGACTGATTGAGCGAGCGATGCGTTTCTGGATCTGAATCAAGGACGCCACTGTGCAGTATCTCTGCCAGCCCAAAAATGCGCTGGTTTTGAGGAGACTCTTTCTTCCCCGAGGGCAGAAACCAGCCATCGTCGCTATTTTCTCGCCAGATGGCTCCCAAGAGAAAGACACCCCCCCGACCCCGACCCAGGATCACCCAGTGACTCTCCTGTGGCCAAGAAACCCGTCATCAAATCATGTCCCCTCCTGTGGACTGACCAACCATGTCAGACCCTTCACCAAGAAGTGCACAGCCAGAGTCGACAGCAGCCCTGCCGCTGGCTCTGCCTCGGTCGCTGAAATGGTCAGCCAAGCACCCCCTCCAGACGAGTCCAGTGACGACACTGCCTTCCCAGCCCTCGTGGTCGAGATTCCCGCACCCAAGGTCCCTGTATGTGCCACGTGCGGGGAAGAGGGTCATGCCAAAAGCAACAGCTCATTGTGTACCAAGAAGAACCCACTCTGGAGCTCTACCTTGCCTGACTGTGGCCCAAACGAGCAAGTCCAAGGCCGAGTACTCGATCATCAAGTGCACCCTCGACTGCCATCATCAAGAACGATGCCTTGCACGACAAGATCGAGGAGACTGTTCGGGCCATGACTCAAGTGCAGTACGAAGCATCTCGTCTCCTGGAGCTGCATCTCAGGCGGTGCTTGGACGAGGGCATCACTCTCCCCACTGTGTCGTCGAGTGAACCCGCGTTTGTTCGAAAATGCTTCAACATGGTGCAGACAGGAATGACTAGTGTCAAGAAAGGCACGACCCAAGAAGACAGGCACATCATCGACACCTATGAGATGTATCGAAGTACATGGAGCGAATCGTGTATCCTGCCTCCTGTGTCCCTCCCAAAGAGTACTGGCTCACAGGTTCTTGGTTTGGCTGTCAAGACCTATGCAGTCAACTGTGAGACCCACGTTCTCGATCGTTACTGGTCTCTCCTCCGTCGATTCTGCAATCTGGCCCTGATTGCTCCCAAGGGTGTGAAACGGCACACACACGTCGAGGAGTGCATGAAGCTGATGGAGAATCCCCTCTCCAAGACACTTCTCGGTGATCTGAGGAAATCCTTCGCCCACCATGCCGACCAGTTGTATGAGTTTCGGTACGAAAGCCACCAGGACCTATACAAAGTCGTACCAGTTCTGGCCAGTGAAGTCTCTCGACTGACCCACCTGAAGGAGGCCCTCTTCATGGTGGTCTTTCAGAAGATGATCATTCCCAGGCTCGTGAGGGGAACCGATGATCTGAAAGGAGAGCGTGGGCGACTGAACGAGGAAATGTGTCGCTCTATCGAACGAAGGCTGCCTGACAAGCACAACGCACTCCAGACCCAGCACGAGGAGGTGTGCAAGCAGATCGCTGTGAACACGAAGCGGATCAAGCGACTGGCCGACCGACTTGCCCAGACCAAGAAGAGACTCAACATCCCTCGAGCACAGTGCACCTTGGTCCCACTCTGCGATGCCCGAGCCAAGTATGTCAAGCTCGACACCAAAGCACTGTGGGAAATCCTTGGATACCAGACTGGCACTGGGCTCAAGTGGGACGACCTGAAGACCAAGGTCAATGACACCACAAAGCAAGAGACCTTCTGGCAGACCAACTTCAAGCTGGATCCGAGACTCTTTGGTGCCAGGGAGGAGGGAAAGCAGCTCTTTGGTTGCGAGATCACCACCGATGGGGTCGGGTGCTCGATCACCACACTCAGGTACAAGATCCTGGAGAAGAAGGATCCTAATGTCAAACCAGAATCCACAGACAAGGACGACAAGACACTCAAGCTCACTCCCGAGAAGAAGATCCAGGCCAGGGTCGGTCCCATCGACGACTCTCGGACCACTTGGATCGGGATCGACCCTGGTGTGGGATCCATCTTCACCGCTGTCATTCGAGCACCCGGTCAACCATCCATCCAGGAGCGAGACGGTGTCAAGGTGACCAAGGCACAGCGTGCCAACGAGAAGATCGTGTCGTTCTCCAACAAGGAGTACCAGCATCGATGTGGCACCACCCAAGCGACCAAGTGGATCCAGAGCACCCACAAGATCCTTGGTCTGCAGGAATGGATGAGCACCACACCAAGTCCCAAGATCCCTGGGTTGGCTTCCTTCCTGCAATATATTCGCCATGTGTTCGATGGAGACATGCTGGACAAACAGCTGTACTTCAGCCTGACCCGGCGACGGCGATTCAAGCGACTGGATCTCTACAGCAAGCGACAGCGCACCGTCCACGAGATGTGCAAACAAGTCATTGACCAGGCACCAAAGGAGACCGAAGTGGTGATTGCCTTTGGGAATGCATCCTGGAAACAGGGGAAGGGATACGCATCCAGCCCACGGAGACTCAGGTTCGCCAAGTACTTTGAGCAGTTCACCCACCACCAGAGACGCCCACCAGACCGATCCGTCTCCAAGATCCGTGTGTGCTCGGTGAACGAGTTCAACACATCTCAGGTGTGCTCACATTGTCGGGAAGCCAAGCGACTCGAGTCACCCGAGTATCTTGATATCGAGAAACCACACTTTGTCCGGAGCTGTACAAGCTGCCATACGCTGTGGGATCGAGACATCAATGCAGCCAGGAATATGATCTCGGTATGCCAGTCGATCATCGTCACAGGAGATCGACCGGGTGTATTCAAGACTGTGCTTCCCAAACCAACCAAAACCACTCGATTGCCAACCAAGACAGGAGTGCAATGCCATGGCCTACCCGCTGGGCCTACAAGTCAGTCAGCGGGCTTCAGAAGCCAGAAAGTGACTGTCCCGTTTCTTTCTGGATAGACTGTAAGTATCTTGCACTGTTCCTTGAGTATTTCGACAGTGGATGCCGGGTCGCCCATATTCTGGGCAGTCCACTTCGGGGTTGCCATCCCTCTTGGGATGGTCGATGGGAGGTGTTTGACTCTCTTGTGCAAAGTGTGTGTGTGCACAGTGTGTGTGTGTGTGTGTGTGTGTGACGGCGAGAGGCTTCTCGCCTTCCCTCGGGGGTCTCTCGCCAGAGACTGCTCTTCTCGCCGACCGAGGTGGCTCCGAGAGCGCGTTTTTTCGTTCTCGCTCATTTTATTAACAAGAATTTTTTCATAGTGATCTATATTAATGAATCTAATTTTTTCTTTCTTTATTGCGCTTAATGAAGCTAATGAAGTCACGTTCTGTCGCGACACAGTTGCACGGGCGAGGAGTGCCGAGAGCACCCCGAGAGCACTACGAGAGCACCCCGAGAGCACCCCGAGAGTACCCCGAGAGTACCCCGAGAGCACCTCGAGAGCACCCCGAGAGCACCCCGAGAGCACCCCGAGACGAGAGCCCGAAAAAAAGCGCAAACGCAAAAGCTCTCGTCCATCCGCGCAAAGCATCCAGCCTTCGTCGCTTGCAGTCCGGAGTATCATCGTCGAATCCATCACAATGGCCGGAGGAAGTCCCTTTGAACCCTACCAAATCGGTCCTTTCCAGGTCCCCAAGTACAAGGTAGGACGCCGCCCAGCCCCTGTGCCCTCGGCCACTGGCGATTCCCCCGCCCTGGCCGATGGTGGCGAGCGCCCCTGACCCGCCGTCGCTGCTGCCATCACCGCCGTCGCTGCCCATTCCCGCTCGGCAATATTCCAAGGCGATTCCATCGGAAGTCCCTGTGTGTATGCTGCAAGATGAAATCCGCGATCCTCGACGCCAAATATGAACCGGGACAGCCAGCAGCGGCATGCGATAAACACACTCCGGAGTCGGCAAGCATCGTGGATCCAGGTGCCTCCGAGCACATCTGTTTTGGCATGCGAGCAAACACATGCGACGTGCACTAGGGAGGTCCAGCGGATGCTCGTTGGATATGACGATGCAGATGTGCAACGACAAGACTTCTATCCACAAGCCAATCTTGCTCCGGCCGAGGCGCTCTTTGCGCTGCGTTCGTTTGGCCACTGCGCTTTGCTGGATACCTGCGCAATACTGGGCGATGCCGCCAGCCTCGAATGTATGCCTGTGCGGCAATTCATTTTCGTTGCGATCGAGGCTCGGCCCCACCAACCAGTGTCAACTTCAACCTAATGGATCATGGCCGATCATGGTCGTGTCTGTCTAAGCTTTGGAGGATCGCGACAAACAGCGAAATGATGCGGCAGCGATGACAGAGCGAGCCTCCCAGTGGTGACACTTGTGAATGCACGCATATTGACTCAACCCCGACTCTGTCTCTCCCAACCAGCTCTCCCTGTACTTCATTCTGGGCTACACTGCTCTGGCCACTGGAGTGATCCTGTACAAGAAGGCTCAGCCCGCCCCCCCTCTCAAGCTGGACAAGGATGAGGAGAACTACATTCGCCGCTACATTCACCACAAGCAGCAGGAGGCCAAGAAGCCTGAGCTGGCCCGTGTCCCCTATGGCGGACCCGCTGTCCTCTAAGCGAGATTCTACAGGCCGCTGAACACCGCTTCTGCACTCATAACCCGCATCTACATAAGAGGAACAGAGTCATTTCCGAATCGTATGTTCAACGTGGACAAATATACAGCTGTTCGAAACAGCCGAGGCATCTCCTCCCCCCCCCCTGTGCTGTGAATGACCACGACGCGGGTTTCCCTCGTATCTCCACAAGTCTCTCCAAGCACCTGAATATCAGCATACCGTGGACACTTGCAAGTTACTACGAGTGGGAACGATGCTCTCCGCTCGGCCAGTGGCTGCAAGGGCGGTCCTTTGTTCATTCGTGATCAGATTATGGGTGTCGGGATGAGTAGTATTGATATACTGCGGAAACCGCCGAGTGCTGGCCAACTTCAAGCACTGAAGCCGATAGAAGAGTGGGCTAGGCGGAGTCTCCATCGCCGGCCAGAGCTGCTGCAGCCTCAGGAAGGCGCCTTCGCCATCAGGGCGAGGATACCCGAGCGCACTTGGCGCAGATATCCGAGGGGGCAAGGCGGATGCTGTCGGTGTGTCGGCAGTCAGCCAGATCTGTCAGCGGCAATCTGCAAACAGCCAGTTTCGCGATATCTTGGGCAGCGGGAGCAGGGCCAAAACGTACCAGGTCGAGCAGGAGCACCAGGTCGGTGCCGCTTCTTGGGCTGCGAACTCCCAAGGTGAGGTAATGCCTCACGGCGAAGAGATGAATACCTTCGTTGATGAAGCAGGACTGGAGGCTTGCGAGCGGGATGAATCGCGATCTCTTGAGGAACCCCACAGCCGAATACGAGCTGATCTGCAGGCCCATATCCTCGAGGATGACGACAACCTCTGCCGGGCAGTCGGATTGTTTCAAATCGCCGGTTATTTGGTGGCATCAGCACCACGGACTCACGAGCGACGGCTCGGCTCGGCTCGACTCGGTTCAGGTTCAGGTTCAGTTTCGGTTTCGGGCGACACTTGCCTGCTCCCTTGGAGAAAAAACATTGACGAAGAACCCACAACGACGCAGAGGCAACGACGAGCATCCAAGTACCCAGGACCGATGGCTGTGGGCCGCTGGTTAGGACAGCTGACCAAGGACCATACAGACGACCAACAAACGCAAGGGCCCAATCGCTTTGCCAGCCGAACCTGCAGCGGATTCGTGAGTTGCCCATACCAATATCGATCGGACCGACACCATGCCACATGCGGCGACTGTCAAGCAAGCCCACAGTACATCGGCAAACACCAGGCTTGGCTTCGATGAAAGGATGTATTGCGCTGCCGATGGGCCAACCGTTTCCTGGACCAGGGTGTACATTGTGCAAGCCGAAACCGCAGGGCATCCAACCCGAGGCCGCCTTAATCCGGGGCCGCTCGCGGACAAAACCCATTCGGCGGACTCGAAGAGCACACCGTCATCCGCAGCCGGCAAATCCATCCCGCGCTGCTCCAGAACTTACCACCAAAGACCGGCAATACCAACAATACCCGACAATACCCGACAACGTGCCAGCAATCAGCGCATTGAGGGCACCACTGAGGGGGATCGGGGGCTCAGTCGCCTCTACGCAACATACCCACCATACTCCACCGCACAGGCGGGCATGGCACGGCGCTGTGATGGAACGCCATCGGAGAAATATGATCTCAGGGTGGTCCGTGATTGCCAGTGTATTCAACAGCGCCGCCGTTCACAAAACAGATTCGAGCCGCAGCCGAAAGCAGTCATACGGCTGGCCATTAGACGCCAGCGGATTGATATTTTTCTTGGCCTTCAGCAAGGCGAAGCTCCCAGACGAAAGGCTTTGGTAGAGCTTGGAGGAGCCGTCTATCGCCAGTGCTTACTTGGTCTTCTTGGTCTTTGCCTGATGTTTGGCCTGACCACGAAGAGCTCGTTGGCGTTTGCCTTCTTGGATGAAAAAGTTGCCAAACAGGCCCAGCATCGACCACATGTACACGCACAACAGGGCCGCCAGCCAGAAGCTGATGTCGACTCGAGGATCGGCTTTGAACTGGTCCCGGGTGTGGCGGATGGTCCAGCTGGCCAGATCCACGATTTGAGGGAAAGTGTGGTACATGATAACAATCGACTGGATCATCATCAGGGTGAACTGAGTCATCTGCATCACGGTGATGTATCGTTTGATAAGCGAGACTGACTTGACGCCGATTCCGGAGAGGAAGTAGTATCCGTACCTAAGTCGGAAAGGTGAGTGCTCATCGTATCAGTAACTCGGACGTAGACAGATGTACATAGGCAGTCAGCGAGTCGGACGGAGCATCAACAGGCGAGGAACGTCGACCAACATCACAACATGGATCAGGGAGTTGTAGGCGGCCGAGAAGTACGCTGTCAAAAAAATGCAAGTAACCGATCAGTGAGACGCCGCTGCAGATCACGATAGCCCATGATAGCGATCCATAGACCATGCAAGTTCTGCCCGACAGGACAGGCGCAAAGAGAACAACTGAGAGCGGGCTTACATGACCCCGTTGGCTGGAGGAGAACGGCAAGCCACCAGATGATAAAGATGGTGGAATGGTGATAGACATGCAGAAAGGAGATTTGGCGATTGTTCTTCTTGAGGACCATGATGAACTAGCGCAAATTCCGAGCCAATGACAGCAGGCAGGCAGTTAGCTAAGCAGCAAAGGGATTCTCTTGGCACACGGCTACAGCGCAGACCGATGTTGCCCTTACTGTGTCGATAAACTCGAATACTTTGGAGAAATAGAACCTGGGGAGCACACGCTGTTAGCCGGGGGAGCACGCCACAAAAAGTCGGGACAGCCACCAAAGATACCTACAGCCAAATGAACTTGGCCATCTGTCGAGAGTGGGTGCGCTCGTGTTAGATTCGATCGTATCAAGATCGCCGAATGTGATCCATCAAACTCCGGATGCCTACAGATTCAAGGGCCGGCGGTTGGATACAAGTTCCCAAAAGTACACCGCTTGGCAAGTGGCGCACATACCTGTCGGCCAGCCGAAGATTCATCAGGGGCATTGTAAAACAGGCTGTAACCATGCTTGAAGGCCTCGGTGATGATACCGTAGCCCATGTATGCGCTCAGAGTGAGCAAGAACAGGTTATGGGCGAGCATCAACGATTGAGCCTGGAATTTTGGCAGCAGCTTCATCACAAGGACACCGATCATGACGATAAGGAAGTAGAGGAGCACGGCGACCAGGACGAGCGAGGCGCTCTTGAGAGGAAGGTACTTGGCATGGACGGAGAAACGGGATCGAAACAACTTCAGGAAATAGGGGAGTCCCTGGGGTGCAATGGCTGATCCGGCCCTGTTGAGCCAGTCATCGACAGGTTTGAGTGCCGGAAGCGCGATACGGTCGACCGCCCTGCCCAGATCGATGAAGAGATCAACGGGAGCCTTGCTGGTCAAGTAGCGGACAGATTGATGGGCCCACTCCTGGGCATCGACGAGGTAAGCTTCCATGTGAGATATTTTACGAAGCCGGTTACAAGCAGCGAGCGACGCAGACTCGAGGGGGGGCAACGACGAAGACGGCCTGATATAGCAGCGCGATGAGGGCGAAAACCGCCAGGACAGAGGCGGGTTGGGGCAGCCAGAAAAAAAAAATCTACGTGTGACAAGGCGGCGGGTGCAAGTTGGTGATCTGGAGATGAGAGCCGGAGTCATTGGAGGCAAGGGCCCCAAGGATCTATGGACGACGATGGCTGTGGCCTTCGCTGGTCAACTCGGAGAACTCGACGGGACACCAAGGCTCTCGAGACGGGACTAGAAAGTGGGACAGGATCAGTTGGATGAGAGGGGCATCATCTTCAGTCCGAAGCAACACGGACTCTGAAACCGAGCGGCGAGGCGGCACTTACAGACTGGTCTGAGGAGCAACTGGCTTGTCGAATCGCTTTGCGCAAATCGTCGTGAGCCTTCATGTCAAAGGGTGAGCTCGCGAAGAGCTGGAGCTCGCGCATAAAGATTGGAGCGGCATCATGGAGAAAGGGACGAAGGGCGTCGAGCGATGCAGATGATTCGATGGAATGCCTGGACACAGAAGAATTGAATGATTTGTTCCGAGGAAAACGACGATGGTAGAGCGTCATGCTCACACGGAACCTACGCTTTGATTATTCCAAGCACAAGCTCGGTAACAAAATCGACGCTTTCCGATTCGAGGAGAATCTTCAAGTCCCGCCGAATCCACGGTCTGAGTCGGGCAAGGAGCGGAGGCGACTTCTCCAAAGCCTTGGGGGCTAAATGAGTCATAAAATCGGAGAATGTTTCCAACAATAAGAACATCGGCGGAAGACAGCGACGAGGACAGGGTGATGAGCACATACTCGAGTCGCGAAGCTTGCGACCCGTCGCGGATATGATGTCGGGTGGAGCCATCTCTTTATCGTCATATATGCGTCGTCGATAGCATGACGGGTCGTTGATGGACGACTGGCCATTGATGAGGGTCGGAGGGAATGCATGCGAACGGCCAATAGGAGGACGTCGTGGCCGATAAGGAGAAGATCGAATGCGTGGACGTTCCAGATCCGGAAAGACTTGCTGAAGTGGGGAGAGAGTTGTGAGAAATGAAGCACACGAAAGAACACAGATATGACTGATCCACAGAAGTTGCGAGTTGACGCACCCGAAGATAGGAACTAGAGGACTGGATGTTGTAGAGAATAGCCACAATACTCTGCTTGCAGAGGGGGCAACAGCGCGGCGTTCGTCGGGCCCAAGTGACGATGCAGAAATAGCAGAATGAATCTGAGAACACGGAGGGTTAAACAGATGAAGCCAAAAGACAGTCATGAATGAGACGGAAAAACACTTACGAAAGCAGGGATCGACAAAGGCCAAATTGTCAACCGGATGAAGACAAATGGGACATTCGGCAGGAAATGAAGGTGAGGCATTGGGGACTTCGATCATTGGAATTTCCGCTGTGTGAGCGGAGGAGTCGGACGAATCAAGGGAGGGCAGCAGGGAGGCATACTGTCGGGGAAGGGTGTGGAGCAAGGGAATCGGAGGAGAGGTGCTGGGATACAAGGGCCTCGACTCTGACGACGGAGATGCAGACGGAGATGGAGATATGGATGGAGATATGGATGGAGATGGAGATGGAGATATGGATGGAGATGGAGATGGAGATGGAGATGGAGATATGGATGGCGAGCCCGACATTATGACCACTGTTGGGAGCAAGATCGATTTTGGAAGTGCAGATGAGAGCGCTGAGACACAGGGACAAGTCTTTGGCAGGAGAAGCGGTCAGAGAAAGCAGGACAGGGATGACCGAAGAGCTCGGCACACGGCGAGGTGATTGCTACAGGATAGCCACCAGACCGATGATGTTTGGGTGAGATTGGGACTCAATCGACATGGTCGCGGTTGAATAAAGACGAGAGGATATGACCACAAGGATACAGATATGCAAGTGTAAAGGCCAAACCAGAGAGAATGGGTCGATGCGAGAGCGACTCCATGTCGGAGATGCCGGCTCGAATAAACTGGGCAAGGCCGGGGATTTGGACAGTGAAAGTTGGCAACGGCAGCCGATCTGGCTAAGACAAAGGGTCGATCCAATGGGCCAAAAGCGATTGCGTACCGACCAAATCTGCTTCAGATTGAAAGGCCAGCAGGCTGGAGCGGGTGTCGGAGGGACGAGCAACGGCAGCCAGAGGAGAGCGACGAAGGGCAAAGATCGACAGGCGGATTGGAGCACCGACAGGTCAGCCCAAACAGGCAAGGGATGAGACGGAGCACAGAGCCCAACGGCGCAGAATCCACGGCTGCTTGCCCGAGGCCGTAGTGGGCCGCGTGGGCCATGCAGCTCAGACCAACAAACTGACAGGATCAAAATTGCCAAGAGTGAAGCATAGACGTGATGTTGGTATGAAGCCGACGAGATGTAGAGAGCAGATCGAGAAATACTCGAAGGCTGACGATCGAAGCGGTGACGGAGCAGTTTGCCGAGATTGAGGCCACAAGCACACCAGCAGACGACAGTACCAACATCACAGGACGGCGCCGGACAGCAGCTCGTTGTGGATAGAGAAGGCTCGAAGCGAGGGGACAAAAACAAAAACAAAAAATGACGATGATCCACAGAAGAGCCAGCACACTGGGATGAGAGTACAAATGACGGACCACGGGAAGGAGAGTGGGAAGCGGGAAATGGAAGCAAAAAAAGGCTAGCATCGGGAGGTTTCGATCCTCCGACCTCAGGGTTATGAGCCCCGCGCGCTTCCACTGCGCTACGATGCTGAAGTAATTGACGAGAGTGGGATTCGAACCCACGCCTCCGGGGAGATCACGGCCTTAACGTGACGCCTTAGACCAACTCGGCCATCTCGCCTTGATTTCGATCAACAATATATACAATATCATCCCAATTCTATCGATCCAGTTTCCATAGAACCATAGGCTCTGTCACTCATATAACAGCTCAGCCCTATGGCCGCTCCGAACCTGTTTTTATCAATATATTGTATTCTGTCTCTGCGGCCGTATTATATTTATCAGTTCCCCGTGGGTTTTCCGCATTTCGACACATTTTGGACTATTTGAGTGGCCCACGGGTCCCACCCCGGAAGATTTGCTGGGTCGGACTGTCCATTCAGCGAGTCCCTATTTCAGGTCGTGAAAAATATGTTTCATATTAGTTGGCAGGACTATTAGGGCCTGCTACATGATGAGTTTCTCGCTTTCTAGCTTGTAAATCTTTCCTGGTGTGTATCAGAACAATGGGCCTGACACCTTCGGTCTCGAACTTGATCCGTCAAATAATATTTCTATGGCTCCCGCTTGGGCGTTCAAGGCTTCATCCTCATCTATGCAAGCCGGTGCGTGTTATCGGCCGATTTCTACCTCGATTTTGCCGTTGTATCTCTGTTTTAGTGCAGATATGATATAAACTGTGAATATCCGAGAAAACCTCTGTCCTCGACCATACTGTTCCGATGTATAGTCTGCGTGGAATGGTTTGGTCCGAACTTGATTCAGATTCTCTCCGTTTTTGTTCTCAGCGCGAATGAGTACATCGACTGATTTCCGTGCTTGGATAATGACTGTGCATTAGGGGTCAGCATGAATGGTTTGACCGATCGGATTTGTGGATCCCGTGGTCGAATCACTGTCCTTGTCGAAGGTTATGATCATCAAAAATGCGGCGCTCCTGTACTTACATGAACAGGCCAGGCCTCACTTAACGTCACTGTAGTGGAACTTTTCAAAGTATGGTTGGTCCTTGATTGCTGCTGATGAAACAGGTAATAAATGCAATCTTCCTGTTGTTATGGGCAGTCCACAGTAGTGGTATGGTGCTTCGTGTGATGTCGCGCGGACTATGCGAGACAGCTGGCTCAGGCAGAATGTCTGTGTCCTGTGGAGCCATCCCGTTTCATTTCCGGGATGGCATCGAGGGCAAAGCCAGATCCCGTCATGAATCACGGGAACATGCGATATGTGATTGTTGGGGACTTGACCGAAGGTTTCCGATGGCCAAGCCAGCTTGGACATGCTGGGCGCTGCTCTCTTCGTCCTGACCACCATTCGTTCGGGGTTTTCTGTAACGGACGGGTACGGAGCTGGGACGGGGACGGTGCCTTGGAGCGAGAAGTATATTCAGACGGATGAAAACAGAAGACTCCTCTTGCTGGGCCTGTCCCGGGGAGGGCGGAGTGCCCTTTTATAGGCCCAGCCCAGCAAGAGGACGGGGCAGTGTCAGCCTGCCGCGCACATGTGGCGGCGTGCCGGCCGTCACATTTTCCATCGATGCAAAAATACGGTGACATCAATAATAGCGCCAAAATACTCGAGGAACCCAATTTTATGGGTTTAGGGCTGTATGAATGCAGGTCCGTTTGCTTGTCGGCGTGGTGGTCCGGAAAAGAAAAAGAATATAGACCTCCCATTAGGGGGGGGGCGGAAACTCGGATTTGTTCCGGTGACCATGTGCCCCAAATATGCTTACTAGCAGCCTCCATAATTTTCAGGTAATGTTTACTTGGACTAAATCAATATCTGGAAGCTGGCGCGCAGCGCCCTCGATTCCGCGTTCAAATTTAATTTGATAATATAGCTTAAGCCTATTCGCGCCAAAATAACACAGAAGTACCGTAATCCTTTCGCGTTTTTAAAGCCATTAACCATGCTGGGGGGACGTTACCCTGTTGATCTGGATTATCCTGAGTGGTTCCCAATATAAAATGACAATTAAAGGATCGGGTTACGCGTGAATACCTTGAAGTTGTACTTTGAAGCTTCATGAGCCGTGCGCGGTGGAGTAATGCGCCTCGAGCATAGTCCCATCATCCTGACGAGTCCACTCAATCTCATAGCAATCTGGTACCAGAGTACCTTAAAATACCACCGATACTACAAACTGAAGATGCGTTTGAGTCTGCGATTCTCCCACGCTTGATCAGCCTGACTGGGTATTTCTTGGGTCACGGGTTGATCAAAGATCGGCTGGCAATATCTTGTCTAGCTCGAGCATCATCGCTCCGATGGGTTGATGCGACACCTGTTCATAGAAGACTATTCTGTCGAATATGGAAAACCCAAGTAACCTGAACAACAGATTGATATATAAAACATATTGAGATTGGACCGAGTGCTGAACCAGTCGACATTCAGCTCAAGCTTTGACGACTTTGGTCGAAGCCTTACTCCCAAAGCAGCCTGTCACTAGCCTAGATAACACAACAGCGCGTGGTTAAATGATTGTGTAGGGCACTGAAAAAATATAATGTAGGAGTAGTGATTGCCAGATTATAGACATAGGCCGAACGCATTAAAAACAGAGGTACGATGTGCTTGCTAGGCTGATTCTCTACGTATTCTGATTAGGAACTAATTCGATCGCGCGATCGCAATCTTGAGCCTCCACAACTTCGATATTTATCGAGTCTATCAATTTTTTGATGTCAAAAATCTAATGAATAACTGGGCAAGTCATTTCATTCACTGTCAGCTCGACTGACCGATTTTAAGCCATATTGATAGTTCGGGAACTATTTTTTGTTTTCATGAAGGTATTGCTGCGAATATTTTCCCGGCTGCTCATCTGCCCCGGTGGAGTTCGCGGTCAGCAAACGGAATCAAAACGAAAATATGATTAGATAAAGCATCTATAAAATATCTGATGAATGATGAGATAGTCAGAATATGTCGATGTCCATATTCAAAAACATATGATTTGCTGTTCGGTTCGGAAGCGTACTTCATCGTCCAGTCGTCAAATTCTGAATAATTACAATATGGGGTGTCTGAATGAGGATTTTTATTAAACCCATCCCAGGACAGCAAAAGTATCGATAAAATTGATGCAATCGAGTAGTGGAAGAGAAAAATAGCAAAAAAGGCTAGCATCGGGAGGTTTCGATCCTCCGACCTCAGGGTTATGAGCCCCGCGCGCTTCCACTGCGCTACGATGCTGAAGCAAGTGACGAGAGTGGGATTCGAACCCACGCCTCCGGAGAGATCACGGCCTTAACGTGACGCCTTAGACCAACTCGGCCATCTCGCCTTGAGATCGTTTAAAAAAATTAAAAATATAAACTATTTGATAATACCAGATCAAGCCTCCCCCGATCACACATTTGCTTTCGCTGTCGTGCACAAGTCGTTGGGGTCTCACAAACTGTAGACCCCAGTATTTCATTCTAAGCAAATATTATAAAATGTTACAGATTATCGCAGCAAATTCCTCAGAGTGTTTTCTATGGCTTACATAGAACCGATGTTGCTGTGATGAGGCTTCTGCATCCATATTACGTAATTTATTAATAGTATATTTATTTTCATATTCCCAAAGGGCGGAAGCAAGTATGCAAGCCATCAATGTCTACGTGACACTTGAGAAATCAATTTTTCGATGGAACTAACTTCGGTAGCCACATAGAGAGCTTACAGGCATCTCCACAGGAAGGTTTCTGGCTCACGCCAGATTCAGCTGAGTTATTCTGAACAAAGAATTGAACTTGGTTCCCAGAGCTTTCGCTACTGGGTGGGTGTGGCTTAATCCCTATTACGTGTGTGTGTATAGAAGTTTTTATGCGGATAAAAAGAATCTCTCGCATAATAAAAAATATACCAACAGAAAGTACATACATAGAGCACACATTGTTTCTGTATTCCTCCTGTACATACTATTCTCAGCATCAGGACAAGAACAGGCGTTCCCATCAAAAAGGCAATGACTATGCGCCTCTACGAAAAGGAAGGAAATCAAGCCAAGGTAATGTCGATCGCAGGCACCTACAAATGGGATGGAGACCCTGTCCTGACGCGCGGATGCCAGTGAATCAGCCGCTCAAGCCCGAAGAATGTTCCTCTGGCGGGTCAGAGGTTTCCCTCCCAAACCTGGTGGAGCGCGCATAAAGCCTGGACCCAATAGTCCCAAAGTCCCCGTGAACAGGAACATGCGTCGGAATGTGTCCGAGCCGACGACCGTCTTGACAAGTACGTACACCCCACGACGATTCGCGAAGGCATCACGTACATCGGGCTTGCAACCGGCACACCCCCCAAGCTGGCTCGAGTGCCCGCAAGACCAGTCACCATCGACCAGGAAAACTGAGCAATGGTGTGCCAGTCGCGAACGAATCCTCAACAACAGACCAGCGATCTGGCTGAATGTCGTGGCGGTGTTGGGTGACATCGCAGCTCAGTGTCTGTTGTGACGCCAATCATTCGTATGCGCCAATCGGTCGTATGAGCCATGCACGACAATAGGGGCCTGAGGAAACAGTTTCACAGGCATATGTCCAGCACATGTCAGCACATGGAAGTTAGAGTTGCAGATTCCAAACTCTCACTGGACGATGAGTTAGGCAAAGCTTGAACATCGGCCGCCCCTCCGCAAACAGCTCCCCCAAGAGACAGGGAGCTGCAGTGATGATTATAAACTGTCCTGGTTAGTAAGGCCAGTGCCAGTGCCAGTGCCTGGAAAGGCATTTGGATCGACACTTATTATATATTGATTGGGCTGAATTGTTTGGGGATGTTGCGGATACGCTCAGCATATACGGAAGCTCAAGGATTTGAACTTGGGGGGGGGGGGTGCTGTCCAAGAACACAGGGTGAAAAAATGAAAGATGAAAGTGTGATGCACGAGAGCTTGAAAATAGAAAGTCACGCGCGGTGAGCACTGGGGTGATGGTGGCGGTCTTCTGTAGATTTTATAAGTTTATATATTTATTTTACTGTAATAGCAAACAAGGCGAGATGGCCGAGTTGGTCTAAGGCGTCACGTTAAGGCCGTGATCTCTCCGGAGGCGTGGGTTCGAATCCCACTCTCGTCAATTACTTCAGCATCGTAGCGCAGTGGAAGCGCGCGGGGCTCATAACCCTGAGGTCGGAGGATCGAAACCTCCCGATGCTAGCCTTTTTGCTTCCATTTTCCGCTTCCACTCTCCTTCCCGTGTCCGTCATTTGTACTCTCATCCCAGTGTGCTAGCTCTTCTGTGGATCATGTCCCTCGCTTCGAGCCTTCTCTTTAGCCGCAACGAGCTGCTGTCCGGCGCCGTCCTGTGTTGTTTACTGTTGCCAGGCGGTGTATTGGTCCGTTTGGTTGACTGGAGAATATGGACAATAGCGAAGCCTCGTCCCAGCAATATTGGATTAATAATACCACACTATATCATATATCACTATCAATTCTTCAATAATATAGATTGGATGCAAAAAGGATTGTCGTTACAACTTTCGAACCTTTCTTTCGAGGTTGTTGGGTAATTTGCAGCAGATCTGTTCGACTCGAGCCGGGGGACTGGGAGGACTGGAAACCCATGGTTAGGTTTATAAGCCATATAAAATAAAAGCGAAGAAAAAAAAAATAAAATAATAATAAAATAATAATATAATAATAAAATACTAATATAATAATAA